GCACACGCAGGTTATTATGAGCCGCGAGATTGTGCTTGACGCCGAGATCCACGATTCAGATAAAAGGGGCGGCTGCACCTGATGGCTTTCTGTCTCTCGTCACCGCCTCGCACTCTCACCCATGATGGCTCCTCCTACGCAGCACTTGACATTCGATGGACGACAGATCGCATTTGATGACGATGGTCAGCAGAAGCAGGGAGGACCCGTACTGCTCGCTATGCCCGGTATGGGCGATTTGCGCTCACAATACCGACACCTGCGGCCCGCTCTCAACGCCGCCGGTGTGCGTGTCATAACCCTGGACGTCCGTGGCTTCGGCGAGACGTCGTCGAAGTGGGATGACTACTCTGCCAAGGTCGTCGGGGAAGACGCTCTCACCGTTCTGCGCCACTTGGGCATTTCATCGGCATACATAGCCGGCAATTCTTTCGCTGCGGGCTCTGCTCTCTGGGCTCACCATCTCAGCAAGAAGGCTTCCGGCAACTCATCTCCTACTATTGAAGGCGCTATTCTCCTTGGGCCCATCGTCCGCGACCTTCCCGTATCCTTCGGGATGAAGGCACTCATGGCTATCCTCTTCGGTGGACCCTGGCGCCGAGCGTCGTGGATGTTCTACTGGGATAGCCTCTTCCCTACGCGCAAGCCTGAAGATCATGCAGCTATCCGTGCACAGGTCGGCGACAACCTCAAGGACCCGACGCGTATGGCCGTGCTGATGAAAATGCTCAGCCTCAGCAAGAAGGACACTGAGGAAATGCTACGAAATGATGATGAGCACTGCCCCGCACTGGTAGTCATGGGAACGAAGGATCCAGACTTCAATGACCCTCGCGAGGAGGTCAAATGGATCGAGAGTACGCTCAGCGGCAAGTGCAAGTGCACGTCTCTTATCGTTGAGGGTGCCGGCCACTACCCTCATACCGAGATGCCCGATCAGGTGGCGCCAGCGGTGGTTCAGTTCTTGAAGCGATGAGGGCACGCGAGAACGTACAGATTCTCTACCCGTGACCATGTAAGATATCCTCATTTGCCGTGTTAGTATACGAGATTGGAGTAAGCGATTGGATTCCAAGATTGGTAGCGGTGAGACGAGAGGCTATAAACAAGGGCGGAGCGGAAGTGGCGCGTCGTGCCACGTGCACAGATAGGCCTGACCCTGAGTGAAGACCACGTGGCTGCGCCTTCGCTCGGTCGGGCGGGCTGCTTGGACGCCGGACCTGAATTGGTTGGGCGCGTCGGAGATGTGTGACTCAATCTCCGCATGACTCCGCGTTGCATCTATCCGCCCTGAGGGTTTGTATCCGCATCTCCACCTCCCACCATCACCATCCCGATCCACACGATCCTCGCCCATCACCCCAACATGTCCACCCAGTCGAACAATGCCGGAGCAGCTGAGCCCTCCTCCCACTTCTTCACCACACGCCCCGCCCTGTCAGCCCTGCTTCGCTCCCTGCACTCCCTCTCCAAGACGCAGGAAGGCGCCGACTACATCCCTGGCGCGGCCTTCCCTTCGAATGTGGACAGTCCAAGCGACCTCGCCGTGTTCCAAGACAGACTTGTGGCTCTAGACGAGGATAAGGCGCAGGCCGTCTACATGGTTCTGCGAGCGATGAACGCGCAGCGCATCTTTGAGGGTGGGTGCGAATGTGGGACGGAGCTAGGCGCCCGTCGTCCTGTTTTTGCGAGGCGCTGACTTTGTTCAACCCTCTCTCTCGCTCGTTGGCTCTTAACGTCGCGCTCGAAAGCCGGCACCTCGTATGGCGTCTCTCTCCTCTACCTCCTCGCAGCCATGCGCGACAACGTAGCGGCCTACGGCGCTGCTCGTTCTCCGCACAGCCCCAAAGTCTGGGGCACCGAGAACGAGGCAGCCAAGGTCAGCATCGCATACGAGCACGTTCGGCAGGGCTTCTCGGAGCGAGAGGAAGCAAAGGAGATGATCGAGGGTGGACAAGTTGAGATTCTGCAAGGGGACATTCGCCAAACGACGCGGGGAGCTGCGGGCATCGAGGAGGGGAGCTTGGATGCTCTGCTCCTGGATAGTGAGTCGTCTCGTTCATCACCCACCGGCGGAGAAGTCGAGGTCGTCTGACACCCTGACGATTCGCTCACCGCCATCAGTCTGGGCTCCTCTGGCTCTGCCGACCCTCCAAGCTCTGGAGCCCGCCCTGCGCATCGGAGCTGTCCTTTTCATCGACAACTCCGTCTCAGGCGCGGATCGTTATGCCGACTTACTCGCGTATCTTGCTGATCAGCAAAATGGTTGGCAGATGGTGAACTTGCCCTATTCTCGTGGCTTTGGCTTTGCCGTCAAGTTCGGCGGCAAGGCAGGCAAAAGTTAACCAGAGCCAGGTCGGATGAGTGGAAAAGTCGCCGCCGCCGCCGGCGCTCCGCGTACGAAGCCGCAGGTTCGACGACGCGCAAAACGGGCCATGGGCACTAAAAGGCGAGGCTGCCGACAGCTAAAGGGGTCATCTCCCGCACCTCGACCTTTATCCACATCACCATCACCATTATGCTCTTCAATACACTCGTCTTGGCCGCCTCGGCCGCCTCGCTCGCCATCGCTGCGCCTGCGCCCTCTGGGCTCAACACGCCCGCCGCCTGCACGTATCGCCTCACCTCGCTGCAGCGCATCGCGCCGGACCAGCCGGGCGTCGACCTCAAGAATGGCACAACGCTCAACATGCGCGACATCATCACAGCGACGACGCTTCCGTTCTCGCAGTCTTGCTACGGGCCTGATGTCTCGTACGGGCTGGGCTACACGAAGCAGGGCGTCAAGGTGCCCCGTAGCGTTGCGTCGCCGGAATGGGAGGACAATTTGACACTTCGAGGGGATGATGCCGCGCTTGGCCTTGCGACGAGCCCTTTCAGGCCAGGAGAGGGGGATTATAGTGAGTCGCGCGATCTTGTGGCGAGACGAGACGAGACGGCTCTGACTGACCAGACCTGCTGCTCCTTGCTTTGCCCGGCCAGCTCTCCACTTTTTCTCGTACAATAAAGCGTCGGGCCTCGTCGAGCGGGAGATTGAGCATGCCGATATTCGTGTTACGTACTAGACGGAGCGGTGCGACTGCGTGGGATGGTACGTTCCAATGCCCTCTTTCCTCCCGACGAATTTCAAAGTCTAATGAATCAGCCCACGTGCCCTAATGTCCTGCTGTGGGCTTCCCTATCTCCCTCCCGCCGCCATGTCGAGGCCACGATCATTCTCTCGCCACACGGACGTCTTGAGCTAAGCGCTACATAGATTGCATTTGGTGTCGAGCGCGCGCAGCAAGGACTCCTACCAGTCCAAAAGCGCGTAGGATGGGAAGCAACCCTGCTCACCCACTCAGCGACTCGAAAGATACGCGTTCCCGGGAAGCTGCCTCGTCGGTCCATTTTTATTTTGAGGCTTAGTGGCCAAACGAGAAGAAGCGAGAGCGTCGCCTGGTCTGGTGTCAATCGAGACGGGAGAAGACAAAGAAGCTCCCCGCGGCTGTCGACTTTGCATCTGCGGGACAGATCCGCTGCAGGGCGGGACAGAATTACACAGACGCGTCGATGCCAAGCTCTGCCTACTCTAGAACGCCATCTCCACCACAAGGCAGTCGAGCTTTATTTCGCCGACAGACGAGATCTAGCCTTCGTCCCGGTTGCGCATCAATCAGCTCATCTGATTCTCGGCCCAGAAGGAGCAAGAGCTGCGCCGCAAACATATATCGTCACTCACCTTCTGAAGCAGCCAGCACGCACTGCGTGAGAATCATTGCAGAGCAAAATGGATCTCAGCATATTGCAGTCCGCGAGTCTGTGTGTCGCTGTTCTTCGCGAGATACAACGAGGGCCGAAGAAGTACAAAGAGATGGCAGTCAATCGTGCACTCCAGGCTGCGTCGCCTCTCTCCATCCGCTCTTCCACCAACAACCATGGCGCCCCATCTTTGGCCAGCCCTCCTCCTCGCCCTGCTCGCGTCGACCTGCGTCGTCCAAGGCCTGAGCATAAGCTCCGGCGGGTACACAAACTGCGTCAGCCTCTCGCGCTACGTGACGCTGACGCCTTCGGAGTACAGCGAGGGCACCTATCTGGCGTTGAGTCTTGAAGTTGCCGGGGGGTCGCCTAGTGAGTCGATGTCCTAGACAGCGGAGGGGCGAGTAGCTCGCGCTGATACCATTTGGGCCAATGTCAGGTACAAGCTCGACAGGATTGGGCAAGCTCTTCAGCAGCAGCTCGCTTCAGTCATCCGTCACATGGACCCTCGATGAGGCACTTACGCCGCAGAATGGCGGGTACGATGCCACGGTGAAGGTGAGCTTGAAGAAGCATTCCGACCGTGGTGATGATGATGATGTCGTTGTTGTTGAGCGAGTGGCTGATGAAAATCTCGCTCGCCCAGATCGGCATTACCGATGCAGACGGCTATGTCATTACGACCTCTGGCGCGTCGTACAGGTCTTTATTTGTCGGCAACGTGCACATCGAGTGCAACGCCCTCCCTGCAACCACTACTGCGGAGGAGACGTCCACGATGGAAGCAACGCCTACACCGACCAGCACACCCACGTCATCTAGGTCGACGTCTGCCGCAAAAACTTCGTCCACTGCCTCTGGTCAGGGCGGAGGCGGTGGTGGCAACACCTGTGAGTTGATGCATCCTGCGCGTCATGCCCTCCCGTATTCCTCGCACCTCCTCCTGACAGCATCCATTCTGAACCGGACGCAAACAGACGTGGATCAAGGCTGCCTGGTCAACTGCAAGGGCTCCTGCCCGTCGTCCAGCGGCTGTCCAAACGGCGACGATTACGGCAGTTGCGTCGTGCAGCGACAGGACGCCAAGCGTGTGAGTAAGCCCGTACCGTTTGACTCGCGGCGAGCCAGGAGTTTATGAATGCTCATCGTCTTCACCCTGCCTTGGCCGCGTGCAGTCCTGCGAGAATAGCTGCGACAGACGATGCACCAAGACAGTTATCCCGACGACGAATGACGCCCCTCGTGCCGTAAGACCGGGAACTGTAGCCACGGCTATGGCTGCCGCCTTGAACTTTGCGGCTGTCGCTGTAGGGCAGCATCTCAGGAGCTGGGCGGCGTAAAAGTGGCAGCTGCTTGATCCTTTGCGCCTCGCCTTTGGGGCAGAGGAAAAGATCGAGATCGAATACTCCATCTCGAGCGTTGCTCGACTGTCCTTCTCCGTGCTGCAGTGGTGCGAGAAATGCTATGCAATGGTATCTTCTTGTCTCTGCGTCTCCGCACTGTCACCCCACGTACGTGAACGACCTCTTCCCCTCTTCCCCCTTCTTTCCCAACGCACGATCAATCTCCCGCCAAACAGACCCCTTCAACGCGAGCGCAACATCTATTCCTGCTCCCTCTCCTTGCTTTCCCACCTTTGGCGGCACAGGCAAAAAGTACCCCAGTCCATCCACCAGGCTCACGCTCGTGAAAGGCGTAGACACGACGGCCGGTACCAGTGCATCATCCAGCGTCCCAGCAGCATATACGTCCATCCTATGCCAAGCGCTCAGCATAAGACTCCCCTCGCCGTACTCGTAGGCGAGCTGAACGCGTCCCTTGTCCCTTTGAGCGCACAGCCATCTCAACTCCGCCTGCGCGTCCCCGAGGCTCAACCCGCGGCTAACCGAGTGAACCGCAGTCGCTATCCTGTCTACGGGGCCTTGGAGTACTTCTTGCGGGTCGAGAGAGGCGAAATTGACAAAACAGGTGTTAGGCGTGTGGTGCGCGGGTAGGCCGAGTCGCGCGCGCCAGGAGGAGGGGGTGAGGAAGTTGCAAATTGTAGGTTGCGCAGCCGGGTTGCGATGCGGGGAGGAGCGTGCTCGATAGGTGAGCTGGAGGAGATGGGCGAAGAGGGCGTCGAATGTTGTGATGTACTGTCCTTCCGTGTGGGTGTGGGGCAAGGCGGCCTGTTTGAGGGAGGCGAGTTGGGTCGGGGAGAAGCGCAGAACTCGACCTTGGACGGGATCCGGGTCGGGGGGTGGTGAGTCGCTCTCAATTACGGGCGTGGATTGGGTTACGCCGTTACTACCCTCCTTCCAATCCTCGCCGGCCAGCTTGTACCCCCTCGACTTCCAGCTTCGCGCCTCCTCCCTCTCTTCCTCGCTCGCCCCGCTAGCCCAGTCGGCCATGTAAGGCCTGATGCTCGGCGCGTGGTCCAGCTGCGGTTTCTCCACTCCCGCGCTCAGCTGCCTGTACACAGTCGCCAGGTCACGCACAACGCTAAAGAACCCCTCTCCATCCACAACCGCGTGCGCCATCCTGATCGCGAGGGCCACCCCGCCGCAAGAGAAGCGGGTGTGCTGCACGGCGAAGAAGGGATTGTGGGCCAGGTACTCGGCGGTGGGCTCGTAGGGGGGCACAAGGTCGGGAGGGAACGAGGTGGTAATGTAGTCACCTCCCTCGGGTCTGACGAAGGAGTCGAGGCGCGCAGAGCTGTTTGCCTCGATGAGGGCGGCCCCGCTTCCCAGCTGAGCGATGCAGGGTTCCTTTGCCTCTCCAGCCTCTGCGATGAATCGACCGGTGAAGTGCGGGTGAGAGTCCAGGAGGTAGCGCATAGCCTTCTCCAGTCGATGGACCGGTACGACGCTCCCCGCCTCTTCGCCGCCCTGCCCAGCCTCATAGACGAAGACGACGACAATCGGGATGCCTGGGCCGAGATAGTAGTCCATCGGGCCTAGGGCCCATCGTGATGGGAACCCCGCGAGAGGTGGGTGAGCCGCATGGATGAGGCGAGTGGGGTTGCGCGTTATTTCGTGTGAGGGCATGGAATGGGGGAAAGGAAGGAAAGTAAACAGAGAAACGCCGCAACGCACGCACGGACGCACGGACGCAACGACGGAAACAGACACGGCGGACGCGGTCTTGGATCTCCCGCCTCCGTCTGCGCCTGCGCCTCGAACTTGCACGACGCGAGAACGTCGAGCAGGCCACACGAATCAGGGGAGCGTCAGGGCCGTGCCTATCAATCGTATCATATCGTTATCGTCTCGTATCATTCGTAAGATCGATCTCGACCGCGTACAAATACATAAGGGGCTGCTCGCTCACGGCGACACCATGGCTGGATATATCTACACTCCCTCCCTCGCCCTTCCCATCCCCAACCCCTCCCCAATCGCAAGGCACGGCACGTCGCCCACCTTGGTATCGGTCCTCAACAAGTCCTCACCCCACGCCATCATCCTCAGCATCTGCGGCAACTTTGGGTCACTCCCCTGACTCTGGCTCGCAAGGATGGCGGCATTGAGCTCGCCAGCCGTCTTGAGCTTCTGCGACGGTGAGAGCAGAGACGCTACATGCGGGGGAGCGGGGAGCGCGGCGGTGCTGGCAGTGGAGGAGGAGGAGGGAAGATCAAAGGCGAGTAGGGCCATTGTACGTTCGAGTTCGGGGAGGAGTTCAGGATACTCCTCGCCGCGCGGGGCCAGCTCCTCGGCGGCGAAGTGAAGGGCTTCACCTATGCGGTTGGCGCGAATGAGCTCGATGAGGCGTTGTTGCTGGAGGTGGAAGAAGAGGAGCGGGGAATTGTCCAGGATCTATGCGCGTGCAAGGAGGAGGTGAGGTGTTAGTCGAAGTGCAAAGTGATGGAAAGGATGGTGTGCTCTGCCCTCGCTCCCTGCCCCGTCGCGCGTCTACGTCGTGCTCAGAGAGAAGATTAGGTATACTATCCGCACAGCCCCTCGAAAAGAGAGGCTCGGCGTGGTGCATGATACTGTGTGCTCATCTTCGCTACTCCCCCCGCCTCTTTCGCCTCTCGCTCTCACGGTCGACTCACCTCAGGATCCAGCTCATTGACTCTGCCAATGGCCTCCTCAACATCCCCCCTCTCAATGGCAGCTCGGATGGTCATTCGGTCCTCGATGCTGGCCAAATCCACCTGTGGTCGCAACCCCGTCTCGAGGGAGAAGCGGGCTGCAGCATCCTTGTAACCTTCGATTACTAGGTAGTCCATCACGAGGCGATTTAGGTCACTAGGCGGGCGCGGCGCAGAAGGGAGGGGGAGAGGAGGTGGTGTCAGCATATATGCGCGCGCGACTTCGTGGTGGTGGCTTGCTGCGATCAGAAGGCAAATGTATAGTTGTTGTGTCCTCACGGGGAGTAGGAGAGATTCCCACAATTGCGACATAAAAAGATCATCCCAAGAAGTTGCATCATTGATTGCTCGCACGGCTACTCACTCCTTGTTAACGTGGACCTCATTCAGCTTCTTTTCCCACTCGGCCACACCAAGGACCAGGGGCTTGCGGGCCGCCTGCGCGAGCGAAGCGGGGGCGCGAGTGTAGAAGCATTAGTGAGGAGTGGAAGGGAGAGAGAGAGGAGAGGGACGCACCATGCTGGGCGGGCGGGGCGGTGAAAAAGGCAAAGAAGATAGGCAAGTCGCGAATTGGATGAGAGTTGAAGTCAAGACGGACGAGCAAAAGCAAAGCACAACGGGCAGCGCGTTGGCGTCCTCCCGCCCGCCGGTTCCGTCCCGTTCCTCTGACGGGTGCCTGACGTTGAGTCGTTGCCCTGACGACGCCGCCGCCGTGACTCCACGACGGAAACAAGAGACGTCGACGCAACTGAGCCTCGCAGCCCTCGCAGCATACATTGACCCACACACGACTCGCCCCTCCCTCCTCCCTCGCTTTGCTACCACGACGACAGCTGCGCCTCCCGCTTCTCCTCCTCCTCGCCGCAGCCATGTCCTCCGTAGTCCACTACAAATTCAAGTCGCAGCGCGACGCCTCCCGCGTCGTATTCGACGGCACAGCCCTTTCGGTGTATGATCTCAAGCGGGAGATTATGGTTCAGAACAAGATGGGCAAGGGGGTCGACTTCGATATTGCATTGTACAATGCGCAGACTGAAGAGGGTGGGTCGCGCCCTCCTGCACGACCACGAGCTGAGCTGAGCTGACAGTCTCTCTCTCCCTCTTGTGTGTCGACGCACAGAGTATCGAGACGACAATCATCTCATCCCTCGATCTTCGACGGTTCTTGTGAGGCGACTGCCACCGCAACGCCCGGGAAGGGGTACGGCGCAGATGTACGTTGCGGACCTGTATGGCGGGGATGCAGGGGAGGGATCATCATCGCGGTTCGGTCCCGCAGCGAGTGGGATGGCTCAGGGTAGAGATCGACAACAACAGCAGCCCGGTGGGCCTTCGTCGTACCGCGGACCGATGAGTGTGCGATTCGATGACAGGGGGAAAGAACCTTCTGCCACGCCTGCGCCGCCACCCGTCCTTCCACCCTCGATGACGCAGCAGGGCGCAGCAGGGGAGAGCAACGGTGGGGATGAGGCGGCGAGTATTGCAGCCATGTTCCAGGCCACGACGGATCAGTGGGATGCAACGCAGCAACAGATGGCTAATGCGACGTATCGCTCACGAGGGGGTGGACCGCCGCGTGGTGGTGGGAGGGGAGGGTCATTCCAGGCTCGCAGCGATAGAGGGGATCACCATCAGTACTCGGATCGACCACCGCCTGTCGGGTATATCTGCTATCGATGCGGCAAGAAGGGGTGAGTGTGTGGCCAAGAGATCGTAGCAGATAGCCTGACGATGGATGCTGACCATCCTGACCCTTGTCGCGCTGCACTTGCACAGCCACTGGATCCAAGAATGTCCCACCAACCTCGACCCAAACTGGGACGACAAGCCGCGCTTCAAACGCACGACGGGCATCCCCAAATCCATGCTGAAAACCGTCGAGAACCCCACGGAAACACAGCGCCAGGCAGGCATAATGGTCACCTCGGACGGCACCTACGTAGTGGCCCAAGTGGACAGCGCAACCTGGGAAGCCGAACGTAGCGCAGCCCTCAAGACCCTCTCCCGCTCAGACGTTTTCGCGGCCGTTCCAACGGACTCGGCGCTTGCTTGTCCTCTCTGCAGCAAGTTGCTCAAAAAGGCAGTCAAGACTCCCTGCTGTACAACGCGATTCTGCGAGGAGTGTATACAGAATCATCTGCTGGAGAACGACTTTAAGTGCGCGGAGTGTGACAAGAGGATTGCGGACCTGGGCGATCTGGCTAGAGATGACGAGGTTAGGAGAAAGGTGGAGGAGTATGTTGAGGAGGCGATCAGGAGGAGTGAGGAGGAGATCAAAGAGCGAGAGGCGCGGGAGGCGGGAGAGGCTGGGGAAGGGGAGAAGAAGGAGGGCGAGGGCGAGGGCGATGCTGAGCCTGGTGGGGAAGGCGGAGGGGAAGGGGATAAGGACAAGCCCGCCACTACGGAGACAGGGACGGAGCAGATCACCTCGCCTCCCGAACAACCCGCCATCCCCGTCGTCGCCTTCAACCCGCAACTGGTACAACAGCTCGTCATGACCCTGTCCAACCCGCAGCTCCCGCCGGCCATGAAGAGCATGCTGCAGACGCAGTTACAGGCGCAGCAGATGGCCTTTATGAGGTTGAAGGAGCAGCAGCAGCAGTTCAACGCGCAGCAGGGCGGAATGATGGGGGGGGTGGGAGTGGGAATGGGTGGCGGGATGCAGCAGCAACACCAGATGATGATGAACCCAATGATGGGAATGATGAACAACAACGGCGCCGCCGCCGCGATGAACGGCAACGGCAACCTCACCAACAACGGCTTCGCTCGTCCCCCACCGCCGCAGCAACAACGCATGGGCAACCACGTCGGCGCCATGGGGATGGGGATGGGTCGTGGAGGAATGGCAATGGGAATGCCGCGCGGGGGCATGAAGCGCGGTTTCGACGGGCCCGGGGGCTTCGATCAGAGCAGCAAGATGGCTAGGATGCAGTGAGCTGAGCCCTCGTTGCGAGCTGCGGCGATGTGTCGACTTCGATAATCCTGTACATTATGATGAAAAGCATCGATTATCTCAACACTCAATTACTCGACCCTTGCTCTTCGCCTCGCCGTATCGCCGCGCCTCCCGCCTCCCGCCTCGAATCTTTCACACGCCCTCTGGTCCGTCCGCCCCTCGTTCAATCGCCGAGCTTTCCCCTCACGGCCGCCTGTCGAAGCGACTGTCTTTCTTTCTCTGAGGCCGAGGGTGCGTGCGTGCGTGCGTGCGTGCAGCGAAGCCGAGCAAACAGAGTGCGGGAGTGCGGGGTATCTCATCGATCGACACGACTAAGCACAATACTCGATCAGCGACTTTTTCCTTTCTCACCACACATCCTCATCTCGACTCCCTCCATCATCTGCTAGCTCGCACCGCTCGCCATGCCGCCCTCCGTCCTCGATACGCACTGCCAAGGTGGCGGCCTACTCAAGACCACGCCCAACTGGGGCGCCCTGCGTCGTACTGTGAGTTCGCCCTTCCCCTCGCCCCTCCACCACACACCCGCAGCCTCGACCTCAACCTCGAGGTCGACATCGACATCGACTGACACTCTCCGCTTTGTCTTGCTTCCCTTTGCTATACTTCGCCTCGCCTCGCCCCGCCTCGCCTCGCACTTCGCTACGCGCAGTTCTGGCAATTCTGCGGAGAGAAAGGACCAGGAAAGACGTACGCTCTCCCGCCGAAGCAGGACCTGAGGGGGAAGAACGTCATTGTTTCTGGGGCCAACTCGGGCATTGGAAAGTGAGCCGCTCGAGTGCGGGACCAGAGAATGAACGAAATACTGAGACTGCGTGCGCCCTCCACGCTTGCTCTCGCTGCGCTCACCAGGGAAGCGGCCTACATTTTTGCCCTCTGGGGCGCCCACGTAATCCTCGCCTGCCGTGACGCCCCCAGCTACGAGCAACACCCAACGGCTACGATCTCTGAGCTCCTCTCACGCTCCTCTGGCTCCATCTCCCCCTCTCAGCTCGAGTGGTGGGAAGTCGATTTCGCGTCCATCGACTCCATCAAGGCCTTTGGGCGACGTTGGAGGGAGAGCGGGATGGTGTGCGATATTCTGGCGAATAATGCCGGGTTGAGCGTGGGGAAGAGGACTATTACGAGGGATGGGTTTGAGTTGACCAACCAGGTTAACTTTTTGGGACATTGTCTCATGACGCTGTATGTGCTGCCCAGCATGAAGAAGGCTCAGGCGCCGCGCATCGTAAATGTACGTGCGGGGGGCGAGATGAGAAAGAGAAGCTCGTAGACGATACGCTGACCTGACCTGAATTGCTTCGCGCCCGGCCCTCACGCCCGCAGACGACGTCCGTCTTCCACTTCGGCGGGTTCCTCGACTTTGCCAACTTCAACAATGAGAAGCGCACCAGCGGGGGTTTGCACGGGGTGCGATTCTATTGCGACACGAAGCTGCGCCTCCAAATCTGTGAGTGTGTGCGAGCGCGTACACTGCCTCTACGCTCGACGTTGACCTGTATCACTCTGATCCCACGCTCCACAGGGACCGTCGAGCTGCAACGTCGTCTCTCTCGCTCCGACTCGTATCGCCATGTCATCGTACACGGATGCCACCCTGGCTTCATAAAGAGCAACATCTGGAACAACCCCTCGATCAAGAAGCTTCCCTGGCCCCTCCCGCAACTGCTCAACTTCGTCATCAACCTCCTCAGCGTCAACACCTTCCAGGGCTCCCTCGCCATCCTGCACTCGGCTCTCAGGCCGGACTTGGGCTTGCCGAGGGCAGTGGTGGAGACGGCAAAGACGGGACAACCCCCCGTGCTCGCCATGGGGGAGAGCATCAAGTACGGAGGGCGATTCGTGAATAGGGTTACGGCCAGCTGGATGAGGCCGGAGTGTGCTGATCCCCTCGTGAGGGCGAGGTTGTGGCAACGAGTGCTGGAGGACCTCAAGGCGGACAAGAGCCGGGGGCAAGACGAGATCGCGCAGGACCTGCCCTCGCATTCGCCCGGATTGCTCGAGGTGGAGAAGTCGTAGTCGTAGTCGTCGCGCCAATCTTAATCGTGGAGTGGTAGTAGCAGCATTTTGCCGTGCACAATCTTCGCATGTGCCTTCTTCTATTGCGCCGGACACCCCATTCTCGGTCCCTCTGTCTCATCTTCCCAGAAGCCGGCCCCATCCTCCTGACCCTGATCCCTCCTCTGGGTAGGCTGGTTGCGCCCAAACTCCTCGCCCTTCCCCGCATCCTCGACGGCATCACTCACGTCCTCCTTCCCCTCGCCCTCTTCTTCCCCCTCTCCATCCCCGTCAACCGCGGCGAAATTGCGCGGCGGTGGCAAAACACTACTGAGTGCCCTGTGTGCCTCTCCTCTCCCCTCGAGCCAGCCATCCGCGGGGAAAGCGATGGCCCACTTGATGTAGAGGTCCCCGCGTGGTCCCAAGTCTCGCTCACGGGGCATGCCCTGCCCCACAAGTCGATCCACGCTGCCTGGTCGCGTGACCTTACCACCCGGCTTGGAGAGCTGTACGTGTCTCCCGTCCAGGTGGACAAGCACCGTCTGCGGCTCCTCGAAACCCAGCAGTGCCTCCCTTAGCGGGAGGGTAATGGTTGTCATGAGGTCGAGCCCCTTGACTTGGAACGCCTCGTTCTCCTGCAGCTTGAGCCGGAAGATGATATCTCCCGCCTGTGGCACGCCTGGCTCCTCGTCATTCTGTCCTTTGAAGATAATCGTCTGTCCATCCACCATACCGCGCTCGATGCGTAGCTCCAACTTCTGCCGATCCTTGATCGTCTTGCCTCCCTTGCACTTACGGCACACATCCTTGTCCCGTACTTTGGAGCCCTCACCGGCACAGGCGTCGCACACTGCCCAGCTCTGCGCGATCATCCCTCCTCCCATGGAGCGCATCTGCTGACATCGTCCTTGCCCCTTGCACTTGACGCACTCCCGCGGTTGCGTGCCGGGTTTGCCTCCCGAGCCTGAGCAGGAGGGGCAGATGATCTGCTTGCTCAGGTTGAAGTTGGCGACTCGCCCCAGGTAGAGGTCGGAGAGGGTGACGTCGTAGTCTATAATGGAGTCTTCGCCGCGAGGGGGTTTACGGCGTGGTCCACCCCTGCCTCCCATGCCTCCCATGCCGGCGCCGCCCATTCCCATTCCCCCGCCAAACATCTGCGCGAAAAGATCATCCATATCCGGTCCTCCTCCTGCCCCTCCTGGCCCTCCACCAGGCCCATCCGGCCCCCACTCGTCGTACGATGCCCGACTGGAGGGATCGCTCAGCACTTCGTACGCCGCATTAATCTCCTGGAACCTTGCTGACGCCTCTTCATCTCCTGGGTTCTTGTCCGGGTGATTGGCGAGGGAGGCTTTGCGGTAGGCCTTTTTCAGCTCGGCAGGTGAGGCGCTGGGGTCTGTGCCTAGTAGGTCGTAGTAGTAGGTGTCGGCTACCATTGAATATTGCGAGCGGGGTGGCGGGAGGAGGAGGAGGAGGAGGAGGAGGGGGAGGATGAAACAAAATTCTGCTTCGCCCTGGCCCGCCTCCTCCACGCCAGACGCAAATGTCGTCCGAGTCGAGTTTGGCAGTCCGCCCCGCCCTGAGACGAGCCAGTCCAGTCGAGTGGATTGCTCCCGCCTTTATTGCCGCCGACGCGCACGTTCCGCCTGCGCCTTCCTTCCGCCGTTGATTGCCTCTTGTGTTTCTTCTCCACGTAACCTACCCGATCCACGCTCACACGACGTAGTCATGGCTCTCAAGCCGCAGCAGCAGCAGCAGCAGCAGCAGCGCGGCACATCATCTTCGGCCCTGCTCATCTATCCTGCTGTGGGCGTAGCCATCAGCGTCGCCGCGTCGGCCGCACTCTGGTGGCCCGGAGGCGTGAGTACGCAACGCGGTCTGAATCTATGTATGCTCTCTCCTCGCAGTCACGCTGATGCCCCTTCCTTCCTCCACCACACACACGCATAGCTCTCCTCACATCCCCTCTTCCAACGCACCTCCTGCCCATTCACCCTCCCCAACTCACAACGCGCAACGCGTAACCTCCTTCCGCAGCTCGACGCCTACGTATGCTCCGTGCGTCCCCTCTACACGCAGCTCTCCTCCACGCGCGCAGCAAAGGGCAGTAGCGCGTTGCTCCTCTCGGTGATCCTCCCAGTACTGATGAGGCAGGGATATGTAGCCACCTCCCCGAACACGCGCAGCGCCCTCCTTGGCCCCTTGGCCGTCGTGGGGGTGCACCTCCTCGCCCGAGCAGTGGGATCGGGAGCGGCCCTTTGCTCGCTGGGTACGCTGCTTGTCACCTTGGGATCCCTAGCACAGTCGCGCTCCGGCGGGCCAGAGAGGATCCCTCTCGCCCCCACGCCGGCGTCGGGTGTGTACTTTTCCAACCTTTGCATCGTCCTACTCGGAGGAGCTGCTCTGCTGCAAGGCATCCTCTCCCCCTCTTCACCCTCGTGGTCAACAGCAAACACGCTCTATCTCTTCTCCCCTCTCCTCCTCGCTGCGCTTTTCACCCTCGCAACCCTCTTGGCACCGCGTCGCGCCACCACAGCCAGCGAGGCGCGCAAGCAGCTCATGGAGTACGGGGCAGAGGAAGTCGCATACACGTATGAGCGCACCTGGTCCTACTACCGCAAGGTCGGGTTGGCAAGCGCAGCATTGTACTGGTACGGTCTCTCCCGTCTAGGCAAGGGGTTGTACTACCATGCCGACGAGCAACCACTCAAAGACGGGGTGGTACGCCTCATTCTGACGGAGTTCGCGCTCGCCTCCGTCTTCCTCCTCCTCACCATCCTCGTCGAGCGAGCCGTACTACGGCCAATGGATCCCTCCACCTCGCCCTCCCCCTCTTCTGGCCAGCTGCGCGCCGACTGCCTTCGTGCCCTCTCCCTGGCTCCGGCGGGAAACCCCTCACTAGAGCAACGACGCGGCCCTCTCGCTCCCTGCCTTGCGGCGCTCATTGGCGGGCCTGGGTTGGTTGCCAGCTTGTGGTGGAGCGGAGGGGAGGAGGAGGCCGGCTGGTTCGCTAGAAGGGCGTGGAGGGAGACGAGGGCTACTGTGCTTGAGAAGAAGGAGGGGAGATGAGAGGAGGCGAGGGGGGAGGCGAGGCGGGCAGATGGGCAAGCAGACAGGCAGGGGAGAACAGAGGAAAAGAGTGAGATGGATGACGTGGCGATTGGAATTGCATACATGATCCAATTCGTGCTCGTGCGTGAATGGTTAAGAGTAGCGACATGACGTGGCGCGGCACGGCGGATTAGGGCGGGGCGAGAAGGAGCAGAAGATGAGATGTGTGAGAGGTGGAAGCGCGGAGCGTGAGGCCTCAGAGATGGGAAGCTTCCAACGCAATTCACGCGTCAACGACGGGGTTGTATCGCAGGGCTGCTCGCGAGGAGCGTCTATACGACGACGAGGAAGCCGAGCATGGCCGCAGCCGCCAACGAGCCAGCGACGGCGAGCGTAGAGCCCTTGACACCGAACGAGGCCGCCCCGCTCGATCCACCCGACCCGCTCGACCCGGACGCAGCCGCCGTTGGGCTGCCCGCGATGCTCTGGCTCAGGTGCGACGCAACAGCCTCAACCGAAGCGGAGGGGACGGCCGAGGTGGTGGAGAAGGTCTGCTCTCCCTGGCTGGTGTCCTCGACTGTGATGTAGGAGAGGGCGACAATCTTGCCGATGTTGGACTCGTCGATGTACTCGCTGAGGGTCATGTTGCTCAGCTGCACGCCGGGGGCATTGAGACCCTCGGGGGCCTCGAAGTCGGAGCCCTGCGCGAAGACTAGAGCCATGTAGCGGTGCGCGCCTGAGCCGGCGGCCGGGCCAGGCTCGACGTAGGATTGGATGGCAGGGGTGCTGTTGGTGAGGCGGCCACCCTCGTACTTGAGGTTGTTAGCCAAGTAATGCCTCGTGACGAGGGATCCGCCAAGGATCTGGCCAGCCGCTCCCGGGTCGACGAGCATGGCTGTGAAGTTCTCCTGGGCGTACTGTGCGGCCAGCGTCGAGGGGACGTCGAGCTGGTACTCGGGCGTCTGCTTGAGCGTGGCGTCGTCCGCGGGGAGGGTGAAGGAACGGCCTACAGTGGCGTTTTGACCGCCGAAGGAGAGGATCAACGCCGAGCTGACGTTGGTGTCCGTTTGGTTAACGACGCCGGGGAGAAGACCTGGCGGCGAGAGAGAGGGGGGGTGGGGGCAAAGGGAAAGGGGGTGTCAGTATCGATGGTGCAAGGAGCGGGTTGATGATCTCTGTCGCGCCTGCTCACCCTGGGCTCCGTACTTGAGAACGGCCTCGGCGATCTCCGAGTTGACGTTGCCCTGAGCAGAAACGGTAGAGGCGGCCACCAGGGCGGTGCCAGCAGCAGCGACGGCGTTGCGGAAGAACATGTTGCGAAAGAGTGTGTGAAAAGAGGGAGGGATGCTGATTTGCTGGAGTGGTAGTGTTGGGAGGAGAGGGAGGAGAAGTGAAAGAAAGAGAAGTCAAGTCGCGAAGGGGACATCGGGCGTGCGTGTTGCTCGCGCGCCAAGACTTGAGTGAAGTGTCAAGCAGCTGGGCTGGCCTAGCCTGGCCTGGCCTGCCTCTCACCCTTGACCGCCAGCCAGCCAGCTGGAATGTGCTTCTGCTTCTGCTGCTTGCATCGCCTCATTAATCGCCGCGATTCTGTGCGTGTGTGTGTGTGTTGATTGAGAGAGGCTTGACTCTCCCCGCTCCCGCGCCAGCGACACACCGACGAGCTGCAGAGTGCAGAGTGCAAAGAGGGGACCCCTGAGCGAGCGAGGGCGGGGCGGGGCGCGAAGGAACCGGTGCGTTGCCTGTTGTTACGCTGCCTTGCGTTGGAGGAAGCCCGGCGACTTCTTTTACTCTTTCTCCCCTGCCGGGCCGAGAGCACCGAGCGATGAGGAGGGAGCGAGCATTACGATACGAGGCGCAGCGAGGTCGAGAAGTCATTCTGTCGTTATTATTCAAAGACACCACAAAGAGAGATAGAAGAGAAAGGTTCGTCTAGCCTAGCCTAAGCCCAGATGTAAAGCTGTCGGAGGGAATTTACAGAAAGATCAATCTCAGCAGTTCGCCAAGTCGCGGGCGGGGTCCACGCGTCTACTGTTCTCTACTACAGCTTTGCCCCACTCCCCTTGATGGGCTCCTCCCCACTCCTAGCAGCCGCAGCCCTGAACAAAGGCTCGAGCTCCTCCCTGAAGGTATGACTGATGTACTTGCCCCCATTCGGCGCCGAGTACGTGTATCGCCCAACGTCGTCGATGCTGTTCCCCTTGGGGGCGTGGTTGAGCGGGTTGCCCTCCGCCTCAGCCATCAGACTCTCATAGACACGCCCGTCCTTCCTACCAAGACTGGAGCCAAGCTCCCAATCGCTCCAACCAAAGCTGTCGCACATTGGGATCGCTTGACCGAGCACCTCCTCTACCAAGGAGCGTACCGCCGCCTCCAGTGCCAGAACGGACTTGGGGCCGAGGACGGCTTGCCCACTCTTGTACCCTGCCAACTCGCGACCCTCGGCCGCGGGAAGGGCGAGCGGTGTGATATCCCTGGCAACGGACGTCAAACCATTCAAGGCAACGATCTTGCGCAACCAGTGGCTGGCCTCCTCTCCGTAGGCCTGGGCGTCCCCCTCGACCCCCTCGGTGAACCACGCATTGACGACAATCTCGGCGTGTGATTTGGCCACCTCTACACAGTCCCAGCTCAAGTCAACGAAGCGTCGCCCAGCTTGGGTGATCTCGGCCTGCAGGTCCGCGACCCTGCGTGCGCAGCGCAAACGCAGGGCCCCCGTCCAGGACTCGGGGCGCAGCCACTCCTCGGCCGTCTGCGGCGCCGTGTACGGGATAGCATTGGGCGTGGCGAGAGCGCGGAGGAAGTCCGTCGTGTTCGACACGTTGGCGCCCTGCGGGTTGCGCTGCAACTCTCCTGCGATCTTGAGCATTGCTCGCCCCACTTGCTGGCAGAGGACATAGTTGTCCCCCTCGTAGGTGACCGTTGGTGCCTGGTCGGGGAACAGGCTCGAGAACCCGGCGTAGGCGGAGAAGCCGTGTCCTCCCAGGGCCTGGCGACACTCCTCTATACCGTCGAGGGACTGTTTGGTGCAGTAGGCCTTGAGGGAGGAGGAAGCGACGTGGACGTCGGCGAGGAGGGTCGTGTCGCCCGACTCGAGCTGAGAGGCCATCTCCTCGTAGAGGATACGCATGCGGCGCCCCGCGATGATGTAGGCGAAGGACTTGGCGAGGAGGGGCATCAGGCGTCGGTTGAGAGAGGGATAGCTCAACACGCTGCGCTCGATTTCACCCTCTTTGGCGTCCGGGTCGCGGAACTGCCTGCGCACGAGCGAGTAACGCGTCGCGATTGTGATACCGCGGGAGAGCATCCAGCCGGTCCTGTCGATCATCTGCGAACGGATGAAGATCATCCCTCCATAGCTCAACTTGTCACTCGGGGGCTTGACGTACTCTCCTCCCTTTTTCACGTGTGCGTGCTTCCCCAGCATGTTGTCGCGCGGGATCTTGACGTGGTCGAAGCGGACCCACCCATTGTCCAGCCCACCAAAGGCGCCGTACGTCTTGGGACCGATGTCGCCTGCTACGATGCCGGGGAGCTTCTCGTGCGTCTCGAGGGAGCGCATGGGTACAAAGAAGAGGTGAGGGCCGTACCTGCGCCCCTTGATGTAGAGCTGTGCTTGGACGATGCCGTGCGTGCAGGTGAGGCCGGAGCCGCCCGCCCACCACTTGGTGGAGGTGAGCGTTGGCGAGTGGATGTCGAAGGAGTCGCTCTCCTCGTCGTAGGTGGCGAGAGTCTCGAGTCCTTGCACGTTGGTCCCATGGCCGAGCTCGGTCTGGAGGTATGCACCCAAGATCTCGTGATTCATCGCACGACCGCCCCATCGCTCCACCTGCTCGGGTGAGCCTTGCGACATGATTACGGGAACGAAGGCGACCCAGTGGATGGTGACGGGGGACTGGAGGTCGAGGGAGATGGCGGCTTCGATGATCTCCTGTGTGTCCCACTCGTCGCGCTCGGCGATGTCGAGGAGGCGTCGGCAGGCTTTGTGGGACATGGCCATCTGTTGCTCACGATTGAAGTGGAGCCTGGCGGGGCGTGATGCGGGGAAGGGTGAAAGGGTCAGCATGGTAATGGTTGGAACACGCTACGTCCTCGCGCTGTGCCGGGCACGCACATCCTCTTCTTCCAATCGCCAAAGACCTCATCGGCATCGAGCGTCTTGATGATCTTCCTCCTCGACTCATTATCGATCCTTCCATCCCTGATGACCTCTTCAATCTTGGCCGGGTCAAAGGCAGCCTTACTGCGCGCCTTCTCGATGTCGTTGACCGTGTTGAGTGCGACGTTGCCGATGGGAATGGGCAGGGAGACGCGAGGTGGGTTCGATGAGCCGGCTGGACCCTTGGCGCTGCTGAGTGGCTCGTAGGTGGTGCGCGCCGCCGGGCCGGAGGACGAGGCGGAGCTTGATGAGGCCGCAGAGGAAGATGGGTTGTTGGTGGTGAGGGCGGGCATCGTGGGGGAGAGGGGAAGGGGTAAGTGGTGGTGGTGGTCAAGTGGCAAGGACGAGAGGCGCCTCTTTTGAACCCTTTACACTCCCTTGACAAAGGTTGCCGCTCCCTCGCTCCTCGCTCTATCCGCCAATCGTGAAATTGAGGCACGCCCCTGCCCTGCAACTTGGGACGGATGTGGGGAAACGAGGCCGAGGTTAGTTACTGGTCGCCCAAGGCTCGACATCCAAGCCGGCACCGGCAAAGGCGGACGCCTGGCCTATTGTTCCGCGAGCGAGCTACGACAAGCGGTGCGCCACGCGGAAGGAGCGATGTGGGGTCGGCGAGCTAGGCTGAGCTGAGCTGAGATCCAGGCCGAGGATTGCGAGCGAGTGGTTCTCCGTTCCGATGCTCAGGAGGGGGGGAGTGGTGGTGCCACGCGAGCGAGAGGAGGGAGTGGGACGGAGAGACGGAGAGACGGGAGCAGCGTAGGGCGGCAGCAGCGTAGGAGTGGCATCGCAGTGACGCCTCGCATCGTTGACGACCAAACCCCACCCTCTCACCAGCCATGTCTTCTCCCACCCCACCAGAACAGCCGGGCTCACCATCGCAAGCAGTCGAAGGGGGCTCAGCGCCTATGGCTGTTCCCGAACCTGCTCCTCTCTCCCCCTCGGACGAGCAGGGAGGGAATGCGCAGGCGGATGGAGGAGGACGTGCCATTGGCGGCATCTTTGATGATGACGACGAGGATGATGACGCCGCAGCGGGAGGGACTCGACAGCAGGGAGAGGGTCAAGGCGAGCAGGAGGAGGAAGAAGAGGAAGAAGACGACGAAGAGGCTGAGAGACAGCGTCGGAGGAGAAAGAGGCGCGAGGAGCTAGAGGAAGAAGGAGGGGCGGGCGAATCATCTCAGAGGAGGTGAGGAGGCGATGAGCGATGCGCGATGCCCTAGACTGGCAGGTCAGGATGCTGACTCTTATCTCTCGCTCCTGCCGCGCCGCTTCGCAGGAAGAAGTCAAGGAAGGATCATACGCCCGACGCAGAGCAAGAGGAGCAAGAGGACAATGGTCTTCCCCAGCTAACGGCAGAGGAAGGTAAGCAAGCGCGGCCTGTCACAGCGAATCTCTCTCCCCCACACTCTGGCTGCGCCTACATGCTCACCCCTCTCTCTTCTCCCCATCCACGTCCACCCATAGAGCGACGCAAAAACCTCGACACGCGCATCAACACTGCCCTGAAAGCCGGAAAGCGCAAGCCCAAGCGTCGCACCAAGGATGACGGCGAGGATCTCGACCCGGCTGCGGACGCCGAAGTGGCAGAACTGCGTAGCGCAATGCTCAATGCAGCCGACGACGATGTCCTCTCCAACGAGGATCGCAAGCCCGCCCTCGCCAAACTACGCCTCTTGCCCCGCGTTGTGGATGGGCTGCAAAAACAGCATTGGCAGCAGAGCATCTTTGATTCCAACTTGCTCGAGGCGGTCAGGAGGTTCTTGGAGCCACTACCGGATAAGAGTCTGCCAGCGCTTAATATTCAGAGGGAGTTGTTCAAGGGATTGGAGAAGTTGAGCCCGGCGATTGATACTATTTCGCTCAAGATGAGCGGATTGGGAAAGGTCGTCATGTGAGTGAGCGCTCGATTTGCTCACGCCCTCTCTCTCAAACACTGACGCACATCAATACTTACTCGCTCCCCCTCCCTCTTCGCACTCGCAGCTTCTACTCGCGCAATCGTCGCGTCGAACCGGACCTGCGCCGCAGGGCAGACCGTCTAATTGAAGCGTGGTCGCGTCCCATCCTAAAACGTTCTGCCTCGTACAGAGCAATGGAGATCCCCAAGGCCGCTGCGCCCTATCTCCCCTCGACGGCACGTCTTCTCGATTCACAATCGCAAGCGGCTTCGCAGTCGCAAGGGCAGATCGATCAGAGCAGGCGCAATGTGCATATCCCTCAACCCGTAGCGGGTGGATTCAAGGTCGCGCCTCGTAGCTTGGTGGGGGCGGGAAGTGGTGGAGAGGGGGAGGCGGGTGACGCTAGTTTGAGGGCGGCTAATCTTGGGAGGGAGAGGTTGAATGCGTTCAAGAGGAAGGTGAGGGAGGCAAAGAGGTGAGAGCATGTGGGAGGGGCTGAAATGGGCGGGGGAGCCCAGTCGAGATGTCGAGTTGAGCGAAGAGTCAACAATGTGCATCTTTCCATCCATCTAGCATGGCAGGACATCGCTGTATGCCTGCCTGCCTGCCTGCCTGCCTGCCTGCCTGCTCGTGCCCAATCTCGCGGTCGCGATCATTCATCTCAGTGTGTTCACTGGTCTTCGAACATGCGTATCTCTGTCTGTCATTGAGTTGCGTGGGAAACCGTATGAGAGAGGCTGATTGAAGTGGTTCCTTCTTCCGATCCCACCTGCCTGCCGTTGACTGGCGAGATCCACCCTTCGTCCTCTATCCAACCAATCGCCCCACCTCAACCATTCGCGCCCTTTACCCAGCTTCGCACCCGCATCTACTCCTGCACATATCCCTTGCCCTTGTACCCCTCCGACGAGATACCTGTGCGTTCGGGCGAAGAAGAGGATGGTTCAGCTTTCTCGCGATCAGCAATGATAAGGATTTTCTTCCCTCTCCCGCGCCGTCTACGCACCCGTGATAGGGTTGATCTTGTCCTCGCGCGCCCTCTCGTTGCTCTGCTCCTGGTATTCCTTGGTCATCGTCTTCGGCGGGGGCGGGGCTGCGTGAGCGTAGCGCAGGATGGGATGGTCAGCTTCACGTTACTTCACAAAGGGCACGGTAGCAGTAGAGGGGAGGCGGGAGGGGGAGAAGGGAGAACAGCCATCGCATCGCCTCGGTATTACGCACCAAACTGTCGCATCGTGTAAAAGACACCAAAGGTCGCGAGACACAGGCCGGATACACCGACGAGGGTGCGGATCCCTTGACCGGGAGGAGTAATGGGCTTGCGTGGGCCATGTGGGCCAAAGGAGACGAAGTATGCTGCGCGCGTAAGAGAAGGGTAACAAATGTCAGCATGCCTACCCTCTTGTTTACGCCTGCCTGTGGCCCCCGTAGAGGAACGAGTGAGAGTGAGAGATACTGACCTGCCTTCTTCTCATCCAGACTTAGCTCCTTCCAATCTTTGCGCTGTACCTCCTCCAACTGGCGGTACACGGCATACTGCTCTACTTTGCTCATGTGAGCCCAACGTGCCTCGATGTTGGGTACAACTTGGCTAAGCTGCACCTTGTTGGCATTAGAGCCAGGAGCCTCGAGGGCGGCCTCTGCCTCACGGGCGTCGGAGAGGGACCATTTTTCCGCCTTTGTCAAAAGGGTTCGGCGCGATGACGAGGGGACCGAGGTCGAGTGGACAGCGCTGCGCAAGGCGTTGCGAGACGTGTTGCGGAGGGCGGGGGTGAGCATTATGATGGTGCCGGTGATGATGGTGTGGAAGTGGAGTTGGGGAGGAAGGAAAGGAGACGATGGATGAGTTGGATCGGGTTCGTCGTCGAGAGCAGCGTGGTATTCTCGCGCCCGCCCGCTCGCCCGCCCCCCGTAGTCTCCGATTCCTCATCCAGCCTTGCAAGAGTCTGAGCCAGAGGGCTCCTCTCTCTCTCACAGCGAGGGCCGGCCGCTTGCCGCGTGTCGAGTCTCGAGTCGAGTCGTCGCTCATCTCTGTCAAGTCTGGCTCACCGAGGGCGGAGAGAGCGGGCTTGGCCGGGTGCGCGCGCCCCGTGTGCTTGCTTGCCAGCCAGGCCAGGCCAGGCCAGGCCAGGGCCAACCAAGCAAGGCTCAATCGATGCTCGACTGGCTCGACCAACGGGGGCGGACAGAGGGAGCGCGTGGCATCAAGTCGAGACTCACTTCGAGGTTGAGTGCGAGTGCAAGTGCGAATACGACGACGACGACGACCGACCGCTCACCTCGACCTTCTCGCCTCCTCCTTACCACCCACCAACCATCCCCTCAACCCTTTAGACCACAATATGACCCAAGCAGCTTGGCGCCAATTCTTCTCGTGAGCATTTTTGCGCTCGCCGCCTTTCCCCCTTGCCCTTCACGTCGCAGCTGACATCTTTGCCCCTCTGCACGCACGCACCCACCCACCTACCCGCCCCTCTAGGTACAACCGCTACACGGCCATCTGCGGTCGTGCGACGCGCTCGGCCCTCAAGGAGTCGGAGAGGGTCAAGGCTGAGCGTCGTGGTGAGACGAGCCTGCGATACCAGGAGTGGAAGGATGGCAAAGCTGGGGAGCAGGTGCGTACCTTCGGCCAAGAGGAGTAGGCAATGAGAGAATTGGGAGTAGTAGGGACTGACCTGACGTTGAGATCCTCTTGCGACAACAGACTAGCATCAAGGCTCAGCCTAAGCAGCAGTAGACGATGGGCGGAGGATAGCGTGGGAGCAGACGATGTAGAGGGGCAGTAGAGGGTGGGAAGACACAACAATTGATACAGATTTCAATTATCCAGCAACGACAAAAGAATCGCGGCCTCACCGGCCATGGTCATCGCTCCACACGTTTGCCTCGCCTTGCCCTTGCCCATCTGGTGGTATCGAGGTCGACTGCGTCTTCTTCCCCGCCCTCTCCTCAACATCATCATCATCGTCATCGATGCTGAACAACATTGTTGAGCCATTCGATCTTCCCCCTTGCTGCGTCGAGTAGATGTCGTCGTCATGCGCACTCCAAGGATCATGTCGTCCTCTCCCTCCTTGCCTACCGGCACCGTGCTGCTGCTGCTGCTGCTGCTCCTCCTCCTCCCCCTCCCCCTCACTCCCCGCATCGCTCCCCGCATCGTCCCCATAAATCTCCTCAACATCCACCGCCCTATACTCGCTCCTCATCTCCCTATCCAACCTATACCTCCTCTCCGCCCACCAACTAACCCAGAGTCCCAAACTACTCCCGGCAAGATTAGCCACCACATCCCACCAATCAAAGCGTTTATACGGCAGCAGTGCCTGAACAAACTCGCTCCCTACCCCTCCGACTAGGAAGCAAACAAAGAAGCTCAACCCTAGTGGTAGGTACCGGTAGAAGGGGGAGGTGCGTCGTGTGGTGGAGGGTACGTCCCATATAGAGTAGAAGAGGAGGGAGGCCAGGAAGAAGCAGATGAAGTGGAGCAACTTGTCGTTTAAGGGTACGACTGTGGAGCTTGCTGGGTGGAAGCCTAGTAGGCCGAGGAGGAGGAGATCCACGATGTTCAGGAGGAGGAGAGCGGGGCGTACTGAGAGGGGAAGGGTTATGGGCGGGGAGGAGCGTGAGGAGGAAGAGGAGGCGATGCGGATTGGTATGGAGCGGACGAGCAGCCGGCGAAGGAGGGCTCGGCGAGTAGTGTTTGCTGGAGGGGTGAAGGGGTGCAGGAAGAGCTGTTTGGCTTCGTCGGTATAGGAGGGGTTGGTGCCTGACGACGAGAGTTGCGGGGGCATCGTTGGCGTCTCGTCTGGGTGAATGAGGGGGGGTGAGTGAGGGAACAAATTTGTCTGCTTGTCGTCGAGGGATTTCGAGTCGTTGGCCGTGGCTCGTGCGGAGAGAGAGACACGAGAGCCAGAGGGCGGCGAGACCGACTTGGACTCGACTTGGCTCAGTCAGTCAGGAGGCGGGCGCATCTCACCTTCCCCCCTTCTCCACCATCACCACGACGACGACCACCACCACCATCGTCCTCCTCTTACACCCCCCTCTCGCCCGCCCAGCATGGAAATGCTAACCTTCAACGCCACGGGCGGCTACCTCGAAGGCGTCGTGCGAGGGTATCGCAACTCCCTCCTCACCTCTCAGACCTACTCCCAACTCTCTCAATGCGAGACCCTCGAAGACCTCAAGATGCAGCTATCCGCCACAGACTACGGCAACTTCCTCGCAAACGAACAGCCACCCATCACCACTTCCACCATCGCTGAAAAGGCTACGGGGAAGCTGGTGGGGGAGTTCCAGTATTTGAGGGATAACGCTACGGGTCCACTGAGGGAGTTCCTAGACTACCTGACCTACGCATACATGATCGATAACCTCATCTTGTTGATCACGGGCACGCTACACGAGCGGGACACGCACGAGTTGCTCGATCGATGTCACCCACTGGGTCACTTTGATGGGATGGAGGCACTCTGTGTTGCCACTACCGTCGAGGAGTTGTACAACAGCGTCGTTGTGGAGACTCCGTTGGCCGAGTACTTCAAGGAGTGTTTGAGCGCGTCGGATTTGGATGATTTGAATATTGAGATTATCAGGAATAGCCTTTACAAGGCGTATTTGGAGGACTTTTACAACTTTACTCAGCGTTTGGGCGGGACGACGGCTATTGCTATGGGTGAGTTTGCGAGTCGTCACGTCGCTGCCCCGCGGATCTCTCTCTCTGCTACACCTTGGAGCTGACCCAACTCGCCCCTCCTCGCCTCGCCAGGCTCCCTCCTCTCCTTCGAAGCGGATCGTCGCACCCTCAACATCACTTTGAACTCCTTCGGCACCTCCCTCACAAAGGAACAGCGAGCCAAGCTTTTCCCCTCCATCGGCCGACTGTACCCTGAAGGCAACAATGCCCTGGCTCGAGCGGACGATGTGGACCAGGTGAAACAGGTGTGCGATATGGTGCCAGAGTATAAGGCTTGGTGGAAGGAAGGAGGTATGGGTGGCGGTGGAGGCGGTGGTGGAGAGGAGGGGAGTGAGGTGGAGGAGTTGGAGGGAAAGATGTTCAGAGAGGAGACGAGGTTGAATAGGATTGAGACGATGTGTCAGTTCAACTATTCGCCATTCTACTCTTGGCTCAAGGTGAGTGCGCGACGGTGCTACTGGAGAACAGGATCTCACAGCTGCTGACCAACCCTCTACTACTCTCCTGTCTGCTCCTCGCTCGCCTTGCCCAGTTAAAGGAGCAAGAGATCCGCAGCATCACCTGGATCGCAGAGTGCATCGCCCAAGACGCACGCGACCGTATCGGTGACTTTGTACATGTATAAATTGGCGTGCGTGCGTGCGCGCCCTCGCGACTGGTGTCAGTATCCAATGCACTCTCTTCATGACTACACGCCAAGGCCAACGCCAACGCCATCGTCAACGCCGCCCCGACTACTTCTTCTCCCCCACAATCGCCTTCTTCCTTGCACTCTGAGGCTTCCTCTCCCCCTCCCTTGTATGCTTCCTCCTCCTCTCCCCTTTCACCCTCTGCGCCTTCTCCATAGTCCTCTTCAACCCTTGTGCCCCCTTGATAGCCTTGGGTACCCTCCTCTGTTTCGCGATGCGCGTAATCTCCCCCACTCCACCCCCAGAAGGGGTAGTAGCCGTCCCACCCCACTTCTTCTTGAGGGCTTCCCGATATTCGGCGGCTTTGAGCTCTTTAGTGGAGATGACGCCCAGCTTCTCGCTCGCCTGTGATTTCCATAGTCGAACATTACCATCATCACTACCGGAGAGGACGAAGCGGGCATCCCCCGTCCAAGCGGTCGAGAAGACGCGCTGCATGCGCGAAGTGTGGTATACGTCCCGCGAGCGATTGCCCCTCCCTACGCTCCACAGCCTGACGGTACGATCGTAGCTGCCCGATACAAGGTCCTGCCCCGTGGGGGAGTAGGCTACGCTCATTACCGCGCTTACGTGGTCCTTGTAGATCTGTGTTGCGCTCTTCATGTTGCGGATGTCAAAAGTGTACAAGTTCTGGTCCTCGGACGCAAGCGTGAAGACGCTGGGCTCGATGGGGTTCCATGCTGCGTCGTTTGCTCGCATGCTCATCGTTATGCCATTGACTGCCCCTCCCGTGCGGGTATCGTAGAGGTTCACGCCGCGATCTGAGCCTAAGCCGACGAGGAGCTCGGGCTCGGATTGATTGAAGCGGACGACGTTTATTGAGGAGGTGTCGGAGGAGGAACCCGTGGACGTGCCCCAGCGGAGGGTTTGAAGGGCGGAGGAGGAGGAGGAGGAAGAGGAGGAGGACGAGGACTGGCCGCGTGAGAGATCCCAGAGTTGGATGCTGGTGGAAGCTGAGGCGAATATGGGGGACGAGGCGTGGTGGGTGAGGGAGTTGAAGGCAACTTTGGAGTGCCAGGTCAACAGGGGCTGCGAGTGATGCGAGTGGTGCGGAGGGGTCAGCATGAGATGTCCTTTCAGTGTCGGTCCACGTCTCGCACACCCACCTCTGTCCTCTTTAACTTGCGGTCCTTGAGCCAACCAATAGTCCCATCCTCATCCCTCGCTCCATCTTCTTCGTCGTCATCCATGGCAGCCTCTATCCTGCCCGAATCAGGATTGGCATCCCACATCTGCACCGTTCGATCTGTCCCGCATGAGAGAAGCCTGCGACTGCCCAGCCCATTGGACGAGGAGGATGAAAAGGTGAGTGGAGAGAGGCAGAGAGATTGGATGATGCTGTTGTGCGCCTTTGGTATTGATTGGAGGAGGGAGCGTGTGGGTAGGTGCCACAAACGGATCTCTGCGAGCGAGCGAGGAGAGCAGAGAGATGGTAATCAGCACTCGAGGGCTACAATCAAGGCTCTTTGCCTCGCCGCGCCTCGCCGCGCCACGCTACTCACCACCATCCCCTGCCCCTGTAGCCACAACATTGCCCCTCGTCCTATCCATCTCCACGACGTAAACCCCATCACTATGCCCCTCCAATGCTCCAACGAATGGTTTTGCGAACATCCTCTCCATCTTTACCGCATTCAACGCTCTCGTGTACTCCCTCGCCTGCGCAAAGGGATGCTGCGCTGGATCCAAGTTGCGCGATTGAGGGGCGGGCGCACCTGATGATGAGGGGGCATGGGCGTCAAGGGAGCGTGAGAGGGCTTTTATCTTCATCCTGCCCAAGAGGGAGGGGATTGGGTTGTTTTTGGTGGTAGTGAGAGTGGCGGAGAGGACGGAAAGCAACTGTGAAATTCATCGGCGGCTTCGTCTGCGTCGAGGGGCCGGCGGAAAGGGAAAATGCGCCAATCCACTTACTCGACTCGGCGGGGCTTCGAGGCAGACGAGCTTTGTTTCTTCCTCAACGCCATTACCGTTCGCCATGGCCAGCACGAGCATCAGCAGCAGCAGTCTACTCAGGCAGCTGCCCAGCGTGGCAAAGTGCAGCAGGAGCAAGAACCTTTGCACGCTGTCGACGTCAATAGGGCCCCTGTCCTCACACACGCAGAGCATCAGACGGCCACTCGTTGCCCCAACCGCACCGCCGCGACTCGACCTGCGCTCTCGCCATCTCGCAACCTCTTCCACCCCGCCCCGATCACCACCACCACCACCATCCTCCTCCTCCTCACCGCGCCCCTCTCGCGAAGACCTGCTACGCCGTCAAACCGAATCACAGCGTCGCACCTATTCGGAGCGTAATCGTTCCCTCGCCTACTACTCCCTGGGAACCATAATCCTCGGGCTAGGCCTAACCTACGCCGCCGTACCCTTATACCGCGCCTTCTGCTCAGCAACAGGCTTCGGCGGTGCCCCCCAAATAGTCGGTGTAGGCCGTTTCGAGCCATCACGTCTCGTGCCGCAGAACCCTGGAGCCAACAGGATAAGAGTCACATTCAATGCAGACGCATCCGATGAACTTCCCTGGTCTTTCAAGCCTAGTCAAGAGGAAATCAATGTAATTCCAGGAGAGACGGCACTTGCTTTCTTTACGGCGAGGAATAGGTCGAAACGCGATATCATCGGTATTGCGACGTATAATGTGGCTCCAGATCGGATAGCGCCTTACTTCTCTAAAGTAGAGTGCTTCTGCTTTGAGGAACAGAAGTTGCTAGCTGGGGAAGAGGTGGATCTTCCCGTATTCTTCTTTATCGATAACGATTTCTTGGAGGATCCCAATGTGCAGGATGTAAGGGATGTGGTGCTTAGCTATACCTTTTTTGCTGCGAGGAGGAATAAGGTCACGGGACAGTTGGAGCCTGATACCGATTTGGAGGCGTATCAGGTGGGTAAGGATTTGCCTGGTGTCAAGTAGGCGAGGAAACAGGGGAAGGGGAGGCGCGGGGGAGGAGAAGAAGGAGCAGCGACGTCTCCTCAGCATACCGAACTTTCGTAGACCCAGACATGTCATTGTACCAATAGCTAGCATAGCATGCGGACGCAGCGAGGGAGCGCCATCGCCGTACTCTCACCAATCATCGCATACAATCAGCACAGCACAGCCCAGTCTATCCTACCATCGCATTGAGGATGGATGTGAAAACGCATTGAGAGTGTTGACATTCTCTGGACAGGATATCATTGCAGCTGCTGCCAATGTCAAAACAATGACCTCACCATCCCCGATCTGGACGACGCAAGAGAAGTCAGGGCCCGCCCGTCGGCTGGACGCGGGGCTGACAAAGGTGGAGAGATAGAGTAGACGAGCCAGCCAGCCTGAGCCTCTCCTCGGCCTTCCCGACGCGTCAATCCACCAGGGTCCAGCGCCCATTGTCCGCACGCCCGCACGCACGCACAGCTATGATTCCTAGGCTCCCTCGACTGGAGTACGCCGTTAGCTAAGGCTACTTTCAGTGAGACGTCAGGCAGGCGTCAAAGCTTCGATCGTCGAGCGTCGTTGCACTCGTTTGCGAGGGGGGTTACGGCGTGGAAGCGTAGAACGTCATTGGACCTCAGAAGACAGGCCCGCCCGTATCTGGACATGGACTGGCGCCAGACGAGCATCAGCACGATCACGGGCAGCCGGTGAGAAGAGAGAGCTCATTGAGCCTACGTCTCAGACTCACTCTCAGGGTCCAACGAAGCACGTCCGTCCTCCAATCCTGATTGTGTCAGCCGTCTCCCGTCTGCCGTCTATAAGTAGACCTTCATCCCCTACCAACTCCTTCCGATCAAACAAGACTCACCATCAATCAATCCTCAACTCCACTCAACCGCACACACACTCACACACAATGGCACCCCGCAACGAGTACTCCGAGCCCGAGGTGGTAGAGGACGACGCCCCCGCAGTCGAGGAGTCGGGCGTCGATGCCCAGGCAGAGGACGAGGCCGTCACCAACGAGCCTGAGGCCAAGCAGGTCCAGAACGAGCTGGGCGACCTTGATCAGGGTGTGAGTAAGCGCGGCGAAGGGGTGGGGAGATTCCCACCTCTTGAGACTCTTGTAAAGACGAGAGGCGGTGGACAACATGCTGACGGCTCGACATCACTCGCGCCTCGCGACCAGAACATCATCGACAACTCGGACGGTCCTTCGACGCGAGGCAACAAGGGCGACCCTATGGCGGCGGACAAGGCCATTGACCAGGACATCGACAACGCTGAGCAGGAGCTCTCGTAGATGCAAGAATGCGCGCGCACTAGTGTGCCTGTTAGCTTGCCAGCTTCGCTATCGGATCTGTTAGATACCGTGGAAGAGAGTGTAATGCAATGGATGTAAGCTAGAGTAGACCCAGATTAAGATCCGAGGCTTTGAGCGTTTGTGTGTGAGATGGGACGACGTGGAGCGAAGCATGGCTCCAACCTCTCTGAGCATGTACAATCGCATGGCGATTTCCTCGCGATGCCTCATCGCCCATGCAGCTGAGCATCTTCATCTCGCCTCGTCTCGTCTCGTCTCGTCCGCTGGTCCGCGGAGCATATCACGTCTTTCTCCCCGTCTCATCTCTCTTTCGCTATCCCTGGTAAAGCTGAATTGAATTGCTGTAAGATTTACGGATCGGCTGCCGCTCTACAGCACCTCGCTCGTCGTCGTCGTCGCCGTGCCCGTCCCCTTTGTTCCTGCATCTAGTGGTGCTCGTCACCATGGTCCTCAGGGGGAGCAAGGTAGTTGAGCGAGTACACTAGCGGGCGGGCGCAGACAAGGCAAGGGGAAAAGGATCAGCTACTGCTCTCTCGCTTTCCCGACTCTTTGGTTGGCAGGCAAGCCTCGCTCGCCCACCCCGCGCCTACTCACCAGACCCACACTCCGGGCAACGGTGGTGCTTCAAGTCGGTGTTGAGGCTGATCCAGACGGTGTCGTGCGAGTCGGCAGGGGAGCCCGTGCAGCCGATGACTCGTTCCGGGTAGCTGAGCGTGCGTACGTGGGAGAGAGAGGGGGGAACGAGGTTGAGTGAGTAAGAGGTGCGAAACAGCTAGCCAGCCGATCGAGCCCTCTGCACTCACAGAGACTCGACGAGGATGGGGTCCTTGATTGTTCCTACGCGCGTGGCGTCCAGGGGCTGCGAGCGGGAGGAACAGACGATGCCACGAGTTCAACATTCAGTCCCATCATCATCATCATCATCGGCGTCATCATCTCTCCCCATCGGCCCCTGGCTCTCTCACCTGCATGCCCCAGACGTCGACACCCTGCATCCTACCCAGCAGCTCAAAGCGCTCCGATCCAGTAGCCTGCGAGAGGTTCGAAGGGACCTCGCCGCTCTTTGACCCTTCACCCTGGATGATCGGCGGGCCATGGCCCTCCAAGAGGCGGACGGAGGAGGAGAAGGCGCGCAGAGAGGACTGTGCCACGGAGTTGGCAGCGGGGCGCATTGCCGGGGCGATCGCTGATCGGAGGGCGGCAGATGAGCGGAGGAGGAACATTGTGATGGTGGTGGTGGTGGTGGTGGTGAGGGAGGTGGTGAGGAGAGACAGAGGAAGAGTCGGTGACACGAGTCGACACAGAGAGTTGCAATCGGAGAGCCAGTCGAGTGAGGCCGGGGCGGGGCGGCTCGAATCTCTCGTCTCTGAGCCTGGCCCGCCTGACTGCCACGAGGAAGGAAAGCGCGCGCCGGGCAGAGAGCGCACGACACGATGCATACAAGCTTCATTAGGGACACCACGGTGAAGGCTCAAGCTGATGGAGATCTCACCCGTAAAGCCTTCAGAGAGACGACCAAGAACTCGAGGTGCCATGTTCACGCCGGGTGAGGACGGCTTAGCTTCTCCTTCCCCCACTGCGCTCGACCACCTGGCTCACGACGCTCATCGGCCCGCTGCTCTGTCTCTCTATTTCTCCTCATCTCCGAGCGCATCTTCCCAACCTCCCGCGTGTGATGTGTTCTCGCCCGACGTCTATCCTTTTGTCACCCCCTTCTCGTCCTTCGGGCCGAGGGTTGGTTTTCGCGTTCACGAGCAACGAGGCTTCAGTGGCTTGGCCGGGGCTCCCCTTGCTCGGCGGCTGCGTGTGTACTGGCCAGCTGCCTGCGAGGGCGAATCTTCGCCGCTTGCCGACCTGCGCTTCAAGGCTTCGTCGAAGCAAGAGGCAGACGGAGACAATCGTGGGGCGCCGGGTGGGTGTGTGTGGTCAGTCGTGAATCGAGAAGTCGATACATAATGGCGCCCGCCCTGGCCTCGCAACTACCTTCTCTTCCTCTTCTCCTCACTACCAACCATCTCACCTCGTGGGTTTACTCAGTGAACCCACCTTTCAGCTGCCCACCATATTCTCAACAGGACTCGTCTCGTGTCGTGAGTAGCCGGGCGCCCATCCATGTCATCAACTCCCGCCATGCGCGCGCAATGCTCACTGTTATCTCGCTCCCTCTCCCCTCTTGCCCATCTCTCGCGGCCCCGCACCCCACCCCACGCACCCACGACTGTCCCATTGCTCGCAGACAACGCTCACCGGGGCAAGCACGTCTGCGCCGGCCTTGATCCTAAAGCTCTCTAAGCCACCGAAAACCACCCACACCACCACTTCACATCAACCCCTCTCACACTACTACCACTACGATGGCACCGATTGCTACAGGAAACGGCCACGCAGCTGCTCACGTCAACGGCAATGGTAACAGCAATGGCCACCACGCCGCTGCTGCTGCCTTGCCCGCCGCCCCGGTGAACCCAACCGCCGCCCGACACGAAGACGCCATGTCGATCAAGGTCTCGTCGCCCAATGTCAAGTACGACGATGCCAACATCACTACCAAGTACTCCTTCCAGGACACGGCCGTCAATGTCGTGCGCAACGCTGACGGGACCACCGAGTACCAGGCTCAGCCCGTTTCGAGCGAGTACCAGTTCAAGACGGGTCGCAAGGTCCCCAAGACTGGGTGCGTAGGCGCGACGCAGCAGTAGCGGCGAGAGCATACATTCTGACACCTCTCTCCTCTCCACTCCTCCCCGCGCAGCCTCATGATGATCGGATGGGGAGGTAACAACGGCACTACGCTCACCGCCTCTGTCCTCGCCAACCGCCACAACATCTCGTGGCACAACAAGGAAGGAGTCCAGACGCCCAACTTCTACGGCTCCCTCGTCCGCGCCTCGACGATCCGTCTTGGCCACGACGCCCAGACGGGCAAGGACGTCTACGTTCCATTTGGCTCCGTCCTCCCCACGGTTCACCCCAACGACCTCGTTCTTGGCGGTTGGGATATCAGCGGCATGACCATCGACGCTGCCACGACGCGTGCAAAGGTCCTCGACTACGATCTGCAGCGCCAGCTCGTTTCGTACACTTCCTCGATGAAGCCCCTGCCTTCCGTCTACTACCCAGACTTCATCGCCGCCAACCAAGGCGAGCGAGCCGACAATGTCCTGCCCGGTAACGACAAGCAGGCTCACCTCGAGCAACTCCGCGCCGACATCCGCAACTTCAAGGCCCAGAACGGTCTCGAGCAGACCATCGTAGTCTGGACCGCCAACACGGAGCGCTACTCGCAGATCATCCCTGGAGTAAACGACACGGCTGACAACCTCATGCAGGCCATCAAGGACTCGCACGCCGAAGTTTCTCCCTCGACCCTCTTCGTCGTCGCCTGCATCCTCGAGAACGCCCCTTACATCAACGGCGCACCTCAGAACACCTTTGTCCCCGGATGCATCGAGCTCGCAGAGCGCCACCGCGCCTTCATTGGCGGTGACGACCTCAAGACCGGCCAGACACGCTTCAAGACTGCCCTCGCCGAGATGCTCGTCAACGCCGGTATCAAGCCGCTCAGCATCGCCTCGTACAACCACCTGGGCAACAACGACGGTGCCAATCTGTCGGTCCCTCAAACCTTCCAGAGCAAGGAGCTCTCCAAGCGCGGCGTAGTCGACGACCTCGTCGAGTCCAACGGGCTTCTCTACCCTCGTGCGGGCAAGAAGGGCCTCCCAGGAAAGGAGATCGACCACTGCATCGTCATCAAGTACCTCCCTGCCGTCGGCGACGGTAAGGTGGCCATGGACGACTACTACTCGGAGCTTACCCTCGGCGGCCGTAATCGCATCATGGTGTCGAACATCTGCGAGGACTCCCTCCTCGCCACTCCCATCCTCATGGATCTCGTCCTCCTCGCCGAGCTCATGACCCGTATCACCTACACCGACTCGCAGAGCGGTGATGCCGACTCTTACCAGACGATGTACTCCATCATGAGCCTGCTGTCCTTCTCCCTCAAGGCACCCCTGGCAAAGAAGGGACGCGACGCCGTCAACGCCATCAGTCGTCAAAGGAACGGTCTCGCCAACTTCATGAAGGCCCTCATCGGTCTTCCGCCCAACGACGATGTGGCCATCAGCGACCGTATCTGGGCCTAGGCAGGCGCGTGAACGCTGGCACATCACCCCGCGCTCATTGAGGGGCTCCCCCGCCATCAACACTTTTCTCGCACCTCTCTCTCTCCCTCGTAGACGTAGAGGCGTGCAAAGTACTTCCCACTCTATCGATCTTCCTCCTGACTCTCACTCCAATACGATCTCCTTCAACCTTCCTCTTCGCACCTCGTTGGATGCTGCCAGTGGCGATCGCTTACTTACTTGCTTGCCTGCGTACCTGCCTGCTTGACCTGACCTGACCTGACCTGACCGTCCTCGCGTCTACTCTTTCCGCTGACGCGCTTCTCGCCGATGTTAGCAGCCATGTCATACCATGCGATCCATGCACGGCGAGCGGCGAGAAGGTACACTTCCACGGCGAGACGTGAGATTGAATGAATTCAAAGGAAGAGAGAGCCGAGCTTCTGGTAGTGGGTCGATGCCCGACTGGAGGATTGGAACGAGACTTGCGTCGAGAGTCTGAGTGGGCGGGTCTGACTCAACGTGGACCGTAATCACTGATGACGAGCAGACGAGACTAGCCTATGAGAAAGGACCACGGCGGCGAGCAATCTCTAGCGAAGAGATGGTGACATGTAGCGGGATGAGCATGCACGCAGCGGATGCGTCTAGCTCAGGCGATCCGCTTGATCCAATGTTCGAATCCGTTTCGAACGTGAGACATCTCTGCTCTTGCGCTCCTGCCCCCGCATACTCGTATCGACTGTGCGAGAAGTCGTAAACGAGGAGTGCAGACTCCGCGGCCCAACTGCGGGACGCGTGCATCGACGTCGTGAGCAGCTCGAGGATTTTTGGCTGAAAGCGGGAGGGGCGGGCAGAAGTTGGTTTCCCTTCTTCCGTCGTTCTACCACCACCACGCCGCCATGCCATCAGCGCCCTCAGCGGCAGGCAGCAGTCGCAAAAGACGATATGACAACGGCGGAAACGCTGAGGCTGGTCCATCAAAGCCGTCGAAGCTGTCCAAGTCACGCTCCCGCGATACGCGCAGGCTGAAGCGCGACGCCGAGCAGCAAGAGATCGACGACCTCGAAGTACGATGCGCAGCATTCGTCCCTCCAAAGGACTATGCGCGATTCGAACACTTGCCGCTATGCTCAAAGACGGCTCAGGGCTTGAAAAAGGCAGCCTACATCGACATGACTGATATTCAGGCAAAGTCACTGCCACTCTCGCTCAAGGGCAAGGATGTCTTGGGCGCCGCCAGGACAGGGTCGGGGAAGACGCTCGCTTTCCTCATACCCATCCTCGAGCGTCTATATAGAGCCAAATGGGGGGCAGCGGATGGGCTGGGAGCACTCATCATATCACCTACTCGCGAGCTAGCAATGCAGATCTTCGACGTGCTGCGCAAGATGGGCTCGTTCCATTCCTTCTCCGCGGGGCTGCTCATCGGTGGCAAGGACCTCAAGCAGGAGCAAGATAGGCTCGCCAGAATGAACATCGTCGTCGCTACTCCTGGTAGACTACTCCAACACATGGACCAGACCATCGGCTTCGACTGCTCCAACGTGCAGTGCCTCGTCCTCGACGAAGCGGATCGACTACTCGACATGGGATTCGCAAATACCCTAAATGCAATCGTTGAGAACCTGCCAAAGCAACGCCAAACGCTCCTCTTCTCTGCGACACAGACAAAGAAGGTCAAGGACCTCGCACGACTCAGCCTCAAGGAGCCAGAATACGTCGCAGTCCGAGAGGCAGATTCAGCAGCGACGGGGCCAGACGGCGCCGACGCCACCACGTCAAGTAATGGCCTCACGCCGCGCAACCTCGAGCAACACTACATGGTCGTGCCCCTCGAGCAAAAGCTGGATCTCCTCTTCTCCTTCCTCCGCACCCACACCAAGTCCAAAATGCTCGTCTTCTTCTCCTCGTGCAGGCAGGTCCAATTCGCACACGAGACCTTCTGCAAGCTTCGCCCTGGTCTCTCCATCCTCTGCCTGCACGGCAAGCAGAAGCAGGCTAAGCGACTACAGGTCTTCACCGAGTTCACAAGAACACAGGACGCAGCCCTCTTCGCCACGGACATCGCTGCGCGCGGCCTCGACTTCCCTGCGGTAGACTGGGTTATCCAAGTCGACGCACCAGAGGATGCGGATACCTACGTGCATCGCGTGGGCCGAACGGCGCGCTACCAGTCCAAGGGCAATTCCCTCCTCTTCGCCCTCCCCAGCGAAGAGGCCGGCGTGCTCAAGCGACTCGGCGAGAAGCATATTGCCGTTAATCGCATCAAGCCGAGGGAGAGCAAGACGCAGTCCATTCAAAACCAGCTGCAGTCTTTCCTGTTCCAGAGCCCGGAGCTCAAGTACCTTGGACAAAAGGCCTTCGTATCTTATGTGCGATCGGTCCACCTGCAAAAAGACAAGGAAGTCTTCGACGTGCTTGAGCTGCCACTCGAAAAGTACGCCGCTGCCCTTGGTCTGCCGGGGGCGCCGAAGGTCAAGTTTGTAAAGGAGGCGGCGGGCGCTAGGAAGAAGGCTGAGGCTAAGGCGAGGAAGGAAGCCGAGCGTGCGCTGGCTGACGGGGAGGAGCAGCAAGGATCAGCGGCGGTGCGTACCAAGTACGACCGCATGTTTGGCAGGACTAACCAGGGCGTGCTCTCCGAGCATTACGCTAAGCTGGTGTCGGAGGGACATGATGAGGAGAGCAGTAGCGAGGACGAAGGAGAGGCGCCCGCGGCACCGGCGGAGCGACCTCTGATCGGCGGCGAGGCAGAAGACGACGACGACGAAGAAGGCGCCGACTTCCTCACCCTCAAGCGCGCCGATCATGCCCTCGACGAGTCGGACGACGACTGCGAGGAAGCCAACACACCCCAGCTCGCCACAGCCGCGGCCGCGACCGCCTCCTCCAGCAAACTCGACACGATGCGCGAGCAAGAAATCTCGAAACGCAAGCTCCTCCAAGGTCAATCCAAAAAGGCAATGGCCGAAGCCGGCAAACGAGGGATAGGTACAAAGCTCACATTTGATGACGCCGGTACGGCGCATGCCGCTTATGAGCTGCAGACCGAACAGGACTTTGCCGCGCAGGGCGATGCGGCGGAGCAGGCTAGGCGTTTCGTGGAGGAGGAGCAGGAGAGATTGAGGGAGAAGGATGTGGAGGATAAGGAGAGGGTGAAGGAGAAGAGGAGAGAGAAGAGGAGGAGGGAGAAGGAGAGGGAGAGGGGCAGAGTTGAGGAGAGTGAGGATGACGAACAAGGTGGAGTGGCGATGGCGTTGGCGCCTGAAGATACCAGAAGTGACGGCTATGAGACGCCAGACTTCGACCTTGATGAGGATGATGAGAGCGAGGGTGCCAGCAGCGACGATGATCCCAGCGACGGGGTTAGCAGCGACAGTGATAGCGACGACGACGACGACGACGACGGTCCACCAGAGGCGGAGCAAGCAACGGGCAAAGGTCGCAAGAACCTCAAGCAGGCACCGGCGACCACCAAGCAGCAGCGCAAGAAGAAGACTCCCGTCGAACCGGAGCACAGCGCCCCAACAAACGTGGCCGACGACGAGGAGCTCGCATTGCGCATTCTTGGCGGCGGCGGCGGCATGGCCTGATCACACTTCTCTCACCCGTGAGTACCTGTTGGCCGTGCGTCTCCCCTCTTCTTCCCCCCTCTCTGCGCCGCCATGATGGTACGTAATTTGCGCCTGAAGACACCGCCATCCCCCTCGCGGGGGCTGCGTGTCGCCCAACGAACCGCAAAGGGGCCCACACGCCTGTGGGCCCTGGTTGTGTTGGGATTGATCGAAGACTTAATCCACTGAGCGCCGTCGCATGAGAGAGGGGGAAAGGAGGAGGCAGCAGTACGCATACAGATGTGCAAGAAGGCTGACCTCGACCCGCCTGCCCCTACATCGTTTACAGGCGCTCGCACCGCCCTCGTATCCAGTTCACGAGATATTTGATCCCGCGTATCATCTTGCATTTGTACAAATAGTGGTGATCACAACGCAACGCATCGCAACGCAACGCCATCTCCCCTCGTCATCTCCTCTATTGCTCCTCCTTGCGTGCCTCCCTCCTCCCCTCCAACACCCTCAGACTACCCCTAAACGCCTCAGCCCAAACCACCCCTGCTTCCTTCCTCAGCATCTCCCATCCTTCCTCCGTATTCCTCCACTCCCTCTCACGCTCCAATCGCTCAACCTTAAGTTGCGCCTCGCTCTTTGGCGGATCGTTCTTCTCCACCTTTGTAGGCTCACGCTGACCCCTCACCAATGTGCGCGTATCCCGCAAACGACGGGGAAGCTCTGCGTAGAATGCTTCGCGGGCTTTTATGAGGGAGGAGTGAACTTTGGCAAAGTGCGGTGGTTGGAAACGGGTCTCCCCCTCTAGGCCCCAGTCGAGGTCACCGTCTTGTGGTGGGTCCACTGCTGCTCGTGAAGTCTCAAGAGCTGGTGGGGCGGAAAATTCGCGTGCGGTGCTCTTGTTGTTGGTGATGATCGCAAGAGCCGCTTCTGCGCCTTGGCGGACGTCTTTGCGTCTATTGAAGAAGTTGACCATTCGTCGCGGGATTAAGCGCCAGCCTGTCAGGTTTACGTAGTCTATGTATGCTAGCGGTGGTTGGGCTGGGATTTGCGCTGGGGGGGCGAGGATGCGTGGGTCGACATTGGGTGCTGCTGCGGGGGATGAGGAGGAGGAGGGAGATCGGGAGACGACGGAGCCTGACGGTGCGCCAAAGGGGTTGGGGGACTTGCCGCCTATTGATGAGTTGGGAAGGGGCGCGCCCGCATCATCGTCTACACTTTCTGCCAGGGCGCGATTGCGTCGCTCAATGTCGTCCAGACCGTCGTCCACCGACGCAGGAGCAGCCGCAGCGTTACCGCTGTCCGTCGACGCAGTCGTTGTCGCTGCTGCTGCGCCGGCCTCGGCCTTCTCCTCGGGCAGCTCCGCAAAGGTGTCATCGCCGGCCAATTGCTTGCTGAGCGCCTCATCCAGATCCTCCCTCTGCGGAGGAAGGGGCGTTGTCCAACCATTGCGCAGTGCCACCATGTACTCCTTGTAGGCCGGCCTGCCCACGAGGACCGTAGCCCCCTCGAGCTCGCGCTGCAACTGTTGCTGAGGTTGCAGGGCAAAAGGAGCAGCGAGAGCAGCCTGAGCTGCCATTACCTCTGTACTATTCGGTGAGGGAGGTACAGATCCCGACGAGCTGGGTGCGATCCCCCATGGCTCTAGGCCGGCCAGCTGACGCCTCCTCGCGTAGATGCGTTGTCGCAGATCCCTCGCCAGGCCGCCGTACGTCAAGCCACTGAGCGTCTCGACATCCACTGCGGCGGCGACGAGGATAGGCTTGACGTACTTGTTGAACCACTTTCGCGCCTTGACGGGATCGTCGTCTCCAGGGCATTTGGCCGTGTACACCTGTACGATTCGCGGATACTCATAGGGGGCGAGAGGTTCCTCTGCGTATGGGCGAACCTGATCGATGTAGGATTGGCGGATGCGCTTGCATTCTCTTCGATCGTAGTAGTAGAGGGAGAAGAGGGTGCCCGTAACGGCAAAGAAGATGGAGGTGTTGCGTGAGGGAGGGCGGGGTTTCCATCTGAGGACCGATTCTGGAATTCCCATGTAGCGGAGGGGACGAAGGGCCGGGGGGATGGGGCGTAGTGGCTTTGGTGGGGAGGGAGCTGCGGGAGGAGTAGCATTGCTCCCAGCCGCTGGTGTTGCGGGCGGCGGCGTCTTTGCCGTCGTAGAAGGCGGCTCCGCCATGGTATTGCGATGCGATGGGGTGCAATGCGAGAGATGAGGGCGAGGATTCAAGAAAGTCAGCCCTCGTTCTCCCCGCCCGCTTTCTCTCCTTTGACTTTTGGACTTGGCTTTGCCGATTCTTCGTCTCGCGCGGACTCAGCCCGAGACGGAACGAGAGGAGCGAGTCCACAATCGAGAGGCGCCCTTGACAATTGCTTTCCTGCACATTTCACTTCCATCCCTACCATCAACGTTTGCTCATCATGAGCAGTCAAGCGTCTTCCTCTCGCGCGCAGCCACGCACATACAACGCGCTGCGCCCTCTCAACATCTCTCACGGGGTGCTGCCCCTCTCCCACTCCACAGGCAGCACCTCCTTCTCGCTGGGCCACTCCCAATCCTCCCTCGCCTCAGTCCAAGGACCCATCGAGGTGCGCATACGCGATGAGCTCACCGATCAGGCAACACTGCAATGCACTGCCATCCCTCTGAGGGGTCAACAAGGCGTGGCCGCAAACAGCTTTGCGGTAGGCACGCTCCAGAAGGCGCTGAGCAGCGTAGTATTACTGCATCGCTACCCACGCAGCTTGATTCAGGTGACGGTCCAGACTACGGATGAGGCCAAAGCCTCCACGCCTCTGGGGTGGGATCGTGCTCAGTCTTCCGCTGGGAGGAAGAGCATTCGACCGCGTAGGCCGCATCCCGATGCTAGCTGGACAATGGCTGAACGTGCTACGAGCGTAAATGCTGCGGGTCTGGCTCTCATTCAGGCCGGAATCAGCTGTTCGGCCACCATATGCGCTGTGAGCGTGGCGGTGGTACCGAGGAAGGTGGCCAGGCTGACGAGGAAAGGGAAAGGAAGAGCAACAGCCGCATCTGGGGCAATGGACGAGGATGGGAGCGATAGCGAGGATGGCAACGAGGCGGCGCAAATTATTCTCGTCGACCCGGATACGTTTGAGGAGGAGCAAGCAGCGAGCGTGCATCTCTTTGCCTTTGCAATGGCGGGTCAGGTGGTGAGCTGCGATGATGGACAACTCAAGGGGGAGCCGGAAGCGCGGTTGATCTTGGTGGAGAGCGAAGGCGGCAAGGTGGATTCGAGGTTGGTGAGTAGCGCTGCAGCAACGAGCAAGAGGGGAGCTCTACAGCCGCTGATAATCTCACGTATCGCCTCCTCCCCATCCTTGCAGTACCTCGAAGCCATTCGTCGCGCACGATCAGCGGCAGTCGGCAAAATCCACCCAGCGATCAGACAATCCTTCGACGAGCAGTTGCTAGGTAGCGGCAAGCAAGGCGACGCTGACGGAGATGTCGTGATGTAGACCAAAATCGCAATTGCAGCCCAATCGCATAGATCCTCGCATCGCTCGTCTCTGCTGCCCATCTACTTCTTGGCCCCCGTACCATTGACGGCCTGCCACTGGCTGTACACGCCCATGAGCGACGTAACCGTACCAGCGAGACCGATGACTGCGAGCGCGGGAATGGGAGAAAACACATCGTGGTCAGCCGGGCCTGAGGCTCCACGCTCGTGCCGCACTCACATCCGTCGTCGAAGTTGAAGAGCCCAATGGAGGATCCAGGGTTGGCAAGATCCAGCGCATCCTGCACGACCTGGTATCGCACCGCCCCCTTCTCCTTTGCAATCTGCTGCAGCTCCACCTTGCGCTCTGCCTCCTTCTCTGCGCTCGCACGAGGGCGCGAAGCAAGGGCCTGGCGTTGACGCAGGACGTGCGTCTTGTATGCTCCGGCAAGGAGGGACGAGATGAGACCGAGCGCCCAGAATTGGCTGCGGGTAGGCGAAAGAGCCAAGAGTCAGCACTTCGTGAGGGGAGGGATGATTGCCTGATCGCCGATACGCACGCAGCCCTCTTGGCAATCTTGCTGTACGTGGCCGGGGCAAATTGGTACGCCTTGGACCCGTGGACCCATTGCAGCGTGTCGTGGAAGAGGTAGAGGGCGTAGCTGAGCTGACGACTGAGCGAGAGTCCGCACACCACGGGGTCCTTGATCGCTAGGGCCTTGACGAAGGCTTGGAGATGCTCGAGCCATTTGCCCTGCGGGTGAGGAGGGGGGCAACGGATCGATGTCAGCTTTAGATTGGGCGGTTCGGTCTGGAGCAAGTGCGGCTACTGACCACTCGCATGAGCCTGTGAGTGAGGAGAGAGGGTCGTACAATGATCAGCTTCATTCGGCTTCATCGCAGCGCAATCAGCACGCACTTGCGGGAAAGAGCCAAGGAGCTCTTGAGGGCCGTCAGTCGGTCCACCGTCTCCTTGGAGGCGCCCTGGAGAGAGAAAGAGATGGGCAGACAGGTCAGGAGACGACTCTGGGTACCATTGATCGCTTCGAATCTATGCTCACGCTACGGTATTGGTGCCATGCCTTGGGTTGTCGTCGGGATGCAAAGGTCAGCTCAGCGCGCTCGCCCTTGATCTCAGCTCCTTTGCTCGCATCTCACCAAGAATCTGCGGGTCAATGGGGAGCGGACGTCAGCCTCTGCGCCCGTTAGAATCCCAACCCATTCCTCTGTTGCTCACCTAGCAAAGTATTGCACGGTACCTGCCCATTAGGATCGACGCAGCGCAGCGCAGCATATAGGCATGGTCAGCTTCATCGCTCCCACCTCACATCCCCTTGCCCAACTCACGATAGAGCTTGTCCCTGCCGACGGTCGTCGACGTGAGCTTGAGCGTCGCCGTAAGGGAAGGGTGGAGAACAACTTGCTGCAAAGCGAGGGACATCGTTGCTGGTTGCTTGGAGTGGTGTTGGTAATGGACGAAGGAGAGAGAGAGCTAAAGTTGGAGGTGCACGCTTGTCTGTGTGGATTCCCCGGTGCACGCGCCCGTCGGCTTCCCCGCGACCGATCCGCCCTCCGCCTTGGCCGGCCTCCGGGTGCGGGTGCGGGCGTGTGCTTTCAACGAGGCGAGGCGGGGCGAGAGGAGAGACCACTCTCACCGAGAGCGAGAAATGAAGTATCAACGCTTCAAGGACGCAAGGAGACAGCGAGAAGTTCATGTCATTGAATGGACGACATCGTCGCCATTCCGAGAGAGTTCTAAGAGACAAGGCGGCTGCGAGCACGTTGCCCATCACCAGGACAAGAGACGGCCGCGCCGTGGCGAGACGAAGAGGGAGATGGGAGGAGGAGGAGATAGAGGGGTCTGGATGAGAGTCCATTGGGCAAGACAGGCGGGTAGATGTGAAGCGTCCAAGGGAAGGAAAGGTGGGGGTGAAGGCTATTTGTCAAGATGCTACGTCGAGCTCCCCGCGCGACCACACAGCGCGATCACATGGCGCGATCACATGGGCTGCTTGGCCTCCTCCTGCCTCCATCTCTCCTGCTCCTGCCAGCTCGTGTTCGCGCCAAAGAGGAAAGGCAGCATCGCAAATGCGAGAATGACACCACCCACCGACCCGCCCAATAACGCCGCAGCCACAATGGTGTGCAGCGGCGTGGCGAAGGCCTTGGGCTTGGGCGTCAGCTGATCGCCCGGATTGGTCGTGTTCTTCAAGTTGGGGAATCGGTCGTTGAAGTTGTCGTAGAAGATGCGCTGCAGGCTCGCATTGCTGCTCATCATGGCGTAGTCCTGGTGTGAGACGCCCACGACGTAGTCGAGCGTGTGGTTCTTTGGCCAGCCGTTGGCCGAGGGGATGCCAGAGAGCTGGATGGCGAATTGGGATCCGCGGTCCAAATGGTTCCCACCTTGCACGCCGGCCTCGCAGTGCGTGTCTCCTGCTCCGTTGTCGAGGAGACCGAGAGCGTAGTGCATCTTGCGCGCGAGGAAGCGGTCCACGACGGCTTGACGGTTCGTGATGACGTCGTCGCGAGCGTATTTGGTGATCCTGGCGCGGTGCGTGCGGCGTAAGAGAAGGGCTGGTCAGCGAAACATGCCTTCGAACGCACATCCCTCGTCGCTAGCTCACTTGGTCTGATTTCCGCCGATACCGTAGTGCCACTCGAGCGGGTCGACGCACGAGGCATTCTGGTACGGCCTGTCGTCGGTCAACCACGCGTATGATCCCGGGTTGCCCGCCCAGAATTGCATGTTCTGGTCGTACTTCTTCGTCTTCTTGAGGAGAGCATAACGCTGCACCATTTGCCCTCCCATCGAATGGCCCACGACGACGACCTGGTTGAGGTTGGGGAACTGATTCTTGTCAAAGAGAATGTCGACGAACTTGTCGACGGCCTCGTACGTGGTGATGGAGCTTGTGAGATTGGGGAACGAAGAGTGACCACCCGACTGCCATTGCGTGCCGTGGAAGACGAGCTCGTTGGGCTGAACTGCGCCTGCCGTCTGGTCTTCCTGGTTGAGCCAAGCTGGGCCCATGATCAGGACCGACTCGGGCGTGACCCCCCACTCGGGGAAGAGGCCATTCTGGACGGTGAGAGCATTGCGGACGAGATTGGTATACTTCCAACTGTCACGCGGCTTACCGGGGAAGACGACGATGCCTCGCTTGATTGCCTGCGCATCGTAGTTGGCTGTCATGTAGACGGGCTGGATGGCGCCATTACGAATCTCGATGGTGCGGTTGAGCGTGAAGCCCTGGAGATCAGGTAGGGCATTCCAACCAGTGTCTGGACTTCCCTGTGCGTCTGCATTTGCGACAAAGGGGTACTGCTGCGTCCAGATGTAGTTGTTGCCTTCATCTGAGTCGGACGAGATGATGCCTGTGCCGATGTAGCCTGCTGTGTTGTTGTTAGAGATGAAAGGCATGGCGTCGGCTGCTCTTGCTGCGCCTACAGGGTCAGACATTGCCTGCATGGCGATGCCAACTGCATTTTGGTCTGGGGTATAGTTTTGGAAATTGTTGATGGTGACGACGAGGGGGGAGGCGTCGCGGCGTGCCAGAGGGTGTACGGCGGCGTCAAAGGCGTCGCTGCGCTCGGCAACATCGAAGTCATTGCTGCGTTGCTGTCGTTGCCTGCTGGCCAGCTTGTGGTTGCGTGGTACGGCTGGCGCAGCGCGGGCGAGTGGGCTGGGGTCAGCAGCAGAGGCCGAGGCGGCCGCCAAGGCTGCGACACCAGCTGCAAAGGTGGCGAGCCTCATCCCGGCGTGCGAGGCGTGTGGACGGGAAGTGGTAGGTCGGGCGAATCCAATGAGAGGGTGAAAGAGGAGCGTGGGCGAGATCAGAAGGAGAGAACGTTGTCGTGTTCGTTGAGGAGAGGGAGAGAAAGAAAGGAGTTGTGAACCGCCCAACGCCGCTCTCTCGCCTGTCAGACCAATTTGGTTCACTCGCTCTCGCTGCCGCCGAGCGGCAAGGGGCGGACGGCAGAAGAGCAGCCACAATGATGCCGCACCTCGTCTGGTCCCGCCTGCATCTCAACACTCGCGGCGACCAGACGCGGGACGCGGGACCATCACTACGAAGACCACGACTGGACAAGCTCGAGATCTTCTCTTCTTGGCCACCTCACCATCGCTACTCACAAGCGCGCTGCTATGTCGCGCTTCAGCAACTTTGTCCTCTACTCGGGGATTGCGACGCTCATCTATGCTGCTCTCTTCTTTGGGGTGCTCCCGACACCGGGCTTGTCTGAGCAAGTCAAGGACGACATCCTGCCGGTGGTGAGCCAAGATATCAGGGACTAGTTGTGGAGCACCAGCTGATGACTAGCGCTTCTCTCCCGCTCGCCTGCACAGATCCCTTGGTGGACCTTGGTTTCATTCGGCTCGTACATGCTGTGGCAGATGGGCTGGGGCATCTTCAACTTCAACGATGTGCCCGAGGCGTACCAGAGCTTGATGGTGGTACGTAGCGGCTGCGAGAACGAGGCGTGCGCTCCAGCAGACAGTCTTTTGACCCACCTCTCCTCCTCGCCCTTGACGCTGCCAGGACATCAAGAATGCAAAGGACTTTTTGAGGGAGAGGGGGGTGGACGTCGACTAAATGATGGACGGCAATGAAAAATATCGTAGTCATTCGCGCGTACCTTTCTGTGCCTGATTTGCTCACCAGCAACTCTACGCCTCACCACTGACTCTGCGCTACCATGTCGTCGCCTCTTTCTCTCGCTGCCTGACGTTGCGCCGTGATGTCCGGTCGTTGCTGCGTGGACTGCCCACCCGCGCCTGCGCCCTCAGTCCGCCTGGGCGTCTCGACTGGCCAACGCAGCCGGCTGCATCCCCACATTCACTTCGATTGCAAAGCGCCCTCCTCTTCTCTTCCCTTTACACCACCACCACCTCTTTCCCTCTCTCTCTCGCAATGGAGGCCCCCGTCCCACTTCCCGTCAATGTCGACACGACGGGGGCAAAGATCATGGAGGACGGTTCATCGCACCCAGACCAGCGAGACTCGAGAGACATCTACCTGCCCAACCACATTGAGACTCTGTCGCACATTGCAGTCGATGTTGGCGGGTCTCTGGCCAAAGTCGTGTATTTCACACGATCCCGCTCGTCATCAGATCCTCCATCGCAATCGCAAGCCTCGACTTCTCGTGCGCCGCCGCCGCCTCGTGCCGTCTCTCCCCTCGCTGCTACACCTTCGCGGGGCCACTCGCGCCAGTCGTCTGCCAATGGCGTGGTAGGCCACCCGAGGACACCTAGTGCCGGCGGCAGCAGCGATCAAGGTGTCGCCTCTCACCCAACACCAAGCGGCACCCTCACCCCAACTGCCATCTTCAGCGACGCAAAGCACCACCACTCGCCTCACATCGGCTCAGCAGTCAGCAGCGCCATGCGATCGTCCTTCCTCAAGAGGCGGTCACTGCCTGCGGCGTTGCCTGGTGGCAGGCTCAACTTTATCAAATTTGAGACGTCGGATATCGAGTCGTGCATTTCATTCTTGCAAGAGTTGATTGAGAATTCGGCAAGGGCGAATCGGGTGACGATTGAGGAGATGAGGCGGGGAGTCAAGCTGATGGCTACGGGGGGTGGGGCGCATATGTTTTACGAGCGGTTCGAGGAGGCGTTGGGGGTTGAGGTGCAGCGAGAGGACGAGATGGGTGGGTGCGCGTGTGCGATGCGAGAGGATGAGCTATGCTGACCTCTCCCCCTGCTCGCTCGCTGCCAGGCTGCTTGATCACGGGCCTCAACTTTATCACACTCATCCCAGACGAGGTCTTCTGGTACAGCGACGAGCTCGTCAGCGCTCTCCACTCGCCGCTGCCGTCGAGTAGTGACGTGCGAGGCGACCCGTCTTCCTCCCCTTCCTCGTCCAGCCCTTCTTCTGGCTCCCCACCGCAAGATCCCAACTCCTCTCTCCCCCGCCCTTCCCCCAACCCACCCCTCTACGCCCCCATGTTCGACAGCAACCCACTTCCCAAGCTCCCCTGCCTCCTCGTCAACATCGGCTCCGGCGTCAGCATCATCAAGGTCGACGACTTTGGCAAATTTGAGCGCGTGAGCGGGACCAGCCTGGGCGGCGGCACGCTGTGGGGTCTGCTCAGCCTCCTCACAGACGCCGAATCGTTCGACGAGATGCTCGAGCTGTCCGAGCGGGGCGACAATGGTGCGGTGGACCTCCTCGTCTCGGATGTCTATGGCAACTCGAATGCGCTCAACGCCTTTGGCCTCAAGTCGACGACGATTGCCTCGTCCTTTGGCAAGGTTTTCCGCAAGGAGGAGAGCAAGAGCAAGACAGGAGGGAGAAAGAAGCGATTCAAGGCCGAAGATATATGCAAGAGTTTGCTTTACGCGGTGTCGAATAATATTGGGCAGATTGCGCATATGACTGCGGAGAAGTACGACTTGGATAGGATCTATTTTGGAGGGTGCTTCATCAGAGGGCATCAGGCGACGATCTCGACGCTCAGCTATGCGATCAGGTTCTGGAGCAAGGGAACGAAGAGGTGAGCGATGGCGAAGAGTGCGCACGCTGAAGGTGAGGCTCACCTCTATCCTGCACGCCCCGCGCAGAGCCTTCTTTCTACGCCACGAAGGCTACCTCGGCGCCATTGGCGCATGGATCAAGCACCTCGACGATGCGCCCGTATCTGCAACACCAGCAGCGCCAGGGACGCCTCAGACGTCGCACTTGCAGCCCACCTCGCCCGTGCCGGCAGCGAGGGGAGCAGAGGCGGTGTCCTCCCCCTCGCCCACAGCCGCGCTGGGGGCGGCAACGCGGGGACCAGACGCAACCACGACGTCGCCTTCGCCACCGCTCGGCGCTGGGCCGGGACGAAGCATGGAGGCAAGTGGGCTGCTCCCGACGCCCATCATCGAGGCTCCCGAGCCCTTGTCGGGTGCGGCGGCGCTTCCCAATGGCGTCGCGGCTCCGGCAGCAATACGGGACGGGGGCAATGCTGCACCACCAGCAGTCGCCGCGCCCCCGAACGGCGCTAGCTCGGGCGACCGAGACGACCTCCTCTCGATGCTCCAAACCCTCCAAGTCGAGCATCGTTCGCTCGTCGAGCCCCTCGTGCAAGCCAACGGTGCGGTCGAGGACGAAGACGAAGCAGCAGGAGTGGACGAATCGGAGGCCTCGGTGCAGGAGCTGCTCCGCAAGCTCGACGAGGCGGACGGGGCTGCTGATGGGCTCGAGTCGAAGCTGGATATGCTCCTGGGCAGGCTGGACGGGATGTTGGATGCGAGTGAGGACGCGAGAGCGGGGCGATGAGGATGAGGGCGTAGCGAATATTTGTCGTCTAATCATGTCGTCTCGTCAATACAGGCTTATCGCAGCGTTGGCTCTCCATGATGTCGTTGAGTAGCCGGAATGGCGATGGCCCGAGCGAGCCCCCACTCATCACGTGACGGCAAATTTCAGGCGGACTGGCGTCGCTCTCTGGCCATTCATTACCGCCTCGCAGCTCGCAGTTTCGCGGCACCTTTGCGCTCTCGCTCATCCTCACTCTATTTCGCGATGCCGAAGGCTCCATCCTCATTCTCCAAACAGCGCGGAGGTCGCGCGTCTGGCAGCAATGGCGGCCCTTCATCCTCCTCCTCGTCTGGCGGTCCCAAGTTCTCGTCCGCGGCCCCATCGCGCAACTCGCAGGGCTCTCTCACCTCGCAGATGCGACAAGACGACCTAGCCTCGCGATTTGGCTCCGTCTCGCAACCTGGACGGCGTAACAAGAACAAGCATGGCAATCGATACGAGGATGTCGAGCAGGACGGCGAGGACGCAGCAGCGGCAGGCCCATCTAGCCAGCCCTTTGTCACGGGTGGCAAGGCCGGAGGCGCACCGCGTGGGGACAAGTACGTCGACAAGAAGCTGTCGGGCAAGATTCTGAGGCTAGCGCGTGAGCAGCAGGAGGAGATTGAGGAGGAGGAGGAGCGAGCGGCCGGACTGCAGGAGATGCCGTCGTCACATCGCGGGGATGGAATCATGCCGGAGGATGACGAGGGCGAACAAGCGGGGATGGCCTCCGACGACGGCGAGCTCGAAGACGACGAAGGCGAAGAGGAATTCGAATACGAAGACGTCGAAGTCGATCCGGAGGAAGCGGAGCTGCTCGAACGGATGCGATCGGATCGCGTCGAGGAGGAGGGCGGGAGGAGGACACTCGCCGACTTGATCATGGACAAGATTGAGGCCGCCGGTGGGAATGGTGGTGAAGGGGAGAAGGAAGATGATGGCATGGTCATGGGCATGAACCCCAAGATCGTTGAGGTCTACACCAAGTGAGTGGAGCGAGAGCAGGTCGCGACAGAAGCCGAGCATCGGGATGCTGATCTGGTGCCCCTACCTTCCCTCCCCTCTCCCTTCGACCTCTGTCACCCTCCCCGCGCCTCGCCCCCGCAGAGTCGGCGAACTCCTCTCGCGCTACAAGTCCGGACCGCTCCCCAAGGCCTTCAAGATTCTCCCTTCCCTCCCGCACTGGGAGATTGTACTCTCCCTCACCTCGCCGCAGACTTGGACACCGCACGCCACGCTCGCAGCGACGAGGATCTTCGTCTCCAACTTGAAGGCAGCGCAGTCGCAGCGCTTCTTTGAGCTTGTTCTGGGACCACGCTTCAGGGACGAGGTCGAGCTGAAGAAGAAAGCCAGCTACCAGATCTACGAGAGTCTGGCGAAAGCGCTCTACAAACCAAGCGCCTTCTTCAAGGGCATCCTCTTCCCCATCTGCGAGAGCGGGACTATGACGCTCAAGGAGGCGGCGGTACTCTCATCCGTGCTCACCAAAGTCAGCGTACCGATGCTCCACTCGGCCGCAGCGCTTCTCCGTCTCGCCGAAATGGAGTACAGCGGTTGCACGTCTCTAATCATCCGAACTTTGCTCGCTAAAGCGTACGGCCTACCGTGGAAGGTCATTGACGCTCTAGTATTCCATTTCCTGCGCTTCGCGGATCCGTCAAAGGGAGTCGAGAAGGTCAAGGATGGGTCCGGGGCGAGAAGAATGCCGGTGCTCTGGCATCAGTCCCTTCTTGTCTTCTGCCAGTTATACAAGCAGGATTTGACTCCTGATCAGAAGACCGCTCTACTTGACCTTATCAGAGTTCAGAAGCATCCAGGCATCGAGCCCGACATCAGGAGGGAACTCAGCACGGGTACGGCGCGAGGCGAGATGCTGGAAGAGCCAATCGACGACGCGGATAGCAATTACGCCATGTCAGGGTGAAGCACCGGCGCTGTCCAGAAAATGCAATACCTTTCTATGCTGCATAAGAAGGTGTGCGACAGATCTGAACGTCACAGAAGAAGATGCGCCCATCATGAGATCCGACACATACGTGAGCAGAGGGCAGGAAGGATGGATTGAAGGCGCGACTTTTGCGCACGGGCCCGCACGGGCGGCAGTTCGGAGAGCCACGCGAGCTCTCTGCCACTCAATCCCGTCTTGACCCTCGCCGATGCTCGCAGCGAGAGTGATTGCTTCTTGTTTTGCTATCACTCACTTCCCAATCACCTCACGCGCACCGTCGCAGCCCATCAGCTCACCAAAAAAAAAAAAAAAACAGCTACCTACCACAGCCGCGTCTACGAACTTTCACCGACTCAGAGAGGGGTGGGCGGGGGCCCGGCATTGAGCCCCTCGCCTGCCCTTTGGTACTCAGCACTCTAATTGCCCCCGCCTGAGCCCTCATCTCACCGCACCTTCGACAGCTCAGCGCAGTGACAACTGATCGATCGCGTCCAAGGCCAGATCGTGCACACGATCAACCTGACACGGCCTGCTCTGAGCCAAGCTCCAACGTGAGTGCTCCCTTCCTCGCTATCCCCTGAGCCCATCAGCTCGCCCAGCGTCTGACCCTCCCCTCCGCCCCTACGCTCCAGCATCTGATCTGGTTCACCTACAGAAACCTTATTATGGCCTGGCCACATTGAAGCCCATGCAGCGGAGCCAACATATCGTCTGTGCACACCTCTCATCCTGGTCGTCAAGTCGCGCGTGGCTTATCGATTCCAGCGCTACCACTACCACTACGAAAGCGGGAGTAACACCTCATCCCAACGTTGGCCGCCTCAGCATACGCGATGTGCCTCAGTCTGCAGCTCTCGCGCCAACAAACCGAGCAGCGTGCAGACAAAGGAATGCCCGGCTCAGCATCGGAAAGTCAAGCATTCGACACGTAGTACCACGGCAAGCGAGCAAAGTCAAGCAAAGTCCACTTCTTACCAGTCTCTACCTCCCCCTCGCTGGATGCCAAGAGGGAGGTAGTGACGAGGCAGACCGATGGGCCCCCGACGGAGGAGCAATGGTCCAAGCTCCGAGACGAAAGGGTCAAGCTCGAAGAGGAGCGAAGCGAGATGAAGGTGAATAGACATCCTTTCGACATGCCAAGAAGCCATGCGAACCAGATCAAACAGCACGCCGGCAAAATGGCGCACGTTCACGACACCTCAGCTCAGCAAGATCACAGCAAGCTCAAGAATGACGTTTCTTGTGAGGTGAGCACTTCGAGCAGCGCCTGCCTGCCACGCTCAGCACAACAACTTACACGACACGCCACCACCCCTTCGGCTTCAGGCTCGCGTCGCTCCACTCCTGCCCGGTAGCAAATTCCGTGGCCCAAGCGTAGGTGCAAGATGTAGGAGTGCTCCACCGTCGCATCACTCGCTTCACTCCGCCAGCAGCCGCGACCTTGCAAAGCTCACAGCTCCACAGGATCGGCAGCCGCGTCAAGGTCCAGGATCTGGTCAAGCAGGCGGCCAGAGATGAAGAGCGCGAGCGGGCGCAGGATGCTGTGCAGAAGCTTGTCTACAGCCTTGCCAAGGCCAAGGCGACGGTCCTCGTTGTCTGCTCTCAGCACCATTGGGTCGCCTTGCTCGATATCCTCTGTGACATCGGCTTTCACGAGGCAGAAATACTGGAGCACGTCACCAGCCACCACCAGCACTCTGCCCGGCGCCGTCGACGATCAGCTGGACGAGGATACGCACCCAGCCAACGTCGAGAGTCTACTGGTCGCTCTGTTCGGCAAGGGCCGCCTGATCAACATCGAAGACGGCGGCTCTCACTCTGAGACGGCGCCCTACTTGCTCAATCCTTCGATGCGCGGCCTTCTGGCTCCCGTCCCTGAGCTGCGCCTCCTCAGCAAGTCCTACCATCGATGGTCGCTGAACGCTAGTGGTGGAGCCCACGGCTTTGAGACCGAGCGACGCCATCTCGTGCGCACGGTACCGCTGCTGCTTGGGCGAGCGCTAAAGCCAGGCGAGTTGGACTGCTGCCCTGCCTTTGAGAATCTGCTGCCCGCGTCAGTGACGGATGACATTGCCAAGGGAAAGTACACCGAGGCAAGGCACCACAGCAGAGACCAGGCAGTGGAGGAGAAGCGCGTCGAGACAAGGCAGAAGGCTCATCAAGTGGGCATGGAGCTTCTTGCCAAGTTAGAGGGCAAGCCGTCGGTCCTTGTCGTCTGCTCGTTCGAGGTGCAGCTTGTCCTCAGAGACTGCCTTGCGAAAGAGGACCCCCCTCCGCAGCTGCTGAGCGCCTCTGGTCTGAACGCCAACCTGATGGCTTTCAGCGACAGCAACCAGACGACTCAGCTCCGCAGATGGATCTTCTTCCCTCCTGGTCGCCAGCTCTACCTCCTGCGGGCCATAAACTCGACCAAGGCTAAGCATCTGTCGCGCCCTGCGGTAAAGTGAGGCAGGAGAGGGAGAAGTTTGAGATGGAGAGGGCAGAGAGGCAGAGAGCGAGGGTTGAGGACGAGGCAGCGGCTGGTGCACATGAGGCTGCCCGTCGCAAGCGCATCGAGGAGGATAGAAGAGCGTGCAGCTCGACGCAAGCGAGAGAGAAAGCTGTGGCTGCTGCTGTATGGTATCTTCTTAACTATACTGGTCAGCGCAATAGACAGCCTCAAGAGACACGCAGTCGAGGCCACTGCACGCCAAAGGTCGAGCAGCGAGTGACACAATGCAGCGCGCTTTCTCTCGCGCAAGATTGAGCAGACTCGTCGCACCTTAGTCGTAGGATCAAGCTGCCATTGCTGAAGTTAGTCGACGTCGCTACACTCCACCTGGTCGACCCAGGAAGCAACGGTTCAGAATACGCGTCGTCCACCCAAGGCTACTGCGAGCTCATCTTCGCGTTCATTACTGCTTTGAGAGTCTGTGCCGCGCTGCTGCAAGCGACATCGAGCGCGCTGATCGTGGTCGTTGCCTTCAAATCCCTTGAGACGAGCATTGTCCGCTTCGTCTCGCGTCATGACTGCTACCCCTCGAGCCCCAAGTGCCGTGAGGCAGCGTTTGCGCAGCGCCAGCCAGCGCCGCCCGGAACAGCGTTGATGCATGTGTGTCTGCTCTTCTTTTGTCCCCTCGAGACTTGGGCACGAGACTTGGGCAGAGACGCAAGATGCACAACCGAAAGGGCAGTAAAGCAGAAACGTTCGTCCGCTACTTCGAACGCGGCTTTCTCTCGCATCTTACGCCCAGGCCCAGAGGGGTCGGTCGGTCGGGATCAAAGCAGTTGCGCGAGGCCGAGACGAGCGACAGGCAAGGCAGGGCAGCAAAAGCGTCGGCCTCAAACGATTGCGCAGCGCTGTGTTGCTGCTGCTCTCAGCAATCATGAAACCGAGGGAGCAGAAGGGCCTGGGCTGCACTGCCGTAGACGATCCTGCTTCGAAGTCGACGCCTGGCCGGCCTCGACGTCTACATAAGGAGTGACTCCGGGCAGCTTCGCATCGAAGCTGGCCTCATACTTGTCAGTTCACTCCATCTCGACCGTAAATTTTGCAACATCATGCTGACCACGAGCATCCTCGCTCCTCCTCTCTCCAACTCCCTTTTCGTTACCGCACCCAACCTGGACACGCTGCCTTCTTCCGGATTTCTCGGCTATCTCGATTACGTCCGGTCCGCCCGATTCGCTCTCCGCCACTGGCCTTGCAACATCTACACGACCGCGTGTCGCCAATCAGACCTTGACATTCGCTCGGTGATCAAGCCTGCTGGGCGAGGTTGGATGTGCCTGCCATTGCACGGCGGTGGGCACGCTGACCGATTTGCCCCTCTGGGGTACGTCGTGTCCCAATCTTTTGGCCGGCCCTCGATCTCCTTCGGGAGGTCGATTTTGGGCCACCATAACTTTTTCTTTTTCGTACATGCCCCGCGCACGGGTATCTAGCTTTGCGGTCGTTGTGGCATTCCAATCCGATTCATTGTGCTCTTGCATTGCTTGTGTCGCGTGTCGTTTGCGTCGGGCAAGGGGAGCGTCGACGGCGCAAGCCACGTGGCTACGGAGAAGGGAAAGGTGCTCGAGCCAAGTCCTTCGAGTCCAACTCCTTCCATCCCCCTCATACGCGACGATGTCTGCTACTCGCCCAGACGTTGCGTCGCAGGTCCAGGCACTCCTGGCCTCGCTGCCAGCGCAATTCGACCCTCTTTCCCCGCCCGCTTCACTGCCGACGTCATCGCGCGAGGTGGCAGCGTTTGTTGATCACACCCTCCTCGCTCCTCAATCAACGACGGCCGAGATCAAGAAGCTCTGCGTCGATGCGGTCGCGCTGGGCACGGCGAGCGTGTGCGTCAACTCGAGTGTCGTAGGCGTTGCACGCAAGGCGCTCGGAGAGGCCAAGGTGATGGCAATCTGTACCGTTGGGTTTCCCTTTGGCGCCGCGTGCTCACGAGGAAAGGCGGCAGAGACGGAGCAGGCGGTGCGTGATGGCGCTCAGGAGATCGACATGGTGCAGAATGTCGGATGGGTGAGGGAAGCGAGGTGGGACGACGTCTTTGACGACGTCGAAGCGGTCGTAAAGGCGGCAGGCGCAGTGCCGGTCAAGTGAGTAGCGCGATGTTCGAGGACGCCGATCAATCGCTGACCATCGCTGCGTGGCAGGGTCATCCTCGAGACGTGCTATCTCACGCGCGAGGAGATTGCAGCCAGCACGCTTGTCTGCTGCCTCGCTGGCGCCGCATTCGTCAAGACGTCGACTGGGTATGGCACCGGGGGAACCAAAGCAGAGGACATCCGTCTGATGGCAGAGGTAGCCCATGCGCGCGGGGTCAAAGTCAAGGCCTCGGGAGGCATTAGGAGCTGGCAGACGGCGGCACTTATGATCGAGAATGGGGCAGACCGTGTGGGCGCCAGTGGGACGAGGGCGATCATCGAGCAGTTTGAAGCTGGCAGCAGCACGAGCAGCGAGGCGGCGGCGGGTGGATACTAGGCGCAGCGATGGCCAGGAGGCGGGTTGCAGGAGTTGTCGAAGCTGCGACCACCCCTCGAAACATTTCGCCGCCACGCAGTCACGGCGCTCAATGCAATACCACAACGCATACGCAATTCCATTGGTCTCAGCCCTCGCCGCACTACGGCAGGACAATGTACCTCTGCAAGTGGTCGGGGATCGCCTTGTCCAGCCCCTTGGACTCGAGCCATTTCCTCGAGAAGAGGCCTGCGGGTGCGTGAGAAAGACGTGTCAGCGGCTTCTCAAATGGAGGGACCGCACAGTCCGCACGCTCTTGCTCGCTCGGGCACTCACGGTTCTGGTATCGGTAGGCCCCATCGCAGATGATGGTGACAATCCTGCTCCCCTTGCCCATCTTTGCCCCCATCTGCCCAGCCGCCCAAACATTCAGCGCCGAGCTCGCACCGATGTAGATGCCTTCCTCGTCCAGCATCTCATACACGGTACGAATAGAGTCGGCGTCTGGTACGTGGAGGGAGTTGTCGATCAACCCCGCCTCAACCTCAGGCTTCAGGTTCTCGGTAATTCGTCCTTGACCAATGCCCTCGGTCATGGAGCCGTTGCCGGTCCGCTCGAGCTTCTTGTTCTGGATGAATTGGTGGAGGACTGATCCGGGCGGGTCGGCGAGCCAGCATTGGATGCGACCCTGCGACTTGTCCTTGAGGTAGCGCGTGGTTCCTGCGAGCGTACCGCCCGTTCCCGTAGCTGCGATGAAGCCGTCAAACTCGCCGCCGTTGGTCTGAGCCCAAATCTCGGGGCCCGTCGACTCGATGTGCGCTTGGCGGTTGGCGACATTGTCGAATTGGTTGGTCCAGACGGCGTTGTCGAGCGACTCGGCGTGGCGGCGAGCTTGGTGATTGTAGTTCTCGGGATTATCAAAGGGCACGGCAGGGACGGGGTACACCTCAGCTCCCAGCATGCGGAGCAGATCGATCTTCTCTTGCGACTGGGTGTTGGGCATGTAGATGACGCAGCGGTATCTGGGCGGGCGGGGTGGTGCGTGGGGTCAGCCACCAGACGCTGCCGTCGTTGTCGCGCCACAAAATCTTACCCTTTGGATCGGCAGACGTGAGCCAAGCCGATACCGGTGTTGCCAGCAGTCCCTTCGACGACGGTCCCACCAGGCTTGATGAGCCCTGCAGCGTGACAGGGCGATCAGCAATTGAGCTCAGTCGTTATCACCTCGCCGCCACGCTCGCCGCCACGCTCGCCGCCACGCTCGCCGCCACGCTCGCCGCCACGTACCCTTCTTCTCTGCGTCCATGACGACCCACAAGGCGGCTCGATCCTTGACACTGCCTCCTGGCTCCATGAATTCTGCCTTGCCATAGATCTCAGCTCCCGTCTTCTCGCTGAGCTTGTTGAGGCGAATGAGGGGCGTATTGCCAACGGCCCCCACGAATCCATTGACGGCGCCCGGCTTTGGGCCAGGGTAGGTAGTCATGGTACGTGCGACTGCGCGAGTTGATGAAGATGCTGCGGTATTGCGGGCGAGGAGTGAGGTTGCGACACCAGCTCGAGCTCTCATTGCCATGGTAGCTGTAGTAGTAAGGAGAGGAGGAGGAGGAAGAATAGAGATGTCGTGATCGGAGCAACTCCACTCCCGTCCGTCCGCCAGGCCGCCCGCACGCACGCCCGCCCGCTTTGAGCCGGTGACGCGCCGGTCCTAGTCTACGACCGCGAGCAGGATACAAAGCTTAAAAGGACTCCCTTTCGCAAACTTAACTCGTCATTCATTCAACCACCGGCGACGATAAGGCTGGCCTGGCAGTGATACAGTAGGGCGCGAGGGAGAACACAGAGCGAGCCAGCGAGCATACATGGAGTCAAGTCGTTACGGCAGATGCGCTGCCTCCTCTGCCTCAAGCCGCCAGAATCTGGCGCACGAATTGGCCATAGTTGATCATGCCGTCGCTGTGTGGGCGAGACGGGGAGGCAGATGGTCAGCTTGCTGCGTTCTGGCATCGTCTCGATTCGTTGCCGCGCGCGCCCACTCACGCCCCAACCTGTGTGCCCTTGAGCAGCTCGTCAACCTCCTCGTCGCTCAGCTTCTCGCCCAGCGAGGTGAGGACGTAGCGCAGCTCGCCTACGCCAATGAAGCCGTTGCCCTCCTTGTCAAATACTTGGAAGCCGCGGATGAATTCCTCTGTGTAGGCGACGCGGGGAGTGGACATCAGTGTGCTGGGTCGAGTTGCCCCCCCTCTCCTGCGCCCTGCTCACCTGGTGTGCCCGCCGGCTTGAAGCCATTGGGGCGATGGAGGATATTCAGGAATGATTGGAAGTCGACTGGCGGAAGAAGGGAGGATAATGAGGTGAGCAATGCTTTCTCCATCATCGTCTTGGCGCGGCGATCGCTCACCATCCGAACCGCCAACCTGCTGGCTCAACTCCTGCACCTCTGCCTGAGTAGGGTTCTGGCCGAGAGCGCGAAGGAGGTCTCCGAGGGACTCCTTCGGGATCCTTCCCGTACCCTTCTTATCGAACAGCGCAAAGGCTTCCTTGTATTCTGCGAGCGAGCGGCGAGGAGTGAATACGATGTGGTTGGGTCCCGTCGCCTAGTGTTGAGACAACATACCTGCGTCAGACTGAAGGGAGTCGTAGGAGGGGAGGGAATGTGTCAGCGCCTTGTCAGCCCATCTTCCACCACGTACTGCCTCACCATATTGGCTCTTGTGTGGTGGTATTGCGGTCAAAGTTGAGCCTTGGTCGACCGTTGGCGTTGTCCGCCAGATCAACACTCCGCCCTTGACAGGGGGGGCTCAGGCGCGATGGGCGTGTTTGGCAGTCCACGTGGCACAGACGGGACGCCCAAAGAGATTTTGGAGCGGATAGAGAGGGAGAATTGTTGCTCCTCCTCGTCCCTCCACGCATCAACACAACAGCAATGGCTCCCAAGGCACGGCAATGGGAGCAGATGAGCGAGAGTGAAAGCGAGGGGGAGTCAAGTAGTGGAAATGGCAGCAGCGCAGGCTCCCATCAGTCAGGCACCTCATCAGAGGGCGAAGAGGAAGGAAGCCGACCTACGTTCGCGCAGTTCCAAGGCGAGAGTGACCTCGAGGATGACGAGGACAGCGATGAGGAAGAGGACGAAAGTGAGAGCGACGCGAGCTCGAGGCATGATGAGGAAGCAGATTCAGACGATGACGGGCGCCAGACGGAGGCTCAGTTGCGCAAGCGTGAGTACGATGTCGCACCTCGCTTGAGGACTCTTCCGCTCACCAGCGCCACCGCTCGCTCACCCACGCAGAAATGGCATCCGTGCCGTTCGGCGCTCTCGTCAAAGCCCGCAGCAAGATGGCAGCCCGCGACGACGACTTCGGCGAGCTCTCCGAAGAGGACGAGTGGGCAGAAGATCGAGCTAGAGCAGCGGCAGCGACAGCAAAGAAGTCACGCTCACGGCCAGCCGCTGATGAGGATCGACGCAAGCAAATCAAGGAACAGTTGGCAGTGCAGCGAGGCAGGCGCTCAACTGGAGGGGACGAGGACGGCGACACCAGTGGTAACGCTCGCCGAGAACATCGCGATCTTGCACATCGCACCAACAAGCACGCGCCAGCCGAAATGTCTTCTCGTCGCCCAGTATCCCGCAAGCGCAGCGTCGTCGAGGCGGCCGGACCTTCCTCCTCTTCGCTGCGCGACCCGCGCTTTTCTAACCTCAGCGGCCCGTCAGTAAACGCCGGCCTCTTCGAAAAGAACTACGGCTTCGTCAACGAGGCACGTTCGCAGGAGCTCTCCACGCTTAAGCAGACGCTGAGCAAGCTGCGCAAGCTTGAAGCGAACCACGCGGGGCCCAAGGCTACCTCGAATGAGGCGCTCAAGATCCGCGAAGAGAGAGCGCAAGTCGAGCAAGCGCTGAAGAGACAGGAGGCAAAGGAGGCAGAGAGATCACGCCGCCAGAGGGAGAGCGAGGTCATGCGCCGATTCAAGCATGAGAATGAGGAAAGGGTCAAACAGGGAGGCAAGAGATTTTACTTGAAGGACTCGGCGAAGCGCGATATGATGTTGCAGGACAAGTTCTCGAGGTTGGCGAGTGGCAAGAAGGGCACGGCAGCTCTAGCAGAGGGTGGGACTACCCCCGCCTCGTCTTCCAGCAAAGCACTGCGCAAGGCACTGGACAAGAGGAGAAAGAAGAATGCCGCAAAGGAGCGCAAAGCATTGCCCTTTTTGGAGGCAGGCAGGCGTGGTGCTGGGCAAGCGGATGGAGGTGAGCGCAGGCGCGACGGACCTCCGCCAGCAAAGAGGAAGAGAGGGGTGCGAGGGGGTGGGTCCAAGTAGAGGAAGGCAAGCAGCGACTGTACAATATATCCCGTCACCCTCGCCTCATCGTGTATAGCTTTGAGTAGCGTGCTACATCGTCTGCAGGCACGCAGCAAATGTAGACATTGTCGGCGAGCCACGCAAGGACGATGTCGTCGTCTGGCGCGCGGGGTGGCTTGCTGGCCAGAGTGATGAGCTGGCGACACGGAGCGCACGGGTCACGGACGTATGAGCTAAGCTGAGGGGAGCGAGATGGCAGGTATGAACATTGCACAACGTGAGAAGCAAAGAGACAACAAAGAATACAATCGTGACCATCGCGAATCGCTCACAGGCTCACACGCTCACACCCTGTACACGACACCCTCGCTGAGCATGACCTCACTCCTCTCGTCCATGTCTCGCAGCGCCTCCTCTGCCTCGCGATACGAGAAGAGCTCCTCTGGCTTGAGACCGGTGTTGACGAGGGGCAAGAGGGTCGCCACTTCGATCGCTTGCTCTTCTGCGAGCGCACCTTGCGAAGATAGCAGCGTCGAGAGGATCTCTCGGAATTGCTCGAGGCGAGGTGCTGTGATGGGACCGTCGGTGGGAGCGGGGGCCGCCGAGGCCTCGGCTTGTGGTGGCGGGGGCGAAGGGGAGAGACGCTCGCCATTCGGGTCTTCGTTCTCGGGAGGCTGCAGCGGACTTGACGGCTGGTCACGAGCTGCGGCTCTGGTGCCGTAAGCGCCAGTACCCGCGTAAGGCATCCTCTTGTCCGGCTCCTCATCACTCTCGCTCTCACTCGCACTCTCGTCGCTCTCTGGGCTGCGCGATCCGCGAGTGGTCCTTCTCCTCTTGCCCTCGCCACGCTTCGATGCTTTCACCACCTCCTTGAAAAGAGCGAATCGCAGCAGCTCCTCTGCAACGCGCGCATCTGCTTCTTCCACCTTGGTGCTCAGCCTCGCCTTGGCGTGGGCGGTTGCCAATCGGATCAGCGTCTCGAGCGTACGAGCTGTGAGGGGCGATGTCTTGCGCTGATTGCCCGAGAGCTCATCGTTGCGCAGATTGGCGTAGACGTTGACGATCCACTCCGAGGCACCCTTGGTCAAGACGGGCGTCACACGCTTGGCGTAGGAGACGTACTTCTTGACAAAGGCCAATGAGAGGACCTGCTTCTCGGCAGAGCGAGTCGAGGCGCTACGTGCGATACCGGCGTGAAGGAGCGGGTTGTATTTCTCCCACGGCCCCTGTTGCTGGGCGTCGACGCTGTTGGCTGCCTCGCGCTCAGCGTCGTCGTTGCTGCCGACGGCGAGATTCTGGTCGAGCGAATCCTTGGGCGGCTCACCCTCTTCGAGGCCAGGCTGAAGGTAGCGGTGCATGCGCAGGACGTGCTCTGAGATGGCGCGATCTCGCACTTCGTCGACGTCATCTGTGACCACGAAGAGCAAGTCGAAACGCGAGAGGAGCGAGTCGGGCAGAGCGATGTTCTTGTGAGGATCCTTGTGCGGGTCGTACTGCCCGTAGATGGGGTTGGCAGCAGCAACGACGGAGCATCGAGCGTTGAGCGAAGTGTGAATACCAGCCTTGGCAATCGTCACCGTCTGCTGTTCCATGACTTCGTGGATGGCTACGCGGTCTGACTCGCCCATCTTGTCAAACTCATCGATGCAGACAACGCCGCGGTCGGCCAGAACCATTGCGCCTGCCTCGAGACGTCGCTCGCCCGTCTCGCGGTCAGTGGTGACGGCTGCTGTGAGACCGACGCCGGAGGATCCACGACCAGTGGTAGCGATGGCGAGTGGAGCGGTGTGCAGGACAAAGCGCAGCATCTGCGACTTGGCGGTGGACGGGTCGCCTACCATGAGCATATTGATGTCTCCACGGATATGCGTGCCGTTGGGCAGATTCTTCTCGACACCTCCGAGAAGCAGAAGGAGAATGGCCTTCTTGATATAGTCGTGCCCATAGATGGAGGGAGCGAGCGACTGCGAAAGGAGCTGGAAGACGTTGCGGCGCTTGGAGATTTTGTTGATGTGGCGAATGTCCTGGTCGGTGAGAGGGGTAGATGCCAGCCCACCGCCGGATTTGGAGCTGAGGAGGTGAATGGAATTGCCGATCATGAGCGTCTTGAAGGTGGAGGACTGGCTTTGGCCGACGCGGTTTCCGAGACTGCGGTAGAGGCCTACGAGCTGGACGCGGTCGCCGGGCTTGCAAGTGTCGACGAGGTCATCCTGAAGGGGAGGGCAGAGAGGGGAGGAAAAGTCAGCGAGTGTAGTGATGATGCTGTACCCGGGCCGCCACACGCGCTCACATCCATGACAATGTCGATACTGCGAGGCAGCTGTCCAGGCGGAGCCCTCTCCGGCATTTCCTGGATCGATATAGACTGGAAGTCGCGGAATGTGCTCAATCCAAATTCGGTCACGAGACGATGACCCTCCTCGTCCTCTTGTGGGTAGGCTGTGGCAGAGGGAGGCGCTGTACCCAGCATCGTGGCATCGCGGTATTCGCGGTAGTGGAAGCGATCGGTATCTTCGCAGTAGTGGACTGACTTTGTAATCTTGGGTCGGACGAGGGAGCACTTGGTAATGATGCCTTCAAGCGCTACCATTCGACCCAGATGGATACTTCTGAGCGTACGTGGGCTGACTGCATTCTCTCCGAAGCTACCCTTGAAGCCTACGTAGAAGGCGTTGCTGCGTACGAAGTCGTCGTCGTCGACGGTGTCTGCTACGTCCTCAACGACGGTGCGGAGGGCCGCTTGGAAGGCGGGGAGATATTCGTTGGGCTCGTAGAGGAGTGCGGTTGCGAATTCGCGATTGTAGGAGCGGAGGATGTCGATGGATACGATGAGACGCTGCTGCTTCAGTCGCAGCATGGTGCGAATGGCCTGACGGTGATCGACGGGGCCAGACTGTGTGAGAGAGAAAGAGAGGCGAAGGTGGTCAGGCCAAGTCAAGTCAAGTCATGACAAGTATCGTCATGCGCGCACCCACCTCGTCGATGAGAAACTCGTGAAAGACACGAGTGCGATCGCGTAGCAGGTCATCCTGGAGGACTGGCAAGTCAAAGTCCATGATGCGGTGGTGATGACAAGTGGTGAGGAGGAGGAGGAAAGAGGCGGCCGTCGCTCTCAGGCTTTCCCTCGTCTGGTGTTGCGTCGCTCGACTCGCAGACCAATTTACACGTCTCGAGGCGCGGCGCGTTTGCTCTTCGGAGCGTGCCAGAGACGCCACGCGAGCGGCGGGATCGTCGTCAACCTTGGCAGGTAGGTGCTCGAGGTGCTCGAGCCACCCATTTCGACGATTCATTCACCCTTCAGCCCCCGCCCTCCTCTCTAGGCTCGCTGCCATGGCAACAGCAGCGCCTTTCAATCCGTACATCGAGGCGTCCCTCTACACAACATCGGCATCGCGTGAGAAGTGGGACGCTTGCGCGAACCTCTACTCGCTCTTGGTCTCCCTCGACGCTCTGGAGCGAGCCTACATCTCGTCGCACGCCGTCGATGAGCAGCGATATGCTCCTCAGTGTACACGCTTGCTGGCTCAGATCAAGACGAGCGTCAAGCTTGTGACAGCGAGTGGAGCTAGCGCGGGAGGGGAGGGCCCGCCTCCTGTTGCAGACGTCGATGAATTCATGGCCGTGTGGGGGGTGAGTCGCGCGAGGTGCGGGAATGCTGAGGAAATACCTGGCAACGCTGACTTGCCATCGCCTCCTCTCGCTCAGCTCAACCTGCCACTGACATCGCATCGACTTTCACTAGGGATCCCCGCCACTCTGGAACATCCTGGTGGCGGAGGCGGAGGAGGTGGTGCCTTATCCTCCTCTCACCACGGCGGCGCCTCGTCGTCGTCACACATCTCACCAGCCGATCGAGCCAAGAACGTGGCCGAGACGACTCAAGCTTTCATCACGCTCATGGACGCATTGAAGCTCAACTTGCGTGCCAAAGACCAGCTTCACCCACTCCTTGGCGAGGCAGTGAGCTGTTGGAATCGGCTAGGAGGTGGAGGAGGGCAAGGCAGTGGGGATGACTCAGGGCTCGGAGGGCGGAGGGAGAAGTTGGTGGGATGGCTCATCACGCTCAATCAACTGCGGGCTAGCGACGAGATTGACGAGGATCAGGCGAGGCAGGTGAGTATACACGCAACGAGTCACAAGATGTTGTGCACGCTGACACCCCACTCCTCCGCAACGCCGCAGATGCTCTTCGACGTCGAAGGAGCCTATCAAGCGTGGTTCCGGAGTCTTCAGGGCGGATGATCAATGCAACCAGGAGTGGTGATTTCCCTTCTTGTGGTGACTGCTGGCTTACGCCAAGCTCTGCACTCTCCTTGCCTCGTCAGCCTTGACCCTGTGCTTGAGGTCTGCCTTTTCAATCCCAAGTCCCTCTGCTTTCCACCTCGCAATGTAGTCTCTGACCTTGCGCTCGACCTCTTCTCGACCTGCGCTCCTTCCAAATGCGTCGACGAAGCCTGCAGCGGCGTGCAGAAAAGCGATATGGTCAGCTAAAGTCTTCTCACATCCTTGGCCCTCCGCTCGCACTCACGCCCCTCCGGATCCATCAGATAAAAGAAGATGCTGTGGTCGACGAGATAGTCACCCTTGGGGTCTGCATTGGGCGGCGTCGAGAAGTAGACGCGATACGCCTTGCAAGCCGCCTTGACTGCCTCGTAGCTGCCCGTCAGCCCGACGAGACGAGGGTGGAAGTCGGCGATGTACGTCGATACGAGGGACAAGTCATCGCGGGCTGGATCGCACGAGATGAAGATGGGGTTGATGATGGGACCGTGTGTGGCGTCGATGCTGTCTACGACTTCACCCATCTTGTCAAGCTCCTCTGGGCAGATATCTGGGCAGTTTGTGAAGCCAAAGTAGACGAGGCTGAAGCTTCCCTCAAGGTCCTTGTGCGTCACCTTGTAACCTTGCTTGCCAGAATCTGCCATGACGAGCTCAAATGGTCCACCTATGCGTGGTCGCCCAACCTTTGCATTTGCTGACTCTGCGGCTTTCCTAGCAGCGACCTGATTTCGCTCATGTTGGAAGTAGAGGAAAAGACCGGCGCCTGTGAGGACAAAGAGGGCAGCTGCTCGGATGTTGAAGGGCTGCGATGGTGCGGTGATAAGATTGTGTCAGTAGGGGCAACGAAGTGATTGCGCTGGGTGATACTCACGCCTACGGCTGCTCGCTCCTTTGCTTGATCCTTTGCCCTCTGCTCAGGACTCGTTGCATACCATCGGCGAGCAAGTGTGGCGGCTCGCGGTGCCGTCAGGGCTGTGATGCGAGGAGCACGCAGTGAGGGCGACGCAGGCGATGGCGACCTCAGCAGGAGTCTCGACGTCGACGCAATACTTGATGCTGGCTTGAGCATGGTTGACTGAGGACGATGGAAGGTACAGAGTGGAGCTCGACGTGATGATGGAAGCCGCCCTCGCCCCGCCTCCTCCTCCTTCCGCGAGGGCGCGTCCGTCCGTCGACAGGAATTTTTGAGCTCTCGAGTTGCGACGAGGATCGCTGTGCTGCTGCTGCTGCTTCCTTGGCAACCAATCACTCGACTCGCCCGCAATGCCCAAGTTCAATCCTAGGCAGCAGCAAAAGAAGCTACGAAGGCACAATCCTATCGCCAGAGCAGCACCGGCGATTGAGTTACCACCATCATCATCATCATCATCTGGCGCAAAGAGCAATGGCAGCTCAGATGCTCTGCCCATCTTAGCCAATCTGCCCCTTCCCTCATCCTCGTCCTCGCCGGCATCTATTCAAGAAGACGAGAAGGTCCTGCGCGCACTCCAAGGCCTCAATCCGCTGCTACTCGCCAAGCCATCTCGAAACATCCTCCTCGAGCCAAAGCACAAGCTCATTTCCCGCCTAGTCCACCTCGTCGACCATGCACGACTCGAAGTGCGCAAAGAGGCAGCCGGATGCTTGCGCAACCTCTGCGTCGAGGCAAAGTGGGCCGTAAGGGAGCAGATTTGGCAACATCAAGGGGGTGCTCGCGCGCTGGCTCAAGCAGAATATGCGGCGAGGGAGCTGGGTCTGCTCCCAAAATCACAGGAACATGCAGACACCGCCTCTGCTGCGCCTGTCACATCAGCTCCAGCAAAGAAGCCCGAAGAGATGAATCGAAAGGAGAGGCGGCACGCTGCCAAGGCAGCAAAGGCAGCCGGTACGACTGCGGCCAGCGATGACGCCGACGCTGCCCCTGTCAAAGCGACGCCCGCCTCAGCAGCTGCCGAGATGGCTGCCCACGAGCTCCTCCTCCTCCACCTCAGCCTCCTCGAGAACCACCTCACCATCATCTGGTGTCTCTTGGAGGGTGTCAGCTCCCCAGTCTGGCTCACGACTCTCAATCGCTCCATCCTCTCTACGCTCCTCTGCCCCTGCATCTCCACGGCAGCTCAAGCATTTTCGCAGCCATACTCGACGAACAAGATCACTCAAAAGGAGGAGATCGAAGTCAGGACCGCTCAAGTAGAAGTTGCCTCTACGGCAGCTAACCTCCTCGCCACCTGGCTCGAAGACAATGCAGCAGGAGCAGCTACGCTCGCCGGCCTACCACTGGACCTCGTCGAGCAGGTAGAAGCATTTGAGCAGGCAGGCAACACCGCCGAGCCCGGGTCCAAGGGACGCAAGCGATTGGAGATGATCTTTGACAAGTTTGCAAAACTTGATGCAGAGGCGCAGCGTCGTGCCAAGGATGGCGTTGATGCTCTGACCGCAAGCTTCGAGGCGATGATTGCTGGCGAGGACAACGCGAACACGAACAAGCTGAACTATTCGAAGCCCACGCTCGGTCTGTTGGCTTTGGCGTCATGCTGCAACCTCGTAGAGTCGCTGCCTATTGCACTGCGAGCGTGGGTTCCGAGCTCTTCTGGTAGCCTTGCGCAATGGCAGCTGTCGACTGCCGCACCCAAGCTACTGAACTTCGTCACCACCACGAGCGCTGACGAAGGTTTGTGGAAATCGCTCGAGACGGCTTCGACGCAGCCCCGTGAGAAGGTGGAGCTGGCAGAGGCGGCTGGCATGGAAGTGGACGACCACCATGACGACCACGCCGATGAGCAGCCAAAATCAACCCGCGCTCTGGCCCGCCTTGACGACCTCACTCTTGCTGTTGAGCTGCTCGGAGAGATCTGCGCAGAGGCTGGTGTGCAACCAGGAGACGATGGCGCTTTGTTGCCACCCGAAATGGCTGCTGCTCAGGCGAAGAATGGCGAAGGCAATGGCATGGACGAGGACGACATCGACGAGACGCAAGACGACGACTTGGATTCTGAGGAGGAAGAGGAAATGTTGGCGCTGGCGGATGCCGACCGTGAGAGCGATGATGGAGGGGACGCGCAAGGAGACGTCTCCATGGAGGCGAGCAACAAGAAGAAAAAGGTTGGGCGGGGCGATGCTGGAGACTCGACTTGGTCTGCCTCGCCCTACGCTCAGCTGGTCTCGAAGCACCACTTGCCTACGGCCCTGCTCAAGTTGCTCGTCGCGCCTACCTTTAGCAATGCGCACGTTGCTGAGCTGTCGCAGCCCTTTCTTCAGGCCACGCACGGCGCCTTGGCCGCTCTCCTCTCTGGGCTCTCAGCCCACGCCAAGCCTCCGCCATCTCAGCCAGTCGAGGAGGGCAGCAAGGAGGCGCGCCGTGTAGCTCAGTATCAGCGATGGGTGTCTTCGGAGGCAAGCAGCCTGAGCGAGACCTGGCAAGGGCTCAAGGAGAGCGCGCAGGCGGCGGATCAATCTCTGGACAATCTTGTGGCCATTTGGACTGGCCTCAGCTCGCTCCTCGTCATGCACGAAGGGATGGAGGCTCTGGCGTTCGATATCCAGGCAGCTGACCTACAGACCTTCTTTGGTGCCTCGCTAGACCGAGCACTAGCCGTCAAGGGTGACGAGGTAGCTGCATCGGTCTCCTCGCTCATTATCTCGAGCTTCGGCAACGTCGCGCGGGTGCCGCAAGCCTCTTGCCCCCTGATCGAACGCAATCGCTTTGCGTGCGAGCTTTGGCTTAAGCTTCTCGCATCTGCCAATGATGTACCGCCCCCTGCTCTTCTCTCGGCGCTCAACGCATTCATCGACACGTACGCCGACGAGACGTCGCAGTGGGACCAGGAAGTATTCGTGGCGGGAGGCGTGCTGGGCGGAGTCAAGGCGTGCGTGCCTGGTGTGAGGGAGCGCATCCGCTCTAGTGTGGACAAGCGCAAGGAGGCGGCATTGAGGGAGCGCTTGGACGAGGCCATGACCAACTTGATGGCATTTATAGAGTACCGAGAGTCCCTCGCGGCGTAACATAGAGCAGAAGACCTAGATCTCGGCCAATGCCATTTCTGTGCGCCACGCGATCCACGTCCGTTGTCCCTTGTCTCCTGGTTGAGCCTCGGCAAATTTTGGCCAGCCTCCGTCGTTGGTCCGTCGTGCGAAGGTCGGGTCGTTTCCGTTTCCCGTTTCCGTCCCCTTTTATTCACTTGATACTCAACACCGCAATGCCTCAGGCTTCATCATCATCATCATCTGCACCGCCGCCCAAGCGGACAAAGTACGATGAGCTGGGCGCCATTGAGCCATTCTACACAGGCTCGGGATCGACGTCGCTGACCAGAAGTGGACGATATCTGTTTACGGCCCTGGACAATGAAGTCCTCTGCTCAGACGTCGAAGATGGAGCGGGAAGAGTCATTGGCAGGCTAGAGCCCGTGAGCAGCGCGCGAGAGCCGGTAAGCCGAGTGATTGTGGTTGCTGACCATCGCTGCTGCCCCTTTTTCCTAGGACGGCGAGGAGATCTCGTCGATCAGCGTCACACCAAACGGTTCGCACGTCTGCATCACGACTCGTGCAGCCTCTTGCACCTTGTACATCTACGCCATCAACAGCTTTGCGCCATTCACCGCCAGTCGCACACGCTCGCAGGCTCGCGCCCACGATGCGCCAGTCGCAATTTCGCACGTCGACTCGACGGGCAGCTTGCTTGCGACGGGAAGCGCAGATGGAATCGTCAAGATGTGGGATATTCACGGCGGCTTCGTCACTCACGTCTTGCGTGGGCATGGCGGCATCGTCTCCGCGATCGCATTCGCCATCGTAGCTCAGAGGTCACGTCTGTTCACATCATCGGTGGACGGCAGGATACGCGTCTGGGACCTCAACGACCGACCCAAGCAGGGGGCCCAGAAGCCAATTGCCACACTCGGAGGGCACATGAGCGTCGTACGAGGGCTCAGCGTCAGCGTCAGTGGCAAACGCTTGATCAGCGGTAGTCGAGACAAGACGATCTGTACGTGGGAAATGAATGCACGAGGGGCTTGGGCATTGAAGGAGACGATTGCCGCCAGCGAAGGGGTTGAGGCATGCGGTTTTGTGGGCGAGGACGAGGAAGATGTCTTCTATACCGGTGGGACGTCGAGTCAGGTCCGCCTGTGGTCGTTTCGTTCGGGCAGTGTGGTACGACAGCAGCCTGCTGCTCCAGCATTGAGTGGAGCTGGGCACGATGACGAGGGGGAGGGGGAGTTGCAGGGAGTCGTAGGCGTACACCAATCAGAGACAGCCCTCGTTTCGCTTCACGCCGATTCGAGGATGATTTGGCGGTCGCCCATCGACCTCGCAAGACAACGCCAGCTCGTGGGCTTCAACGACGAAGCCGTGGACTCGGCACTACTGGGCAACCACCTCGCTGTGGCAACGAACTCGTCGGCCATCCGCATATACCCACTGCCTGCGCTCGGCGGCAGCGAGCAGCAACCTGGCAGCGTGTCTTTGCTGCCTAGCGAGCCGTCACAGCCAGGCCACACCGAGAATGTTCTCAGCATCGACGCAAGCGCAAGCGGGAACCTGTTGGTCAGCGGTTCAAAAGACCGTACTGCGAGAATATGGGCGCCGAGGGATGGAGAGTGGCGCTGCATCGCCGTTGCGGAGGGACACGCGGAGTGCGTCGGTGCCGTTGGCTTTTCACGCAAGGTCTGGCCTGACGAAGAGTTGCCGCGCTTCCTCGTCACGGCCAGTCAGGACCGCACTGTGAAGGTGTGGGACCTCTCACCGCTCGCAAACGCCACATCATCGCCCCTTCGGCTGCGCAGCTTGGTCACCCTTCGCGTTCATGACAAGGCCATCAACTCGCTCGAGGTTGCACCAAACGACTCGCTGCTGGTCACGGGCTCGCAAGACCGCACTGCCAAGGTCTTTAAGCTCGCCTACAGTCCGCCTTCGAAGGCAAATTCGCAGACAGCCAGCGCCAAACTTTCCCCGCTCGCGACGCTCAAAGGCCACAAGCGCGGCGTCTGGAGCGTGGCGTTTTCACCCGTGGATCCGGCCATCCTGACGACATCGGGCGACCGCACCGCCAAGCTGTGGTCTCTGCGCGACTTTGCCTGCGTCAAGACGTTCGAAGGTCACTCCCACTCGGTACTCAAGGGGCGCTTTTTGCAGGGCTCCAAGGGCACGCAGATTGTCACGGCAGGTGCGGACGGCTTGGTCAAGCTGTGGAACGTGCGCGATGAAGAGTGCACAACGACGATGGAGGCGTCGGAAGACCGTATTTGGTCGGTCTCAAGCTTCGGGAGCGGTGAGGGCTTGGCAGTCGCTGGCGCGGACGGTCATCTTCGCTATTACAACGATGTGACGGAGCAAGCTCAGCTCGAGGAGCTCAAGGAGCGCGAAAAGGGCGTCGAAAGGGAGCAGCACTACGAGAACCTCCTCGCCGTGCACGACTACCGTGGGGCGATTTTGATCTGTCTCGCTGAGGGCCAGCCGAAGCGTCTGCTCAACCTCTTTACGAAGGTGGCTGCGTCGAAGCGGGCGCGCGATGTGACAACGAGCTTGATGGACTTGGCCCTCGCCGACGACAACGCAGCCGCACCCGAAGATATCACGGGTGTGGACGAAGCTCTCGCCACGCTTCCCGCCTCTCACCTCGGCCAGCTGCTCAAGTACATTCGCGCCTGGAACGCCTCGAGTCGCACGGCGGGTGTGGCGCAGGGCATCCTGCACTGCCTGCTCCGATCGTACAGCGCCGACGAATTGTTGGACGCTGGAGGGGACGAGGCATTGGATGCGCTCATTGCGTACAGCGAGAGGCACTACGCTCGCGCAGAGAGGATGCTGATCGAGAGCGCGGTGCTAGACTACGTAGTGAACTTGATGGGCGGGAGTGGCGAGGAAGGCGAGGCGGTCACGAATGGCAACGGCGCGCATGCGAGTGAGGACGGCGAGGGGATGGACGAGGATGACGAGAGCAGCGACGGAGAAGCTAGCGAGTTGGATAGCATGGACGAGGATTGATGCGGTGATGCAAAATGCGAATGAATAGAACTGGAGACGCTTCAAATGCTGGTCAGCTCACGATCCCAGTGCGCAGAGCAAAGCGTGCGCCATCGCTCGTAGGTGACTGAAGAGCTCGGCGCCAGCGGGCGGGCGGGCGGTCGCTTACCACGACGCAGGACCATGCCAAGGAAACACTGTCGTACAGCACGGCAACGCTAGTAAACTCGACATGCCTGATGCAATGAGGAGGGCACTTGCGGACGACGAGTCTGGCTTGCACACCACCTGCATTCCGAGGTGTGCATTCCGAGGTGGGGATCACTTCACTACGAGCCGCAGAGAGCCATGATTCGCGCTTGATGCGCCGCGTAAAGCTGTGCAACGATCAGCGCCTCGCCACGAGAAGAGGCCGGCGAGCATCTCGTAATGGGAAGCGCGGCGTGAGGCTCGACACCTGATATCGCGATGGCAAGAAGGTGTTGACTGCAGCAACACAATACCACGCTCTTTTTCGGGACCGTTAATTCAGCAATCAATGATCAAAAATCCCCAAAGCATGTCTGCAGCTCATGAAGCACTGTGACAAGCCTCATGCCACGCTGAAAGGGTGGCTTCAGAAGGGAAAAATGGGACTTTGGCTAGTGTAAAAAGAGGCTCCTCGTGAAGGAGCACGCAGCACAGTGTAGAGCAACTCGGGTCAACTGCGAAATAGACAGAAGCATGAGCGTCAGGCTGCAAGTCAATTTGTAGGGTCTACAGAGCAATACGTTTAGCATACACGAGATCGGAACAAGAGTTGACCTCAAAGCAAAATCAATCCAGCAGTCATGTGTAGAAGACTTGATCACGCAGCGTGCTGTGCATGGCATGCAAGAGGGAGCTGAGTCTAGACAGGGCGTCAGACACACAAAAGGCAATGCTCCACAGCGGTAGCCTTCCTGATCACCTCTGTTTACATAGCAATTACTACGAGATCATCGTGAGCCCTCGGATGCGAGCGGCGAGCTCCGCCAAGCTGATCCTTGAAGCTCACGAAGGACTCAGCTCTCGAATCTCTGCGGAATGCCACGACAGGCGCGGCGCGTCTAAGTCAAGCCCATGCATGCCTATGGTGACATCGGATCCACAGAAACACAGAAGGCCGTCAAAAAGTCAGCATGGGGAGTCAAATTGAGCTTGCTATGGCCTCATTGCGAGCCATTCTTTGCAGAAACAACAAAATCGCTCTCAGAATGGATCAAAATTGAGGGCTATTGTTGCACGCTCTTGCAGACAAATACGTAGCATGGAAAGAAGACATGCAGAGCGCTGCTGGGCGGGAAACGCAGCACGACTTTTAATACTGCTCAGAAGACGGGCACAGCACGCAGCTGTCTTTCATCCTTCTTGCTCTTTGCTGCTCTGCTGTGCTGTGCAAGCACTACGACCTGATTGGTTGACGGTGGCTGGGTAAAGAACGCTGAGTTGAATGGGCTTGAGCAATTGCGCTAGCCTTGATCACCTTGGAGGCCGCTGCGCCGCCGGCGTACTTGACAGAGAGGATGATGAGTGTCGGGCGTAGAGGTATTCTTCTCGCGAGCTGGCATTGCCGTCTTTGCCCTAAAGACAGGTGTGGCAATAGCTCTGCTCTGTGGACCATAGCACGGCAGCACCACATTTCTATGAACCCAGCTGCTTTGGCAAGCTGGTCGAGGCGTGGCATCCGTTGAAGAGGCTATGAAAGTCTTCCTCAACGTGCGGTCATGCTCAGCTGCGCTACAGCCGGAATGTGGTGTTCCCTCGTTCTGTGTTGGAGCAGCGCCGCTGCGCTTTGTTTACACAGCAATTCGTTGCCACTCACGGTCAGCAACTCCCGCAGCCGCCGATACGAGAGCGGCTTCGCGGCGCAGCGGCACCTGCGGCTCGTGCAGTGGCACCTCATCACTCCTTCTGGCCAGCCTTACTTCCATTCTGCCCGGCGGTCTCAGAGGATGTGCCCGATGTGTTGAAAGGTGCTGTCGATAACGAGATCCGCATCTTGAGCCCGACCTTCGACCGTATCTTGCTCTATCTCCGCTACGCTCCTTGTACTCTATCAGCGGCAAGAGCATCGTCAACATCTTTCACTCGCTGGTCATGCTCTTTCTCGAAGTGACAGGTGGTCGCGTGTTGGAGCCAAGCAGGCAAGCGCCGCGGAGGCCAGGTGGGGAGATTAGGGCGACTTTGGCTGATGGGCCGTCCGTCGAGCGCTTCATTACCATGTCGAACGGATATCACGATTTGCCTGCTTCCAGCCATCCCATCGACATCTCCTGCGTCGTGACCATGGCCAAAAGCTCAGCTGTTGCACGTCAACGCGACCGGAACGGGCTTGAACGCGGGTGTTGCTTCGTCGGGAAGAGGAGACCAACACCTCGCTCCTCCCGTCCATCCGTCCGTCCTTTCTTTCCTTCTTTCCACTCCGTCCCGTCCGGTCCCCCTCTTGTGCCCCTCGCCCGCCCGTCATGGCCACCGCCCAGGCAACTGCGACGTCATCAAAGACGCATCTCACGCTGCGTGGCTCGACGGCCATTGTCTCTGACTTCTTCAACTTTTCCGTCCAGTCGATCCTCTATCAACGAGGTGCGTGCCAGGAGGTCGCGAAGAACAGATTGGCCTCTGCTGACCCCTTTCCCACTTGTGCAGGCATCTACCCGGCCGAGGACTTTCGTCCAGTCAAAAAGTATGGCCTTCAGATGCTCATTACCACAGATGATGGACTGGAAACCTATATCGGAGACTGCCTAAAGCAGGTGGAGCGATGGATCGAGGCAGGCGAACTCACACGCCTCGTCGTGGCCATCGTTGAAAAGGAGAGTGGCGAGACGAGGGAGCGATGGCAGTTCGATCTCGAGGTGACGGGCAAGGAGAGCGAGTGAGTGACAGAAAGCAGCAGAGGACCAAGAGCCATCCCTCACCCTCGATCCTCTCCCGCAGGCAACCCGCTTCCTCATCGGCCCCACCCGCGCCAGGCTCCAAGAAGACGGATGCTCAGGTCAAGGCAGAGATTGCAGCAATCATCAAGCAGATCACAGCATCGTGCACGTTCCTGCCCGTCATCGAAGAGGAGTGTGCGTTCGCGAGCCAAAGAGGGGCGCGAATGACAATCGCTCACGTTCTTTGCCTCCTCCTCTCGCTCCTCACACGCTCAGGCGCATTCCAAATCCTGGCCTACACCAATTCGCAGCTCTCAGAACCCGTCCCGCTGGAATGGCAGGACTCAGATGCCCGCCTCATCGCCGAGGGTCAGGCAGAGCAGGTCAAGCTGCGCTCCTTCTCGACGGCCATTCACAAGGTCGACGCCGTAGTCGCATACAGGCGCGGCGAAGAGGACGAGTAGCAGCGCCAAGAGCAAAACATGTATTTGTAGCAGCGAGCCAAATCTGGTATCATCATATTCTCCACCTTCATTCGACGGCGTCCCACATCGCGTTGACCATCGTCGCTCGCTCGGCATCGCTCATCTCTGCCCAGCCGCGAGAGCCAGCTGCGCCTCCCTTTTCGCCCACCTTGAAGGGCGTCACCTTGCCCTTTGCGTCGGAACGAGCAAACAGCGTCGAGATGGCATCGGGCGCCGACGACGAGGAAGATGAGGAGGAGAGGAGGGGTTGAAAGCCGAGCTGACGGAACATGGTGAGCGCCAAGCTGCAAACAAGTGCGGGAGGAGCAGAGAGTCAGCGAGGATGTTTCCGTATCTGCGTCTCGCTCCCGCACTCACGTGTGACGTCCGAGGGCCTTCTCTCCCCACGCCTCTCCCTCCTCGTCGTCCTCCCCTTCACCGTCGTCCACACCTGCTGCATCGTCGCCGCGGTCCAGCCTCTCGAGCTCAGCCTTGCACTCCCTCACATCCGTCTCTGTGCGCGAGATGGCCGCCTCGAGCTTGGCAATCTGCTTGGCCAATTCGAGCGTGCGCTGTCCGTAGGCGGCGAGGTGTTGAGAGTGAGCGTTTGGAGACCGCCACGACGAGCGAGGCTGCGTGGCTCGTAGTGTCGCGAGATTCGATTGAAGGGCTGTCGGCGTGAGATTGTTCGTCAGCTCCGCTATAGAACATCTCTCATCGTCCCTGCGTCTCGCTCGCTCACCATCCAGCTTGTTTGCCCATCGCCTCCTCTGCATCTGCCTCTCCCTGCTCTGATCCTGAACAGCCTCGAGTACTTGCAGCCAAGCTTCAATATCGGAGGTGGGATCCATGGAATCCTTGGCCACCGCCAGAACCTCCCTGTCAATCAATCAGAGGACCTCGAGTGTCAGTCGAGCCAAACAAACACCCCACTCGCCTCGCGCAGCGCACCTACTCACGGCAGCTCTGCAATTGTAATTTCTGTAAACTTGCGAGGCTGGTAGGCCGGCGCCTCTCCACTCGATGGCCCTGCTCCTAGCTGCGAGGTGGATGCGACTGCAGCTGCCATTGTTATGCGCGTGGTGATGAGTGGTAGCGGAAGGAGGAGAAGTTGTTCAGGCGCATGTTTGGCGGACAGACGCGTCTTTGCAGGCGCGGACTGGCGGGGCGCGCCTCCCCATCAACCAACACCTCAATCAACACGCACGCCAAGAGAAGAGGATGACTCGCCTACTCGCCCTTTCATGTTGGCATGAGAGACAATGGTATACAATTGATCGCAATCCTACGACCACAGCTGAGCACACCGCCACACGTCCCTGCATCGTCGATCGAGTACAGCCAGCTCCGGGTCAAATGCATATCGCCGCCTGTCTCGATCGCTCCTCGCATCCCACCGCCAGCACAGCTCGAGGCTTGACGCAGTGCGTGGCGAGGCCGACCCTTCGTAGCCCTTGTCGCTCTTCGTCAGCACAATCGACTCCAGGAAGACCACATCGCCCGTCCGCAGCGCTGCTTGAGTTGTCCCTCCCACACGTGGCCCATCTCGCAGCAGCGTTGACATCCCAGCAGCCGTCGTGCCAGCTGCGAGTGAAAACTCATCTGCCCCGCTGTCATCCCCCTCCAAGGATGCCCAAACCCTCGCGCATTCGCCCCACAGCATCACTTTGAGTAGCGCCGCATCTCTCCCGTCTTGCAAAATCAGGTGACTACGGAACGTCCTCTCCAGCCTGCCCTCGATCAGCTTGCCGCCTTGGTACACTTTTGCATTCACCTCGTCGAGCGACCCAATCTCGCGAACCAGAGCGAGGACGTTGAAGCGTACGGCCGATGTCTGACCGCGTGGGCCACCAAGATGGTCGGGCAGAAAGAGTTGCGGCTGCCTTGCGACGGTCGAGAGCGACGTGACCGAGGACGGGTCGAAGCGCAGCGTTGGTGGCGGTGGTATCGAATCGACGCCATTGGACGACGACGTCATCGAGGCATCCGTCGACGCAGACATCATCGACTCGGGACAGTGTGCGACAGACAGTCGCGATGAGCGAAGTCGTGGTAATGGCGGACGCGATGACTCGCTGTTCAGCCCTGCGCGACTGCTCTCGTCGACGGTCATACAGCCAGTTCGCGGGGGAAGGTCGCTCGTCGACAAGCTGCGGCACTGCCCTTTGCCCGGTGTAGATGCCGGCTGGACGAATACAAGCCTATTATTGGAGGCAATGGTGGAGTGGGCCACGAAGCGGCTGGGCTCGCCATCCCGACGCTGCGTCTGAGGCGTCTTGGACGGTGCCGCAGTTCTGGGCTCGACAAAAACGAGGCCTGAGCGGCGCGATGGTACTCGAGGAGGAGACGTCTCTACACGAGGGGCCTTGACGAGACGCATGACAGAGTGACAATCGCTGGGGTCGTCATTGAGCATGGGTCGCGTCCTTTTGCGCCCAGCGTCGCCATCAGAGTGCGATCTCTCGCTGCGATGTGTAAGCTCAGCATGGCGAGCAGCACTCGCGGCCAGAGTGGTGTGACTACCGTCGTAGCACATTGGCTGCTGTGTTGACCTCTGAATGCAGGTTTGACGCCCTTGTACCGCTGATGTGCCGCCCTTTGTCGTCTCTGCGGCTACTCTCAGCGCCGCGTCAAGGCTGTTAGACTGGCTGTCCTGAGAGAGGCGCTGTAGTGCTTGCTGAGCTGTAGCATTCAGGTCCATAGATTGCGAGCCGACGTTTGATGGGCACGACGCAGACGCGTAGCTCCTGCTTTCATAGCTCTCCATCGAGTGCTCTTGCGCCGCGTTGCTGTGCAGGCTTGGGTCGCCAGTCGAAGGTGCAGGAGGCGGCGGAATCATCACGACGCGCCCTCCTGCCCTCTTGGCAGGACTACCCTTGGGAAGTTCTGCGTGCTCCGTCTGCCGGGCTTCGTCATCTTGAAGATCTCCTCTGGCGCTGTCCTGGCTGCCTATCACAACCAATGGCGGTCGCACTCGGGTCGTCTTTGCCTGGGCTGTCGCAAGCTGCGTTGAAGCCATTATTGCCTTGGCAGTGACGAATCTGACTCGACTTGTGGTTACTGAGTCGTCCTCTTCTCTCGTGTGCTGCTGATGCTGACCATTGCCGCTGTCTTCCCGCTCATCGTCCTCGTCGATCCGCAGTTCCTCCTCCGGCGTCGTAGCTCGCAGAGCATCTCCAATCGCCTCGTCGGCCTGTGTGCCAGAGCGATAGGCATCCGCCAAGATCTGTACCGCTGCCACGCCCTCATCCTCGGCGTTCACCGCCCGCAGAGCATCTCCCACTGCTACAGTCCCGATACTGAATGGTCTGTTTGTCATGTCGGCCTCTCCTCCTGCTTCTCTGACGGCGCCTGCTGCCTCTCTGGTGGCGTCCGCCTCTTGCTGCACTAGTCCGCGCACGAAAGTCTCAGTCCAGCTCGTCATATCCTCGCCTTCTTGTCTTTCCTGTGGGCTGGTCTTGTGCACGCTCTGTCCTCTGCCCTGTCCAGGAGTAGTCTGCGGAGGAGAGACTTGCGCGTTAGTGAGTACGCGAGATGGAAGACCGGCGATAGCTTGTGCTGAAAAGAGAGATTTTCTGACTGTCGGCAGCGGATTGAAGCGTGTGTGCGATACAGAGGCAGCATGGTCCGAGGATGTGGCGCTCTGTTGCCATCTCGGAGACTCGGCGCTCTCTTCACTCCTCGTCCACTCCTCGTCCCTCCGTAGCCAAGTCGTACGCGTGTGTCGCGCCCGCGACGAAGGTGGGATGAAGACTCGATACCTCTGAGGTTCTATGTTGGATGACGACGCAGCGCGTGGCGGCATCCCTGCCACGCTCCGAATAGATGTAATGCAGCGTATTGTGTGAAGGCAGGGCGCTCGCTCAGTCCGCCCTTGAATTGAAGTCTGGGACGTGTTTGATGGGCGTGAACGAGGACGGACTGGCTCGCGTGGCCCTGCAAGGCAATCTCGACGTCATGCTCAGCGCTCGAGCCAACTCTACGTCGACTTGCCCGACTGAGCACGCATGCCTAGCTCGCACCCTTCAAGCATCATCTTGCCATCCACTACACCAACCACCACACTACATTACCAATTGCCCGAAATGTCTGACAACGCCGGCAACAAAGACGAGCAGCAGTTCTCTATTCAGTGAGCAGGGCGGAGAAGATGGTCCGGGCGCACACAGATACCGTAGCTGACCCAGCTCCCTCGTCGTCCGTAGGCCTCATCCGGCTACGAGTGCGTATCGACGATCGCGAGGTTGCAGATCCTACTGCAGGGAGGAGCTGTCATTCATCTCACCTACGACTGCCTGCTGACTCTGCTATCTCCTCCCTCCCCTTACAGCCAACGATCCCTCGACGGACCCTGCTCTGACGGGCAAGGGAGGTCAAGATGCTACGGGCAAGCCAGGCCCTTTCATCCCTGACGACGAGATGGCATCGAAGCTCGAGAAGCCCAAGAGCAGCGACGAGCTCAAGGCCGCCAGCGCCAAGCTCAATGAGTAGAGTCAGAGAGAGTTGGGAAGGCAGGACGCCCTCGGATCCGGCGATCATATGCGAATGTCCAACGGCTCGGTGCAGCGGTCGCTATCGCAGGTGACTCGAGAAGTTGCTCTCTTCTCCTCTCATGCTCCTGAATCTATGCTGTACAGTCAATTCGATTGTGTGCGTTGTGCTTGCTATGCTGCCAAGGGATGCCTCGCTCGTCCGGCCGACCGAGGGGCTCATGTGCAGGCCATCACTTGTGATCAAATAGTATTCTGTACCCGCGGCCATTTTCTGCTCTCTGATTCTCTCACTGTCATCATCATCATTAGTCAACGACGTCTCCGCTCGCTGATGAGTTGGACGTGTTGATCTGCTCGGAGTGGAGCCGGATGCATCGAGGCGGAGGTGTTGCAGTCCGCCGTGCGTCTCGAGGCGGATTTTCGACATCTTGCTCAACCATCCCTCGCCACATCCAGCAGCCCCTCGGAGGGCCTATCACTCAACCCGATGTCATCAGCATCAGAACACGACCGGCATCGGCGCCCATCTCTGACCTCGTCCGATGTCCCTCGCCACGACGATCGCCCCTCGCCATCAGCACAGGGGGATCAAACCACTCCCACCGAGGAGGGACGCCAAAATGAGTTCCCTGGCTTGACAGCGGATGAGGAAGCGGCTGGAGATGATGGCAAGACAGAGCAAGCTACTTCGCAAGGTACGCAAAGTGGCCAGCCGCCTTCAAAGCTCCATCGTACGCTACGACTTCTCGCTATCCTGGGCCTCCTAACAAATGCAGCTATCTGGGGAACCCTGACTCGCGAGGGTCTCATAGCACTCAATACATATGATGGACGTAGTATACAGCCAGTCATTTGGGCTCAGGCAGTCGGCTGTCTCGTAATGTGAGCGCGGCGATATCCATCCACGCATCCTAGTATGTACTGAAGCCCTTCTCATTCCTGCCCGCTCGCAGGGGTTGGACCGTAGCCAACAAGGAGGCCCTCGAGGCGTGGTATCCACCCATCTTCATTGCTTTGGGCACCGGATACTGCGGAAGCGTCACGACCTTCTCAACATGGATATTGCAAGTCTTTCAAGCCTACTCGAACCAGCATCACTTCAGGCGTCACGGCTTGCACAATGTCATGGACGCGCTCACCCAGACGGCGGCCACGTTGGGAATCTCTCTCGCAGCCCTCGCTGCTGGTAAGGCATTGGCAGGCGTACTGCCAGCTCGTGCCCTCACATCTCGACTAACAAGGCGGCGGAGCGGCAATGCTGGCCATGCATCATCCACGCGCCTCACCCCCACGACAGACTTGCTCGTCTTTCTTGTCCTCGGTGTAGGCTTCTGGGCCGGAGCAGCCCTCCTCGCCGGTCTCGAAACACGGCGCAACTTTCGCCCCACGACTTTCGCCATCACATTTGCACCTCCAGGCGCCATCTTGCGATGGCTTCTCTCGCCCCTCAACTCGAATCGCCTTTCCAAGCGCGCCCCCTACTGGCCACTCGGTACCTTTGCCGCAAACATCATCGCGACGCTGGTTCTTGCAGGCCTTTTCGACGCCCAACACTACGGGCAGCGCGGTCAGCTTCCCGCGGCTCACACCGTCGTGTCATGTCAAGTCCTCTACGGACTTCAAGAGGGCTTCTGTGGCTGCTTGAGCACAATCTCCACCTTCGCAGTCGAGTTGCGCAACCTCCGACCGCACAGGAGAGCCGTCAGCTACGCAGTGGGGAGCTACGCGGTGGGCATGGCCATCTGCGTCATCGTCATCGGAGCGCCTTGGTGGAGCGGAGGAGGTATGGAAGGGAGCTGTAGTGGACTCATTGGATATTCATAGCAATTGTTGCGTGTAGATTGATTAGACATCTCGATACCATTCCAACATCCGATTCCTTCTTGGTTCACGGTACCTCGAGGTTGTGCTGCTGAACTCGGACAATGAAGTTGAGGAGGACGGCGATGAAGAGTGCTGCACAGATCAAAGGTGGGCCAACCAGATCGTCGAAGCTGCCAGCATACTTTGTCTTGATGAGGTGAAGTCGGCGGAGGTAGTTGCCCAGCCCCCAGGCGAGGGTGAGGATGGCGATGCCTGCGTAGATGATGCCGAAGGTCTTGATCGTGCTGCGAGAGAGAAGGACGAGGATGAGGAATGCGGAATGAGTAAGAGCAGCCGCACGACCGTTTGTCCAGCTGCTCATCGTCACGCATCGCAGACTGACCTTGGTTCGAGTGCTCTGTTCTTCTTTGGATGCTTGGGGCTAGTCGGGTCTTCCGGGAGGTCGCTGTCAAGGAGGGGAAACAAGGGATCGGTCAACATTGGTCTGCCAATCTGCGGATTGGGTTGCACGATGATGCACTCACGGGTGATGATGCGAAAAGAAGCTGGACGAGTTGAAGAGTGCGAGGGAAAAGGATCCAATGAGGAGCGAGACGTGGAGCCACGAGATCCATGTTCGCTCGTTGGCAAGCCAGACCTTTGCTTCTACTCGAACAGGGGTCTTGACCTTGGGTGGCTTCGGTACCACGAATCTTGGATTAGACGAAGTGGCTCCATAAGATGTGCTAGCACCTGCATTGCTGCTCGTGGCAGCTTCATCTTGGAGTAGCGGCTCTCGCTCGCCGTTGCGGTCGTCGTCGCCGCTGTTCCAGCCGAAGATGGAGTTGAGCGTCATCATTGTTGAGCGACGGGAGGCGGAAAAGGTGCGGCCGCCGTTGTTCGCAAGGTGAGAGGAAGCTTCACGGGGAGTTGGCATGGAACTGTGAGAGGTGAGAATGGGTGATGGTTGGTAACGTCGGCGAGTTATCGTAGTGGGCTGCGAACGTGGCTCGAGAGCCGGCGGGCGGACAGCGTCGTGCATGTGAGCGAGCGAGCGTGATCGACGACGGTTGCTTGACTTCTCAACGAGTCGAGTTGAGCCGCGCAGTCCGCCCCCCGAGCCTGCCTCGCACTCCGTCGTCAGAGAAAAGGGCAGCAAGGCACACAAGGGCACGGCAGGGCACGACAGGGCACATCTTCTAACTCCTCGCCATCATCATCCAGCCATGAGGTCCATCGCAACCACGACGAGGGCTTTGGCTCGTCTGACTGTGCGGTCAACACAGTCTGCCACACGCACCATCACTACATCATCAAAGTGCGCTAGACCAGCAACGACGCAACAGTCCACCGCGACGCCTCCTCCTTTTCCGAGTAGCGACGCTGCGCCTGCCTACCAACCTTCGAATCGTCGCACTCGTCATCCAACCACCAATGTCGTCCAACACAGCCTCACCCGCGTAGGAAAGGCTCGCCATCTCCTCGCTTGGAACTGGCTCAGTCGCGAAGATGCAGGCTCCCTCGTCGTCGCCCTCGAGTCGGACAATGCAGAGCAATCTCTCCCCGGTTGGCTCAATACCGAGTACGAGACGGCGCGTGCCTTCCGCTCAGTGAGGTCAAGGAGATGGTTGCCATCGAGACTGCCCGAAGACATGGATGAAGCAGCGTCCTCATCTTCTTCACCGACGTCGGTCTCCCAGTGGCTTCACGAGCGCATCATGCAGCGCCGCGAAGATGACGTTGACTTTGCCATATTGCCTCTCGAGGACCAGGAGGACTTCATTTTGAAGGACGTGTGGAAGAGCATCGACGCAGAGGCTCGCAAGAATGCTAGCCTCGAATGTCGCTTCACATGCCTCCGCAAGTTGGGATGGCGCGCCGGCTACTCGGCTGGCTTTCCCCTCGCCGCAGACAGTCTGCAAGCTCAACGTCGCAGGGAACTCGTTGCAAGGACATCAAATCCCGAGGATGTTGCTGCTCTGGCGGAACTCAACGAATTTGACGAGGAGCAGGCTTGGCAAGATTGGATCTCCATGTCCTCTGCAGAGCGTGAAGCCGCAGAGCGAGATGCGTGGGAGCAACGTGATCGATCCACACTCTTTATCGACGACTCACCCTACTCCACTGTACTCGACTCAACGATGCCGCGATGGTTTGCTGAGCCGCAGCGTGCGGGCAACCTCGTCTTCTTGCCCAACATCCTCATCAAACTCGTTCGCAACACTACGCCTGCTGGTAAGCCCTACGATCCTTGGAAGGCAACCTTCCGCGTCCCTCTCAACGTCCACAAGCACACCGTCAAATCGTACCTCTTGGCCGTCTACGGGCTGCGCACCACCTGGATCCGATCCATGATTTATCGCTCCCCTCTTACGGGAACCAACTACGGCCAGCAAATCGCCACGGGCAAGGGTCGCACCTTCAAAAAGGTTGAAGTCGGTCTCCTCGAGCCATTCATTTGGCCAGAGATCCCAGCAGCAAAGCGCAAAGAAATCTTTGGCGGCGCATTCCTCGAGCAGCAGCGCGCAGCAGCGACGCTCAAGGCTAAGGGTATCAGGCGATGGAGGGGCAAGAAGATCGCGCCCTCAGCGCAGCGTCTTGAGGCGCAAAGATTGCGCGAAGAGAGGTTGCAGCGCGATCAGGCAGGTGAGGGCGAGCTGGTCGCAGTCGACCCGGAGGACAACAAGGCAGCGACGACGCCCAGGCTGTCACCCAACCCCAACAATACCATGCAGACCAAGAAACATGGCTCGATCTTGAAGCTGATTGGAGACAAGCGTAAGCAGAGGCAGAGGGAGATCGATGAGAAGGCGGCGGCATTGAGGCAGGAGGCAGAAGCGGCGAGCAAGACGGGGGAGCAGGCGTGAGCACAGCACAGCATAGCATCAATCGAAGCGGGCTTTCCATTGCAGAGCCAAGCCAGTGTGAACTCATGTCGCGTGTCTGTGATCGAGATGTATTGAAGCGAGTGTATAGACGTGACATGAATAGGGGTGGCCGGAGGGTCCAGACGCTACCACTTGATAGGGCCCCAGCCTGGCCAAGTGGCGGGAATAGAGGACTAGTAGCAGCTGTGCTCACATATCCATGCCCCTGCGAGCACAAGGGAGAGACGAATGGAAGGGTCAGTTCACTCTTCATGATCTCGATCGCTGTTTTTGGAGCGCGCAGACGCACATTGAAGTACCCTCTCCCGGTACGAGGTTCGACTTCTTTGCGCTCTGTGCATCCCTGACCCTGATCCTCTCCCTCCTCTCCTGCACTCTGCCCTCGCGAGCCATGGCCCTCTCCTTCTCCTTGCCCAATGCTGCCTTGAGATGAGCATTCTTGTGAACGGCCAGCCTGTCCCTCTGCTTCTGGGCCACCTTGCCGCCAGATGCCTTGAGCATCCTTGCCTTGTAGAATGCCGCTTCCCTCCTCGTCTTGATCTCTTGAATGCGAGCCATGGCCTCAATTGTCTTTCGTACCAGCTCTCGGTCGTACCTGACTGGCACGTTGCGGCGCTTCTCAAATTCGAGAGTAGAGTCGAGGGTCATCTCCTTGCCCGCTGCCTTTCTGAAGGCCTTTGTCCATCGGACCTTTCTCGGGTTACGCTTCATCTTGAAGTTCTTGTGGCATTTCGACTTGCAGAAGCGGAACGTCTTGCTGTCGTTGCGCACAAACATGATGCCATGCCCCGGATAGCATGGCGACGAGCAGAAGTAGCAGCGAGTGATCTGCATGCCGGCGCCGTTTTGAGGGGGCCGAGGATGATAGTGATGGCGAGGGAGAGGGAGAGGATTGGATGGATGCCTCAGGCGGAAGAGAGGCTCGCCGCCCAGCCCGCCCACGACAAAACTTCGCCACGCACCACGAGGAGGGGACGGACAGAGATGAGCGACCAGTCGCGAGAGCCAAGGCGGACTGGCTGGTCTGCCCGCCGCGAACTCGAATGCATCCGCCATCCGCACGCCCGCCCGCTCTATCGCATCTCGCGTTCCCAACCATCAACCCAACACCGCAAGCAGTCCGCTCGATTATGGACGGCTCATTCGGTTTTCCATCCACTCAGCAGTGGCCTACCGGAGGGCTCTTTGAGTCACCAGAGGTCCAGGCCGCCCGTTCTCAGGTGTGTAGTCGCTGCCACTCGGTCGCGTCGAGTCGCGTCGCATCACGTCGCTGATGCTGTCTCATCTCACACTCGTTCCCTTCGCAGGCCTTTGAGTCACTGCAACGCCTGTCGAACCAGCTTCGTGATGCCTCTCATCACGTCGAAGCCCTTAGCCGCGCCATCTCTCGTCCCAACTTGCCCAACGGATCACCCATGGCCGCTGGTGCATCGTCAAAGAGCGCGCCTGCCAACCAAGACAGCGATGACGGCCTCTCGCCAGCTGAAAAGAAGAAGATGAGCAAGCGCGCTAAGAAGATGGCTCGCAAAGCAGCCGACCCTAATGCGCCCAAGCGCCCGCCCTCTGCCTATCTAGTCTTCCAGAACGAAGTGCGAGGCGACATGCGCAAGAGGCACCCTGACCTGCCTTACGGCGAGCTCCTGGGCAAGGTATCCGAGGCTTGGAAGGCTCTGCCAGAGGCGGACAAGAAGATTTACCAGGACAACACCGACGAGGAGATGAGGAAGTGGAAGGAGGAGAAGGAAACCCGAGAGGGCAATGCTGGTGCAGCGGCAGCGGGCGGTGAAGCCGATGAGCTTGCGGACGAAGACAATGACGACGAAGAGGCTGGTGATGCCACGACGGCCGAGGCGCAGCTTTTGGCAGATGCGGTGAGCAAAGAGAAGACAAAGAAGAAGCCCGGTCGCAAGTCAAAGGCGACTCTCGAGGCTGAGCAAGCGTCACCCGCTACGCCTGCTAAAGCAGCTGCCGCAGCCGCAGATGAGTCGACGGTCTCTGCGAGTGGTAAAAAGAGGAAAGGAGAGGCGGACAAGGACAAGAAGAAGAAGTCAAAGAAGTGAGGGCCGACCTCTGAATGGCAATTGTCCGGCTTCGTTACCCGTGCGACGTTCTCCGCTGTCTGTACATTCATCCGCCTTTGTACATTCTTTGAACCTTCTTTGCGATGAGCGTCGCTGCTGTTTCTCACGCAATCAACGCTTCGAGACTCTTGATGACGAATTCAACGTTTGCATGTCATTACTTTGGTCGATTACAGCTCCGTCTTGCTCCTGTTGTCTTTGAGCTCCTCCACGGGCACCTGCTTGACCGCACCACCTCGCCCACTCTCTGGCGACCACACGCCCTCGTAGCTAGCACTCATGTTGACACCCATGGTGACGTAGCCAATCAATCCTTGCTGTAGGACACCGCCGAGGAACTCGATGTCGAACATGGGCATATACCCGTTGTCGAAGCTGTGAGAGCGAGTGACGAGGGGTGGACTGAGGTCAGATGTGCCCTCGCGGCTTTTATTTCGCGCCGCCGTCTACTTACGAGGTCTGGAAGATCTGTAGAGAGTCGTCCCAGTTGCGTGTGCGGCCGCCCTTGCCTGGGCGAAGGAGCGGATTTTCGTTGTACGGCTGCAGCTTGTCGATCTGCTGATTGAGGTCGTCATCAACGAAGAATTGGCCCTGCACAATCGATGATGAGATTCAGAAGTCAGTCTCCCCCTCCTCCGCTTTGAATCTCATCTGCCCTCTCCGCACTCACCGTGTGCACTAGCCTGCCGCTTGTAAAGGTACCGTTGGGCAACGCTGTCCATTCTGGATGCACCTTGACGTGAACGTGCGTTGCTCGGCCTGTATAGTAGCCAGGGAAGACGGACGTGAACTCGGTGACGCCGTTCTGATCGGTCGGAAGAGCTCCCCTCAGCCACGTCTCCTTTCCAACGGGTCCCTCATCTCGAGGATACGCCGAGAGGAGTCCCTTGCGCTTTCCCGTCTGAGCGGGCACCTCATTCTCTAGACCCTTCTTTGGGCTTGGATGACCGGCGTAATATCCCGTCGCGTTGGCCATCCACAGGTCGACGAGGACGTTGGGCACCGGTTCACACGTCTCGACATCGATGACGCCGACGTTCATGAGGAAGAGCAGACCGAGCTGATTCTCTGCCATGTTAGAGCGGATAGGGTGGCCCTCCGAGTGGTAGTAGGGACCCTCGGTCGTCTCTGGCGCCAACACACAAGTCGAGTTGCGTATGCTCGTCTCTTGCACCGGGTCACATGCCATGATCTGCTTGCCTTGCTCCGATTCCTTGGTGCCGCTGTCGACGAAGTACTGCTTCATGGCGAGGGGTGCACCGCCCAAGACCTTTTGTGCCCAATTGCGCTTGCGCTGCGCTGTCAGGGCAGCGACGGCGGGGGCGCAGTGATAGGCTGATGCCTGGCGAGCATGAAATGCCTCGACCTCTTCACGGGTCGATGGGCCGTGGGCTGCGAGTGCGATCGTTGTTGAGCTGTTTAAATAATGAGAGCATTTTGAGCTGCATTGCTCGCCACTCACCCAAGGCAAGACCAGCCACGATGGCGCTGGCTGCGGTCAAGGTACATAGTCTCATGGCTATGGCCGGCGCGTTGGATGGTTGATGAGAGTGGCAAGCAGGACAGCGTCCATTTGAGGAGCCCCACCCTCCTTTGACTCCATCCCCTGGTGACGCAGCAAGGCTTTGCAATCGCGACGGAATCAGGGTTCACCGGCGCCCTTTCGTGCGGGCCGCCAAGGAATTCACGGCAAGTCAATTCTCGTCGGGTCACACGCACGCGACTCTCAGGCACGGATCTCGTCCAGGCGGAAGCGCTCGCTCTCGCTTACGTCAGCACTAGGCCGACTCAAAGTTTTGTCCCTCGGAGCGGGTGAGAGTTGAATTGAACATTTCGAGCGGAAACGAGGCTTGGTTCAGGCGTCGCCTGGCCATTACCACCAACATCACTATCACCCTCTCGCTGCAGCAATGGCTCGTCTCAAGAAGCGTGGAGAGTCTGGTGCCGCCAAGAACTTCGTGACCCGCAACCAAGGTGAGAGGGAGATCCGCTAGAATATGTCATGTAGTGAGCAATGCTGACTCACTGATTTCCACAACCCTCCTGCCCGCAGCCCTTAAGAAGCTTCAAGTCTCGCTCTCAGACTTCCGTCGCCTCTGCATCCTCAAGGGCATCCACCCTCAGCAGCCTCGACATGTCAAGAGAGCCAATAAGGGGTCAACTGCACCTGCGTCCTTCTACTATGCCAAGGATATCCAATACCTTGCACACGAGCCCATCCTCCGTTCGCTTAGGGATCATAAGGTGCGCCGCGAACCGAAGAGCATCTCCAGCCTGCAGTATATGCTGATCTGACCCAACTCTCCGTTCGGACGCCACACAGACCTTTGCGAAGAAGCTCAGCAGAGCGGTAGGCAGGCGAGAATGGGCTGCGGCAAAGAATCTCGACGACGCCAAGCCACAGTGAGTAGCATGCGATTGCCGGGGATGAGAGTCGTCTGAATGCTGACCAGCCGTGCTTGGCTCGCCCAGATACACCCTCGACCATATCATCAAAGAGCGCTATCCCACCTTCGACGAGGCCATCGGAGACATCGATGATGCACTCTGCATGATTGCGTGCGTACGAGCAAGCGGCCAACATAGCATGCAGACTCCAATCTGACTTGTTGCCTCCCAACGTCACTCACAGTTTATTCGCCAATCTGCCCGCCAAGATGTATAATCTGCCCGAAGGTGTTGTCGACACCTGCTCTCGCCTCAAGCGCGAATGGGACGAGTATATCGTCAGGACAAAGGCCCTCAACAAGACGTTCCTCTCCATCAAGGGAATCTACTTCCAAGCCACGATCCGCCGCAAGGATGTCACTTGGCTCGTCCCTTACCCTTTTACCCAGCATGTACCTCACGACGTCGACTTCCGAATCATGTCGACCTTTCTCGAGCTCTACACGACGCTCCTCTCCTTTGTGCTCTTCAAGCTGTACGCAGACTTGGGCGAGTCGTATCCACCTAACCTTGATCAGCCCAAGGCTTCATCAGCCGTCGCTTCGACCAGCGCATCATCCTCGAGCGCTCTGAGCAAAAAGGCGGTTCGTAAAGCAGTCCGAGCTGTCGAGCACGATGTACAGCCAGGCGATCAGGAGACGGCGGAGGAGGACATTGAAGAGGCTGCAGAGTCAGCCGCAGACCAGGCAGATGATTTTGCCGTCGACGGCTCCAAGTCAGGAATCGACACACTGCCGCTTCCCTCATCGGACTCGTCAGACGAGACGCGCACCCTCTTCCGCAATTGCACTGTCTATCTGGACCGCTCGACCCCCCTCTCCCTCCTCTCCTTCATCCTCCGCTCCTACGGCAGTTTCAACACCCGCATAGGATGGGACGAGACGCTTGCACCCAACTCGCCGCTGCAGGAGGACGATGCAAGAATTACGCATGTCATCATTGACCGACCGGAGCTGGAGGCGTCGAAGAGGAAGGAGGGGCGAAAGTACGTACAGCCGCAATGGGTTGTTGACTGTGCCAACCGAGGTTCCTTGCTGCCCGAGGACAAGTACGCTGTGGGAGCTACGCTGCCACCGCACTTGTCGCCGTTCGTTGAGGGAGAGGTCGTTGACGAGGAACTTGCGGAGGGCGAGGCGAGTGGGTCGAGTGACGATGAGGACGATGGCGGGGAGCAGGAGGAGGTTCCTGAGTCACGCCCGGCTCTTCGCGCGTTGCTGGAGTCAGCAGACGACCCAGACGCCGCGCACGACGCAGGTCTGATGGACGCGGCTGAGCTCGAGGCCGAATCAATGGGAGGCGAGGCCGAGCTGGACCGCGTACGTGCGGCATGGCTCAAGGCGACGGGTGGTGCTGGAGGTGCCTCGACAGCTTCCGCATCGGCGGACCCTACGTCTGCGCCGTCAAAGAAGAAGAAGCAGGGCGACGCGGCGACCACGGCTGCTGCTCAAGAGGAAGAAGAGGCACGCAAGATGGCTCGCGGCCTGTTGAGCAATCGTCAGCGCAAGTTGTACGACAAGATGAGCTACACCAAGGCGAAGAAGGCTGAGGAGGCTCAAAGGTTGGCCAAGAGGCGCGAGGAGATCAAGAGGGACGAGAAGAAGCAGGCAAAGGCCAGTAAGGTGGCCGAGAAGTAGGCGCGCTCTCGCTCGACGCGATCGTAATGTTACATTGACTTTTCCACGGCGATTAGAGCTTTGGCTGTTGAGAGGTGCTAGTACCGGCGAGTGGCCCTTTGTAGGGGAGGTTGAGCCAGTGGGCAATTTGCTCTTGACGGTCGGACCCAAACCAGTGCATTGACTTGCCATCGCTGCCCCGCGTCGTGACGATCCACGGCGCTCCGAAAGCCCCTCCCTCATCGACGATGCGCTTCGCCTCCTCATTGACACGCGTCCTCGTCTCCTTCCTCCCCGCTTCCTCTAGCAGCGCCTCGACATCCAGCTTCTCCCCACCCAAGTTTCCTCTCTTCGCAATCTCATTGAGCTCAGCCTTGATCTCCTCTGGCGTGCGGACGGCCTTCCCCTCGCCCCAGACGCGCATGTAGAAGTGCTCTGTCGCCTCCTCGAGGACGGCGGAAGAATGCTTGTCCTTGATGATGCGCAGAAGGCACTGCAGCGGAAAGGTGTTAAAGGGGAACTCCTGCGGCTTGACGAGAGGGGTACCAAAGAATTCGGAGGAGAGCTTCATTTGCTCGAACATCCAACGGCCTCTGCGGCAGGGCGGGGACCGGGGGTTGTGAGCGAAGCTGAGGGCCCCGCCCATCGGGCCTCGTGGTGAACTTACTTGTTGGGCACCATGATTGGAGGCTGGTTGCCAGATTGTTTCATGACGTAGCCCTGCCAAAGTTCAGTCGAGGTCAGCACAACGCCCCGATCACACTGGTACCGCTCGTACAGACCAGATTGAAGGGGCAAAGCTCCAAGTCGGCCTCCTTCTCCCACAAGCGCGCATAGGCTCGAAGTGTGCGGAATGCCACGAAGCTCCAAGGCGAGACGATGTCATAGTAGAGTACGATGCGGCTACGCGCTGCCGGAGAGGCCATATTTTCCGTCGAGGGATATTGAGTCGATGACATTGATGGAGCTGATGGAGAGTCGTTGGGAGGAAAGTCGCCGGCACAAACTGCATTGACTTGCCGGGTGGCCGGCCATGCGGGGAAGTCGACCAGCGGCCGGAGCGGAACAGCGTCGCCCAGCGGCTACGAACGATCAAACAAGCGAGCAAGACGCTCGCTACTCGTGTATGCCCAATGAGTCTCGAGGGCTACTCTACATAGCGGAGGCACACATCTGTCTCAGAGTGAGGGTCAGATGCTCCCAATGAGTCACAGAGTGGCGGTGCCTGTACAGAATTATGTAGCCGCGTGCTCTTGGTCATTGTAGTCGAATTGAGACTGTCCGTCAGTGTGCTGCTGATTGCGACTGGTCGCCGTCATTGCTGCTCCTTCAAGAGTACACTTTGATTACGACGAGCTTGAATGCATTGCACCTCCGCTCCTTCTGTCAAGCGCAGCCATGGCGATGGACCTAGCTCATCCGGCTGCACCTTCTGTCGACGACTCTATCAAGGCATTCAAGCAATGCCTGGACCAGTCAGGGCTCGTGATCACAGACCCAGACGACATAGAGCCGGGCTGCTGGCCGCAGCAGTATAGATCGGCGGTGCTGAGCTGGCTTCGCCAAGCTGACGCGCTCGTCCATACCGCATTCTTTCTCTACGTAGGGATCAAGATCCGGGTCAATGACGGTCGCAAGGCCAAGCGAGCGGTCGAGAAGGTGGTCAAAGACTTATATCTGGTCGCGCAGTGCCCTCTCGTGTGTCGGGTCCTTGCCATACCATTTCAAGGCGTCCCGGTGAGACCGCTACGCCTAGCCTCAGCCTTTCCCGACATCCTCTGCGCCTTTCAGGGCATGGTCAGCAACAAGGCGACGACGACGATTAGCCTCTTCAATCGCGCAGACTCCTTCACGATGCCAGCAATCTTGACCCTCTCTCAGTCGCTGCAATTGGACCTGGACTCCGAGATGCAGATGTACGCCAATCAGTACAATCGCCACCACTGGCTAGGGATTATGTGGAGCGCTGCTGAGGTGCCCGGCTGCGGCAATTTCCTCTCGCAATATTTCGACTACGGTCGCGCCAACCGATATCGTCTCTTCTTCCCTCTGAGTATGTTCACAACAGATGCCTGGGTCTCCAGCACCCTTCTCTTCAAGCCTCCGTACGATTTCCGGCAGCTCGTCGCCTATGGTCGTCTCGTGTCGCGATTCTTCTCTGGTCAGGGGACACTGGGCGTCGGCGATATCAATAAAGCATTTGAGCACATCGACTTCTCTGGCCTTACACCCCTGGATTCGGTTGCTTGTACCTTCGAGGATGAACGGAGGGACGGTGCAGTCCCACGAATCCAGTCCAAGGACCCAAAGTATCGAGAGGCTAAGAAGACTGCTTTACGGGAGAAAGGCAGGCTTCTACAGGACGACACTCGTTCACGCGCACCGGAAGCTCCGTTGAATCTCGAGTGCACATTGGTTTGACATCGCTGGGTAGGCGACAAGTCAAAGATGCACGGTCGCTCAACAGGAGGTGAAGAGGAGAGGCGAGTGATAATGCTTTGCTATGCGGCGGAAACGGGAGAAGCGCGATGTTCCTAGGAGGTAGCAGCCGATGGTGTCTGCCCAGTCGTTGTCGCATCAGCCCTTTGTGATACTATTCATCATGCTTCACCGATGGTACCGCCGCCCTTCTTCCCCTCATCGAACTAGCCTTGCCCGTCACGCCCCGCCCGCCGCCTCTTCCCTTGACGCCACCTCGAGCCGCGGCAGCCGCACGACCCTTAGCTGTCGTCGCTCCACCTCTACCTTCTAATGTCGCTGGTGTCGTTGCACCCTTGCCACCATTCACCTCTTCACCCAGCGTCCTTGAGCTCGTCGATCTCGTGAGGATGCCGCCTCTGCCTCCCCTGGTACTGACCGACCTCGGAAGCCCGCTGAGGGGCGGGCGCAGCACATCGCCACCGCGCTTGGCTGCTGGTCTCCTACCGTTCGTCGCCGCCTCCTCTGACACCTCTTCCCCGTCAACCACACTGTTGGCTCGACTATTCGCCCGCGAGCTTGAAGCGCGCGTGCTACGTCTCGCCGTGGGCTCGCTGCCGCTCAAGCTGGGGTCTTCGAAGACTTGGAGCTTGGGACGCTTGGACGCTGACGCTAGGGCCGAGGAGGGGGCGTCTATGCTTTCCTTTCTTCTCCGACGAGAAGGAGTAATTACGCTGTCTTTGTTTGTGGGTTTCTGTTCCTCCTCGTCTTGCCCTCTGAATAGCGGCTGCTCTTCCTCTCCATCCTCTTCCTCATCCTCGTCCATTGCATCAAGCTCACCCGCCTGCTTCCGACCTTTCACTGCAGCTTTCTTCACATCCTGCTTGACCAGAGCCGCCCTCGCTCCCATCTTGTCTGCCGCAGCGGAGAAGCTGCTTGCTGCTTTGCTGTTTCTGGCCTTGGCAGCAGCGGGCATCTTGAGAGGACCGCGTTTCTTGCCCACGACGTTCGAGAGGCCAAACCCGCCAGGCAGAATCGAGGGGGTGAAAGGATCCAGCGCAGCAGGGAGCGATGCATCTTCTGTCTCCTCTTTCTGACCGCCAGGGATGAAGGCAAAGCTGCCGTCGCCTGCTTGACTTGTGGTAAAGAAGCCAGTCGGAGCAGGCGGGAGGTCCTGCAGCGCTTTCATCGTGGCTGCTGAGGGGGCAGTTGGACGTGATGAGCCGGAGGAGGATGAGACAGAGCGCGCAGAGGAATGGGGGGCGAGTTGCGCTGGTCTGCCCATGCCGAGACTGGCAGTACGGTGGCGCTGTGTGGGCGCCGATAGTGATGGTGAGCCATCTGAAGATGGTCGTGGTCGTCGCCTTGTTGACAATGACGGCGGCGGCATCCTCGGCGAGCCATCGCCATTCCGGACGCTCTTGCTCGGACTGTCTTCAATCTTCGCCTCCCTCCAAGGCATCCAGAGGCGAGCCCAATTGACGACCCTACCGGTCGATCTGCGCACGTACAGCAGTCCCCACGAGATGGGCAGCGACGCGAGGAAGGTCAAATTGAAGAAGAGGTTCAGTGTGCTGGAGATGATGGCGTCGATGAGGACTTGGTAAGGGGCGAGGACGGGGTTGATGAGGGTGGAAATGATACGCATGGATGCGCCGGTCCGTGCGAAGAAGAGCCATAACAGGAAGGCCGTCTTGAGTGTGGAGTAGAAGGGGACGATGTACGAGGCGATGGCGTCCAGGACAGGCTCGACGCTCTGGTACAATGTCCATACGACGACGAGTGACAACGCTAGCCGGAGCTGTTGCCGTCTTTGCGTGCTTCCTATGCGGTAGCGAGTGTGCGGCTGACGACTGGGTGTACCCACTGCGTCCCTGACTAGGCGATGAGTAGTCGACGTAGCACGGCCGAGCTCAGAGAAGGACGGCGCCGTCGCCGACTTTGATCCGCTCGCTGTCAGCGCCTTGAAGACGTCGATGAGGTTGATGGCCGAGCTGCGTGTCGTCAAAGAGGGTCAGCACGCTTATGAAAGACGCAAATTGGCAATGCGCGCACTCACATGGCCAACTTGAGCCCTGCATTGAGCAAGGACATCAACGACGGCAAGACGAACCAAGAAGGAAGGAAGACAAGACGCTCTCGCCGTCGCCTCCACGACCCGCGTCGAGGTGAGGCATTGGCGTCAACGGGAGCGACCACGTGGGTAAAGTGTTGGACTCTCGGCGCCTTTTGAAGGAGGCCTGTTCATTTGACCCTGAATGTGACTTGTACACCTCTGCTCTAGGACATGCACTATCAACATCCACATTGCCATGGAGCACCCAGAGCTTCTACCGGCCACAACGCCCACACGCGCCTTGCTGCGCCGCTTACGACGTCGTTCTTCTCTCGCTCCATCCACTTCCTGCAACTTCCCTCTCGCACCTCCTCCACCAGTAGCTACAAGCGACAGAATGGCTCCAGCTACGAGGTCCGCTACAAGGACCGGCAAAGGAGCAAAAGTCCGTGCTGGTACAGCGACGGGAGCTGAGACGCCTTGCCCGCAGCAGCGAAGAGGGGGCCCACGCTTGACTTGGGAGGCAGCTCGTAAGCTCGAGTCCGAGTTTGAAGCTCAAGAGAAGGTGCAAAGAGGCAGTGACACTGTGCAACAGAGCATGAAAAGCTGACTCTACACCGCCCGTAGATACTACAAGGCCTTCAACGAGAGTGAGCACTATACATTCAGTCAGCGGAGAGCGTCTCGCTGACCGTCATCCCTCGCCTCGCTTCAGCAACGAATCCAAGACAATCGAAGTCGAGCACCTCCGCCGCGAAGCCCGCGTCATGACCAGCTTCCTCAGCACGCAGTACGGCGATCACTGGGAGAAGATCGTCTTTGGCGGGCAGAGGCGTGCATCAACAATGCTGGCGGCCGCACCTACGGCGATTGCCACGCCTAAGATGGGAGCGACGACGACCAAGTTGCCCAGCTTCCTTCTTCACGAGAATGATGACGACAACAGCCTATCGCAGTCGATGGCAACATCCACGGAGACAGCGAGCACGAGAAGCAGTCCTCGCCGCAAGCAGCGCTCCGCACGCTCTATGCCCAACTCACCAGTCAAGCCCGATGATACCCGCGGCACAACGCTCTTCTGGGAGGCCAACGATGCCAGTTTCGAAGCAGGCAGCAGTATTGCCACTCGCCCTGACAGCCCCGCGGCCAGCTCCATCACCCCTCGCCAGGTCGCGGCGGCCGACACAACCTCTTTGCTGCCCACCGAGGAGACGACAGGAGGAGAGACGGACGATTCCTTTTTGTTGTCGCGCTTCCTTTCTTCTCACCGCCAGGACAGCGTCCACGAGAAGCAGGAGCAGGAGCAACGCCGGGCCGATGACCAGCTCGGTGCGAGCAGCCGCTCGGACGACGAGGTGCAAGACATTACTGCCCTACTCCTTTCCAGCTCCGTCAGCTCCATCGCTCCCCTCTCTGGCGCAGGGCCCATGGCTTCGACACCCGCCCACCAGCCCAAGCCAGCTACACCGCCTCGAAGCGCTTTCTCCTTCTCTACCGGCGGCGTCGGCGGCGTCGACTCGACGGAGCTCCTGGCCCAAGTCCAAGCCACCCGTGCCCTCGTTGAGGCCTTGGCAGAGGACAATGACGCTCGGCTCGTAGAGCTGCGCAAGATGGAGGCTCGTACCAAGAAGCATGGGGAGGGCAAAGTGGCTGAGATGCGAGCCTTGATTGCCGCTTGAGCTGTCGCTGGACGACGTGCGGGCGTCGAGGCCTTCCCACCTTGTCCATATCATCATCTCCGTCGTGCTTCTGCTTCACTCGATACCATCGTCTCAATGCTCATCCATCATTGTCCCACCCTTCCTTGGCGAATGATGTAGCGTCAGTTGGTCTCTTCTACACAGCGCCCTTCACTACGTTGATGATCTTGTATCGGTTTGAATTGCGTCGGCTTGTTACGACAGTACCCCACTTCATCCAACCTTCTCCGTCGACCATGCGCTGTTCGTTGCGAACTCCTTTGGCGCTATAGCTTCCATCTGTGGGCGCGGGAGGGATGAGGGGAGAGTGGGGTTTGCAATGATCAGCAATAGAGCAAGAGGCTGTTTGACAACTCGATGACACGCACCGACTGCCCTCTCTGTGATCCAGTCAATCGCTCGTCGCGGTTCATCATCATGACGTCAAAGTTGTCGATGTTGGAGCGTTGCGGCTGTGAGAGGCGCACGATCGAGGGAGGAGAGATGTTAATCAGACTCAGTGGACTGAGGTGAGCGCGAATTGGCTCTGCCTCACCTTGCCATCATTCCTAATCATCTTGAGTCCCTTGTATGCTGTGCCCGTCGTGAAGAACATGACGCCCACCAGGCTGCGCGATGACGAGGAAGGAGGAAGGCATGCGGGTCAATAAGAGATCACGCAACGAGTGATCGACGCGAGGACCCACCCCATGGGGATCAAAGCTTCGAAAGGGACCGGCATCTTAGCTGTGAGTTGCGAGGTGAGGTGCGATGGAGCGGAGGCAGTTGCAGGCCGAGACGAACGTCGATGGAATCGAGGCGGGGACGACGAGTGACTGCGCCACGTGGTTGCACCCCCAGCAGCTGCCTGCTTTCAATCAAAGCCGCTCACACACGCGCCTCTCACTCGCGCGCTCGTAGTGCTCGATACAATGGTTTGCGATCATGATGTTGCCACGTCTCGAAACAAGTAGCCCGTCATAAGATGAAGATAAAGAGGTCTACAATCGCGTCTCGCGTCTCGCGCCTTTCTCATATTACATGCCGACCTCAGGTAGTCCCTCTAGCTCAGCCTCTTCTCGAGGTCGGCGAGCTTCGACTCGTGAGCCTCTCCACCTCCCTGGAGCGGCTTGTTCAGCTTCGCCTCAGTCGCAAAGAACCCACCAAGGTCGTTACGGAGGAAAGCCTTCTCCTCGTCACTGAGCGGCGCCTTGTCCACCTCTTCACCATCCGCACTCTCGTAAAGGGCCTGAAGCTCGCGCTTCTTGTCCTTGGCATCCTCCTCTGGGTCATAAGCGCGATGCCTCTTAAGGACGACGCGCTCCCAAAGCGACAAGTGACGAGGGCAGACGGCGACACCGTGGTACTCGCTGGCCTTGCCCTCCATGACCTTGGCCCAGTAGCGCTCCTGCTCGCGGAGGTCGAGGCCGGTCACGTCGGGTACGCAGATGAGGGTCAGGATCCAGGCTGCCACAGCGAAGGGAGCTGTGAGGTAGAACTTGTCGCGGTTGCTGATGTAGTTGAATGCTACGGCGGCAAGGAGGGCGCCGAGCTTGCCTGTTGCGGCTGATACACCATGGGCTGTGGCGCGGATCGAGGCAGGGTAGACTTCGGCGGCGAGGAGGAATGAGGTGGTGTTGGGGCCGAATTGAGTGAAGAATGAGGAGAGGAAATAGATGGCCTGGAACCAGTGGACACCCATTCCCGGCTGGGTGAGCTGAGGGTACACGGCGCCCGAGATGATGTAGCAGATGAAGATGGCAATGAGACCGTTGGCCTGCATCCACTTGCGGCCATACATCTTGTGGTCGATGAAGAGAGCGCCCATGTAGTAGCCGATCAGAGAGACACCGATGTTGACCAAGTTCCAGAGCCACGTCTCACCCAAAGTGGCCGTACCACCATTGATGGTCGCGATGAAGACGCCGGAAAAGATCTTGGCGCCGTAGAAGGCGACGTCGTTTGCAAACCAGACGAAGGCGGTGCCTACCATGCGGTGCCAATAGTGGGACGAGGCGAGCTTGAGCGACTTGATGTCGTAGCCCGACGTGTTCAGGCGCTTCTTTGCCTGGCTGAGCGTGTCGTTGTAGCGCAGCTTGTAGTAACGGAGGTAGGCGAGGTACAGTGTGGGGAGGATGATGACGGCAAATTGGATGCGGAAGGTCCACTGCGTCGACACCTTATTGAACGGGGCATCGAGGGTGTTGTGGGTGACGAGGAGGGCGAGGATGAGGACTACTTGGTTTGCGAGTTGACCCCATCCCTGCATCAAGAAGGCGAGGGCGACGCGACGACCGCGGTGCAAGCGGTCACCGGCGCCGCCATTCGCTGCGGCCTCCATGGCGCGGGTCGAAGTCATTGGGTATTCGCCGCCGACGCCAATGCCGTAGATGAAGAGGGAGAGGGCGTAGCAGATGACCCAGCCCTGCGAGCGCGTCGACAAGAATGCAGCGTGTGCGGGAGGGCGAAAGGAAGTGAGTAAGAGGTGAATGGCAGCCTAACTGGACGCGCTAGCGCTCGCTCTCACCTGAAGAGTGGTGCCCCACATCGCCGTGAGCATGATGGAACCCAAGGTCATAATCAAGGCATCCTGGACCATGCCGAATTTCCTTCCGACCCAGTCACCCTGGATACCGACGAGGATCTGACCCACGATGATACCGACAATCTCGAGGTAGTCGACGGCGGCAGTCCATCCAGGTGAGCAGACTTGATGATTCTTCCAGCATTCGGGCCAGACGGCCTTGAAGAGGGGAGTGAGGTTGCCGACGGAGAAGAGGACGTAACCCTCGACGAAGAGGCCCTGCAGCGTGGGATGACAAGTAGACGAGATGATTAGCGAGTGACCAAGATCAAGGCTCTCTCGCGGTGTGCACCCACCATTCCCGTGACGACGTAGTTGGAAAAGTAGGCCGAGATGGGCGAGAGGGGGTCACGCTTGAACATTCGCCCAACGTGAGCGAGCTCCCTGGCAGCCTCTTCGTTGGACTGCTTGCCAGTCCATGCCAGGCGACGACCGAGGGGCAAATCACCCCAGTAGACGTGATCCCCCTGGGTGTACGAGTCCGCAGGGTAAATGAGATCATTGAGGGCAGTGCTCTTCTCAGGAGGAGTCGACGCAGACGCGGACGACGAGTTGGAGGTGATGTCGTTGGCAGACGACGCCTTGTCCGTCTCCGAGGCGCTGCGTTGGACTGGCCGGGCGCGCGAGGTTAGCATCAGCCTGGCATTCCAACGTCTTTTTCAAGGCCGCCATGACACCCACTCTGATCAACAGAAGCCATGGCAGACCAAAGGGCAGGGGAGAGAGAGGAAGCTGATTGGTAGTGGTGAGAAGAAGAGACCGAGTCTGGAGGGGGAAGGACTGACATTCACATCACCTTCGGCCCTTGCCTTAAACCTCATGGAACCAAAGTTGCTCCCAATGCAGATCGCTGCTGCTCCTGGTCGAGGCCGAGCGTCGCTGCACAGTCTTGCGCGTGCGGGTGCGGGTGCGGCGGCCGGCGCGGCGAAACAGCCGGGGCAAAGCAGAGAAATTTGAGCTCGATTCGCGAGTGCAGCGTGAGCCGGCCAAGTGGCGAGGGCGTCTGCATCGACGCACGCGCAGATTGGCTCCACCCGCGCACCGCAAGACGAATCATTCTCATCGCCATCATTCACCTCTGGTTGTTTGGTTGGTGCCTGAGTGGCAGACTGGCCGCCGCCGGGACTTTGGTGTCTCTCTGGCAAGCGCCGCGGGTCCTAGTCGCCGAACGGAATTGAAAATCTCATCTCTTCGTCCATGTATGCGCTCTCGGCGGCAAGCTCGACGAGCGTCCGGAGCGTTGTGTAGAGCGAGGTCGAGCGAACGTGGGGGGTCCATCCAGGGTGAAATTCGGTGCACGCAGACGCGACTTGAGGGCCGGCGGCTACCGTGCCCGGCGGCGACGACGACAACGCTCCGCTCATCTCACAAAGCGATGAAGAAAAGTCAACACAATGAGCGGAAAAAGAGAGCAAGAGGCAGACAGAAGAAGAGGTACGCGAATGCGGCAGCGAGGAGGCCCCGAGATTGGCGCTAGTGGTCAGCCGTGTTGCCGTGACCAGCGAGAGAGGATGCCAAGGCTGGGCACCATTTGGCCGGACGGCGGTGCGTGATGCACCGTCTCCCACGCACAGTCCATCGTGAGCACGAGCAGCAACGTCGTCGGCGATAGAGGAGGGGATGGAGCTCGCTGGGCGATCGCTCGATCGATCTGTGTGGACGTGCGACGGCGTATGCTGATTTCTATGGCCCGATGACGGCAGCGCCCGTGCCTACATATCCATGCCACGATCGCCGTCATCCTCTTTGCCACTCTTGGCTTCGACCGCCTCTCGAGCCTCCAGGAACTTGGCTGGCAACTCGTCCCACCCGTCTGTGTACTCTTCCGTCGTGAATTTGGGGTAAACGCGCTTGTAGAGGGCCTGCGCGTGCGCCAGAGATGACAATTGGGTTAGCAGCAGCATGATCGATGCCTCATAAGCTCAACACGCACCATCATGATTGTGTCCATCTGCCCGATAGGTCCGTCAAAGTGTGCCTTGAATCGACCATGCGTACCCAGCGGCTCGCGAATATGCCCTGTCCTTCCGTACTTGGTGCGCAACGGGATGGGAGCAAAGTAGCGCACGTCCTCTGGCTGGAAGAACATCCAGCGGATCGTAGCCGTCTTCTTGTGGATCTTGAATGGCTCGCCCGTGAGAAGCACGCGCTTTACGTTGACCCTCAGCGGTCCGTTGCCGTTCTTCTTGAGGAGGGAACCACTCCCGATGAGGTCTGGATATTGATTCGCCCCGACGCCTCGCTCATCGTAGCCTCGCTCGGGAGTTGCGCCCCAGCTACGAGGGCGGAGCAGGGTGATGGATGGAGAGCCAAAGGTGATCGGCGCGTAGATGGTTGCGACTGACGGAGTCGGCGAGGGAGGGGGAAGGAAACGATGGAACTTATGCGGGTGCACCTGGACTGAGCCGTCTGCTGCAGACGGAATGGGCCGCGAAGTTGAGGTACCGAGCGAGTGCTCCGAATAGATGGGATTGACGCAGAGGAGACGTGGGCCGAGGAGCATGAGGACGGGGTCCTTGGACTTGACCGTCTCGGTGTATTCGGTGTTGCGAAGTACGGTGAAGTTTGCGACCCTGAGAACGAGAACGAGGGACAAAGGATTGGTGAGGGAGAGGAGCGGATGAGCATCGATACATTGCTTTACGGCGCACGGCGCACGCCGCACGGGCACTTACGTCTTCTTGTGCTCGTGGCGCAGGAGTCCCCACACCGTCATCGGCAGGAGCCGCTGCTTCATGTCCGCATCTTTGATGGCTCCGAATCGTCTCGCCATCTCTACGGGCACATCCTCGATCTCGATTGCAATCTCCCGGCCCATCGACACGCCGTCGATCCTTGCCTTGCCCTCTACAGCCCGCTTGACCCGCTCCCAGTCGTCAAATTGGAAAATGCGCGAGTACTCGGCGGGCAGCTCCTCGTAAGCATCCCATGTTGACGAGCGCATTGAAGCCATGCCGCGGTAGCGCGCGAAGCGTTGGCGGGCAGGGATGTGGAGCGGGGTGTCGACTTCGTCTGGGAATTCGAGATCCTCCTCTGCGCGTGCCCGACGCTCCCCCTGCTGGGCGTAGAGGGCTGCGTCGTCCACGTCTTCGTCGTCGAATGGTTCATCATCTTCGTCATCGCCGTTGAGCTCTCCATTGCGGCTCCAGCCGGTGACTGGGACGCTCTCGAATGCGTCGCTGCCACCGAGCATTCCGGCGTTCTCCTCTTCATCGCTATCATCGCCGCCTTCTTCGCCGTCGCTCTCTTCAATGAGCCATCGGGTCTTGTACTTGTCCTCCTCCTTTTCCGCTTGCCGCTGTCTTGCCTCGCCCTGTGCCATTTCCTCCTCTGTCGGCCAGGTCTGCTCTTGCATGCCATTGAGCCCCTCGCTGACGGTGTTCTCTGACTGCAAGTCGTCTGCCTCTTCGTCGTCGCGCTCATCGAGGATTACGAGGCCGTCTGGCGTGAGTTGTTCCGCATCCTCCATCTCTACGTCTCTGCGTGCGCGCTTGCCTTTGCCCTTTGTCATCGCGGGCGCTACGATGCGCTTGACTCGGAAGTCACCAAAGTCTCGTACGTGGACAAGACGTTGAGCACTGAAAATGGCATTGCCTCGCGACCACCCTTTCACGACCAGCGTGCCGCGCTCCTCGCCCTCTGACCGCCACTCCGCGCCGTCTGCAATGAGGTAGGGACGTGCCTCACGCCACGCAGGAAAGCGTGGAACCGACGTGGCCATGGTACGCAGCAGTCCATCTCGCTCTGCGTCGACGTCGAGTGCGTAGATGCGGTCGGTGCTTGGGTCAAAGTACTTGACGAAGGAGGTGAGACTCTTGCGCACAGCATTCTCGCCAGTCTTGCCTGCGCTGCTTCCCTCTGCGGCGTCTTTGACTGTGGGTACGACAGCCAGGACCTCTGGCATTCCCTGAGCGTGGAGAATGCGCAGAGCAAGCTCGCCCCACGATCCCTCTTCGATGGAGTGCGTGGCGGACAGTACGAGGATGACAAAGTCGGATGAGGCGACCGCGCTGAGGGTCGGATAGAGGGAGCCGTAGGGAAGTGGGAGAAATTGTAGATTGGTCGAATGTGAGCGCATCTGACAGGATGATAGGCCAGATTGGAGGGCAGACCGTACGTCTCGAACCGCCTCCCAGCTCGGGGATCGCTCGAGGGATGCGCAGACTTGCCAGGCATTAGCGTCTGGCGTCAACTCGAGGACCGAGACGACTTTGGGCATGCCGCCCTCGTAGAGTCGCTGAGCCTGCTTGATCGCTTCGCGCTTTGCGAGCTGAATTTGTTTTGCCTGATTCTTGCGGGATTGGGCATTGCGGATTGCGCCCGATGTTGTGGACGACGAGTGCGAGGCGACGGAAGCCGGGCGGCCCTTGGCGAGCTTTTTGATTGAAGACTTGGTGGAATGCTTCGACTTGAATGGCTTATTACGCTGCTTGAGCGTCGAGCGGTGGTGGTGGCCCGCCATCGCTGCGAGATGCAAGTGGTGATGAGATGGAGGCTGAGGATTAGAAGAGTGAAGCGTTGGCGCCGCCCATCGACCAAAAATTCCTCCCAGTCCGCCCCTTGGCGATCGCGTGGCACGGCGCAGGCGGGGCGGCCACTTCGAGACTTAGACTATTGGCATCGATGCCCGGCGGCATTGCTTCTTGCCATCCAACACTTCACTGGCAGCTGCGCACCATCTTCGAGCTCCTCGCGGTGAAGCTGGGAGGGACGGAAACAGTGTACAAGCTGCATCGGGTGCGATAAAATGAGGCAGCATCCGTGTCAGACGTGCAGCGGTGGGCAGGGCGAAGGCCTGAGCGCCTGAAAGTGAACGAGCTGAGTGGTCTACGGTCACCTTGCTTCATCGGCACTGTGAAGTGTAGGCCAGCGAGCACAGTCGCTTACAGAGTCGTGCGATGGCGAGCTTGCGTCCGTAGACAGCGTTGCAGCAATGAAACCAACCCCCCCCCCCCCTCCCTCCTAGTCTTTGGCCTGAAGGGACCGCGTGGCACCCCGCAGCCCCGAAAGCTTATATCGCAGACAGCAAGGGCGCTGTGAAGGCGCTGGGAAGGCGCTCCCAATTGGCTGCGCTGCTGTCGCGGACCGCAGCATTCTCGGGCGATCCTCCGCCATGCAGACTCATGAAGTGCGTACGCTCGCTCGCTCGTCGGGACGAATGTCGCCTAGTCTGTATTCATGACCCTGAGGCACCGATGACTGCGAGAACAATCCCGTGAACACAGCTGCGGGCAATCTTTCGGCCTCACGCGCTGGCAAAGCGGTACGCCAAGGTAGCAGATCGTGCGCGGGTGTGGGCAGCAGGAAGAGAGCGACGATGAGGGCCCGCTGGGCAAGGGCTGGGCCCGCAAGCAATCAGGATCCTATCTTTCGTAGCCTCGCACCGAGTCACTGTCCGCGCGTCTAGCCTTCAACCGTACGCATCGCACTGCTGTTGTCCATCCGGGCGACTAGGCGCGCGGCGAAGTCCCCGAGCCCCTCGCACCTCCCCACTCGTGCCTTGTCAAAACCCACGCCACCTCCCGAGCGCCGAGACGCACGCATCTTCCTCTAATCGGCGGCAAGAGAATCTCAAGCGTCCGTACCTCCGCTTACCTGGCTCTTTCCGACGGATAATAAGTGGCTGCAAGATGCAGCGCCCACCCCACATATCACCTGACTGGTGCGCTTGACTCCATCTTCTCTTTCTTCCTCCCTCCGCCACGTCACAACAACGCCCCACCCGTACGACCATGTCCTCCGCCAGCGTCGCTCAGCACGGAACCATCGTGCTTCCACGTATTGAGAATGAACCAAACGTAAGTCGCCGAGACTGATGGGATGGGCGCGATACGAGCTTACGCTTCTTCTCCCCACCGCTCAGCGCAACTACGCGTCTGGCTCCAAGGAGCGCGCAGACCTTCAGCATGCCGTCGATGAGATGATGAAATCGGCGCCCTTCGAGGTGCCCTGCATCGTCAACGGTAAGCATATCAAGACCGGCGATGTGGCCAAGCAGGTCAACCCCAGCAACCACGCCCAGATTCTCTGCAACTATCACCAAGCCGATGAGAAGCTCGTCCAAGAGGCCATCGAGGGCGCTCTCAAGGCCAAGCAGACCTGGGAGGAGATGCCTTGGGCTGACCGTGCCGCCGTCTTTCTCCGTGCTGCGGATCTTATTGCACACAAGTATCGCTACAAGCTGATGGCAGCCACGATGCTGGGTCAGGGCAAGAACGTCTGGCAAGCCGAGATCGACGCCGCCGCCGAGATTTGCGACTTCTTCCGCTTTGGTGTCGCCCAAGTGTCCGAACTCTACGCCCAACAGCCTGCTCGTCACGCTCCTGGAAGCTGGAACCGCATGGAATTTCGCCCTCTTGAGGGGTTCGTCCTTGCCGTCAGTCCTTTCAACTTCACTGCCATTGGTGGTAACTTGCCTGGTGCCCCAGCTCTGGTAGGCAATGTCGTAGTTTGGAAGCCATCTCCCATGGCTACCTACTCCAACTACCTGGTGCATCAGATCTTGACTGAGGCCGGGTTGCCCGCAGGCGTCATCCAGTTTACTCCTGGTCCTCCTGCAGAGATTGTCAAGGCATGCATCGACCACAAGATGTTTGCTGCTTTGCACTTCACCGGCAGCACGACTGTGTACAAGCAGCTGTGCAAGGAGTGAGTGTCAATTGGGCGACAAGTACAGTTTGCACTCCGTCTGACCTTCATATTGCACGCTTCTCAGTATCGCCGCCAACTACGACCACTATCGCAACTACCCTCGAATGGTCGGAGAGACGGGCGGCAAGAACTTCGCTTTGGTGTGAGTGCTTCCTTCCTTCTTTTTGCTGAGACGACTGATTTCTGTTTGCTGATCATCCATCTGCGTGGCTACTCCAGGCATCCGACGGCCGACGTCGACATCGTCGTCAACGAATGCATCAGGGGAGCCTTCGAGTACCAAGGCTCCAAATGCTCAGCCCTCTCTCGCTTGTACGTACCCGCTTCCCTTTGGAACAACGGCGGCTTGAAGGAGAAGCTCGTCTCTCAGGTTGGCACCATCTCGGTCGGACCAGTCAACGAGTTCCAGCATTTCATGGGGCCGGTCATCGCACAGACGGCGTTCCAGAGAATCATGGTCAGTCTGCTTTCCGAGTAGACATGATGAAGACAGAGCTGACTCTTCCCCATCTCCGCATAGGGCTTCATCGAGTCTGCGAAGAAGGCAGGAGGACAGGTCCTGGCCGGTGGTACGGGAGACAACTCGGTAGGCTTCTACATCCAGCCCACCATCATCGAGACAAAGGACCCTCGTTCGACGACGATGGTCAATGAGATCTTCGGACCGGTTCTGACCGTATTCGTCTACGACGACTCCAAGGCCGACTACTGGCAGGCTATCTCGCAAGAGATCGACGCTGCCACCGACTACGCCTTGACGGGCTCCATCTTCTCACGCGACCGCAAGGCGATCACCGAGGCAAGCGCCATGCTACGATACGCATCTGGCATGCTCTACATTGGACAAAAACCAACAGGTGCGCAAGTGGGTGCTCAGCCCTTCGCAGGGGCTAGAGCAAGTGGAAACAACTACAAGGCAGGTAGTACAGGCTTCTTCTATCAGTTCGTCTCTGCGAGGACGGTCAAAGAGTCTTTCGTCGATTCCGAGGGCTTCATGTACCCATCGAACGCGTGAATGGGGTGCAAGCGCCTTCAATGCTGTTCGTGACCATTGCATGCTGTTGTTCGAGTCATAATCTTCACCTGCAATATAGATTACGATGTCACATCGAAGCCAATCCAAGTCATGAAGATCTGAGATGCAACCGGTTCGCCTCGTCGACGCCCTTGCGAGGCGAGCCCGTCGGCATCGCCGGTGTCTTGCTATTCGAGAAGTCGGGTCTCTGGACAGAGAAGAATCCACCTCCCCTTACGATCACTTCGACCTTTGACAATTCCCAGCGAGAATCTCATTGAGGTGAATGAGTGCGGCGAAGAAGAGGAAGAAGAAGAGTGCGGGAGCCCGCGCGCCCGCGATTTCGGCGTGTGGCCCGTGCGCTCTGAGTGTTGGGTTGGGTCGGGTTTCCTCAGCTCCGTGGCCTGATCACGGCTCAGCGAGGCGGTCGACGCGGTTGCTCTCGCGACCTCATCAAGGCCCGCCCGGCCAGCGTCGAGCAGCTTGGTCTCATAACCATCACTCCCATCTTCAGGCTCTTGCATCCGCTCATCATCGTCAGCTCTCGACAGGCATCCACCTCCTCATGCAAACGTCAGTTCCCGGCACTCAAATTGTCCTGCTCCTCATGGCCCTCTCTCCCTTGGTCATCTCTTCACGAGCCGCAGCAGTACCTGCCCACCACTGAGGCGCGTCTCGCTCGCTGGTTCCGCGCGTGTGCAAACTTGGCCGTCTAGAGAAAGTAGTCGACGTCGCAACGTGCCCTCGTAACAAGAGCTCTCCCACCTGGGTCGCAGCCAAGAAAGTCAAGCAGGCGACGCGACCTGCTCTGCGTGATCAAGGCTCGAGCACCACGTTTTGTGGATGGGACAGCGCACCTTGCACCTGTGCCTCACCGTCATCTGGGCCAACATAGCACCCATAACATTTTGGTCAGGGCCTGCGCCATCCCGGGGAGGGAGCACCAGCGCGTGGGTGAGTAGCTGCGCACGCGGTCCTCTGTTCGAGGGCTCCGGCTTACAGTTGCCTCGCCCTCGTCCTTCTTTACTTCCTTTCATGCAGCGCATCTCCTTGTCATTTTCTGCTGCGCTATGCCCGCTCACTTGGACAGAGAAGACGCATTCACGTCGACGGCAATCAACAACGTCACACCAGGTTCTACCGAGAAGGTACCATCACTGTGGTTGAGGACGGCATCAGCACAGCAAAGAGTGCTTGAAAGGAAACTTGCAGAAGGTTCCGCTGGAGGAGAACCAAAGGCAAGGATAATGTTACGCTACCAATAAGCGCTACCAGGCCTGGGGACGACGGTGTCGCCCCGGCGTTGGGCATCGCCCTCGATCTCCTTCGACCTTGGTATCTTCTCTCAAGAATCTGCCCGCGCTACGGCCGACTCGACATTCTTGGGCCTGGAAGTGCACTCGCCGACGTGAGCCATCCACGCCCGTCCATCTTGACCAACGCTCTGGACCAGCTGCCTCCTAGAAGCCGATGGAGCTACCGGCCGGCCGCCAAGTCTAAGTCCGTCTTCCCAGTGAGTCTCGTCTCGATGTCCACCGCACTCAAGCGCGCACCCCACTCATTTCTTGCACGCCACCTCCCGCCACAGAGGGCAATGATGACCTATTCAAAGGTATCGATTGGAATGGACGGGCCCGCGAGAGGCAGCACCGCCAGCACAAGAGCAAGCACCCCAACCGCCTCGTCCATGCCGCATGGCTGCTGGCCGAACCCAATGTCAAATCGATCGTCACGCTCCGCGTTGTTGACTACAAGGCGCTCGCAGCAAAGAACAGGGCCGCCTACGGCACAGAGTGGGGCCTGACCGACGAGGAGCTCACGATGGCCTTCCTTTCTGCCGCAGAGGCCGTGCAGGCCGTGCGTTGGAGGACGTACAGGGACTACATCCCGTACAATGGCTGGCTGGACCTCGTGACGAGGCGTCTCCCCCTTGTCGGTGCCATCGGGATCAACGGCACGTCGTGCTTGAGCAACGCCATCGCCTCTTTCAAGGCCCGTTTCTCCCCTCCGACCGCCGAGGAGCACCACATCAAGGTCGTCAATGGAAGGATCATTGCCATGAAGCGCGCAAGTCCCGAGCTGCGCTTCAAGGCCGCACTCGCAGCCCTCATTACGTGCGGCCTTGCTACAGCGATCTACTTCCACGAGGTCGAGGGCGAGCAGAGGGCCGTGCATATTCCCCGATACCTGGGACTCGGAGACTCCTCGACGATCTCTCTGCGCCGCGCAGCACGCGACTCTCTCGGCCTCGACAGCGTCTGCGAAACCGCCCCCTGCCTGCGACTCTCCGGATCGAGGAGCGAAGCAGCGGGGAGCCTCTCGCCGGTATGGCGGGCCTCGACGACCGGTGCTTCCTCGCTCGCTACAATCTTGTAGTCGAGGTTGAAGGCAAGAAGGCTGTCATGGAGTGGACGCGCAGCCAATTCCTGCCTCCGATCCCAAGCAGGCTCTTCGGCATTCTTCGCGCCGAGCTTGGCCAAGCCAATCTCGACCATGTCCAGCCGCCGTCTTTCGCGACATGGAATTGGACAGCTTTGAAGTCGGAGCAATCAATGGGGTGGCCGAACAGCTTCTTGCAGGCCTCGACGATGCTGATGGAAATGTGTCGTCGAGCCGTCGCGATCTCGGAGGGGGAGCTGCCGCGGGTCTACCTCCTGCGTGCCAAGGGCGAGGAGAAGACGTGGACATTGCCCGTGTCCCTGTTGCCCGAGGGCAACCTGAGGGGCACCGATGTGATCATCCCCGTCGACTCAGTGGCACCGGCGGTGTGGATTGCCTTCAAGCAGTCCGATGACCTCAGCACAGTGGCGGACAGTGAGTGGGTCTTGCACAGCGGAACAGACAGCAAGCTCCTCGTCGATGTCGTCAAGATGGCCCGCGCACTGGTCGCTATTGGAGATTGGCAGCCGCCCCTCAGCAAGGTCCGCCGCAAGAGCAAGGAGGACAGGGCGAACGGGGTGATGGACGGGACGCTGCCGACGGATGACAAAACGATCCGCATCTTCGGCATCGAGGTGTACCGTCCTGGCCCTCTGGCCGGCAAGGACACCGTCTTCGTCAAGCTGGACATCCCCGCACGCAAGCTCATCTGGACGACTGAGGCCGGAGACCGGGCTACCCAGGTCGTCGACGAGGATGACCCCAGCGACCGATGTGGCCAAGTCAAGCTGGCGTTGGAGGCGTATCTGGCCTCGAAGGCGAAGACTGCTGGGGACGGAGAGGAGAGCGGGGTGTACAGCGGCAGCACTGGCGGTAGCGGCAGCGGTGCAAGTGCCAGTGGGAGTTGAGCAAAGGCTGGGTCGGTAGAGAGAGCTGGGGGGTCGTCGAAGCATCGGACGGCCTCGAAGAAGAAGCCAAGAAGTGAGGATGAGGCGGGGGGCAAGCAAGGCTACCAGTACGTAATGATCTCCATCCACATGTAATACCCTCACCACCACTGAGATACCACCCAATGCTACCAGGCGTGAGACATCACTTGAGTAGCGGCAATGCCGCGGAAGCAGCCAGCGATCGCAGGTGCGACCTGAATTGCGCTTTTGACCGGGAGTCGTGCTACGCAGTGACGAAAATTGATCGCTCGTGGTGGTGCGCAGGTTCGAGATCAGTCTGCAGTACGTCGAGCGGTGGCTGGCAGGGCAAAGAAGTCTATTTGATTCGTTGATCCTACAGCATCTACGGTATCCCTACCTTCTCGCCTCTGCTCCCACCCATTTCGCCCCTCTGGCACGCTCAAATGAGGCCATTCGTCTCCAGCAGCAGCACAATGCCGTGCGCAGCCTCGGCGACGGTTACTTTGCTCAAGTCAAAGGTCGCGTCGGCATCTGAAGGAGCTTCATACACGTCTGATACACCCGTGAAGTTCTGGATCTTACCGGCGCGCGCAGCAGCATAGACGCCCTTCCTGTCGGTGGCCTCGCAAACCTCGAGCGGGGTGCTCACGTGCACCATGAAGAAGTTGCCCGAGCCGCCCGTGGACTGGACGAGCTGCTTGGCCGCAGCGCGCGAGTTGGCATAAGGGGCGATAGGGGCGGCAATGGTGGCTGCACCGGCGCGAGTGAGCTCGGCAGCTACAAAGGCGATGCGCTGAATGTTCTTGTGGCGATCCTCAGGGGAGAAGCCAAGCTCGGCGGACAGCTCAGAGCGGACCGTCTCACCTAGGAGAAGCGAGACGGAGCGACCGCCCTGCTCGTTGAGGCGAGTCTGGAGCGCCTTCGCGATGTCGTCCTTGCCGGAGTTGTAGAGGCCGGTGAGGAAGATGGTAAAGCCTTGCGACTGCTTGGGCGGGTAAGATTCGCGGAGCACCTTGACGACGGACTCATACGAGAACCAGTCAGGAATGGATTGGCCGGTACGAAGACGCTTGCGCAGCTCAGTGCCGGAGATGTCCAGAGTCTGCGTGCCAGGAGCGACCTCGTCGACGGGGAAGTACTCGTCTTGGGCGGGCACATAAGTCATCCTGCGCACAAGGGGTGGGGAAGGCGAGCTGGTCAGCACTGGATGTCAGCAGCGAGTCATTGCTGCGCGCTCTCACATCTGGAAGGGAACCATTTCGATGCCAAGCTCCTCGGTGTGTTGAGTCACGAGCTGTTGAGCGTCGTAGGGCCCGTAGAAGTCCTTGCCTGCCGAGTTTTTGCCCGGGCCAGCGTGGTCACGCCCGACGATGAAGTGAGTCACACCAAAGTTCTTGCGGATGATGGCGTGCCAGAGTGCCTCCTTGGGTCCACCCATGCGCATGGCGAGCGGGAGGAGAGCCAAGTGCGCCGAGCCGTTGGGGTATCGGGGCATGAGGCTCGCATAGACGCGCACGCGCGTGTAGTGGTCTACATCTCCAGGCTTGGTCATGCCCACGACGGGGTGAATTAGAATGTTGGCTTGACGCTGCCTTGCTGCTCGTACAGTGAGCTCACGGTGGGCTCGGTGCATCGGGTTGCGCGTCTGGAAGGCGACGACGTTGCGCCATGCCACTTTCGAGAAATGGGCGCGAAGCTCGGCAGGGGTGTAGCGCAACGCCACGTAGTCGTAGTATCGGGGCTTGGAGATGGCCTGGACTGCACCGCCGACGTACAAGTCTTTGACTTGAGTGTTGAGGTAATGGATCGAAGGGTGGGCGGCGTCGGTGGAACCAAAGACGTGCTGTGCCTCGAATTCACGCTGGACCGGGTAAAGGTCCGAGACGGTCAGGATGGCAAGGGCATTGTCGTCGCGAGGGTCGCGGAGGACGACGCGAGAGCCCGACGTCAGCTTGAGCTGCTCAGCTTCGGCCTGCGAGACGTCGAGGGTGATGGGCATCGGCCAGAGGTCGCCATTGACTAGGCGGTTGGTGGTACAAACGCTGAGCGAGAGGACGCGAGGCGTGTCAGCATTCGTCTCCAGACCGATCACCCCTCTCCTCGCCTACTCACGCCTCGTAGTCGGCACTGCCCAAGAAGCCCTCGAGCGGGGAGAAGCCTCCGTTCATGATGAGCTCGAGATCGCATAGCTGGCGCTCAGTCAAGACGATGTCAGGCAGAGTGGCAGCCTCAGCTTGCAGCTTGGCAGCGATGGGAGCATCGCGGACATTGAGGTCCTTGAGGACGCCGCCGTGGGGTGAGTTGGCCATATTTGTCGAGGTGTCTAGGATAGAATGTAGAGTGAGGAAGAAGACGAGTTCTTGGCCGCCGTCGCAGATCTTCTCGTTCCTATTCTCACTCGCTTCTTAGCCGTCATCGTCGACCGACGACGACCCTTAAGCGCTTGGGCTGTGAAGCTGCCACCTGCGACGAGGGTTTAAGCGGAGGCGCTTCGGTATGGCGCAATTTTGACGCACCTCGCCGAGGTGGAGCGGAGAGCGGAGATCGATTGCAACGGTGACAAGAGCCAAGAGACGGAACGGGATCGCAAGTCGACTGAGAGTCGAGGTCGAAGTCGAGTTGAGGGCGGAGAGAAGAAGTGAATTTTGGACGGACCGAGGCGGTTGGCTGCAACTCAACATCAACGAATAATCGACCTCTGATCATCACAACCAGCATACTCTTTGCGCGGCCACGATGCCCGACTCCTTCTTTCAGAAGAGTCGCAAGCGCGCGGCGTCTTCCTCCTCCTCTTCTTCATCATCCAAGCAATCGCGCCCACGCCGCGATGACAAGGCGAGGGGCGGCCCCAAACGCCCGCCACCTCAGCGCTCCGCCCGTGCATACAACGACGACGACGATGATGACGACGATGGCAGCGACGGCAGCGACTTCTTTGAGGGCGGCAACGACGACACGCGCCATCGCTACGAGCACGATGTCTCTTCGGATGAAGAGCGAGACGCAGCAGAGACGCCCGCAGAAGCTCGCGTGAGGTTGGCAAAAGCCTACATCGACGGGCTCAAGAATGATGAACTCGACGCCGACGACGCAGATGCCGCCGCAAGTGATGCGGCCAATATTGCCGCACGCTTGCAAAAGGATGTCAGTGAGCACTCGGGCAAACAGCATATCTTCATCGCTAGCAGACTGAAGCCACCGCCCAAGGACGGCTCGCGGTCGCTGCTGCTGCGTGGGGGCCACCGAGCTTCGTTGACAGCGGCAGTGGCGAGTGGCAATGGCAAGTGGGTGTACACGGCTGCAAAGGATGGCAACGTATTCAGATGGCGCATGGAAGATGGGCGTATCGACGTGCTGCTACCGAGAGGAGGAGCCCCATCAAAGCTGGTAGCAAATGGCAAGAAAGTTGCGGATGCAGAGATGCAAGACTCAGACGCAGACGAGGACGAAGAGAAAGCGCCCCCTGCAAGCGCCGTCAATGGCACGCATAGCAATGGCCAGGTAGACGGCGATGAGGCCGCGTCCGATGCAGAGATGAGCTCGGCCAAGTCAAAGTCGAGCGGAGCCAGCCGCCGCAAAGCCAGGAGAAGAGGGGCAGCCCTGCAGTCGCATCCGGCTCCACCGAGGAGCAAAAGTACCTCTGAACAGCAGCAGCAGCCTCGCTCTCGACTTCACGCCATCGCCGAAGTGGGTCAGGACGAAGGGCATCGCGGCGAGATCTGGTCCCTAGCGCTCAGCAGCGACGGCAAACGTCTTGCGACAGGTGGGCAAGAAAAGCACATTGGCATCTGGACCATCGGCGGGGACGACCCCTCCCCCTCATCATCCTCATCGACCCCTTCGTGGACCCGCGCTCTCACTGGCCATAAAGATTCCATTTCAGGCTTGCGCTTCCGCCACGGGAGCTACGAGCTTTATACCTCTTCTTTGGATCGTCAGATCAAACTCTTCGCTGTCGACCAGCTCTCCTACATCGAGACCCTCTTCGGCCATCAGGAGTCCATCCTCAGCCTGGACGTACTTCGCCAACAAGTGGCAGTAACTGCAGGGGGGCGCGACCGCACCGTTCGATGGTGGAAGGTGCGGGACGAATCGCAGCTGGTGTTCAGGGGCGGAGCTCGCAGCAAGTTGCGCGACCTCATCGAGGGTGGAGATCTTAGCGAAGAGCAGGTGAAAAAGGCTCGCGGCGATCGAGGTGGCGCCGTCATCGAGGGCAGCGTCGAGTGCGTGGCCATGATTGACGACTCGCACTTCCTCTCTGGCGGAGACAGTGGCGCCATCTCCCTATGGAGCTTGGGCAAGAAGAAGCCAATCTTCACTCGGGCGGTCACGCATGGCTTCCAGCCTGCGACGTCGGAACATGCGCCTCTCACGCCGAGATGGATCACTTCGCTCGCTTGCCTGCCGTATGGCGATGCGTTTGCCAGCGGTTCGTGGGATGGGAGCATCAGGCTATGGCAGCTAGACAGGCAGCTGCGCAACTTCAAACCCCTCTTCAGCGTCAACGCGCCGGGCTTTGTCAACAGCTTGCAGCTTTTGCAGCCACCAAAGAGCGCGGGACAGTGTGTGAAGCCCGAGCTCTATCGCTTCAGGGTGAAGGGACAGAAGGAGAAGGACAGCGAGGGAGAGAAGCAGGCAGTGAGCGGGGACGGAGACGAGGAGGCGGCCCCTGCACCAAGCCTTGGACGAAAGGAGTCGGTGCCCCCGATCCTCATTGCTGCTCTCGGCTCTGAGCCGCGCATGGGGCGATGGATGAAGGACAAGAGCGTCCAGAGTGCGGGTCTCATTGTGCCTTTGACATTTGCGTGACGTGATCACCTCCATAACATTTCAGCATTGCCATCTCCTTCTTGAGTGTCGTGAGTGATCGGCTGATTGTCGGCGTGGCGCTGCCCTCGCGTGAGCTTGGTCCGCCCGCGTTGGCCAAAGCGTCGGACGGCTGGGCTGTGAGAGAGATGTCATTCCTTCTTTCCTCCTCAACTCCACTGATCATCACCATGGTCCCGGCACGCCTTTCGACTGGTACCCAGAGCGCACTGCGACGATCCGTCGTCAATGTCAACAGCAGCGCTCCTGCCGTTGCACGCTTGACGGCTACCCCGCGCTTCGCAGCGCCGTCGCTCTATGCAGCTGCTCCTCGCACAACTCCCTTCACGTCTGCCGCCCCCGTCCACCGCTTCCTGCACACCACTCTTCCCCGCTCTCTCCGTGACGACAGCGGTAAAGCTCCCACAGACTGGGCTGGAAAAGGTCCCATTAGCTACGATGAGCTCAAGCCGATCACCGAGGCTCCCACTGGGGTGAGCAGACGATCCAGCTTTGTCCATCCTGCCTATCAACTACTGACATCCCGCCTCCTCCCCGCAGGATGTCACCATCATCGACGTCCGTGAGCCGTCGGAGACTGCGCAGGGCATGATCCCTTCAGCGGTCAACGTCCCCCTCTCTGAATGGCCTGTAGCATTCAAGTCGTCCTCTGGCGGTAACTTCGAGCAGAAGTACGCCCTTCCCCGCCCAGAGTACGGTCAGAAGATGATCGTCTACTGCCGTACGGGCAAGCGCAGTCAACAAGCTTTGGAGGAGCTCAAGAAGGAGGGGTGGGCCAATGTAAGGAACTTTGTCGGGAGCTGGACTGAATGGTCGAAGCAGGAGAAGGCGAGGGGCAAGGAGGACGACTAAATGTACAGGCATGAAGGGGAGGGGACGATGCGCAAGACGGGGCCCAATGCGAGATTGTGCGCGCTGTGCAAAGAGCATTGATATTCTCTAGGCAGGGTGACGAGTGACTGGTGACTGTGCCACCTTACATGCCCTTCAGTGCAGCTCCTCCGACTTGAGCCTCTTGTGTGTACGTTCCTCCTCTGCCTCGTCGCTCCCCGCCCTGCCTCCTGCCACACTACCGCCCTGCGAAGCCCGCACCGCTCCCTTCGTTTCCTCCTCCTTTGTCTGACCCGCACCGCTCGTTCCCTTCGACCCACCCTCGTCATCCACGATCATCGCCTCCACCTTCGCCGACTCAGGCTGCGTCGTCGTCGTGCTACTCAATGGGTGCACTGCTCGCCCATACTGGTGCCCATCTGCCGTGCCTGCTTCGCCTGCGTGCCCGCTTTGTTGCGGTTGAGCGGATGACCCAGCTGCCTCGTCATTACCGCCAAACTCGTCCAACTCGTCTACGCGACCTGGTGGAACGCCGAGTGGTTGGTGCAGCGTAGAGCCTGTGGACGAGGAGGGCATGGAGGAGGATGAAGCTTCACTGCCGCCGAGTGCGAGGGGAGCCGCAGGCGGTGGACTAGGAGGTGACCTTGCTGATGTAGGAGCCGAATTTGCGGTCTGGAGAGAAACTGGTGGTGGGGCTTCGACGTCGCTTCCTCCTCTACCGTCCGCCTGCGATGTTGCTCTTCCTTGTCCGAGCTCCAGCGCAGGCACGTCCTCGCCTAGATCGGCAGCTGCCTCTCCATCTGCAGCCTGATTACCTCGTTGCAAAAATGGTATAGGGCTGAAAATGGGTTCAGCCATCGGACTCGGAGGTCCCGTCATCCTCTGCAGCTCCACGGCCCCCACAACCGCTCCTACTCCGTTCGCTCCCGCGCTATCCATTGACTCTCCATTCTGGCTCATAGTCATCATCACCGTGTTCACAGCTCCAGGCGCCACACCAGGCTCGACAGGCGGGAAATCGTCACGTCCTGCAGTGACGCTCAACAAGCGTAGCAGACTCGCGGTAAACTTTGGCGCAGAGCGAACAAAGCGCGGCGCGTCCAGTAAAAGTTCAGCAAGGCGTTGCACAGTGAAAGGCGGGCTCCCCTCGAAGCCATCCAGTAGTCGGAGGCACAGAGAAGTCTCCTCGTCCTGCTTGGCTTGTGTGAGGCGACGTCCCCAGGAGCCGTGCCTGTCGGGTGGAGGGGCAGTCTTGGCTGGATAGTAGCCGGAACGGTCTGCTGCGGTTGTGTTGAGAGAGGATGAGGAGCTCGCTGCGCCGAAGCCGGGGACGCCGCCATTGTTCACATGCGAACGGTCCTCGTCCTCGTCGCTGCTGCTGCTGCTGCTGCTGCTGTCGGAGTCGTCGTTGCGCGAGAGACGGCCCCCCTGCCGCGAGTGACGACCACTGCTGGGAGAATCGTCTGATCGCGCTGATGACGAAGAAGATGAGAAGCGATTGTCCAGAGCATTCGCAGCAGCAGCTGCCGTAGACGTGGATGCCTCGCCGTTTGCATTGCCATTTGCTCGCTGCTCCCCTTCACTCTTGGCCATGGCGATTGCCGCAGCCTCTCTTGCTGCCGGATGCAACAGCGGGCTTGGCTTGTCACTGAAGCTGCCTACGACGTTGATGATGCGGACCTTGATGGCCTCTCTCAAGCTCGTCCAGTCGAGGTCAGAGGGAATTTCGTCCGTCTCTGCTATTGAGCGAAGCTGAGCGAGATACTTGTCGTCCCATTGAAAGAGTGGGTCCACCGACTTTGAAGGGTCGGATGGCTCTGACGCTGTCATGGCTAGGAGTGGGCAGCAGGGAAGGATGGGTGGATGTGTTGATGGTGTGGAGAGTCAAGGGCAAAGCAGCACACGATCAACGTCCAGAGGCGCAGCCAACTGCCGCCTCCCGCCTGTCCGCCCGCCCTGCCTGCATCCCCGCGTCGACGTCGAAAAGTTTTCCAGAGTTGAGAGAGGGCGGAAGCGCGAGCGTGGGCGTGCGTGCAGCTTCCCCGCTACATCATCAAGACGGTGCCATTTGATCACTGTCAAGCAGACGCTCAAGGTCGACGATGCCCATCGGTAGACGATTGCGTATCTCATTGCTTCTTTGCTCCGTCGTCTCGCAGCTCAGCCTGCGCCCTCTCTGTACATGTCCACAGCTCCCTCAGTCGTCCGCCACACGCCTCATTCGTCTCCTCATCGCTCAACCCCTTGCGATTCGCATCATTGATGCAACCATCGAAGGCCAAGATGGCAGGCTTACATTGAGCCTTGATCTTGCTCATGAGAGGGACAGCCTGGGCGGCGCATTGGGAGAGGGCGACCTTGTAAGGGTCGCAAGTTGAGGGAGAAGTCTGGTTGGCCAGGATGCAGCTGCGGGCGCGCGAGCGGATGACCTGATGTCAGAGCGTGAGGATTCGCCGGACATTCGCGACTGCGGCTTACCGTTGGAATGTATCTGACGTGGGGACGGGATGAGGTGGACATGTCAGTCAATTCTCTAGCGCTCCTCGCAGCTCAGCGCCTCGCTCGCTGGCCCACTTACCCAGCTCTTTGCCACACTGCTTTGCCACTCTCTCCATTGAGTCTTCCATGCTGATGCCTGAGTATTGGTAGGTGCGCTACGCAAGGAAGTGCTGAGGCCGTGACGAGGATGAGAATGTAAGGGTCGAGGCGCTGGCTGACGTCCTTCGGTCAATTGGGACTTGTTCCACTTCATCTTTCCCGCTCAAGTTGCCGGCCCCGCCGCTCAACGCTCGGCGGTCGGCGCTCGCTCGACGGTCTCAGATTGGACTGGCCCCTGCGTCTCTGTCCGTCGGCGGTCAAGTCAGCCCTCAGTGCAGCCCGGCGGCCAGGATTGCCAATCGACGGCCTGCGCAGCTTTTGATGTTTCGCCTTGCTTCGCTGCTTCTCTACCTCTAAGACAGCCATGTCGTCCTCGTCGACGCGCCCTTCTGAGCGTACACCGCTCCTCAACGATCAGCAAGACCGTCGTGACCATGGCTCTACTCGCAGTAACGGCGATGAGCAAAATGCTGCCTCCTCGCAGGCTGGGCCAACTGACATGCCCCCTCGCTCAGTGTACATCCCAATCCTCACCTCCATCTGGACGGCCGTCTTCATCTCATCGCTCGACAGCACCATCGTAGCTACTTTGGTCGGCAGCATCGGCTCCTCCTTTGGCGCCTCGGAGCAATCTTCGTGGATAGGCGCGAGCTATCTGCTTAGCCTTTGCTGCTTCAATCCGCTGATGGGGAGATTGAGCGACGTCTTTGGGAGGAGAGGTGTGCTCTTGAGTTGCTTGTGCTTATTCACCCTTGGGACGGCAGGGTGTGGAATCGCTCCAAGCCTTGAGTGGTTCTTGGTTGCGAGAGTAGTGGCTGGCGCCGGAGGTGGCGGTCTGACTACGACGAGCAACATCATTATGACGGATCTCTTTCCGCTGCGGTCGAGAGGGCTTATTCAAGGGGTACGTCGAGCCTCTTCAAACCCAGCGCTTCTCAAGCTGACCCCATCTTTCCACCCGCGCACCTTCCCTTTTGCGTCTGCAGCTCACCAACATCGTCTTTGGCGCTGGATCCGGGCTGGGCGGCCCAGTCGGAGGCTTCATCAATGACCTCCTCGGGTGGCGCAAGGCCTTCATTCTCCAAGTGCCCCTCTTGGCGATCGCATTCACCCTTTCAATCCTCTATGTACGAGACGGTCGCGACCCAAACTCGGCCCAGCTCTGCCTCCCCTTCAAGGCCAAGCTGGGACGTGTCGACTTTCTCGGCTCCTTCACCTTGGTCACCACCGTCGCCTGTATCCTTGTGCCACTCTCTCTCCTGTCCGGCGCAGATGCACAGCTCAGCGATCCCTGGGTGTGGGGAACAGCCATTGCGGGGCTTGTGGGCCTCGCAGCCTTTGTCCTCACGGAAATCTACGTAGCCGCAGAGCCTATCCTACCAATGCGTCTCCTTCGCTCCCCTACGGTCCAAGGTGTCTGCGTCACCAACTTCACCCTCTCCATCAGCGGCTTCGCTACGCTATACACCTACCCGCTCTTCTTCCAGGCCGTACGTCTGCAGTCTGCGAGCCAGGCAGGACTGCATATCATTCCGTACAGCGTCGCCCTCTCCCTCTCCTCGGTGATGGCGGGGGCGTACATGCGGGCCACGGGACGTTACAAGAAGTACTGCGTAGCCAACACCCTTTTCCAAGTGTTGAGCTCCTGCCTCCTCTTCACTCTCAGCCCAAGCTCTCCAGAGTGGCTCACATACGTGGCCATCTTCCCCCTTGGCCTGGGAGGGGCAGGAATCCTCGTTTCGACGCTCATTGCCATCATCAACTGCGTGCCTCGCACTGAGATGGCCGTCGCGACTGCGCTCACGTACCTGTTCAGGACGTCGGGACAGGTGCTCGGCGTTGGCCTCGGCGGAACTCTCCTTCAATTCTCGTTGAGGGACGAGCTGGCGAAGCGCATCGGAGACCCAGACCTCGTGCGCAGGATCAGGCATAGTAGCGACTTGATCTCGCACCTGGAGCCGGTTCTGCAGCACGAGGCCAGTGAGGCATACCTTGTGGCCACGCGCAGGGTGTGGGGCTTCTTGGTTGTGACGTCGCTGCTCACATTCGCGGGGAGCCTATTGATGGAGGACAGGGAATTGCCGGGACAGAAGGAGGTGACCGAGGGCGAGGGGGAATCGCGAGAGGGTGGGAGCGAGGATGAAGGAAATGTGCCGCCTAGGATGAGGGCTTAGCGGGATCGTCTGTTGGCTGGCTCTGATTATGATAGAATTGCAAGGCTAGCCCTACGAATCCGCACCCTCATTCAGCACCTTCTCGCGTACACTCGCCGGCCACCAATCAGGCCATGAGGCCTTGACGCTGAAAGTCTTCTCGTTCTCCGCGTCACCCACACTCAACGTCAGTCCCGCCGCGCCCTCCTGCTCTGCATTCACCACATGCTGTAATCGCAGCATCGCCAGGCCGATCATCTCCCCGTCTGTCGCGTGCTGCGGATTAGCAGTCGCCTCACAAGCCGCCCTCGCACCAGGCGGGACAGCCAAGTGTTCGCCCCCATCCAGCTTGCCCTTAACCTCAGCCTCACGCTCCTCTTCCGTCGCATACGCCTGCTCTGCAACGAGCAACGTACCCGCAGGCTTTGCTCTTCTACTGCTTGACGTAGCCGCAGGCGGCGAGCGGATAGTGGCGCCTTGTAATCCCTCCAACCCGGCCTTCCCTGTACCCTCAGAAGGGTGGAGTCGCACGGGCATAACTCTCTTCCTCACTACGCCGATATGGTGCGTCCTCGCGGTAAGCTCTTGGCCTACATAGCATCCCTTCTTGTAGTCTACTCCGCCCATCAGGTCCAGATTTGCCTCCAGCGGGAGCGAGCTGTTCTCGGGCAGCTCAACAGGCCCATCCGGCACGCCTTGCGCTATTCGGTGGCGAGTGTAGGCAAGCGGCGAACGATGTTGCACGGCGATGGGGAGGGGTGGGGTAGAGTTGCGAGGCGAAAGTAGTCGCCATCCCATTCGTGGGGTGCGAGCATCGCGCAGCACTTTGCCCTCCTGCTCGAGCGACGTCATCGCTTCCTCGTCCCTGGAGCTGGCGTCGTCACTCCAAATGGCCCACGTCTCCCACCCTTCGCTCTCATCTGCCAGCTTTACCTTGCTGCGAAGCATGAAGCGCTTAATGAATGTTTGCAGAGAGGGCACATTTGCGCTATGACAGTCCATGAGGACGGATGGCGGCGCGGCAGGATCTGATGTGGCGGCGAAGGTGCCCTCGTTGTACAAGAAAGCAGGCCCGATCAATCGCCCTTGAGGATTGAGGAAGCCGCAGTAGAAGGCGGATGTATGCGCCGAGGTTTGCGCACTGGATGATGCAGAAGGCGACGTGGCTCGCTCCTCCAGTCGACGGACGTCATTGGTGACCAAGCCCTGCAGCAGCTTGTAGGTGTTGGCGCCACGCAGTGAAAGGACGGACCGATCGCTGAGCTTGGTGGCTAGGAGTTGGTGTGGCGATGTGGACGAGGAGAAATCGCGACGCAGAGGGGCACGCCGCGCAGAAGCGATGGTCGCTGATGCTGCCGTGGAGGAGGAGGAGGGGAAGGAGCAGACGTGGCATATAGTCAGGCAGCTGCCGCCGCCATTACGAAGAACCATGTTTGCGGTGGGATGTGAAGTAGAGGAGGATTGACTGGCCTTCAAGTCACTGCCTCGCCTCGCTCTCTCCGCCTCTCTCCGTCCGTGCTCGACTCTGTGCTCGACTCCGCCTCCACCTCGGCGCTGAGCTCCACGACGACGCTCTCCTGTGCCCGCATTCACATCGCCATTTCATTTTGCGACTGCACGCCATCCAACTCTACCATCCCCCTTCCTCGCCCCCTTCTCCCCGCGCCAACATGTCACAGAATATCCCCGACTACTACACGCTCCTCAACATCCCCACAACCGCCACGCCCACCGAGATCCGCAATGCATACAAGCGTCAGTCGCTCCTTTCCCACCCGGATCGCTTCCCCAAAGCCAGCCCTGCAGAGCGGGAACGACTGACAAAGAAGTTCCAGTCCCTGGCCGATGCGTACTATGTGTTGTCAGATGAAGGGAGGAGGAGGGAATACGACGCCCTGAGGGCTTCGCATGGCCCCTTCAGGAGCTTCGACGGAGAGGGCATGGAGGGTATGGAGCAGCAGAGCTCTGCTGACTTCTTTGCAAACTTCTTCAAGGGCTTCGCCGGGGCTGCGGGCGCCGCTGGAGGAAGTGAGAAGAGGCCAGAGTCTAGCCACGGTGATGAAGATGAATTCGAGGAGAGGACCGAGGCGGGTCAGCCACAGGGTAAGTAGTGGAAGCGATTGAGTAGAGGCAGGCGAGACAGCACTAATGCTACTTGTCCTCGACCTCGCAGCCAACGGAGTCTTTGGGAATGTCTTCGAGGAGATGCTCAGACCAGAAGTGCACAGGGTGGCACCGATTTGGAAGGTGAGCATGCCCAATTGCGACAACCGTAGCCTCACTTTCGACTGACGCTCCTTTCTACTCTTCCCTACCCTGCAGTGGGTCGGAGGCGCCTCTGGTGGAGCGTTGGGGTTCATCATCGCCAACATCCCAGGTAAGTGAGCCGTAAATCTCCTTGTACGACTGTCTCGTACTCCCTCTGACCATGCCACTTGTCTCACTCACGCACAGGTGCGATGGGCGGCGCCCTCCTTGGGTCACGCCTCGGAGCTATCAAAGATGCCAAAGGACGCAGTGTAGCTGCCGTGTTCATGGACTTGAATCAGGGACAGAGGGCAGAGGTGCTCAAGGCATTGGCCACAAAAGTGTTGGGCTCGATCGGATAGAGGCGAGGAGGTAAAGAGGATGAAGATCCTACACGACCGAAGGAACAGTCGAACCGATACCATGCTTTCCAGTCTCTAGTGTAATGGCAATGCTGATTATCCATCGTTACCACGCCGCACCGCGCCTGGGTATCAAGCTGCTACGGCCCACCGCGTCCGTCCAGTCTCGCAAGCATCTGTCCCCCCACATTGGGCGGCAGTCGTCCAAGCAACGCCCGCAGTCTCGTCTTGTCCCCCTTTTCTGCCTGTCCTCCCGCACCTCCACTGCCTGGTAGCGGGCTCGCCCTCTCAACATAGCGCATTGCCTGGCCTGTCTGACCCGCCTGCACAAGCTTGATGACAAAAGCCTCGTATCCACCTGCCGCAGCCGATGGTCGGGCCCCGTTCGCAGGCAGGAGAGCCCAGAGCCCATCCCAGTCTCGTCTCGAAACGGCAGCGTCTATTCTTGCTGCCTGGTAGGCCCGCTCCGAGACCTTGAAGTCGCTACGCAGCTTCTCGGCCTTCTTAGGCCACTGTCTTACGAACAGATGGCGCAAGGTAGCGTGCAGGCTCAGGCCCGCCCACGGCGTGCGGCCAGTTCCGCCATCTTCCTTCTCCAGCTGTGCCTGGAATGCTAGCAGGCGGGAGGCCTCGTCCACCAGCTTCGAGTCAGTGCTGTGAGCCTTGTCCTCGCTAAGGAGCTTGGAGGCTGAGCTGAGATGAGACTGACGGGCGGGGAGGTCAGAGCTGGTCGTTGAGAACTCGAGGTCAAGGATAGCAGAGTCGAGGCGCCGGTCGTCCGTGAAGTAGAGGTCGCGCAAGAGGTCCGGGTCGAAATCCCGCGCGTAAACCTCCAGTAGGCTTACGGCCAAGCTGGCGTAGGCTCTGCGCGACGCCGCGGTCGCCGCCTTTTTTCCTGGGTCGTCTCCATCGTCGTCCTCTTGCCAAGGACGCTGCACCACGCGAAAGAATTCTCCGCGACCCAACTGCGCCTTCAGCTTGAGCAGAACATGCCAAACAAGGTCTGTGTCTCCACTCTCGACACTCTTCTCCAATGCTCTGCGATCTTGGCTCATCTTCAACAGGAGGGGAACTTGGTCCACTGCTCGAGGCTCATGATCTAGCAACCGGGTCGCCAGCCGGACTCTGCCCGCCGTGTAGGCCCATGACGCAATTGACGAGTAGGAGACGCTGGAATGGGTGCGGGAGGTGAAGTTGCGGACGATCAGAGAGCACAAGGCCGCATCGTCACCATGGGCTCCACGAGCGGTGCGACTGGCGCCTGTCCCTGCTGCTGTAGCGCTTGCGGCTGCGGTGCTTCGCGCGATTTTGGCTCGCGCCCAATGCTTGAGAATGGCGTCCGGCCGGAGGCGAAGGTGCTCAGCGATCCTCAGAGCCAAAAGGTGGTGGTTGCGGGCCGTCAACCTGCGCACAAGCGCCTCCATCCCGTCTACTTCTCCCTCCTCCCCAGCGAACTCCTCCCAACTAGCCGGCACTCCAATCTCATAGGCCCTGACAGCATTCAATACCCTCAAGCGCCTGCTTGTCTCTACAAAGCGCGTTGAGTCATAGCCCACGCCGGCATCAAGGAAGCTCTTGCCCAGTGCCGCAGCACGGAGAAGACGCCGTTGCCACGCTGGCTCCCATTCGTGGCTCGCAGCGGTAATGCAGGTGTCGACGGCTTGGGGTAGGGAGGAAGAGATGGCGCGCAAGGCCTCATCCGCTCGCGTGGTGGAGGACTTGTCCCCGCTTTTGTCGCCGTGTCTTCCTCCTGATAAGGGGGCGCTCAACTGCTCACTCGCGTCCAGCAGCAGTGCAGCAGGGTCACTGCTGCCCGGCCTGAACACCATCGCCGTCGCCTCGTGCACCTTTTGTATCAATTCGTGCCGATCAGCGCTAAGCACCCTCACCCCGTCTGATTCGGCCACGAGGTGCACTCCGCTCGTTTCTGAATAGTTGTAGACTATCGAGTCGCCAAAAGGTCCGACGAGGACCACAGAGGCGTTGGTGAAGGCGAGGGCGACAGTATTGTTGCCACACCATTCCGCTTGGCGTAGTCCTGCTACTCCAGCAATGCTGCCTGCTTGCGCAGCTTCCTCGCCGTTTTGAACGGCCTCCTGATACCCCTCGCACTCCGTCAAGTCGAACTCGCTCAAGCTCCTTTGAAAGTCTGCCGAAACGACCCAGAGCTTCTTGTCTCGCTGCAAGACGAGTGCCAAGAGCTTCCCGTTTGGCGAAGGAGAGATGCTGGAAAAAGGGCCGCGCGACAAACGGGCATCTGTGCAAGCTGAGATGGAGTCGAGGGTGAGGAGGGTGCCTGCTTCGTAGGCAGGTGGGGGAGGGGTGGTGCCATTGCTCTGTCCGCGTGGGTCGGGAAGGGGTGGCGGGGAGAGAAGGATCTCAAGAACGCCAGAGGCAGAGCTCGTTGGAGGGACAAAGGACCATGCTGTTGGGATTTGCGGGCCTAGCTGCGTATTGGCGGTCGGCGCGAAGTGAGGGAGGAGCTGCGGTTGTGGTGGACGAGAGTACTCATCCCATAAGAGCCCTTCGTCGTGATTGACTGATGGGAAGCGGAAGTCGACGAATCGTCCGCCCCCTGTCAAGGCTACCACACCATGTTGCCAAATGCGCGCCTCGACGACGCCCGTCTCTGTTGCATCTTGGCCGAGCGAGTGCTGCGTGTAGAAGCACGTTGCTGTCACTGGGGTCGGGAGGGACTCAGGCGTAGAGGAGGAGGATGCAGTGGTGGAAGTCGTGGCGGGACAGGGCGCTTGGAGTGTATAAAGGCGGAGAATGCCCTCGTCGAGAACGATTGCCAGCTCATCATTCGATGAGAAGCCAATGCCGGCGATTCGATTTGATGGGTCCCACTGCGAGCGGAGCGAAGCGAAGCGCAGATGGTCAGTCTCGTCTTTCCATGCTTCTTTCTCCCTGCCTCCACTCTGCTCGCTCACTGGTATGCTCTCCACCAGCTGCCCCGCCGCGGTGTAGACCATGACCTTTGGCTTGACGGCGGCTCCCCTACCCAACGCGATTAGCCTCCTCGGGTCCCGAGTGAGGGCCACGTACCCGCCATTGGAGGCTGCAGCAACGATGAAGTGGGACAGGTCGGAATGGCCCCATGCTAGCGAATATATGTCTCGTTTGCGGTAGAAGACCGATGCCAGAGGTGAGCATTCTAGGAAGGGGTGGGGAGGGGGCATTGTGATGGAAGGGAGAGGAGAGAAGGCGAGAGCGGGTGGCCCATGCGAGCAGCGTCCCTGGCCGAGACAGAGAGACCGGACGGACGGACGGACAGAAAGGCAGGCGACGAGGCTGCGAAATGCGAGGCAGCGTGAACCGGCGCTGATTCATCGCAGCTTCTCGCCAATCAACAACAACTTCACTTTTGCTGCGCTCGACCACCTGGGGCGTCACGAGTCGCGAGCATGGCCCAGATCGATGCTGCATCAGATGCGCGATGGCTCCAATCAATCGACGCCGTGTATGCGCTCTTTGAAGACGACAGGTTGCGGGCGCAGTACCCGCACCTTGCTGCCAAGGTGGAGAAGGCGGTCAGGCTCACGGAGGAGGCCTATAGAGATGTTGGGTGGGTAGCGCAACCGCGCAAAGGACTTTGTGAAAGGTGGCAGCTGACTCTTTGCTACTTCGCAGCATCCCACAATGCGCCCTCAGCTTCAATGGCGGCAAAGATTGTGCGTGCCAGGCTGCTCAGCTGTGCGGCCTCATCGCAGCATGCTGACAAGCCACTTCTTCGCACCGCTTCTTCGCTCGCAACAGGTACCGTCATTGTGCACATCTTAGCAGCCGTCCTTCGCAGGCTATCCGGCCTCTCACAACTCTCCGCAAACGGCGCCTCGTCCTCGTCCTCGTCCTCGTCCTCCTCTACGCCCTCCTCCTCCACCTCGCAGCTGCCCCCCATACCCACAGTTTACATCGCCTGCGAATCACCCTTCGCCACGCTCGAAGACTTTATCCGGGACTCGCAGCGGCGCTACAACTTGGATCTGTACACTGTGCGCGGAGGCATGAAGGAAGGGCTGATAGAGTATTTCGAGGGTGGGGGAGACCAGGGAGTGCCGGGCTCGGAGGCGAAGCAGAGGGAGACGACCTCATCGAAGAGGGACAGACGAGATGTCAAAGCTATTTTCATCGGAACGAGGAGGACAGATCCCAACGGAGGTAAGGCGAAGAGGCTGCGATAGAGGTGACCAAAGAATTTCCTGCTAATCTCGCCTCCCTTGACGTCTCGCGCGCCCCCTTCAGAGTCGCTCCAAGATCGCCAAATGACAGATCCATCCTGGCCCCAAGTCGAGCGGATTCACGTCATCCTCGACTGGGACTATCCAGATGTTTGGGCTTTCTTACGATGTCCAGCCCTTGCCGCTGACTCTGGATCGGAGGGTGTCCCGTATTGCCAGCTGTACGACGAAGGTTACACATCCCTCGGCAGTACCTTCAACACTTTCCCCAATCCAATACTGAAGAGCCGAGAGGTAGGCGAGAAGGGAGCGTACCGACCGGCATGGCAGCTGGAGGATGGAAGCTCAGAGAGGGCTGGTAGGGGCGACAAGCCGCGAGAAGGCAAGGAGGAGAAGAAGGAGTCGTAGGCAAGCATAGACGATTGCAATCCCGATTGCTAGTCACATCATCTCCCTCGACTCTAGGATGTGCTGACCTGAGTGAGTATTTTCGGCCAGAAGACGTGCTATGCGCACGCTTCGGGTGCCTGGCTTCAATCTCATCTCCAGCCGCCATTGCTCGCTCTACGCACGGACGCGCGGCGGACTGGACGAGTGGGCGCTCTCTCGAGCTCAGCGCACACTTTGCCGCCCTATCTTCCGCTCCATCCTCACAGCCAAGAGCGAGCAACTAACGATCGAGAGACGACAGAGCAAAGCTTTGCGTCCAGCCCATCGATAGCCGCTCGCTTTCTTCTTGACTCCTCGCCACCTTCTACGACTCCCCATCCCAACCCCAGCCCCTGCCACCCTTTTACATCGCCTACGCTTTGCCCTCCAATCTCGCTCTCTTCGCCACATTGTGCCCGTGCCACTCCAGGATCATCTCTTGCTCTCCTCGGTCGACGCTTGCTTGACCTCGAGGACTCGAAGCACGGCTACGGCGCTCCAGAATGGCATCCGCCAGCAACGATACTCAGGACTTCATCAATCATCCTACCGCTGGCCACTCGTCTACGGCCGCTCAGCCCGCCCTGGTCTCACCTTTGGCATCGTCTAACCTCTCCACCGCATCGAGTGCCGCTGCTCAACAAGGTCTAGACACAACCAATATAGACGGAGGCAGCGACACCGTTTCTACTTCCTCTGTCGAGAGCGACGCGCAGCCGCCACAAGCCCAGCCTCGTTGCGACGACGTTCCGCAGGACCAGCGCCGAGTCTGTCTTGCCGGCCGCGACCCCGCCGCGGAGATCACCTTCTCGCAGGGTCACCAGCCTCTCCTCGCTGCCCAAGCACCCGGCCGTCACGTCACCGTCCCGCCTACAAGCCAAAGCGCACTGAACCGCAAGACTCGTCGCCAGCTCGCCAAGGAAGAGGAGCAGCAGGCTCGCCAGCGAGACCTCGAGCTGAAGGCCCGCGAAGAAGTACGCAAGCGCTCAGAGCAACGTCATCTCCTGAACGGCCAGCCATTCGAGCATCGACCCCTCGACTACCAGCCGCCCTCTATTCGCGCCAGTGACGACGACCACAGCGCCACAATCGCCCTCTGCAACCTCAGCCCCGAACGCATCATGGCTTTCGCTGGCCTCTCCTTGAGCGAGAACGAAGAGCAATGGCGGCTCGACGAGCAGCGCAAGATTGCCGTCATTGAAGCAGACAGCACAGGCCACGCCGACATGATCGCCAAATGCAAGCAGGAGATGGGCAGGTTGCAAGCTTCCCTGCCTGAGGTGCAAGACAATGAGTGGTCCTACAGAGAGGTCCAGGTCAGATACGACGAGGTCAAGCATTGCCTGCAACGTCACCTTGCCGCCAGTGATGGTGGTGAGGGAGTCATGCGCGACCATCCTATTCTCAGCATGGAAGAGATTGCCGGCGCCAAGGAAGGGGCGGGCTGGAGGAGCGCATCGCCGCACGGTCGAGCACGTATCGAGACCATCGCTTCGGATGAAGACGGCACAGCAGGCACTGCCAATCTAGCCTCCCACACCGCCACCATGGCAGACAGCACGGCGGGTACAGAGTACGAGCGGCGGTTCGAGGCTGATGGTAGCCTCGTCATCGAGCGCAGCGCGCAAGCTACGACCTTCAGCCACAATGACGGCCAGGCTACGTCAGCGTCCCGACCTGCTTCAGCGTCGGAATCTACGCCAACCTCAGCTACTGACTCGCCGACCAAGACGGGAAAGGCGAAGAAGAAGGCCGTGGCCAATAAGAGGAGGAACGAAAAGCGTAAGGCCGCTAAGCGTGGCGTCAGTGTTGCAGGAGACAACGATGCCGCTTCTGACCACGAGGAGCGAGCGCCTGCCGAAGATGCCAAGGGTGAGCCTCAGGCAAGTTCGGCTGCCGGTAGCCACACCGAGAACGCTGCTCAGGAGCGCAGGTGAGTGTGCGGCAGAGTGGAGAGTAGAGGAGCAGCTCGCTGACAATGTTGCTCCCAACTGCAGCCCCAACGAGTCGGGCCCCACTCCTGAGGATGGCAGCGACAAGCAGTCAACGTCTGATTTGACTACCAGCATCTCGTCTCCAACTAGCAAAGACGCTCCAGCTCAGCAAGCACCCGCAGCGGAGATTACCGTCCCGATGACTACCACTTCACCCGGCTCACTTCATCCCAAAGCTGGTCAACAAAATCTCCTTCCACCCGTTCAGGACGACCAGACTGTGGACAACTCTCCTCTCGCCCTCGGACCCGCACACTCGCCCGGAAAGCAAGGCGCCAGCAGTACCGACGGTACCAACGGTGCCAGCGGTCACGGACCTTCCCCTCTTTCCGTCCCGGCTACGTCTCCCGCTGCAAGCATCCATCAACAGCAGGCTACCAGCGAGGGTCCGCGCCTGCAAGCGGCAGACATGGCTGCACTTCCCTCCATCTCGTCGCTCACGCTTGAAGAGCCGGTCGCGACAGCTACGCAAGGGGCTGATGGGGAGAGCAATAGCGACCCAGTTCGACCGGACAATGAGCCCGCGCAGACGCCAGACGATGGAGTCAGCCAGCAGTCTGATCCTCACAGCAACAAATGCGACTCTGCCACAGCTGGTAGTGACAGTCAGGCCGAGCACAAGGATGGTGACGTCGATGAGACAGCCACGGCACCCGAAAAGCCAGTAGAGCAAGGACCGAACCAACAGGATGATCAGGAGATCCCCATGCCTTCCACCCGCGAACTACGCTCAGACCCGGCACCGGCATGCCGCTCACGCACACCCTCGCAGCGCAACTCATCTTCAGACGTCGAATACGACCTTCCCTCCTTCGTCTCGGAGGAGGACGCGGACTACCTGCTGGGCTATCTCGAGGCCAATCGCCGCCTCTTTGCACAGTTGTACACTAACGCCCTCGAGCAGGGGCGTCAGCCCAACATGGTCTGGCTGCCTGGTGGGGTTGGCGTGCTTCCCACCTCAGAGAACGGGTCCGGAAGGGTTGTGGAATTCGTCAATCCTGGACATCCGAATTGGATCGCATTGGACGATCCTCAACGCATTGAGATTGCCGATGTAGCCGGACAAGAGGAAGCAGAAGCGTACAGTGACGATGGATATCGACCCAGCTCCAGCAGCAGTGATGTGGAAAGTAGCGAGGGCGGCGGAGAAGGGAGTCATGGCAATGGGTTGCTGGCAAGCGGATCCGCTGGCTCTATAGCCACTACAAACCTAACCACGCCTAATCGTAGTCCACCTATACAGCGCAAGTCCTTCAGTACCTTTGCCGACTTCGGACTTGAAGCAGCGCACGGTAGCTACGACGCGGAGCCAGACGAGCGACCGAACAAGAAGCGCGGCCTGGACGATCTCGAAGGAGACTTTGCGCAACGCCTCATGATTGGCGACTCTACCACAGCAGCGCAACCACAACCAAGTTTCGACGGCAGTGAATTGTCTATGCTCGACTCCTTCTCCCCGAGAATCCCCCGCAGCACCCCTGCCAAGGCCAGCTCATCGAACGCATATCGCCTCCCTGCTCGCTTACAGCGTTTGAAGGAATCGCTCAAAGCCAAGGGCGTCTACAGTGGCATGACGGTCCAAGGCTCTGCCATGATTGAAGAGATGGACGAGCAGAGCGACATCGGATCGCAGCCCGAAGACGTGAGCTCCGAGGACGGTGGCAGCGAGGAGGTGGGAGACGCCCAAATCAACGAGCTGGAGCGTCGTGTTGCTGAGCGGGAGCGTCTTCAGCGTGACCGTCGTCAAAAGGTCAAGCAAACTCATGGCGCGCCAAATGCGCCGCTGAGGACGCGGGGTGCAGGCACGCCCAGTCAGAGGGAGAATAGGCGCAACTGGAATGTAGCGGAGCAGCAGGCTAGTCGTGAGTGTAGCGATGCTAGGACGATGCATGCTGCCAACGTGTCACTGACCGAGTACTGAATACCTCGCCCCTCCCGCAGGCACCATGCAGCGAGCCTCACGCCGCGCTCGCGTTCACATCAGCAGCAACAAGCCCGCTGTAGTCGCGCAGCATCGACGCCAACAGCAAAAGCGCCAGCAGGGAGCAGACGGCATCGACCAGCTGCTCATGATTGCGGAGATGGAAGACGGAGAGACTCTTGTGCTTGAGATCGAGGAGGAGGCCCCTATCAGGCGCTTCGCCGGAGCGGAGCATCGCAGACTTCCTCGCAACCAGGTGTGAGTGTGCGCGATGGAGCCGGTACGAAGGTGAGATTGCGAGAAGGCTGACAGTTCGCTACTCTCTCGCCCTATCTGCAGCGCCCGCTCTCTCCGCTCTCGTCAGACAGGCGTACGTGTGCAGATCCCCGACCCCACGGTAGCCTCACACCGTCGCATTGGAGCATCTGCAGCCACCACCACGTCGAGCCACCGCGGAAGTCGCAACTCCAATCGCTTCACCATTGAGAATGGCGCATCGGCAGGAAAGCAACCACAGCGCAGCAGTGCCGGCAAGCGCAGGCAGAATGACAATGCGGTAGATGTGGACGAAGGGGCCCTCACTGACTTTGGGGACTTGTTCGCTCAGGATGGGATGGGGAGGCGCGGCGGTCGTAGCCAAGGTGGAGGCAACCTTTACGACAAGCCAAGCGGATATCACCGTCAGCAGCAAGCAAGACAGACTCCTGGAGGCCCTGATACGTTCGCCTGGATGGCCTCTGCCTCTTCAAGCTTTGGTGCTGACATAGCCAACATCGGAGGACCTAGTACGCGCGCTGATGACGTTGAACGCGGACAACAGCCAAGCAGCAACTTCACCTTCACGGCCGGAGCAGCAGGGGCCGCTCCTCGCTGGCCTGGGCATTCGAACAACCATCCCTCGGCATCGGCCGAAACAGAGCCTCGCAGCAGCCGAGGAAGCGCTCCTTCCTCGTCCATCGCAGCCGCTGCTCAGGCCATGCTCAACGCAGCGGCTAGCGCTGCTCGCTTTGGTCGCGGTGAAAAGGGGACCAATGAAAAAGATGGAGAAGAGGATAGGTTTGAGGAGGTGTCTGAGGGTGACGAGGATGCGGAGGGGAGTACGGATGAGAGCGAGGCTGTGGAAGGGGCTACGGTGACGGCCTTGGACTAGGTGACGCAGCCCTTTTCCCTCCCTGTTCTGCCTCTACCTCGACAAGTCTACCCCTCGGCAGCAGTCCAGGTTCTCCTGCCTCTCCCTCGCGCCATCATATGAATCTGCTCCTTTCTCGATGCGATTCCGACGGCAAAGGCCTCCGACCCTCTGGGCCTTTGTGCTGTTCTCTCTCTTCTTCTCTCTTGACTCGCTTTGTTCATGTAATTGATGAGACGCCATACCTACTCTTCGCATCATCCATGACGGCGTGAGCAGCTGCCATAGCCAGGCATGCTACTACATGGCAAGGCAATTTCGATCCTCACGCGTCTCCCTTGACGACTCTCCTGACGATGTCCCTTACTTGCTTCTCACCCAGCCCGGCACCCCACCTCGCACTCAGAGCTTTCCCCTCCTTTCCCACCTTTCCTTCCTCTTCCTCGCCCACCACCCCAGTCGAACCCAATCGGTCCGCCTCCTCCAATATCGCCTTGGCTGCCACGAGATGCTCCTTGCGGTCGACTCGCATCCAAACAAATCCATTGGCCCCGACGGCAGACTCGAAGGGGAAGTGTTGCGCCAGGAGCGGCAGCAGAGGGTGGGAAGGACGAAGCAGGCTGCGCGCTAGGGGCAGGGAGACGGAGATGAGACCGCTCACGCTAGGCGTGCCCGTCGCCCCAACAGCTGCGGTGCTAGGCCCGTCGAGCTCCCCCATACCCTCTCCTTTCCCCGTGCTCTGGTCCACACAAGTCATCTCCGCCTCCATTCCCGCACCTGCGACATCACTCGCCACCAAGCCGTAGACCGTGGCCCCGATCTTCAAGTTGGGCCTGTGGCGTTTGGTGGCCCCTTCGAATGCGAGGACGGGGAGGGTGATTTGGTGTGGAGAGGTGTGGAGGGTGAGGGTGTAGAAGTCTGCATTACGCGCTGTGACCTGACCGATGATGGGGTCCCGCGGTGAGGGAGAGTACTGCGCCACGGGGTGGAAGATGGGATGAAGTTAGACACTGAATAGCACGAGACGAAGTTATGCTCATGGTGTATGGCGAAGATGGTGAAGACTCACTCGCTGAGTACGACCTTCGATCCACCAGCCTTGTTGCTTCGCATTGCCTTCGCTCGAGGCTTTGCCTTTGCCCTTCTCATCTACGCTGCCCAGCAGGCCCGCCTGAGTGGCGAGGACGAAGCGTGGTTGCGAGGCAGATGAGGAGGAGGATGCCGCCGCCTTCGCTTCCTCTGAGGGCCAGAGGAGCCCCGGCCCGAGCCTGATTGCTGGGAGAGATGACGATGCCGAGGAGCTAGAGGCGGTAGGAAACTGCACTACGTCGCCTGGGAGGAGGATGACCATTTTGGGGCGAGATAAAATCGAATGTATGCGGTGAGATGCGGGAGCGTGAGATTCGAGTTGACGGAAAGGGAGATGAAGATTTGGCGGCGAAAGATGACGCTCGAGCCAGGCTGAATTCAACAAGAGAGGACGTCAGCGAGCACTCGCAGCCCCCACTCTCCCCTCGATGTCACAAGAGCTGGTCGTTGGATCGAGGAACCACCTTGCTATCACGAGAGAGAACGGGACAAAGCAGAAAGTTTCATGCCGGCTCAAAGTCGCGGCGTCACCGCTTGAAAGCATCACTGGCAGTAGAGGCCCTGGGCATCACGCCACGGCAAGCTGCTGTGGCTCAACGCATTGGAGCTCATCATTTGTAAGTCATCACGCTTCTGTCTCGCTGCTCTCATTGTGACGTGAAAGGCGGTCCAGTAGTCCGCCTCAAGGTCGGACGCAGACGCTCTGGAGAGCGTGGTCAAGAAGGCCTCTCAGGCCAATGAGCAAAGAGTCAGGCACATGAACTGGGATATTCCATGATACCGTGATCTTTAAGGAGATGCCTTGATGGAGCTGAAGAGCGTAGCGCCACTTTGAATGCTCATCTCCTCATCATAGAAGATGGTGCCATCCAGCTGTGAGGATAGCTCCCAAGACGAGTCGTGAGCCAGATCGCGAGCCGCCCCGCAGTCGCGCTTGCTCGGGCTGGCCCGGTTCCGACCCGGGAGAGAATTCTGGCCCGGGAGGAAGGGAGGGCGAGCGGTCAGTCGAGCAATCCAAGCCAGGCGGGCAGGCGGGCGGACGAGCTGGACGGGGCGGCAGCGCAGTGCGAGAGACAGAGGCGGCTTTGGAGATTCGGACGACTCTTCGTTGCTACCACCTAATCCTTCCTCATCCTCCCTCACCCCCCGTCTCCCTCATCAAAGCTCGCCCATCATGAGCACGATGCACGTCCCCGACCAGTCGCAGCAGTTTGCGCACATTCTGCGGTGAGCATCTCATGCTGGCTAGCATCGAATGCTGCCTCCCTTGGATTTTTGCAAACCCATCCCACTCGATGCTGACTCTCTTTCTCTCCCCTCTGGCCCTCGAATCGCTAGTCTGCTTAACACCAACGTCTCCGGTTCGCGCAAGATCATGTACGCCTTGACCGAGATCAAGGGTATTGGCCGTCGCTACGCCAACGTCGTCTGCAAGAAGGCCGACGTCGACCTTGCCAAGCGTGCCGGTGAGCTCAACTCGGACGAGCTTGAGCGCATTGTCACCATCCTCCAGAACCCTCAGGACTTCAAGATCCCTCACTGGATGCTGAACAGGCAGAGGGGTGAGTATGCGTGGCAAAGCCCAGCGTGTGACGGATTGCAGATGGAACGGGCATTGGAGATGAGGGAGGTGGCAAGATGCACGGGACGCAACAAGGGGTGGCATAGGATGTCAATGGAAAGAGCCACCACGCTTGTGAGCGAGTAGGAGTCTGGAGATTGGATTCAACTGCATATTGCAGAGGGGGCGACTGCACTGCGGGTGGCCTTGAGCGAAGAAGGGAGGGCGAAGGGCCAGAAGGCATCTACGGCGCCCCACTCGATGCCCCATGCTCTTGCTCAGCGAATGGAGGAAACGAGCGCAGAGGGCAGTCAACATTCCGTCACACACGTTCCAACACAAAACCTCTTGTCGGGAGCATCCACACTCACACTCCTGCTCCCCTCCTCCATGCACAGACATCGTCGACGGCAAGTCGTTCCAGGTCCTCTCCAACAACCTTGACTCGAAGCTCCGTGACGACCTCGAGCGTCTCAAGAAGATCCGCTCGCACCGTGGTATCCGCCACTACCTCGACCTCCGTGTCCGTGGTCAGCACACCAAGACCACCGGTCGTCGTGGACGCACCGTTGGCCTCGGCAAGAAGAAGTAAAGCGCAGACATGCGCTTCACTCCCTTGTCCCCTTGGCGCTCGCACGCCGTCGCCATGTACTATTCTTCCTCACTCCCGGCGCCGACGTTGCGCAGCATCATCCGTTGCGAATGGCACACTCTCATACACAGAACATGATGACAAACTGATGAAGAAGCGGGAGATGGCTTGAGGGGTCGCACCTTGAACATCCACTCATCACGATGGGAGTCTCAATTGGCAGGAATGCGGTGATGTGAAAGGCCGTGTCGGATGACGCTGACTCTCTTGAGGCTTTGAGATTTGTTCGGCATCTCCCTGCCGCCTCGAGTTCGAGGGTTCGAGGACAGGGAGTATCTGTGATCCATGACTGGCCCTCTTCAGATTCGAGTGAGGCCGAGGTGGTTTGAGCAGTATGACAGAGCCCGAGATCACCTGCAGCCTACTCTTCTCTCTGAGCGTACCTCGAGGGTGAAGTCTGAAAGCTCCAATGATGTCGTCTTTGACATTCACGTCGCTCTTCTTGACGATCGTCACGACGAGGGTGAACTTGTCTCGATCTGGATGAGCTGGGAGCTGAAAGATCGGCCCTCGAGTCCGATTGAAGCGTTGAGAGGCAAGGCTCGGCAATCCCGCTCAGAGTGCGCTCTTCTCCACACGTGCGGCAGCCACACGTTGACCCTTTCTTCTTGATATTCCTCGCGTTCACGCTCTTCGTACTCACTCAAAGTAGTGCCAGAATGCCAACAGACAAGTACTTGCCCAATGTCTGCATGGTCGGGGCGGGGGAGTACACGACTGGCTTTGTGGGAGGTGGGTCCTCGCCTTCGGACAAGAAGGTGGGTAACACTCGCGAGGGGCCGCCGGCTGGCGGCCCCTCGCGAGGTGCAGTCGGTTCACGCCAGATCGCCTTGCACGCTCTTAAGCAAGGTGACGAGCTCGAAGCTTGCTGAAAGATTCACAATCTTCCTGGCGCTGCTCCCGCACAGATCGGTGTCGTCGCTCTCAGCTTCTTCGACCTGCGGCGACGCTCCCTGTGCGGCCCACAGCTCAGCATTGTTTCAACAGATGGCTCCAAGCATGCAGGCATTCGCGAGCACTTCCACAAGAACATCGAGAATGTCTACCGAGACATGTCCACTACCTACAATGGATATCCAGCCGCCGGCGTAGGTGACGCGGAGGCCTACAAAGCAGCCATAGACGAGCTTTCACCTGGAGACGCGGTTACGGTGTTCACGCCCGATCCGACCCACTTTGCTATCGCAAAGTATGCAATGCAACGAGGCTGCCATGTGATGGTGACGAAGCCAGCTGTGCAGAAGCTAGAGGATCATCTCGAGCTAGCGCGCTTGGCGAAGGAGAAGGGAGTGCTCTGCTACGTCGAGCATCACAAGCGATTTGACCCAGCGTACGCTGACGCCCGAGAGAGGTGAGCGCGTATGAGGAACGTTTGAAAGGGTGATAGCGAAAAGAGCTGATTAAACCCCACTCCCGCAGAGCACGCAATGAGCTTGGCCACCCAAGCTACTTCTACTCGTACATGTCGCAGCCAAAGGGCCAGCTCAAAACGTTTGCCAAGTGGGCGGGGGTTGACTCCGACATCAGCTACTATCTCAACTCGCACCACGTCGATGTGTTTGATTGGTGAGCACGCTGCAAGAATGAGAGGAAGAGGTCTCGCTGACGCTGAGGGGCTCGCCGTAGGTTCGTTCAAGGTCGCGCAAGACCGACACGCGTGACCGCCTCCGCTTCGTACGGCATTGCTGAGTCGCTAGGATGTCGTCCGGGGACGGAGGATGCGATCACGCTAGTCGTCGAATGGATTTGTATCGACAAGGACGGCAAAGATGAGAAGCCTGAGCATAGGGCGACAGCCATCTTCACTGCCAGCTGGACGGCGCCTGAAGGGGCTGGCGTGCATTCGGAGCAGGGTGAGTCGCCGTAGAGCAGGTACCACGTTGGCTTGCTAACGTCTCCGCCCCTTCGCCGTTCCAGGCTTCCATTACGTCGGCTCGCGTGGCGAAGCACGCGTCAACCAATCGCGCCGTGGCTACGAAGTCGTCTCTGACTCTGTACCGGGTCCACGCTCTCTGAACCCATTCTACGTACAATATGCTCCGCTGGACGGCTACTTCCAAGCACAGGTGGGCTATGGTACGCGCTCCATCGAGGCCTTCACGCGGGCGTGCACAGCGATCAACTCTGGGGAGAGAAAGGTGGAGGAGTTCGAAGAAGTGCTCCCCACTATCGGGGGGACTGTGATGACTACGGCAATCTTGCACGCGGGAAGACTGAGCTTGGATGAGCGAAGGGGAGTGGGAATTGACATTGAGGCAAACGGGAGGCCGAAGTTGGACTGATGGTCTTGAGGATGAGGTGGCGAGGAAGGGCTTAGGCCTGCTACAACTTTCGGGAGCTATGCTTCGTCGATGGCGCGGTGCCTTCCGACCTCAAATGTCATCTCGTTCAAGCTTCAATTGTTAGCGACGGTGAACAGCGGAAGCAGAGACGCCGTATGATTGTGGTGAAAGAGGAGAGTCTAGGTGATCTGATGAGACGGAGGATGTGCTTGTTTGGGGGCTCGGCCGGGTGGCTCAGCGAGTAAAGGCCCGAGAATGATTCTGACTGCTTGAGCGAGGCGACAGACGAGGGTTGTTTAACCGTTCGCAACGATCTCGGCTTGCAGAATGCGTGGACACTGTAGAGAGCCATAAGAGCATTTTCAGCCCTCTACCTTGCTGCCTCTACAATCGGTGCAGTCTTATATTGGCCCACTTGGCCGGATCAACATGAGGCGCCGCACCAGTGGAACCAATGTCTTCCAGCTCATGTGGGGGACGCCGAAGCGTAAAGTCAATGCTCGGCCCTCCAGCAATTTTGGTGTGCGGCTGTGAGGCAGTGATGCAGAACAACTGGCTTCTGGAAAGTGCATGGGGCCCATTGCGCTGTGCACGGGACGTGGCCATGGATACTTGCGGATGATGCGTCAGAGCAAGGTTCACCTCGAGCGCGGCACCTTCCTTCGGGCTCAGCCGCTTCGCCTGCTGAGATGAGGATCGTTGCCCGAGTGTAAAAGGAGATTTTGCGGTAGAACGTCGAGGAGCTGGGCCCTTGGAGGCCGAGGGCTTGCTCTTGCCAGAGGAGGCAGGAGTCGCCCCTGGTGGGGCGCACGGGCGCAGTGGACGTACTGGTTGTTGAAGGTCCGCCGACGCAGGAGCGGATTGTTGGGATCCGAAAGAAGAGACATCGAAAGTCTTGAGACGCGGATGAGCCAGAGGCCGCTTGAGCTGGCTTGTTAAGTTGGCTGCAGGCCGCATTTGAGGAGCAAGCAGCCTTTGCATCGCTGCCGGCCGCTCATTGAGAGAACTACTTCGCTTCCTTGCTGAATTCAGTGGCTTCGAGCGAGTCGCCACGGCGGACTCGACTTCGCTAGACACGCCCGTTGTCTGCACACCGGCGGATCGCTTTGTTGTATCCTCCCCACTCATGGCCCTCTGAGCCGTCTGAAAAGCCATGATGTCCTGCAGTGCCCACGTCACATAGTGTCTTGCCGTCTCGAGGGCTTCATGTGGCGTGCTCTCGCCCATCTCAGCAGCTGCGATGAGCCCGTCGAGGGCTGCACTGACTGACCACTCAGCGAGTTGGAGAGGGTCATTGGATTGCTCGATGGGAGATGCAACGGGCGTGCTGGGCTGAGTGGCCTGGAGGTGCTTGGTCGTGAATGCGTCGCCCTCGATTGCGACGTCGACGTGGTCCTGAGAGTTGGTGCCTCGAGAAGAGTGAGGGCCACTGGTCTCGTCATCGTCGATGTTCGTGTGAGCTTCCCCTGCGTCAGTGTGCGGAGCATCGAGAACGATTTGCTGAGCCTCGAGTCTCTTCCTCTGCTTCCCCTCTTGATCCACTGCAATGCTTTTGTCCCTCTTTTCGTGATCAGCCTTGCAGTCCATCCCCTCCATTGCCTCGGTGACGCCCTCTTCGTGCTTTGCCTGCTTGACGGCATCGTGTTGATGGACGCCGCTCTTGCTCCTGGCCGCATCATCGGTCTCTTCGTTGGAGGGGCTCAGCTCATCGCAGCCCTGACTGTATGCGTCATCGTGAGTTTCACGCCCCACATCGGCCGCAGCTCGGGTGCCTTGTATGGACAGCCTTTGACGCTCCTTCACTTTTGTCATGACAGCGTCTTGGAGCTCTATGCTCAGGGCGGAGGAGTCACCGCCTACTTCGCCCATCTTCGATCGAGTCGTACGCTGGCGGCGAGTCAAGGCTGCTGCGCTCAGCTCATCCGCAAGGCTCAGTGAGACTTGGATAGGCTCGGGAGGCGATGGTAAGACGTTTCGAAGGTGAGGAGTTGGTGACCTTGCCGCAATGAGTCAATGACAAGCCTGCGGCCAGGGACAGCGGTTAAGATGGGGAGGATGGAGAGTTCGGTAAGCCCAATCGGCGAGCGAAGGGCAAGCGGTGGCGGCAAGAGCGGATGCGCCGCCCAACTTGGTGCCTGACGGAGGTCCGTACTTGTGTCGAGCGACTTGCAGCGAGCACGGGCCGGAGAGCGAGCTCTCAACTGGCCTTGACGGACATAATGATAGTGAACGAGTAGAGCAGAGAGACGAGGGGTAAGCGACAAGCCTGGAACCTGTGGTAAGTATCTGACTGTTATGGCGGTGTGCTGGGACGCTCGAGCAATGAGGCCAGTCGAGGGGAATCTGACGTCCCGTCGTTAAGTTGCGACCGTACGACATGAGAGAAGACGCACCCTGCTATTGGCTCACTTGCTTGTTTCGCCCTTGAGACACTTGCCTTGAGTATCCTTTGCGACCAGATCTGCCGCGGCATGTTGGTGGTTCTTGAATGGTGGACGCAAGAGGACCGAAGTCGGTCAGGGTTCGGAGCGTGGGACCTGCTCATGGCGTATTCTGCTTGATGCGAGACGAAGTCCCCTGCCTTTGCACACGGACGCGGCGCTCCTGAAGCAGAGACCTTGCATGCTTCGAAGTGGCTCTGTATGAGATTGAACGAGACACTCTGATTTGTTGAGTTCCATTGCTGCCATCTTGAAGACATATCTGGCTTGTTGAATGGCTGCCATCTCCTCGGAGCTCAGCTCGGCGGGCGCGCTCGAGGAGATGGAAAGCGGAGGTCTCTCATCACGCGGTCGGCTGGACTGGTGCATGGGCCAATTGGCGCTCCGTCGTTCTTGTGACATCGCTTCCATCTCAACCACTTCCCTTGCCATTCGCTTGAACCCATTCGATACCCAACCCTCAGCCCCTCTCATCAGCGTCGCCCACCATGACACTGGTCGAAGGCGACGACATGCATCGCCTCTGGTCGCTCATAGTCGACCTAAGCGCCCAACTCAACATGAATCGCCAACAAATCACCTCGCTTCAATCCCAACTCCAAACACTCAAGGCGCACTCTGTCCATTCAAATACGGGCTTTGCATTGCGACGCTTCAACGTTGACGTCTCGAAGGAGACGTTTGAGAGCGAGCTGGAGAGGCTCAATGTGCATCTGGCCCAGGAGAACAACGACTTGCGGTGGGAGAATAAGATGAATGATCGCCTGATCAAAGAGTACGAACAGTGCTTGGACATGGTCATGAGGAAGTTCAGAGCGTTTAGCGTGGGTAGCTCAAGCAAAGTCATGTTAGCATTGCGATGCTGACAATTGATCCCATCGCCCGCAGCACGCGACACAAACCCACACCCTCAAGCTGACCCAATACTACGAGGTGAGCCAAGCAGGGCTGCTTTCGGTTCGTAGCGCCCTTGTCCTGACCCGATCCTTCTCCTCTCCCTCGCGCAGGATCTCCTCTCCTCCAACACACACGACGTAGCAGCCGTCTCACTGCACGCGCAGACGTCCCTCTCTCAGACCCTCTCCAACCTAGGCAGTCTAGTCCGCAACGCCCTGCGCGAAGTAGAGGGCGAGGCTCCCTCCCCACCACCCACCATCGGTGGTCACGACGACGAAGATGACGCTGGCGCAAATGTCGGAGAAGGCTCCTCGGCTACAGCTTCTTCGTCATCGAGGAAAAGGCAGCAATCAAGCCAGCAGGCTCAGCAACTCTGGCCAGGCTCGGGCGGATACACAGGCAAAGCAGGCGATCTCGCAGCTCAGCGATCGGACGCTGCACTGGAGCGTGAGGCGGAGCTGCAGATGCTGCGATACGAGAACGAGACATTGAAGGAGATTCTGGACATGTCCGAGGGAAAAGGGCTGGATGTCGGCGCTGGGAAGGATAAGCTGAGCTTGGGCACGCCGAGGGGTGGAGGCAGCGGGGGCAGCGTGTCTGGCGGTGTAGGAGCGGCAGGAAGGGTCAAGGTCAGGACCCCTTCGATGCATCAGCCTGGCGGGGCAGCCGGGCAGATGCAGCTTCCGGGGATCGGGATCGGCCAGCTTTACCCCCCTCCCCAGCAGCAGTCACAAGGCGGCGATTCCCAGCAGTCAACAGGCTACACAGCACGCCCCCCTCCCTCCCTCTCGACGGCAGACATACCCGCGGCTCCCTTCCCCTCGTCCATCTCCGCCCCACTCTCCCACCCGGTCCCACCGCCCACGCCTCCCTCACCTTCGTCGACTGGTGGCGGAGCAGGTGTCGCCAGAATCCCCCTCCACGAGCGTATGCAGCAAGCCGCAGAGGCAATCAGGAGCCAGGCGCAGCAGCAGCAGCGAGACAATGCTCCCTCGGCATCGAGCTCAGCCTCGCCGTACATTGTACCGGATCGAGGTGCAACGACCCAGGTCTCGCTCCCCTCCTCCTCCTTATCCTCCGCTACAACTACTACGTCGGCCGAGGCCGCTCCAACGACAGCTGTAGCGACAGAAAGCGAGACTCTCGTCCCAGCACCGGTCGAATCTGCGTCCGCGCAGTCGGACGTCAGGGGAGCACCTTTGCTCTCCCTGGTGGAGTCGACTGCAGAGACTCCGGCAACGTCGTCCGCAGCTGAGGATATGGCTGAAGAGCCCGAGATCAGCCCTGCTGATGTTGGCGCTGTCGAGCCTTTGAAGCATGAAGAGACGGCTGAGGGAGAGAGCGCGGGACAGACGGAGGGTCAAGTTGCGCCTGACGCAGACACTGCGACAGGGGCGAGCAACGCTGCGGGCGCTGCGGACGAGGAGGCTCCTGCTGAGCATGATGTTGATCTCAGCGACCCGGTTACGAAGACGGAGGCCGAGACAGAGGAGGACGTTGCAGCTCCGATTACTGAGCCGACTGATGAGGAAGCAGAAAGCGTGCCGGCGGCGGCGACAGAGACAACAGCAGCGTCTTCATCGCCATCATCGGACGGCAGTGCCTCTACCGTAGCTACGGAGGCAAGCGCTGGCGAGGATGGAGCAGCAGTGGAGCCTGAGACGAAGGAGACAGCTGGCTCTGCTGATGCTGTTGGGGGCGAGGGCGAGGGCAAGGGCGAGGAGGAATAGGAGGTAAAAGTTCACGGCGCTCTGCGGCCTCGTCGATCTCCCATGCCTTTGCTATTCAATGCTCATCCCCTGCCGCTCATTTCGTTGCTATATGTGGGCCTGCTCAAAGACTTCTGTTGTCCATTTCCTTGACAGGCTCGATCTCTACACTTCTGCTCCGTTGCAGCCCTAAGCAGGCTGCGCGCCCTCGGTCCCGACCAACTGCTCACCCAACTTCTCCCAAAGCGCACCTCCTACAACATCCTCCCACTTCAGCGCGATGACATGTCCGAATAAAGGGCTCTCGAATCCCTCTTGTGCATTCTGCGGGGCCGGGAACCTGAAGGTCCCCGTCTTGGCTCCAGGAATCTTTGCCAGGAGTGGGTCCTCAGGCCTGAAATGGCCGAGAGGGAGACGCTCCCCCTTATCGCGCGAGTGCGGAGCAGTGCGGCGCTTCTTCATGGCAGCGGTTTTGGCTTTGGCCTTGGCCTTTGAGCCACGCATGCCGCGAGGCTTATCGTCGTCGTCACCATCGTCGTCCTCACCGTCTACCTTCATTGGTCCGGGTTTGCTCCCTTCCTCATCCTCGCCGTCATCCTCATCGTCGGAATACGCCTCGCTGGAGAAGACGCGAGAGAAGAAGAGGACGTGAGTCGGCTTCTCCTTGCCTTCTAGTGAGGCGGCCAGCTCCTCGGTCACCAGTCGGTAGAGCGGGGGCGCGACTTGAGGAGGGAGGTTGATGAAGCGCTCGTGCAGGTAGAGGTAGGGGCGCGCGTCCTGCTGGCTGAGCAGAGCCTTGACGGGCGAGTCGGATGGAAGATGCTTGGCCAGATAGTCGGTCGCCAATTTGCTCGCCTTCTTCGTTGCATCATCGCTCTCCTTCGCACCAAGCTGCACTGCGCCAATGAATGCAAAAGGGTCCTGCTCCTCATCACCCTCAACCTTGAGTACCGTTCCTACCCCATTCGGAGCAGAGCAAAGGTAGTCGCTGAGGCTGAAGAGGTCGAGAGCATCTGCGTGGGTGTAGAAGAGCTGACGAAGTAGTCTGCGGATCGCAGGCTCGTCGAGGCTAGGGTTGGGCGGGAGAAAGTCGAAGTCGACGTTGATGAAAGAAGGGTCTGAGGCGCTAGATGAGGAAGAGGCGTTGGATTCGGCGTCCGATTCGACTTCATCCGCAGGGACCATTTCGATAGGTGCCTGCGCTGCTTTGCGCTTTGCGCTATTGGCTGCTGAGGGGGCCATGCTGGTGTTGTTCGTGGTGGTGAGGAGGGAGAGCAAAGTCGGTCGAGAAGATGCGAAGCCGAGGCGGATGACGGGCAGGCGGTGGAGGCTTCGCGGTGAGATGCGCGAGTCGAGCGAGCTCAAATTTTAGTTCGCGCACCCACGCGATGCTCGACAGCTTCTACGGTGCGAGCTATTCGCGAAGCAGCCTCTGTTCCTGTCGTGGACTATGCTTGTATTGAAATGGCAGCGGTAGCGATATGGTGATGATGATGTTACAGCGAAACGTAAATAAAGGCACATGCGGCTTCCCCTCCTCCTTCCCCATTGATGACGCTAAGCCGTCGCCCTACTGGCATCAATCCTCTCGCTCTTGCCCACTATCTCGGGCGTAAGAATTTGATCCTTGACCTTGATCAAGTCACGGTAACCACCCTTGATCGTCACCGGGCTCACGCCAGTAGCCTCCGCAATCTTCTGCGGCGTGACATTCGTGAGGCCCCAAATGGTGGTGGCAAGGTAAATACAGGCTGCCGCCACTGTGACGGGAGATCGGCCATCGAGGAAGCCCTTGGTCTTGATGATGTCCACCAGCTCTTCAGTGGAGCGGACGACGATGCGCTCCAGGCCCAGCAGGTTACAGAAGCGATTGATGAGGTCCACAGCGGACGTGGCCGCCACTCCTCCTGTGCCTCCTTCCGGTCGAGCATTACTGGCTCCCAAATCGAATGTAGCCTGCAGCTCCTTGAAGCAGTCGGCGATCTGCTTCTTGTTGACATTGGTCACTCGCTGGATCTCTGCCAAAGTACGCGGATGGCCGGCCTGCTTGCACGCAACGAAGAGGACCGCGGCAATGATAGCCTCGGTACGACGCCCGCGCATGATCTTCTCGTCGTGAACACGACGAAAGAGCATCTTTGCCGCCTCCGCCGCAGACTTGGGAAGAGACATGCGGTCTGCCTTGTTCTGGATTGCCTCAAAACCGTCCAGGATTGCCCGATTTGAGTTGCCTGCCGTGCGCCCATTCGCCCTCTGAAGGGCCGCAGCCACCCCGCTGTGCCCGTCACGTCCCGAGATCCTCGTTTCGAGGGATTCGGTCAACCCGTCTAGAATGGGATTGGCCGCTTGCCCCACACGAGAAGGATCGTCTCCCTCTTCGTTGGCGAATGTACGCCACTCGCTCCTCGTGTCGACAATGCGATCGCCCAAGACCATCCCGCATTCCCCGCAAACTAGGTCTCCTGAGGAGTACTCCTCGCGCAGCTCTGGCGGGTCAGTACGGCAGTTGGGGCAGAGGAGCTTGACATCGCGAGCTTCAGTGAATGCTGGGCCTTTGGAGGTCGATGAGTTGCGTTGCTGCTGGTGCTGGAGGAGGGCGGACGCTCCTGCTGCTTGAGCTTCGCGTTCTGCTCGCGCAGCCGCGAATCGAGCTGAGACGGCGTAGGGTTGGGTGAAGGAGGCGTGCGAAGCGTGACGCTGCGAGCGAGTGGGGGAGATCAAGGTAGATCGGCACGAGCAGAGGTCAGTGGGATGCGCAGCTACTGTTCACCCGTCGTTGCCGCAATGCTAACCTGCTGCTGCGCCTGACCATTGGCGTGGGCACTAGCGGGGGCGGGCATATTGTAAGAAAGGACGGAGTCGTGAGGGACAAGAGACGATTGAGATTGCAGGGTACGAGTGAGGTCCAAAGGCAGGGCTTGGAGTGGCCGAGTCTGGAGTGGCGGAGTGGTCGACGCAGCGACGAGAGGTCTTCTTGATTGCCAATTGCCTGCTGTATTGCCCTGTTGTTCAGTAGCTTGCTTCAAGTAGCAGCAGATGATCAAGAGCGGCTTGCTGGCGTGTGGGAAGCAAGAAGACCTTGCTCGAGAGTGCTCGCGACGAAGAGGAAGGGAGGAAAGGGTCGCTATCGGAAGTTGAGCCTCGACGGATGGATTCAACTGCCTGGCCCAAAGCGACGGGCTGCGCGTCGACTCGCCCGACTCGTCGATGCGCTCCACCTGAGACGGAGGCAGGCGCCGCCCGTGCGGATGACGACGGCAAAGAGCGACGAAAGCTGGCTGACGAGCATCCGCTCCTTCTTTCGATACCATCATCACCATCGCGTATCCCAATTGCGATGCTCTCCACAAGCATGCCCCTCGCACGCTCCCTCGTAGCGCTGCCCGCCCGCTTCGGAGCACGCACCTTCACCTCGGCCACCCTTCCCCGCCTCGCCGCCTCACGACGTCCACCAGGCTCAGCAGACCTTCATCCGCTCCCCGCCGGAGCCAAGGCTGCGTCCCCTGCCCCAGCACAATCCTCGTCATCTGGAAGCAATATCTCGCCCTCTGGCAACTCCACCGCTCCAGAGGATCTTTCTTCGCGCCCCTCCGGACCTGGCCCTTCTGGCCCCGTTGTGGACCCTAAAGTCGCGGCACCAGATACCGTTGCACGTGGAGAGGAGAACGCAACAAATGGGAATGGTGACTCAAACTGGACGACGAGCTTCTCCGGTATGAGCGAGAGGCCCTTCGAGGGAAAGCCGGCGGAGGTATTGGGAGAGGAACTGAACCAGGAGGACATTGAGATCAAGCCTGGTGAGTAGCGCGCGCTCCCGTACTCGCCCGCCCCTTCGATGATGGCAGCGTAGCGTCGCAGAGGAGCGAATAGCTTGACGCTGGCAGGCAGGCAGGCGGGCGAAGGACTGCTGGGCTCTTCTGCTCACTAGTCTGCTTCGCTCGTCCTCCCGCACAGAGAGCTCCTGTGGCAATGAGAAGACGGCCTCTACTGGTACGCCTGGGGCTGCAGTGAGGAGGGCCATGCAGGGTCATGATGCTAGGAAGAAGGGCAAGAGCCCGAGAGAGGAGGGTGGTTGGTAATCGGAAGTAGGAAAGGGCTCGACGACAAGAAGTTTAGCGGTTCAGCATCAGGCAGCGCAATTGAAGAAGCATTCACTCAATCCTCTACGCCTGTGTCCGATCGCTCACCACTGTCCTTGACTTGCCTCGCTTACCCTCCCGCCTACAGACGGGCTCATCTACCTCCCCGAGATCAAGTATCGTGAGTAACAGCGGCACAGCATCCCCTCGCAACACGCCGTCTCATTCGCTTGCTCCTTCAACGCAGGTCGCATCCTGACCCGCGCCTTTGGACCGGGAGGCTGGGCCATGGCTCCGCGAGGCGAGACGAATGTTGGGCAAAAGATTGTCTCCAGGGAATGGGTCCTCGTCTGTCTTGGTCGGTAAGTGCGCGGCTGCTTCCCGCGAGGATGCCCCTTTCCTTCCAGCTCACCGTCTGCACCTCTCCCTCCCGGTACGCAGCTTCGTATCCACTGCTCGTGGAGAGCAAGAATACTTCGACCCAAACGGCGTAGCCACGGCGACCGAAGGGGCCAAGTCGAATGCGCTCATGCGCTGCTGCAAGGACCTGGGCATCGCCTCTGAGCTCTGGGACCCTCGCTTCATCCGCACATTCAGGGCTAAGCACTGCGTAGAGGTGTGGGTGGAAGATGCCAAGACGGGCAGGAAGCGCAAACTCTGGAGACGGAAGGATCAGCCTGCCTTTGAGTACCCGTACAAGGAAACGGGCGTGGCTAAGTGAGGGGAGTGGGACCCGCAGCCAGCTATGCGACCGGGGAGGACAGACGATGATAGAGTTGCAATGATAATTCAACGATTCCACAAATGCAGATTGACTGTCTATGCTTTTCCCTTCACCTTGTCACTGAACGCCTTTGCCCCACTCCCTTGCCATGCCTCGAGCACATGTTTTACCACATTATCCACCCCCTCGTCATTCCTTACGCTCGTAAAGACAAACGGCCCACCATCTCTCATCATCCTAGCATCGCGATCCATGACGTCCAGACTTGCTCCTACATGAGGTGCCAGATCCGTCTTGTTGATGACGAGGAGGGAGGATTGAGAGATACCCGGGCCGCCTTTACGACAGACCTTGTCTCCGCCAGCAACGTCGATAATATAGAGCTCGAAGTCGACGAGTTCCTAGCGGGGCGCAAACCAATCAGCTCATGTTCTGCCCATCATCACCCCTCCTCATCCGATCATCGCGCAACTCACCATGGAATACGCGGCCGCCAGATTATCACCCCCTGACTCAACAAACTGAATCTCTGGCTCAAACTCTGCTTGCAACTCCTCCAACGTGTTCAGATTGGCAGAGATGTCCTCCCTGATGGCTGCGTGTGGGCATCCGCCTGTCTCTACCGCTCGGATGCGCGAGGTGGGGGTAAGGGCAGAGTTACGGGTGAGGAATTCGGCGTCTTCGCGGGTGAACTGTGGGCAGGAGGGAGTGGGAAGGGGAAAGGTCACAGTGAGTTGGTGACTTAGTGTGGCAAGAACGAGGAAGGACTCACGATGTCATTGGTAACTGCGCATAGCTCGATCTTCATTGCAGTGAGCTTGCGACAGAGGGCTAGAAGGAGGGCCGTCTTGCCTGATCCGACTGGACCTCCAAGACCGACGGTGAAGCTGCGTGACGCAAGAGCAAAGGTCAGAGGTGCTCTTTGAAGTCGAGCTTGCGTGAAAATAAGCCTGGGCGGCTCACCATCTCTCCTTCCAATTGCGCTTCGAGAAGTCGGGCATATCACGCTCGCCGAACTTGCCCGCATGCTCCATGATGGGGTGGGAGTGGCCGTGCCCTTCCGCATCGTGGCTATGCGAATGGCCAGCATCCGTGTGGCTGTGGTCGTGTGAGTGAGAAGCAGGCGCTGGTGCGGCTGAGGCGCCATTGAGCTGGATGTCGCAGACTGAGGAGGCCATGTTGTTGGATGTGGGGGAAAGAGCGCAGCAAAAGGCCTTATCGTGTGAGAGCAGGGCGTCAAGGCGTGGCTGGTTCCGTCGTCCGATGGCCCGTGCCACCAACCACGTGGCTCTTGCGTGTCGGTCAGTGGAGTGGCTGAGCGAGCGCCTCTCGTTCTGATCATCGTACCTTCTCACACCATTTCATCAATATCTCAGCATTTCCCGGGCTGCACGCCATGTCAGCCCCACCAGACTACCCAGCTTGGAGTCATGCGGTAACTCGACGTATCTTCAACGTCACCGTCTCGCACTCAGAGGGCGAAGCGAGCGGGTGGACGCTCACCTACCTCAAGGACCTCGCCTCCGAGTTGACCCAGGAGCAGCAAGGAAGTAGCGAGGGAGGCGCCAAGCTGAATCCTTCCCTCGCAGACCGTATCATCATCGCCCGCTTGTCCCTAGACGCCAATGACACCTCCAGCGATGATCCGGAGATGTTGACCGTCCTGGCTAGCTTGGACCCGGACCAGACGAGCTGGGATTGGTTGATTGAATGCTGGCGGCGCTGTCAAAGGGAAAAGGCAAAGGCGAAGAAGGTGAGGCACCGATCGTGGGCCGATCGTGAGCTGGTATGCTAGCTTTAGATAGTTGATTACTCACACCCTGCTCACTTTGCAGGGGCTTGGCGACTATGCAACCCAAGGCCTCGCAGCCCTCGAATCCGCCTCGAATCTCCTCGTCTCCTATGCCGGTCTGGTCCTCATCACCCCGGAGATGTTCCCCTGTGAGACAAAGAGCAATGGCAACAAGCTCTCTCCACTCGCTCTCGTGCCAAGCATCCTCAACCTTTCAGGCGCAGCAACGGGAGGAGCAGCGGAAGGATCGTCATCCTCATCAGCATCATGGGCCGTCCTGGACCAAAACGAGATTGTCATCTTCACCCAACAGCTCGTGGCGCGATTTGATGCGGAGGAGCTCGGTGAGATTCTCGGTCCCGCTCTGCAGGAGATCACTAGAAGGATACGCGATGGACTCGATGATCCGGCACAGCAGCACCAGCCGCCACTCGGCGGCGCTCCCAATTCAGCTCCTGGCGGCGGCGGCGCCAATCAGAACAACGCCGCAGCTCTCCAAGCTGCCGCTCAGGCCGGTGACGTACGTGCGGTACTTGCTCAACTTCTCGGAGGTGCGGGTGGACCCGCCGCTCCGAACGGTCAAGGGGAAATGGACGCTTTCGGTCGCCTAGCGACTGGTCGCCCCGACCGCAGCATGCACATCGGTGGCTTCGACTGGCGTTCCCATGTCCTTCCCATTGTGGAGCTCGTCGACAGCTCCAAACTTCTAGCCTCTAGTGTCGCCCAGCTGCCCACATTCAACCCTGACTCCGCCACAGCACCCCGCCTCGAGCTTGACTCTGTTCTTGGGCCCATCTTCCGCCTCAACGCTTTCAGCGACGGAGCTCCCTCTCTCGCAGAGCAGTACTTCTCCAATCCTACCGTCCGCTCAAAAGCAGAGCTGGAGGCTAACACGAATTCAATGCGCGCGACGTTGGATCAGGTTCATGCTTTCCACTTCAGGCTGTGGCAGGCAATGGTGAAGGCATCGCCGGAGAGCAGAGAGAGGGTTCTGCAGTACTGGGGTCGCGTGGCGGACTTGAATAGGAGGAGGGGCGCGATGAGGGTCAAGGCGAGGGAGGTGGGGAGCGATGGGTTTACAGTGAACATTTGGGAGTCGCTCCAGCGCTTTGCCGTCCCCTTCATGGATGTGGCCTACAGCAAGATCGACCGCATCGACCCTGAATACCTGCGCAGGCAGAAGCGCTACGACACCTCCACCCTCACGCGCCTCAACGCATCAGAACCAGAGGCAGCAAAGTGGGCCGAAGAGGCAGCGGATGTGGACACGCCGCCCAACTTCATCACCGAAGTCTTCTACCTTGTTGTCCGCATGACCAATCTCGGGCCCGGCAAAGCGATCCGAAGCTACAATGAGCGCGAGGACACTATGCGCCGCATGAAGCGCCGTATCAAGGAGACGGAAGAGACTCGCGGGACCTGGGGCAGCACACCGCAAGCAGCGCAGTACGAGGCCTTCATCAAGCGCGGCAACGAAGAAGTAGAGCGCTACATGGCTGAGTCACATGCAGCGGCCACGCAGCTCCTCGACCCGGGCTTCATCGACAGGCTCACCCATCTCATTGGCTTCACCATGACCTGGCTAGTCCGCATCGCCGACCCTAATCGCTCACACCCGCACACGCAAGTGTCCCTCCCTCTCCCGCAGGAGGTACCGGAGCACTTCCGCATGCTGCCCGAGCACATCTTCGAAGACATCTGCGACATCCTCCTCTTCCTTGCACGACATCGCCCGGACTGCTTGCCGGAGGCCGTCAAGAATGACTTTGTGACTTTCACGGTGACCTTCTTGAGCTCCGGGTGGTACATCAAGAATCCGTTCATCAAGGCAAAGTTGGCAGAGATCATGTGGTGGAACGTTATCCCCTATGGATACTCCAAGACGGGTATCCTTGGTGATGTCATCAACTTGCATCCTCTTGCACTTCAGCATCTGGTCCCGGCCTGCATGAGCTTCTGGGTCGAAGCGGAGAGCACGGGCTCGCACACGCAATTCTATGACAAGTTCAACATCCGCTACCACCTCAGCCAGATCTTCAAGGTCATATGGGCTAACCCTAGGCATATGGAGCGCGTTCAGGCGGAAGCCAAGGGAAACTCGGAGCAGTTTGTCGTTTTTGCCAACAGACTGATGAACGACGTGACCTTCCTGCTCGACGATGCACTAGAGAAGCTGCAGGAGCTGTGAGTAGCGCAGCGCTCCAACTCATGATCGCCATCCTGACTGACCACACGCCAAATCTCTCGCGCCCGCAGCCACACTAAGCAGCAACAAATGGACGACGCCTCCACGTGGAACGACAGACCAGCGGAGGAGCGTCAAGAGATCGAGAGTGCTGTGCAGTCCACGCAAGGGCATATCCGCAGCATGCTCGACTTCGGTAACGAGTTCCTGCGCTTGCTCATCGACTTTACGAAAGAGACCAAAGACGCCTTCATGACGCCCGAGATTGTCGATCGTTTGGCAGCGATGCTTGACTACAATCTGGATCTGCTCGTAGGACCGAGGTGTACGGAGTTGAAGGTCAAGGTGGGTTGCGCGAGAGGCGTGGTACTATCGCGCGGCAGCGAGCTGATATCCATTACTTCTCGTATCGTTGCAGGACCCGCAACGCGTTCACTTTGACCCTAAGGCTCTTCTCTCCTCCATTCTATCCGTCTACCTCAATCTTTCCACCCGTCCCGAGTTCATCTCGGCGATCGCAGCAGACCAACGATCCTACCGTCGTTCGAGCTTCGACAAGGCTCGCTCCCTCTGCGCCCGCTTCGGCCTCAAGGCACCAGACGAAATCGACTCCCTTCTCGCTCTCGCCGATGCGGTCGACAAGAAGGTGGCAGAGGCGGCGGAAGAGGACGAGGATCTGGGAGAGATTCCAGATGAGTACGCTGATCCGCTCATGGCTACCGTTATGCGCAATCCCGTACGCTTGCCTACGTCAGGTGCCGTTCTGGACCTCAGTACGATCAAGGCGCATCTGTTGAGCGATGCTAGTGATCCTTTTAATAGAGCGCCGCTCAAGCTGGATCAGGTCAAGGTGGACGAGGAGTTGAAGGCGGAAATTGAGAAGTGGATTCAGGAGAGGAAGGAGGCTGCAAAGAGAGGATAGGAAGGCAATGGCTGCGGAAGGGTTGTAGAGGAGGGTAAGGCTGGACAACAGAGCGTGGACAGGCGCAAGTCGACCGGCTACTTGCAACTCCACATTCTCTCGTGTCGATGCACGGTCTTCACAGGCCTTCTCCCTTCGTACGCACTTGTGAGGCTGAAAATGAGTGACATCAATTCTTTGTGTCCTGCCGCATCACGTCGCCTTCTTGCGTTTCCGTCCCTCCTCATCATCCTCCTCGGCCGCCGCAGCCGCCGCGAGGTCTTTACGAATCTGATACGTCTTCCTGATGTCGTCGACGATCCTCAAATCCACACTCCCCAGTAAAAGGCCCTCCGCTTCGTCCTCGAGTCGTGCAATGACGCCACTGAAGGGGCTCACGATGGCGGATCTTCCCAAGCCTACGGCCAGGCCTGGCCTCTCAATATGTAGATCGATGAGACCAATACGCTGTCGATGAACGTCGTCAGGCCCCCATTCCTCCCGCTCCGCTATCTCGTCCAACTTTGCCCAGTCCTTCCTGAAGCCCTCCGGCCAGCCTGGCCCAGCAACGTTCGCCATAACCACGGGACATTCTGCCTCCAAGCTTCGGGCGGTCACCAAGGCATCGAGGATTGTCCCCTCCCCCTCGAATGGGTTGCCCCAGCCCAGCCCTGCAGTCCCCGAATCAGTCGCGTACCAGCATGTTGGGGCTATTATGATATCCGCAGGGGGTGAGGCATCGGCGAGCTCGCGGAAGGAAGAAGGGAATGCCAGATCCCAGCAAATCCTTAGACCTGTGGTAATGGGGTGCTGCGGGCGTCGACGGGTGGTGAAAGTGAACGTGTCTGGGTGTGGGTGCGTGGACGAGTGGCCGGGAGTCAAGGGCGCACGTTCGGGGTGCCAGAGGTTCTGCACACGCAGAGGGAGGAAGCAGCAAGGGGGAGATGATATGAGTGATGCTGTAGGCGTAGGCAAAAGGCGTAGCTGCTGCTTCAGACGAACGCAGCTACTCACTCTTTTCGTATACTTTCCCCTCACATCCCCTTCTCGACCGACAAAGTAAGCAGTATTGAAGAGCTTCTCCTCCTTGCCTCCTTGCCCCTTGCCATTGCTACCACCCGCCTCATTTCTGTGTAGCACATGATGCTCCCCTTGGCCATGACCCAGCTCCACGACCGTCCCTGCTACAACATTGATGTCGCGCTTCTTGGCCTCCTCACACACCACGTCCAACCAATGCTTCTCTTGTTCCTCCTCCTCCTTCTCCTCCACAGCGCTATGCCCATGCGGCCTAGGTCCCCCTCTCTCCCTCACCCCATACCAATCCCCATGATCCGCCCCGGCCAGAAAGTACTCCGGGAAAACGACCAGATCCGCTCCAAGCTTGGCTGCGTGAGCTATGTAGGTGCGCAGCTTGTCGAGGCCTGCGTCTGGGGATGAGCTGGAGGAGGAAGGGGAAACGGGAAGGAGCTGGGCTACGGCGATGTGAAGGTGCGTGGGAAGGGAAGGGTGAACGAAACGACCTTGTGTACGCATGGTGACTGCCTCGAGCTGGTCAGAGGTGGACGACATAGTGGGAGCGTCGCTATGCTGTATTTATGCTGCTATCGTTGAGAAGGAAGGAAAGGAAGGAGAGCGGGGAAATGCTCCGAGCCTTTCGCCTTGGAGCTCATTTGTGCGTCGGGTCGAGCTCGGGAGTGGAGATGAAGAAGGAGCACACGCGAGGTCGACTTCGATGCAGCCCGACCACCAATGAGCCAAGGGGGCCAACGTCACAGAGCTGTCGATAGGACGGAATTTCTGATTGAACAAAAGCTGTACGCTACAAAAGACGGTCCGATGAAACTTATCTGATACGAAGGCTCATGCTGATGCTGATCTCCCCACGCCTCCTCCTCCTCCTCCTCCCCCTCACATTTCAATCCAATTCCGCCAGAGCAGCCTGCTGCTGCGTCTCTTCGATCCACCTAACGATCAGCCAAATCAATCCAGCAGCGAGCCCCAAGAGGGTTAGAGCGACAAGCGCGCATCCAGCGTACCCGACGAGGTATGGCTTCTTCTCCCGCAGGCGGGCAAAGAAGGACTGCCATGTGATCACGGCTGTCTTGGCTGGGCGACGGAGGAGGAGGGGTGAATCGGCATCTTCCTCTGCCGACGGGAAAGGCGGTGAGAGGAGAGGTGCACTGCTGTTCGCGGTTGGAAGGTCGGTCAGGACTGGGCAGCAGTGCGAAGTGATGCCCGAGGCTGGGTGCATCAGAATAGCGCGAGGGGTGGCTGCGCTGCTCGAGGGGGCAAGGAGTGCGACCTTCTCCTTGTCTTTCTCCTCACGCTGAGCTGCGAAGAGAGCACGGCGATGATTCCTGCGCTGCTGTTGCTTTCGAATCTTGTGCTTCCTTGTCAAACACGCTTCGTCCACCTCAAGCACCTCAAGAACCTCCGTCTCCGGTAGGCTGGCCAGGCTAGGCAGGCTAGTGACCGCCCTGCGCGAGCTTGAAGGGGAGCTGGACTTTGATCTGTAAGATGCAGGGGCGGAGACTACCCTGCGTCCCTTGGCCGTGGCACGAGCGAAGGGTAGGAGTGGCTTGACGAGAGAGCCGGCGATAGAGGAGGAGCGTGGTGGGATCTGGGGCATGGGCACCGACCAGGAAACGGGAAGAGCGCGAGGACCCTTGGTCTTGCGGCTTATGGGCGCGACCTGAGCCTTGATATCGGTAGTATCCGCCTTGCCGTTCCAGAAGCGGGTGATAGCGCTCAGCCTGATGTCCTTGGAGACGGGCACAGGGAGCGGCTCGGAACTTCCTTCGTCATGGGTGGGAAAGGTGGGCGACTCCATCATCCTAACACGGGGCGGGACCACCTTTTTCTCCTTCTCTCCTGGGGCAAATCCGAATTGTGATGCCATAGGGCCAGCAGTCATCGTCGAGGGTGGCTCTGGGAGAGGGCGATGAGGGCGCACACTTGGGTGTCTAGGCCCGTAGCGGACGATGGCCGGTTTGCGCTCCAAGGTGCAGGGACTCTGTGCCTTCGAGTCGGGATGGTAGACCTGCCCGATGACGAGACGACGCTCCGCTTGCAGGGTCAAGGGGAGACTGACGGTGCTGTGAGCGCTGCTGGCCGTGGTGGCGTCCACAGCAGGGCTGCTGCTGTTGCTGCTGCTGCTGGTGCTGAGAGGCGACCCGAGCTGGACAGTAGAGGAGACATTTTCGGTGCTGCTGCTTGGGCTCGCGGGATCAGAGAAGCTCGACCTGGTCGGGCTTCCACTCGCACGCTTGATCGCAGCGCGACGCGCCAAGCCGGCGCCGGGAGCAGATGCCTGGAACGCGTTGGCGTTGGCGCTCCTGTTCGCCGTGGCAATCTCGATGTACCGCTCAAGGTCGAGGAGGGCATTGTCGACTTCAGCCAGCTGCTGGTCGGCCTCTATAGCAGCAATCTCGTCACTATCCGCAGTGCTGATGCTCGTACCGCTCTGCTTCTCGTGTAGGTCCCAGTCCCCGCCTTCCTCAGCGATGATTGCCTCGACCTCATCGCGACGCATCTGCTTACGAGGGAAAAGGGCAACTCCCTGCACCTCTACGAGCATTGGACTTCGCTCAAAAGAGCTTCGGTAGGAAAGCGAGATGGGCTCGACCTCTTGCTGGACCACGCGCTCGCGCTCGAGCTCCTGCTCGGCAGGGTCGAAAGCGGCCTCGAGGCCGAACGAGTATTCGAACTTGAGGGGAGCGGCACGGCTCATCTTGAGAGACGCGTTGATGATTGTGCAAGTCGTAGCGCGTCGTGAGGAGGAGCAGCAGATTGAACGCGTTGCTTGATGTGACTCTGCGAGTCGAGAAGGGTGAGGTGAAGAGGGCCAAGGGGAGCTACCCACCCGCGAAATGGGGTTTATATCTCTTTCTCGTCATCAAATGTCGACTGCCTCCGTCGAAAGCATGCACACGCAGGTCTCGCGGTGGCTGATGGTAGCTAATGGCTACCGTGCTCGTAAAAGTGATCAGGTGAAACTGGGACCGGAGGTACTTTACGCGACTTTGTGACGCGTTGCCGACGTGAATCGGCAAGGCGGGAGAGGCGTCGCTGCGGAAGCTATTGAGGCGCAGCAGCGACAATGAGCCGCGCGTCACCTCGCATGGAGTGGTTGACACCTTTGAGCCAGACAACCGACCCTTGCGCTGGTACAAGTCTTAGTAATGACGGGCTCGCGAGGATCATGATGGTGCTGAAAGGCGAGCCCCGTCGACGACCGTGAATGTTCGGGAGGTAACCGAACGGCGATTTTGTTGGACTTTTCCGTCTGCGTCATTGTCCTCATTGCGCAACCAGTCGAGGGTGTCCTTGCACTTGCCCATCCACTCACCCTTCTCTGGGAGATGCATCGTCGTGACTCTGCCTGAGGGTGACGTGGTGACAAAGAGGAAGCAGTACCGGGCAGAGATGGGAGTGCCGTCCTGTATGTCCTCAAGTTCAACAACGGAGTCCAGGAGACCGAGTCCGGAAGGCTCATCTGCTGCCCATGGAATGTGGGATGGGGTGGCGAGGGTGATGCGGTGGGGGTCTAAAAGCTCGCGTTTGCTGCTGTCTTGCCCTTGCTCTTCCTTGATGGATATAGTAGCGTCGCATCGGCCATGCGGTTTAGTCTCTTTGCTCCTCTTCTTCTCCGCCGCTGGCAGCCCTCCCAGTTGCCTGCAGCATTTGCCCCACCACTCTCCAATGCCCTTGCCAGTGAACACCATCAGCCTCGGCTTAGCATGCCTCCTCACTTTCTCCTCGAGTATCGGGGTCCCCCTCATATAGTCTTCCTTCCCGAGCTCTCCACCCTCCGCTGTCGGCCTAATGCATATGTTCGTCAGCCCAATCGATGGCCAAGGGTGAGGCTGATCGAGCATGTCTGCGCATTCAGTCGGGTCGACACGCGTCGGAGTGAGCCCACCAGCGAGAAGGGTGCGATAGAAATGGTTGGAGGGATGCCTGAAATGAGCGCCATGCTGAGAGGACTGCAGACCAGGATTGAGCCCGCATACAAGGAGGTCGAGGCGGCGATTTGGGTCGGCAGGGTAAAGGTGGTCTGGGACTGGTGGGTATTCTGCGGCTGGATATGAGGTTGATGAAGGGTCGTCGTACAGGCGGCGACGCTTCTTCTTCTTCTTCTTGGGAGGTGAGGGAGTGGGCGTGGGTGACGAAGGCTTGTCCCTCTTTACGGCTGACGATGGCGACGAGGACGAGGGCGATGACTTGAGTCTCGGAACGAAAACCTCAAAGGCTTTACGGTCTGCCAGGCGGTTGCTCTGCCGCTGCCGCCCATTCGAGTTGCCTGCAAAAGTATATGCTTCAGCAAAGCTGGAAGGCAGAGATGTAGGTGGTGGCGGCGAGGCCGACTGCTCCTTTTTGGTCATGACCATGCTGCCATCCGCTCAGCACGATGGACTCGGTGTCACGAAGCTTTGTGCGGATGACAGAAATGGGCTGATCTGAGCACATCGATGGCCCCGGCTCCGAGGGACCTCGACTCGACTTGAACCTCGATGTCGTCTCGAGCTGCTGCCGCCCGCTCAAGAATTTCGAGGAGCGGGAAGGGATTCGCGACTTTGGCTTCCTCGTTCCGTCCTTCGTCCTCGCAGCTCCTCATCCACATCAACAACGACACCGCTGCCATGGCAAAAGCATCAGCCGCATCGCCAAGCACCTCATCGCGAGTCAAAAAGGCTCCTCGCGCCTCTGCTGAAGCGTCCAAGGCCTCTTCCTCGTCCGAAAAGCTCCTAGATGGGCACGTTGCGCCCTCTCAAGCCCTCAAGGCATTCAAAGCTCTCGAGTCGCACCGCAACAAGCACAAGGCATCCGTCGCCGAGGCCAGCAAAGATTCTGGCAAATCTCAGCTGCCCCTTGACGCTGAAGCCGATGACGATGTAGGCGGATCACGCTCGGAGGATACCGTCTACTTGAACGTAGCCATCAAGCGATTGAGCCCAACGAAGAAGAGCAAGCCGCACCAGATTCCCCTGCCCAACCCCTTGCACGACCCAAAGACCAGCAGCGTCTGCTTGATTGTCAAGGATCCGCAGAGGCATTACAAGGATCTGCTGCCTACCCTGGGCGTCAAGTGTGTTCACAGAGTAGTAGGCGTATCGAAGCTCAAGGTGCGTACAAGAGGCAAGCAAAAAGCAGATTGTCTCTTTTATCATACTGACTCAACTCTCCTTGCTGCTCGCTCGCTCGCAGGGCAAGTTTGCGCCCTACGAGGCTCGCCGCCAGCTCCTCGAGGACTATGACGTCTTCCTCTGCGACGACCGTGTAGGGGCCCTTATGCCTAAGCTGCTTGGCTCCAAGTGGCAGCAATCCAAGAAGATGCCCCTCTCTGTCAACCTCGTTCAGACACGCCACATCAAGGCACGTCTGGAGAAGGCTGTTGCCTCATCCGTCTACCACTCGAACCGCGGATCCAACATCTCGCTCGCTATTGGTTCCATCAAGCGTCATACGGCTGAGCAACTCGTGGAGAACCTGGGGACTGTGCTCCCTGCATTGATGAGGAAGGTGCCCTACGACGGCTGGAAGAATGTGCAGGCGCTCGAGGTCAAGACGGGACGCAGCGCGTCGCTGCCAGTGTGGAATGGGGAGCTGGCAAAGAGATGGGAGGGAATCAAGGAGCAGAGGGATGACAGTGAGGACAGTGAGAGTGAGGAAGAGGAACCCGCGCCGAAGCCGAGCAAGGCAGCAAAGGTAGCAAAGGCGGACAAGGCAGTAGAGGCGCCCGCAGCAGCATCACCGACAGCGACCAAGAAGTCGAAGAGGAGCAGTGCGGGCGAGGCGGACGAGGCGAGTGAGTCGGCAAAGAAGACGAAGAAGGCAAAGAAGGCGGCGGCATAATCTCCAGCTCGCTCTGCACCATGTCATCCCATATCTCACGCTCGTATACGACTCTTTTGTTCATGCATATCATTGACCTGCTTGCCTTGCACCACCTATCTACAACCTCGACGACTCCTTCTCTGCGTCCTTCCACTCCGAGTCCACCTTGAGCAGCATCTTGCCCTGGTTCTTTCCCGCGAACAGCCCAACCAAAGCGTCTGTGAAGTTCTCCACGCCCACCTTGTCGTGGAAGTGGAACCTCGTGTGGATCTTTTTCTGCGCAGCCCACGTCGCGAGCTGCCCGATGGCGCCCTGGAACGTCTCCTTTGGCCAGAAGGAGGGAAAAGCGATGTAGCCCTGCAGGCTCAGGCGACGACCGACGATCAGGTGCGAGTACTTGAGCCCGGTGAAGGTGCTGGAGCCGTTGTATCCGGAGATGGCACCGCAGCAGGCGATTCGTCCGCCGGCGGCCATGGCTTGGAGGGCAGCATCGAGGGTCTCGCCGCCGACGTTGTCGAAGTAGACGGTCATGCCTCCCTCCGGGCGGTCGGAGAGAGACGTGATCTGCTTGTAGTAGCCGGAGTCGCGGTAGTCGATGCATGAGTCGGCGCCGAGGGTCTCGGTGACGTACTTTTGCCTGCAATCAGAGACGGGAGATGGTCAGCTTCTCGCGCTAGAAGGCCATTGTCCTCCTCATCGCTGCTTGCACTCACTTCTCCGGCCCGCCAGCAATGCCAATGACCTCAGCAGCGCCCATCAGCTTGGCGATCTGGATCACAAGCCCACCCGTAGCGCCAGCCGCACCAGAGACGAGCACTCTGTCGCCCTTCTGCACCTTGGCGACCTCTACAAGACCCAAGTAAGCAGCCAGGCCAGTGCCCCAGAGAGCGCCGAGGTACTCCTTCTCGTCAATGCCGCGCGAGGCGTCAATCTTGCTGAAGTAGCCCGTCTTCTGTGCCTGCTCAACGTCGACGACGGCGTACTCCTGCGCTCCGAGCGAGCCAGAAAGGACCTTGTCACCCTCCTTGAAGTCGTCGTGGCTCGACTTGACTACCACACCGATGCCGCCAGCCCACATTGTCTCGTTGAGCGGCTGAGGGGGACGGTACGACTTGCGGTCGGGGTTCATAGAGGGGCGCATGGAAGGGTCAAGGGAGAGGAGCTGCACCTTGACGACTACGTGCTTGGCAGGGAGGGGAGTGGGGACGTTGAGAGGGGAGGAGACGACGCCGAGGATCGACGAGTCGATGGGCTTCATGCCCGGGCGTTGCAGCAGGTGAACCTGCTTTTGCGAGGTGGGGAGAGTCGAAGAGGACATCTTTGTGTGTTGATGGTGTTGGTAATGATGAGGGAGAAAGACAAGGAGCGATGCTGCGCAGCCTAGCTGCTTATAATCCCTTCTCACTCCGGTCAATCAAAACTTGTACCAAATTGCCCGACCAACGGGACCGGCTACTGTACGCTCAGCTCACTGGCCCCAAGAAAGAGCGGCTGTCAAATCCCTTTCTTGCTCTTGGCCAACCTTCGTGCCTTCTCGTCGGTTCAGCCGTCAGCGGATGTGTGGCTTGGGACGGACAGAGGTGGACGTGGAGGAAGAGAGCAAGACTGCATCTCAGCTCGGAGTTTCCAGAGTGGCTCATCGCATTCTCCGAGTCCGGACGGCGAGCCTCTCGTCAATGATCCTGAGTCCCTACTGTAGAGTAGCGCCGGATAGAGATCGGCCGTACGAGTGCGAAGCGGTGCGAGTGCTGCTTCGTTCTATTCCCATGTGGATGCACGCAATTGCATGCCCAGAATGGATTGAATGTCAAGGCGCTTCGGTCCTGTTCGGCCTAGATCGCGAAGGTGATGAGAGAGCGATGCGAACCAGCAACGTCCCCTTCTCGACCTCATCCTCAAAGCAGCCGTCTCAGTCGTGGTCAGCTGTCAGGGACTTGTTGACTGTCATCGCGCCAGACTGACATAGTCAGTCGCATCTTCATCGCAACAAGTGACATTCATACGAGCTTTCGCACCCATCTCCGCGACTCCCCGCCTTTCCTACAAAGTCGATCAAACTGTGGTCAGGAAGAGAGTACATGCGGAGGCAGACTGAATGCTCGCTGAGGAGCCAAGAGGCGGTGGTCGCGGAGCAGAGAGACTTGCTCATCTCGAACCAGCTTGCGCGTGCACAGCAGCCCGGGTCACGGACAGCCGACTTGCACAGGGGGTCCCTTGCGGGGACCCCACGGACGCGACCAGGACGCTAGGGACGTCTCCCGCGCATCCGCCATCAGCAACTCGATGAGGGCTGGCCCATCGTCGCTAGTGAGGGCCTTCGAGCCTACCAAGATCTGACCTGAGATCTCTCAAGTAGGTCGGCGCTCGAACACATCTCGAGAGTGTGCCCAAGACTATGAACGGACGGGCGACTGCGGCCGCAGCTGAGTCTAGGACTCGAGCGTGAAGGGTAGGTCTGGGCGCATTGAGCAGCCCAATGACCAAGCTAGGCACCGCACTAGGCAGGCCAAGGACGACGAGTGGCGGCGAGCCACGCACATCGAAGAGAGACGGCGGACAGCAAGTCGACGCACGTCTGAAGAGCACGGGTGGTAGCAAGCCACACACGTGAGGGCCGAACGCTTTCACAGCTGCTCAAGGCCAACGCTTGGTGCCAACAGAAGGCTGACCAGAGCAAGGGGTAGGTCTGCGGGGCAGAAAGCCAGGCGCATAACGCTGACGGCAGCTACGCATCACGAGCACGCCGACCTTCGAGCTGCTAGAGGTGACATCTCTAAGCACGTCGGAGAGACACGTGTGGCGGTGAGCCAGCACGCATCGAAGCCGTTGGCATTGAGCCTGTAGGCCCTTGCAGGCGCTGTGAGGAGCAGCCTGGAGGTGACGGCGAGGCAATTAGCCAGAGCGCGTCGAGATGATTGACGGGTGGTAATGAGCCACGCGCGTCGAGGTAGGCGCTATGTGCAGCAGCCTGACGTGGATGGCGTGGCAATGAGCCAGCACATCCGAGTGATGACGGCGTGGTAGCGAACCAGCGCACGTCAGTGCTTCAGGGCAGTGAAGCCCATCAGCGGTAGCCAAAGGAGCAGTCAGGAGTAGACGGGTGCGAACCCCTCAATCACTGGACGAGCTCGCAGGAATACGACGAGGTGGCGGCGAGGCACCCACGTCGGGCACCATCTGGGCAGATGAACGATGACGAATAGCCCTGTGCGGGTAGCGAGAGGTGGGAGAGGTGGGATGCGATGGTCAGTTTGATGGCGTGACGGGATGCATGGATGTCATGGCACCGTGTATTCACCGCCATGGGCACAGACGAACAGTCGCTCTCTCGATACCTTGCTGAGCCAGACGCCAGAGTCAGATGAGGGAGGCCGCCGGGCTGAGCGTGCGACGGGAGAGAGGGAGAGGCACCTGAGTGAGCAGCTCGTGAGAACGGAGATGATGTTAGAACCGCTGCCTGCTCACCCCTCGCGGCCTCACAACAACGACTTGGCTTGCTGCTGCTACGAGGACGAACGAGATCATGGTGATGGTGCGAGGGAATAGAAGGGAAGAGTGAAGGGCGACGAGGCAGTGAGACTTGATTGCACGCGCAAGAGCCGTCGCTGACTGATTTCATCTCGAGCCGCTCTCAGCCAATCATCCGAGCTCGCGGAGGCCGAGCCGAAGCAGTAGCACCAGATTGCCACGACCAGCCACACGCAGCGGCAGATCCGGACAGAGGCTTGAAAGCAGCGTGCTGTCTCTCGTGACGAGGGAGACGACTGTGGCGCCGAGACCCACGAAGTCGCAATGAGATGCGTGACGACGGCCATCATCTCGCTGTGTTGTTTGCTTGGTTGGGCGTGCGCCTCACCGTGCCTCTCACTCCCGCCCGCCCCCTCGCGAGCTTCCTGATTTGGCAACGCGCCTGCCTCGCGTGAGTGTTGATCTGCGAGGCGGAGACAAAAAGCAGCCTTGGCTCAGGAAGCGGCAGCAAACGCAGCGAGGCAACTCGGCGTGGAGAAGGGACGCAACTTGAGCATCCACCATCCTTCTCATCCCACTCAATCCTTCGAATCGTCCTCCAGCTCTCACTTCGCTGCCGTCGCCGCGATGCAGATGCTTAGGAGATCGCGCTCGCCGTCCAAGGCAGGGTCTGCGGCGGGCAGCGACCACGCCTTTGCATCTTCGTCTAGGCCAGCTTCGCCCGTCAAACCAGGCTCCTCATCCTCTCGCCCAGCCTCGCCTTCCAAACCGCCACCGTCGTCGTGGAGGAGATTATCTTCGATGGCAGGCATTCAGTTCGATGAAGACGTCTATGTAGGCGGTGAGGGAGTAGTCAACGCAGACGCCAGGCTACCCGGCCGCATGGCAGACGCAGTCACGAGGGCCGACTTCTTCGACGTCGTCCTCGATGAGGACAGCAGAGAAGCAGGCGCCCTTTTGCCCTGGCTTGGCTCCCTCGTCACGGATCATGCAGGTCCCAGTGCAGAGGCCATGGACGACGAAGACCTCGACGCAGACACAGGGATGCCGCGCGCTGGTAGCTCAGGCAGCATCAACGCCATCGGCGAGCGCAGTCACAGCAGTCCCTCTCGCATGGTCCCCAACCTCTCTTCCGCAGGAAATCCAGCAAAGTTCGAATCATTCCTCATGGAGCTCGTAGACACGGAGCGCTCCTACGTACGCCGCCTCGATACCCTGTACAATCGGTACGCAAGGCCACTGCGACAGTCGGCCAAGGATCGAGAGGCTGCCATCTTGCCAGTGTACGAGGCGCAGAGACTATTCGGCAATGCTGGCGAGCTGCTTGGCGCCAACATGGCTTTCTTGCAGGATATGGAGGAGCGTCTGGAAGCTGGTGGTAGCAGCTCAGGCTCGTGGGATGCGCTCAAGGCCAGCATCGGTGAAATCGCGCATAGGAATGTGAGTGCGGCGTCGCGATCACGAGAAAGACACTCTGCTCAATCTGTCCCCTCCCCGCGCTAGATGGCCTGTTTCGCCTGCTACAATGAGTATCTCAACAATTTCGAAAAGGCCAAGCACATCGAGCAGACGGCATCCCGCAACAATCGCAGCTTCCGCGACTTTGCCGACCGGGTCAAGCACTCATCTGCCCCAAACATGGGCAATGTGTCGATCCGTGAACTCATCATGGAGCCCGTGCAGCGTATCCCGCGCTACAAGCTGCTGCTGGACGGCCTCATCAAGACGCTACCTCAGGAGTACAGCTCGCAGAGGGCCAAGCTCGAGTCGGCCGTCGTACTATGCAGTCGCATCGCGAGCTGTGAGGTGGACGAGAAGACGCAGAGGGCGGCGGTGCTTTGGTCCTTCGCGCGCAATGTGCAGGGCTTCCCAGCCGGCCTCTTCTCGGTGCACCGCAGTTTCATTGACGCAATCGACGTTGAGGACTTCCCTCTTGACGGAGCCACCAACACGGGCACCCCTTCCAGCCTCTTCTCCCCCAACCCCAGCATCAATGCTCGATCGGTCCCATGCACCCTCTTCCTCTTCGACGACGCGATCCTCGTCGCCAAGCGCAACGCCACAGGGACGTCAGGAAAGCGCTCGCTGCGTCTGCACGACCTCAACCGACTCGCTGACGAGATGAAGACGTACACCGAGAAGAGCGGCACGCCGAGTCAGCCAACAAAGAAGGCTGAGCTCAGCTTTCGTGGCGTGTCCGACATTCTCGACATACAGGCGGCGGATCTGGGCGGGCCGGACATGCAGCTACTGTTTAAAAGGGCACCGGCGCATATCCATCACGAAAAGTGGACGGCGAGACCTCTCCGCCAGTATGCCACCATTGCGGACCCGCAGAGCGACTCTCCGCCACGCTTTGACAAGCTTCGCTTCCTCGAGAACCTCTGGAGGGCACAGGCGCTGTACAAGGCGCGAAGGGATGGGCAAAGTCATGTGCGAAGTGCTGTCATTCCGGCCACGTCGTGCGATGGTGACGAGGCTGGAGAGCCACGTCGACTTGTCCACTGGAACGTCTATCAACGCCAAGGTTACCTGGCTGAGCCAAACAAGGCAGCCGTTGTCCTCGCCTGCGGTGCAGCGCCAAATCTCAATGCTGGCCCACCGCACGCCCTCCTCCGCATCCACAGCATCGACGAAGAGTACAATGAGTGCACCTATTCGACGCAAGCCGACGACGATGAGTACGTACTGCCGCTAGCCGATCTAGCGCAGCGCATGCGCAAGCTGCAAGAGGCTGTGGAGCCCGCCATGTCCTACGCTGGACCCTCGACCCCGTCAGCAAGCCATCGAGGCCGAGTAGCCGCAGGACTCGAGTCGTTTGGTCGCTCCCTCTTCAGCGGCACGCCAGAGAGTATTCGCTTTGGTACACCGCGCCGCAAGGGCAGCATTCTCTCACGCAGCAGTGTCGCAACGTCCTCCGTGGCAGCCAGTGACGTCTTTTCGCAATCCGGTCGCAGCGTCTCAACGGCAGGAACGAGCATCAACAGTCGGGATATGCTTGCCTTTGGCGGGCCGTCAGTCGACGCGTCGGGCAAGTTGCTGCCCCCGGGTAGCCCGCAGAGCCCCAAAGTTGGGCGGCTGGCGACGAGTAGGCACAACAGGACAACCTCCGCGGGGACGGTGGATATGCTGCTTGGCGGAGGCGGGCAGGGGACGGCGCCGAGGCAACGACCCGCCAGTGCGGTAGAGAGCGTGGCCTTCCCTCACGTCGACGGGGCCGGCGGACCCTCATCGCCCGCAGTCCACAACGCTCTTGCCATGCGTCAGCGTGTCGTCGCTAGCAAGCCATCAGGACCGCGTGCAGCGCCCACCCCTTCACCAGCTGGAACGCCAAAGCGGAAACCGGTTCCAGCAAATGACATTCCGTACACGCCGACGAGAAGGGTACCATCCACGGCGTCGAAGCGGGCAGCACCAGAGGAGAGCGAGGAGGGAGCAAGTGAGGGAGAGGTGGACCGCGCCGGCAGCTTGTCCTCGAAACGCAGCAGGCGACCCATGAGCGCTGCGCTGACGCCGCTTGGCCCTCGAACAGCCAATGCCTCGCCCACACCAAGGAGGCACGTACGACCTGAGACATCCTCGTCCTCATCCACGTCGTCCTCGTCATCATCATCATCGTCGCTGCGTGGGCGCGTTCACCGCCATCTGGCCCGACTTGACGAGACGGACAAGGAGAATGCGGCTGGTCTTCAAGAGCTGGGCGAGGAGGCCGGCGAGATGCGTGGAGCCGCGTCACAACTGGAGTCGCCCCTTCTGAACGAGCTGGTGGATCGGCTCGAAGGATGGCTCGAGGATGCTGCGCAGCGAGGCGGGGAAGTGCAAGCTTTGATCGCCAAGGTAGCGGGGGACGTCGAGCTTCTGCTGGCCAAGCTGGAAGAGCAAGGCGAGGCGGCTACCCTGGCGGAGAAGAGCGCGGGCGAGGTCAAAGTGCTCAAAACTCGCTGCGAGGCCTTGCAGCGTAAGTGCGAGCTCCTCACCGCTCTGGAGAAGGACGGTCGTCTTGAGAATGCCGAGCTGCACCGCGCTTTCAACGAGGAGCTCGACCGACTTTACGACGATACTCAGCTGGCCTCGCGGGGTGAAGAGGTGGCCGCACTGCGGGCTGAGGTGAAGCGAACAAAGGCTCAGCGCAACGATGCTCAACTTAGGGCGGGAGAGCTGGAGCGACGGTACAAGGAGCAGAGCGGATTGGTCGAGGCGTATGAGGAGAGGCTGCGGGCCAACGGTCTGTTGTAGAGGTGCGTGACCAGCGCAATCGTATCGTATTCTTCACAATTTTCAACCCAGCCAGTCTGTCCTTTTACGCCTCACCGCCCCTTCGACAGCCTCTGCCACGCTTACGTCGCCCGCCGTGAGATCGTTCATCAACCCATCTCCCTCGCCCCTCGGTAGTTCAGCCAGTGCCACGAACGTCGCAGCTACATCGTCGCGAGGCACGGGACGCGAAATGGTCTTGCGCTCCCCAAGCGACACCTTGTCAGTGCCCGCTTCGTCTGCTAGAGTTGACGGACGTAGCACGAACCAGGGGAACGTCTTGCGCTGTGCAAGATTGGCATCCGCCTTGTGCTTCGCCTCCATGTAAGGGCCGAGAACCTTGCGCATGCGTTGCGATGTCTCGAAGTCCTCCGCGCCATACCAGTCCGGCTTGGTGTTCTCGATGTCCCTGCTGTCCACCGCGGAGCAGAGAAGCAATCGCCTGAAGGTGTCGGTACGCTCTGCCAAGCCGCTCTTCTCTATGGCGTCGAAAACTTTAATAGCACCAAGCTCGTCCACAGCCTTTGTCCTCTCTGGCCCGCCCTTACCGCCAGCTCCAGCGAGGAAAAGGATGACGTGCGGGTCATGCTGCTTGAAAAGATGCGCGAGGCTGGAGACGGAGGCGTCTTCGAGCGAGACGTGGATGGGCGTCGTCTTGGCGGGCAGGTCGGACGCGTGTTCCTTCTGGCGGATCTGGCTGAAGACGGTGTGACCGCGTGCGAGGGCTTGGCTAGTGACACGCAGAGCGACTCGGCCGTGGCCACCGATAATGAAGAGTCGAAGAGGAGTAATGGAGGTCATCGTAATACAGTCGTCGTGATGGTGAGGAGGAGGCAAGAAAGTCGCCGAGCCGCCGGACGGGGCCTCATCGCAGTCGACGATTCACCCGATGGCTGCATTAGGTCCACGGGATGATGTGGAGGTGGCTGCTGCACTTCTTCAGGGTCCAACGAACAGACATCGACCCGTCGGATCGTACCCTGCCTTCTTCTTCTCATCCACATCAGCTCTTTTGCAATCATGTCGTCGCCGCAGTTCTCCCTCGACAGCTTCAAGCCATCCAAGCTCTTCGACCTCACAGGGCGAGTCGCCCTCGTTACAGGCGCGGGTACAGGCATTGGCCTCGCTCAAGCGCAGGGTCTCGCAGCCGCCGGCGCGAAGGTCTACATCGCCTCACGACGCGGTGACATGCTGGCGGATGTGGTCAAGAAGTACGGATTCCACGACTACCTGGAGATGGACGTGACCGACAAATCTTCCATCGAGTCTGCTGTCCAGTCTTTCAGCAAGAAGGAGGACAGGCTAGACATCCTAGTCTCCAACGCTGGCGGGGCTGGTCCAACGCACTTTGGGGCTGATACCTCGGCGCCTGATGGGACGACTGACCCGGCCAAGAAGCACGAGCCCATGTCTGCAGACGATTACAAGAAGAACATGGACAAGAACAATAGTTTCGAGAGCTGGACGGACATCTTCGCTGTCAATTCCTTTGCTCTCTTTTTCGTCGCTACGGCCTTCTTGCCATTGCTGGCAAAGGGGACTGAATACGGGCAGAAGCAGCAACAGCCCTTCACAAGCACGGTCATTTCAACTTCTTCGATCTCGTCCATTGTCAACCAGAGTCAGATGCACTTCGTGAGTGCTGCGAGATGACCAGCAGGGCTCGGGTCGACTGCTCACCTTCTTTGCTCATTGCGCTCTCGCAGGCTTACAACAGCAGCAAGGCCGCCGTTGTCAAGCTGACCGAGACCATGGCATACGAGTTTGCCTACTCGGTCAAGGAGAAGATTCGCGTCAACTCCGTTGGTGAGTCCACGTTGGTTCACGCCACTCTCAGCCCTCCTTGCTGATGACCCACCTCCATCCTATCATTTCCTTGGGCAGCACCGGGCGTCGTCCCCTCACAGTAAGTCTCCAATCTTCTATGCACCTCCCCTATTTGCTCTTTACTAACTGCCTTCGCTTTCTTACCTCCCGCAGGATGACCGCAGACAACCGTGACCCCGAGACGTCCAAGTCGTCCCTCAAGGAGAAGCTGCCAGTCATGTCCATCCCCGTTGGCCGACCTGCGCGAGAAGAAGAGATGGCGAGTGCCATCATTTACTTGGCAGCGGGAGAGTACCTGCACGGCACCATCCTCAGCGTGGACGGTGGCTTCTCACTCTCGCAGCCCTGAGATGGTCATCGACGGGCCATGGGAGCGGTTGAAGGATGAGTGGCCGGTGCAAGGGTAGACACTGGACCGTAGCGATGCTTCGCTCATCACCGTCTTGCAGAAGGATGCGAGATTGGCTCATGCGCCGCAAATGCCTGGGCTACGTTTCGTTTCTGGTCTACATACATACAGCTATCCTGCTTTGCCGTAAAGAAATGTAGACACTTTGCCGGATTTGGTCTCTAAATCCAGCTTTTCTTGCCCAACTTAGACCCACTTAACACTGCCGCTCGCGCTGCTCAGCGGTGCGCTGGACGAGACGCACGCGGACATTGACGGACAAGTCTTGCTCACTGAAGTCGAGCAAGGCTGCCACCGCCGGGCAACTCGCAAGTCCCAGTGCCGCCTTCTTTTCCAGGAAGATTTGCGGAAGGAAGAGTCGGACTGATCTGGACTCCACCGTCTTCTTTGCATGGTCTGAGCCCCTCGAGTGTTGATGGGTCATCTGTTCCAGCTGCATGAAAAATCCAGTGGGCGACTGCATCATGGCGACGATGGCAGTATGAGCAAACTCAGGCTTGGTGCCGCCCATTGCGATTTGCCTTCCCAGCCAGCCGTTGCTGCCATTGCCGGCAGCCCTCGCCCATTTCTTCATTAGTGCCTGGGACTTCACGAGCACGTCGTCCAGGCATGTCGTGCGGTTTAAGCCGAGGAGGTCGTTCGGCGTGGCTATGTCGGTGCTGAGGGTGATCCAGTGATTGTACACCGGGCTCATCCGAGGCGTGCGCAGGACGGCAGCCTGTACAGCCTCTACTGCTCCGTTGAATATCTTGACGAGGTCCTTGTCAGCGTGACTCAGAAGGGGATGATCGGCGCCGTATGCGGCGGCAAAGCTGGCTCTGAATGCCGCAGCGTCTGGAACGTGAAGCGTTACGATGATTTCCCAATGCTTGGCAATTTACATCGCAGCGTGGACGAGCTGCGTTTGGCTTTGCACCCCCCTCGAGTGGCTCAGCGCGCGCACGTTCCCCTTGTTAGTCTCCCCATTGTAGATGCCGTCACGGCCAGCTGCGCGTGATGGTGGAGCGAGGGCAGAGTGGTCAGTCAAAGTTGAACGAGCACTGGCATGAGCCTCGCCGTCGGCACCCAGCACTCACGAGGCACGCGGCAGTTGGGAGGGCGAAGGGCGGGAAGAGAGATGAGGATGGTGTAGTTGCACGGGTGCGGGCATTGCGACAGCCTCAGCGGTGCGAAGGGGAGGGCGCCGAGGTCTTCGAGGGAGCGGACGCGGAGGAGATCCACATCGCCGTACTTGATGAAGAGGCTCTCGAGCGCCTCTTGCTCCGACACAAGGGCGTGGGTGCCCTCGCAGACTGGCAAGCCAGCCTTGTGTGCCGTCGCTACAGCGTCCAGATGAAGGCGGAACTCGTCGAGGGCAGTGAGCTCCTCGAAGTCAACAGTCCCGTTGCCTTCATTGTTGCCTTGAGTGTAATAGATTGGTGTCGCTGAGGGCAAGGGAGATGGTGACGAGTGAGCAGAAGCACCGCAGTCGTCGCGAGTGTCAGTACTTACCGTTATCATCCGAGGCGAGAGAGCGCGATCAGTACGAGGCGGAGATGCTGACAAGCCCGGGCTGGTCCACTCACTCGGCTCGTTGATCGTATGATTCAGTTCATGGCTGCTCATGATGGCAGCGCGGTGATGAAGGCGGTCGTATGATTTTTTCGAGGACCAGTGGTGAGGAGAGGGAAACGGGTCCAGTCGACGCCGTCGCGGCGACTGGATCTCCCGCTCGCTGCATGCGTCGAAATCGTCTCTCGTGTTGTCGGTCAAGCTCCCCTTCACGCCTTCCTTGTGCCACCCCTGAAACCTGAAGCGGGCGAGGCCACGAAGAGGAGAGGGAGGAGGAGGAGGAGGAGGAGGAGGAGGAGGAGGAGCGCGGTGGTCAGACATCGATTCGTGCGTACGTATGAGCTGCTCAGCCTTGTCCACTTGCCTGTGAGCTGGTCATCACGCCTTAGCGCGCCAGGTGTCACCCCTGCCGCCTCGGCATCGTTAACTGACACACGCGAATTCTTGAGCGGCGATATCACAGGTAACTCGGGTGGGCGCTCCTCTCTTGCGAAGTACTTCTCCTTGGGTGGCCAGGCACAGAAGCGAAGGTGTTGCGCTGCCTATGGGTTGGGATAGCACGATCTTGGCTCCTCTGTAGTGGGCAAGCCGGGGTGCATGATGATGGGTGACCGCACTCAATACTTGTCCATGGGCATCGGCCAGCAGAGACACGCGGCGTGCGACGGTGATGCCGATTCTGCGGTGCCTGAGCGGCTAACATGCAACCTGTTGTAGCGGTGACGAAGGTGACGAACAGCCGTTGAAGATCTCGAGATGTAGAGCAATGACGGAGGGGCTGTAGCTCAGCTGTCCTGATCGACTACGTGAGCAGGCGGGCCACGATGCTTGACTTTGCGACCGTAGCGTGAAGGAGACCGACGTGAGTGGGAAGCTTGATGGCGACCTTGCATTTGGACGGCAGAGGCGCGTCGAGCTCGCGATGGATGGATCCTTGTGGATGAGGACCGGCATGAAGAATGAATGGCGCGGACTTTGCTTTGACCGTGCGACTTTGCCTATCTTGCTGACGGAGAGATGGTGAGAGAGGGAAGGAGCATGGCTGACGAGTGAGTGCGCGAGCAGCTAGGCGTGCCACTTTGATCCGCTGGAGCGAGCGTTGCCTACGGCGAAGCAATGCCTGCATCCTGTATGCTGAGCACCAGCTTGACGCGCCGCGTGGATGCTGAGCACGGGCTCCTGGCCAGCCGTGACGAGGGTCGATGAGACGAGAGATGCATCTTACAAAGAGGGCACGAGGGGTTGTTGACGCTAGGACGACAATCATCGAGCACTCAGAGTTGCACAGAGTGAGGATGAAGCCTGGCGAAGAGGAAAGAGGTAAGGAGAGGTGACGAGGAGGAGAGGAGGAGGTGAGGGGGAGTCAAGGAGGAAAAGGCTCACGACGTCGCCCTCAGCTCACCGAATACGCCAGCGAGCAGGGCAGCGGGCGGGTCAGCGGAAGAGCAAGCGACTTGCACCGCTTTGCGCCCTGCCCTGGTGCCCCTGCCCGCCAGCCCGCTCTGATGGGCCAACTGGTGTTCAGGGCAGGTGATTGCGGCTCAATGGTACGTTCGGCTGCTAATTGCCCGCCCACGCTCATCGACGACGACCACGTCAGTTGCGCCTGGTCTTTGCTAGGCGGCCTGATCTCTCCGCGGCCGTGAGATCGGTGTCAGCAGGTGGCAATTTGTCGATGACCATGACTCGTATGCTTCTCGACTTGAAAGCACACGACGCGGACGCTGCTTGTCTTGCTTATCAAAAGGCCGCTCGATGTTGCTAGCGCTCGCCCTCGCCCTCGCGGGAGAATTGAGAGATTTGTCGACAACGGCCTCCTGGAAGCCCGCGTCTCTGGATGCGGCCCTCGGGAATTGAATTTGCCTGTCTGGCGCGCCTGCCCTGCTTGGCGTGAGTGCGCCGCCGCTTCTCAATGACGATGAGGAGCGTGCGCTCTCTTGCCGCCTGAAGTCCTCTCGACGTCGACGTCGGTCCGGTCGGCGAACGACAATCGTCGACGATTCGCAGCACCCACGCACTTTCAGCCAAGGGTTCGGATCAAGATCGACCCTCCTTTCCTTCTCTTCACCATACACACCTACTCTTCTTCTTCATCCCCCTTAGCCGCGTCACCATGCTTCGCCCTGCGGCCTCTAGGGCCTTGAGGCCTGCCTCGAGGATGCCCTCCATTCGCATGGCATCCACCTCTGCCTCATCTTCGTCCTCATCTTCGTCGTCGCGCCGCTACCTGGTCTCTGGAGCAGCAGCCGCCACAGCCCTCGTCGCTGGATATGCTCTCCTTCCGACGGGCATCTTCAACGATGGACGCTTCGACGAATCCTCAACAGACGACCGCCCGTCACCCCTCTGGGCTCTTCCCTCCCGCTCGCAGATGCTCCAAGCCTTGCGAGAATCCTCGGCCAAGTCCATCCGCCCTAGCGCAGCTGATCGTCAAGAGCACGATGAGTCCCTCGTCAACGCCAAGGCGACCCAGACGCGCAGCTCGGCGCCCAGCCCGGTGCTCGCCGGGAACCTGACCGACGCCGAGATCCGCAAGCTCGACGATGACGAGGGCTTTGACCTGCTAGTTGTGGGTGGTGGAGCTACAGGAACTGGTGTGGCAGTAGACGCCGCCACTCGCGGTTTGAGTGTGGCTCTGGTCGAGAAGGACGATTTTGGTGCGGGAACGTCGTCCAAGTCGACGAAGCTGATCCACGGTGGCGTGCGATACCTGCAGAAGGCCGTCTTTGAGCTCGACTACGGACAGTACAAGATGGTCAAGGAGGCCCTTCACGAGCGCAAGACGTGAGTGGGAGGCGGCCTCAGATGCCAGCGATGCCAGCAGAACGATCAGTTGACCTTCTGCCACCCTTCTTTGCGCCTCTCAGCTTCCTGCACATTGCGCCATACCTCTCGGAGCACCTCCCAATCATGCTTCCCGTCTACCGCTACTGGCAGTGAGTGTGCGCATGCAGCTGAACATCTTGAGAGCCACACATTGACTTGCTTGCCCCCGCGCGCCCAGAATCCCGTACTACTGGGCCGGCACCAAGATGTACGACCTCCTCGCAGGCTCCGAGAACATGGAGTCAAGCTACGTTCTCTCGCGCGGCAAAGCGATGGAGGCCTTCCCGATGCTCAAGTCAGATGGTCTCGCAGGAGCAGTCGTCTACTACGATGGGCAACACAACGACACGCGCATGAATATTGCTCTCGCCCTCACCGCTGTCCACCATGGCGCCATTGTTGCCAACCACACCGAAGTAGTCAAGCTGCACAAGCGCGACGTGCCGGGCAAGGAGGAGCAGCAGATCTGCGGAGCAACAGTGCGCGACGTGCTCACGGGCGAGACGATCGACGTCAAGTGTAAGGGCGTAATCAATGCAACTGGCCCCTTCTCTGACGCTATTCGCAAGCTGGACTTCCCCACGGCGCAAGAGATTGTCGCGCCCTCGTCTGGCGTGCACATCACTCTGCCCGGCTACTACTCGCCGCGTGGGATGGGTCTCATCGACCCACAGACGTCAGACGGGCGAGTCATCTTCTTCCTGCCCTGGCAAGGAAACACGATTGCCGGTACGACGGACACTGCTGCCCCTGTTGAGGCCCACCCTCTGCCCAAGGAGGAGGAGATTCAATGGATTCTCGACGAGGTCCGCAACTACCTCAGCCCAGACATCAAGGTGCGACGCGGCGACGTTCTCTCCGCGTGGTCGGGTCTGCGCCCCCTCGTCCGCGACCCGGCAGCAAAGGACACCCAGTCTCTCGTGCGCAACCATATGATCAACGTGAGCGCATCCGGTCTCCTCACGATCGCCGGCGGCAAGTGGACGACCTACCGTGAGATGGCCGAGCAGACGGTCGATCGTGCCGTTGAGGAGTTCAACCTCAAGCCCGTGCGCGGCTGCGTGACCAAGGAGACGAGATTGATGGGCTCGCACGGCTGGAGCAAGACGATGTATGTCAAGCTGCTCCAGCGATTCGGCCTCGAGACGGACGTAGCGAAGCATCTCTCCTCGACCTATGGTGACCGCGCGTGGAGCGTGTGCTCCCTCGCCGAGGCTACCGGGCAAAGATGGCCGGTACACGGCGTGCGTCTCGACCCCCTTTACCCGTACATTGAGGCAGAGGTCCGCTACGCCTGCCGCAGCGAGTACGCGCAGACGGTGCAAGACTTTGTGGCTCGCCGAACGAGGCTGAGCTTCTTGAACACCGAAGCTACCGTACAAGCCCTTCCCCGCATCATCGACATCATGGCATCCGAGCTTGACTGGTCGACGCAGCGCCAGGAGGAGGAGCTGCGCGATGGTGTGCGCTTCCTTGCCTCAATGGGTCTGCAGTCTGATCGAGCAGAGGAGCTCTCTGGCGTTACTTTGAAGGATCTGAAGGCAAGCGTAGCGCGTCCGCAGTCTGACTCGCACTTGAGCGACTCGAGGCTGGATGCGAAGGATCAGTTGGCTCGGGCAGGGGCTAGAGTGGACACGATTGGGGAGAAAGCGACGGAGCAGAGTAGGGAGAGGGATCAGAGGAGGACGATCCCGCCTGAAAGAAGCGGTGGCGGTTGGTAGACAGAGAGGCAGTTTCACTCTTGCTAGCTTGCGTGTTTGCTATGTCGAGATGCTAATGAAAGTGTATGAGCCGATGAGAAGACGACGAACGCGATGTGTGAGCTTTGGATGACTGACGTTACCTTCGATCTGCCCGAGCATGGTCGCAGCGAGCGAGCTCGCTAGCGGCGGCGGAACGCGGTGGTCACTGCATCGTGAAGGCGAGGCGATGAGCTCTACGGAGAGCTCACGCAGCACTCGGAGGCGGACCAATATCAGCCGCTGACCAGATGGTCAGATAGGGAGGGCAAAGTACAATGTGGATGGACTGTAGATTGAAGCGAAAGATCATCGGAGGGGAAGCAAGTGGGGGCAGGACGGATTCCCGCAGCTATCACGTCGCGAGTCCACCATGCTTCGCAATGCAGTGCAGCACCTGAGCCAAGAGCAAGTAGTCCTCGCATCCTCCAACAGCCCTTCCCTTTGACGCCCGCCGAGGATTCGGGACTCAGCAAGCCGCCTTCTGCGTAGACCGTAGCCGTCTGAAGCTCAAGTCCTGCTCAGATTTTGGTGACCTTGCACCCGTCCTTCCACAGGAGAAAAAATGGAGTTACACCGTCTTCCCTATAATTGCAAAGGACTACCATACCGTTAGGGTCCATCGACTCTCCAGTGAAAAAATCGTAGTCCTTAATATTGCCAAGGACCTTCTTCGCGAAGGCGGCGGCGCCCTTCTCAAAAGCGGGCACACGGTCGGGGTTTGTCTCTTGGAGCTTCGTCTTGACGGCCTTCATGTAGTCCTTGAGGTGGGCCATGTACTGCTTCTTGTCAAACGACGTCTGTTGAAGGCGGAACGAGTGGACGATGTTGATGACCTGCTGACCGCCGTTCTCGAGGGCCTCGGCCTGCTCCTCAGCAGAGGGGTTGCCGCCAATGTCGACGTCTCCTTCAGTGATGACGATGTTCTGGGCGTCGAGCTCGTAGACGATGTCGTCGACCTCCTTCATCTCGTAGGCGTCCGATCCGAGCTCATCGCCGGAGATGATGTCGATGAAGAGCTGCGCGAGAAACGAGGTGGGGGGGGAGGGGGACGGGCAGAGGTGGGGGGAAGAGGAGGCGAAGGGGAGGCGAAGGGGAGGGGAAGGGGAGAAGCGAGATGTGATCAGCTCCCGTGCAATGAACTCTCGAGCTCGCAATGCGCTGCCTGTTCATCGTTGCTTACCTTCATGGCGGTAGGATAAGTCTGGTGGTATTGGTTGAGGAGAGGAGGACGTGGTAGAAGGTGAAGGGAGTAGTTGCTGCACAAGGCACGAAGCTCTGTGCCGAGCAAATTCGCCTCCGTGGCTGCCCGCCCGCTTCCCCGCTTGGCCGCCTTGAGCTGGCTCCAAGCCACGTGCTGCATCGGAACGGCGCAAGACCCACTTCCGTCCGCGTTGATCGTGTTGATCTCGAAGCTGGCCGCGCTCCCCCAACGCGGCCAGCTTTGTGATTCACTTGTTTCTTGCTCTCTCCCAGCAACCCCCCTCACTGCTCGCTCGACATGGTGCTTTCCTCTTCAGGAGGCGCCAGTCGCATCAACAGGGCTCCAGTGACCTATGGTCGGGCACGCATTGGTGGTGGCGGGCCCTTCCAGAGGCCAGGCACCTCGACCACGAGCACCCTTTCCCTCGCCGATGCGAATGACGACTATAGCGACTCGAGCAGCGCCTCCTCGTCCTCGAGTGATGAGGATGGGCCACGTCAATCTGAGCGAATGCTTGTGGAGAAGAAGGACAGGGTCAAGGCAACGCAAGCTCCTGCCCCGTGGAAGAAGGCACCAACAGCAGCGCCAGCTGCGGCCAAGAAGAAGCCGCTTGCTCAACGCGAAGCCAACATCCCGCCTGCTAAGGTCAAGCCGCTGGTCAAGGCCCACCCAACTGTCGAATTGCTTCCACGAGCTTCATCTCCGTCATCTTCTGCAGCAGAACCTTCCCACTCCTCCACAGCCGCATCGTCCTCTTCCTCTTCCTCTCGCAAAGCCAGCTTGGCGGCTCAGCGCAAAGTGCAACGCATTCTCTCCTTCGAGGAGGCAGAGCAAAAGGCTCAGTCGCATGATCAACGGCACCCGAAATCAACAAGCATAGCAGCAGAGCCGCAGGGAACCAACATAGAGGCAGTGGCTCAGGCCCTGGAGCGCAAGCTTCACCTCTCTTCACCGGACCAATCAGCAGACCTCAGCTTTCTGCTCTCTGTTTGCTCTCATCACGAAATTCTCGACTTCACTCTCGCAATGGAGCGCATTCTGGACGGCGATCCCACCACACACCTGCTCGAAGCGGAGAAGGCAGGAGACGCGAGCTATAGCAAGGTGTATCGCCTCAAGAAGGCTGCGGGAGATGGGGCAGCGTCGACCATTCTCAAGGTCATCCCCCTGCGCAGCTCCAAGAAAGACGATGAAAGCGAGACGTCCTCGTATGCGGACGTGGTGCGCGAAATTGCGATCACACGGGCGCTCTGTTCACGGCAGAAACACGAGACATCAGCACGCAGCTCGTTCGTGGAGCTGCGTGCAGCATACATCGCCCGAGGTCCCTTGTCACCCGTACTGCAGAGAGTAGGCACAGAAGGAGGCGTTGTCCAAGGGAGGAGCAGAGCAGCGCGGGAAGCCGCCACAACCAACGCATCGCCGACACTGTACGCTCTGCTCGAGCTTGACGACTGCGGTGTTGACTTGGAATCGTGTACTCTACTCGACCAAGACGACCATCCATCAAACGACGCACCTGGCCCCGCCGCATTGGGTCTCTCAGTCATTGCACAAGTAGTCAGCGCCCTCGCTTGGGCAGAAGAGACACATCACTTTGAGCATCGCGACTTGCATTGGGGCAACGTCCTTGTGCGACATGCAGCACGCGTACAAACAGCTTCATCCTCGTCTGGCCTTTTATGGGAGAGCTTGATCGATCCGCAAGCCTCAGGCATCGAAGCGACAATCATCGACTTCACGCTCTCACGCCTCGCTCCATCATGCGGCAAGCACGTCCACTTCTACGATCTCTCGTCCGACCCGTCCCTCTTCGAAGGCGATGCAGAGGTAGACGAGCAATTTGAGGTGTATCGCTCCATGCGTAACGTGATAGGTTCCGGAGCTGGAGCATGGGAGCCTTTCGAGCCCAGGACGAATGTGTTTTGGGCGCGGTATCTGGTGAGGAAAGTGTTGATCGGCAAGGGGCTCAGAGAGAGAAGAGACAAGGCTGAGGACGGTGATGGGCGGCGTGACGATGCGCTGGATATGCTGGAGAAGACGGAGCAGGTGCTCAACGAGAGTGCGGCATATCACCTTGGCCAGGAGCAGCGTGAGCCAAAGGTCTGCCTCAGGAGCATGATGCAGCTGCGCGACTGGATGCAAGAGGTCGTCGATGGGAGATGTGAGCAGCGGAAGATCCAGGGAAAGCAGCCAAAGAAGGAGCAGCAGGGACAGAGAAAAGGTGCCAAGAATGCTAAGCCGCCACTCGCCGCTCGTACTGATGGGTCAGCGCGGCGGCGCTCTGTCAGAAGATCGTAAACAGCAGCTGAAGATACCCACACCCTCTTCACGACCGTCGAAGCTCCTCACCTCTCTCGACATCCGCAAGCAACGAAGTCTCGAGAGCTCATGACCAGACTCTGTGTAATGATACCATCTATTCCCATCTTGCTCTCCGCCTCTCCTTGCAAGTTCTCGCTCTTCGCCTTACTTCCCGCCTTGCTTCTCCACTCTCTCCGCCCACCAGTACTGACTCATCTGCTCCTCATCAAAGCTGACAAATTCCCCTGCTCCACCGGCGCCCTTCCCATCCTTCGTCTTGGGCTCGTCCAGTGTCCCACGCACAGCAAGTGCGGCAAGGACATGAGCGGGATCGCGGGCGTCGAGGAGCTTGCCCTCGTCTCGGAGCCCGTGGAACTTCTTGATGGCGGCATCGTCCCTGGGTGTGGAAAAGAGAGATGAGATGAGCGAGGGTATTCAGAGGCACCGGGCATCTGAGAGGGGAATGCTTACATTCCAAGCTCGAGGCCTTTGTTGCAGATCATGCCGATCATCTATCAAGATGCGAGTGTGATTAGCTCTCATTCTCGTCGTCACGCCGTGCCCACTCTCTCACCTCCGTATCCACGACTCCCGGCCTCACGGCCCAAACCGCCACCTTGCCCTTCTCTTCATTCGCTACGGTCCTCGCTAGAGCATTCGCCCCAGCCTTGGCGGCATTGTACATCGCCCAACCAGCATAATTGCCCACAGCAGCTCCAGAGCTTGTGATGAGTACCCTGCCTAAGCCTGTAGGGCTTTCTCTGATGTGGGGCAGGGTGTGGTGCAAGGTGGTGAAGAGGGAAGAGAGGTTGACTGCGATTTGTTGCGCACAAGAGGCGGGAGGCTCGGAGCGGGCATTGGATGAGGAGGAAGGAGCGCCCACGCGACCGATGTTGAGGACGCCTGCGTTGAGGATGCAGGAGTCAAGGCGGCCCCATTTGGCCACTGCCTTCTCTACGAGCGATTTGTGCACGGACTCGTCCAGAACGTCGCCCTGCACGCAGATGAGGCTGCGGAGCGTGGTGCGGCGAAGAGTCAGAGACGCTTCCCCACTACTGATTTTGCGAGCTATCACTGATGCTCACCGCTCGCCGTGTTCCCTCTGCAGCTTCGCCAGCGGCTCCGGAAGCGACCTGGACAAGGTGACTACGTTAAATGGCCCTTCGATGGTAGGCGAAGGAGTCGCGCCCAGCAGGAATTCGACAGCAGCGAGACCGATACCGCGTGAGGCTCCGGTGACGAGGACGACGGGTCGGTCTGATGGAGTCGTGGCGGTGCTCATGGTGCCTGGATCAATGCGGATTAGGGCAGAAACTTAAGGGGGTAAAGTGCGGATGAAGAAGAACGCTGCGCCTCCACTCGATTTGGTCTGGCCCGTGCAGGCGAGGGCGATCGTCGAGTCCAATCAGGCGCTGCTCCTCGTCCACACCAACGCAAGCAATCACAGCCTCCGCCCTCTCCTCTTCGCTCCTCCCACCTCCTTCCTTCTTCCCTCGCATCATCGTGGATCTCACGGTCCAAGCAGACGTGGTCGGCCTCAATGGCAACGCTTGTCTGTCCGACTCGAGCAAGACGGTCTTCGGGAACCACGCGCGCTGGGTCGGCAAGCACATTTGCTTCCTAGAGGCTCATCTTAAGACGGCTGGTCGTGATCCCTAACTTGCGCAGAAGGCCATCATTGCGGTAGCTCAGACGCAATCCGGCTTCGCCGCCACAGTCTGCGTGACGTATGGAGCCGCCAAGATTCCCGACGAGCAGCGCGTCAACCGCAGAAGACCGGCGAATCTTGTTCTTCCGAGCGTCTTGCTCGGCCCCTTCAACAATGCGATCCTGCTTAGGGCGAATGAGAGCGAGAGCTTGAGGATCTCAGAGTGCTCAACGACTCGCACTCACCTGGAGGCTCGCATGAGGATCGTCGCGCGGGATGTCAGGACTCCCTACGTCTTCAAAGGATGCATAGAGCAGGCGCAGGTCTTCCTTCAGTGAGACAACGCCGTCGAGGCTGGCAAAAAATCAACGAGGCTCTCTTTCCCAAACCTGGCTCCGTCTCCTCAAACGTGCTCTCTCCTGAAGGCTATCAGCAAGTACACAACCAAGGCAAGTGGCAAGATGAACCACGCTCTTCCTGGTGCTCTTGGCAGCACTCTGCCTTTAGAGGCACGGGCGCGCCAAGGACGAGCAAGATAAGATAAAGAGAGGCAAAGGGTGCGACATCTTCTTCCCCTTCCATCTCATCGATGAGAGGTACGTACTGTATCCGAGCGGGGTCACTAGGCTAGCGCTCAACATCGGCGCGCTTGAGATAGGCTCAAGCAAAGCCTGCCTCCGCCTCGTACAGGGATCTCCGGGTCCTCTGGCCTTCAACTGCACTCACCATGACGCAAGAGTTCTGGCCTGCTGGGACGTCATTGTGGAGGTGCAGGGGCGGTGTGCGAGGCTCGAGTGGGTGACGAGAATGGCGCCGACGGAGACAATGAGCAAGTTCTTCAACTTCGTCCGCCAGAAAGCCGGCCAGCTCGACGTCGACGACGTTCCTCGTCCCTCGATCTGCTCGTGGTCGCCCTCGACCGCAATCAATGCGCCTGACGGCCTGTCACGAGCGCAATGGCTGCAGGCAGAGCGGCTGTTGCCGGGTGCGCTACGACGAGCAGTCCACAAGAGCTCAGACGGCTATTGGATTTGCTCGTTCTATGCAGCGTCCGGACACGGAGACACGACCCTGATTGCCCCGTCCCCGCCAAATGAAACGGACAGCTGGCACGTACTCCTGGCTCTCGACCCTGAGACGAGCACCGTCCGCTACGTCTACAAGTTGCGGGCGGACGCCTCTCCTCCCGCAGACGACGAGTGGGCGATCTGGGACAAGGCCGTGGACGAATACCCCGTCACGTACGAGGCACGCAACGCGTGCCGCAAGGTCGTGGGCTTGAGAGCTCAAACTCGAGATCGGTCGGCAGTCAAGAGGAACCGCGACGAGGACTCCGATGTCGATCAGCTCGTCAACAACAACTTTGAGTTCCACTCTCGCGGCCGACGTGTCTTCTTTCTCCGGCGGAGTTGCTGAGGCGGAAGCTTGCTTGCAAATGAGCGCGCTGCAACCTCTTCACCATTTTCCTAACATAGCTCCTTAATGTGGAAAGTGCTGTGCCACCTCGTGCTGAGGCTCCACCACACTCGATCTTGATTCTGTCCTATTTGTGAAGCGTGAGATCAGGTCTTCTCCGTCGGTCATCTCGTAGTCATTGGCCCATGGCCCGTGCAGTGCGGCCCTCGTCCAGTCTTCGGTCCTCCGCTCCGCTCTTCCCTTTCCTTTGCCTCCTTCCTCCGCAACATCTCTCTCCCTCCTCCCGCAATGACAAGTGGCCCCTCTACCTCCTCTTCCCCAACAACATCACACAACATGCCTCTGGCCCCGGCCCTCCGCCAGCAAATCAACGCAGGCTTTGACTCTTTCCTCAAGAAGCCGCCCACACCGAGGATCTCTATTCTCTATCAGACGAAGCCCGCTTGGCCAGGCGCAGCAAAGGGCCATCGACCACCGCAGATTGCAGTCATCGACTCTTCCTTTAATCCACCTCATCTGGCACACCTAGCTCTTGCATCCTCACCCGCTATTCTCGCCTCGCCGTCGCCATCCCACTCCTCTCCCGACTCGGTTGATCAGTACGACGCACACCTCCTCCTCCTTTCCTCACGCAACGCGGACAAAGGCATGGGAAGACCGGGGGACGCGAGCCCAAAGCAGAGGCTGGAGATGATGACTGTTCTGGCGAGAGATTTGGAGGATCTGCTCAGGGCGAGGGGTGCGGGGGAGGAACAAGTCAATGTGGCCGTGGGCGTTTGCGAGGAACCATTGATGAAGGACAAGAGTAGCTTGGTGCACGAGTGGCTGAAGGCATACAGGCAGGAGCGAGGGCGGTCAAACGAAGAGGGAGCAGCAAATGCTCTGCCCTCTTCGTCCACGTCGAGCGCACCCCTCGCCCGTCTCCACTGGGTCGTGGGTTGGGACACGCTCATCCGCTTCTTTGCCCTCAAGTACTACCCCTCCCCCTCCGCCTTCGATGAAGCATGCCATCGCTTCTTTGAGGAGGAAGGCACCACATTCGTGTGCGCACGTAGGGGCAATCCGAGCAAGGAGGAACTGCAGGAGGAGAAGGACTTCCTCGAGTCGGACCTCGTGAGGCCGTGGGTGGAGAAGATGGGGGTGGCAATGTTCGAGCTGCCCGAGGAGGTGAGGCATGTCAACTCGACGGACGCGAGGGCAATCTTGACTGGGAAGGGCGGAGCGGAGGGCCAGCAGGCAGGAGAAGGAGTAAAAGAGGCGTTGGTGGAGCGCGACGGCCTCCTCTCGAGACAGATGGCCGACTTTGTGGTTGAGGAGGGGATCTATACCAGGGAGTGATAATGCACACCGGCGCTGCAATTGTTGTACCGTACGTCCATCGTGATGATCTTGCCTGCTGCGCAATTCCCCCCACCGTAGTCTAGCGTCCCGGGCGTTGCTCAATTGCTCCGTTGCCGCTGCTCTCGATCAATTCGAGTCGACGTCGGCGAATTCTTCCATGCATCACGGCGTCTTGAAATCGGCGAGCGTGCATCGCACAGGGGTTTGCCTCAACAAACCAACGTCCCTCCCTGTTCTTCTTTCCTTTCCTCCTCATCCCCCACGCCGTTCTCTCACCGCCAGTATGTCACCCACCAGTGCGGCACAACGCCGCTCGTCCAACACGGACCCAGCTGGCGCCCCTGCCGTCCCCGTCAGCGACTCCCTCCCTACTTCGCAACACAACCCGCGCTGGGCCCTGTACGATGGCAGGCCCAACGCCTGGACACGCTTCAGGGCTCGTAACAAAGACTTGCTGGCCGAATTCCTGGGAACAGCCTTCATCTTGATCTTTGGTGCTGGCGTGGAGTGCCAAGGTGAGAAGGGCATGCCCAGACAAACACGGCATATCATGTCGCTCACCCCTCTTCTCCTCCTCACGCGACAGTCAATCTCCACTACAACCTCTTCTCCCACCCACAATCGGCAGGCGACTTCAATTCTCAACGCCTCAGCTGGGCAATTGGTGTGGCTCTCGGTGTCTGGATCTCAGGCGGCGTCTCTGGTGCCCATCTCAACCCTACTGTCACTCTCTCCCTCTGGGCCTTCCGAGGATTCCCCCTCCGCAAGGTTCTCCCCTACATCACTGCCCAAATCCTCGGAGCGGCCGCTGGCGCTGGTCTCGTCTACTCAAACTACTTTGGGTCCATCGCGTTGAAGGAGGGCGGAGCGCAGAGGACCGTCGAAGGGGTCAGGAGTACCGCTGGGCTTTTCGTCACGAGCCCGCAGCCTTGGTTGGGTAATGGGCAGGCAGCTTGGTCTGAGGCACTCGCATCTGGAGTCCTCGTTTGCGCTGTGCTTGCGCTCAGTGACAAGGGGAATTTGAGTGTGCCAAAGGGCTGTATGCGTGAGTGCGCGCGGGAGATGTCAGGGATCAAAGATGTGGGATGGCGATTGCTGACCCCTATTCCTCCTCGCCTCGCGCGCCCAGCCTTCGCCATGTTCCTCACTCTGGTCGGCATCGGAGCCTCCCTCGGTCTCAACACGGGCTATGCACTCAACTTCGCTCGTGACTTTGGTCCTCGTATCTTCCTCTTCCTCGTCGGGTACGGGTCCAAGATCTTTACGACCCACTCCTACTGGGCGTTCTGGGGCCCAGGTCTCGCGAGTATCGGTGGCGGACTGCTGGGAGGACTGGTGTACGATGTGTGCGTGTACACAGGCGAGGACTCGTTTGTCAATCGAGTCGAGGGAGGACGTAGGAAGAACCAGATCAGGCGTGACTTGGGAGAGAGCGAAGAGCAGGCGCTCCTTGAGGAGGAGGCGTAGAGTCAGAGGCGACATAGACGATCAATCAAGCCGTACTGGCATTGCTTCTACTTCTACAATTGCATAGACCATACTTTCGCTCGCCACCTCGGTCCTCACTCCTGTCCTCTGCGTCCCCTCAGCTTTGCGTACTCGCCACTGCCATCCCCTCCCAGCATCATACTGCCTCTCTGCATCTTCAGATCGCGATGCCCCTGCGCAAGCCAATCGCGCACCTTCTCGAGATCCTCGTCCAACCATTTGCCCTTGCCATTCGCACTAGGCGCAAAGTATTGCGAGCGATAAAAGTCGATGGTCTCGCGACGCGCTTGTGGGTTGGGTATGCCGCGTGAAGCACGGAGATAGGAGCGATATAGGGAGAGGGCTTGCGATTGGTAAAGGAAGTGTTGCAGAGTGAGGCCGGAAGTGGTGGGAGGCCGACGACGTTGCTGAGGTGGCGCAGACGAGGATGAGGAGGCAGTGGGCGTGGGTATGGTCTGCGCAAAGCGCGGCCGTGTGCTCGTCGAGAAGGAGCGAGTAGAGCCCGTTGCTGCCCCCTGCTCCGGCCTTTTGGTGCTGGGGCCGGACGGCGACTCCATTTGCGGTCCATCCGGCTTCTTCTCCCTCCCCGGTATCGTCTTGTCAGTCGGTATCCTTTCAGCCGGCAACACCGCAATGGCCACATTGCGTCCCTCTTCCTGCAGCACATTAAAGGTACTCGCGGCGTTGTGCGACGACTGTGCATCGACTTGAATGCCCATGTCGTTCAGAAACCTCCTCAGGGCAGGCGGCGGCGGGATCACCGTCTTCCCTGTGCCCAGCAGCAACACCTCCGGCTTCGGCTCAACGGCGTCCAGGATCGCCCACGTCTCCTTTCTCTTACCCTCATCCAGCCACTCTTCCCACCCTTTACCATTTGGCAGGGCGTCAGGAGGGAGACTTGGGCAGTCCCACATGAAGGCTGTCCCGTTGAGGAGGAAGAGCGGGCATTGCAGGACGAGCCCGTCAGAGAGAGTAATCGAGGTGGGGGAGATGGAGGCTATTGAGAGGGCAGGCTCTCCGTCTGGGGACTCGAGCATGTTGTAGAACTCGTCGTAGATTGTTGAATGGGAGCCATCGTTTGGCTTGCCGCCTGGGTCGTCTGAGCGGCAGGCGAGTGGGGTTGAGGAGAAGAGGCGCAAAGGGTGGGTTGGATAGGCTCGAGTGGCTGGCACGGCCCCGATGGCGGAACGACTTGGTCCTGCGACGGAGCTCCGGACAAGTCTGGAAAGCGGGGCTGCAACCCTCGATCGAGTGAGTGAAGCCATGGTGTTGATGTGTGTGGATCGAAGGTCAAGAAGTTGTAACTGAATGCCCGCTTGCCGCCCTCTTCCGTCAGCCTCGCCTCACCTCCCCTCAGCCTCGTCGGACCGGGTTCATGTGTGGTGGAGGCCGTTGTCCCTCTTTGCTGGAACGCGTGGCTCGAGCGCCGACGTCGCCTGACGATCCAAGCCATCGACTTGGCCTTTTGCGACTCTTCGTTCTCCACGATTCATTTCAACACGCATCGATCATGCGTGTCACCCTTCTCTATCCTTTGGCTCTAGCCTTGCTGGCAACCCTTTCCCTGGCAAACGTCGTAGTCGACCTCACCCAGACGGCCAAATTCGACGTTTCCGTGGGACAAGATCGTCCTGCCCTCGTCGCCTTTACAGCTCCGTGGTGTGGCCATTGCAAGAAGCTTCATCCCATCTACGAGGAGGTGGCCGCCGCCTACTCTTCTCAGCCGGGTCGCGTTCTCATCGCAAATGTAAATGCGGACGAGAACAAGGAGCTAGGCAAGAGGCATGAGATCAAGGGCTTCCCCACCATCAAGTACTTCCCTGCTAACTCGCCAACGACGGAGTCCGAGACCTACAGTGGACCAAGGACTGTCGAAGCGCTTGTGGCTTTCATTGACGGCAAGGTCGGAACCAAGGGCAAAGTCAAGCAGCCTCCTCCGCCTGCAGTCAAGCAGTGAGTACGATGCATGCCCCTGCCCTCTATGCTTGCAGGCCCTCACCCTTCTTCTCCCTGATCCGCCTTGCACAGCCTCACCAACGCCGACTTCAAGGACGTCGTTTATAATCCCAATGCAAACGTCCTCGTAGAGTACTACGCCCCTTGGTGTGGACACTGCAAGAACCTTGCACCCATCTACGAGTCCGTGGCCCAAACCTTCGCAAACGATGATGACTGCGTCGTGGCAGCTCTGGACGCTGATGCCGAGGCGCACAGGCCTATTGCGCAAGAGGCCGGCATTCAGAGCTTCCCTACGCTCAAGTTTTACCCCAAAGGTGGCAAGGACGCCCCAGAGGCCTACACTGGCGGTAGGGGAGAGGACGACTTTATCAACTTCCTCAACGGCAAGTGTGGCACTTTCAGGACAAAGGGTGGAGGATTGAGCGAGCTCGCGGGCAGGCTGCCGAGCCTTGATTCGTAAGTACAGTGGCGCCGGCGGAGCAGCCTGTTCTTTCGCGAAGAGCTCTAACCTTCGCTCCTCTCTGATCCCCCCTCGCAGCCTCGCCTCCCGCTTCTACAGCGCCTCAGACGACCTGGCCGAGCGTACGACGATTCTCTCCGAGGCAAAGGACTTTGTCACCCGCTCTTCTGCCTCTGTCAACGCCACCGAGGCAAAGAACGCGGCCGCAGCGTACTACCTCAAAGTGATGGACAAGATCAACTCTGACCCCTCGTGGCTGACCAAGGAGACCAACCGAATCAAGGCTCTCATCGAGGGGAGCGTCAGTGGTGCGGGTGCGCTCGCAGGGAAAAAGGTCGACGAGTTGAAGAAGAAGGCAAACGTGCTTGCTGCCTTTACCAAGAGGAATCTGAGCGACAGGGCTAAGCAGGCTGAGGAGAAGGCTAAGAAGCTCAAGGAGGAATTGTAAGAGCGGAGAAACTGAAAGCGACGCTGAAGAGCGGGGCGAAGACGCGGTAGGGTGAGGGGGCAGCGGCGGGAAGGTGAGGCAGGTATATGGTGCTCATCTTGACTTATTCTCCAACCGGAAAGACGATGTCTTCTTAGCCTGCTTGTCGGCCGTAGCCTCTCATCCCGTGTGGGCAAAGCTGCATCGCTCTTGAACTGCACGAGTGATGAGGTCACACGGTAGGCAGCAGATGCGTAGACGAGATGGATATGGTAAAGCGCAGAAGCGGGACAAGACAACAGTAGACGAAGGACGCGACGCGACGCCACGCGATTCTACTCTACCCCAGCATCCTGCGTCCACTTGATATGCTGCTGAATATCGGCCGTCGTGACCGTCGGTCTCACCATATCGATGGCGCGCACAAAGTCCTTGTAGACGAGCGGAGGTTCCAACAAGTCCTGCCCGCCAATATCCTCCCACCTCTTCTCCGTCGCTCCCTGCTCACCAGGAGAGCACGGCTGCCAGTACGTCTTTGTTGCGCCCACAATCTCGTAGTCGGCATCACTGTCCGTCGTCGGCGGCGTTGATGAGGCACCTGCAAGTGGACCCTTCTTGTCCTCGCCGCGCTTGACGGGCGCTACGACCTCCTTGAAATGCGTCGCAGCCAAAACCTTCCTCACCGGCTGCATCAAGGCATCTCGTACCAGCACGCTGATATCACTTCCGCTGTAGCCCTCTGTCCTCTTTGCCAGGTCGCGATACTCCTGCCCTGTGAGCTCGCAAGGCGTGTCACCGACGTTGAGGCGGAACAGACGTTCTCGTGCTTCGATCTCGGGGAGCGGAATGTAGATGCGCTTCTCGAAACGACGTTTGATGGCAATATCCAGTGCCCAGGGGATGTTGGTCGCTCCGAGGACGAGGACGCCAGCCTCGTCGTTGCCTACGCCGTTCATCTGGACCAAAAATTCGCTGCAGGCATAGAGCAGAGGTCGAAAAGTCAGCTTTGGCATGTCCATCGCAATGCTACCGCGTGCCCGACGCCGCGCTAGACCGCCTACTCACGTCTTGATCCTCCTACTCGCCTCACTCTCCCCCTCTCCTCTAGTCCCACACAGACTGTCCACCTCATCAATAAAGATGATGCTTGGCTTGCTCTCCCTCGCCATCTGGAAGAGCTGCTTGACCAGCCGCTCACTCTCTCCCATCCACTTGCTGACCAAATCTGACGATGAGACGGAAAAGAAGGTGCTCTTCGCTTCTGTGGCCACAGCTTTCGCTAGGAAGGACTTTCCCGTTCCCGGAGGTCCGTACAGCAGGATACCACGCCAAGGTGTGCGCTTGCCCGTGAAGAGGTGAGGGTGGCGAATGGGAAGAATGACCGCCTCCTTGAGGGCGTCCTTGGCTGTTTGCAGACCAGCAACATCGTCCCACGATACATTGGGCGTCTCGCTCAATATCGCGCTGGAAAGTCCTGCTCTCAGCTTCTTCGTCTCTGCATCAACGCCATCATCTCCCTCTTCGCCATCCTTCTTGCCATTCGCCGAACCTCCGACCCCCTTCTCACCACCATTGGCGCCGAGGGCTGCTCTACCTTTGGACTCTTGGGATGAGGCAAGGTGCTGCTTGATCTTCTCTGCTCTGTCTAGGTATTCGACAAACTTTGTACGGACGAGTTCTTTGAGTTTGGGATTCTTCTCGTACTTCATGGCGAGCATGAAGTAGTCGAGAGCATTTTGATATTGCCTGCGGAGCGCGAGGGCGTGAAGGTGAGAGGATGAATCATGGATGGATGGTCGCCGCGTAGCACGTACTTGTACGCTTCGGGGTAATTTTGCTTCGTATCCTCATCGATGGCCAGCTTGACCACGTCGATTGCTTTCTGTATGCGTAGAGACATTGGCGGCAGATTGATGAGCATCTCTCGCCGCGTACGGTGCATTTCATCCACCGTCATTGTTTCTCACATCGAGGAAGTTGGAGTTGGCCCTGGTGCGACATGAAATGATGGAGAGGTCAGCGCGAGCCCTTGACACTCCTTCGCTCTGCAGGCTCACATTGCGACAGCCTTGTTGAGCGATACGACGATGGACGCGAGTCGCGATGGGATGAAAGCGCAGTCAAGGTGAGGAGGCGGCGGATCGATCGATGTTGGTTGTCCTTGTGCATAAGGGCCTCGGCTGCCATGTGGTCGTTGGCCGCTCGGCCACTCCACCTCGACGACGCCACTCGATTTCCCCGCGTCCAAGGCGGCGAGGCTGCGATTTCAAGTCGAACGACATTTGTCGATTGGCACTACATCAAGACATCGAAACGGCGGTAACGCGAGACGGCCATCATAGACACATCTCACACGTCGACAACATCCTGCGCCACTTTTTCGCTCGCATACGAGGCATCCTTCGCCCCTCACCGCGCACCATGGCGTCCTCGCGCTCTCCACTCTCACAGCACGCGCCATCACCCACGTCACCACCCGACCTCGCATCAATAGCTAAGCACCTCTCTCTACCCACAACGAAGAAAGTCGTCGTCCTCTGTGGAGCAGGTATCAGCACCACAGCTCAGCGCATCAGCTCCTCAGGCCAAATTCTAAACGAAGGCATCCCGGACTTTCGCTCCCCCTCCACGGGTCTCTACGCCAACCTCTCCAAGTACAACCTTCCTTATCCCGAAGCAATCTTCGAGATCGGCTTCTTCCAATCCAACCCACAGCCCTTCTTCACCCTCGCACAGTCCCTCTACCCAGGCCAATTCTTACCTTCAAAAACGCACTACTTCCTCTCACTCCTGGCGAAAAAGGGCAAGTTGCTGCGGTGCTTTACACAGAACATTGATACGCTCGAGAGGAGGGCCGGTCTCAAGGACGAGGACATCGTAGAAGCCCATGGCAGCTTCGCCACTGCTTCATGTACCCGCTGCGGAGTCAAAGTAGACCCGGACTGGATGAGAGAAAAGTGCATGAAGGGGGAGGTGGCTAGGTGCACCAGTCCAAAGTGCTCTGGAGGTGCCAAGGGAAAGGATGGTAAGCATCAAGGAGCTCTAGTGAAGAATGACATCGTCTTCTTCGGTGAGGGGCTTCCGACTCGCTTTTTTGAGAGATTGGGAGACCTGCGACAGGCGGATCTGTTGATCGTCTTGGGCACCTCACTGCAGGTACAACCCTTCGCTTCCTTGATCGACCGTGTACCCGCCAGCTGCCCGCGGGTCCTACTCAACCTGGAACGGGTGGGCGACATTGGGGGCGAGGAGGATGGAGATGGGGCGAGCTGGATGAGTAGCAGGTTCAGAGAGAGCGGCTTCGACTTTGACGGACTGGCATTGCCCCGTGGCGCAAAGAAGAGTGAGATCAGGGACGTCTTTTGGAAGGGGAAGACGGACGAGGGCGTCGAGTCGCTAGCGAAGGAGATGGGTTGGGAGGCCGAGTTGAAGGAGCTGATAGAAGAGGGCACGAAGAAGGCCGTAGAGGAGGCAAAGGCAGCAAGTGCGGGAGCTGGCGTCGCAAAAGCAACTCCGTCAGACGAGGTCGGTACGGAGAAGGAGGCCAGAGCCGTGGCAGCCAAGGTGGTAGAAGGTGGGGAGCATGTGGCGGACAAAGAACAAGGCGACAGGAAGGAAGCATCGGCCTCTCTCGGTGACGAGAATGCAATGGCCGAGGCAAAGGGCCGCGCTGACGAGAGCAAGAACGAAGCGGATGACCTTGCCGGTGAGGTGGCGAGAAAGCTGGATGTCAAAGGTGACAAGAGCGTCGACGGCAGCGGCGAGGATGGTAAGAAGTCGTCTTTGTAACGTACGAGCGTCGGATAGACTGCAGGCCTGTACTGTAGAAGCTGGAATACCATTGACGTGCGAGGCCCAAACTGAGTAGTAGAGCAGAAGATACGAGCGCGAGAAAAAGCAGACAAGCGTACACAACAAAGTCGTAGAGGCAGAATCGAGAAGCCACGTCGCAACCGCATCGCTCCCTCACGCCACCATCCTCCTAATCGTCTTCCTCTCCCTCTCGCCTGCCGTCTTGACGACCCCTTCAGCCTCCAGGCTCCTCACCAGCTCGTAAAGCTCCGACGCATCTACGGGCACAGTGCTCTGCTCGTTCAATTGACGCGCCATATCCTGATAACGCACCGCCTTGCCCCCACCGGCAGCGGCACTCCCACCACCCATCTCCTCGAGCAACTGCAGCACCTCACGTCTGAGGTCGCCCGCCAACTTTCGCTGCGCCATACCTCGGCCCGTGTTGATCAGGTCCAAGTCGATGAGACCAGTAGTCGGGTCCGTCGCAGACGACTTGGCCGCCTCCTTAATCAAGCGGCAAGCCTCCTCCACGTCGTCCTCGGTTACCTCCTCTGAGAAGCGCATCCTCGCATGCGCCTCGCTGAGACGGATCATGCTTTCCAGCTGACGAGTCGTCGCAGTGATACGACGCTCCGAGCTGCGCGGATCCTCACCGACTTTGCGCAGCTCCACGTAGCGACGAGCCAGAGCGTCTCCTGCGGCAGCGCTGATGACGGGCTGGATATGGTTGCGAGCGTAGCTGATGTAGGCTGTAAGCTGCTCGACGGGGATGACCTCTCCGCCGCTTGAGCTGCCGTGAGCAGGCGTGTCTTCGAGGTAGAGGCCAACCAGGTGGCGAGCGAGCCTGCGGTCGGCCGACTCGTCGACCTTATCCAGCACGAGGTAGACGAGGTCGAACCTCGAGATTAGGGTAGGTGGCAAGTCAATGTTGCGCGTGATGGGCAGCTTGACATTGTACTTGGACCCGACGGGGTTCGCCGCAGCAAGCACAGACGTGCGCGCGTTCAGGGTCGTGATGATGCCGGCCTTGGCGATGGAAACCGTCTGCTGCTCCATGACCTCATGCAGGACAGAGCGGGTGGCGTCGGACATCTTGTCGAACTCGTCGATACAGCAGACTCCTCCGTCTGAGAGAACCAAAGCGCCCGACTCAAGAACCAGCTGCTTAGTGTCGGGGTCACGGGTAACATAGGCGGTCAGACCGACTGCGGAGGAACCTTTGCCTGAGGCGTAAACGCCGCGTGGCGCGATCCGGTGTACGTAGGAGAGCATTTGAGACTTGCTGGTACCGGGGTCGCCCACCATGAGCACGTTGATGTCGCCTCTGTAGCGCGGACCGCCCGCACCGCCGCCCGTGGAGATGGTCTTGTTTGTGCCTCCAAAGAGTTGAAGGAGAACGCCCTGCGTGTGAGAAAGTATAGATGCATCAGTCACTGCGAACAGAGCTTCTCGTCCTCGCACTTGTTCTCACCTTCTTGACGTCGTCCATCTCGTAGACGCTGGGAGCCAGACTCCTTGCCAACAGCTCATAAGCATCCGGACGATCAGCGATTGCCTTCAGCTTCTCCACCAGCTCGTCACTAGCGGGCGCAGATCCCTGAGCAGCTGCAGCACCAGTGTCGATATCATCATCGTCGTCCTCGCCCCCAACACCCAGAGCTTGGGCACCACGGCCCGCAGCCTGTTCCGACTCGGATCGCGTGCTTGCGTCTACGGCCATACGACGGGCATCCCCGCGCTTGACGTGGATGACATCCAGAAACGTCTTGTAGAGACTCTTCTGCGTGCGAGCGCGAGGATTGACGCGGACGGGCTGCGAGCGGAAGACGCCCGTGATCTCGACTCGGTCACCGGGCTTGCTGAGGTCGACCAGCTCATCGTACACGCACAGCGTTACCGTGTGTGGCGTCTGTCCATCCGGCACAACGTCGGGCGTCTCTTGAAGGCGGACGACTTGGCGGTCCGCAAACTCGCAGCGGTTGTGAATGAGTGTGATCGTGCCGTCCTGCCCGCAGACATCGCGAGGGCAGCGGCTAGGCTCGGCGATCCTGCCCCTGTCGAGCTCGACCTGCACCGTATGATTGCAAGCCAAGCAGCGGAAAAAGGCCTGTTTCATGTCTGGAATGATCGGCGTGGCTCTGATTACCAAGCCCCGCACAGTGACCAACTTGTCGATGTCTCCCGGGTTGAGGTTGCGCATGTTGATCGCGTCTAGGCCGTAGGGCCTGACCTTATAGAGGCGTCCCTCCATCATTTCGATCTCCTGTGCGCCGAGCTCGCCCTCCATGCCGTCGCGCTGCTCCTTGGCGTCGTCGTATGCCAGCTCAATCATCTCGTCTTTGAGAACCTGGTCCATGATGGGGATAATCTCATTGGGGTACTTGACGAGGAAGTGGGCAAGCTTGTGCGTGGGTGGGTAGGCGGCCAGGTCGGAGGCGCGCAGGTTGAGGGACGTCTGGTCGGTCTGGCGCATGCGGCGCAAGTAGGACTCGTAGAGGAGGAATTCGGCGTCGCTAGAGGTTCGTGGCTTGCGAGCGACCTCGGGATGGTGCTGCTTCTGGTAGGACCAGCGGTACTTGAGGCGGAAGCCTGTGTGTGCGAGAGGAGAAGGGAGAGTTCGTCAGGCTCTCGCATCCAACTCGACGTACATCAGAGCGCTCGCGTACACTCACCTCGAAGGAAAGATCGGAACATGGTCATCGTCTCTCCAATGCTGACTGCCGTACCCCAAATGACCTTCTGCTCTGTGTCCGGCGCCGCAGCAGGATCCGTCGTCTGGTCGCCCTGCTGCGAGTACGAGAAGTCACTGCGCAGGCGTCGAGCATCACCATCTTGGCTGCCGATGGGATCACTGGCCGTTTGACCAAGAGCACGCTGGCGTCGCTGTACCGAAGGAGAGGCAAGCACGCTTGAGCCGTGGAGCTCTCCTCGACGGGGGCGAGGAGTTGATTGTTGAGAGCTGCGAGGGTGAGGTGAGACAGGTGTGAGACGTTCTGCTGTCGTCTTGTGGCTCCGACTCATTGACTACTCACCTAGGAAAGAAGAGCGGCTCATCACCGACTGAACGAAGAGAGCTGCTAGGTGCAGTGCGGCGATTACCGGCTGGGCCATGCCCGCGAGGAGTGCCCGAAGGGGAGGAGGTGCTGGGGAAGTGAAGGGGAGAGTCGCCGCCTGCGATGCGCAGTGGAATGTGAGGAATGGTCAGCAACTGCGAAGTCATCATTTATCATCGCTACACTCACCCCTCGCGCTACTAGCATCGGCGCGCAGCTGCTGCCTCCTGGTCGACGCTGTCCCACCCGACGCAGCGCTCTTGGCTGGGCTGCTGCTCGAAGGGAAGTGCAGCGCAGGCGATGAGGCTATTGGGGTGCGAGCGGACGCTGCGGGCGTCATCGCAGCGTCGGATGCATCCGACTGATGGTGCGGTGTTTGTGACATCGCGGAGTGATGAGGATGGTAGTGTTGGGGAGAACGCAAGAGCTGTGCAGTTGCCGCGCAGCGTTGAACGAGACGCACACGAGCTCAAGCTCTTCCGCCTACTCGCCTGCCCAGCCAGTCGCGCCACTTTAATGGACGCGACGTGAGACAGGCACGTGGCTCAATCTAACGCGAATTACACCCCTCGCGCCTCTTGCCTGCTCGACGCGTCCGACTTCGCTCATTCCGACAGCCCGTCACGACTCTCGGTACAGGTGGTGTAGACTGCAATACGCTCCATGATTCAAGGCTGGAACAATTCGCTCATAGTCGCCCAATCAAACTCGCCCAGCCCAGCGGACAAGGGTGGCATTCCACCCATGGCCGCCTGACTACCTCCACCACCGCCCATTCCACCTTGCATACCTGCGAACTGCTGCTGCTGATGATTCTGCTGACCCTGCTGTTGATGGGTATGCTGCGGCTGTTGCTGCTGTTGAGTGGCGCCACCGGAGGAAAGGGCGCCGCTATCACCACCCCCGGCAGCGGCCGCCATGAATTGGCTGAACTCATCGCCTCCACCGCCTGCTCCTCCGGGCGGGAAGCCTTCGTATCCTCCTGTTCCTGCCCCTTGCTGGCCCTGATGCCCTGCCATCTGTGCAAAGCCAGCAGGTAAAGCGCCACCTCCTCCTCCACTCGCAGCGCCACCCATAAAGTCCTCCATCATCATCCCAACACTCAACGTGGTGCTAGGCCCACCAAAGCTTTGCCACAGATTATCGACGTCAAAGTCCACCAACGAGGCACCAAAGGAGCTATCCCCACTGCCCTCGGCACCTCCGCCGCTCCCACTACCGCCAGCTAAGGTTGAGCTCCCGTTGCCGCCCGCGCTGAGAGAGCCATTCCCACTCCCGCCATCGTAATTCTGCTCGTGTTGGCGATCGTTGCCTAGGAGGTCCAGGTCGAGGAGCGAAAGTGGGGCGAAGCCGGCGGAGGATGGAGTGATGGGATTGCCCTGGCCCTGCTGCTGCTGGCCATGGTACGGCGAGTATTGCGCGTAGCTTTGCGGCCCTGCTCCGCCATATCCATTGCCATTGCCACTGTATCCAACCTGGCCTGGGTATCCCTGCTGCTGCTGCTGCTGTTGACCGTACGATCCCGGCTCATTATAGGCAGCATGGCTCGCCAGACTACCGCGCTGTCCCATGGAGCCGCCTCCCTGCTGTTGGTAGGTTGAAGCCATGGGCCCGGGCTGATGCTGCTGTTGGCCATAGTAGCCGGACGATCCCGCGGGCCCATACTGTTCATTGCGCTGTGGTCCCTGATAGTGGGCGTGCATGCTCGGAGCATTGGGGGCGCCGCCATAGTAAGGTGGACCGCGCTGGGGCTGATGCTGCTGCTGCTGCGGCGGCGGCAGCGGTGACGCAGCGTAGGCCAGATGACGTTGCATGGCGCCGGGGCTGGGCATGAGGTTAGGAGGGTGCTGCCCGCCTGCACTGCCTCTAGGCGCTGCGCCTCCGTGGCCGTGGGCGGCGCCGTCTGGCTGCTGCTGACGCTGTTGTTGCTCGTCACGCTCGGCCTTCGCTCGATTGACACCTGGCGGAGCTTGCGCCGGCGGCCCTTGCTGCTGCAGCGGCGCGCGTCTCCATCCATCCAATACCCTCTCTAGCACCCTGACAAGCTTCGCCAGACTAGTATCCAACACATTGCCCTTCGCCTTGTACGCATCGCAGACCCTGCCCAACAGCCTGACATGCCCCATCGCCTCCTCGCCCACCTTTCCCCACCCTCTGCGCCTCGTCGCGTGGTTCTCAAGAATCTCCTTGCAGGCGTAGAGGAGACGCGAGTTGGTCACGGCGCGACGCACATCAGACGAGCGCGAGCGCGAGTTGGTGAGGAGGGACAGCGAGAGTAGGCGCGTGACACCGCCTTCGTGCTCTGCTGTGTGCTTGACAAGAAAGTCGAAGGGTGACATGCCTGGCGCACGGGCTGAAGGAGCAGCAGGGGCTGCGCTGGGAGTCGCTGTGGCGGCTCCTCGCCCTGTCGCTGACTTCGGTGAGCTGGCGTTGCCCGACGCTGCGTCGGCCATAATCGTGTCCGGGTTGGTGTTGCGGTCTCTGATCGCGTCAATGACGCTCTTGGCTAGATCTGAATCGTGCACGCCGTGCTCGTGGAAACGCGGGGCTGCCGCTTCTCCCGGTGTGCTCGAGCCGTCCTCGTCTGCCGCAGTGCTTGATGGGCCTGCAGCAGCGCCTGAGGCTGCGGCAGAAGAAGCCGCAGCAGATGCCACACCTGCGATGCTTGGATTGGCGGCACTCCCCGAGGAGCCCTGTTGCGATTGAGCTCCACCGCCACCAGAGTGAGCGATGGTCCCCGCCAATCCACCCGCCTTCTTCTTCCTCGATGCTGGCGTCGGAGCTTTGCGCAATTGCGGAAGCCAGAGAAGAATCGCAAAGCAGTAGCCTCCGTAGAAATGTCTCATCCACGTCGCCTCCCTCTCGAGCGTGTCGTTCGCCAGATCAATCAGCGCTCCCTTCAACAGGGCAGAGGCGGATGAGCCTTCCTCCTCGCTGCCACCGCCACCTGCGCTGCTCGTCTTGGCGACCACTCGTTCCTGACAGATCTTGCTGAACTCGTCGCACTTCTTTGTGAGGGACTCCTGTAAGAATAAGTACAGCCTGTCCATCTTGGTCACGTCGGGAATCCCATCGTAAAGGTCGCGAAGGACTTGTTGTACCAACATGAGGCCCGAGTGGCGGAGCGCCAAGTTCACTAGCCCGAGACGCGCTCCCAGGCTGATGGTGCTTGCGGGTAGGCGCGCGAGACAGTGCGTGAGGATGGAGCTGAACGCTGGCGCGGCGTTCGAGGAGGAATCGGCAGGATGCGTCACGCCAGGCCACATGGAGACGTAGTCCTTGGCAAAGCAATTTGTCATACCCTTGATGTTGCGGTTGACCTCTCCCGACGTGACTTCGAGGGAGACCCACATGCTTGCGTCCATCAGCGCTTCGACGATGCGCTCTGGTAGAGGTGTATTTGCGCTCGACCCGGCACCGGACGATGTCTCTTGCACATACCAATCTTGAAGCGACCGGATCGACGCCTCGATGTGGGAGCGTGAGGCCCTTCCAATCGCAGCGTCCAAGTAGAACGATGTGGGTAGGATGAAACTGGGCGTCTCCAGGTGCTCCAACGATCCCTGGCTCAACAGCGGGTCGTAAACAGCTAAGAGCTCAATGGCTATGACGAGCTCGCGCGACTTGACAGGCGAGAAGAGCACACAATTCAGCGCCTGGTGCTGGATCCACGCGCGTACATCGTCTATTATTTGCCCCTTGAGCTGTCCTGTCACCAAGGAGTGGGCAGGGTCTGCTCCGCTCGTAGCGATGTACACCAGCAAGGCGATGAGGAGCAGCCGACCCGAATTGTACCGTCCCGCTTGCTGAGCAAGTACTGTCTGAAGAAGTGGTATGTGCGGCATCATCAGCCTGGTGTCCTCAAGTACGTCGTCAATGTGCTTGACCGTCTGCGGCGACAAGTCGGTCAGTCGTGCACTTAGATCACACCCGTTCATGCGGCCATTGCCCGCGGGAGGAGGGGGAAGGGACAACTCGCTGAGCAGGTCGAAGCGAGCCATCAAGTCGGAGTAGATCCAGATTGGGCAGCCGTGGACTTGCATGCTGAACTGTACTGCGATGCGACGATTGGCGTCGGCCAGCTTGCGTGGAGCGCCTACGATACGTCGTTGCTGTGCGGCGCCGGGCCGAGTGGCGAGGCCTGGGCGTAGGCGAGCTTTGTCATCTTTCAGGGAATAGAGAAAGTCGGTGTCTGGCTGATCCTCAGTCTTCTCGCGGTCTGGATGTGGCAAAGACGGTGGAGAAGGGTCTTGCTTGCCGGTGTTGCCCTTGATCTTCTTCGTCACCTTGCCGCTCGCTGCTGACAGCGTCGACGAGCTCGGGCCCGCTGTTGCATCCCTTGAAGAGTCTGCGCTCATATCCGCACCACCATCCCTCTCACGCTTGACAGCTCCACCGTCTCGTCTCCCACCCTTCTTTCTCCTATCCCCACGTTCCTCTTCATCTGGTAGCGTACAATGCAACTGCATCTTGAAACAGCGTTTGCACTTGTCCGGATCCTGGTCGCTCGGTACGCAGGCGATCTTGCGGCGTCTACATTCGGAGCAGGTCTTGGATGCGTAAGGACGAGGACGTTTAGACTTTGATCCTGGTCCTCCACCACCGCCGGTACCGCTTCCTGCTACGGATGACGGGCCGGCCGAGTTGGGCGAGGCACCGTCTTCGTCGTCTGAACCCGTCATGTGGCTATCTGCTGATGGCGATGCCGGTGGGACAATGGCGCGGGGTGGCATCTTGGCGACGTCGTGTCGAGGCGAGGCGTGGCGTAGGAAGCGTCGTCGCTGTCGCGTGAGGTGTGGAGCGGATGGCAATGTCCAGCGGGGCCGCCGAGGTGGGGAAGTGCAGCAAAGGGGGGCCAGCCAAGCCTTGGATTGTATCGATGAGCGTACACGACCGTCGCCCTCGTCGTCAGAAGATGTGGGCGGTATTAGCCAGTGATGTTACGCTAGTCCGTGCGCAGTCAGGCGGAATTACCATGGTATCGAGGCGAGAGAAGGTGCGGAATCGCGCATCCGCTCAAGCCAATGACCGGCCCGCGGACGCACACGTCCGTCGAGGCAGTGCCCGGCCTTTTCAGTGACTTGCCGTCGTTCAAGCGGGTGATCGATCGGGCCTTTTGATAGGTGAGCAGGGTGGGTCGCAAAACAAAAGCAAGCAAGCGATGAGTGTTGGAGTGAAGAAGTCTTTGTGGGTCTCGTCTATTAAGATATCAAGCATGTCCCTTTAGATAGCCCGCGGTCACAATTGCTCGGAACAATCCGCATCGTCTTGCCCTCTTTGTTTCTCTCGCCCTTACTGCCCCTTGGCCAGCCTCTCCTCCCTCTTAATGGCCTTGGCCCTGATCACCTTCTGACTCTTGAGGCTCATACCACTCGCCCTGCCCAATCCCACAAACTCCCTAACAGCCCACTCGGTGAGCGCATGCTGAGGCCAGACGGTCATCTCGCGTCCACGCCTGTCCTCCTCGTAGCAAGAACCGGGCCTTCCCAGCTTAGCAAGCGTCTGGGCAACGTACTGCTTAGGCGTGGGCACCGACCACGAGGAGCGGCGGATCTTGGACATGGCCGTCGAGACAAAGTAGGTGTTGAGAAGCAGCGAGGTGACGCCCTTGGAGGCGACTTCGTAGGAGAGGGCGCGATTGAAGCCGATGAGGAACGCCTTGGTGCCCGCATAGGTTGAGAGCATGGGCGTGGGGATCGACCCGGCGAAGGAGCCGAGGTGAAGGATGAGGGAGCCTGGCGCGGGCGGAAGAGAGAATAGATGAGGTTAGTCGACGATCTTCGGCACCTTTCTCGCTCCTCGCCGCGTACTCACGCTTGTTCTGCTGAAGCAAGGGCAGCGCGAGTCTCGTAACCCTAAGCGTAGCTCGCACGTTGATCTCCGCGATAGCCTCCATCTCCTGAACATCGCCCTCACTGAACAGCACAGGCTTGTCGTGCGAGAGTCCAACATTGTTGACCAGCACGGCGAGCTTGAGTTGGCTGATCTCGGCCTCGAGACGCTTGTAGTCGGCGTCAGTAGCGTGGAGGAAGTTGATGGCTACCGTCTTGACTTGGGCGGAGGACGAGGAGCTGATCTCACTCTCGACAGCGTCGAGCTTGGACTGAGTGCGCGAGGCGAGGACGATGTTGAAACCCTGCCGTACGTGCGAGCAACCGGTCACTGGAATCAGTTTTCGATACGATCTGGCGGTCTCTAGTCTTCCCCCCTCGAGCAACTCACCTTCTTGGCGAGCTGAAGTGCAAACTCCTTTCCAATTCCATCGGTCGCACCAGTCACAACTGCCCACGAGGCCTTGGATGGATCATTCTTGCTTGGGCCGAAAGTAGCAAGAGGGATGCCGCCCAAGACGTAGCAGTCAGTGAGAACGCGTACCAGTCGGTAGAGAGGCTTAAGGAGCGTGAAGAGGCCGACGGCAGCAAGCAGTCGAGCTGGGAAAGGCAGAGAGGCAAAGAAGTCTTGCAGAGGACCGATGATGGGGAGCGTCATAGTGTAGAGAGAGGGGAGCGGGGGCGGTGGAGCGTTCGCGGAAAGGAGTTGGCGTGTGGTACAAAGGCAAGCAAGTGTTGGGGTGGCTTGAACCTCTTTGGTCGTCTCCGAGATGAACACTTTGCCTCTGGCCCCGGATCTTCTGTCTGGCCCTCGCGTCCCACGCCCACGCTCACGCCCAAGCTGACGCCACGCGAGCGAGTGGAATCGATTCGCCCGCCGCCGGATCTGACCTGGCTTGCATGCAGCCCTGACGTCGACGAGCGGCAAGGCAACGAGAGCCGTTCGGGCCGTTGGTGGGTGGCTCAGGCACGCATGAGCTACGCAGAGCTACGCAGAGCAATGCAAACGAGGCCAGCTCAAAGGGTCCACTTCCTTTCCTCCTTATCTTCCTTTCTTCCTGCCTTGGCTATCAGCGAAGTCCAAAGGACAGGCATCGGCCTCGCCGTCTACTCGTCGCCATGCTCACAAGCGCCATGACTGCAGCAGCAGGCGCATCGCGCTTCGCACCGAGGAACATCGCGTCGTCGTCGTCGCGAATGATGAGCACCAGGATCGCAGCGTCCCCCTTGCGACCTCGACCTACTCCGTCTTCACTCATCGTCAAGCGTATGGCTTCGACCGACTCCTCTGCCTCCTCGCAACCGGCCACCTCCTTCCTTCAGCGTCATCGCATCGTCCGATACTGTGTGTGGGGCACCTTCAGCATCGTCTTTGGCGTATCAGCCACCATCGCCATCATTCTCGGCCACGATGCATTCACTTATCGCCATGTACGCTTGGGTGATGTACCCTGCTCACCTCTCGCTCTTCATCCGGAGTCGGGCGGTCCAAAGAATCTGCCCATCGTAAGCGAGTTCGTCGAGGAGAGCCAGGAGGACGAGCTCGGGAAGGAGCTCAAGGGCAAAGAGAAGCTAGTCATCGTAGGAGGAGGATGGGCCGCAGTCAGTCTGCTCTCCAAGTTGGATCCAGGCAGGTACAACGTCACCCTTGTCTCGCCCAACAACTTCTACCTCTTCACCCCGCTCCTCCCCTCTGCTACGGTAGGAACCGTCGAGCCCCGCTCTCTCATTGAGCCGATCCGCAAGGTATTGAGCAGGCATCGCGGCCATTACGTGCAGGGTAAGGCCGTCGATGTCGAGTTCGGATCAGATCGGATGCCTGCGGACGGAGGAGCTCAGCGTCTGCTCGAGGTTCAGCTGGTATCGGCCGAGGACAGAGAAGCTGGCAGATCACACCCTGAGGCCGGGCCTGAGGATACGGCGAGTAGGCCGGAGGTAGAGGGGAGGAGGATCTACATTCCCTACGATAAGCTCATCGTGGCCGTTGGTTCGGTGACTTCCACACACGGCGTGCCTGGGCTGGAGAACGCTTTCCATCTCAAGGAGATTGACGTGAGTCGTGCGGGCGCGAAGACATCGCCTGACACCGCTCCCGAAAGCTGACCCTTCACCCTCTCGTCCTCTCACCAGGACGCTCGCGGCATCCGCTCGCGCATTCTTGACAACCTCGAGATTGCCTCCCTCCCTACCACGACCCCCGAGGAGCGCAAGCGTCTCCTCTCCTTTGTCATCTCAGGTGGAGGCCCCACGGGCGTCGAGACGGCCGCCGAGATCTACGACATGCTGAATGAGGACGTCCTCGACTACTTCCCCAAGCTGCTTCGCTCCCAAGCCAAAGTCTCGCTCATCCAATCTCGCGAGCACATCTTGAACACGTACAGCGAGAAGATCAGCAAGTATGCGGAAGACAAGTTTGCCCGAGACGAGGTTGACATCATTACGAACGCGAGGGTGAAGGAAGTCAAGCCGAACTCGGTCACGTACACGGTCAAGGACAAGGAGACGGGCAAAGTGCAGGAGCACGAGATTGGGAGCGGGATGACGCTGTGGAGTACCGGCATTGCGATGAGTCCCTTCACGAAGGCGCTTGTGAACAAATTGCCCAACCAGAGCCACCTGAAGGCGCTGTTGGTCGACTCGCATTTGAGAGTGCAGGGCACGCCCACGGGAAGCGTGTACGCGCTCGGTGATGCAAGCACGGTCAATTCGCGACTCATTGTGAGGACAGCGCGAATGCGAGACAGATGCAACCTCCCAGCACGCTAACTCACTGCTTGCTTGATTCGCCGCAGGACTCTCTTTACGAATTCGTCGACCAAGTAGACACGCAGCACAAGGGCGAGCTCACCTTCGATGAGTTCGCCTCCCTCGCCCAACGAGTACGCAAACGCTATCCTCTATCCTCCAAGCACTTCGAGAAGCTCCGCGACCTCTTCGAGAAGTTTGACGTAGACCACAACGGAACGCTCTCCCTCAACGAGATCAGCACCATGTTCCTCGAAATCCAATCCAAGGTGACCTCCCTACCGGCGACGGCCCAAGTAGCTAGTCAGGAGGGCAAATACTTGGCGGGCAAGCTGAACAAGCTTGCAAAGCTGAAGAGCCAGGGGAAGCTCTACCCGCAGGACGAGCCGGGAGACGCGGCGGACGTTGCGGCTGCGCGATTGGGCTACGATGTGGACGATGAGCATTACAAGGCCTTCTCCTACATGAGCCTCGGCTCTCTCGCCTTCCTGGGCAACGCCGCGGCCGTCGATGGGCTGCCGTACCTGCCGCAGTCGTTGAGTAGCTTGGCGGGCGGCCTTGTGGCAATGTATGCCTGGAGGTCAGTGTATTTGAGCGAGCAGTGTAGCATGAGGACGCGCATGCTTCTGATGAGCGATTGGGTCAAGAGGGGAATTTGGGGAAGGGACCTGAGTAGGTTGTAGAGCGCGCGAGTGGCGCGTTGGGGTTCTTTGGACGTCACTGCTCGAACTTCAATGCAATGTTGTTGCTTCTCCCAGCAAGCTTCTGTGCTTCACGTCTATCGATCATCACTGCCTGACAAGAATGCACTGCATGCCATTTTGATCACATGACGGCGAAATACCTCTCCACTCTATACGGCAGCAGGCGTCGCACCAGTAACATTGGCGGCGATCCTCTCAGCTTCCTCGTCATCCACAGCGCCCTGCTCCTCCTCACCCTGCTGCGGCCAGTTGACCGGTACGCGGTAGAGACGCAAGCACTGCTTGTTGGGGTCCTTTGCCAGCACAAACTTGGCCCTCTCCCCACCATCAGCGGAGGCACTCTTGCGTGCCAGGTCAGCGACGGTGCGCACGACTCCCCAGCCGTTGGGCAGGTTGACGTTGATCTGCGACGCAAGGTCAGAGGGCTTCCACCACTGCGTGCCCAGAATGGAGTGACGTGACGAGTCGCGAGGAGTGGCACGGGAGATGTACCCCATCTTGAGGTTGTCCGCTCCCGCGAGGAGGGACTGGGTGGCCCACCTTGCAAGACGGCCAGCATTGTTGCGCATCTCGTTTGCCACGACGGCACCACGCTGCGCATCGAGCTTGGCACGCCAGTCTGGCGCTCCGCCTGCTCCTTGGGCACGCGAGTCCCACTCGTTGAGTGTGCGCACGAGGATGTACTGCGCCTGCTGCCCCTTGCTTGCTGGAGGGACGTACGCGTCCAGCTCTGTGCGGACGTAGAGGTCGATGGGGTCCTCCTCGCTCGAGCTGAGGTCGAATTTCCTGTACTTGTACGCGCTTGAGGCCAGCTGCTCGTTGTCACCTTCGTGGAAGGGGTTGGGGCCATCGGGAAGATCGAGCGTCTTGGAAGGGTTGACGACTTGGAAGGAGAAGTTCTGATTGATGTACGTCGCTTCGAGGCTCAAGTTGCCTGGCGTATTGATGTTGGCCGCCGCGTTCTTGTCGGCCTTCTCGTCTGCCTCCATCGGCGGGTCGGCTGCATTCTCGTTGACAGTCACGTAGTCGAAGGCACCTCCGTCGCGCTTGTCGAAGAAGACGTCTCCACGCTCGGTGACTGTGACCGTCAGGTCCCACGGGTAGACGGTGCGCGATGCGCACATGAGAAGAGCGAGGATCGAGTCGGTGATGAAGAGGCGGGCTGGAACGGCGCCAGAGCCCTCCTCACCAGTAATCTTGGCTTGGGCGTCCTTTGCTGCAATCTCGGCGAGAACAGGGTCGTCCGACGTCGTAGGGTTGTAGCGCAGACGGTCCTGCGGCTGAAGGGGCTTTTCGAAGCGCACCGAGGCGATGCGGTCGTAAGATCGGTCGTACTCGTGGAGAGTGCCGTAGGTGGCAATGTCCTCTGGAGCGGGGACATCGAGACGCAGCTTGGCAAGGCGGGAGAAGTCGATCTCCTCGAGCTGCTCCCAGTCGGGCCCCACGGTGACCGAGGGATCGCGGGTGCGCTGCGGCTTGTCCCAGTCTCGGTATCCGCCACGACGGGCTCCACCACCACGCGAAGCGAAGCCTTGATTGCGCTGGTTGCCACCTGCTGCTGCTCCGCCACGTCCACCACGAGCGCCGCCCATAGCTCCCTTTGCCCCGCCGGCTGCTCCACCTCCTCGCCCGCCTCGTCCACCACCACCTCCACCGCGTGACATGCTTGCGAGCCCACCGCGTCCCCTCGTGCTCTGAGAGCGCGTGTTGTCGACGACGGAGAAAGTGGCCTCATCGTCGGCGTGGAAGTAGGCAAAGGCGTTGGAAGCGCCAGAGCCATAAGCAGCCGGACCCTCGCGTCGGCCGCCTCGGCCTCCTGCACCCTGGGCAGCATTGCGAGCCGATCGGTCGTCGCCATCACGTCCGCCGCCGATGGCTGTGGCTCCTCCAGCAGAAGAGGCGTTCCAGTCTGCGATTCGACCAATCTTGTCGCTCTTGCTGAAGGGAGCAAAGGGGATGTCGGCAAACTCCGGTGGGAGGACAGAGGATGAGGAGCTCGACGACGAGTCGAGAGGGGGAGGTCCCCATCGGTCTGAGTTTTCTGCCAACTTGGGCAGAGTGAAAGAGGCCATTGTGAGGATGGGAAGGGGTTGATGGTAGTGACGAGAAGCTCTCGCCTGCCGACGCCCGCCCAAGTCTTTTCGTCCTTCTCACGTTGGCGTCCGCGCTCAAAGCTCCGTTCCGACAATGGCAATCTCCTCGCACGCTCTCAACGACGGACGACTTGAGACTTTCGGCTGCATGAGCGACGCAGCGACGAGGGACGAGCGTCATTCTGCTGCCGCCCGCCGCGAGGGCGAGACCCAGGCACACTTGGGCCCCTCTGGCGGGCCTCTGCGTCTTTGTCACCTCCCTCTTCCTATCAATCACCACCGCCCGGCCATGCCTCCGCCTTCACCATCATCAAAGCAGCGCAGGCAGCCAGAAGCAGCTCCTGACGAGTATCAAGCCCCCTTCACTCTTCCCTCTCGCAAGGCAAATGGCGGTGCAGCAGCAGCATCAGGGGGGCATGAGGGCGAGATGGCCTCTTCGCCCTTCTTTGATGACGCTGAACGAGCAGAAGCAATGGCATGGGCAAACAGCTCAGAGGCTGTAGATGACCGAGAAGAGGAGAATGCAGGAGGCGTAGCCATCAAACGCAGGGAACGAAGGGACTCACAGGTGGCCAGCTACGGTGATGTGGGCAGCGTATTCGATGGCCCTACCGCTGGAGCCGTGCCATCCAGCGTGTCGAGCATGCGTCACACCATGACCCGACCTGAGCTCGGCAGAAAGGCATCCAGCCGCGCACGACGACGCATCTCTCGCGATGGCCATTCCCGATCCTATGGACGGGACGATGAGGAAGCCATCGACGATGCAGCTAGCGGTGTCAGCGGTAGGGACCCCAGCATCCGTAGCGCAGCCCAATCCTCTCGCATTGGTCGCAAGCGCAGAGTGCCCGAGGCAGCAGACGCAGACGCAGAGCCTCGCGGCATGTTGGGCTCTTTGCTCGCATCCATCACGGGCGGCGGGGATAGCCATCGTGACGACGACACTCGCAGCCGTACCTCTCGTCGACCAGCCCTCGGCCGACGCAGAAGCTCCCAATCCAGTATCGAATCACGAGGTCGCGCGGCAAGCTCTCGCGGCTCAGAGGCTGGCTACTCAGACGACGAAGGATCCGGCTTTGACCTCGAGTACGGCACCGATGACGATGACGACGACGACTCGGGTGACAGCATGCACAGCACCACCTCGGACGAAGACGGCAGCTCAGCACGCGGCGGTATCCTTCCCTCTGCCTTTGGTCCTCTCAGCGGCGCAGTCGATCCAGTCTTTGGAGACTCGCGCATCTCGACGGGCCACGAGCCAGAGGACGAGCTCGACGAGGAGCTTCAGGCCTCCAGCGGCATCCGTGATCGCGACGTCGAGGCCAATCAGCCCACCGACGTGCAAGAGGAGCTGCGCAAGGCTCGCGAAGAGATGTCCTTCCTCGACAAAGGGTCGCGCACTCGACAGCAGATCTACCTTCCCGACGAAGACACGCTCATCCGTCTCAAGGGGTACCGCGTTGTGGCTGCGCAGCGCATCATCTGGACAGTCCTCTGCGTTGTTACGCTCGGCATCCTCTACCTACTCGGGCGATGGCTGCCCCGTCTCTGGCTCAAGTGGACGTCCAAGGAGGTCGAGTTCGAACGGGCAGAGTTCGTCGTCGTCGAGAATCAGTATGGCGATCTGCACATGATCAATCCGGAGACGGTACCCTTTGCCCGCCCGCTCGCCACCGCCTTTCCCCCTTCCTCCCGCGACCCTCCTTCCACGCTCGCTGAGCATCAAGCTGCAGTGGCTACCCAGTCCAAGACGGCTGCAAACATGTCCTCGCAAGGAGGCAGCAAGTCAGGGAGCGCCATTGGAAGCGCCAAGTCCAGCATCAAAAACGGCAAGAATGGCGCCGTGCCAACGGGAAACGGGGGCATCATGCCATCTGAAGAGCTGCAAGGTCTCATGTCCGGCGTGGAGACCGAGCAATTGATGGACCTCACCCTCGTCACCTATCGCTACACTCGTTTCTTCCTTCATCCTCCCTCTGGTCGTTGGCGCATGGTCAAGGACTGGCGTGATCCGGCGTGGACTAGCAGCGCACTTGTCGCTCAGGGAAATACGTGGGACGCAGAGAAGGATAGGACGGCCCTGTTTGGCAAGAATGAGATTGAGATTGAGGATAAGGGTGTGGTGGGCCTGCTTGTTGACGAGGTCTTGCATCCCTTCTACAGTGAGTTGGCGCGCGTGGGCGGGATGAGACTGCGAGCGCAAGACTGACCTGCTTCTCCATCACCCTCACGCAGTGTTCCAAATCGTCTCCATTGGCCTCTGGTCCATCGACAACTACTACTACTACGCGGTCTGCATTGCCATCATCTCTCTAGCCTCCATCATCACCACCCTCATCGAGACGCGCCATACCGTTGCCCGCATGCGAGAAATGAGTCGCTTCAACACGCCCGTCCGCGTCCTGCGCGAAGGCAGCTGGAAGACGCTCGACTCCTCTCAGCTTGTACCTGGAGACATCTACGACGTGGCTGAGTCTGGTCTCCTGCTCTTTCCCGCCGACTCCGTCCTCCTCAGCGGCGACGCTATCGTGAACGAGTCGATGCTCACCGGCGAGTCGGTGCCAGTCTCCAAGATTCCTATCCCGGACAGCACAATGCAGCTTCTCCAGCTCACCGGCCAGGACGTTCACCCGGACCTCGCAAAGCACTTCCTCTTTAGCGGCACACGCATCATTCGTATCCGCGGCACCCCCTCGCCCGGCGAGAAGGAAGCAGGCGCCAAAGCCATGGTGGTCCGCACCGGCTTCGACACGACCAAGGGAGCTCTCGTCCGCTCGATGCTCTTCCCGAAGCCCATGGGCTTCAAGTTCTACCGCGACTCGTTCCGCTTCATTGGCTTCCTGGCTGGTATTGCTGCAGTGGGCTTCACGGCTTCGTCCGTGAACTTCGTCAAGCTGGGCATCGCATGGCACACAATCGTGCTGCGTGCCCTCGACCTGATCACTGTCGTTGTGCCTCCCGCTCTTCCCGCTACGATGTCCATCGGCACCACTTTCGCTATCAGCCGCCTCCGCAAGCAGGAGATCTTCTGCATCTCCCCCAACCGCGTCAACATCGGTGGTAAGATCAACGTCTTCTGCTTCGACAAGACGGGCACGCTCACGCAGGACGGACTCGATGTGCTCGGCACGCGTACGGTGGATTTGCGCTCCAGCCGCTTCTCCGAGCTGCACGAAACGGTCGATGAGATGCCGGTGAACGCCTATGCTTCAAAGCAGGACGCCGATGCAAAGAAGATGCCCCTCCTCTACGCCCTCGCGACGTGCCATAGCTTGAAAGTCGTTGACGGCGAAGTCATTGGTGACCCTTTGGACGTCAAGATGTTCGAGTACACGGGCTGGACCCTCGACGAAGGGCGCGACCAAGCGGCCAAGGCCACCACGAAGAGCGGTACGGCCAAGGACGGGAAGAGTCGACTCACGGATCGCGCCCCCGCTCTGGTTCAGACGGTTGTCCGACCGCCAGGCGGAGAAGCCTTCGAGCCCGAGGATGCAGTCAAGCCTGGCCGTCACGCCCACTTCCTCGAGCTCGGCGTGCTGCGCACCTTCGAGTTCGTCTCGCAGCTGCGCCGCATGTCCGTCATCGTGAAAAGACTCAAGTCTCCCTCCCTCGAGATCTTCGTCAAGGGCGCGCCCGAAGTCATGGGCGACATCTGTGACCCCTCCTCCTTCCCGGCGGACTACGATGACCTCCTGGCTTACTACACCAAGCACGGCTATCGTGTCATTGCCTGCGCGGGGAAGAGTATGACCAACATGACTTGGATCAAGGCGCAGCGCATGAAGCGCGAGCAAGCAGAGAGCGGGCTGCGCTTCTTGGGTCTGATCATCTTTGAGAACAAGATCAAGGAGGGGACTGCACCTGCCATCGAGACGCTCAAGGCTGCGAACATTGAGTGCAACATGGTCACCGGTGACAACCCGCGAACCGCAATCAGCGTTGCGCGCGAGTGTGGGATCATTGCCAACTCGAGCCACGTCTTCCTCCCGTCCTTTGTACGCGGCAACCAAAAGACGCCCGACTCGCAGTTGGAGTGGACAAGCGTGGACGACGAACGTATCAAGCTCGATCCTGACCGTCTGCGCCCACTGGTCAATGATAGCCACATGCTCGACATGGACTCGATGGACGGAATCGCAGACTACCAGCTGGCGCTCACCGGTGACGTCTTCCGCTGGATGATCGACTACGCAAGCATCGATACGCTGCGCCGCATGCTGATCAAGGGCACAATTTTCGCGCGCATGTCGCCAGACGAGAAGGCCGAGCTCGTCGACCGTTTGATGTCTTTGGGCTTCTGCGTGGGCTTCTGTGGTGACGGCGCAAATGACTGCGGAGCGCTCAAGGCTGCGGATATTGGTATCTCCCTCTCTGAGGCTGAGGCCAGTGTCGCGGCACCGTTCACTTCTCGCTCGCCCGACATCTCATGCTGCGTGGAGGTGCTCAAGGAGGGTCGTGCCGCGTTGGTGACCAGCTTCTCCTGCTTCAAGTTCATGGCCCTCTATTCGCTCATTCAATTTACGAGCATCACGATCCTCTACAGCTGGGCGTCCTCCCTCGGCGACTTCCAATTCCTCCTCATCGATCTCGCCTTGATCGTCCCCACGGCAATCGCAATGGCTCGCACGCTCCCCTACCCAGAGCTGGCGGTCAAGCGCCCCACGTCGAACCTGGTGTCGAAGAAGGTCCTCACCTCCATGCTTGCCCAAGTCCTCATCTGCTCAGGAGCGCAGGGCTTCGCCTACTGGTACACGACCATCCAGCCATGGTACACTGACCCCACGGTCGACCCTGACGAGCTCAATGTGGTCAATCCGATCAACACGACACTCTTCCTCGTCTCCATCTTCCAGTACATTCTCGTGGCAGCAGTCTTCTCCGTCGGCCCGCCGTACCGCAAGCCCATGTACACCAACGCATGGCTCATGCTCTGCCTCGTCGTGCTGGGTGCGGCTTGCACGTACTTCCTCTTCGCGCCGGTCAACAGCTTCGCTTTCGATGTTCTTGGCCTCGTGGAGATGCCGCATAGCTTCCACTGGGCGCTCGCGGCTGTGGTGGCGACGAATGTCGTCGTCAGCTTTGTGGTTGAGGCGTACTGCATCAAGCCCATCACGAAGGGCTTCAAGGGACTGCAGAGGGCGTACAGGAGGAAGAGGAGGACAAGGAGTGCGGCTGCGGCCGGCGGTAATGGACACCACTACAAGGCAGTGCAGCAGCAGTTGAGGGAGGAGGGTGGCGCGTAAGTGTGGCGCACGAGCGTTAGAAGAACCATAGGATGAAGATGCGAAGTGATTAGACGGTCAGCTTCGCGGACGATGCTTGTTCGCTCACATTTCAATCTACAGCTACTGCTCGATCCTGGGCAAAGACAGTGCTCTTCGTTCTGCTACTTCACAGTATGCAAGTCGTCAATCTGTCGCAGGCTCCGCCTATCCAAATTTGATTGGCATTACGTAGCGTGTCGCGGCAGTCCTCTACGGCGTTGCTCTCTCTGTTCTCATGGTGTATTTCATCGCAGATTCTCCCATGGCCCTCGCCTCTCTGCGCACTGGTTCAGATACCCTAAGGCTTTGCGCAGCTTTGCGTGTGAATAGACTTGCTCTCGATGCTTCCACTGAATATGTCAATTACTCGAGCTTGACTTTCATTTGCCTGATGGTGCGTACGCGTTGATCGGCTTCTACGATGCTCTTCATTCCGGGCCTTTTCATTCCCGACCCAAAAAGAAAAGACGGTGGCTCGAGCGCAATCTGGCAGGGCGTCAGAGAGCGCATTTTGGCGTGCGAGTTGAGTGCCTGACCGCCGCCACGCCAAGTTTAGTCCTTTGACGCCCACATCTCCTGCCATCCTGCCGCTTCTTCCGTGCGTACATCACCCATCTTGCTCATATAGCCCGGGCGTCAAGGTGAACGTCCGGGCCTGCATTCGGCTAGCCTCGTCCGTACAGTCAGGGATACCTTTGCCAAGGCAGAGGCGACCTCTTGGCCGACCTGACTTGACCATCGCTCAGCACGGCGTTAGCCAGCCCAAATAGCGCACGGTACGCTCGACTAGCGGTCGAGCCTCTCGACTTTGACGATCGTGGCTAAGATTAACCGTGGTCCACTGATCAGTGATCAACAGGGCCGCCATTATCACTCATCACAAGCTCGCCCCGTATTTCCCTCAAGCGCGCTCCTCGTCAACATCCAGTGGTCGAGCCTTGACATTTCTTTGAGCGTTCTCTGAGGCCAAGATCCTTCTTTGTCCCGGAGCAACACATCAACGATTGGGCCAGTCGTACGACAGTTTTGGCTCTGGGCGCTTGTCTGCCACACTGTATAAGCTCCAGCTGCCTCCAAGCGCTTCAGCGCACCAGCCTCGGTCCCCACTTTCAGCACCATCATCGCATCCACAATGGCCTTTCAAGCTGAGCAAACGCCTTCGTCCTCTTTGCTGCGTCCCACTTTCCTAGCTCACCTCAGCTCCCGGCGATTTCACCGTCGCATCATCTGCCCGCGCACCGCCTCGCCCGTCACCTTCGCAGTCTGTGGCATTCAAGACGACGAGGATCAGAACGACGATGTCGACGTCGTGCTCTACTGCCTGCCCTCTGGTTGCTCAAGGTATCTCGGCTTTTTTCTCGGTGGAATCGCGCGTAAAGCGCGCATACAACTCATCGCGATCGACCGACCCGGAGCGGGGGGCACGCCAGGGTGCACGTTGGAAGAGAGGATGAACACATCGATCGCGCAAGCGAGGAGCGTGCTCGAGGCGCTGGCACTGATCGATGGGAAGGGGCATCGTACCAAGAAACTGGGAGGCGGCAAGCCTATCGCCCTACTCGCGCATTCTGTCGGGCTCCTCTACGCCCTTGCAATCCTAGCGCGCTTCAATCCCCCGCCGGAGGAGAACTGCGGCAACGTCATTGATGTGGCCCGCTCTCCCTTTGGCCCTCGGCCCTGCATCGTCTGCACATCTCCTTGGGTCCCAACGAGCGTTTCGCGCTCCTCCCTCTCCTTCCTCCCGGCAAATGTCGTCAAGCTCAGCGGCAGCCTGCCCATGGCCAAGTTAGGTGCAGTGTGGGAGACAAGCATGGGCATGGGCAAGGGCGCATTGCAGTGGAGCATGGGATTGGTGCCGAGCACAAATGCTGGGGCAGAGACGGACGAGCATCCTGGCGAGTCGTCGTCGTCTAGCCCGGTAGCGATGGCGACGCCGCAACGTAATCCCTTCCACGAATCCCTCGGCACGGACCCACCGGTCTCGCCGCAGGACACTCAGGGAATGAAGCGAAGAGCAGCAGCGCAACGTCGTGCCCCACACGCGGACTTTTGGCCGCCGTACGAGTCGCATTGGTGGAAGAATTGCGCGGCCGCGCTTGCACAGGGAAGCAGCAGCATAGGGCATGGCGAGCCTCCCCTCCTTCACCCTGGCACAGGCAAGCCGTTCCGCCTCACGGCCGCCACGGCCCAGTCCATCGTCGTGGACTGTATGTCAGCCCACGAGAATGTCGCGCGCGCAGCATCAGCCGACTTCCTCCTTTGTCTCGGATATTGCTCCAACCTGCCCTCTCGCTCAATCGAAGATCTCCTCGTCCGCGGGTTCAGCTCCACTCTCGCCCACTCTGAGCAGGGGGCGGAAGTGACCATCGTGTGGGGCGAGAAGGACGGTCTTGTTCCCAAGCGCGGGAGGATGTGGCTCGATGAGAGGATGAAGGATGGGGTGAGGGCGAGTCGAGGGAGACTGCAATGTGAGAGATTAGAGATGGCCGAAGCCGGGCATGATGAGCCTATCGGATGTGAGGAGGTTGTGGTTGCCTTGTTGAGGAGGGTCAAGGAGAGGCAGCTGGCCGGATGTCGCGAGGTACCTGACAGCGGCAAGGCGGGGCAAAGGGAGAGGACGACAACAACAAGCTCTGCCTCGACCTCCTCAGCTCCCACGACACCCACTCAATCGAGCGCGAAGCGCCTAGGCGGGGTTGCATCTCTCATCGGCAATCCAGGTGATGGTGAGCTTGGCAAGCGTCGAGGGAGTGGAAGCAGCTGCGCAAGTGGTGGGAGTCGCCGTCGCGCTGCTGTTGAAGCTCGTCGCGCGCTGGCGTAGCGCCGGCCCAGCCATGGTGGGATCACGTCACAGAAGAAGGAAGCATGACGAGAAGAGCATCTTGAGGAAGAGTTAGTCGGAAAATATATCAATTGTTCTTGGCCGACTGGCGGCGAGATTCGAAACGAGAATGGACGTGATCGAGAAGGAAGAAGCGCCCAGGTAGCGCTTCATCCCCTCCCGTTGGTCATTTGCTTGCTCATCGACTCAATCGATGGGCCTCTTTGCAAAGAGCGATTCGTCATAGAAGCTGTCCATCCTCAACTCCCTCCACCACTGCGTACTAGCATGCGGAAACTGCCAGCTCGCAGCGCCCGCCTTCCACCCATTGTTCTTCGCCAGGTGTAGGCAGTAGCTCAGCTTCTCTGGAGGCACGTACCCACTGGCGGCGTCCACTGGGTAACCAGGCTTGGCGATCAGAAGCTTGTCCAGCGGAACGCCGTTTCGGGCGATCTCGAAGATGCTGGTTTGAGGGAAGGCGGTAAGGTTAGACTTGAAGAGGAGGTTCTTGCAGTCATCGTAGGATCCGACGCCTTGGTTGTAGAATTGGACGTTATAGAAGTCGTAGAGGTGTCCAACTTGCTTGTCGATGCCATCGTAAGCACCATGGCAGTATGTGGTGCGATTGGGAGTGAACCAAGGGGCAACGGGAGCTGCACTCATGCCAAAGCCTCCTGAGGCGGGCAACCAGCGGCGCACGGCTTCAGTGTACATTGAGACCCAAGTGACGAGGGACTTGTTGTGCCAGCTGAACGCTTCAAAGTCCTCGATGTCGTTGTCTAGGCCATCAAAGCCGGATTTGTAGGCTATCTCGCCGTGCAGGTCGCCAAGCATCGTCGGATTGAAGTTCTGCGTCACGGGTTGCTCGTTCGGGTCTCCGCCGAAGGTGGACAGGAATAGCGAGATGCCCTTGGAGTGATAAAGGTTCACGATCCGGCGACGCTCCGGTACTGAGTAGTTGAAGAACTTTTGCGCCCTGAATGAGGAGGTGTTGCTCGTCAGGAAGGCAAGGGTGAGGACATTCATACCGACCAGTTCGCGTGTGCTGGGCATCTCATTGGTCAGATTGCCCAGGTAGTCGGTAAGAGCACAGCATGCATAGCCGTTCCATCGCGGTGGGTCCGGGACGTACGGCTTGAGGTCGGAGGGCCCACCTTTGATTGAGGTGCCTACGGTGTGCGGAGTCGTATCGTTGCTTGTCGATGAGGTGCTGTTGGTCGACGTTGTGTTGCTGTGGCTGATGGAGGACGAGGACGAGGACGAGGAGGTGCTGTTGCTGTTCGAATGTGTCGTACCATTTGTGTTAGGCGTCGTGGCATTAGTGTGGCAGTACGAAGCATGCTTGGCGTGGCTGCCATTGGAGTGCTTGTAGTCTTCGCACATCTTCTCCTTCTCATCCTTGGTGGCTGCCTCCTCTGCGGCAGCACGACGGCGCTCGACTACCATATTATGAGATGCTCGGCCGTGCTGCATCTTGTGGCGGAGACCAGCGACATTGGTGCCGTGAAAGGCCGAGTCGAGGTCTTGGCTCCTCGTCGGGCTGTGAGGAGCGCGCTTCGTGGCTCCGTAGTGACGCTCGATGTAGCCCAAAGGGTCCATGAAGCTTGCAAAGTCGAATGCGCGCTTGTCCTTGGCATGGTGAGGGGGTGTGCTGCTCTCATCTACCTCGACTGTCTCTTCATGCACTACGTCGCCGGTCATGGTCCTGACGTATCGGCCACCGTCACGCGCCTGCTGCTCCTTCCACCACTTGCGGAGCTCCAGAGGTTCGCGGGTCCACTTGGTGAGATCGGCCTCTGCACAGACCTTCGGCTGATCAGGCTCGCTGCCTTGCGGATGCTTGCCCTTCAAGAGGTGCCAGTGGTAGTCGTGCGTGGCTGCCTGGCCGTGCAGGAGGGCGTAGACGTAGGAAGCGGGCACAAAGTCCTGCGAGGCCGCAGTCGGATCCTCGAGATACGAGCCTACATTGGCGAAGAGATTGAAGTTGTCTTCGCCGACGCCCTGTATGGAAGCACAGAGGCAGGAGTGGTCAGCTTGAGTATCGCGAAGGCGCATCTCTCTGCGTGTCTCCTCACGTAATGGTGGTTGTAGATGGGGCCATTGACTGCGGTGACAGCCTGAATGAGATACAGAATGACTGCAAGGGGGACAATAAGGCCGAGCATGGCTTGAGAGCTGAGAGCGGCTGGCTGCTCGTGTCTAATGAGTAAGGATCTTGTCAAGGAGCGTGCTGCTAGCGTAGGAAGCTAGCAAATCGAGGCAGGTGGTCGGGGGAAAGGTGCTCGACGAGAAGAGCAAGGGCACGAGGGGAGAATGTGGTAACGAGTGCAACGGTGAACGATCTGTGAACGGTCTCGACATCGACGAAGCAGGGCATGCGGGCGCGAGCGGCTTAAGATCATCTTTGCGGCTATGGAGTGATGCAGAGGGTTGAGCGGACGAAGGGTCAAGGCGTAATCAGAGCGACGCGAGCGCGGGCCGCCACGGCGGCGGCAATCTCGCGACGGTGGCGCCTCTGGGTAGCAACCATCAACGAGGGGCGAGGGAAGCGAGACGATTTGAGTTGGATAGCGGGGCCTCTCTGGCGGCCCTTCATAGTTCTTCCTCTGGTCATTGCGATGAAGACCCGCCAGTCTTCTTCTCGCGGCGAGGGTCAAGGCGAGCGAGGCGAGAGAGACGAGCCCAGCAAGACCCTCGACTCGAGCAGGCAACCCTTACGAGGCCACGCGCCCACGAGGCCATTCATTACGAGAGACCGAGGATGGCATTGCGAGGTCAAACTACATCAAACAACCCTGGCCCTCATTGTTCCCTCTCTCCTCGCGCGCGGAATGTACATGCAATGGGTGATGGCGCCTTTCACCCTCGAAACGTAAGCGTCGGTGGGCACCGACCATATTTGCACGATCTCCTAAGTGCGAAGAGCCATCACAGCCCCCCGCGGTGGATAATGATCTCCATTTTGGCTTCAAGATACATTTTGACCCTCTAGAGCGACTCAAAATGTCGCTCCGGACATCTATGGGCGACTGCGATCCCCTCGCGAGGAGGAGAGAGTGCCAGATGAGAGGGCTTCGAATGCGCCGTGTTGTGTGGGGAGAAAGGGGGAAAGGAAAGTTGGGGGTGTGGAAAGGGAAAGGATGGCAGGTGGGGTAGAGAGAAGTGCAGAGGCAGGGAGAGTAGTCATTGTCACCGCTCGCGCTGTAATCTTACCTCTTGCTCTTCTTCGTAGCTTGCTCGCCCGCTCGCTCTCTTCCTGCTTCTCGCGTGATCGCGGATCTGTGTATGGTAATAGAGATTGGTAATAGTCTATGCGCTGAAAATGCTAAGTAGGTTGGTGTTGATGACGAGCGACTCGCGCGCTTGCTACGGCTCGACGATGGGCTGCACGCCAACATCGGCGTCCGGATCCGCAGCGACGATATCGACCTTGTCTTTTGCCTCGTCGCGCCTTGCCAGTTCTGCTTCGCGCATCTACGAGCGTGGAGAAGAGGGGAAAGAGGAGGTCAGTGATCGTGGACATGGCTGCCGTGACGCGGCTCGCGGTTTGCTCACCTTCTTCTCGGCGATCCTCTTCATCTTGAAGTAATCAGTGTGCAGCCCGCACTCGGTCTTCCCGCCCTTGTCCTTCCAGCGGCCGGAGCGCTCCCCACCGTCAGAGCCAGGCATGGCCGTGGAATGCCAGTCGCCGATGCTCTTGTAGCCCATGTCCAGCAGCTCGTTGTACGGCACAGCGTTCTGCTTGACGTACTCGTCTACTTGCGCAAAGGACCAGTTGAGGAAGGGGTTCACCTTGACAAGGCCCGTCTCGTCCACCTCGATGGCCTTGAGGTTGGAGCGATCGTCTCCCTGCGAGCGGCGACGACCTGTGAAGACGGCGCGAACGCCAAGCTCCTGGTAGGCCCGGCGAGCTGGCTCCACCTTGACGATGTAATCGTACGTGTCCTCGTCGCGCTCCCAGAGCTGAGAGCCCCACTTGCTCTCGAATTCCCCCACGGTGTCACATCCCTCAGGGCGGTAGATGTGCATCTTAGCGTCGTAGTGCTTTGCTGCCCTGTATGCCAGGTCTACAGTCTGAGGGAAGCCATAGAGCGTATCGCACCAAATGAGGTCGACGAGATGCTTGTTTGGCTCACCCTTGCTGCGTGCGCGGGTTTCGCTGATGCGAGCGATCTGGTCAAGAGAGACGCAGCCGGTGACGCCAAAGGCAGTTGTCTGGTAGAGCCCAGGCAGGTTGTCAATGGCCCATTCGAGGATCTGGAAGGGGTCTGAAGACTCGAGGTGCTGGTTGATGCTGTCGAGATTTGAGATGACTGAGGCGATGCGAGCGTCGTCGATTGCTCGTTGCGACGATGAGGCGGTGGGTGAGGTCACCATGGCTTGCGTCGCTGCGTAGCTTGTCGTGGTCGAGGGTATGCTGTCGAGAAATGGGAGATTATAGGGGAAGATGCGGTTGGTGGTAACAGTTACAAATACATGCCTGCTAGTCTGTCGTGTGTCTTGTCTCGATCTTGTCTGTCTCCACTGTCCACCTCCATCGATCTTCGGCAGGCCATCGCGGCTGCCGGAGTTGGCCGTCGCTAAGCCATCAGTGAGTGAGCTGAGCGAGCTGTGGCTGGCTGAGCGAGACGAAGGTGTCTAAGTCGTGACAATTTTCTCGATGGAGCACGCAATCGATTCGTCGGCCGAGGGCGCGAACGCGGCGCAGCGCGGGCAGACGGGCAGGAATGGCCGAGGGTCGCACGGCGCGATTCCAAAGGCCGACGAGCGAGAGACGAGATGCTCAGGCACTCAGTGGAGGGATCAGAGCGCGAGAGCGACTTACGGCCGGCCTCGCAGCTACGCTCACCAAGAACCAAGGGCGGCAACCACGGCGAGGGCGACCCGACGGCTATAGTCACGGGCATGCGGTCGAGTCTACTCTAGACAGAGCATCAAGGCTCGCTTCGCCACATTTGCGCTACTGGGACTGCACATCTATTGCTGGTATTGATACAGGCTCCACGCGTCGCCAATCCCGTTCGCTCTCACTCCCCCACAAGCTGCGTAGCCCAAACGGCTCTTGTATCTACCGCCACCTGCCTCACTTCTCTCCGCGGATCGTCCACTCCCACTCCGTTCGCACTGAGTGCCCTAGTCACCTTGACCTGCTCGCCCCTCAGCCTGGAGAAGGGCAAGCAACGCACCAGCGTGGCCAAGCAGCGAAGAGCCGCCACTCGCACGGGGACGGTGCAATACGTCGCTGGCTTGCAGAGAGTGAGGAGCCTGTCGATGAGGGTGTGGATGTGCGACTCCACCAGGTCCAACGGCTTGCTCTTCCCGTCATTTTCGCTGGACGAGCGACCACCAGCCTTGATCTCGGCATCACGCTCCTTCTTCCCCACGGCCGCCGCAAGTGTGATTGTGGTAGCTGCTGATGCGCGAGCACTTGCGTCGGGAAGGTCGAGCGCCCTAATGAGCAGCGGGAAGATGGAAGCCAAGCGCTCTTGAATCATAGGTCGTGGCATGTGCGGGAGGAGCGAGGAAAGGGCAATCAAGTAGACTGAAGATGAGGTCGAATCTGCGTCGCCCTTTGAGTGGGCGTGGTAGCCATCAATGATCCTGGGCACGAGGTAGGCAAAGAACTTCTGCCTATACAGTAGGCGGACGACGGCATTGTTCTCCTTGCTGAGCACTCCGTCGTCTGCTCGCGCAAGGAGGGAGAGGGAACGAGCCGCTTCCTTGCCTGCGTTGCTCTCGTTCTCGCTGCCCTCGAAGAGAGCGACACGTGCTCGCTCTACCATTGCCTCACCCGTCTTGCTGTTCCTGACGACAAGGGCTTTGGCGATCCAGAACCACGCATGGATGGCGCGCTGCCTTCTCCCGGCCTCGCCTTCGTTGTTGTTGCTGCTGCTGCTCGAGGCGACCTCTTTCGACCAGAAATTGTCGAGCGTCCTCTGCACCTCCTCCGGGACGGGCTCGGCTACATGCTTGTTGACGAGTGTGGCCAGAAGTGTGAAGCCCGCGTCGGCCTGTAGGTTGGTTGTTGCCTCGATGGTGAAAGTGAGAAGCTGGGTCAGGGTCAAGCCCTCGATGGCAATCTCCTTGCGCAAGGCCATAATCGCCGATGCGTAGACAAAGAGCGTGTCTTTGCGATGCGCTGGTGAGGTGGGGCTCAGCGGTCCATCGTCGCTCAGAAAGGCAGTACGCAGCGACGCGTTGAGCTCTCGTTGCTTTTCTGCGCCCAGACTGCGTAAGAGCACTGTAGCGAGGCGTCCAATGTCTTGCAGCACCCTTGAATCACTCGCCAACGGTAATGTTGTGGATTTGTCCGCTCGTCCAGCCTCGAGCGCGATAGTGAATAGCCTGGCAGGCAAAGTTCCGCCGTACTTGGGCACATCGGTGTGCTTCTTGGCCACCTTCTCCTCCAACACCGTCAAAAGGGTGACGAGGAGGCCTCGCAGGTAGCCAACATTGGCCTCTCGCTCCTGACCCTCCTGAGTCAAGTGACAGAGCAGGTCCAACTTGGCGAAGAGCCTTACGACGAGCATCTCGAAGAGCTCAGGCGCCGTACTCAGTCTTGCAAGGGAGCCTAGCACGCGCCTTACCACCCCTCGCTGCTCAAACGCCCCCTCCTCATCCAGTCCCGCCCCGCCCATCCTTTCAGGCAATCTCGAGAACAACAAGGGCAACGTCGTCTCCTCGAGCACCCTTGGGTTGACTCTGGCAATATCCCTGAGCCCATCCAATGCCGCCCCGCGTACATCGTCTGCCCCCGGGGAGAGGATCAAGTCATTGACCGACTGGGCGATATAGTTCGTTTCGGCGGCGGAGAGGAAGGTCGGAATGTGCGTGAGATGCACGAAAGCTAGAAGGGCGCTTGCTCGGTACGAAGTGGAGCGGACTCCGTTGCTGAGGGCGGAGAGGAGCTCGTCGCGCAGAGGATCGAGGGGTCGACGATCCCCGTCGTATGAGCGTGCGGCTGAATCAGTGGTCGCAGTTGATGATGATGCTCCCGCAGCGGCCCCATCCTCGCTTGGCTTAGCGATCTCTTGCGTGGTTGAAGCTGGCGCAGCGAACTTGAGGCTCGACGCCTGGTGTACCCCTGCTGACGATGGTGTCACTACCGCACCCGCGATCTCGTCTCCGTCTTCGCTCCGGTACACCTCCCTCAACGCCGCGAGCAGCGTGGCAATATGTCCGAGGATGGGCCCACGCACGCTCACAACCTCCGGATCCTTGAACATGGTCAACATCTGATCCAACAGCGCATACGTGGCCAAATGAGCCGTAGCAGGGCAAGCCTTGACCATTGCGACCAGCAGCTCGCTCGCCGGCTTGGCGAGAGACTTCTCGGGCTCCTGCAGCTCGTCCAAGGCTTCGGCCACGATACGGGTTGCGATGCCTTCGGTAGAGTCGTCGCTATGACCGTAAAGGGTACGAAGGAACGACGCGAGAGCGCGCTGTGCATATAGTGAAGTCTCGTCATCCGTGGCCGCCATAATCTCGACCTTGAACCCCTCCCAGAGCTTCTTCTGATTTGCGAGGACGGCCGCCTTGCCGAAAACAGGCATAGCCTCAGTGAGAGTGTGCAACGTGTCCCGCTTTGTGTTACCACCGGATGCGGCGAGCTTCTCCAGGAGCAAGGGCATGGCGTGCGGTGCGAGCAAGGGGTTGGCCGTTAGACACGAGCGAAGAGCGCTCTTGAGGTCTTCTGTCGAGATGCCGTACGGGTCGTCGGGTGGGGGACGGAAGGTGATGGGGAAGTAGCAGTAGGTGATGTCGTAAAGGGCCTGCAGAGTGATGCAGAGGTCCGTCAGCTCGACTACATGCGCCGCAGTTCTAGGCGTGCGTATACACTCACCTCGGCCTGCTCCGGCGTGAGATCCCACTCGATCAGAATGACCCGATCCATCGCGAACAGGTACATGAGATTGCGCGGATCCTTTTCCCCCTCTGCCAAATCGATGTATCCCTTCAAAAAGTCATCGCCCATCGACTTGATTGCAGCCCTATGTCTGGAAAGCAGAGCGTCGAGCAGCGAGTAGACCAAGAATCGCACCGCCTGAGGATGATCGCGCGGCGTGACGTGGGTGAAGAGCTCCTTGGCTACGGTACGTGTTTGCTCGGCGCCGAAGCCTTGCAGGGAGGCGAGGCGAGTAAGGGCATTGAGTGTCGAAGCCAGCATCTCGGTGCCTACGGGGATTGCCTTGAAGCGATAGCTAGGAGCACTGCCTGGGACAGCTTCGCCAGTCTGACAGCGGGGCAGGCAGAAGGCAAGCGTCAGGATCTATTATTGAATGGAAGAGCGCGTCGATCATCATGACTCACGGCGTTGTTGGCCTTTGCTATTGATGCTGCTACGTTGGATCCATCTTGAAGCTTGTCGGCGAAGAAGGTCGTGAGAGTTCGCACAGCCTGGCGATCGAAGAGCTTGGAAGTAGCTGCCGATGAGGCATTGCTGTCCTGGCCCGACGGTGCCAAGCTGAGGACCACCTGTGCGAGTATCTCGACTCCTCTTGACCTTGTCTGTTCATCCTCACTCGTGAGGTATTGGCCGAGCAACTTGATGAGCTGCAGCAACGTCAGGGAACCCGAGCGTAGTACCTCTGCCAGTGGCTCGGGCAGCTCGCCAGCTTCGTATGCTCCGCTGACGTAGGCTTTGATCGACTGAGTAGCCATCTCGCTGGGCGAGCCTGATGCTGTGGCCGACGTCGAGGCCATGGCTGCGTTGCTGTGCTATGCTGATCGAATCGACGGACAAGACACACAAGAGATTAAGTGGCTGCCGCGCCAATTCTTCTTCCGGGCCATCGAGGTGTGGAGTCGAGTCGAGCGACTCGTCCCCAAGGCGAGCAATGAGTCGACCAACGGAACGGAGCACAAGGCAGAGTCCAAGGCGGCGAGCAAGCAACTCGACTTGGGTCGTCGCCTCGCATCCGCTTCTTCTTCCTTGCAACACGTCGCGACCATCACCATGTTCTGCGCGAGTGAGTGCAAGCGGCGGGCTCAGAATTTATCCCAATCAGGCACTGACATCCCATCTCCTCATCGCCTAGTATCCGGCGGACCGCCGCAGGTCCCTGTGATCTCAGTCAAGTCCGGCCTCGTCTACGAATCCCGGCTGATTCGCAAGTACATCGACGAGAATGGCAAGGAGCCCACGACTGGTGAGCCCCTCAAGGAGGACGAGCTCGTAGAGGTCAAGGCCAGTAAGTACCATGATGATGAGTTCGGCGCGCGTGATGAAAACTTCAAAACAAAAATACATTATCAACTAGAAGCTGTTGATGAGCCTCGAGAGGGGCGTGGATTTGATCAAGACCTTCTGATGCCAGCGAGATGGGGCGAGGCGAGCAACAGTCACAACGTATGATCGCAGAGCTGACCATCTACTCTTGCTCAAATACCCGTAGACCCTCGTACAATCGCCCCTCGTCCCCCCACACTCTCGTCAATCCCGGCCCTCCTCTCCTCCCTCCAAAACGAGTATGATGCTATCATGCTCGAGATGTTCAACCTCAAAAAGCAGTACGAAGGCGTACGACAAGAGCTTGCTCATGCTCTGTATTCCAATGATGCATCAAACCGCGTCATTGCTCGACTGATGTACGAGCGAGATCAGGCCAGAGAAGCGCTGGTCAATGTGCAGTCGTCGCTGGGTGGGAGCCTGGGATCGAGTAGCGCAGCAGCAGGCCCGTCACAGGATACCGACATGGCGGATGCGGATGGAGCAGCGCCTTCGTCATCGAGCACCGTCGAGGCTGGCCCTGCCATTCCTGAGGCTCTTTCGACAACCATCGACACGACTGTCGCCAAACTCTTAGCAGAGCGACGCGCCAAGTCGAAGCGCAAGGTCCTGCCCGAGGGCTACGCAACAGCAGAAAGCATCGCAGCATACACGGACGGCTCGTCGTCGTCTTCCTCCGTCGTCAAACTCGGCTCAGCTCGCACGGCGCAAACGGGCATCAACACCCTTGATGTCAGCCTCGACGGCAGCGCAGTACTTGTTGGCGGGAACGATAAGAACATAGAAGTCTATATGCACGACGCGCAAGGCGGCGAGGGCCAGTCAATCGCCCAGCTCAAGGGACACAAGAAGCCGCTCATTGCTGCTCAATTCATCAAGAAGCCTGCGCAGGTCCTGCCCGTAGGCGCAGAAGCTGCTGCATCCGCAGCTGGTCTGCCTGTAGGGATCGTCTCGGCGTCGGAGGATGGGGTGGTCAAGGTGTGGAAGCTGGAGGGCGAGACGTACATCAGCGATTACGATATTGCCCTGGCTAAGGAGGCTGCTGCAGCACTGACGGGCATCTCAGTCCATCCGTCGGGAGAGTACGTGGCTCTCTGCACCAGCGAAGGGACTATGCTTGTTCACTCACTTGCCGCGGGCGAGGAGGTGTTGAGCATGTCCGCCCCAGCAGAAGAAGAGGCAGACGAAGCAGCCGGCGGCTACTCGTACACCACGCTGCAATGGCACCCAGACGGCCAACTCGTCGTGCTGGGTACATCGAGCGGTATCGTCCGTATCTGGGACGTCAAGACGCTCAAGAAGGCGGCTACGCTTCGCCCTACCCCATCCACCTCACCATCCTCCAACGGCGACTCCTCCGCCGCGGCGATCAAGAGTCTCGATTTCAGCGAGAATGGCTACTTCCTCTCGCTCGTCTTGCCCGGTCGCGTCGAGGTGTGGGACCTGCGCAAGCTCGCCCTCGCTGGCAGTCTCGAGCTGGGCGGTGGGGTGCAGCCGCTTGCGGTCAAGTTTGACCCGTCGGGCTCCTACCTGGCTGTCACGGGTGCAGGCGGCAAGGTCGGCGTGTATGCAAACAAGAGCTGGAAGCTGTTGTTTGACGGGAGCGCTGTGGCTGGCGAGAAGGAAGGCGAGGAGGCGGGCGATATCAAGGCGGTGGCATGGGACTCGAGGAGTGGAAAAGTGATTACGGGCGGAGGGGATAGGGCGTTGAGGGTCTGGCAAGCTGCCAGTGCGTGATGCGAGGCAAGGGTGAAAGTCATTCATTCAGATAGTCAGGCAGATGCGCAGACATGGTGATGCTTCAATTGATGTTTGTATTCAAGTGACTGAAGAGCCCGAGTCTCCATGACACGACAGTGAAAGCAAGAGCTAATGATCTGAGCTAGGCAGGCCGATGTGCTTCAATGGCGAGATTCAATCTCGAGCCGGAAAGTAGGCTGAACATCCTTGCTACAGAAGCGGTACGGGGCAAGGCGCGACCGCTGAAGAACTCCGAGCAAGCCGTGATCGCTGGTAGCGATGCTGGCGTTGAGCTCTCGAGGGTGAGCCTGATAGGCTCGGCGTGGCCATCTAGGTTGCGCTGAGGCGGCCGGTCTGGCAAAGTGGTGCACAGAAGTGGACCGTAGCCTAGGCCTCGTATGAGTAGTGGTTGATTGTCTGCTGCAGGTCGTCATCGCGATGACTACCCTGTCTCCTCAGGACATCACCTCCCGAACCTCTGGAGACTGAGGTCCTGCTCCTCAATCTGCTTGGAGATGCATCGCCTGCACGTAGCATTGTGCGTGCAGAGGTCCCAAGGGCATTGCGATCCCCTCAGGCTGCCATCTGCGGTGGAGTAGCGCTTGCCAGAAGAGTGGAGACGAGCGGCGTGCGAGGCGTAGACGCTTGACGACGAGGGAGAGGAGGCAAGGTCGCTGTCACTGTCCGAGTGGTTGAGAAAGTGGACGCGTCGCGACGAGGAGCTGGTGCTCGACGAGGAAGCGGATGAAGCAGAGTAGTTGCTCGAGGTGGTAGACGAGTTGGAGTCTCGTCGGAGAACACCGCCGCTCTTGCTGGCTTGGGCACGCTTGGCGAGGTCTTTTTGATACTGCTCGAACTCGTACATGGCCGAGAAGGAGAGGTAGGAGGAGAAAGAGGCCATTGTGGGCGTATGGATATGTGTCAAAGGTTGAGGCTTAGCGTGTGCAGATATGTTTACGCGTGAGCTAGTGGTAGCTAGGAGCGATAGGCAATGTAGCTAGTGGTAATGATGGGGAGGGGATACGAAGCAGTCGAGGATTGCGGGGTGTTTATATCAATGAGATGCTGAGCAGGAAGGAGGGAGCGAGCGTGGAAGTCGACAACCGCTCATCCACGTCGCCCGTAAGGTGATGTGACTCCCCCCTTGATCCTCTCATCCAACTCAATCGGCTCTGAGTCAAAATCGACGACGCCGGGTGCGTGAGATGACACGGGCGGGCTAAGCCCACCACGGACAATCTAAGCCGGCCTTAGCCTTCCTTGGCTGCAGCAGCTTCCCGCTCCCGCTCCAAAGGCAGCCCATAGCCGCCCTCGTTCTCTGGTCCGCCTCGCCCCTTAGCCCGATCCTGCCAAGCCGGCCTGCTGGTAAGCACACGATACAAGGCGGACAAGACGGCGCTTAGCGGCCGGGCGGGCTGAGACCCTTGACAACGGCTCAGCGTGTCCGCGTCGTCGTCTCAGGGTCGGCATCAAGATTCCTGGGCCCGCTCGCTGCGCGGATCGTGATTCGGTGTAGCTCGGACTGAGGACCGAATTGGCGAATGAGCTGAACCACGTGTAAGCTAAGCCACGTGTTTGACACGACGAGCTTCAGGGAACCATGTGGCGCCAATCAACGCGTCGCCAGGTCGCGACCTCGAGGTCGCCCCCGACGAGGACGGGAGTGGGTTGGACGAGCGTGCAGGGCGAGTGTGTGACATTTGCTTCTCCATCCCAATCATCACCTAAGTCGCCCATAGTTACGCTACGCACGGTCTTCCGCATTGCCATTGCTAGCAACAAGCATAGACGGGAGCTAGGAAAAGCGTAGACACCGCAGCGCCCACGCTCACGTCTAGACTGTGGGGCATCGCCCTCTCGCCACGATGCATATCAAAACCATCACCATCCAGGGCTTCAAGAGCTACCGCGACCAGGTAGCCGTCGACCCCTTCAGCCCTGGACTCAACGTCGTTGTCGGACGCAATGGCTCAGGCAAGTCCAACTTCTTCTCTGCTATCCGCTTCGTCCTCTCCGATGCGTACACTTCCATGTCGCGCGAGGAGCGCCAGGGCTTGCTGCACGACTCTTCTACGTCGACTTCTACCACTCTCTCCGCGTGCGTGGAGATCGTCTTTGACAACACCGACGGGCGCTTTCCCACCAATGGCGAAGAAGTCATCCTGCGTCGAACAATCGGTCTGAAGAAGGACGAGTACTCCATTGACCGCCGCAGCGCATCAAAGGCAGACATCGCCAATCTCCTTGAGGCGGCTGGCTTTTCGCGCGCCAATCCTTACTACATCGTGCCGCAAGGGCGTATCACCCACTTGACCAACATCAAGGACTCGGAGCGATTGAATCTACTCAAGGAGGTGGCGGGTACGCGCGTCTACGAGACGAGGCGCGCAGAGTCGCTCAAGTTGATGAATGATACCGACTCGAAGCGGACGAAGATCGAGGACCTGCTTAAATACATCGAGGAGAGACTGGCAGAGCTGGATGAGGAGAGGGAAGAGCTCAAGAACTACTACGATCAGGACAAGTGAGTAGTGGTGGAGGGCAGCTAGAGAGCTCAATGTGTACGAGCTGACCATCGCCTCCCTTTCACGTACACAGGGAACGACGCTGCCTCGAGTATGCCATCTATCAACGCGAGCTAGGGGAAGTGCAGGGCCTGCTCGAAGAGCTCGAGGTGCATCGCAACACAGACGCAGAGACTTCGACTGCTCGCCGTGCCGAGTTCCAAGACCGCGACCGCACTCTGGCGCGTATCGAGCTCGCCTTGACCGAGAAAAAGCAGGCCCAGGCTCAGCAGCAGCTCGAAAAGGAAACTCTCGTGGAGGAAGGGCGAGAGCTCGCACGGTCGCTAGCTCAGCTCGACGCGCAGGTCAAGGACGACGAAGAGAGCAGCGACCGCATCGAGGAGCGTCGCGCGTCACTGCAGGCCAGGCTGGACGAGGTAGAACAAGAGATCAGCGAGAAGGAAGGCGAGCTCATGAGTGTCGTGCCGGAGTGGGAAGAGAAGACCGCAAGCCTTGAGGAGATCCGTCAATCGTTGTCCGAAGTGAAGTCTCGCCTTGCCATTCTCATGGCCAAGGGGGGTCGCTCAGCTCAGTTCGCAACTCAAGCCGAGCGAGATGCAGCGCTGCGTGACCAGGTCGAGCAGCTGCAAGCCGTCGAGAAGACGCAAACGGACCGCTCTGCCGATGTCGACGCGACGAGGGCCGACATTCGCCGCAAGCTCAGCGAGGTTGAGAAGACGATGCAGGCTCGCCAGGACCAGCTCGAGGAGCGTCGCAGGACAAAGGAGCAGTCGAGCACGGTCTGGAGCGAGAAGAAGGCTCGTCGCGAGGAGCTGTCAGAGAAGAAGAAGGAGCTGTGGAAGGACGAGACGAAGCTGTCCTCGAGCGTCGCCTTTGCTCGTGAGCAGCTCAATGAAGCACAGAGGGCGCTGGGTGGCATGATGGACAAGGCCACCGCCAACGGCCTTCAAGCTGTCGAGCGCATTGCGAAGCAGCAGAACCTGGCTGGCGTCTATGGTCCGCTTTATCAGCTCTTCAGCGTTGACTCGGTGTACCAGACTGCGGCCGAGGTCACCGGCGGCAACTCGCTCTTCCACGTCGTAGTCGATACCGACGAGACGGCAAGCAAGGTTCTGGAGGTCATGAACCGCGAAAAGTCAGGGCGCGTAACCTTTATGCCTCTCAACCGACTCAACCCCAAGGACCAATCATACCCAAACGACGAAGAAGCTGTTCCGCTCCTGAACAAGCTCAAGTTCAACGCACGCCACGCGAACGCCATGAAGCAGGTCTTCGGCAAGATGCTCGTCTGCCCGAATCTCGACCTCGCTGGCCTCTACGTTCGCAGTCACGGCCTCAACGCCATCACGCTCGAGGGAGACAAGGTCGAGAAGCGCGGTGCGCTCACTGGTGGATACCACGACCCTCGCCGCTCTCGCCTCGACACAATTCGCCAGGTCAAGCGATGGCGTGAAGCCCTTGACAAGGACAGCGCACAACTCGAGCAGATCAAGCGCTCCACGCTCGAGATGGAGCAGGAGATCAATACGCTCACCGGCGAGCTCCAGACGCTCGAGGCTCGCATTGCGCAAGCGTCCAACAGCCGTGGGCCTCTCCTCGAGGAGCTGCAGTGGCTTCGCAGCGAGGAAGTCGATGTACGCGGGCAGCTGGCAGCCGCTGAGCGTGAACATGCCACGATTCAGCGAGACCTGCGAGCAGCCAAGACGGAGAGAGAGGCCCTCGAGGAGGAGATCGAGACGCCGATGCAGCAAGGCTTGTCAGCAGACGAGCAGAGCGAGCGCATCGACCTGCAGTCGCGAGAGGACGACCTGACGAAGCAGGCAAACGAGCTCTCTGCGCGCGTGGCTGAGCTTACTACCAACAAGAACTCGTTGCAGATCGACATCGATGAGCTCCTCAAGCGCGAGCGTGACAGTCTCAGCGGACAGCTCGAGGATATTGGGGAAAACCTCGTAGGCTCAGCTCCCGCCGGCGGCAGCAATGCCGATGCTCGCCGTGGCGAGCTAGACCGTATTCGCCAACAACGGGACGACCGCAAGGCTCGCGTCAACGAGCTGGAGGCCGAGCTCGAGTCCCTGACGAAGGAGGTGGCCAAGATTCAAGAAGAGCACGACGCTGTCCATGCCTCTCAGCTTGAGACTGCGCGTCAGATCGAGAAACACCAGAAGAGCATTGATCGCTACATCTCGAAGCGCAGTCGCCTGCAAGAGCAGAAGGACAAGGCCAATGCCCATATTCGTGACCTAGGCGTGCTGCCGGAGGAGGCATATGAGAAGTACACGAACTTCGAGTCCAAGTCCAACTCGATGGATCGACTGATCAAGCGATTGCACAAGGTTAACGAGGCACTGAAGGAGTTCTCGGGAGTCAACAAGAAGGCCGTCGAGCAGTACAACAACTTCACCAAGCAGCGCGACCAGTTGACGCAAAGACAAGCGGAGCTGGAGAAGTCGGCTGACTCTATCCAAGAGCTGATCGAGGTGCTCGACCAACGCAAGGACGAGGCCATTGAGCGCACCTTCAAGCAAGTCAGCAAGAACTTCGAGGAGGTCTTCGCGCGATTGGTGCCCGCTGGGCGTGGGCGCTTGATCATGCAAAAGCGCATCGAGCGGGCTGGCGGCGAAGACGACGACGAGGACGACGACGAGGAGCGCTCTGGCATCGACAACTATGCGGGCGTTTCAATCAAGGTCTCCTTCAACTCCAAGTCGGACGAAGGGCTCCGGATCCAACAGCTCTCCGGCGGCCAGAAGTCTCTCGTAGCCCTCGCCACCGTCTTCGCCATCCAAAAATGCGACCCAGCCCCCTTCTACCTCTTCGACGAGATCGACGCCAACCTCGATGCGCAGTACCGTACCGCGGTGGCGGCTATGATCTCCGAGCTGAGCGATACGGCGCAATTCATTACCACGACGTTCAGGGGCGAGATGGTGCAGGTCGCGAGCAAGCATTATGGTGTGACGTTCGATGCCAGTAAGGTGTCGAATATCAGGACTATCGAGTTGGACGATGCGGTCAACTTCGTCGAGGCTGCTGCTGCTGTGTGAGGGCCGCGGCCTCAGCTGAACACCACGATGACCATCTAGCTTCGCTCCTTAGCTCTTCTTTTTCCTGCCTGTACTTGTACGCTTCTCGTTTGCCTCAATCTACAATGTCAAAGCTTCAGTCACGCTCGTCTTTCCTCCCAAGAACGACGTCCCGCATCCGACCTCGCGGCACGCTATATCTTATCTCCCGCGCGTCCAGAGTGTGGCACGATATGATACGATTTGCGGTGCAGCTTCCCTCGCTCGTCGAAGACGGCTCAACTTGCGGTGACGTCCAGTCAACTTCGGGCGAAAGAGTCAAGCAGCCGTGCACTCGCTCCACCGGTCCAAACGCCGAACGGGCCTGCAGCGGCAACAGGCCGTCGACTTCTTCCGACGTTCGCAGCAAAGCCACCACGATTCCACCACGACCGCCGAGGTTCCTGCAACGCTTCTTGCCTTTGAACTCTCACCTCAAAGCCTTTTCATTCATCTTTTGACAAGCAACCGAAATGTCTGCCCCCTCAGCCGCTGCCCAAGTCGGGGCCACGATCCCCAACACGACGTTCGCTGAGGTCCCGTACACCCCGGAGCTCGACGACGCTGCTGCCTGCGGGATCCCTTCGCAGGGCAAGACGCATGATCTCTTCAAGGGAAAGTGAGTGTACGGGACGGAGGCGAGAAGATGTCAATGAGCGGCAAGGCGGAGGTGCAGCGGCTGAAAGGATGCGAATCTGGCTGCCGCGTCAGTCTCCTCTGAGCCTACGTTTAGACGTCGACTGACACGGATGCACCTTCTCCCTCGCTTCCATCTTCGCAGGAAGGCCGTAATCATCGCCGTCCCCGGTGCCTTTACGCCTACTTGCCGTGAGTATCACTAATCTTTCGAGCCGCAGGAGCGATCGGGAAAGTGTCGTTGGTCAAGCGACAGGTGCTGACGCCGCCTTCTCGCTCTCACAGACGTCAAGCACATTCCTGATATTGTCAAGTCGGCTCAGAAGTACCAGAACAAAGGCTATGTAGTCTACGTCATCGCTCAGAACGACCCATTTGTGCGTCCTTCTGCCCTCTGCCTCGGATTGGCCTCGGCTCCTTACTCACCCGCCTCGCCTCTCTCCTCGCTCTAGGTCCTCTCCGCCTGGGGTCGCACCAACGGGGCCAAGGGGGAGGTCCACTTCGCCACGGACGTCGATATTGCCTTCTCCAAGGCTCTCGGCGCCACGATTGACATGTCCTCCAAGGGATTCGGCATCCGCACTGGTCGCTACTTGCTCGTCGCTGACGACCTCAAGATCACGCACTTTGCGGCTGAGAATGGGCCTGGCGAGGTCGAGGTCAGCGGGGCCAAGAGCATTGATGCTGTCCTCTAAGGGCAACGAAGATGGATCGATCTAGACGCTAGATGCTAGGCAGACGCACGCATGCTGTTCAGTTGCTTTAATCAATGCTGAGCCTATGAATTAGATGAGGCGATATGTGACAAAGAGTAGATCGATTCTTCCCACCGTAGCCGGCTACGACTTAGTTAATGACGCCTCTGAGGCGTACGGGCTCCTTGCCCGAAGCCAAGCGCCATATCTCCAGAGCAGCCACGGGCTTGGAATGCCCAGAAGCGCCGCGATACCCGCCAGGAGGAGGTTGCCGTAGTCGTATCCCAGATTGGCGTACAAGGAGGGCGCAGCTAGGGGCAGGCCAAAGCCGGCGAGGGAGCGACAGAAGCCTACGGAGGCAAGCACAGAGGCTGCGTACGTCGTGTATGCGTCGATGCTGTAGTTTTGGAGGGGCAGGAAGGTGGCTTTGAGTGGTCGGAGGGGCAGGCAGAGATCGGTTAGTCTCGAGCTTCGTCTACGGTATCAGCTACGGTAATCGGCACTCACTCATCATGCCGAGTCCCACAAAGAACAATCCGATGTTGGGTACGATCCAGTGCACCTTGTATTGCACGGTGAAGCCATAGATGATGAGCCCAGTAGGCAAGAAGAGGCACGAGAACATGAGTAGCGGCAGCCTGTACTCAGGCTGGCCCACGCCACCATTCTTGGCCTTGAGGCGACGGTAGATCCTGTCGACAAGCAAGCCGCCAGCCTGGCCCGCAATTGTCATGCCAATCCCGAGGCTGATGTAGTTGAGCGAGGCAATGAATGCGTTTTCGCCGTAGACCGTCGTGAAAACGAGGTTGATTGAGGTAAGCAACAAGTAGATTGTTCCATAGATTGCGCTGAGGTAGGCTGCAAGCACCACGACGATTGGCTGGGTGAAGAGGAGGATGAAGGGTCTAACAAAGGCAGTGCGGAAGCGTTCTGGCCACTTGACGCCATCCTTCTCATAGATGGTATGCAGGGCCTGGTTACCCGTCTCCTTCCGTAGCCGCTTAGCCTTGCGAGCCAATATGACTGGTGCGTACGTTTCGTCGAGTAGAAACCATCCCAGTACAAACGGGATGCCGCCTGCAATGGCTGCAACTCCAAAGATCCAGCGCCATTGGCCGTTCAGGCCTTCGACGATTGCACCTCCCACAATCGGGCCTACTGCGGGACCGAGGAGAGGAGCGAGAGAATACACCGCCAGCCCCTTTCCTCGCTCCTCCGGTATATACAGATCGCCTACGGTCCCCCCGCCAGTGGTCAGCGGCGCTGCGCCGCCCAGACCAGCAAGAAAACGAAAGGCAGTAAGTTGTCCTTGACTCTGAGCGAGTGCGCATCCCACGGTCCAACAGAGGAAGAAGACGTTAGCCGCCTGTATGACCACCCGGCGCCCAAAGATTTCGCTGATGGGACCCATGAAGAGCGGGCCTATGGCAAAGGCCAAAACGAAAATGCTCAATGTTATGTTGCTCGCCACCATGCTGTCTATCCCAAATTCGGCCGCAATGATAGGTAAGGCAGGGGCGATCATGCTCGAGGAGAGCGGAGACATGAACGTGAAGACCGAGACGAGGATCATAACCGTCCAGCGCTTGGACTCTGGCCAGTTGCGTGGATTGGCGGGATCGTCTGGTGAGTCCCACGTTACGAGGTTGGGGTCTTTGCCACTTGAAGAGTTGGTCGAGGCTGCGGATGAGGGAGAGTGGGAGGAGGTGGTCCCGTCCTCCACTGCCGCGGCAGCTGCTACTTCGGAAGCCATAGGTGGCAGCGTTGCGAGATTGCCCTTCTCCACGTCGACTTCACCCACTCTTGCTGTCGCTTCGTGGTGGTAGGTAGTCCCCTCGCTGCTTGGCGGGACCTTCTCATTGACTGCTGCGGCAATCCCCGCTCGGGCCCCATGGGAATCATCGTGCGACGCGTTTGTCCGCAGCCGCGATGCTGACTTCGGCTGTGCGTTCGACGCTGAGCGTGCTCGAGTGCTACCACCGCTAGCCATGCGCTCTAGACGGGTTTCTGCGGGCCGGCGCTCCCTGCTGGGTATGATGCCGAGCTCGCCATCTAAGCTGCCGGTGTCATTGTCATAGTAGTCTCGGAGGCTCTGTTGGCGAGAGATCGAAGATGGGTGGCGACGATGTGATGACTGGCGTTGCGAGGATGTGGTCTGATCTGCGGCCGCGGCGCTGCTGGTGCTCGCCGCGGGCGTGGCAGGTATGTAGGAGGGTGGCTGATGAGGGCGAGTCGATGAGGATGCGGGGTTGGACATTCTTTTGGTGTGGCGTAGCAATGCAATTCTCAGCAGCTGTGAGCAGACCCTCTTTTGTACAAAATCCTCAGCGTCTGTAAGATGACGCTCGCCGTCGATGGGCCCTCGAATGAAGAAGAGACGATCGAGCAGGAAGGGAAATGCGTTGATGAATAACGGTTGCAAGCTAGACGAGGTGACTCTCGACGGACTCCGCGTTGACCGCCGGCGAGGAAAGTTGAGGGGTCCACACGCCGCGGCACGTCGGCCAAAATCCACTGCGCTTGTTCCACTCGTCGGCCTCACGGTCCGACAGGCCCGATCCCGATTGAAGAGGGGTCGTAACGAGCCGGTGGAGCGGTAAGCTGAGAGAGCAGCGAGTAAAGCGGGACAAGACTGCGGCGCTCTCGAGCACACTTCAATGGTCGAGTCAAGGGGCAATCCAGTCACGATGACTCACGGGTTCGTGGCGTGAGCGACCAATCTGATTTGCGGTGAAGGACTTCGAGAATGCGACAGCGCTCTGCATCACGCAGGTCCGTTGCTACGCAGGGTGGCTACACAAGGCTTAGTTTCATGCAAGGCAGTATCTCGCGCTTCACGAAGCTCCACTCCGCGGTCAGCGGACCCAGCTCATTGATCTGGGCAGGTTGAAATGGTAGGGAGGCCTGCTGCTCGTCATTGGTATTAGAATTATCAGCACCTGCCCTGCTCCTTTGCTAGGGGAGCGTACGTCACTCTCACAGATCCTGCTACTCCTCTTCATCCCCACCACCAATCTCCACCCCCTCCAAGAATTCTTGCTCTCCACCCTCCTCCCCCTCCCCGTTCTCTCGCCCCCATCCCTTAGCCTTCTCTTTCCTCTCCTCCTCCTTGCCTCGCCTCCTCTTCTCCATCCTCTCGATGATCTTCGTCGCACTGTTGAATATTCCACCCGTCTGCGCTCCACATGCAAAGCATTTCGGCGTCTTTGCGTAACGCTTGATAGCACATCCTGAGCAGAAGTAATGACCACATCGCGTGACGATGGGGTCAGTGAAGGGTTGCCGGCAGAGGAGGCAAGCAAAGGGGATCTCTTCCTCCTCATCGTCGAGATCTTGCGCCGCATCGTCCTCGCCGAGGTTACGCGCCGAGCTGTTGGGCATGTAGGCAGCCTCCATCTGCCAGCCGGCTAGATAGTCGCTACGATCGTGCAAGAATTTGCAGGTGTCCCCGAAGCCGCAGTAGCCCGTCTCTTTGTAGTCTTTACACACGTCTGGCTGATAGTCCATGACTGTTACGGTGCGGATGTTGTTCGGGGCTCGGATGGGACCACGCTGGGCAGTCTTACTAGAGGTGATGGCGGCGCCCTTTGAGGCGGAGGCGGAGGAGTAGGCGGACAGGCCGCGGTAGACTCCGTCATCGTTGTTGACTTTCGGCGGAGGCGCGGCGTTGGGGCTACCCGATCGTCTGCTGGTGCCCTCAGCTTCATCATACCAGTCGGCTCCCCTCGTAGCGTTGTCTCGATTTGACGTCGCTCCCGCGGACGTGGAGGAGCCGGAAGCCTTTGCGCGGGCAGTGACGGATGAGTACTCGTCTTCTAGCAGTGAGAGGGCTTCATCGTCTGCTGCTTCCTGCTGCGCTGCCAATCTATTGCGCTTGGCGAGTGAGATGCCCGTTGACGAGACGAGTGGATTGGAGGAATCGAGCTTGCGCTGCTTTGTTACGACGACGGACGGGCCCGCCTCGTCTTCGCCGCTATCATTGCCATCGTCGCGACGACTAGCTTGCTGCGATGCTGTTGAGGAGGAGGAGGTGGTGGATGCTGATGGCTGAGGCCGTGATCTCTTCTTCTTGAACAGGGGCTGCATGGCGTTGGCGATGCGGTGGTGGCGGTGAGGAGGGAAAGAGTGCGAAGTTGCTGCTGAGCCTCAGGAAATGGAGCCAAGAGCCCTTTCCGCCCGCTCTTTCCCCCGCCTCGATGTCGTCCTCGGACTCGATTTCGCGCCTGCTCCAGTCGCGCCTCTCTCTCTCCGTCCGCCCTCGCGTTGAGGCTGAGCTCGCACCTTGACTCTGCATCCACCACTCGTTGCAACTCTTCGTCCCGCTTGACGCTGGCTATGACCAAAAGCTGGTAGCAGCGCCCCATCAAGATGGATTCCACATCATCAAGATATCCACGAGGTGACTTCGACACTCCCCCCTGGTCACCCACAGGCCCGGCATCTTCCTCTTCCCTGGTCATCCTGCAATGCGCCTCCTGCAGGCATGTCCTCGCCGACTCGTCCACACTCGTGACGATCCGCAAGGACCTGCGCTTGATCGTCACCACGACTGCGACAGCAGCTGTTGTCTGCGGCGAAGACGAAGCCGGCGCTGAATCGTCCTCATCGGCTGCCAACGACGGCGAGGGGGAGGCTCGCCTCTTGCTATGCCGCGACGCCTCACGCTCAGATTTGGGGTCGACATACACTACCTTCTCATGCGGACCTTGCGGCGAGAAAGACATTGGTCGCATCTACAAAAGTACAGGGCCAGACTTGGACGAGATGCGCGATGGGTGGAGCTTTGATCTCGAGAAGGTCATCGTGTACCCGCTTGGGTCGGCGAAGAGGCTTGTGCCTGGAGCGAGGGATACGCGGAGAGCAACAGCAGCTGGAGACGGTGGCTCCAGTAGTGAAGGTGCTCATGGCGCACAAGGCCGACTACGTGGCATCAGAGAGGACTCGACCTCCTCGTCTGGCTCGCCAGCAGGGATGAGCGCGGGCCTACCACTGAGAATCGGCAGCTCGTCACATCACGGCGGCGGAAGCGGGGGCGGCATGCACTTGCATCACCAGCAAGGCTTTCCGACTCTGACAGCGCCTCATCCTAATCATCCTAATCATCCTCATCATCCTCTTCCTCAACCGCACGGCATGGGTCGACCAATGCGAACGCCTAGTGTCGCTCCTGGCTCTGGGCCCCCAGGAGGTGGCCGCGGGAGTGCCACGCCTGGCCCGTCGGAGTGGCGCAGAATCCAAGTGCTCATGATGACGTTGGGGGAAAGATTGATGAGCGTTGAGAACATACTTCAGCAACAGCAGCAGGGATCTGATCCGGGTCGATCTGGTTCTGGTCCAGGACCGGCAGGTGCAAGCGGACCGGCGCCAGGAGGGGCAAACGCAGGGAAACGTCGAGCAGATGAAGCAGGGCTATCCAACCGTGCGATGCCTACTCCGCAAGGCAAGCGACCAGCTGGTGGAAGTACTGTCGGGCAAGGAGGGGTGACGCCCAGGGCCGGCAATAGTGCGACAGCCGGCCCATCGTCAGCAGTGGCTGGCTCTACTTCCGCAGCCAACGGCAGCGGCGCTGCCTTGTCTCACACCCCGACATCGTCTCCGCTTCAAGGAAGACAAGTGCCCGCATCACCCTCACAGCGAGGAGCAGCCACCCCTTCAGGCCCATCGCAGAAGAGACCGAGGCCGGGTGGGCCACCCACGCCAGGAGGAGGTCCAGCAGCGGCCAATCAGACACAGAGTCAAGGAGGGGCAGCGCCGACAGCAGGCGGTAGCACAACACCGCGAGGTGGTCACCCCTCTTCAACAGTTGCGTCTGGACCGGCAGCGTCTTCATCGGGCATGGCAGCGACATCAGTCACACGTGCTCCACCTCCTGGCAGCGCCAAGAAGCCACGTACAGCAGGGCCGCCGCCTACGCCTGGTCAGCAGCAGCGACGAAGAGGAGCAGTCAATCAACCACAAGCGGGAGACACACAACCTAACAATGCTGCCGGCGGGGAGGAAGACGAGGCGGACGAGCTCGACTTGGTCAACTCTCAGCGCAATCGTGCAACGTCTTTCGATGGGCTCGATGGAGACGAGGACGACGATGATGATGGTGAGCCGGATCCGCTGGCTGGGGAAATGCAGGTGGGCGCGGGAGTGGCGGGAGCGACAGCAGCTGCGGCTGCTGCTGCTTCATGATGGTCAATGAGTTGCGTCTGACGAGCCCGATACAACACGCCGGGAGCTGAACAAGCCTACGATGTAACCTCGACCTTGTTGAGCTTTGCGAATCTCGACCTTTTTGGAGTTCTGCGAATCTCGACCGGCCTGATTGCGTCCGATGAAACATCACGCAGAGGGACTCTTGACATTGATGATGGTATTGCTTCGTCGTTGGTCGTGTGTCCCGCACACGTGAGAGTCCGGGGAGCTATAGCTGGGTGGAAGAGGAGCGCAACAAGTGAGAAGGGGCTACATTATCGGGGGGTGGCGTGAGGCGAGGAGTGCAGAGATTCGTCTGAGGGCCAAGTAAGAGCGAGAGCGAGCGAGCGAGCGAGCGAGCGAGCGAGCGTCTGTCATAGGCTTGTGTGTCATTTTTTGAGGTGTGTCGGGTATGGATGGTGCGAGGAGCCGCAGGCTGAAGGCGGCAAAGTGGCAAGCACGAATTGATTGGCGCTTCTGCGTCAGAAAGGCAGCCTCGTTGCGTTGAGGCTGTGACATATGGTGAGATGCCTCGGGCGAGGCCGTTTTGGGATGCAGAGCGAGTCTGCTGATCAGAGAAGGGTCGTGACCAGCCCGGCCAGAATGCATACACTGAACGCGCTGGCGGTAGCGGCGAGCTGGGGCCCAGCGAGCAGGTGACCGGCGGCGTTGGAGCCATTGCTGTTTGTAGCAGTAGGCGAGGGAGTGCCTGTGAGCAGCGAATGGAGTGATTTTGGTCAGCTCTGCGCCAAACACATTGCAGGAACGCCGCGGTGACCGCCTCGCTCACCCGACGTGTACGTAGGCAGACCTCCAACGAAGGTAGAGACGTTCCCCGCTACATTGCCCACTGCGGTCCCAATGACGCCAGCGACGGACGCACCCTGTGAGATGATTGAGCCGAGAGGATCCGTGGTGTTTCCCGAGCCAGTCGACGAAGTGGAACCGGCTGAGGTGGTTGGAGAGGCAGAAGAGCGATGCCCGCCGGTCTTGCTGCTTGCGCCTGTCTTTTCATTCCCTGATTCGGTGTCCGAGTCAGGCTGACCGCTGCTGACTGCGCCGGGAAGGCCGGTGACGTGGGGGCTGTGATGAAGAGGTGGTGGGAGGAGGACAAGATCAGCACAAGCGGACGAATGAGCGCATGCTCTCGTGAGGCGTACGCACGCTACACCGCCGGCGTCACCGATACCTGGTGCCGGGGTCGGGGGCTGTGTGGAGACATGATGGTTGAGAATGTCAGTGGATGGCCAAGGTCGCTCGGGCTTCGGCATCCTTAGCTCACATCGATACGGCGTTCCAGCCCGCTCTCAGCTGCAGCTGCACACATAGCTGCGCCGAGCATCAGCAGGAAGAGGAGCGTTGCTGAGTGAGTCTTCATGATGGTCGTGACGATGTGGTGGGAGGTAAAGGCGTGTGAGGTCGAGGGTCGAGGTGGGCGAGGACAGCCAGTGAGCTCGTTGGAGCGGGCCGTTTCAACAGGAGAGCGGGACAGGGGAAGGAGATACAAGCCAGTCAAGAAGGAGAGGAGCACTGGATGTCTTTCGAGGTCAGAGCGGCCCGTCCCAAAGGCATCCAGAAAAGGAGGCCTGAGCGGAGGGGAGGCAAGCACTCCCAAGCCGACGACGCCCTGAGGCAGGGCGCTAAGTGAGTTGGCGCCAGAGCGAGCAAAGTGTTGCTTTCGATGCTCGCCCTTCTCCAGCCTCGGCTGGCGGCGTGGCGCCTGGTTGAAAGGCTTGAGCCACGAGTCGAGGCGACGTCGAGTCGATGCGGGCGAGAGATGATCACCCGGGCCAGGGCCAACTTTTTGGGACAGGCTTAGGGCCGAAGCGGACAAAAGACCCTTACTCCTCCACTCTTCGTGGCCTCATCCTATAAGAAGGATAATTCACTGCTTCCTCTCACCCCTGCATTTTTCAGTCGAACTCATCCTACTCAATCAGTCTATCTTCATAATGGTCTCGAATCGAAGCCTTGTGCTCCTTCAAGAGCCCACGGGCATGCCTCAAGTAGGCAAGGACATCGACTACCGCACCTCCGACATTGACATCGAATCAGCTCCTTCGAACGGTTTGATTCTCAAGACGGTTGCCATCGCCATCGATCCCACGCTCCGCAACACCATGCGACTTTCCAACCCCAAGCCGTACGCCCCCCTCTACAAGAAGGGAGAAGCAATGTGGGGATACGGTCTCTCCGAGGTCGTGGTCAGCGGTAATGCTGGGTGGAAGAAGGGTGATATCCTCATGACGCCATTGACCAAGATGTCGACTTACTGGCGCCTGGAGGAAGGAGAGCTCAACGGACCGAGCAAGGCGGGATACAAGAAGATCGACCCGCTGCCGGACCTCAATGTCACCACGTATCTGGGCGCTCTGGGCATGCCGGGAATGACCGCGTACATGTCGATCAAGGACATCATTGTGAGTATTACGCAGAGGGACTCCCTTCTCCGCGGAAAGCTGACTCGTCGTCTCCTCACGCACTCCGCAGGGTGACTTCAAGCCCAACTCGAAGCTCTTCGTCACCTCTGGCGCAGGCTTTGTCGGGTCCCTCGTCTGCCAGATCGCCAAGCAGGCCGGTGTGAAGGTCATTGCATCAGCCGGCAGCGAGGACAAGGTTGCCTTCCTCCGCGAGAAGCTTGGGGTTGACAAGGCCTTCAACTACAAGACGGCGGACATTGATGCCGAGCTGGCCTCCTTCGGTGGAGAGGAGGGTATCGACTACCTCTACGACAACGTGGGCGGTAAGCAGCTCAACAGCTTCCTGGCTCACTCGGCCGTGCACGGTGTCGTCGTGGTCTGTGGAGCCATTTCGGCTTACAATGCGAGCAAGGACCAGCCCGCCGAAGTGATCAGCAATTTCCCCATGGCGGTGCTGGGGCGCCAGCTTACTGTTCGTGGGTTTATTGTGGCGAGCTTGTACCCGAGGTGGGAGGACAGCTTCTGGAAGGAGATGCCCAAGATGGTGCAGGACGGCAAGCTCAAGAGTCAGGAGGATGTCAGGGTGGGCATGGACGCTCTTGCTGGGAGCTTCGAGGACTTGTTGACTGGCAAGCACCAGGGCAAGCTGATTGTGCTTGTCGATGAGGAGCAGAAGGGCAGGTGGATCCAGAGGAACCCCGACGGCTTTGCGTGAGCAGCCATCTCTTGAGATCAAAGTTGTGTATCATTAGCAAAGGCAATGAGAATCATGTCCTCGGAGTAGAACCTGAATGAGAAGATAGAGTGACAGAAGGATTGGATGCCCTCTGCCCGAAAGGCGGTGCCCCGTGCACGACGGTCACGCAGGTTCGTCAGACGAGAAAGCTCCAGCTGGTCGACCGGTTTCCTTGCTTCTTTGCTTCCTCCTTCCTGAAATCCTCTCTAAAGCTGGGCGGCCTGTATCTGCCACCGTGCAAGCATGGATGGAGATGATACCCTAAACATCGTCCCATCTTACTTGCTCCCTAGCGCTGCTCTCTTCTTCGCAGCCTTCTCCCTCATCGGCTCCCTGCCATCCCTGGTCCCCGCTTTCGTCTCTAACGAGGATGCAGCTGGGCAGACACAGCGTACTAGGGCAAGGAGGGTGCGAGAGAGACTGGATAGAGAAGTCGATCTGAGCGATGCTGGATACCGTAGGCAGCGGATGAGGGTGCGCGCCTTGATGGGCCTGGCTCTCCTTGAGGTCATCGGATGGTCCATCGCGACTGGCCATGAGCAGGACTGGGCCGTCAAGGGGGCTACGACGATCGCCTGGGCAGCTATACTCCTTCGTCTAACGCTGCATAGCAACCACACTCCCTCCATCAGACTCCTCGTCGCCCTTGTTGCCCTCTTCCTGGCCTCGCTGCAGCAGAGCCTTGAGTACCTGCCACGACCAAGTCCACGCCGCCTCGTCTACCACGCCATCGACCTCGCCAACCTCGTCGTGTCAATTTCTATCGTTCTCAGCATGCCCATGGCACCTGGAGGCTGGGAAGCAGTCGTTGACGAAGAAGAGAGACAACGGATCAAAGCGGGCGCCATCGTCGAAGAGCAAGAGGATCTCGTGGCTACGTACGATGCCTGCCCCACAACGCCGGAGGACTACACTTCTCTCTTCGCCTCTTTCACATACAATTGGATGAACGGCATCATGGCGCTAGCAAAGAGTAGGCCTTTGCTCCCAGCCGACATCTGGCGACTGCACGCTATCAATGATACGCGCCTTCTCTGGGCCAGATTCAAGCAAACGGCGCCACAGCGACGCCTCGCGTTTCGTCTCGTCAAAGCCAATGCGCGCGACGTCTCCCTTGACTTTGTTTACAAGATCATCAGCGTTTCCTTCGACTATGCAACAGTATACCTCCTTCGAGCAATCCTCGAGTCCGTCTCTGCCGCCGCAGCCGCAGACGAAGAAGGAGCACCACCTCCGCCTCCTGGACAATGGACGCAGAGGCAGAGGGCCTTCGTCTTCGCGCTGGCCAGCCTTTTGCTTAAACTCGCGCAGTACAGCTTCAACCTTCTGAACTTTCACCACGCGAGGCAGGTGGGCATGAGAACACGCTCAATCATGGTCGCGGAGCTGTTTGAGAAGGCGCTCAAGCGGCGCAGCATGGCCGGCGTGGTATCTACGAAGGCAGATCCAAAGGCGAAAGGGACAGATGCTTCAACCGACGAGAGCAAATTCAAGTCTTCCGAAGAGCGGCAAAAGAAAGAGGACGCTTCGACTGCCGGCGCCGACGTAGGCAAGCTCGTAAATATCATGTCAAGCGATACGAATACCCTCCTCCGTCTAGGCTGCGATGCCCACCAACTCTATGGTGCTCCCTTTGAAGTCCTCGTGGCTGTCGTTTTCCTCTACAACATCCTGGGCTGGTCGGCCCTGGCAGGCTTCTCCGTCTTTCTCCTCTCGACGCCCCTCAACTACCTACAGGGCAGGCAGATGGTAGGCTTCCAGCAGAGATGGAAGCAGGCTACTGACAGGAGGATGTCACTCGTCTCGGAGCTGTTGGGCGCGGCAAGGTTTGTGAAGCTGCAGGGTGTGGGCAGCCAGTGGGAAGGCAGGATCGTCGAAGCGAGGAAGAAGGAGATCAGGGCTCTCCTCGGAGTGAGGATCGTGCAGCTTGGCTTTGCTGTTACATATATCTTTCTGCCCTATCTGGTCACCTTGGTGTCCTTCTTTTTCTACGTGGTCGTGCAAGGGCAGACGTGAGTAATGGCGCTGGACCCCGTACCAAAGCATCGCTGACGCTCAGTTTCCCACTCTTCACCCACGCAGCCTCACTGTACCAATCGCGTTCACCTCTCTCGCCCTCTTTCAGATGCTACGCGGCCCCCTCGACACTCTGCCCGCCTTCCTGCAGAACATCCTCGGCGCAATCGTCTCTCTGCGCCGTCTCGAGGGGTTCATGGGCGAGGAGGAAGTCGATGCAAGCGTATCGGCCCTGGCTCGACCCACTTCTACGTCTACCGCGTCAACATTCACACAATCCACCTCCTCGCAGCCGATCTTGATCAACCAAGGCTCGTTCGCATGGGACAGCGCCCGTACCACCCTGCGTGACATAACCATAGCCTTCCAACCAGGCACGCTCAACGTGATCGCCGGCCCGACGGGCTGCGGCAAGTCTAGCCTGCTGGAAGCCGTTCTTGGTGAGATGAAAAAGACCTCTGGCAGCCTAGATCTTCCCAAGTGGAGCGTAGATGGCACTGTTGGCTCAGGCCTCTCGTACGCGCCCCAATCTCCCTGGATCGAAGGTGGCAAGTCCATCAAAACCAACATTCTCTTCTCCTCGCCCTATGACCAGGCCCGCTACGAGATGGTGCTGGACGCGTGCGGCCTACGCGAAGACCTTGCTCTCTTCGATGAAGGCGACGAGACGCGCGTCAGCAACTTGACGCTTAGCGGAGGTCAGCAGGCTAGGATATCTCTCGCGCGAGCCATGTATGCGCCCTCACACACCGTGTTGCTCGATGATCCGCTGGCGGCCGTGGATGCGCATGTGCAGCGGCTGATCGTTGACAATGCGCTTACCGGCCCGATTGCAAGGGGAAGGCGCATTTTGCTCGTCACGCACCATGTAAGCGTTGTCGCTAGGCATGCAGACCATTTCGTATTCATGCGAGATGGTGCGATTGAAGCTCAAGGAGACTTAGAGACGACGCAGGCGCTGGGAAAGGTCGGGCAGAGTGTTAGCAGAGCAGAGAGCTCTGCGGGCCCGTCTGGTAGCGGTACGCCTCGCAGTGCGGGATCATCCCCGCCTCTCGAGGGCGAGGAGCCAGTCGCGGCAGCCACAGACGCAGCTCCTGCGGGAGACGTCAGTAGGACAAAGCCCGGCTCCAAGCTTCTCTACGACCTCGAAAAGCGTCGCGCTGGCGCGGTCCAGCTCTCACTCTACAAGATCTACCTCAAGGTCTCCTCTCCCATATTTTGGGGGGTGATCATCGCTCTGACCCTTCTCAACCGCCTGAATACATTCAGCGAACAATGGTGGCTCGCAGCATGGGGTGATGCATCCTCACCACACCGTTCAGGCTTGAAAGCTCGTCTGCCCCCTGCGGAAGGTCATGCTGGATATTACCTTGGCGTTTACGCCTGCATCGCTCTGGCCATTGTCGTCAACAACGCCATTCGGACGATGATCTTCTGGTACGTGACCATTCGCGCAAGTCAGAGGCTCTACAGACAACTCTTGTCTTCGGTACTGGGCGCGAAGCTACGCTTCTTCGAGGTGAATCCCCTCGGCCGCATCCTCGTCCGATTCAACCAAGACGTCAATGTGCTGGATTCGGACCTGCCAAACACGGTCTACCTCTTCCTTCGGCTGGTCCCTGGCATCATTGGGTCACTTGTCATCTGTGCCGCTCTCGTGCCCTCCTTCCTCCTCCCGGCCGCACTTCTCTTTTGGTACGGGTCGAGATACGTAAGAGGCTTCATTGCTGCTTCGAGGGATATCCAGCGCATAGAGTCGACAAACACCTCTCCGCTCTTTTCTGCATTCTCGACTAGCTTGGCGGGCGTCACGACCATCAGAGCTTTTGGTGCTGAGAGGGTCAGGCTAGAGGAGATGCTCAATATCATGTGAGTAGGCGCAGAGAGGCGTGCGATTTGCTGAAGCCACAACTGATGGCCTACTTGATCCCACCATTGCTCCTCACAGCGACGTCACCTCCGCCACCTGGTGGGCGCGCTGCACAATGGACGTCTGGCTCCAATTTCGGTCCCAGATCCTCTCGGGCTGCGTCATCTTTGCGGTCACCGTGTGCGCCCTCCTGGGCGGCGTACCGGCCAGCAGCGTAGGCATTGCGCTCACATCAGCCGAGTCCCTCGCCATGTGGTCTACCTACCTCTGCGACAGCTACAAGCAGCTAACCAACAACTTCAACTCACTCGAGCGCATAACGGAGTACTGCGATCTTCCCTCCGAGTCCAAGAAGAATGAGCGCGAGCCGCCGGCCGCATGGCCTTCTGCGGAGGGTGGAGTGGAGATCGAAGACCTGTCGCTGCGGTATGATGAGGGCCTGCCGGACGTGCTGCACTCTGTCGACCTTTCGATCAGCAAGGGCGAGAAGATCGGCATAGTAGGCAGAACGGGCAGTGGCAAGACTACGCTTGTCTCAGCCCTTTTCCGCAGCCTTGAGCCTCGCACAGGCCGAATAGTCATAGACGGCATAGACGTGTCCACCCTCCGGATCGAGGCGCTACGCTCGCGGCTAGCCTTGGTACCACAAAGCCCTATCCTCTTCTCAGGTACATTGCGCAGCAATCTGGACCCCTTCGAAGAGAAGACGGACGAAGAGCTCCGCTGGGCTCTCAGGCACGTTGGCGTGCCCGATGATCATCCCACGCTACAGCTCGACGCCCCCGTAGCCGCTTCCGGCGCCAATTACTCAGCAGGCGAGGCCCAGCTGCTGAGCCTTGCCAGGGCACTCCTTCGTGACGCTCGTTTAGTGGTTCTGGATGAGGCTACAAGCTCCACGGACTCGCAGACGGATGCACAGATCCAGCGTGCCGTGAGAAGCCTGCAGAGCAGCATTGTCATTACGGTTGCGCATCGCCTTGCGACCATCCTGGATTACGATCGTGTAGTTGTCATGAGGCAAGGGAGAATTGTGGAGTGTGGAGCGCCGAGGGAATTGCTGAGGAAGGAGGGGGAGGATGCGGAGTTTAGGAGAATGTGCGAGACAGCGGGTGTTGCGATAGACGAGGATCAGGCTGGCTCGTCATCACGATAGCTTGGGGCTTCTTGTCTCCTCGTAATGCCGAATTTGGTTTGATCGTTTGCCTCAGCCGCCAATGGCACTCATCAGCGACCACTCTAGCCAATCTGCTCCACCGTCACCCCGCCGCCTGTCCTCGTCTCGATGCATCCAACCAGCCATGAGCGCTTGGTCGTCCTCCGGTGGGGCAGACCAGCCTTGCGTGCAAGCCTTGCGTCGGGCAATGAGCACGAAGTAGGCGTCCTCGCTCGTCTCGTCCCCCTCCTCGTCGAGACCATCATCGAGATCACCGCGGAGCGAACCAAAGCGATGCCACTCTTCCGACGCTCGGGGATCTTGCTTCTCAACATCTCCTCCTGAGCGCACTGCTCTCCGCTGTCTGCGGCAATGCACGACCTCTACATCGAACCACCTACCCAAGGCGGTCCAGAAAGGCATCTCCTTGGTCATAGACCGAATCTTGTAGGCTATCAAGACCGGCGGTGGGGATTCGCCTTCGGTCAGGTCAAGCAGACTCGTCAATAGCGGAGCAAGGAGCTCAGTAAATATACGAGATCTGAACAGAGCACGTAGTCCAGCTTTCGTCCCTTGCTCGAGCTAGAGGCGAGCTCATCCAGAATCTGCCTTGCGTGTCGCTGCGATCCCCAAGGCAAAGCCTTGACCTGTACACCAGGCACGCCTGCTGAGTGAGCATTGCGCTTCATCAGATCGACGACATTCTCCAAATCGGTGAGAATCACCGCATCGTGCTCAATGCCCGGGTTCTCTTGCGCCTGCACGAGTCCTTGGCGTCTGTTCTGATGTAGCGCTTGAGCGCAGGTGAGGCCTACGACGCCCACGCCGCTGCCCAGCTCGAGGACTGTGAGTGGCTCGGGAGCTCTTCTTGCTGGATCGAAGAGCGGGCATGGAGGGTCAAAGTCAATCCCATCCAACCACTCCGGCGGCCGAAGGTACTTGACGAAGAGGTAGGCTGCCTCCCTACGCACGGCGAGGGGATGGGCGATTCACATCAGCGTTTGCGTCGTGGATCCGGAATTTCGTGCCATTCGCTTAATGTGGAAGCTCACCAAACTCTCCCAGCTATCCCAAACTCCCGTATCGTCTCTACGCTGTCTGTCTGCCATTGCGAGCCAGCCGCATTAGCTCGCACGCTGCTAGGCTTGATCGCTAGGTCTGGCGGGTGATTGGGGTCGTGCTCCTGCAATCTTGGCCCGGAAGGTCTTGCCATGAGTGGCCTTCTACTCGAAGATGACTCGCAGCCCAGCCTTGATGTCTACTTGCCCTCCGGGACCTTCTTGACCAACGGCGTCTTTCTTCTCTGGATGGTGTTTGACGCTAAGATTAAGTTCACGCACGACATGGCTCGCGCTTCCGTTCATTCCCTCTCGCGGCCGTCGCTATCCGCGCTCAGAAGCTCGGCCAACGAGATGCCATGCTTTTTGCTCTGATTCGCTCGACAGCAAGTTGGAAGACCGTGACGTACAGAGATCTCAAACTCACCCGGCTGCGGCCATAAGATAACGCAACTGAAGCTCAACCCTTCCGCACTCGATCATCGCTGGATCGTGCCCTCCAGTCAAAGCTTCGCCGGGCATGCCGTTCGCGGCCGGCAGACGGTCCAAATTCACTCTTGACAAGGCGACAGGACCTGTCTCTCAGGCGGTGGTAGTGACAGCTCGCATGTGGATCGTTGCCGTCTAATGTCGTTTAAACTGTCGGGCAAACAGGTGGCCCCCCAGAGTAGCAGAGGGCAGCAGTCGGTCATCCAGGCTCTACTACGCCCTGTTCAGTCAACCTGTGCTTCGCCCTGCCTCATGAGAAGGAGGCGAAACTTGGGTGCATGTGCTTCATTCTGCCGTCCTCGCCAACCTGGTTGATGCGACGACCACGCTCCGCCTTCGCGTAAAGCAGCCTTTGCTGTCTTGGTGTCTTGCATTGTACCGGATTGCGAGCTCGGGGAAGCTTGAGCTCGGTATTCGAGGTGGGTGCATATATTCAGCAATGAGGGGGAATAGGAAACGAGCGTCGTAGCAGGCAGACAGTGTTGCCTTTCCGCCCTGCTCTTCCTCAACGATGCAACTCTCGCATTGCTTGCTTGTCGCCTGCGCGGTCGTGCGTCGAAACTCTCGGGCGGGTGGGCGAATGGGCGTCCCAATGTGGGCGGGTGGCCGCTAGTCCTTTGTCGAGGTTGGCTCAAGCGAGACTTCTCGTCGAACTCACCACGGCCAAGAGCGTGAGTGAGTGCGAGCGTGAATGCCGGGCATGGCGAACTACGAACGACGACCAACGACGACGACGACGAGCGTCATCGAGAGGGGATGACGATGACATAACGATGACAAGCTCCCTCTGGTGACTGAGTGCGTAACAAGGGATGCGGGTAAGGGGCTTGGCAAATGTGACCTCATGTTAGGAGATGGATGACGCGGGCACGGACTCTCAGGCACAGGCAGGCGCGGACCAGAGGGGCAAATAGGGTCGAGAGTACGAGCGGAGTAGGAAGACGAGAGATCTTGGAGCAGCCGATGGAAGTGGAATCAGCCGCTGCCGCCTGCGCCTCCGCCGCTCATGCTCAGCCGATCTCGAGGGCAAGAAACCCTAACGAAAGCTGAACAAGAAGCAGGTCATCTCCGTCATTAATCCATTCCTCGAGAGGGCTCAGTCGCTATATCGGCAACTCGTCGCCGCTTTTCGTCCTTGACTCCCTTCCACCCACTCCCACCACCACATCAAGTCATCAACTCACAAATTCCCATTTCGTCCTCCCTTACCTGCTCATACACGCCGCTCAGCCCATCATTCGAAGGCTGTGGGCTCCCGACCTCGTCCTCGACATCTCTAGAAGTCATCGCAAAATTGACACCTCGTCACCTCCCCACTCCCGCTGAGAACGCGCCGCACGCTAGCTAGATAGCCTGCTCAAGATGCCCGCTCCTCTGCTCGACCCCAACGACCCTCAGGTCCAACTTGTCCAGAAGTACGGACCTTACGGCTACCAGCCTAAGCTCGCCCCCGCCGTCGTCTTTACAGTAGGTGAGTGGCATCTCCGAGGACGAGGCAAAAGAGCGCCTGTATGCTGAAGTCTTGTCCGCCCCCCGCTCGACATCCACCCAGTCTACGCTCTCTTGGCCTTGGTGCACCTTGGCCTGACCGTCAAGTCTCGCCAATGGTGGCTCATCGTTCTCGCACTCGGAGCCGGCTTTGAAACGGCAGGCAATGCTCTCAGGATCTACGGTCACTTCTACGCGACCGTCACGGACCCTTACATCGCCATGCAAGTCCTCGTTGTGGTCACGCCGGCCTTCTTCGCTGCTATCCATTTTGCAATTCTGGGCAAGGTCCTCATCTTGTTCGGGCGCAAATTCTGCTTCGTCCCCCCCAAGTTGATCATTCCCTTCTTCGTTACCCTCGATGTCGCCTCCCTCGCCATCCAGGGCGGAGGGTCGGGCATCGCCGCTACCAATGAGATCCGCGGTCGTGACCCGACCAGCGGAGCCAACATCGTCGTAGGCGGTCTCGCCGTGCAGCTCCTGGGCTACTGCATCTTCGACTTCCTCGCAATCCTCTTCGCATTCAAGGCCTTTCCCGCCGGTGAGCCCGTGGCTCCACCTAAGCTCTGGAATCGCAAGATGAAGATCGGTGTAATCATGGCCTTCATCTCTGCCCTCCTCGTCTTGACCCGATCCTGCTTCCGTACTGGAGAGATGGCCGAAGGCTGGATCGGCCCTGTAGCACAGAAAGAGTGGCTCTACTACGTCTTCGATGCCACCCCCGTCTCGGCTGCTGTGCTCATCCTGGCTATCTGGCATCCTAGCTTCTACTTGCCCAGCAAGATTGAGCCACCCGCTGAGGAGCGCAACGCGGACAACGAAGCCATCGAGGCCACTCCCAGGGCGAGCCCGCATCTCGAGAAGGGAGGAAGCCACGACAGCCGCGGATCCTTCCGATCCCAGGGCCAGGGTGATGGTGCCGATACGCTCATGAGCCCTACCGTCGCCGGATCGATCCACGAGGACAAGAAGGGAGAGGGCTTCGGATCTGCTGAAAACTCGCATGACAATCAGTTCAGCACCTTCGGTAGCCACCAGCAGCCCCCTTCCTTCGCTCACCTCGAGCCGGGATCGCAGATGGAGGACAGCCCTCTCGCTCGCACCAACTGAGCAAAGGATGTCAGCGACGACATCAACGACGTCTTGACCCGCGCGTACTCTCTCCCCCTCCCTCACCCTTTACCATCCTCCCACCCGCATTCACGGCTCGCCCTCTTCGCGCTCCTCCTACCTTCTCGATGCGATACTCTTTTCCGTAGCGCAGAGCATCCGCTTGCAGCACGAAGGTAGCGTATCGCCCGAGAGTAGTAGAGTGTATGCACATCATCAAGCAAGCAGCGAAAACCGAGCCGTCGGGTGTGTCCATCGTCATCGCCGTGGCTGGCCCACTCTCCTAGCCTTACCAACATGTAGCACACCACCGCCATTGGCGCCTACGAGCGTCAGCTCACTCGACCTGATATCAGCCGCATACCTCATCAAAATCACCAGCCACAGCTTCGCCCTCCTCCCCTACATCGACCAGACTCTGCCCCTTCTTCCTCTTCCATCTCAATGCGCCCGATTTCTCTTCCTAGCCACTCAAAAGCGACCCCTCAACTACCATGTCCGCTCCTCTCTTCACCCATATCGATGACGCATCAGGCCATATTACACAAAATCAAGCCGCGCGCCTCTTGACTCGTCAAGTCCAAGCTTCTTCTTTCTCAAGATAGTAGACAAATACGTCTCATATGATGTTCGTCAGTGTGATGCAGGTCGCCCGTCATCAAGGAGTCACGCAGGGTCTCAGTCTCGTAACACACACGCCTGCTCATCCCTCAGCCGTCGTCATGCTGATGCTGCTCTTCCATTCCTCTCGTACCGTACAATTTCGCCCACCGCCTCTCAATGAGGCTCTCTCCATCTATGAATGGTGGTACTGGCCGATGATGCCTCTAGTAGCGGTGGTAGTCGTGACATGACACTCATTAGCTTCGACCAGTGTGCAGAGATCCTCATTTGCTGCCTGAGTCGTCCTTCTTTGCCTGCTCATCCTTTGCCTCTTCTGCATTGTCCTTGCCCTTGCCCTTGTCATCCTGCTCCTGCTCCTGCTCCTCCTTGCCGGGCTCGGCGGAAGAGCCAGTCTCGGTCGAGTCGGTGGTAGCAGGCTTTGACGCTTCTGATGAGGCTGAAAAAGCCAAGGAGAGGGAGATGCGAGGTCAGCAGTCTGCTCGTTGCTACCACTGGATCGATCGTACGGCCGACGCAGCCTGGCAGAAATTGCAGTGAGAACAGGGGAGGAGAAGGGGAGAGAGGCGGCACCCACCTTGGCAGAGGCCTCGACGAGGCTGCCGCTACAATGCAGGCTCACTCTCGACCCATGAGCTTCTTCCAAAAGCCGCCGAGGAGGCCGCTACCTCCTCCTCCTCCTCCCTCCTGGCCCCTGCCGCCGCTGCCTGCCGATCCATCACTGGCGCTCTGATCCGGAGACGTACCCTTCGATGCTGTTGAGTCCGTTGACGAGGCCGGGGATGCCTTGTTGTTGCCCTCCTCGCCAGACTTAGTTGACGTCGTCGAGGCCTTGCCCTTCTTACCCGCCGTCTCGCTGTTGCTCGAACTCGGCGAAGATGACGCTGGTGGTGGCTGCTGCGGTGGCGGCGCCGTTGTCGTCTGGGTCGTCCTGCCTTCGACATCGTCTGCATACATTTGCAGAATCTCCTTTTGCCTCTTCGTCAAGCTCCTGGGGATGGCCACCTCGAATCCAACAAGTAGGTCTCCCTTGTCATTGCCACTCCTCCTGCTGAGCAGATTCGCCACACCACGCCCGCGAAGGAGCATCTCGTCCCCAACCTGTGTACCAGGGGGCACGCGTACCTCTACGTCTCCCTCGAGTGTAGGTACCCTGACTCGCCCGCCGAGCAGAGCAACATGGATGGGTACCTTGGCCGCGTAGTGCAGGTTGGCCCCCTGGCGACGCCAGACGTTGCTCTTGCGTACGTGAATGCGCACGTAGAGACTACCAGCCGGCCCCTTGCCTTCCAGTGGCGCATCGCCCGCCCCCTCCAGCCTAATCTTGGCTCCGTCATCTACGCCGGGAGGGATCTTGACCTGTACCGTCTTCCTTCCCCTCACTCGGCCTACCCCCTCACAATCCCCGCAGGCATCGCCCGGCGCGACTGTAGATCCAGCGCCTCCGCATGCGGGGCAGGTGGACGCCATCTGGAATCCGGACTGGATGACAAAGGTACGCGTTCCCGTACCATTGCAGACTGTGCAGGTTGACTTGCGAGCTCCCTTGCGCAACCCATCCCCAGAGCAGGTGCCGCAGCGCTCGACAGGGTGGACCGTAATACTGCGCGAGGCGCCCAGGCAAGCCTCCTCGAAAGACACTGTCACAGAGGTCTCGAGGTCATCGCCGCGAGTCTCGCCAGCAAAGCCTGCGCCTCGAGCACGAGCTCCTCCAGCGCCTCCTCCGCCGCCAAAGGCGCCGAAGAGCGACTCGAAGATGTCTGACGGATTGCCTCCCATGCCACCCTGCGGTCCACCACCGAAGCCAGCGAAGCCTCCGAATCCTCCGCCGAATGGACTGCCACCCCCACCGCCTCCTCCGAACGGATCGAACCCGCTGCTCCCATCCGTAGTCCCATACTGATCAAAGGCCTTCTTCTTGCCTTCGTCGCTGAGAATGTCATACGCTGTCTGAATCTCAACGAACTTCTCTTTCGCCTTGTCGGATTTGTCCGGGTTGGTGTCCGGGTGGTGCTTCTTTGCCAGCTGGTAGTAGGCGGATTTGATGTCCTTTGATGAGGCGGAGCGTGGCACGCCGAGGGTGGCGTAAGGGTCTTTTACTGATGCGCGACTGGACGGAGTGGAGTGGAAGCTACGTCTGTGAGAAGGTTGAGGAGCTGACGTGGTCCTTCTGAGCCGCGATGATGATGGTGAGGAGATCGTGTTGCTGTCGTGTGAGATGCGGGTGGACAAGCATCGACCAGTCGAAGTCGAAGGTCCAGGCCGTGAGCGCGGCGCCTGGTTGGCCGGCCCTGCAGTGAGGCCAGCGAGCAGTGTTGTAGCCGCTGATGCTGCCGTTGAGGTTGCTCTCAATATCGTGGGCGGCGGCATGCTGGTCAGTGGAATCCCAGTGTTGGTGACGAGGAGGAAGATGCTGCGCGTGCTTTCAAAGCCGCCTTGACCGACTCCAAAATCTTCGAGAAGGCGGCGCAAGAGGCGGAGGCGGGAGGCGGGAGGCGGGGCCAAGGCACACCGCGACCTCGCCGGCCCGCGCGGACTGGCGGCCAGGCGGGAGCGGCAAAGAGCTTTGAGGCGGCGTCGACTACGAGGACCGAGGAGCAGGCTACCATGCCACGGTGAGCAGGTTGAGAGCTTCGAGTACCGTTCAAAGTGCACAGGCTCGTTACAGTCGCTCTCAGAGTCGAATCAAATCTATTGGAACATCGCGGCTACATTCATCCGCCTCTCTCTCTCTCGCACGCCTACTTCTTGCCCAACTGCTCGCTAGCCACGACCTTCCCGTCGACCTCCTTCTCGACTTCCTTGGCAATCTCCTCCAGCTTGGCCACATCAAAGCCGATGACAGAGACATCTACTCCAGAGCCAAACTTGGGGTACGAGCCCACCTTGATGTCGAGGGGCTTGCACTTGTCTGTCAGGCGTTGCAGGAAGGGAGAAATGGAGGATTCGGGCATCTGTGCGCGGGAGGAGGGGATCAGCAAGGATGAATGCGTCAGATAATTGAGTTGATCCATAACTGGTATCGCGCGCGCTCACCTTGGTGTGGACCAGGATACGGTGGGGCTTGGGCTTGTTAGGATCGAGTGGGACGTATGCCTCCAGGCCATTGAGGAGGGCTTCGAAAAGGCGCGGGCTGGCAGCGAAGATAGAGGAGCAGTCTGTCAGTATTCAGGCCCTCTTACCCTCGCCGTCAGTACTCACACGCCCGGTAGAATGTGCACCCTCCCCTGCATCCTCACCACCGGCACCCACAACTCCTCACAAGGGAAGATGACGTCTACCCCACCCTGATCACCGCCAGAGGGGAAGAGGGCCATCCTCTTCCTCGCAGTCAGCATCTCCTCCGTCTGCTCGTGCGAGTAGCTGCGAGTCTTCTGATGGGCTTCCATACGGCGCAGCGTCTCGTCATGGTACTCGAGGGGCAGGCAATTGAAAGCTTTGCCTTGCGACTCGTACGTGATGTCGTCCGGCGTGGGGCCGCTGCGGGCAAGGGGTATGAAAGGCAGTGATGATCAGTCTGCAAAGTCGCGCGATGCCTTCGAGCTCTCTGGCCCCACTCACATGCCCCCTGAAGTGACTACAAAGTCGTAGTTCTTCGCAAAACGGGTGACGGCTTCGCCAATCTCCTGCTCGTCGTCCGCAATGACCTCAATTCTCTTGAGCTCGATCCCAAGATCGAAGCACCACTTCGCGAGATAGTTCGAGTTGGAGTCCTTCGTCTTGCCATTGAGCACCTCGTCGCCGATGATGAGACAGCCAGCCGTATTGACAAACTTGCCTGGACCAAGAGGCTGATTGTATTTGCTAGGGTCGCTGCGCGGGAATTTCGGAGTCTCCTTGGAGAGAGGTTGAGATTGACCGCCAGAGCCACTGTTAGTGGACTGTGAGGCGCCCGTAGGCTTAGAGGTGGACATGCTGCGATGCGCGAGGGCGAAGGAAGGGGTGGGACAAGAGGCGGGGCTGGCGAAGCTGCTCAGATGATTGGAGATGAGGCGTAGTCGTGGAATGGAGCGCGGTAGCATCGAGAGCGAAGGATGCCAGGGGGCCGTCGATGGACAGCCTGAGGGTGGGCGGACAGTGAGTCTGATTGCAAGATACGAAAGGACGGTTGTTATCCACGCCGCCTTCCGAGACGACGCTTTCCACTCGCCGCTGCCTCCACCCCCGCTCGGACGATTTGGCTGAATCAGCGATACGGACGGCGGACGGAGCTGCGTCTGCTTCTCTCAACCAACACTTCAATCAGGCACTCTGAAAGACGTTAGGTGATTTCATTTCTCTTCGTGATCTTGGTGTGATCTTCGTGGTGTTGGTGCTCATGACTTCATGACAAGTTGCTTCTTCTCTCTGGCCGGTACCCTTCTTTACTTGGCCGCCGAGCCCCCAGCGAGATCGGCCACTCCGAATCTGTTCGAGCCACGGTCCCACACGCTCACAAAGTTACGGAGCATCGCATCCCCGAGGATCCAGCCATCTAGACCAATGTCCTGCCCAACGATGGACAGCACCTTGTTCCCATTTCCATCATCACCAAAGACGGCACTCTCGTCAGAGAGGGTGACCTGCTTGCCCGCCAGCTCAAATGTGATCTTGGGCACCGTGTCGCCCGTGAGGACGCCGTACGTAGCCCCACCCTCGTTCTGCGCCTTGACGCCGTCGAGAGAGTCGAAGAGCTGCTGGACCTGAGAGGGAGAGCCGATGATGAGCGTTGTTCCCGTGTCGCCGATAGCGTTGATTTGGATGCCGTTCACGCTCGTCTGCTCGAGCGTCCAAAAGCCCTGCGAAGAGTCGACGGGAACCCAGTGAGGGGTGCCGGTAGCCTTGGACGAGATCTGGCCGAGAGTGAGCTCGGAGCCCTGCGTAAGAGCAAGAGAAGGAGGAGATGGTGCGGGCGGCGAAAGGTCAATCACGATCCCTCGAGCATCACAACCATCCAGTCGCCGCTCACCGTCTCTGCGAAAAAGAAGCTGAAGAGGGGCTGCTTGAGCACGTTGGCCTTCATGAGCGAGTCGAAGTAGGGAGGATACTTGGATCCGAACGTAGCCAAGCTCGGGAAAGCCATGCCGCTGATCCCTTGGCTGCCTCCCTCCTGCGCGCTGTTGATGAACGTCGTGGTGGAGAGACCGATGGCTACATCCTTGACTGCTGGAAGCCCGCCAATCTCGAGCGTGTCGAGGTAGACGTGGCCTTGAGCCTTCGTCCCGTCGCCGTAGGCGGTGGAGAAAGTCTTGTTCGTCTGCGTAGCCGTCTTGCCTGGCTTGTAGGCGTCCTTATTGACGAGGGTGTCGCTCGAGCCTGTGGATGAGGGTCAGACGAGTAGGAGAAGGGGACTTGGTCAGAGGCAGAAGACTCGCACCACGAGCTCTGCGTGAGACGTGCCACGCACCGGTATCAAAATCGATCTTAAACGTCTGTCCACCAAAGCTGATAGGACCAGTCCAGAGCTCGTTCTGTTCATCTTCGAGGCTCACATCACCCGCCCCCTTGATGAGCATGCTGCCGCCCTCGCCCGCATGGTGACGAGGGTGCTTCTTGCCGACGTTGCTCTCGTAGGCGGAGAGGCAGCGTTGGTACTTGTGGGCTACGAGCTTGAGATGGCCATTGAGCTTGGCAAAGTCGACGGTCTTGCCGTCCGACGAGTGGAGGTGCTTAGTGTTCTTGCTGAGTGTGATCGGGGAGGAGGCCATTTTGCTGTGATTAGGGTGGAGACTGTTGAGGCAGGAGGTGAAAAGGCTCATCGTGGGCGTACGACGTCTTTATACAGACTAGAATCGGGGGTGGTGGTCGAGGATACGGTGGAGTGAGCAAGAGGGAAGGGGTGCAAGCACCGCCTCATCGAGAGATGAACGGACAAGCTTTAACGTTGGACACCGAGGGACGAGCGTCGACGAGGCGTGCCCCTGAGTCATTCTGTTGGTGGATGCGTGGGTGCCGGCGACGGAGGCGAGGTGAGCAACGAAGCTGAGCCGTCGGCGGGAAGCTAGCTTGCTGACTGTCAGTTGAGTGTGTGCGGTGAGTGTGTGCGTCTGTGCACTTTTGTGTGTGTGAGGGAACGCACGCACGCTCCACCTGGAGATACCGGACCCAATGGGCCAACTCTATCTCCAGCTCCTCCCTCACTGGACGCGCTCTCACATCTCACGAGCGCCCCTGACTCTGAGCCGACTTAATTTATGCTCATTGCAGACGGTTGGCGCGTGCAACGTCGTCCGCCGTGACTTGACGTTGACTGAGCCCCACGGGCCGAGCGAGCTACAGCGGGAGAAGGCGGTGAAGCGGCGGCAATTGCGGCGGTGCTCCTGTCGCTCGCCTTCGCTTCGACTTGAATAGAGTTGGCCGGCGGGCTGTTCAACGGCCAATCAACACACAAAGTGACGACATTGCACCGTGCTCGTCCTGCTTGAAGGATGGCAGGGACCACGTCTTACGATCAAGACGGCAAGCGTCACGAATGACCAAAGTCGCGAATGATCAAAGCCAGACAGGGTCGGCGAACCAAGCTTGAAGCCCCATCGCTACATCAGAGGGGTGCATGTCTCATGACGAGGCTGTGCGTGCCAGGAATGATGATCCATTCGGGGCGAGCCCGGATAGGAGCTAACGAGCGACTTGTTACGAAGGCATGGCAGAGCGAAATGGCGGCTGGCGGAAGTCAATGGCTTGGACAACGAGTGGTACCCAAGGCATTATGAGCCCGATCGGTAAGAGGAAAGCGCATGCGTCGCTATTATCGGGCAGCGAGTAAAGCGCGAGCGCCAACGGACGTTGCTCCTACGAGCGCAAGGTTGACCAATCAGCCAGGTCAACTCAAGCCATGGTGTCTATGAATCTACCTCGTGGCGTAGTGACGGTACGGGTCCGACCTCATTGCCACGATCACCTGCAGTCACAAGTCTTCTCCTTCCTCCCACATCGCAAAGCGATTCCAGCCTCCGCCTGAGCCACTGCTGCCCGCAACCGGCTTTCGAAAACCCAGATCATCGTCCTCAAGTGTGGCTTGACGCCATGACCCTTTGCTACCATCGGTCCCGCAGAGGTATTGACACCCCGCCCCGTCGCCGACTAATCGTAAGTACCCGGTGAGCGCGTACCCGTCGAGCGCTCACCTCATCATGGGACGGGTCAGGGGTCGACGGGCTCTGGATAATCAGCCGGTAGGGAGATCGAGGTAGTGGACATTCATATTCAGCTGGCGAGGCCATGGTCGTGGACATCAGCATCGCCGGCCTTGACAGTGGAGAAAGATCTAGCCTCTGAACGGGGCGTAACCCAGCAGTGGCCGTTCATGGTCCCGTTGGAAAAGCTCAGCCCTGGCTTCAGCCACAGCGTCTGACTAGCTACCGATGACGAGGGTCAATGAAGATTACGGCGTAACGGCCGATGACTGGTCGAGCAGAGGGACACTAATTGCTGTTCACATCTTCACGGTCGCATGGTGGCGTACCGGTGCTGAAACAATGACGGTCGAACGAGCGACGTAGCGACCGAGCGCATTCGTGTGCGCGCGGGGTGATGCGAAAGCGTGACCTCGTGCTTTGAAATGTTGAATCTGCCAGCAGCAAAAATGTGCGTAGAGTGGCGTTCGAGACAGTACATACGTCGCCGTTGTCGCCGACGTCGCCATCGCGGCGGACGCGTGGCTGCTGCCGGCAGCCTTCTTTCGTCGCCTTCGTGTGATGATGATGATGGTGGTGCCTCTCTCTCCATGCCCCTCCGCGGCGCTGCTGTCAAGCCACCAAACAATACTACCGTCCGCCGGCGCCGCCCAGCGCTTGCTCTGCTGCTCGTCGGTCGTCCTCAGCGCGCCTCGCCGACGCCCAGATGCTCGCTGCTCGCTGCTAAAAACGGTGGCTTGGCCAAGCTTTGCCTGTCGTTGGCGGCTGCTTTGCCGAAACAGGGTCCGACGACGACGACGCTGCTGCTGCTGCGAGGCTGCGCAGTCCTGCCCTTCTACCACACGACGCCTCCCTCTAATTTCACTGAACCCTCTCCAAGCCACACTACGCCCTCCCACTATGCCCAGCGTACCCACGCCTCGCGCTTGACTTGTCAACTCCGGTATCACAGCCATGCTGCCAGCTTTCGAAAGAGAAGGCAAACTGGACAAGGTCAAGACTCAGCAGGTCGAGGTCGCCCGCTGCAACTTCGAGCGGCGCCCTTGACAAGCACAAGCGCGAGAATGGCGCATCTCGCTCTGGATTGAGCCTCCGTCCTCGTCGTTGCCCTCACCGCCCTCATCGCCGCTTCAGCTCGAGCCTTTGTCCCCTTTCGTTCGGTCATTGCCCTTCGGTCCTCGTCACTGCTTGCCAGTCAAGCTCAGCCACCTCATTGACTCGAGCAAGACCGCGAGCAAGACCGTGTGAAGAGGGTCTCCCGTCGGGCCCCGTCAGAGATCCGTTCTAGAGCGGATTCTTGTTGGTGCGGTGAGCGAACCCAGATCAGCTAGGACGAGTCGCAGCAGCACAAGCGGCTGTTTTCAGCGACGAGTCAATAAGCATTGAGCTAGCCGTCGGACGCCAACACCGCACCACCGATCAGCCACACTCTTGCGCCTCGCTCTCTTCTGTCGTGGGAGCAATTCAGAGACTGAGCTTGACGAAGCTGGCAGGCGCTGTCATTTGATCGACCCAAGCAGGTGGCATTGCTCGCCGCTCGTTGGCTTCAGCGCTGGCATCCACCGTCATCCACCACCACCACCATCATCATCACCGCCTATCCTCCGTACTATCATCATCTCGCTCGTCCTTCCTCATCGTCACCCGACCGCTGCATTGAACTCACGTTTGCTAGCAACAAATTGCAGTCGTGTGCCTAGCTTGATACCGACCAGGGCTGATCATTGATCGACGCCATCTCAACCCAAGCCTACGCCTAGAGCAGCGGCAAATCTCGTGAAGAGCTGGGCGACTGATCGAAGTCTTGTGCGGAGGCGATGGCCGACACGACTTCAACGTCCACCCCAACTCAAGCTCGTTCCAAGATGAGGCCAACCGCAGTGGCTGGGCCTCACGATCATATGGCTGAACCGCGTATCTTTCGAGACGAGCGCAAGCAGAGTCTGCGTCTGGATCTCGAAGGACTTGATCTGGGAGGACCATCTACTCTCTTCGATGTAGCGGCTGCTCAGCAAGCAGCGTCGTCGTCGTCGTCATCCGACCGCAAGGCCGCCTCGCCTCGCATCAAGTCCATCGGTAGATCACCGCTTCGTACGAGGCGCTCTCCGTCAAAGGCTGCGACAACCGAAGACACCTTTGTAGCTCACCTCAGATCCAATTGCTTGGCCGCCAACGAGATCCTGCCCTCCGAAGTCATGCTGGACCCGAAGAGCTTGTCACCACCATCCCAGCTCGACCACCATTTTAATACAACCTCAATGTGGGATCGTCCTGCGGCCGCATCTCCTCACCAAGTCCTGGGAGGCTTTGCTTCGCTCGGCCCTACGTCGTGGACCAACTCGCAACCATTCCTTCCACCGTCGATGAGGTCAAGTCTCGAGTGCGATACGTGCTGTCAACAGGCGGCGAGCTCGTCTGTAGGGAGCACGCTGGAGCCACGCCCACACGACGCTATGCATGTGTTGGACCTCATGTCGGTCGATGAGATGGGTACACATTCGATCAATGTCGGCAATCGCGATGACTGGCAGGGAGCCCTTCTCGCTCCGTCGGCAAGCTCACCACTTTCACCAGAGGAGGCTTCGACGGCATGGATGTCAGCACGCTCGACACAAGCTAAGCGCAAGTGGATCGTCGCCCCCTTGCTCGCTGACGACGAGACAGCAGCGTCACGTACCATTGTCGTCTCGGACAAGGCTGCCATGTCGAGGATTCAGTACGCCTTCTCCTCGTCCAGCGCTGCGAGCACAAGCAACCACAAGCCACCAGCAGCGTTCTCTGGTCTTGCACACTTTGAGTTGCGATCTCTTCGGGAGGGACTGTCCAAGCCAGGCGTCGTACTTGCCAACCCGTCGACGCTGCGGGTACTTTACTCGACAGACCTGGGAAGTCGACGCGCAAGCTCACGACGTGTTGAAAGCTTGAGCAGCTCGAGGCTTTCGGTCGACCACCCTTCACCTGCTTCTACCCTCAGGCGTACGCGTTCACGCCCAGCGCTCAAGTACGGTGCGCTCGACCACTACGATGAGCTTTCAAACAGGGAGCAGCAGCTCGTTCAGTCACTCGTCTCCTCGGGACTCATTGATGCAGGCACAATCGGCACCAGCAGCGGGGAGGCTATCAATCGCAGAAGAGCATCGTTGGACGAGCCTCGGCGCAGCATGGAGGACTATGACAAAGGACAAGGCGGCGCATCCCTCGACACAATCATGGCGGCGTCGAAAAACACCGCTCAGCCACAACCAGTCAGCCCTCTCTCACCGATCTCACCAACAGCGCCACTTCCCGCGCCTACAGCCATGGCTCAATCGAGGACATGGAACGAGCAGGAGCAGGAGGTAGAACAGCAGCGCCAAAGACAGGGGGCAGAGCAGCGAGACTTGCTACGACCCCGCGCAGCTACCACGTCCCTCGATCCGTTTCCCTCATCTCGCCAGCAAAGAAGGACTGCAACCAGCGGCGGCAAGCTCGGGGAGTGGCTCAAGCGCAAGATCTCAGGCCACGTCGGCGCCTCATCCTCCTCTCCCTCATCCGCCTCGTCGCCTTTCGCTTCGCCGCAGCTGCCATACGGCCGCAGAGGAAGTGCTAGTGACGAGGAGCTGGTCCTCAATGCGGGCAAGGCGCAGAGGAGGCAGGGGTTGGGTCTAGGTATCATGCCACAGCAAAGCATGAAGGCGATGCGGGTTAAAGCGCCCGCTCCCACGTCGATGGGTCTGTGGCTGCCACCCGCTGTCCCTCCCCCAGCGTTTCCCAAGGTATCAGCAGTCTCCTCACCTCCTCTCGCGTCTCCCATGCGTACTCCTACCGCATTGCTAGGTCTCAACGATGTGTCCGAAGACGCTCTCACTATGCTCATTCCGCTGGGGAGCGATGCCGACCGCAGGCGAAGAGCACCACGTCGCTACTTGCGCGTCACATTCGTTCCTTTCAGCGGCCAAGACAATGTTCAAGCACAGCCACATCGTCACCGTCACCATCGCCATCAGACCTCGTACCTGCCTCCCAACAAGGGCAGAAGCATGGAGGAGCGACGCACGACCATCACGCCTGGGAACGCCAGTCGAGACACATTTGAGTCCTCACCTGCTTCGCCCACAATGACGACTTCTACATCCAACTCCTCTTCAGCCTCGGCCGTCTCCTCGACGTCGTCCTCTGCCGTGGGTGGAGTGGCGGTGGCGGCGGCTCAGGCTGCGACAGGATGGCTGCAGAGGAGGCGGGTCAAGACTAGCGGGGCCGAGAGAGAGCAGGCACAACAGCAGCTTGAGAGGGACGAGATGAATATCACCTCGCTGCCGATTTTCACCTCAACGCTTCTCTCGCCTACGTCCACCCTCGCCCCTCTTACGAGCCTCGAAGGCGAAGGCGCTTCATCGTCCAACCGTCGTGCGTCGCACGTCGAAGCGTTCCGAGTCACAGCCCTCGTTGTGGGGGACAATAGCGTCGGTCCTTCCTCCTCATCGCTGCTACCCGAGCCAGGCACCTTTCCCGTCGTGCTGGCCGTCTGTCTCGCAGGCAAATCGTCGCTCGACCTCGTGGCTGAAGGATGGGATTCATTGGGTCTGGAGACGTCTGGAAGCAGTGGGGATGAGAAGAGCCCAATGTTCCGGGTAGCTGATACTATATTGGCTGCTTGCGCTGCGGTAATGGATTTGTGAGGGTGAGGGTGAGGGAGAGGTAGGGAGAGGGGAGAGGGGAGAGGGGAGAGGGGAGAGGGGAGGGGAAAGCGGCTCCGTTTCATTCTGGTCTTCTGCGCATCTATCATACCCACGTCATCTCATCAATGGCATTGCCCTCTAACGAGCTTCTTTCTCTTCGTCTGCGTTCCTTCTGACTGCATTCTCGGCGCCATCATCGTCACATCAGAACGCCAGGAGCTCATCGCCGTTGCTTCACTTGATTGTAGTAGGTCGGAGTCCGAAATCCTCTGCTGCTCTGCTCTCGGCATTGCGCGCTGCGGGCGGTCTCTCGCTCGGCCGGGTTGGGCCAGCCCGACAAATCTGGCCTGGCCGCCCCGCCAACCCTGGCTCTCACTCTGTCCGCCCGCCTGTCACGACCTTCTTCCGATCCCCCGTCCTCCTTACCACCACCCTTCACTTCCTCACATCATCAACCATGGAGAACGTTAACGTGGGTATCAGCGGGAGACGCTACGCGCGAGACAGCCACGACGGATGATGGATGATGGAGAGGGACAGCAGTAGGAGGGGGCGAAGCTTTTCGTGGCCCTTGTTGAAGGAAGGCTACAGAGGATGCGGGAAAGGGCGTCGTACACGGGGGGACAGACTTAAGCTGCAGACGAGACGTCTTTCATGCTGCTTGACAGCAGCGATGCTGTCCTGGGCCTCGTTGAGAGCACGCAACGAGAGGCGGAAGACGTGCAATTCGGACCTCAACTGGACCTCCAATCTCAAAGAGCGAACCCTTTACTGACGCCCTCCTCACGCCTCACTCTCGCAGGGTGACCTCGTCGACCTCTACGTCCCGCGCAAGTGCGCTGCCACCGGCCGCATCATCGAGGCCAAGGACCACGCTTCGGTCCAGATTGCCGTCGGCGACGTCGACGAGAATGGCCGTCTGATCCAGGGTCAGGCCACCACTTTCCCCCTCTCTGGCTACGTTCGCAAGGCTGGGGAGAGCGACGACTCGCTCAACAGGCTGGCTACCAAGGAGGGTCGTGAGTATCCGGATGACGAGCAGACATGATTGTTTCGAGACGCGAGAGAGAGGGGAGGGCCAGAGCGATTACAGAGCTGGAGGGACCGTGGAGGGGAAGGCATGCGCAAAACGCTCCAGACAGTCTGCCTTCGACGACCTCTACGACGATGGCAGGATTCCAGAAGATGTCCTTCTGATAACATGAGCGGACATCAACATTGCGGGGCTGGATAAGAACTTGTCGGGTCGTCTCCGTAGGGGACACTTCAGTGGCCTCTCGAGTGTCAGACCGGCCCCACATCCCTGACGAAGAGGGAACGAGAAGGAAGAGATGCGATGGGTCAGAAGTACGGAGGAATGGCGCAGGAGCAGAAACCCACGCACTTCAATCTGCAACGTACTGACCACCTCCCATCCCCCCTCCGCATCTCTTTAGTCCTCCGCGGTGTCTGGTCGTACCAGAAGTAAGCGGAACATGATCGTCAGCAAACGAGAGTTATCAGCTCTCATAGATCAGTGCCTTCTAGCTTCTTCTTATCTTGTACCATTCTGCGCTCGTTACCTGTCACACGCATCGACAATACGAGTCCATTCTCTCTCATCGCCCTCTTCGTAGACCGACCGTGATGGCCCGATCGATCACGGCCTCACGGGATCGCAGCGTGCGCGGGCGCGCGGGAAGCTGAGCTTGTGTCCGTCTCTGTTCTCGTATTGGTACTCAGAAGAGAGGCCTGAGCACGTCGACTTCGCGCCCAGCCCGCTCTTGAGTGAATTTGCCTCCGTAGCTGCCCGCCGTCGCCATCCTCGACGACGGTATCCGCCCTCTTCGCCTTGCCTGGCTCGTCGTGGCCGTGGTGGCCCTGGCCCTGGCCCTTGCGCCCCGCATCATCTCTCATCGCGAAAGGGTAGCCGCCTGCAGCAGTCAAGCAGTGTGTGTCTTTTGGCGGGCCGACGGGCGGCCGCGGCCAGGCCAGCCTGCTTTTCCGCCCCCGCTCAACCGCCCACCTGCTCATTGGCCAGTCGCTGCTGCTGCTGCTGCTGCTGCTCAGGAGCGTGGAGAGGCAGCCCAAGCGCAACCAACACCTGATCCATCCCTTCCATCATCGCGTCTCGATCACTGAGGCAAGCAGTACGGCCCCCTCACCCTCCTTGACCTCTCGCCGGTACACGTCAACCCTCGTCACAGGGCTTCTCGCGCAACACGCTAACGCCAACGCGCGCATTCTCGCTCCTACCTTGCCTCGACACCTTCCTCGTCCTCTGCATCCGCTGCACACGTCGGTTGCTATTGCTCATTCCTCCTTCTGCGGCGACATTCAGCTGGCGCGATCGGATCGCCATCAACGTTGCCTGACTTGCGATTTGACGAGACTATCACATCTCTTCAAGCCTCGAGCTCAGCAACACGACGAGACAGGCTGGCCAGTCGTCGTCGTGGGCCTCTAGGCGCTGCATTCATTGAGCGACAGCAACAGCAGCAGCAGCAGCTGCCACAGCGACATTATGTCGCAATCAACCTTCTTGAGCCCAGATGCGGCTCATCATCAACAGCAGCAGCAGCAGCAGCAGCAGCAACTCCTCCACCAGCAACAGCAGCAGCAGCACATCCACCCTTCTCATCTTCAGCACTCGCAGCTCCCACCTGGCTTCGATGCATTCGGCGGTACAGACAGCTTCTTCAGCGGAGATGCCTTGTGGGGCATGGGTGGCGGCGGAGCAGCTGCGCAACAGATGGTAGCCGCCATGAGCGCACCACCCCCAAGTCAGTCGTCGACGTCTGCCGCAGGATCGCCGGCCTCGAATGGTCGGGGACCCAGCGGAAGCAGTGCGCCGATGAAACGGCGTACGGGGTCGTCGATGGGTCGCTCGCCTTCCAATGCAGATGGAGCCTCACCACTGCACCTTCAGGCGGCTCAATCTGCTCACTCGTCGCAGACATCGTCGCCTAATCACCAGCAGACGGCCTTCTTCAGCGGGGGAGCAATGGCCTCCTCTCCCACCTCGCAGCAATTCACCAGCGGCGCTGATGCCTCGACCACCACACCAGGCCCGCATCGGGGCAATAGCCACGCCAACACCATGGGTACTCACTTCACCATGCCCGATCGCTCGGATAGTCTGCAGTCTCTCAGCGGCTTTGACCTCAAGATGGGAGACGACCAGCAGCAACAGCAGCAAGGCACGCCCGGCTCTTCGGGGGAGCGAGGGGCATCTGGTGCGGCCGGTACATCGGGGGCAGACGGCGCCGGTGAAGGCGCAGATTCGGCGGCCGAGAAGAACAAGTCAAGCCGCTTCGTCTTCAAGCTGATGAGAATGGTCTCTGACCCAGAGTCGCAGCACTTGATTAGCTTCAATCCTTCGGGGACCAGCGTGGTGGTCACCAACTTTGATGACTTTGCCAAGGAGGTGTAAGTATGCGGGAGAGAGACAGAGGGGCTAATGGCGACAATGGAGCTGACCTTCTTGATCGTTTCCCCTCGATGCCTGCAGTTTGCCCAAGCACTTCAAGCACAGCAACTTCTCCTCCTTCATCCGCCAATTGAACATGTACGGCTTCTACAAGGTGAACAAAACTCCTCGGGGCCAGCGAACAACGAATGATTCTCAAGTCTGGGAGTTCTCCCACCCCAAGTTCATCCGAGGCCGCACCGACCTCCTCGAAGAGATTCGCCGAAAAGCCCTCGACAACGACCACGCGCGTGTCGAAGCACGCGACTTGCGCTTCAATGTGTCCTTAGGGCAGCTGCAAGTGCGTCACCACCTCGAGGAGATGCAGTGGCGTCTCGACCAGACGATGGAGCAGAACTTCCAGCTGAGGGAGTTTGGCCTCGCGATGCGGGATGTAGTGGCTCAGGTGCTTGAATACATCAAGGCGACGAATGGCGGACAGATGCCCTTTGAAGTCAGGCTGCCGCAGCTGGATCCCTTGGCAATGATGCACAGCCCAATGCCGCCTGCATCTCCCTTTGGCCCCCCGCCGCCGGGAGGGCCGGGCTCGTGGAACATGCTGCCTAGCCAGCCAAGCCCTCAGATGCACTCTGGGCCACAGATGGGGATGATGGGGCCGCCCGGGCATGCTGTCCACCACCAACAGCAGCAACATCAGCAGGACCGACCCTCTATCTTCGTCACTGAGCCTATCGCAGTGGGACCTGGTCATCATCACAACCAAGCAGCAGGAATGGTAGGCTCCGTACCGCCCTCGCCGCAGGACATGAACGGCGCCTTCTCGATGAGCAGCATGGGCAATGTCTCACCATTTGGCCCCTCTTCCAGGCGCGTATCGGGCTCCTCAGATCGACCCGACTTCCCGAGCAACAATCCAGAATATTTTGCCATGCCGAACGTATTTGACGACGGCTCGGGAGGGCAGGGGTCGACGGACAACATGGGCGGGCAAGCGACGATTCGTCCGGGCTTTGCGAACCTGCCCAGGCGTAGCCTATCGAGTCGAAGTGCGTCTAGCAGTGGAGGTGGCGGTCTGAACATCCAGACGAATCTTCCCGAAGGAGGACAGATGATGGGAGCGCCGGGAAGCGCAGGCGCAGGGCCGGGTGCCGCAGGCGGGCCTGGTCCGCAACATGCGCACCTCGGCATGCCAGGAGGAGCACCGCTTAACCCTGGCTTGGGCGTCATGGGCGCGCCCAACTTTGCGGACCCTTCATCATTTCAGCAACAGCAGCACTTTCAGCAGGCCATCAATACGCCGCTCCCTCCCTCGCCGGCCATCCCTGGCTATCACCCGCACGCGCAGAGCATGACTCCGCAGCAGCATCACGCACAGCAGCACTCAAACCAGCAGGGCAACAATTACCCGCACGGCGCCGGTGGTTCTGGCGGGCTGAGCGGCATGAATTCTGCAGCGGCTGCGGCAGCTGCCGCCCACTTCCAAAGCGCGTTTGGTCCTGGGGGTCATGGTGGTTCGGGGGGCGTCTCACCTAGCATGCTGTCCGCTCCGTCGTTCGATGCCGGTTCGGGCATGAATGCTGGGGCAAGCGGGAGTGCGATGGGCACACCGGCCTTGAGCTCTTCGCCATCGTCAAGCTTGCCGTCTGCTTTGCTTGATGATGGAGATGATGAGCACGATGAAGGTGGCCCCTCTAATGGTCTTGGCCTCGATGATGACGAAGATGGCGACGACACCAGCAACTCAACGGCCGCTGACACTAGCCTGGACCTCCTCTCAGCTCCCTCTACGGCAGACACGGTGGCCACCTCGACCACGTCCGCATCCACCTCTCGTCATTCGGCCTCCTCCTCCATCTCCAAGCGTAACAAGAAGGCAATGCGTACCCCGCTGAAGCGCACGGCGAGTGGAAATAATGAGGCGATGGGGACTGGACTCATGGGAATGATGACCCCTGCCGGGGCTGACGCCATGGGTACGCCCACGGGCAGGGGGGCGATGGGTCAGCAGGGACAGGGAAAGAGAAAGACGCCGCATTGAAGTGCGGACCAGGCACTGCGTGCGAAGAGAAAGGGAGCGAGGAAGGAGCTGACCCTCGACAGAGGCAAGAAAAAAAGCTAGCCTTCTCGTTAACTGACGGACACTAAAGAGCGTGCAGTCGTATCGTATACCACCCCACCCCACACTTCCCCATCTCCTTCCTCGACAGCTTTACTGCTTTTCTCTCGCTCGCACGTCTACTTTGTCACACGCTCTGTTGACCTCATCCTGCCACTCGTTATCCTGCCAAAACCCCGCCAAGACCCCCTTCACACACACTCTCTCTCGCGTAGCCGCCACTGCGTTGTGCGCGCTCCACTCTGTTCTAGTATATATCCTGCCAAATTCAGTCGATTGATTCACGAAACGCGACTTGCTAAGCCTGTCAAGACCTGATGTCGAGCTGCACGCCGGGCGTCCAGCTGGGGCAATGCCGTGCTCGTCATAGGGCACTCACGCGCAGCCCGTTCACCGGAAGTAGGGAGAGAAGATATCGAATTGAGATGCTGGACAGAGACGAGATTCTAATAGGTAGGCTGGGCGCACGCTCCGTCGTTAATGCTTGACGCCAGGTCCATGGTTATGGCCCTCGTGCCCCTCCTCCTCATCACGCGGGTCCTGCCAGTCCTCGAACCCATCCTCCCAAATCTCCTGGAGTCGCTCCTCCTTGGCCTGAAGCGTCTTGAGCTTCTTTTTCTTACTCTGCATCACCTGGTCAAAGACCTTCATCTCCGCATTGGTGAGCAAGCACTTGTCCATCGCCTCGGTGATACGCTCCTTGCCTCCCTTGCTCATCTCGAGGCCGATGAAGACGAGCTCTTGACGACGGTCTCCGTATGGACCTTCGAAGTCTGCCTCCATTGCAGCGATGACTTCGGGGTCATCCGACCAGCTCGACTTGGGGACAGTGCACTTCCAAGGGCCAGCACCGGTGAGGGTGAGCATGACTCCGGCCTGTGACCATTCGCCGTACATGCTGGGGCGGGTGGCGAGCCAGAAGAAGCCCTTGGAGCGAAGGAGGGGGGACCAGGTGGGGGATGCCTTCTTGGATGCGAGACGGGCCTTGGGGTTGAGCTGAGGCTGTGCGGCCTCGTCTTCGCCCGAGTCGGTGCGAGCCTTCTTGCTCTTGTCGTCACCACCGTCACTGCCACCGCTGCTATGAACGTCAACGCCTGAGTCGGTCTTGTGCGTCTTGTTCGATGTGGCACTGCTGCTGCGCGCATCATCTGCGTCGCTCATCTCCTCGTCGTCGTCGCTGTCCTCTCCGTCGTCAATGTACTCCTCTTGAATGACGACAAAGACATTGCGGACCGTCTCCCAAAGGCGTTGAGGGTGGAAGGGGCGACGAGCGCGATAGACGAAGGTGCCTACACCGTACTCTTCCGTCTCGGGAAGCACCTCCTCCTGGAGGGAACGAAGCCAGCCGGCAGAGGTGGCTGCCTTGGTGTAGGAGAACATCTTGGTGTTGAGGACCTCGTGCGGATCGAGCTGGGCGTGGCGGCACTGAATGACCTTGGCCGAGGGATTGAGCGTCTTGATGAGGCCGAGAATCTTGGGGATGTCATCGGACTTGACGAGGTCGACCTTGTTGAGGACGACGACGTCTGCGAATTCGAGCTGGTCGACCATCAAGTCAGAAATGTTACGGTCGTCCTCCTCGGGGACGTCCTCCTTGTTGTTGCGGTCGACGAGGAAGTCAGCGGTGTCGAAGTCGGCGAAGATGTTGGCGGCGTCGACTACGGTGACGCAAGTGTCGAGGCGGGAGATGGCGGGCAGGCCGCCTGCAGAGAGGAGCGAGGCGAGTGTGGCTTGCTCTTCCTTCTCAGACTCGGTGAGGGGCTCGCCGGCCTCGTTGGTGCCCTGAGTGGCCATCTGGACGGCGGCGTCCTTCATCATGTCGGTGAACTCGGGCGCGAAAGTCTCTGTGCGATGCGCGTGGATGAGGAGTGTTTTGCGGGTGTCAGTGGCGAAGCTCAATTTGGCCGTTGCTATGGAGCATCTGCTCACCAGCGACCTGCATAGGCTCAGAGACGCCGGAGCTCTCGATGATGAGGTAGTCAACTCGCCCCTCTTTGGCCATCTCGGCGACTTGAGTGAGGAGCTCAGGGCGAAGCGTGCAGCAGATGCAGCCGTTCTGCATCTCGACGATCTTCTGTAGGTCGCGGTTGCGCTCCTTGCTGATTGACGAGACCTGGAAGTTGGGGGCCTCGCCGTCGGTGGCGGGCTTGGAGGCAGCTGCGGCGGCGCCGAGCTTGCTCTGAGCGGTGTTGAGGAGAGCGCCATCGATGTTGAGCTGGCCAATGTCATTGACGACTGGTGTGTGACGGGGCGGGATGAAGGTGGTGAGCGAGGGGGGCGATAGGGTCTGAAACGGGTGGGCGGTACTCACTGATACCAATGCGCAGCTTGTGCGACTGCGAGCGCAAGATGTTGGTAAGCAGAGTCGTCTTGCCGGCGCCTGTGTGCGAGGAGGAGAAGCATTGATGATTAGTTGCGGCACACGTGGGGCCGAGCTGAGGACATAATGGCGCGCTCACCGAGGAAGCCAGACAGGAGGGTAACGGGGAGCTTCTTGTCCTCGGGAAGAGGACCGTTGATAGCCTCTACGGCCTTGTTAGCGTCCATTGCGACTGGCGACATGGTGTTGTGTGTCAGACGACGGGGACAGTAGCGTGGGAGGGGCGAGGAAGAAGGAAAAAAAAGAATGGGTGGGTAGGAAGGCAGGATCGACTTCACGTCAAGGGGCAAGGCAAGTGATTAAGCGGAGTCCTCTCTCACTCTCTGCCTCTTCGCCTTGTTCGATTGCTTGCGAGGGCTGCCCTCGTCTCTGCTGGAGCTCTTCCTCTGCCACCCCAAGGAGCTGCTACGGCTGCTCAGAGTGGCCGCCAATTGATTTGCTGCCGCTCTCCCTTCTGCCCACCGCATGAATGCAGGTCGCAGCCTTGGTCGCGCAGGCTGTGATGAGTGGGGCACTTTCCCTCGATTTCAAAGCCAGGTCAGAGCGCAATCGATTCTCGTCTCTTGCTCCCCTTACCGGCGGAACTGAGCAAGTACTCGCGAAGTAGGGTAGAGCCACGTGGCGCGATGATGCTGAGCAGGAGAATTGGCATCAGTTTGCGGTAATCGTGAGGGAAGGAGGAGCGAGCCGCCGCAGGGTGAGAGGTTTCGGCGCGCAAGGCGTGGTTAAGTTGGCTCGAGAAATGCCATAGTGGGCAACCGACGGAGGCTGACTTTGACCAAGGTGGGCAGGGCTGGCTGCTAGGCTGCGAGGTCAGGCGAGGCAGCAGAGTATCACGCAGCCCTCGCTTTTGGCCTCGACCGCTCCGTCGAGTGTCTGTTAATGCGGTGTCATGATGGTAGCGAAGGCATTCATAATGGTGCTTGAGCCCCGGCGATCTTGATGGAGTAGGTAGTACAGTGCCAAGATGCGCTTATGCGAAGAAGGTTTGAGTGTCGCTTGACACTCTTTGCGGGGGGGGCTTGAGCGGGGGACGGGTTCGACCGTTCACGTGGAGGACGCATCGTCTCATCGTGCATGGGCGGGGTGATCTTGACCTCCCAACCAACACATCGAGGACACAAGGAGGCCATCCCATTGCCTTTTGAGCAGCATCCTCACTACTCTGATACCGATATCAATCCTCACTCCGCCAGCATATTACAATCTCATCACGCAAAAGACCGCTGCGTCCACCACTCAATCCTACCGAGGCCTACACCGACGCAGCACCTCGCCACCATGCCCTCCTCCTCCTCCTCATCATCCTCGGCCTCGGCCTCATCCTCTTCCCAACCTCAACGGTTCACGCAAAACACAGTCGACTACTCTCTGGACCACTCACGCGCACATAACCCGCGCAAGCCAGACTCAGCTACCGAGCTCAACCTCAGCGCCGATACGCCTAGCGAAGCAGAAGAGTCAATGATTTCCTGCGCTTTGCAGATCCTCGCACAAGCTATCGAGCTGCTGCGCTCCAGCGCTATCGGGGACGAAGAGCTCTCAACTCCTTCGCAGGGAGCTTCGGGCGCTACCGTAGGGAAGCACTTGAGGCATGTACTAGATCACTATAGACTGCTGCTGGATAGCGTCGAGGCGGCGCCGAACGGGGGCCAGCCTTTCATCGACTACGATCGCAGGGTCAGGAGCGTACCGATTGAGACGTCCGTCCAGTCTGCTTTGCAGGAATTTGAGTACACGCAGCGCCGCATACGCTCCGTCCTGGCTACCCCAGCAGACGGCAGCGTCACACCGACTATGGAGCGTGTAGTGACGTTGCAGGCTACGACGCCCATCATCCAGGAGTTCAAGAGCACCATCGGGAGAGAGGTATGGCATGTCGCGCTTCACAGTATTCACCACTTTGCACTGGCGCGGGTCATTCTCAATGAGCTCGGCTTGGGAGACGCAGTAGGCAAGGAGTTTGGTGTCGCGCCAAGTACGCTGGCGTTGAGGCAGTGGGCGAGGGAGTCGGGCGCCAAGGAGCAGGAAAAGGGACAGAAGGCGAAGTTGTAGGGGTGCGAGGAGACCCGGGCAATCGCGGAAAGGCGTTATGCGCATCGATGTGGGAGGCGGTCCTACTTGCGCCTGCTCACACATGGAGTCGTAGCATTCACTCCACTTCAACTTCACTGTACATCTATCTCAGCTCACCACTGCCATGCTATTGCATCAGCATACTATTGCAGCGACGTTGCGCGCGTATCAGCACGCTCCATCCTCCCCTGCAAGACAGGTAGCCTTGGGCCACTGACTTCGCCAGAATCGCTCCTCCTCAGGCCTCACGTTCCCTCCTGCGCCCGCAGACTCCTCTTCAGCCAAGCCGTCCCACCAGACTTTCGGATCCAGCGCAATTCGCCACCCTTGCCGACTGATATAGTCGCCTGACTCGTCATCTTCTGCTCCTCGCTGCAACATCCTCCCCTGGCGCAGCACCCTGACAGCCACTGCGAGCGCCTCTAGCTCTGCCGCTTCAGCTTGCGGGACACTCGCTGCCCCCTCTGGCCTGAACTCCTTGCGATGCAAGCACGCCCGCGCGCTCGCCATCAGCGCCTGCGCCTGTGTCTCGATGGCTTCGAAGCCCCGAGGAGGAACCTCACTGCCGCGCTTCTCTGTCACCAATAGGCGTTGCTCTACTTTGCTCGCATTCGTCTCCTTTTCGGTCAACACCCACTCGAGCCCAACTTGGGCGAGCGCCTTGCGTGCGTACACTTTGGCATTGTCCTGCATTGTGGTGCGGGTTGAGTTGTTCACTACTGCCGGGTTGCGGAGCGTAGTGTAGGATTGGTGTGACCGGAGGAGGGATACCTCGCTGAGCGAGGCAAAGATCTCGCAGCGTTGCAGGCTTGAGGGATTGAGGTCTGTCTTTGATCCCAGGACGGCTGCTGACCCGCCGGTCCCGCTCGTCGTGTCGAGGAGTGAGGAAAGGTAAAGGTAGAGCTGTGATGCGCTGGTGGCCAATTGGAAAGAGAGACGCAACAGAGCAGGCCCGGACTCGTGGCTGAAGCTGAACTGTAGGAGGCATCGCGCGAGTGTGACGGCTTGTTCTGCCTGCTCAGTCAGCTCTTGGACCTTGCGACCCCAGAAGCTCGAGCGTTGAGAAGCATGAAGCTGCCCCGCTGCGGTGGACAGGGCAGTCTTGTCTGCCAAAAGCGCTTGTATGGCGGTATGACGGGCGGTACCTAAGCGCGAAGCTTCCTCCGCTGCGGCGAGAGCGGCAGAGCTGCCTAGATCGCTTGGTGGGTTGTTGAGGCCTAGCAGGTTGGCTAGAGAACGCAAGACGGCCACTTCTGCTTCGTCGTTGCCTCGCTGCAGCGAAGAAAGGGCAGCAGCCCAATCATCGTCCGGACTCTGCTTCGCTCCCCAGTCCCCTGCGGCCGCCCATGCTGCGACGTAGTCCTGCGCGCGGCTGAGCACAGCGGTCATGCGTTGTGCTGCTTCTTGGACCTCGGCTGCGTTGGTGGCGTGAGGCAGGAGGCAGGAGAGGTACAGGGAGTGGAGTGAGGAGAGGGTCTCTAGGAGGGATGACGGGGAGATAAGAGAGGACGAGTAGACGGTAGAGCTCTCTGGGGCAGGCTGTGGTTCGAAGTTTGGGGGCGTTGAGGTGTCGGTCGAGGCTTGTGACGTATCCTGAATTGCCGTAGCTGGCGCACTAGGCTCCTGATGATCGCGCAGCTGAGATGCCAGCGTCTTGTCTTGCTCTGTTGCGACATCCTCGAGATGCCCAGCCGCCTCGCTCGCAATCGCTACCACGCGCTGCCGCGCATCATCGAGATTCCTCAGCAGCAGGTCCTCATGATTGGTCATTGTCTCTCCCAGAGACTGCAGCGTTGCAGCAAGATTACTCGCCACATCGATGACAAAGTCCATCTCACCACTTTGCGCTCCTTGCTGGGCTGCGGCGCTCTTTGCCCCAGTCAACGCGAGACCGTACAGCTCTCGCGCTTCGAGTAGGGCAGCGCACGCTTTCTGCGGCATGTAAAAGCCATCGGCGAGGATATGGAGGACGCGAGCTGCGTTGTATGCTGCGTTGGGACAGTTCGGACGTCGTGCGTAGGTCATGTAGCAGGTGAGAGCCTCCTCATAGTAGCGCTGCGCTTTGGAGCCATAGGCGGCGCGCTCTCCGCGATCTTCGACTTCGTTGCCAGCGGACACAGCTTCATCTTCATCCTCGAAATTAAGAGGCTGTGGATCGCGAACAGTGGACGAAGATGCTTGCGTCTGCTGCCGCCTAGGAGGCATGCTGGCCGGTGAAGTGGGGACTTGCGAGGTGTTGTTGTTGTTCGATCCAAGGCGCAACGCTCAAATCTTTGCGGCCCTCGCCATATTCACTCTTGTGGAGTTGAGTCCAAATCGACGGACTGACGCTTGCTTTGTCAGCACCCTGCATGGCTCGTGCGACTTGGGCAGCTCGACCCTGATGCGATTCGGCGTCTTTGCCTCCTTCCTCACCTCCCGTACTCTCCCAATCGCTGCATCGTCGTTTCACTGCGATGCGCATCTCCATCCCCTCGATACCCAACACTTCTTCTCGTCCCAGCATAGAGCGTACGATAAATGAGGCGACGGAGATGGTTGCCTCCTTCTTGGAGCGCGGCGGGAGGAACAATTTGATCATGACCGGGGCTGGCATTTCCGTGGATAGTGGCATTGCCCCTTATAGGGGGAAGGGTGGGCATTACACTGTGCACAAGACGTGAGTGCGAGAAGATGGCAGCAAATGGGAGAGTTGCGCTGAATGCCGAATCTGCTCGCCCCCCCTAGGTACCGCCCCATCTTCTATCCTGAGTTTGTGGACCCGACATCAAGAGGCGACCAATTCAGGCGACGCTACTGGGCCCGCTCCTTCCTAGGATTCAAGCCGGTTCAAAGAGCCCATCCTAATCCTGGACACTACTCAATAGCAGCTTTGCAGCGCCTCGGCCACGTCCCGTCCTACATCACGCAGAACGTCGACAACCTGCACCATGCAGCAACCCCATCCGCCTCACTAGCCGCAGAGAGCATTCTCGAGCTGCATGGCACTCTGCAGAGCGTCATCTGCGTACAAGCCGACCCTTCATACGTTCATGGCTCCCCTCCACGCGACAAGGACATGTATGATCGGCTCTGTCCCCCTTCAACCTCTTCCGGAGCGCGTCCGCGCCCCTTCAACACGCCTACTGGTGAAGCCTACCCAAATGGCTGTGGCTTTCGTGGTTCGCGATCTGCCTATCAAGAAGTGATGGAGGAGCGCAATCCAAAGTGGCACGCACACGCACAGCATCTTCGCGAGACCAGAACAGAGCCGAAAACCAATCCTGACGGCGATGTTGCGTTACCCGAAGGCACCGACTATCAGTCCTTCAACGCCGTACCATGTCCAAATTGCGGCGGAAAGGGCGTACTGAAACCGAACGTCATCATGTTCGGCGAGTCGGTTCCAGCCCCTATGCGAGCAAGATCATTCGAGGTCGTGGATTCCGCGTCATCGATGTTGCTAGTTGGCACTAGCCTCGCGACCTATTCCGCCTATCGCCTCGTCAAGCAGGCAGTGGAGCAAAATAAGCCCTGTCTCATCCTGAATGTGGGGCCGACAAGAGCAGACGAAATCGTAGCAGACAAGATCGAGCTAGGTAGCTCTGAGGTATTGCGAGCTGTAGCAAAGAAGTTGGCGAAGGGGAGGGAAGAAAAGGACGTGGTGCTTCGCCGCTTGCTAGAGGAGGGAACGGTCATCACTCGCGAGGAGAGGATGAAAGGCGTGGTATCTAGCTGAGAGCAGCATCTCTTCAAGTCTTTCTGAGCATACACTGTACTTCTAGACCATTAGCATCGCATCTTCAATCAATGAGCATGGCGACCATGGACCGTGACTGAAGGCGGGCAGCAACGCGTCTCACTCCCGTTCCGGTGTGGCTGCAGTCGCACGATCGCCCTTGCGCTGCCTCGTCTCTGTCCGTGCGACGCATCGCGATTCCAATCTTGACTTTACTTCAATCACTTCTTATCCAACCTATCCAATCGGCGCTAGCTTCGCACAGGTTCATCATCTATTCGATTGAATTTCTCGTATCATCGCAATCTACCTAGACAGGTACTCAAGGGGTCATGCAGCTAGACGAAAGCGAGCGCAAGCCGCTTAATGGTGATCCTTCATCCACGCATCCGGCGGAGAGCAATGGCGTCGCGATGGCTGGTCCCAAGAGAGCAAGAGAAGCGGATGAAGGCAACACTGACGCGATGGCAGCCAGAGAAGGAACGGCTCTGTCGCCTACCACACAACGCAAGCGTCAAGCCGTAGCTTCGCCCTCACCACCGCCAGTCACTGTCAGCATACAAGATCTTCTTGGTCCTGGCCCACAGCCAAGAGCGCCGCAATCACCCTTGGCCACGATCGCGCCGTCGCTCGCATACATGGATGATGCAGACACTTCCACATCCACTGGAGGCCCTCTGTCAGTCCCGTCTGTTGCCAGCCTCGCCCCCATTCCACTCCTCGTCGACTCGCAGCAAGCAATCCCTTCTTCTTCCCTCTCGTCAGGTCCGTCCTTACTGGACGCCATCTCCGGCCCCGCGTCCTCAGCATCAACTCAGTCTCCTCCTTCGTCGCCGCCAGAAATCTTCGCTTCACAGGCAGAAGTGCCCCGCATCGGCGGTTGGGTCGTACCTCGACCCAAGGCGGACTGGGAGAAGCCGCTGGTCGGGGAGGCACTGCTTGAGCTACTCGGCGGCAGTACCTCTGCGGCTAGGGAGAGTGGAAGTGAGGAAGACGAGGATGGGATTTCGAGGCTCAGGAGGAAAGATCTGGCTGCGTGGTGCAACCCTTGGCTGCGGGCGAGTATGGAAATGGAGGCGGCGAGTCAGGAAGGAGACGATGAGGATGAGCCGCTGTTGGCCTTTCTGCCGCAATGGAGAAGCGCTTTGCGGGCTCAGAGTGGGAACGAGCAGGACAAAGCTCATACTTCGAAGGCAGCAGCAGCAGCAGCAGCCGATTCAGCATCAGCACCCGCGATACTACCAGAATCCCCGGCTCTGATCCCGTCGACACAGCCGACTCCTCCGCCGTCTGGCTCATCGTCTCGCATCATGCCAGGCTCGGCGAGTAAGTCAATTGCGACGGAGCCCATTGCAGTGGCAGAAGCAGCTCCACTGGCCTCATCGTCGCCAGCTGCTCCGGTCGTCGCGCCTCCACCAGCCCCGCCCTCAACCGCCAATGGCCTGTCGTCGAGCAGCTCTCTTTCCCTCCTTCCAAAGGAGGATGTCCTTCGTCGTCTGCTATCTCTCGCAGAGTATGCACCTGGAGCGTCAGCCCGCCTTAAAGACGTGATGCTTACCCGCGTGCTTGAGGGTGAGTTTGGACTGCGTCCGCCCACGACGGGGGAGGAGCCAGAGGTCGAGGATGCTCTGGAGGCGGTCATGCGACTGGGTGATACGGGGATCGTACTTGATGATGAGGCAAAGATGGGCGAGGATCTGGTAATGGTCGCGACGGAGGGCAACAGGGTGGATGTGCTGGGCTTGCCTCGCATCTTAGCGCGGAGGCTACTTGATACGGGCAAGGAGCAGAACGATGAGAAACAGGAGGACCTTGCGCCGCCCGCGCCTCCCGCCATTGCCGTCACCTCCAACGACGAATCCGCCTCGTCGAGCAGCGTCAATGAGCTCAGCACGCTCCGCAGCTCCCTCTCTTCCCTCCAATCAGCGCACGACGCCGTCCTCTCCACAAACAGCACTCTCACCTCGCAGCTGGCCTCAACGCAGTCCGATCTGGATCTCATTCGCGACCTCTACTCCTCTTCCTCCAGCTCTGCCCGCTCCACCCAACTCGAGGCTGAAACACTGCGAGGAGAGAACGAGAAGCTGCGTCTCCAAGCCACAGAGGGCGTGAGAATGCACGCGGAACGCTTTCGCCTCGCGAGGGTTCGTTGGGAGGAACGAGAGAGAGAGCTAGAGGGGCGGCTGAGGCTGTTGCAGGGCGTGGTCACGCGAGAGGAGGAGATAGAGCGCAGAAGAGAGGCAGCGAGGGATGTTGCTTGGAAACGTGGTGAAACAGAGAGGAGGAGGAGAGAGGAGAGGGAAAGAAGGGAGGCAGAGGAGTTGATGGAGTTGAGGCGGGAGGCGGCAATGGTTGCTGGAGCTATAGACGTTGCAGAGAGTGACGGCATGGCAGAGGTCTTTGCTCCGGTGGAGACGAATGGGCCGTCTTCACCACGCCCGGCTTTGATACCAGCAGGGGAAACAGCGCCGATGCTGTTGGACGTTGGACCCGATGGCAACGACGAAGCACCCCTTACCACCGCCAACGCCCTCGATGCACCGGCGCTACTGACGACGTCGTCGTCTTCACTGCCTGTCCCATCTCGTGGAGCAGACCCTCTAGACGTGTTGACACCGAGCGATCCTGCCCCCTCTGCTGCGCCTGCCGAAGGAACCCTCGCCTCTGCCTTTGGGCCATCAGCAGACATCTCGCAGCCCCCAACCCAATCGTCGTAGTAGCCAGCGGACTTAGGAGCCTAGCGATCATTCATTCTGTAAATCGACCTCGCATGCCAATACCCAACTGCGCGATTCGCTCTTGTTGCAAAGAGCCGTGCCATCAGCGTAGCCAGGGGTCGTCGTGATACGGCCGCTTGGTGTGGCGACGCTCGCAAGGAAGTATCGGAGAGAAAGTGAGCAACGTAGCAACCGAGCACAGATGAATGCTGCGACTGGATGAGGGGTGCAGGAGACAGTGCAGCCTGGGCCACATTCTTCCACAAGAGCGCTTGTCCGACGCATGAAACAGCTGAAATTCATGGACACATAGCTAATGTCAAAGCATATACACAACACATCGAACGAAGCTTGATCTTAGACCAATTTTGGTTCCGAGAAGCATCATGGCATTTTCAAGAGGTCGTAATCGAGGCGACAACACATTACATCGGAGCAGGCTCACTAAGGTTGACGTGAACAGCCTGAGTGACGAGGAGCGAGAGAGGAGGCAAGAAGTCAGTAAGACTGCAAGGGAGCGTGGAGGAGGTCGTAACGCTGCACGCGCCGTACTCACCTTGATGTTGGTGTAGTTGCTGAGCGCGTACTCTCCGAGCTCGCGGCCGATACCCGAAGCCTTGTAGCCGCCGAAGGGCACGTTGGGGTGGAGCTGGTTGTAGCAGTTGACCCAGACGGTTCCGGCCTTGAGGGCGTGTGCCGTCTGGATAGCCTTGCTGATATCGCGGGAAAAGACTGCAGCGGCGAGACCGTAGATGGAGTCGTTGGCGATCTTCATGAGCTCAGCCTCGTCCTCGAACTTCTGCAGAACGAGCACAGGGCCGAAGATCTCCTCGCGGGCAATCTTGGCGTCGTGGTTGACGCCGGTGAAGATGGTGGGCTCAATGAAGTAACCCTCCTTTCCGTGACGCTCGCCACCAGTGAGGATCTTGCCGCCCTCCTGCTTACCCGACTCGATCATGGCCATGATACGGTCGTACTGGAGCTGGGAGACCTGAGGACCCTGGAAGGTGTCCTGCTTGAACGGGTCGCCGACGTTGATCGACTTGTACTTGGCGAGGAGCTTCTTCTCGAACTCGTCGTAGATACCAGCCTGAACGTAGACGCGCGAGCCGGCGCAGCAGCACTGGCCGTGGTTGAAGTTGATACCGAAGCACGACCATGCGACAGCGTCGTCGATGTTGGCGTCGTTCATGATGATGTTAGGGCTCTTGCCGCCGAGCTCGAGAGTGGTCTTCTTGAGGTTCGACGAGGCAGCAGCCTTGAGGATGTTACGGCCGACAAGGGTCGAGCCAGTGAAGGCGACCTTATCGATGTCCATGTGGTTGGCAATGGCAGCGCCGGCGGTGGGACCGAAGCCCTGAACGATGTTGATGACACCGGGGGGGACGCCAGCCTTCTCGATGAGCTCGGCGAACTTGAGGGCAGAGAGGGGAGTCTGCTCGGCAGTCTTGAGGACGACGACGTTGCCCGTAGCGAGAGCGGGAGCGATCTTCCAGGCCATCATGAGGAAGGGGAAGTTCCACGGGATGATCTGACCGCAAACACCGATGGGCTCGTGACGGGTGTAGCAGAACTTGCTGTCAACAACCTCGATCGTCTTGCCGTGGACCTTGTCAGCCCAGCCGCCGTAGTAACGGAAGTTCGCAGCAGCCTCGGGGATGTCGAAGGAGCGAGCCTGAGCAGGTGTGGTGGAAGGGGATCTATGTCAGCAGGCCGCTTCAATGTCGAATTGCTTCACGTCGCATTCCGCTCGCTACTCACGATGCTGAAGGCCTTGCCGTTGTCGAGCGACTCGATGGCAGCGAGCTCATCGGCGTTCTCCTCGATCAGCTCAGCGAGGCGGATGAGCATCTTTCCACGCTCACGGCCGGAGACCTTCTCTCCCCACTTGTTGTCGTAAGTCTCACGAGCCACCTTGACAGCAGCGTCGACGTCCTTGGCAGAGGCCTCAGAGACTTGGCAGATCTCCTTGCCATTGGCAGGGTTGACGACGGCGAAGGTCTTACCCTCAGCGCCAGGCTGGAACTTGCCATTGATGTAGAGACCCGTCTGGATCGTCGACGACTTGCCGTTGCCGAATTGGAGAGTAGCGGACATGATTGTTATGTTGTGTGGTGGTGGTGGTGGATGGAAAGGGTGACACAGTCGGTGGAGAAGAGACAAGTTGCGAAGGGTGGCGACGGGCGGGTATTTGAAGGCCGCAAAGGAAGTCGACTCGCTCGTTGCTCTCTCGCTCTCTGTTCCTAAGGCCGACGTGGACTCTAAAGAGATGAGACAGACAGACAGCGATGCGGCTGCTGCTGCTCTTGCTGCTGCTCCTGGTGCGTGCAGCGAGGTGCGGGGAAGTGGGTGATCATTCTCTCTACTACCTCTTCGGGCACTTTGCCAGGGTCATCCACCCTCTACCATCTCCTTCGCAATCGCAGCCTTCCTCTCGACCAGTCGACGGACGCGAGGTCATGGGCTCTTGGATAAAGCGGCCTACGGGCGCTCGAGCCAACTTGTTCATCGGTCGCAGCATCGCAGCAGCAGCCAAGCCTTCAGAGAGCAACAGTAGACAACATTCACCGCTCTGCTCCTGCGCCTTTGCCAGCTGCTTTTTCCATCAGTGGAGGTCAGCATGCGCCTTCCAATAGAGCGCAGCGCGGCGGCGGCTTCCCACACGCCTAGAGTGGTGGCGCTCGGTTCAGCTCTACTGCCCGCGGCGCACCAGATCCTGGCCCGCTTGCCTCGCCGTCCTTCGGGCTTGAAACAGACCACCGCGTGACCCCGATGTCATTTCTTCCCAAGGCCGATGAAAAGGGACAGACGTGAGCCGAGGGCCACAGCGTACCCGTGGGCGGGTCGGTCACCAGGGTACGCCATGCCATGCGAAAGAGAGCGCTCGTATCTCTACGAGCACGGCTCGCCGTCTGGCTGATAGCCATGCTCAGGATGACAGCGACGGCGACGGCGACGGCGACTCACTTTTCGTGATCACGGGGATAGCGTGGGTGGACTCCTGTCAGTCATGCATGCCACGCGATGCGGCACTGCGCTTTGCCTGCACCCTTCTTCGGGTCATCAGTCAAGTAGACGACGCCTCCTCAATGGATAGCAACGTCGAGCAGCTCGATATTCACCCTGCAAAGCGACAATTACGGTCTTAAGGCTAAGAAGCGCGCTACTGACGGTCTTTTGAAGAAAAAGGGAACGCAGAAGAACGAGACTCGATGGGTTAGAGAGCCGAGGCAAGCATCGCTGCGATCGAGATGGCGCAGGCACCCTAAAGGCTATTCGGCTTGACAGTGGTTGGGCTCGGTGACTAAAATGGTATTCGATTGAGGACGAGAAGTTGCACGCCGCTAGACAGGCGGTGCCGCGCTAACTGAGCATGATCTGGCGGACACCCCTCTGCTTTAGACGGGAGATTGCCCTTGCAACAGGGTCTTGGCCACCGTCTGCTCCTCCGCATCGCCCACCGACTGCTGCAGCTCTGCAACGGTTTTAACCCCTCCCGCCCCCACCGCTACGGCCTCACCATTCCCATCTCCCGGCCCAGGCACCACAACGCTGCCTAAGCACCTCTGTCCATCGTACAGCGCCAAGGTCTGGCCAGGGCATACGGCCGTAGGTCTCCTCCCGTCAGCGTCTACGTCGAAGGTGATGCGAAGCAGAGGGCCGGACGTTGACATGCGCGAGCGCCGTAGCGAGACGCGACAAGGGACCTCAGGGGAGCGATGACGGAGCTGTGCAAGAAGAGGTACTCCTAGATCTGGCCCTGCGCCTGCCTCAGCCAGCTCGCTTGGCGGTCCACTGGCCGACACCCACTGAAAGCTTGAGGATGGCACCTCAACGTGGACGCACTGTAGTAATGGGTGGTCATTACCTGGTACCACGATTGCCTCGCCCACGCCCACGGCCTCTTCGCTTTCACTAGGCTCAGTGAGCATTCTCACGCGTTTGGCGGCGACGAACCATCGCTGCTTGAGGCCGGGGAGCTTGGCTCGTTGCCCAATGGTGAGAGTGTGGAGACCTTCATGTGTGCCAATGGGTGTAAGCGAGGAGGCACCGTCAGCCGCAGCGAGAATGGGTCCTGGTCGTGTGTAGGGTGTCGACGGCGGGAGGTACCCGCTGAGCCAACCCCCGAATGTAGGCGCCGCCGAGGTGAGAGAGGGATGTACGGCTGCTGACGGAGGGCCGACCAGGGACGACGGGCCACCATCGTCGACCACAGCTGGGACCCGCGTCGCCCTCTTGCCAACAAAGCAGAGTCCCATGCTCTCCTTCTTGGCAGCCGTCGGTAGACCGTACCTTTTTGCCAAGTCGCGCACTTCTGGCTTTGTCAAGCCTGCCAGAGGGAAGAGAGCGCGCGACAGGGCCGTAGAGGGGACGGAGGAGAGGAAGTAAGATTGGTCCTTGCCTCGATGCCTGGCGCGATGTAGTTGTGTCTCTCCTGTCGAGGCGTCGTGAGCCACACGAGCGTAGTGGCCTGTAGCGATCCATGTTTGGGGCGATGCCCTCGAAGCGCCCACCTCCAGCTCTTCTCCTCCCTCTCGACCCTGTTCACTTCCAATCAACCTCCTTACCAACGCCCCAAATTTGATCTCTCGATTGCAGAGAACGTCCGGATTAGGCGTATTTCCTCTCTGCCATACATCCAAGCTGGGCTCAAATACGCTCGCCCAGTACTCCCTCGACAAATCGACAAGTTGAGGCTCCTTCTCCAACTGCAGAGCACGACAAACGTCTTGTACGCTCTCCCACTCTCGCTGCCACTCGCAACCTGCAGCACCGCCGCTGCCCGGCTCGAAGCGGTCTGATTCTTCGAGAGTAGACCAGTTGCGCATGTAGATTGGGAGGAGCGTGAGTGGTCGGAGGGAGCTGGTGGTGTATTGGTCTGAGAGCTTGGTGAGGAGGAGGGCGGTGACTGAGGAGTCGACTCCACCGGACATAGCAAGGAAGACTGGGAGGCGAAGACGTCAGGAGAGTAAGTTAGACAGACCGTAGAAAGAACGTGTAGTGGTCGTGTAGGTTATCGCAAGGACTCACCTTTGTCACCTGGCTTTGGCAGAGGACGCCAATCTGGCAATGTATGCTGGTGGCGGGGTCCGCATGGCGAGATGATGGCAGGCTGACGAGCAGCCTTTGTGACCAAGCCACCAAGCCTTGGCCTCAATGCCATTCTGAAGGCCATAGCGAGGGTCGCGGGTGACGAAATGGAGGGCATAGCGTTGCCGACATCATGTTGCAGTCATGGCCGATGCACTGAGTGATGAGGATCTGCCGACGTAGAGAAGACTCGACAAAAATGTCAAGGTCGAGAGGTGCAGCGGAAAGAGCTTTGTCTCTTGCCGCTGGTCTGAGCTCCAAGTCTTGGATCAAGTCGCTCTCGCGCTCTGTCCGCCCAACGTCGAGCTCAAATCCTTCACATCTCCGTATCCTCTGAATCCTCGCCCTTGTCAGCCAGTCTGCCACCCACTTTGTCACCTTGCAGACGACTATGGCAGATAAGGATGTAGACCCCTTTGCCCACCTCGAAGGGGCTTCGTCTTTCAGTGGCGTGGCTCCGTCATCACAGGCGGCCCCTTCGTCCGAGTACTCGTACGCCGAGTCGTCGGCCACTACGTCGACTACTACGGGTGCAGCTGGAGGCAATTCCGCCAAGAATGGCAGCAAGCCTCATGCTCACGCTCATCACCATCATCAGAAGGCGGATCTTGACCTCGATCTCGCCGCACTGGATGACCTCTCCCTGGATCAGCGCAATGGCAATGGACAACTGGTGCATCGCGATGATGACGAGGAAGAGATGGACGAGCTGCCAGAACATGCCTGCGCTTACTGTGGTGTGCACAACACGAGCTGTGTAGTCAAGTGCATGGGATGCAACAAGTGGTGAGTACGAGCAGCAGCAACGCCTCTACCTCATCACACGACACTCTACTCATTCGCTGATCCCCACTCTTGTCTCACTTCGGCTGTCCAGGTTCTGCAACTCCCGCTCCCTCCTCTCATCCTCACACATCGTCCTTCACCTCGTACGCTCTCGTCACAAGGAGGTCACTCTGCACGCGGAGTCCCCCTTGGGAGAGACGACGCCTGAATGCTACAACTGCGGGGCCAAGAATGTCTTCCTTTTGGGATTCATTCCTGCAAAGGGCGAGAGCGTCGTGGTTTTGCTCTGTCGTCAGCCTTGTGCTGCTCTGCCTACGTCCAAAGATATGGTCTGGTGAGTGCGGCTCTCCCTCTGATCGGCGCTAGGTCATTGCTATCGCTTACGCCCTCTCCTTCGCTTCTTCAGGGACACGAGTCTTTGGTCTCCCCTCATCGCCGATCGCTCCTTCCTGTCGTGGCTGGTCAAGGTCCCCACAGAAGCTGAACAGCTGCGAGCTCGTCAGATCTCGTATCACCAGATCAATCGCCTCGAGGAGCTGTGGAAGGAAGGCAAGGCAAAGGCGACGCTCGAGGACCTCGATCGCCCCGACAACAATGACGAGGAGCCAGCCGGCATCTTGCTCCGATACGAGGATGCCTACCAGTACCAGGTGAGCCAGCATTCATGGTCGAAAGACTGTGGTGACTAGCGATCACTGATCACTTGCCATCCGTCTCCGCGTCTGCAGAACATCTTTGGCCCCCTCGTCAAGATCGAGGCCGACTACGACTGCAAAGTCAAAGAGAGCCAAACGCAGCACAATCTCGTCGTGCGCTGGGATCAAGGTCTCAATATGAAAAAGATCGCCTGGTGCACACTTCCTGGTCTCGAAAGCGGCGAGGTTCGTCTAGCAGTAGGCGACGAGCTCAAGCTGCGCTACGAGGGAGAGCTGGCTCCACGCTGGGAGGGACAGGGCCATGTCATCAAGATCCCCAACAACGTCTCGGACGAAGTGGCCATCGAGCTGCGACGCAACGATGGGGTGCCCGAGCATTGCACGCACAATTTTGCGGCCGACTTTGTTTGGAAGTCCACCTCCTTTGACCGTATGCAGTCGGCCATGAAGACATTCGCTGTGGACGAGCAGAGTGTAAGTGGCTTCATCTACCACAAGCTGCTGGGCCACGATGTCGAGCCCACCTCGCTCCGCACGTCTATGCCCAAGCGCTTCTCCGCTCCAGGGCTGCCAGAGCTCAATCACAGCCAAGTCAGCGCCGTCAAGTCTGTTCTGCAGAAGCCCCTCAGCCTCATCCAAGGGCCACCAGGAACGGGCAAGACGGTCACGTCTGCCACAATCGTCTATCAGCTGAGCAAGATGAACCCAGGTCCTGTCCTCGTCTGCGCCCCCTCGAACGTCGCCGTCGACCAGCTCACCGAGAAGATCCACGCCACTGGCCTCAAGGTCGTCCGCCTTACAGCCAAATCTCGGGAAGCTTTGGGGAGCAGCGTCGACTTCCTGACCCTCCACGAGCAAGTAGCGAACAACGACCACCATACTGAGCTGCAGAAGTTGATCCAGCTCAAGAACGAGCAAGGAGAGCTGAGCAGCAACGACGAGCGCAAGTACAAGGCGCTGGCTAGGAGCTGCGAGAGGGAAATTCTGGACACGGCTGATGTCATTTGTGCGACTTGCGTGGGATGCGGAGACCCGAGGTTGAGCAAGCTCAAGTTCAGGACCGTGCTTGTTGATGAGGCTACGCAGGCTGCTGAGCCTGAGTGTATGATCCCGTTGGTGCTGGGCTGCAAGCAGGTCGTGAGTGCGCGGCGCCTGATCGACAAGAGCAAGCTACTGTAACGATATTGACCTCCCTCCTTTTACCCCGCTCCGCCTCAGGTCTTTGTCGGTGACCACCTCCAGCTCGGCCCAGTCATCATGAACAAGAAGGCAGCACGCGCCGGCCTAACACAATCCCTCTTCGAGCGCCTCATCGTCTTAGGCAACAAGCCTAATCGCCTGGAAGTGCAGTACCGCATGCACCCGTGCCTCTCCGAGTTTCCCTCATACATGTTCTACGAAGGCACCCTTCAGAACGGCGTGACCGCTCCCGAGCGTCTGCGCAAGTCGGTCGACTTTCCCTGGCCCGTTCCTACACTGCCCATGTTCTTCTTCCAGAATCTAGGACAGGAGGAGATCAGTAGCTCGGGCACGAGTTTCTTGAATAGGACAGAGGCCAGCAACGTGGAGAAGATTGTTACGAGCTTCTTCAAGGCGGGGGTCACGCCCGGGCAGATCGGAGTGGTCACGCCGTACGAGGGGCAGCGTTCCTTCATTGTCAACCACATGCAGTTGCACGGCAAGTTGAGGAAAGAGTTTTACAAGGAGGTAGAGGTTGCAAGTGTCGATGCGTTCCAGGGACGAGAAAAGGTGCGCAGTGGGCAGCAGAGAGATTGCCTGTGACTCATACTGACTGCTGCTCCTTCTCGCCATCGCAGGACTACATCATCCTCTCCTGCGTCCGCTCGAACGATCACCAAGGCATCGGATTCCTTTCTGACCCTCGACGTTTGAACGTAGCCCTCACCCGTGCCAAGTACGGTCTCGTCATCCTCGGCAATCCCAAGGTTCTCTCTAAGCACCCGCTCTGGCACTATCTCCTCATGCACTACAAGGAGAAATCTCTGCTTGTCGAGGGGGTCCTCACCAATCTGCAGCCATCGATGATTCAGTTCAGCAAGCCGCGCAGACCGCTACAGAAGCCTGGGGATCTCAATGCTCGGCACAGATATGGTGACGTACCTGATCCGAACGGCGTAGCACGCGGGACGACTGGAGGAGCAAGCAAGAGCGGCATCACGGCCAGCGGTCCAGGAGCAGGCGCTCTCCGCGCTCATGACCCCATGTCCTACATCCCTCTGGATGCGGCCTCCGTGGCCAGCTTCAACACCCAGGCCATGTACCCTTCAGCACATCTCCCACCTTTTGCCACCTCACCGAGCATCGGTGGCCCGCCATCTATCTCGTCCTCTGCGGCCCCTTCTTCCACCAGCAAAGCCAACGGCGTGTCCACCCCGCGCTACGCCGGCTCTGTCATTAGTCAAGCCGCTCCTCCTTCCACAGTTGGCGACACCGACTCGTCATCCGTCGTATCGTACAATCAGCACGACCGTCTGCGACGCCGTTTGAGCATGGCGGGTAGTGAGGCTAGTGGGATTACGGCTTCGAGCTCGGGACTGGCCAGTCTGGAAGGGTACAAGACTCAACCGTCTATGGGGGGTGAGGGAGATGATGGGGATGATGATACGAGGAGCAGTTATTCGGCGGCTATCAGTCAGAGCTCCTTCACGACTTTCTGAGGCACGTATCATTCTTTGGACATCGCTGCCAAAGCTACCTCCAGCTGGTCGACCTCAACGTCTCAACCTCCTCTCTTCTGCCGCTCGTGGCATCCTCGTGGACTTCGGGTTGGAACGCCCAGCTTGCCAGCCAGACGTCTTAGTGAGCACGAGGTGCGCGGCCCTCGAGCTGTGCTACCGCGCTGCTTAAGCCTCGTCGCCTCTGGTATGCCTGGCCAAAGCGGGAATCTTCACTACCCCGTGCCTCTCGTCTTCATTCGGAGAGACCTGCCTAGCGCGTCCAACACCGTCCTGGCTGTGACACTAGGCAAGCTCAACAGGCTTGCTACTTGTCATCTCTCCAAGCTTGTCAGGCTCAGCTCCTCGCTGCTCGGACAGCTGCACAGACTCGGGGGCGAGAGCACTTCTTGCCTCCGTCTGTCTCCATGTTGAGAGTCGTGAACCGGCCATCCGTCGTGAGCCTTTCGGGCTGAGCACGGTGACTTCATCTCATTCTTTCCATAACCTTTTTCCCCTCCTTCTGTCATTTCCCAAACTTCGAACAAGTCGATGCACGATGCCTGCAATCGACGCCTCTCTCTCACTTCGTCTCTCTGGCCCTGCGTGACTTGCAGTGACGCTTTCTCGTTCCTTCAGCCTGCGCCTGCCTCCGTAATCGTCCCCAACAATCTCGCAAGCATATCACCTCGCTCGGATTCTTACCTATCCTAGTATCCATCCACCGCCGCCCGCAGCAATCAAGTAATCTCCCATCAAGCCTGCCCAGACCATAGCTCCCAACCACGCATTGCTCACAAACTTCTTCCAGCAATCGGCTCGATTGTCTAGATCTGTCGTACCAATCTGCCACGCGAGGTGAGCAGCCACGGGGACGAGGGAGGCGAGGAAGCAAGGGTGCTGAGAGAGGAGGAGGGAGAGCATCCCCGAGTTCGAGGCTGCGGCTGCCGTTGCGGTTGCGGTGGAGGCAGAAGCGGCCGCCACTCCTTTTGTGGCCAATGCAAGAAATCCTACCGAGAAGCCCGTAAGGATCGGTCGCGTCTTCTCGGCGAACAGTAGTGCAGTGCTTTTCACACCTGCCACTATATCGTCCACCTTGTCCTGATGCGCATACACCGAGTCATACACAATCGTCCAGCAGACCGCGCCCGCATAGAGGGGCAGGACGGCCTCCCACACAGGCGGAGGTGAGAGGGCTGCCCATCCCAGGAGTGCTCCCCAGTTGAATGCAAGACCGAGCACGAGCTGCGGCCAATGGGTTATGCGCTTCATGAGCGGGTAGACGATTACGAGGCTGAGTGAGGAGGCGCCTAGGAGAATGGAGTAATTGTTGAGCTGGAGGAGGACGCCAAGGCCGGCGCTGAGCTGCAGTCCTAGGAAGCTCCAGGCTTGAAGCATCGTGATCTGCTTTGCCGCTAGCGGCCGTGTCTTTGTTCGTTCGACTTGGGCGTCGAGTCTTGAATCCCACATATCGTTTATGGTGCACCCGGCGCCGCGCATGACGAATGCTCCTGTTGCGAAGAGGGCTAGATTGTAGGCTAGTGAGGGGAGTGGTAAGGCTGTATGTTGTGCTGCGAGTGTGAGAGACCATGCACAGGGCCAGAAGAGGAGGAATGAGCCTATTGGCTTGTCCAGGCGGGAGAGGGAGAGATACGGGTGATACCAAGGAATGGCAGGCGCGGGCGTTTGGGCTCTCTCTGATTGCGATGACGCTCGGCTGGCCGGCGTCGATCGTGATGTCGATAGAGGGGCGAGATGCTGCTGCGGCCACAATATTGACGCGGGCCAGTCTTGCCGCCTCGCAGCCTTGATCCTCGTTGTCACAGGCTGCGAATTGAGGTGAAGCACTCGTAGATGTGCTGAGCTGCTGGTCCCTCGTAGCGCCGATGATGATGACGACGACGACGCGCCATTGACGGGCAGAGGAAGCTTTCTACATCCACATCGCAATAGTGGCGGAAGCATCATGCCAGACGACTTTTAGCTTGAGGCGTTGCCGGTGCCGGTACGAAGCGTTTGATGCGAAGGTAATGAACAAGGGCGGACTGGACAGACTCGCAAGGCGGACTGGCATGACGGACTGAGACCAATCGAGCCACGTGGTTTTGGGATGAAGTGTTGGTCTCCGCGAGGCCAGGCGGCATTCAACGAGGCTATCTTGCCACTCGCCCTCTTCACCGCTAGCACCAAGGGGCAGCTTTGCCTTTGGACCATTTCAGCATGTCTCCATCGACCTCACCTGTTGAGGGTCCACATGGTGACAGCGAGGTAGCCGAAAGCGCTACCTCTACGTCTCCTCCCAAGGACACCGCATCAACAGAGCCTACTCAAGCCGCCAACAACGAGACAGACGAGTCTGTGTCACCCGCGCCAGACGGCCACGATGGACCATCAGAGAGCACGAGCAAGCAATCAGAGCCAGAGCACGCAGCTGACAGCGCTGTCGAAGAAGAAGCATCAGCGGGTGCGAGCCTAGTACAGCCAGATGCGCCTCAGTTCAGTCATCACGAGCACCTCGACACCTCGCAACCAGCCGGCAGTGCCTCAACGACAGTCGCTACTGATGGCGACGAAAAGGGGGCAGCAGCTTCATCTCAACACACTGAGCTGTCTGTTGCTGCTGCTGCTGCTGCTGCTGCTGAGTCCTCGACATCCTCCAAAACACCGGTGGCCGTGGTCCCGCCAGTTCAGCCGATGGATGATTTGACCCACACTCTCAGCACAACGCACATCGGCGCATCTGAAGAAGCTGAAGAAGCTACAGCGCACGACAACCCTGCCGCTTCTGAAGCAGCAGCCGCGTCGTCGGCCGACATAGGCCTGTCATCCTCTCCACCTGAACCGGAGGAGAAGCCCTCTACGCCTACCGCGAGCATGCCCAGTGTGGATGACCCCCCGGCATCAAGCTCCCTGGCACCAACAAAAGCGGCAAGCGCAGCTCTCTCACCACCCCTTCCGTCCAAGAAACAGTCGCTCCCCCCTCCACCGCTCCCAGGCAAAGCAGAGACTGCGCACGAGGCGTCCCAGGATGAGAAGGAGGCAGTCGCGCGAGCCTTTGGCGTGAGCAACACTCCGCCCGCCGTGCCCGGCACCCCTGATACGGCTGCTCAAACGGCACCACCAGAACCCTCCTCCGGTGCTCACCACAAGCTCGCATCCCCCACCACCCCGCACACTCCTTCCTCAGCAAGCAGCAGCCACCCCGGCAAGTCGCCCGGCATTCGCATCGGCAAGGGTCCACCTCCAACTACTCTTCCAGCAGAAGAAGCCCCATTCGATTTCAATCGCTTCCTCGAGCAGATGAAGGATCCCTCTGCACGCGGCGTGGGGGAGTACGTGCGATCCTTCATAAAGGGCTTCGCGAAGAAGCCTTACCGTACTTCTGATCAGATCAAACTGATCTTCGACTTTCTCGACTTTATTGGAGCGAGGATGAGGGGATGTCAGGTGTGGGCGAATCTGGACGAGGGGGAATTTGAAAATGCGAGGGAGGCAATGGAGAAGTTGGTGATGAACAGGTGAGTGTGAGCTGAGGAAACAAGCTTGAATCTCCTCTCTGACCGGCCCTCTCCGACCTTGACGCAAACTCAGACTCTACTCCTTCACCTTCACCCCCGCCGTAGCCAAAGAAGGACGCTGGTCCCCACAGACTGACGACCTAGAGCGGGATCGTGTCCTGCGGGAGCGCATTGAGCTCTTTGGCTGGCTACAAGAGGAACACCTCGACGTACCCAAGGGCGACCACTCGCGAGGCTTTGTCGACTTTGCAATTCAGGAGCTGCTCAAGATCAACCATTACAAGGCGCCGAGGGATAAACTGATTTGCATCTTGAACTGCTGCAAGGTCATCTTTGGGTTGATCAGGCATTTGGGAAGTGACGAGAATGTGAGTCCGCGAGGAAGACGAGGACGACGAGGGCTGTCCTCGCAAGGAAAAGCTGAATCAGTCCTCTTTCCCGCACACGCAGGCCGACACGTTCGTCCCCGTCCTCATTTTCGTCGTCCTCAAAGCCAACCCCGAGCACCTGATCAGCAACGTAGAGTACATCGGCCGGTTCCGTAACCCGGACAAGCTCTCGAGCGAGAGTGGCTACTACCTCTCCAGCTTGATGGGCGCGACAGCCTTCATAGAGACGATGGACTACTCGAGTCTGTCCAATATCACGCAAGAGGAGTTCGAGAAAAGGGTGGAGGAGGCGGTCCAGGTGGTTGGAAAGAGGAAGGCGGCTGCGGGAGGGGTGTCGGCAGCAGTGCCATCGAGCGGCGCGAGCACGCTGGCTCCTCCTCAACATCGTCGCACTGTAAGCGCCTCCGACCCTCACGCTCCCCTTGGGCAAGGGGAAGAAGCCGCCTCGTACCTCCCAGCTGGGCAAACCTCTCCACCCGCACTCACCTTTGCAGACGACACCAAGGCCTTCTTCCAGCGAACGGGAGAGGCGGCTCGTGTTGGCATTACTAACAGCCTGGGCAAGCCCATTGGGGCTTTGGGCAAGCTGCTCGGCGAAGGGCTGGATGGCATCAGGACGCCTGGGTCTGGTGGGCCGGGTAGTAGTGTGGGTGCCAGCCCGGCGAGGGTTGAGAGCCCAGCGGGGGAGAAGCAACAGCAGATCCAGCAACAACAGCAGGAGAGCGCACCGCGCGGCATGTGGGGTGGCTTGTTTGGCCAGCTTGACGAAGCAGGAGGCAGCGGTGCTCCCCCACCTCAGACGCCCGCTCATGCCCAGCAGAGGCAGGGTCCTTTCTCCTCGCTCATGCGCGTCGGAGGCGGTGGCGGACAACCAACAGACTCAGCTCCCTCCAGCGGCTCCAATCACCCACCCCAGCGTCGCATCGGGGAAACCCCTTACGCCCCTCCGAGGCAGAGACCAGCTCAGATCTTGACTCATGGTGTCCAAGGGCAAGGAGGCAGGCCAGCCGCATCGAGGCAAGACTCGCTCGACCCCTTCAATTCACCGGATCCTGCCACCACGACCACCCCCGGGATGGGGCCTGGCAAGGGCGGCGCTGCAGCGGACGGTAGATTCCCTGGGCAGCGTAGCCAGCTGCAGAGCCGCGGAGCAAGAGGGGATACCTATGACCTAGATGAGTATGATGAGGACGATGAAGATGGCGGGCGCGGTGGGCGTGGGAGCATTGGTACGCCAAGCGACGTAGATACGGATGACGAGGACGGACAGCAGAGGCGTGCGACGACAAGGAGCAGACTGCCAGACTTTGGTGCTTTTGTGCCTTCATTCCTTTCGCAGGGAGCCACAGCGCCTGGTGTCGACCAGCAACAGCGTCAACAACACCAGTACCTGCAACGTGGCCCGAATCGTGGCCGTTCTGCCTTCCCTTCCTCCTCGGCCGGCGGGCCCATCTCCTCAGACCCACACGGCGACGACGGCATGGATACGATCGACTCATCCCTCGTGCCCGTGAGCGATGAGCCCGAGCAAGAGCAGGACATGTCTGCCCTCTCCGCCGAGGTGGAGCGTCGACATCGTGAGCAGGTGGAGGCGAGTGTCGAGACGCTCAAGAGCGTCTTTCCCCAGGTGGACGATGAGGTTAGACGAGCTGTGTTGGAGGAGTGTGGTGGGGATGTTGGAACAGCTATTGATCGTGAGTACAGCGGGAATGGCACGAAAGGATCAGATGGAGAAGGGTGCTGACCGTAGTAACTCCCTCACTTATGTGTGCAGGCTTGCTCGAGATGCAAGACGACTAGGCGCCTCATCGACTACAGTACATCGGGCCTTGGTCAGCTCCCTCTCACGGGCTGCATTCGCCCTCCTCCATAGACGTAGACCATCGCCTCTTCCTGTTCTTGCTCCCTACTCTCCTATGCGGGACCAAGATCTCTTCGCCCCACGCCTTCTCTCTCAATCAATGTGCTCCTTCTACAGCGTATTGATGCGATTGTGTGTGAGCAGAAGACGGTACAGAGGTGAACGTGATTCGCTATAAAGTAGAATGAGGATGAGTGGCAGATGTTCTGCCGATGGCAGAGCAAGGCATAGCGCGGCCGTATGCTGGGTATATCGTATCGTGACTTGACTGAGGCAATGTTGAGAAGGAGCTCGGAGTGTTGCAATGACTCGATTTGCCCCTTGAGGGTGGCTGAGGCTGCAAAGTAGGGGCGCTGTCGCGCTTACGGCCGCTCTACGACCAGGTAGGCGGCCACCGACTTGATATCGCCGCCGTCGTCCTCGAACTCGATCTGGTACTTGGCCTCGAGCAGATCAGCCGCTCTCTTCTCCCTCTGCGCGTGGAAGGAAGGGTTTTCTATCAGCCCTCTGCTCGCTTCCCTATACCGGTAGTAGTCACGCGTACTCACCTGCTTCCTCCCCACGCTCTCCAACCTCGGTCCCCCACCTTTAACCACAGCTCGATAGAAACAGCTCGTATCCGGGTAGAGAGCCATCACCTCCGTCCCCACTGCGTAGTCTCGCTCAGGTAGAGTAGCCACACTCTCCGGCAGAGGTACCAGTGCCTTCAAGGTCGTATTGAAAGTCGGCGCCACATGCGTAACATCATCGATCTCCACATCCTGCACCACGTAGCGATTCTTATCGTTATGGATACACTCCAGAATGATGGCCAGGATCCAAGTGTCTGAGTCGTCCTCAGGAGCAGCGAGGGCTGCCGCTGCGGATCCACCGGCGGATTTCGAGCTTTTCGAGGGCTGGTGGAAGGCGACTTTTCGGCCTTTGGCGAGGGGGAGTTGTGAGAAGAGGGCTTCACGACGCGCACGGGCTGGATCGACGCTGGTGTGCGTTGAAGGGCCAGTCCCATCCCGTGAGGAGATTGTGCTTCTGCGTGCTGCCGCCGCAGGTCGTTCTGTTTTGACGCTGCCTGACGATGAGGGCGTCCCGGACGAGGCGACGCCCGGTCCTGCTGCAGCGCGTCGTGATGGCGTGGCCTCGTACGACGAGGACGCGGCGGTGGTGTCGTTGGAGCGGCTTTGTGGTGAAGAGCCCCGGCCCCCAGTGACAGGTGAAGGGCTCAACTCTTCGCCTCTCCTCTTCTTGCGTTTGACCCCGCCAGCAGCGCCATTCTCCGCCGACTCGTTCTCGCTGCTCGACCGCAAGGCAGTGAGGATGCCCAGACTCTCAATCGCCCCCTCTGTCGCATTGAGCTCCTCGCTCGTAGACTGCTTGAGCTTGAGCAGGATCGAGGCTAACGCTTGGCGCTCAGCGTCCGCAGCTGAATCATCTGTGGACGCGAGGGCTGCCTTGCGCTTTTCTGACTCTTCTTGCTGATGACGATACGTGCTATGCGCCTTCTCCAGGACTTTCATTTGAGAGCGGACTTGCTGCCAGAGTTGGGATTCTTCAGACGTCAGAGAGGTGCGAGGGTGAGCGAACGAAGAAGTGGACGACGCGTACAAGCGTGAATGTATGCTCACCTTCTGACGACGTGCTGCCGAACGCTGCGGAGCGGTCCTTCCTGATTCCTCTGGATGAGGACATATGAGCTCGATGAAACGAAGTGTCGCTTTCGAAAGGGAGGATGGTGTAAGAGCGAATGCAAGGTTATGTAGGAAGCTGCGAGGAGTCAATTGCCTGTGGGACGAGCGCATCGAGCCATCGAGGACAATGCCGCTCACGGGCCACGCGTCTGCTTCCGAAGGTCTCAGTCGATGGACGGTCTTGCCCGCTCCCGCGTCTTGACTTTCGGAGACTTGACTTTCCAAAGCAACGCTCATTTGGACGCCAGGTCTGCAATGTCATGGCGGCAGGCAGGAATGGGCCTTTCAATGGCATCGGCGCAGGCGCATCACAAGATCGCCAGATTTTCGCGCAGATTAAGCCTATCTGCGTCCAGCTGCTAGCGCTCAGTCGACCAGGACCCTCATCGAAGTCACCTCAAATTGCGGATCATCTCGCAACGCTGAGAGACACATTGGACAAGGCCAGCGACCCCGTCCCTCTCCCTCCTCCGTTTAGCTGTGCCGACTCCTACGTCATCCCAGTCTCGCCAGCCAACCTGCTCAGTCCCTCCCTCCTCAACTATGTCTTCTTCCCAATCTCCCAGCTCTTCCAATCACAGCCCAAAGGGCCCCTTGATCTGCCACAGCGGACGCTGCAAGAAGCTTTTGGCTGTCTCGAGGTGCTCTGTCGACATTGGTGGGGAAGATGGCAGGCTATCATCTCCCAGCCCTCAACATCCAAGGCTCCGCTACCCGCAGGAGGGAAGGAGGCGTTGGACATGTGGCGCCAGCTGCTCGTGCTAGGGGCGATCATGCTGAGTGGGCCGCCGCCGCAGAAGGGAGCGACAGACCCAGCGCAGCATAACGTCACACCCGAAACTAACCTGGCTGTGCTGCGATTTCTTCGCTCGCTGCTTGCTCCGAGAAGAGCAGAATCCAGCGCAGAGAAGACAAAGGCGAAAGAAGCGCCTCCGGAAAATAGCCAGGCGAAGCGGTGGGAGTGGGATGGCGAGTCCGAGCTTCCCTCACTCGAAGATATGGACGACCTCGATAACAAGCCACTGCCATCTGCTCAGGACCAGCCGCTTTCGAAGCCAGTAGCCGGCGACGCTCCGGAGCGCAGCCCTTTCCTGTACCCAACACGAGGCCACTTGTCCCTCGCCTCTGCTCCTCCAGTCAAATCGCCCCTTCTCCACGCCCTTACTGCATCGCTCGATACTCTATCCTCTGCACCTATCCACTCGTCATCCATACCGCTGCGAGCCATGGCGCTTGAGGTGGCCCGAATCATCGCCGTCGGCTGGATAGGCGCTATGGAACCTCCTTCTCACGACACAACACCAGCTGCAGCCGCCAAGGCAAAAGCAGACCGCCTTGCTCCGCTTCTTCCGGGTGTAGTCAGTAAAGCCGTGCGCGTTCTTACGATCGGCGATGACGGCAAGAGGCTCAGTCCGACGAAGGTGCCGGGCGAGCTTGTGGCAAGGGCAATGGCGCTGCTCAGGGACGTGATTGTGCCCGTATTGGATGGTGAAGCTACCTTGGAGCTGCGTAGCAGAGATGGCGGGCGTGAACGCAGAGAAGGGGCGGGTGAAGGAGAAGGGAAGGTGCAAAGCCTGGAAGATCTCCTTGCTGGACTCAATACGTCTGGCAAGGCAGACGATGAGCCCGAGACATTGCAAACTCCCGCTTCTCAATCCGAAGCGTCATCCACGCCAGACGCTCAGGCTAATGCACAGCTGACGGCGCTCAAAGCGGCCCTCAACAACCTCACGCTCGCCTTTCGCTCCCTCAGCGCCGCTTCTTCACCGAGAACGGAGGCGAAAGACGAGGTGGAAGATCTGGCCGCGCACACTCACTCGGCGGCACAGCTCGGCATTGTCGTCTTTGCGGCTGGCGTACTAGAAAGTTGTGATCAGACGTTGAGCTGGTTCTCTAGTGCATCAACAGCGGGGGCGACAGGTTCAGGGGACGAAGATCTGAGCTCCATTCTGTTCCGCTGGATCCTAGACCTCGCACCTTCGCCGGGCCCACCGGGCGCAACTTTCACGACTGCTGAGCGCGAAGCTCAGGCACGTCTTGATTCCCTCCTCTCAGCCTCTCCTCGCGGCAACTCTGCTCTTCGCTCACTCGCTCTTGAAGCAGGCTCAGCTCTCAAGTCGCTCCCACCAGCCATTCTCGCGCATCGCAATGCTCTGACCTCTCGTCTGGCGCACCGCGTCTCGGCCGTCGCAGCTGCGGCACTTCGCGCTCCCGCATTGGCGGAAAGACTGGTCAGCGAGCCGGAGATGGCGCAGATTTGGGCAGAGCGGCTGGTGGAGTGCTTGGAGCTCGATAAGCAGGACGGTGGCGGTGGTGTGGCCGATGACTACGCCGAGAACGGCGACCAGGACGGCAGCGAAACGATGGGCATGCCGTCCCTGCGCCACCTCGAGCCCGCTGCGGCTCGGATGCTGGGCGAGATGCTACAAAGTTGGGGGCAGGTTTGCGCGAGCGCTTTGCTGGCTCGACTTGAGGCCTCATCAGCGCGAACCCAGGGGAACTCCGCACCCTCGTCGTCACCAGATGGTCCGCTTCACCTCCTCTACTGGCTGCTACAATATTCCCGCCGGCAACGCAATCTCGCTCGCGCCCAGTCTGCTCGCAACGCTGAAGCATGCCTTGCAGCCTTCTCATCATCTATAGCTGCACTCTTCATGCTGCGTCAACTCCTTTGCGGTGTTGCGAAAGAGCTCAACGACGATCGGCTGTCACTGCTGACAGGCAAGGCGGGCAAGCGGGCTCGTAAAGCTGCCCACAAGCTTGCGGGCGACTTGATCAGGGAGGTGCAGGAAGATTGGGACGAGGAGGCGCAAGGTCTTGTTCTGACGCGGAGGCATGGTCACGAAGACGCTGGACGAGATGCAGTGCGCGCAAGGCCGCAGGGAGACAAGCAGGTGCAAGGGCCCATGGACTCCCTCACCTCAGCAGGAGCCGCTTCACATTCCCGTGGCTTACCAGCCAATCCAACGTCTGCCGCTCTCGCCGAAAGGCCAGACAACTTCGGTCCAGCCCTCAATCTGTCCTTCGTCTCGGCTGCCACTGTCGGCTCCTCCTCGAACGACAAGGTCATCTCGTCTACAGCCGCTCTGCGCGCCCGCTTGTCTCACCAAGTCCAACACCTGCGCACTCTTCAACTCTCCCTTCTCCACCTTTCCTCTCAACTCCTCGGCCCCGCCTTCCAACCAAGGCTGCTGTCCACAATCTACCCACTCGTCTCCGCCCTTACCCACCCAAGTCCTCTTGTGGCCGGGGAGGCCGGTAGGACCTTGAGTGGCATAGCGAGAGCGACCGGCTATGGAGATTTACTGACCTTGGTCAGGGAGAATGTGGATTACATCCTGGGCGAGGCGAGTTGGCGATTGGTTGTTGGGCTAGGAAGGGAATTGGAGTCTGAACTTGCTGCGCGTCCAAGAGATCATGACGTTGATGCCGCAGGATTCGCTCTCACTCACTACGGCGGCTCCTCTCTCTCCCTCACCAATCACTCACGGCCCCTCCTCTCCTCTCGCACCCCTCCTCTCGTACTCACCGAAGTCATGCGTCTCCTGGGGCCAAGCTCGCTGCATCTTATAGAGGATTCAGTCGACGAAATACTCGATGCACTGGATCGCTTCCACGGGTTTGACGATGTGGCCGACGCATTGTTGATGGTGCTGGACAGGTCGTTGGAGGTGATGGGCGAGGAGGCAGCGAGGGGCGGTCGCGGCGGGACTGAGGAAAGTCACACTCGACAAGCTAAGAAGGCAGAGATGAGCGTGAATCCGCGAAAGGACCTAGAAGCGCTCGATGACTGGCTCGCGAAACGCAGGACGATGCGGCAACGTCGCTCCAGCGGCGCCCCACGCGCAGAGACGACACGAGCCGACGTGCAAGAAGAGCTGGAGTCAGCTTTCGACAAGGTCGAGCAAGACGGCGGTGAAGACACAACGAACCCCACCGCCGCCCCTACGCCAGCCACGCGCTCGCAGCAGCTATTGGTCGCCATCCTGTCCAAGAGCCTGCCATTCCTCTCTCACGCCTCAGCACTCATAAGAGCAAGGGTGCTCAGACTCTTTACCGCAGGCACACGGCTCCTCGCACCACCTGGTGGGACTGACGGCGAAGGGAAAGGGAATGATAAGTGGCAACGCCGCGAGGATCTGCTCCTGCCCCTTATCAGCCGCGCCTGGCCTCTCATTCTTGCACGACTAGGATGGGATGTCTCCCGCCCTTTCCCACCACACCTCAGCTCTACCTCCGACGCAAATCAACCATCGCTCGCGCGTCTCGAAGCGCAGCTCAGCGAACTTGAGCCCGTGGTGCATCTCGCTGCCATACACCTCTTGGAGGTCACGGCAAGTTGTGTGCCGGACTTCGTGGGAAGGAGATGGGTCGACGAGGCTTGGCCGCGCGTGCGGATGATATTGAGTTTGGCAGAGCACCGGCAGAGCGAACAGGGTGGGGAGAGAGCGCGAGAGGCAAGGACTACGCGGATGACTCCGACTAAGGGGCTGGTCAACGCAGCCGCTGATGGTACGGCAGACATGCTGGCAGTCGAGCGGCATCGACTCTTCAAGCCCTTTGTCCCCCATACCCCGTTGTACACCCTCCTCGTCTCCACTCTCTCTGGCCTCATCCCTCTGGTCTCCAACCTCGGCCCGGCCATGGCCGACAAAGCGCTGTGGGAGATGGTGACGCACCCGCTCATCGTATCTGCTTTAGATGCGAGGCAGAAGGCAGAGCTAAGAGCGAAGGCGGTAAGGCTGATGAGGGCAGCGAAGGGATGTGATGCGGCTGGGAGCGTTTGGGCTGCGTTGAGGGTGATTGAGACGGGCGTGATCGTGGGGAGAGAGGAAGGCCAAGGGAAGACGCTCGACGTAAGACTAGCTGCTGCTGAGATTTTCGCGCAATGAGCTACGAGAGAGACAATGTCATAGATTGAACAAGAGGGCATCGAAGGCCGTCGTGTGGCATAAGAGTTGAAGCCCCTCATCGACGAAAGAAGCTATCGAGACTACGCTGGTCAGAGGCTCGCGGCCCGGTAGCCACTCTTCCGCCTCCTGCGTTCTTTTTCATCCTCTTGCTGCTGTTCGCTTGCTCGTCTAGGGTATCATCATCGTCATCATCATTCGTGCCCCTTCCCGCGTCCGTGCTCTCATTGCCAGCATCGACCCCACCAATCCTGAATCGCGTATAAGCCTCGCACTGGTATGTAAGTGTGAGCGCCAATCGCTGCATGGCGTCTTTGGCGCGACTGCGCCAGATCGGGTCCTCTTCTTGCTCATCTGAACTGTCCACACCATCTCGCGTCAAGCCGACGCCGGCCCTTCGACCCTCCATGATCCTCCCTGCGTTCATCCGCAACAGGGCAACGAGGCGATGCACTTGCTTCAATCTCCCAAAGTCCGGCGCTAGGCTGGCTGCGTCGAGATGAAAAGCTGATAGAAGAGCTATGTCGTCACGGTAGGGCTGAATGGAAGCGAGGAAGGCAGCATTGCGGTCAAGGGAAGATTTGCTTGTTGAGGTGGTGGCCGTCGGGCGCGGAAGCGACGTAGTGGCTGCGGTCGAGGTGCCTACCGCGGGTTTGGCGAGTCCAGTACTCTCCAGAGCGCCAGATGCGAGAAGCTCCTCTTCTGATCCGGTAGCGCTTTGTTGCGTTGTGCTGGGCTCGCCTTCAGTGCCAGCAGAGGCCGAGGCGGGCTCAGTGGTCCTCGACTTCGTCGGCGAGCAAAGCTGCAGTGCCAGATCGCTCAGAGCGATAGCCAAGATCTGTGTCCTTGCCTCAACGTCTCTGTAGCTAATGTTAGGTCTACTGGAAGGAGGGACCCACAATGGGTTGACTCGTGGGTCCTCGCTTTCAATCACGTCGCAGAGAACTTTGAGATCGGGAACAATGGGACCCACGATGGCGCCGTACCCGTGCCGAGCGAGGCCAGAGATGTGCGATAGGTAGGCCTTGCTACGTCGTACTGTGCGCGCCTTGGTCGATGCGTTGGCGAAGCGATCCAGCATGCTGAAGAAGAGAGGCCAAGTTGCGCGACCCGTCATCTTCGCTGCGGAAGTCAGGCTAGAGGCGATATCCTTCTTGGGATCGGGGAGCCAGTCGAGGATCCATTTTCCCCAGCCTTCACCTGCAACCGCGTCGTCTCCTGCTCCGCTCAGCAGCATTTGCTCGTACGTCGCCCAGCTCAAAGCAGACAACTTGCGCTCCATGATCTCCTCTAGTAGCGCCTGCATCGATGCGCCGCGCGACCAATCATCGCAGGCCATGCAATGCGCATCCGTAAGGAAAGCGAGTCGCAGAGAGGTGCAAAGCCAATGCGGGGCCGTCGGGAGGGCCAGAATGACGAGCATCAGCCGAAGAGCACGCTCGATGCGTACCTGGCGCTCCAGGCTTGAGAGCACTGCCGGCTTGCTGCTGTTGGTAGTGTTTGCTGTGATCGGCGCAGAAGCTCGCCTTTCCCTCTCCCTCCACCCCGCCTTGAACGCGCTCTCCCCCACCTCCTGCGCACCCAATGCTCTAAGCTCCCTCCGAATCATAGCCACGACCTTGCCTAGCAAGCCCTCATCAATCTGACACTGCTTGATCTGCTCACTCGCAACCTTGAAAGCCATACCTGCTATGGTCTCATCACCATGCACTGCTGCAGCGACTATGTCGGGCTTGATGCGGATGTGGTTGTCGGAAGAAGCGACTTCGCCTGCTTTGAGGAGGCCAGCGACGAACGATGTGGAGACGTCCTTTTGATAGGGGCCATGGTACATTGTGAGTGGGTGGGAAGAGTGGGACCAGTGAGCGGAGGGATCGGATAACGGGCCGGAGTGCCAAAAGTGGTAGACGTGCTTGCTAGCGCCTGTGCTGCTACCTCGCTGCTCAGCTTGCCCTTCATGTGCGACGATGTCAAGGAGGCGCTGCTGGTCCTGTTCACCGTCATCGTGGTCATCATCTTCATCACCATCACGGGGAAGTACCGTCTTCTTGAGGGCCTCCAAGACGTCAGGACGTGACGTGAGGCCCTGATCGGACTTGCTGCGCTTCTCGACCTTTTCGAAGAAGCCGTAGTCGACTGTAGAGCTCGTCCTGGCGCGAGTCTTGGACTCATAGTCACGCTCTTCGCTTTCTCCGCGAGAAGCAGGCGACTGCAATCCTTCCTCTGCTCTCGCCACGTAGGCGTTCTCCAGGTCCCGTAAGGCCCTGTCGACCTCACTCTCGGCCTCCGGCTTCTCATGAACGTCTACGCGCCTTCCCTCCCACTCCGTAATGCTTTGCCTGACTGCCTCGATGCCCTTCTCGTCTACGCCCTTTCTCTGATGCCTTTTCTTCTCCCTCAGCAAAGCATCGATGCTGTGTCTGTCCACAGCAGCCGCAGGCGTGATATGGGCTAGCTCGGCTGCAGTTGGCTGGGCTTTGGCCCTGCTAGACTTGTACATCTTGGGCTCGAAGCGATACTTCGAGGGCTGGGCTGCACTGCGGCGTGGCCGCTTGGCCGGTAACACGCTACCAGACCCTTGGTCGTGAGAGCTGCCTGCGGGGGAACGTGACGCGAGCATTGGAGAAAGGACGACGCGCGGGCGCTTTGTAATGTTGAGGACGAGTGAGCCAAGACTATCGTCGCTGTCGTCGTCGCTGTCTCCAATGACGTGGCGACTGCTGCTTGCTCGTGCGCCGCCGCTGCCCTCGCCATTTTGAGCTTCAGGACTGGCCGAGGTGAATCGTCTGCGTGACCTCCGCCTTTGCTCCTCTTCCTCTTCTTCTTGAACAGCTCTCTGCCTCGCTTCTGCTCGGAGGCGATCTGCCAGGGATGTCGCAGAGAGGCCCTTGGCATTGCTTGACGACTTGGAAGGGACGGAGGACAGAGAAGACAGTATATGCTGTGCAACGCTGGACTGGGAGGGCTTGACTGGTGATGGGTCGAGCGATGTAAGAGGTGAGGATGTTGTGCTGAGCGGCACGGCCAGAGAAGCCGCAGGTAGAGGCGTTGTCGAGCGCTCTCGGAGCGGCGCATTGGGTAGTATCAGGGCTGCTGAGCCGTGTGTGCTGGTTGAGAGGTGTGAAGGCCCAATTTGCCGCGATGAGCCAGCCTCAGCGAGGTCGGCGTCATGCCCATCAGAGGCCATGGCAGAGTCACACACTCTCTCTGACAAAGGCGCTGTCAGAAGAAGGCGTACTCGTGATGGTAGCGGATCCAACACTTGATCCTCGCTCAGAGCGGAGAAGTCAATCTCAACGGAATCCGGAACCTCTGTCGCCGCGCCCCGTGTCTCAGTCCGCCTTCTGCTGAGCGTCGCGTCGCGTTCATTTCTGGCCGGCGGACGAGGTCGACTCGAGTGATTGATTGTCGTACCCTCCTCCTGTCTTCTCACCGATATCCTCCTCTTCCCTCTGCTCACAGACCAAGGCATCATGGCTGACGTCGAGGTCGTGAGGCGACCACTCGCAGCTACCTATGGCCGTCGACGACGAGATGAGACACCATTGAGCGATGCCGAGGGCCAGTCCTCGCAGCCTTCACCTCCTGCTCGCGACTCGCTCTTCCTCGACAGCTCGCCCCTCAACAAAGAGGAATCACATCGAAGCCGATATGCCACCAATGACGAAGAGACAGGCAACACTAGCGCCTCGAGCTCAGACGAACGCGACCGTGCGGCATTCAAGCCAAGATCCTCTTCCATCGGCCTGGCGCCTCCCCAGCCCAGCCGCATTGCTGGTCTGGAAAACAGCGACGACGATGATGACGACGATGAAGAGACCTCACAAAATGCTCTGGACCGTGTCAGAGCTCAGCTAGGAGTATCACATCCGAGCAGCAGCAACGGCAGTGGAAGCCGACGCGACGCAGCTACCAGCTCCCTCAGCAGCGCTCCTTCACTCTCACAACCTCAGCGGCCGGGCGCCGGCAACAGCAAGGCTATATACGACAGCGATGCCGACGAGGAAGACAGTTTCGTCCACCGCACCGCCGCTTCGCGGCCAAATCGCGTCGGCCTTCTGGCAGGCAGGATGAAGGCCAGGATGACCACGTCTTCATCTACAGACGACCAGACGCGGCCCTGCTTTGGCTCACAGCGCTCCGCCTCACCACGCCGCAGCTTCGTCCTCAGCGACGACGACTCGTCTCATTCGGACTCAGCACCAGACTCGCAGCTGGCTCAGTTACGCAAAGACAGGCTAGCAGCCACGCAGCGCAAGCAGAAGCTCGAGGAGATGGCTGCGAAGAGGCGCCAAGCTGCAGAAGCAGAGGTCTCGCTTGAGGACGACTTCTTCAACAACAGCCACAACGATGATGCTCCCGCCACCGACGATCCTATCCGGTCCAGCTCCAATGTGGGGGAGGACAGTGATGAGGACTACCCCGACGCCCATGAGTTGATACAACGAGCCGCGGAGCAACGCCGACAGCACGACGGAAGCGTGCGAGGGGATTCTAGCGTGAGCAGCAGCAAGCATAGATCGTCAAAGTCATCGAAGAAGGCGACACGCCCGCCCAAGGGACCCAAGCCGCTCTCGAAGAAGGAGCAAGAAGAGATGCACAAGATGCAGGCCAAAATTGAGCGCAGTAGACCTATGCCTAGCCTTGCCTTGCAATCGCACCCGGTCGATCGACAAGAGTACAGCATCGCTCAGCTAGCAGCCAAGTTCCAACAACCTGAGTCTCTTCCTTCCGCTGATGAGGACGACCCGATCGAGTCAGACACGCCGCGGCGTCCAGCGCCGGGGACAGCCGTGCCAGCCAAGGGCTCAATGGCCAATGCAAAGCCGTCCACCATCCTCACAGAGGGCAGTTGCTTCTCGGACCCAGTCGCGATCTCCTCATCTCACGTCAGCGTCGAAGAGCTACAACGGCGCAAAGCACAGGAAGCACTCAAGCTGCGCAAGCAAAAGTGGCTACAGGCGCAACAGGAGAATGCGCAGCGCCCTTCCTCGATGGCAGACTCCATCGAGTCTACGGGCAGCGACCTCGTCTTTGACATGATGTCCAAGCCGCGGGCTGGCGCACAAGCTGCGGAAGATGAGGACGACCTGACCATCATCGACTCCACGGCTCCTTCTTCAAGCAGGCGCGGCTTACTCTTCGTCTCGAAGCTGCAAGAGCGCTCACGCAGCAATGGGGCTTCGACGAAGAAAGCGCCCGCAGACCGCAGCAGCAAGCACGCCGCCCAGCCTGCAGGCATGTCAGCGGTCGACTTCAAGCAGGCGATGCTGGACAAGGTCAGGCGACAGAACATTAGCATCAGGCAGGCACGTGAGATGCAGGCTGGCGGTCCGGCTCGCAATGCGCAACACAGCCAAGCTGCAGCACAACCAAATGCTGCGGGAGACGCTGACGAGTCGGCTGACGTTCTGAAGAAGATGACGGCGCGCCTGCAGCAGCAGCCTGACGCAGATGAGGTCGCAGACGCTGCGGATGGGCACGATGGAGGCAGTGAGGATGAAGACTTTTGGCCAGAGGACAGTGGGAGTGACGACGATCACGCCGGCTCTGGGGAAGAGGAAGACCAAATCGAGGACGCCAGCGCGAAGGTTGCTCAGGAGTATGAGAATAATGACGGCGACTCGCTCGCGGAAGATGAGGCCGATGTCATGCCTCCCTCGAGCCAGAACACCAACCGCTCCGTGGGCCGCACTGGGATGGACAGTGACGAGGATGAAGATGATGAGGTCGAGATGCACACGGCGAGGCCGGGCAAGAAGAGGGCACAGCTTGCTGTTGTTGACGAGGATGATGAGGAGCAACATCAGCAGCAGCAGCAGCAGCAGCACAAGGACGACAGCCCGCCTGCGTCGGCTCCCCTCACAGGCAAAAGCGCCGGCTTCGGTGGCGGGCCCGGTGGCCTCACTCAATTCTTCCAGGATACGCAGCAATCCGACCACGAAGAGCTTCCCGAGTCACAGCGTCTCGCTGCTCAAGCAGCCAGTGACGCCTCCCTGCATCGTACCTCCGCAGCACCACCCTCCGCCGGCGCACCCAAGCCAACAAACGACTCAGTCCTCGGCCAATTCTTTGCAGACACCCAACTATCTCAAACGCCCCGCGGCCACTCCCTCGACGTCATCGGGGCTACTGGACGGGCAAAAAATGCAGATCACTTTGCTTTCGTGCCCGAGGGTGGGTCGTTGGGTGATGCGGCCCTTTCTCAATTCTTCAACGAGGGAACGCAGATAACCCGGCCTACGGGGCAGGAAGAAGCTGGTGCTACCGGCGCCTCACTCGACGCGCCTGGAGGATCCATGCCTCCTCCCCGTACCATACCCACCGACGGCTTTGCGGCGCTACGTCGCCAAGCCCAGGGAGACGGGGAGGACCTGCTTGGGTCTCCTGACTCGATCCTGCCTAGCCCTGATCACTCGCCGGGCAACTTCGCCAACTTCGCCACCCCACGTGCTGCACCCCTGGAGCCGGCTAGGCAGTACCTGAATCATGAAGGTTTCTTCACTCAGACTAGGCCTGTTGCATCAGCGCCGGCTCCTGATAGTGCTGGAAGCAGACGAAGAAGCTTGAGTGTAGGGAGCAACCGCGGAGGAGCAGACAGCTTCGCAAGTCAATGGGGCGCTACGGAGCCAAGGGCAACGAGTGCGGATGAGGACGCGGAAGAGCATGATGTGCCTTCCTCGCCGAGCGCGAGACGCAAGCGCTTCAGGCGCGCCCTCCAGCCACTACAAGGCGAGAGTGAGGGCGAGGAAGAGGCGGGCGAGGAGGAGGAGGATGAAGAGGAGGAGGAGGAGGCAGATGAAGGCGATTCGCGGGGCTCGGGCTCCGACGTCGACCCTGATGAACGCCACCCCGCCGCCGAGGAGGATGAGGAGGAGGACGACGACGTTGGCTCTGCGGCCGAAGACGACGTCCATCCAGGCGCGACTGCTAACGCATGGGACGTCCTCAAGCGTGCGGCACAACGCGCCGACCTTGCCAAATCTGCGTCAAAAAAGAAGTCGAGGCGTCGCAACGAGTTCATTGAAGGTGAAGCCGAGGAGTCCGAAGACGAAGAGGGCACACGTCAGGGCGGCGGGCTCAAGGGTGTCTTCGACAAGTCCGACGACGAGGGCAATGAAGATTCAGACTCGGACGACGATGGTGCTGACCTCGAGGGGCTCGTAGACGATGTCCATGAGCGAGACGAGGCGGCTAAGGACAAGCTGGCCCTCGCGCGCTACCAGCAAGACATGGATGTGGACGAAGCTGCAGCCCTCGCTCTGGCGGAGAAGGCGGCAAAGGGTGAACTGCGCAACAAGCGGCGCAATCGTGGCCTCGGCGCCGGCCTGGAGGGTCTGCTCGACGACGACTTTGATGAGGAGCGACTGAAGCGCCTCGCGAGCAGGCCGAAGGGCTTTGTGGCGAAGAGACGCAAGCTGGAAGGAGGAGATGGGATGGATCTGCTTGCGAGCAAGGCAGAGAGTCGCGCCTTCGTGGAGGGGTATGCTGAGACGCATGACACAGGGGTCGGGGAGGGGGAGTACACTTTCCTCGCTGCGGCCGAGGATGAAGGGGATGAAAGCGACGATGACGAAGAAGAGGATGAGGACGAGGACCGCAGTGAGGAGGAAGCGTCACCAGCGAAGCGTGACGATGACGACCTGGATGAGCTGGACCGTGTCTTTGCTCAGCGGATCACGCGCAAAGAGCTGGCCAAGGAGCTCAAGGAGCGTCGCAAGAACCAGCGACGTCAGCGAGTCGCATCGGACGATGAGTATGGCGATGCGCCCGAGGAAGCGCAAGCATCGGTCCCACCCGCAAGTCGCGACTTCTTCGCCAGCGACGAGAGTGATGACGAGGTGGATCGTCGAGTCGGTGCTCAAGCTGCGGCGAAGAGGAAGGCGGCTCTACCCTCTTTCTTGCACGACCGTCTCAACTCGTCCGCCAATAGCGACAAGAAGGCTCGTACCTCCTCTGTTGCATCAAGAAGCCGTGCCGATGCGCACCACGACGACGACGACGAAGAGGATGACGACCCCTCGACAGCGGACCCAGCATCAGCCCTCATTGAAGGCCTCAAGCGCCGCAGGGCCGTCTCCCCACGCACGGCGGAGCGTCTTGCGCGCGTTGCAGCAGAGTATGGCGATCGATCTGACGCCGCCTCGTACGTCAACGCGGGGCAGAACGGTGGGGGCGGGTCAAGCATCACTTCCTTTGGGGCTCGTGCTGCTCGCCAGGTGGATAGACAAAAGGCGGGCGCGGGGGCTTTCGTTGGGACAAGAGGCAGCGGTGAGGATGCTCGGGCGACTGCGGCTGCTGGTGGAAGCGGTGGGGACGGGAGGAGGAGGGTGGCCAAGTCGGCTTCTGGTTTGTTGGCGAAGAGAGTCGTCGAGGAGTCGCAGTGAAAAGAGAGAGAGAGAGAGAGGGATACTCGCTGAGGGCCATTATATATTCATGTTCACGAGCTCTTCACGTTCCGCAATCGAGCATTGTCATCACGGTTACTCCGACAAAAAATAGCATTGGTCGGGATGACGCCAAGGCAGGACAAGTGGGTATAGGGAGACGAGGAGGTGACTGGCTAAAGCAAAAGTGAGCAGAGTAAAGAGAGAGCAAGGTCTGGTGACAGATCGAAGAGGAAAATGGAAGGAAAGCATGCCTCAAATGCATTTGCCCATCGCGACTGGCATGTACGCCTTGCCTCGGCCCAGGCCGAAAGTGGGTCGATGTCGGCTGACGTCGTAGCAGACCCTTCTTCCCTCCTGACCCGCTACAGAAGAAGAAGCAGCAAAGGTTGAGCTGCGGCGGTATGTTAGGCGAGACGAAGTTGAAGCCCCTGCAGCGGCGCTGGGTGCAGAGAGGGGGAAGGGCTGTGGCTGCAAGCCCCCACGATGATGGTGACGGGAGCGGCTGCTCCGGGGAAGTATGGGAGGGGCAAAGCTGGGCCTCTTGCCGTAGTACCTCGTTGGGGCGAGCAGTCCTGCCGCAGGTGGTGGGAGGAGGGAAGTACGCGCAACGTGAATCGAGGGCGCTGTAAATGAGCGCGGCAGGGAGCCGTCACGATGTGGAATAGAAAGGGTCGTGGTGACTGAGCGGGTGTTGAAGCTGAGTCCCGTAGCAGTGGAAGCCATTGTGAGGCGTGAGGAGCAGCGAGAAGCGAGAGCCGAGTCTGACTGGCTGTGGGCAGCTTTACCGTTGAGCATGAATGGGCGCGGCTTGAAGCGGGCTGCTCCCACTGGCTCGCCTTCTGTACTCTCACTGTTGTAGCGCACTCTACCCTCTGCCGCTAAGCTGGCCGAGCCGTCGGAGACTGGCCCGTTGCTTCTCTCACTGCAGTCACGACGTCGTCCCGACGCTGCCTGCGACTCTGGCGAGAGGTAGTTGCTCGTTGGTACCGGGGTCGAGGGCGCTGATTGCTGCGCTCCTTGAGCCAGGAGCGGTAACAAGCCCTGCAGCGATGCCTGACCTCGGACGACTTTCACCTCACCTCCCCCAACGCTGATCCAGACCGTCCACGCGATGGCGGACGCGGTTGCTCCTGAAGAGCCTTCGCAACTGGACGAGGCAGGCAACGCCTCAAAGCTGACTTTGACTTGAGGATCGGAGCTGAGTGGCCTATCAGCAGTGCTGCCTGCAGCGTCGTGGGGAAATTCGGAACGCTCTGCCGCCAAAGGCTCGTGCCGAGCGGCCACGTCTTGTTGCCGGTACTGCGGCTGCTCCTTGGTCTCATGATGACTCGCGACGGTGACCATCTCGAAGTCATCAAGGCTATCCATACCCGTGGTGCTCAATGGATTGAACTGATTATCGTCGTGGTGCCAGTCATTCTGCTCGAGGCTATCGTGGATCCGCTGATGGCCTGCCAAGCAGTCTTGCGGTCCCGAGTGGGAAGGCAGCAGTTGCTCCCATGGAAACTGTGTTGGAGCAGCGACTTCATCGTAGTCTGTGCCCGTCATGTCGTAGACTGCTGGATCCAGGCCAAGATGGTCCTCTCCGCCCTCGACATCGCTGCTGGTGGTCATCTCGTGCTCCGCAACATCTCCTGCGATACTCGACCAGTCGAAGTTGATGCATGACCCTTCGTCCGTTTCCCCTGCAACCGCTCTGTGCCCTACGAGTAAGTGAGCTGATGGCTCAAGCAGTTGCTGCTGCACCTCATGCTGCCCTTTGACTGGCTTGGGCGAGCTTGCCCGAGCTGGCGCCTTGCAACGGGGCCTGAGTGCATCGCCTGGCGGCGGCGGTGGTAGCCATTGTGGGCGATCGATACGTGGTGAGGGGAGGAGAACGCTCTTATGCGCTCCAATTGTCGAGACACTCCATTGCGAGGCGCGACTGGGTCCACCTTGTGGCTGCTGCGCGGGTGCGGTGAGCCAGCCGTTGTCATGTTGTGGCTGAGGAGGAGCGCTGCTGGATACGTCGTAGCGCAGGGCGCGAGGTGGAGCACGAGCTGTCACATGGGGAGTAGAAGTGGCGGAGAATCCGCGATGAGGACTGCCTTCGAGACCAGATGACGGTCTAGCGGGATCAAGCTTGAGCATGGGGTTGGTACCTTCACCGAATGTGTCGTCCCCTGCCCAAGGCCAGCGCTGCAGGTTCTGCGCAGCTGCTTCTCGGCGATTGCGACGTTGCAAGCTATCTTCGGAATCGTCCTCTTGCTTCTGTGCTGGACCTGACGTAGACGCCTTTGTTTCATTGAGCGCCTTGACTTTCGATGGTACGACCGGCCCAGCCACCCGTACGGCTTCGACCACACCTCTTGCTCTATCAGAGAGAACAGCGGTAGCTGCAGTTGAGCCTGCACTACTGCCGGAGATCGAGTCGAAGGATGAGGTAGAAGGGGATGAGGAGTGAGACGATGAAGAAGCGAGAGAGGAAGGTGGTGTTGCTATGAGGGGAGGGTCCTTCGGTAAAGGAGGAGGCCGCTTGCGTTGGATGGCTTTGAGGAACATGCGATGACGACGTGGTGGATGGGCGGGAAGAGGTGGGAGTGGCTGATGCTGTTTGTCTTGATGCTGCTGGTGCTGGTGCTGCTGGCTGATAGCGATGATGCGAGACCGGCGGGTGCTCTGTCGCTTCGCGGCGAGGAGAACGGCAGCATCATTTGCCAGACGTTTGTTGCGTCTTGACCTGAATGGAAGGCCGGCAAGGAGGTCGTCGTTGCGACGACGGCGTGGAGATGGAGCAGTGATATGGTGACCGCTGCCCGGAGGACGAGCAGGAGAGGATGAGGGGGCCAAAGGCGCTGGGTATCGCGCCATGGTATGGTCGGCGAGGAGAGGAGGATGAGCAGCGAGCGAGATGGCAAGTCGTAGCTCACTTGCTGTCGAGATGAAATGAAGCAACGGTCTGCAGAGTCGTGAGCAGGAGCAGTAAGCAGAGGAATCAATGTTTTGGGGGAAAGGAAAGCAGCAGCACAACACGACCAATCAGAGATCTGCTTGCCTCGCTGCTGCTGCTGCTGACAATGATCGAGCTGCCTCACTTGTGCGGCGACTTCGAAGGACGACTCCGCTCACGAAAGCTGAGGGCGCGTCGTGGGGTCAGCTTGCGGCGAGGCAGCGGTCTGCTTCTGCTCTCAGCATGGCCTCTTAGCACCAGGATTCAGAAACTGCGATATAGCTTGCCTGAGCCTCATTCCACAAATGCGACTTGCGTATATGCTATCTCTTTTCTGTGTTGATCCTCATGCTGATGGCCAGGGAGGGAAAATGCATGGCCCCTGCGCCCGCGCCTGCGTCTCCGTCTCGGGCTGCGCCTCTGCCCAGCCGGATCAATTTCGCTCAAGTCGCTTGACACTCGGCCCCTCGTCTTCCGTCTTCCGCTTCTCTTCCTCCCACCATCCCTCTCAATTCCCATGGTACAACCACCATGAGCTCCTCTCTACCACCACCGCCAGCTCGCACACACTCACCGCCGATCCGCGTCTCTTCACCAGATCAATTGCGCCAGCTTCTGGGAGAGTATAGAGGGGGAGCAGCCTCGCCAACCCCTAGCACGAGCAGCGCAGCAAGTCGTCCTTCGAAGCGCGATTTGATTAGGTCGAGACATCCTGCTCCCAAGCATGTGTCGAAATTGGAGTCCCTTGGTCGTGAGAACAGGAAGCGCCGGGATAGCAAGGGCAAGGGCAAGACGAATGAGCACGAGGGAGCGGAGGCCGACGGGAACACGACCACGGACATTGGCATCCTCCCCGAGGAAGTATACGACGAGTACCTACCACCTCTCGTTGCCCGCCTGCGTCGGCTGCTGATACGCAGTCTGCGGCGTGAATCCCTCTTACTCGCACGTCATCAATCAGTCGTCCGGCATCCCATCTTGGACCGCTTCTTCGTCTACACCTCACTCTTCGGTACGCACTCTTTCTTCCTCATCTTCCTCCCCACAGCATTCTGGATCGGCAGTCCCTACCTTGGCCGTGGGCTTGTCAATACACTCGCCTTCGGGGTATACGTCTCTTCCGCGATCAAGGACTTACTCTGCGTGCCTAGGCCGTACAGCCCTCCGGTGACTAGGCTAACGATTGGAAGTGTCCACCTGGAATATGGGTTTTTGAGCACCCACAGCACAAACAGCGTGGGAATGGCTCTCTACTTCTACCTCTGGGTCGTAGCTATGCGCGGCCAGAATCCACAGTCGGTCGGATGGAGCAGTGGATGGTGGGAGGTAGGCTTCGCGCTGTACTGCTTCAGCGTGGTGTATGGGCGCATCTATGCCGGGATGCACTCCATCGTCGATTGCGTGACGGGCTCGTTGCTGGGCATGGCAATTACGATGACGCAGTGGTGCGCCTTCGATTGGATCGAGGCATTTCTCAAGATCGAGGGATGGACCGTGCCCGGTGTTCTGGTGCCGGCGTGCCTCTTCATGGTGTACGTCCACCCGCAGCCCTTGGATGACTGCCCGTGCTTCGAGGATGGTGAGGATGCGCGCCACGATCATCAGACGCAACCGGGCGTGCCTTTGCTGATATCTTTTCCTTCTCGCGCAGCAATCGCTTTCATCTCCGTAGTACAAGGCGTCAACCTTGCTCGCTGGGCATCACAGCGCTACTCCCTTCTACAATTCCCAGACTTGGACCCTTTCGATCCCCTGCCTCTCAACAGCAGCTCAATAGCACCCAGCGATACTTCCGCACGCAATCCTCTGATTCGCGCTACCCTCTACCTCCTCACCATCATCGTAGGCGTGTTCTTCATCTTCCTGACTCGTGTTCTGGTCAAAACCACTTGCAAGCTGGCCCTCCCCACAATCTTTCGCTTCTTCGACCGCACCTTCGGGCTCGTCCTACCACGAAGGCACTACATCCCCTCAAGCGAGTATGACGAGGTGCCACTACAGTTCAACGAGCTGCTGCGCTCCAACTCCTTTGTGGATCTGCCAAATACCTTGACGCCTACTGTCACGCCAGCAGGGCCTTGGCCGGATGTGGGTCACCCATCAAGACGGGAGAACAGTAGTGGGGGATTGTCGAGTGGGAGTGAGACTAGCTCTACTGCCTGGACGTCCGGGCATGACTTGGGATATCGCGGAGTCTCGCGAGATGGCAGCAGCGGGATGCTCAGCGTGCCAGGGAGCAGCGAGAGCGAATACGAGTACGACCGCAGCGGGAGTGCAACGCCCGTATCTCGACCTGTCAGCCCCTTGAGCAGCCAAGGGAGACCGCCCTCGCCTCTCAAAAGCACAGCTGCAGCGGGTATGTCCAGCTTGACGGACGCCTCACAACAGCTTGCGGCGCAGAAGGACGACCAAGCATCGCCCAACGGCTCTTCTCATTTGATCCAATATGCACCAGCCCCTAATTCCTCCTTGTCAGTGCCCCTCACCCGTCCAGCTGGGCAGGGGGGCACCGAGCTACCATCAGACAAAGTCGCGAATACACTGGCTGCCAACTTGAGCGAGGAGGAGCGCATCAAGCAGGAAGAAGCGGCTCAGCAGGCGAACAAGAGCGGTTCAACGGAGGTCAAGCATTACGATGTTGATGTGCTGACCAAGGTGCTCGTCTACACTGCGATCGGATTTGTTGCCGCAGGGCCACTGCCGGCGTTATTCGATCGGCTAGGGTGGACGGCATGATGAGCGAGAGGGGTCACAATGTACATTGCTTTTATTCCCTCTTCTCTCTAATCTACACGTGTTTACCATCCATCATTACATCTCCCCATCCATCCCACTCAGCGGCCCAGCATCGTACGCGCCTGCCACCAGACAAAGGTTCCTCGGCGTGACCCTCACATCCACCATCGGGGTGCGCTTCGTCCTGAAAGTAGCGACACAGTCAGCGCTGGCATCCTCGACTCGCACACCCGAGCCGGGAATAACGCCGTTTCCTCCTGCTCCACCGTTTGAGATTCCCGCTACATCGCCATCCTCAGGGCTGGCTGAAGCGCCCTTTGCCCCACCGGTACCGCGCACATCCCAACAGCGAACTGTACAGTCGTCGGCAGCCGAGATCAGGACGTTGCCCGTAGCGGTAAAGTCGAGCGAGTTGATCCTCCCCTGATGGCCCCACATCTTCTTGATCCTTCGACCCGATCCGAGATCCCAGAGGGAGATGCTCGCCTCATCCTCTCCTGAAGCCGCTCCTAGCCCTGAGCCACCACCGTTGCCACTCCCCGCTGTCGCAAGGTAGCGACCATCGGGGGAGACTTTAACACAGCCTACCGGGCTAGAATGGCCGACAAATAGGCGCACGCAAGCCCCGCGCTGTACGTCCCACAGCCTTGCAGTGCGATCGCTTGATCCAGTGGCCAGGTAGAGGCTGTTCGGGTGGAAGGAGAGACAGTCGACGTCGCTTAGATGTCCCGCGTACATCCTCAAAGCGTGAGCGCGCTCCGTGCTCCACAGTCTTGCTGTCCTATCCGCTCCTGCTGTGGCGAAGTAGATGCTCGAAGGGGAGTACTCCACGTTCCAGACTGGGCCCTGATGACCCCGATAGGAGACGAGTGCGCTGAGCGTGTCCATGGACCAGAGGCGGACGGTGCTGTCTGCCGAAGATGAGAGGAGGGTGCGCGGCGCTGAGGCCGTCCCGCCTACGTTGTCGAATGAGAGTGAGTAGACCGGTCCGGAATGGCCGATCAGCTTGCGGGTGCTCAAGTACGCCGGGTCCTCCCCTTCGTCCTCTTGTCCATTTGGTCTTTGGCGCTTCACCTTGACCCTCTGTCGCTCCAAGCTAGTTCGATCCCTCACGTCGGGAAGGTGCACATCCCCCCTCAAGCCTGCTAAGGGCTCCCCCTTCAGGCTCCAAATCTGCACGTAGCTCTCCTCGAAGCCGGCGGCCATCAAAGTCGTGTCCTCGGAGAAGGTGGAGCACGTCAAGCCCGCGTCGCCCACATCGTGATAGGTGTACGCGCAGATGCTCGGAAGGGCAGCGCGACGCATCCATGGCGTTGTTGTGCTACCGGAGGAGGATGATGCCGGGAGAGATGGGTCGATCCGGAGACTTTTGCGGGCATCGCGTAGCTTGGCCACCTCTCGCATGATGTCCACGCTGCGGAACAGTGGGGCTTGTGGGGGCAGGTCGGCGACTGTAGGTTGGATAAGATCGCTACGGTCGTCCTCATCACCACCAAGGTTCGTGGCGCCTCCCTTGTCCTTGCCTGACTGCGGCGCGACTGAGCCTGACGCCTTTGCACCTGGGGCAGGTGTGCCCGTACCTGCTCGACTTGCTCGGGCGGGTGTGGCTTCCTTTGACTTGGAGCGCTTACGTGGAGATTCACTTGTGTCGTTCTCGCCCTGCTTGTCTGCTGTTGACGTTTCGACCCCATCCATCTGCTCTCCGTCCTTCTGCCCTTTCTCAGCGGGAGGTGAAGTGCCTCTCTCCTTCTTCTCTCTCTGTTTGCGCTCCTCCTCTTCGTCTCTTACCTCCTCCGTAGCCTCGCGCTGCACTTCGTCCGCCAACCTCTCGCTCAGCGGGAACTTGGGTCCCAACTTGAGCTGCGGCCCCGCATTCTTCGCATTAAATTCAGCGATGGCGTCTCCTCCTTGCGAGACGGCTGCGGATTGCAAGGCTGGGTAGTCACGGGATGCGCCCGTCGATGAGGTTGATGCTGCACCACGCTTGCTACCTCCCGCAGGGCCAGTGCCAACAGCAGAGTACGAAGGCCCCGCGCTCGTCAAGCCTGTCCCCTCCTCAAGCATCTCTGGCGTCAACTCATACGGTTTCGCCCTCAGAACCTGGATTCTACATCGCTCATTGATGATGCGAAGCATCGCCAACCTGCCCCGAGTTGCAGGTGGCTCAGCCTCGTTTCCCCCTACTCCCTCACCCGCCCCCGCGGACGCTACGGGGCCAGTCCCATCGGTCAGCCAGCCAAGGAGGAGGCCGAATACTGTCTGACTCATCTTGAGGACATACCGCTCGGCTCTGAAGCGCTGTACGAGCTCATCGGCGCCCATATGGACGCGGCGTGTAACAGAGCGCAGATGGGCGAGGAGGCCTGGGTGAAGAGGGAGGAGCGAGTCCCCGTGCAGGGCCAGGAGGGAGGCGGCTGCCGCATCTAATCCCATCTCGACCAGGTCGAGGTAGGAGTGAACAAAGAGCGGCAGGAGAAGGGGTCGCAGCTCGGCTTGGTACACGTCCAGCCCACCTTGGCACCAATTGCGGACCATGCCGAACCCTCTTGTGCGGTCCGTTCGGTCGATCTTGAGAGCGTCGGCTGCTAGCACCTCGAGGGGCCCAGGGTTGGCTGCTCCTCCTGCTCCTGATGCTTGGCCTTTCTCTCCAGCGGCAGCCCCGGCCAGATCACGCGGCGCGCTCTTGCTAGCCAGCTCGCCCATGCTCAGCGTCCGAGCGTACGGAGTCCCACCCGCGGCAACACCGGCAGCCTGAGCCTCTTCAGGGCTCTTTCCCGCAGCCAGAGCTTCAAGCTCGGCTTTGAGCACTTGCTCACTACGCTCAAATCCGCGCGTGCGGAGGTACTCGATCACTACCGAGGTGGTGAGGGATGAGGAGGATGTCGAGGTAGGAGGGGCTGCATTGTCTTCGGTGGATGACGATTGGACGGGCGTGAAGCGTTGCGCATTGCTGCTGTCTTTTGATGACGAGCCTTCAGCTGCAGCACTGCCGGCCTTGTCTGGCTTGTCAGGCCCTGCCATTTTGACGCACGACTGAGGAGGATACGAAGGTGCGGATGGATGGAAAGGCGGGATGCGAAGCAATGCACTCGATCCTCGACTCGCTCGCGGGCCATCCGCGTCTCGTCTCTTACGTAAGCCACTCACCCTCCTGCTCGCTCGGGCTCCTCGCGAACATCGAGCAGCCATAGGGACTGAATGCTACGCAAGCTCTGAGATTGACGAGAGACAAGAAAGCTTGTGACAGTCTTACGCGGCCCTGGATGCTGAGAATGATGGGAAATGATGGACCACGACGAACAATGAATCCTGCCTTACGCCATTCCAATATCTGCCTCTCCCAAACTGCTCCTTCTCCTCCTAACATTGCGTCCAAACCTGCTGCTTGTCCCCGCAACAGGCGGCTTCGATCCTGCAGCAGCGCCTCCTCCTCTCCCTACAGCTCCGCTTGCATTGGCAAAGCTACCCTGCGGCACGTCGGGGCTCGGCCGTGCTCTCTTCAGATTCGCCCTCGCAGCAAGCATAGCTGCATTGGCGCTGTTCGTAATGGGCGTCGTGCCCTTTGACACCCCACTACCCCCGGATGGGACACGACTCACGGCAGAAGAGGCACTCGTCGCCGCAGCTGTGGTCACCTTGTCGCCATTGTGCGAAAGCATGCGAGAGACGGTCCGCCTAGCAGTCGTGGTGGTGGTGGTGGTGGTGGTGGTGGTGGTCGACGAGGACCCAGATGAGGACGACGACGAACCTTGCGACGAGCTCGGACCATTCGCTGCTAGCTTGGCAGATGGGCCGGCAACTCCTCGCCGGCTACCAGAGGGGGTTCTTGCGCCCAGTCTGGCGGGAGAGGAGCCAGATGTCACGCGCGTCGTCGTTGTATGTGTGCTGTTGGGCGCCGGAGGAGCAGCGACAGGAGCGTGCGACATTCCACCTCTGATCTTAGCCGGAGATATGGAGTTGCTTGATGAGGGGGTGCGGCCGATCGTACGCATTGTTGCGGGTCTGCCACTCGTCATCGTTGCCGTGCTGGCGTTCTCGTTGCCGCCGTTCACGCCGATCACGCCCAGCACCTCGGCATCTGATCGCGCTGGAGAGCTCGACGCCTCTGCGTGACTTCTGGTCGCACTCGGCTCGCCCGAAGATCCATCAGCCCTGGGCGATCGGGGTGGAGGCAGCTTCGAGTCCTTGAGGCCGTACGTCGCTCTCACGTTGGGCGAGGCCTTGAATGATGGGACTCGAGTTGCGCGAGACGGAGTGCCGGCTGCGGAAGCCGACGAGGGAGACTGCGGGTGCGGAGAGATGGGAACTGCCGGGGAGCCAAAGACGTCGCCATCGCCCTCTACGAGGATGTCAGCAGCGCCGGTGGGGCTGCGAGGAGGGGCGGCTTCGGATTTGCAGCGCTCGTGTGTGCGAGAGCTGCGTGTAGCACTGCTGCTTACAAGGATGACCTCTTCGCCATTCTCGCCAGCAGTAGAGGCCTGCTTTTGCCTCCTGCTCGTTGGCGTCGTTGTAGCAGCAGCATCTCTTGCCTTGTCCTGCTGCTGCTCCCGCTTCGGCGTAGCGCTGTTGAGCCTCTGTGCCGCCGTCAACACCCGGCCAGCCGAGCGAGGAGTCATCGAGACCGCCTGTGGTGTACCGAGAGCATTGTTCTCGTTCGACGAACTACGGCTTGGAGGAGTTGCTGCATTCGCCGTCGTGGCTAGAGCCTCCCAGCTTGTACGGAGCGACGAGACCCCGTGAGTCGGAGTCGAGGGAGCAGCGGTGCTGTTGCTGGTGCTTGCGCCATTAGTGCTGCTGTTGCCACCAAGTGCAAGATTCTCGGCACTGTGTGAGCGAGGAATTTCGGCACTTGCTACCCTGCTGCTAGCTGAACGCAGTCCTCCTCTTGTCAAACTCGACATCGTCGAAGGACCTGGCGTCGGCACGGCCACACTGGCGTGGTTGGCCGGTCGCTTCCTCGACGGGCTTGGGCTCTTGCGCGGTTGCCCAACGCAAGGCACGGGCTTGACTGCAGGAGCAGCCGTTGCTGGGATGACATGCGGCATCTTCTTGTGCTTGGGCGTCACCGGTGCAGCAGCCATCGCGTCCTCATTCTCTACCTCTACCTCCTCTTCCTCTTCCTCATCGGACAGCGACTGTCGCTTGTTTGGGCGATGCGCTGCACCATTCGCTTTAGCCTGGCCCATCCTTGCGGCCATGACTGCGCGCTCTGCCTCGATCGTCTTGCGTGCGATGGCGAGCGCTTGATCACGAACGCTCCATCGTACCCACTCGACGAAGTTCTGGTACATGAAGTGCTGTTGCGGACCGACGACGCAGCCTGGCCGCATGATGCGCATGAAGCCAATGACTTCGGACGCGCTGAAGCCATACTTCCAGATCAGATACGCGCCAATGAGCACGCCTGTGCGGCCCAGACCAGCTTTGCAGTGCACAGCAATGGCCCCACCTTTGGAGATGACGTCGTCTGCCCTTCGAATGAACTCTCTGAGAATCTCCTCTGATGGGTTGGATCCATCGTCAAAGTAGAGGTCGAGATGCGCAATCCCCGCATCTTCGAAGACGGTTTTGTCGTAGAGTGGGTTGTTGAGGCGGACAACGAGCTTGACGTTGCGTTCCTTGAAGTAGCGGACCGTATTGAGGAAGACCTGCGGGAGCTTACGGCTGACGCTCGATGGCGTCGGCGGCTGACCGCCATTGGCTTTCAGGGCTGCAACGTACTCGCGATCATTCGGGCTGGCAAAGGCGAGAAAGCTAGGGGTGATCCAGTTCCAGTCTCCGCATTGGACCTGCTCGTAGTACTCATACTCCTCGAGGTTAAACTCGGACAAGTCCAGTAGCTTCTCCTTGATGGCTCTGTGCACACCGTAGAGGACGTCCTGCATAGTCAAACAGTAGTCCGGGCGGCCGTAGCCTGCGTCTCGAAACGGCTTGAACTCGATTTGGCTGAAAGGGTGGAAGGCGTCCGCCGGCTCGATGTGATCGATGATCATCGAGTACATGGCGGCCAGGAGGCTGCCGTTCGCCTTCTTGTGCGGGTGATTGGAGGTGTAGAAGACGAGGGCCTTGTCGGCGAGGTTGTCGTCGTTAAGAAGTTGGTGGATGTGCATGCAGAAGCGATAGAAGAGGGCTACGTTGAGCGGGCCCTGCGCGGCGTGATCCGATGAGGAAGTGTGAGTATATACGATGATAGGCCGCAGTCTCCTGCCACTCACCCAATCCTCAAAGAAGCTGAGGTAGACGAGTTCGTCGTCGATGTTGAACCAGTGAAACTGCTCCGGGATATCAGCAGCCGTCATAGGCTGCCCGCCTCGCTGTTGCTTGGGTGCCTCAAAGACGGCCGATGCTGCGCCGTTGCCGATGTTGAGAAGGTGGGCCGGCGGCGGCGGATCCTCGAAAAAGGTGAAGTAGAGACGGGTAGATATGTAGATGAGGGGGATGAGAGGGGTGGGAGCATCCTCTTCGCCTTGCGAGCACGGGGAGCCTTGGGAGCGAACAGGCGGGGCGCGAGGGTTGGCAATGCTGCAGCGCTGACTGGACACTGTGGACTTACCGAGCCTTTCTGAATCCATGGCATAGGATGACGAGGCAACGAATTCAGTCTCGTCATGATGGCACTCCTCGCCATCAGCATCACTGTCCAGGAAGTCCGAGTCGTCAGGGCATGGGAGAGTTGGAATCATGCCATTTCGAGGCGGCGACGAAGGACCAGCTGTTGCAGCGGCTGATCTTGCGACTGCTACTCTGGACGTCATAGTTCTCGTCGGAGTATGCTGGTGCTGATGCTGATGCTGATGCTGATGTTGATATGCTGCGAGATTCGTCGTCCTGGGGCTGGGTGCTAGCATATGCTCAACGCCAGGTGGAGATGGCGGGGGCTTTCAAGTGGATGATGAAGGTACGGGGCGGGAACCTCCCTCTGTTCTCTCGCTCTCCTCGTCGTTGGAATGACGAAGCTCGGCGACGCTGAAGAAGAAGAGCGACGAGGGGCTGTGAAGCTCTTGTGGTAGAGTTGAGGAAGACGAAGTTGCTTTGTCGACCGCTCGCTCGACTTGTGGTCTCAGGCTGTCGTCTCAGTCCGCCGTGTTGTTGTGGCCGCCCCGCGTCGGTCGCGTGGGGCCTCGATGACGGAGAGCGCGGGAGCAAGCGACGGGCAACAGCGACGACTGACTGACTCCACTCTCGAGGCTTGAGCTCAAAAAGTCGGCGCTTCAGCCACCCTTCAGCCAATCTCGCCTGACTTCGCAGCGTCGGCAGAGTGGACCTTTGACGAGTTGGCAAGCCTTTTCCCCATCTACATCCTCAAGCACATACGGCGGCGGTGCTGGACCCCTGGACAGGACTCAGCATGGCGTCTGTAGGTCAAGTGGGCCTTTCGCCCGCCTCTCACAGTAGCAAGAAGGTAGCAGTCAGTCCAAAATCCATCGTCCGCCTCATCCAAGGTACGCGTACGCAGCGACATACATCCACGTGAACGTTTCATGCTCATTGACTCCATTGCTACCCCTCTCCTCCGTAGATATCATCCAGTCACCCCAATTCTGGGATGGACTCCGCGTATTCGGCATAGGCGCTGCAATTGCAGGCAGCAAATGGCTGGCCGAAACAGTCTGGGAGTCACTCAAGTCGCTCGTCCTCTGCAGAGCCGTACTGCGTGCGGGGGCAGATGGCGGCGGAGGTGATGCGTATCAGTGGGCGATGCTTTACGTGACACGACACACGCAATGGGAGGAGGATGCGCGTGATGTGGAGATCACTACGGTCAGCAAGCTGGCATACGATAGCTTCAACGGGGACGACGAAGAGCAGGCTGCCAAGCATGCCAGTGGTGGGGAGAGCAAGTCTGGGCTCGACGGCGTCTACCTCTACCCGATCGAGTCGACGACCGTGCGGTAAGTCTGCTGGACTCCCTTCTCACCAGGTCATGCGGCTGATGCCTCTCTCGCTCGCCGCCGCAGGTTCCGCTTCCACTCAACTTGGGTCTTTGCCACGCGCACGAGATCCCGCAACGGCGACTCCTCCATTGAAGAAAGACTGGATCTCTCCTTCCTCACCTGGTCAAGCAAGACGATGCGCCAATTCATCGCAGAGGCGCGAGCTCTCTACGAGCAGAGTGAGCGCGGCCGCATTGTAGTCTACAACATTGATCGCTACGGGTGAGTCGACGTTCTGAGACATTGAAAGGTGATGTGGACCTGCTGACGTCTCGTCACTGCTTCGCAACGGCAGCTACTGGTCTCGCTCGCGCGTCATCACTCGACGGCTGCGCGACTCTCTCTTCCTCCCGACCAACATCAAAGTCCGCGCCCTCGACGATGCCCGACGCTTCCTCTCGGAGCCGGCCCGCCTCTGGTATGGAGACCGCGGCATTCCTTATCGCCGTGGCTTCCTCTTCCACGGGCTGCCAGGGACGGGCAAGACTTCCCTTGCCCATGTACTGGCGAGCGAGCTGCAGCGCCCCATCTATCAGTTGAGCTTGAGTGGAGGACTGAATGACTCAAAGTTTGCCGAGCTGATGACGAGCGTGCCGAGTGGGAGCGTCGTGGTGCTAGAGGATGTAGATTGCGCCTTTGGGTCGCGTGGGACCACGGAAGGTGGGGAGGAGCATGGCGATCGCGCTCGCATCACTGGCACTACCGCGGCTGGCTCATCCGCAACACCTCAACGCTCTGCGGCCCCTTCCCCAGCTCCCTCTACAGGCGGACCTCAAGGCGCCGGACCTGCCTCCCTCACCTTCTCGGGCCTCCTCAACGCAATCGACGGCATCACGGCAGGCGAAGCAAGGCTACTTATCCTCACTACGAACCATCGCAATCGCCTCGACCCTGCTCTCGTCCGCCCAGGGAGGGTTGACGTGGAATTCGAGTTCGGCAACGCGAACCGTCAGCAGGCGAGGGAGCTCTTCGAGAGATGGTACGCGCCGCAGGGTTTGGCAAGTGAGAGACACTCGGAGAGCCAGGAGCAGGTGGAGGAGAAGGAGAAGGAGGAGAAGGAGCCTCTGCTTGCAGATGAGGAGGTCCCGGTGACTGCCAGCGACGATACCTCCGTTTCGCTGGGCGTCACCCCGCCACCCGTGTCCCGGGAAGAGCTACTCGAGGCGGCAGAAGTATTCGCACGCGCTACAAGGCCGGGGAGGTACAGTGTTGCTCATCTGCAGGGCTTCTTGCTCGCGCGCATGGGGATGGGGCCGAGGGAAGTTGCGGAGGCTTGGAGAATGCAGGAAGAGGGTGGGAGTGAGGGAAGGCTGGTCTGAGAAGCGTTGCGTGGAGCGTTGTAGCAGTAATGGAGCAGCAGTAGAGCAGCATAGCATCTAGCGAACCCAAATGTGATTGAGCATACGAATCAATGCGTGCGTAAGTCTACAGTTCCTCTCCCCTGCGTACTCTCTTTCCGTGGCGCTCTCGCGCACTCATCTCTCGGCGAGAAAACCGCTCAATTGCCAAGGAGGCATGACTCTGCCTGCGCCAGCTCCTCCTCCTCCAGTCCCTCCAGCAGCTTTAGCCCTCTTATCGCCCGCCACACCTCCACTCGTCGCACCACCTCTTCCACTCGCCGCAGTAGCGAAAGCAGCTGCAGCATTCCTCGTGTCTGATGCTGTGCTGGTCGAGGGAGAGAGGACAGGGTGACCCGCAGGAACGGACACGCCATCTTCGTGCAGCTGTGACCAGACAAAAGTGGTTTGACGGACAGCGCTTTCCAAGAGGGGTTGAGAGGGACGCCCTGTCCGATCTACGCGTGCGAATGACAGACAGCAAGGGCGCGTGTCAGCCAACGCTCGCACAGTCAAGTCTGACCTCGCGTCGTCGCGTCGCCCTACTTACACATGATTGCCCCATTGATCTGGTTCCACAATCCTCTTCTCCTCCTGACATCCAAGAATTTCCTCAGTGGGCTGCGTTCCAAATCCTTGTATGCCAGAATGGCCGTCACGCTCTCTACCTCTTTCCTGTACAGATCTCGATACGCTCCAGATGGCAAGCGCAGAACAGAGTTGTAGAGCTGTTGCGCATGGGACAAGGCCAGCTGTAGAGGTGCGGAAGTGGAGGAGGCCGAGGGATTGAGGGAGGAGGAGGCGGTCGAGGAGACTGAGATCGAAGAGCTTGCGGATGAGGGGGCGGGGGAAGAGGAGCGGGATGGTGGGTTGAGAGGGGCAAGAGCAGGGGCAGCTCCATTGCTGCCGTTCCCATTCGAGGCTGATGAGCCCGCTGCGGCTGCGGCTGCCATCCCTGTCGAGGATGATCCCTGCCCGCCGTGGTGGTGCTGAGGCGTTGCAGGCGGTGCGGGTTGCGGACCGTTCGCGACGCGCACAGCCTCGATGAACGCCTGTATTTGCAAATTCAGACCAAGATGCTCTGGCTGCAAGCTTGTCGCGCTCGCAGGGATAGCAGACGTTCTGCCGCTTCCCGTAGTCCACGTCTTAGTCGCGCCTGACGGCCCACCCTCAGTTGGGGACGAGTCCTCGCTATCGCCGCCGAGGACGGAGGGGAAGTGCGCATCCAACAGTTCGATAGCCTGTTTGATCTGACCTGACAGGATGTGATCTCTGATTTGTTGGCGAAGATGGAGGATGCGGTAGTCTTCTCGCGAAATCTCAGCGCTGGCGCCCTGGCTCAAGGGTCCCGCTGGGCCAGACGCGGAAGTGATGGTTGTATCCGCCGTCTCAAAGGCAACGTCGCGTTTGTGCTCGTCATCCGTGGATGGCTGAACATCGACGGCATCGTGCATGTCGTCGTCCTTATCACTTTCACTGGTGCCACTCGCAGCTGGAAGGAGCTGCGCATCCGCCTCTACTTCGATGGACGAGTCCTGACGCGATAGTGGTGGTGCGGCAAGTGGGTGGCGCGACCGACGCGGCGTGGCTGGTGTGCTCGACGAAGCAGCGACGTGCTGAGCTGTGCCTACCGCAGAGGCTCCTCCGCCCAGTGAACTGCTCTCTCCACCAGCATTACCAGCAAAAGCGTTGGCGGTGTCGACGTAGCAGTGGTGCAGCAGATAGTTCAGGACAACCTTGCGCAGCGTTGTGGGGGACGTGATCGACTCGACGTGCGAGGCTGGATCTGATGATGATGATGATGATGATGATGAAGCGGCTGCTGCTGAGTAGGGCGGCGGCATGATAAAGCGACGTTGTGTGAGAGAGTAGTGTCGAAAGGCAATCAAAGGATGCGTCGCCTGGTTGCCTCTGACCCTCATCACCTCGCCGCTCGAGCCACCAACCAACACGATGCGGCTGCGCCACGCGAGCCAGGGTGAGATCTGTCGTCGACGGAACGGCGGCAGTTCATTGACTCGGCGGACGGGCGGACGACGACGGAGATGGAGGTAAAGCGAGGCGAGGCGACGCGGGCGAGAAGAAGCTGCAAGCTTTCTTTCTACTCTCCACACCCCACCATCGAGCTAGGTTTCATTATGGCGGTACGCAAGGACGATGCCGAATGGCAGGCACGTCTGGATCGATGGCAGGCTCGCCTTCAGTCATTGCCAGCTATTGCACTCCCTACAGACTATCCTCGTCCTTCATCCTCTCAGCTCGTTCAGGCGCTGACGTCTACGGATCTTTCCAACCGCACTCGCTCCTCCCTCGTCCGACTCGCGTTGCATCATGACGAGGAGCTTCACCCTGATGGAGACTACTCGGATGATGAGGACGAAGATGGCGAAGGGACATCGCGCCTCTCAGCTCCCACGCCGTTCCACTTTCTCTTGGCTGCCTTTGTTGTCCTCCTGCATCGCTACACGGGAGATACGGACATCGTCATTGGCACCAATAGTCCCAAGACTGGCGAGCCGCTCATCCTCCGCATCCCAATTGAGGCAGGAGACCCATTCTGGCAGCTTGTCCGCCGGGTGCAGGCCGTAGAAGCTGAAGCCGCTTCGGATAATGCGCCCTACGAGGACATCGTTGCGCGATTGCAGTCCTCATCCTCTTCGACTTCCAACGGCGCACCCTCTTCGCCCATCTTCCGCGTGCGCTTCTTTGACGAGACGACTGGATCCGCGACCAACTTCCTCCAATCTACGGCCCTCACCACAGACTTGACCGTCTTTGTCACTGGCCCTGGTTTCAATCTCGATGCATCAGCAGACGCAGACACCTCAGCGTCAGTCGAGACCTTGAAGCCAGGCGCAGCATCAGGCACTGCTACGCCATCACGCAGTGCTCGCGACCCTCTTTTGCCAGCTCTTTCCTTGCATCTGTCGTACAATGCCCTCCTCTTTTCCTCCAGCCGCACGAAGCACCTCCTCGCGCAGCTCTCCCGCATCATCAACGAGGTTGCTGCGCACCCGACCACATCAGTGGGTACCATCTCGCTGCGTACGGCAGCAGAGAATGCTATTCTGCCCAATCCGAAAGAAGATCTGGACTTCTGTGGGTTCATGGGAAGCATCACGAGCATCTTTGAGCGAAACGCCAAGGCTCACCCCGAGCGACGGGCAATTGCGGAGAGTCTGCCGGGCCCAGCAGATGCGATGGAGCTACCAGCGCCGGCGAGTGAGATCAGGAGCATCACCTACCAGGAGCTGGACCGCGCTTCAAACGTGCTGGCGCATCACCTCATCAGCAATGGCGTACAGCGAGGTGAAGTTGTCACCACGTACGCATACCGTGGGGCAGATCTCGTCGTCTCCGTCTTGGCCACCCTCAAAGCCGGAGCAGTGTTCAGCGTCATCGACCCTGCATACCCTCCTGTGCGCCAGAATATCTACTTGCAAGTCGCCAAGCCCCGCGCAATCGTTGTGCTCGCCAAGGCAGGCAGCCTACACGCCAATGTGCGCAAATGTATCCAGGAGGAGCTCGAGGTGCGCGTTGAGGTGCCAGCGCTCGAGTTGCTTGATGGCGGCAAGGTACGAGGAGGCAGCGCCAGCCAAGGGGGCGCAGACGTGCTGGACTCCGCACAGTCCAAGGCCTCGCAGAGCACCAACATCTTGCTCGGCCCCGACTCACCCGCAACGCTTTCCTTCACCTCCGGTTCCACAGGAATTCCGAAAGGCGTCTTTGGTCGTCACCACTCCCTCACCCACTTCTTCCCCTGGATGGGTACACGCTTCAACATCGGGTCTGGAGATCGCTTCACCATGTTGTCCGGCATCGCGCACGATCCCATTCAACGCGACATGTTCACCCCCCTGTTCTTCGGCGCAGAACTTCATGTCCCCACTGCAGACGACATTGGTACTCCAGGCAGGCTGGCAGAATGGATGGCTGCTACTCAAGCGACCGTTACGCACCTCACGCCTGCCATGGGACAGCTGCTCTCCGCCCAAGCTACTGCGCTCATTCCGTCATTGCGCAACGCCTTCTTCGTGGGGGACGTCCTCACCAAGCGTGACTGCACACGCTTGCAGTCTCTCGCCGCCAATGTGAGAATAGTGAACATGTACGGCACAACAGAGACACAGCGCGCCGTCTCCTACTTTGCGATCCCGCCCGTGAGCGAGTCTCCTTCTTTCCTGGCTACTCAGAAGGATATCATGCCTGCCGGCCAGGGCATGAAGGATGTGCAGCTCCTCGTCGTCAACCGCAACAAGAGAACGGAGACGTGCGCGGTCGGGGAGCAAGGCGAAATCTACGTGCGAAGCGGTGGATTGGCAGAGGGGTATCTCGCAAGCCCGGAGGACAATGCCGCAAAGTTCATGCACAACTTCCTCGCTCCCGACCTCACTTTCGATGACACGCTCCAAGGCAAGCCAGAGGGGCAATTCTGGAAGGGGATTCGCGACAGGATGTACCGTACAGGGGATCTAGGTCGCTACCTCCCCGACGGGACGGTGGAGTGCACAGGACGGGCGGATGACCAGGTCAAGATTCGCGGCTTCCGTATCGAGTTGGGCGAGATCGACACGCACCTCTCACGTCACCCTCACGTCAGAGAGAATGTCACCTTGGTGCGCAGAGACAAGGATGAGGAGAAGGTGCTTGTTTCGTACTTCGTGCCCGGTCCTGGTGCAAAGGAGCTCGAAGAGGCGAGCAGCGCCGGCGAGGGCGCACAGGAGGCAGGCGAGAGTGGACCGCTTCAGGCTAAGACGCTCGCGAAGGGCATGCGCAAGCATCGCAGATTGATAAAGGACATGCGCGACCACCTCAAGAAGAAGCTCCCTGCTTACAGTGTGCCCACGCTGTTCGTGCCGCTGGCGAGGATGCCACTCAATCCCAACGGCAAGATCGACAAGCCCGCTCTCCCCTTCCCGGATACGGCGCTCGCCTCAGGCAGCAAGGACGGAGCAGGCTCTGTCGCTACGACCAATGGCGCCAACGGCTCGTCCGGCACTACCTCCGGCCGTGCTCCCACCGCGACAGAGTCGCAAATCAGCACCATCTGGTCCACGCTGCTCCCCTCTGCACCCAAGCCTCTCCCCCTCGACGAGTCCTTCTTCGACCTCGGCGGACACTCTATCCTTGCCACCCGTCTCGTCTTTGAACTGCGCAAAGCCTTCGTCGTCGCTCTGCCCCTCGGTGTCGTCTTCGAGGAGCCCACGGTCAGTGGCTTGGCACGACAGGTCGAGAAGATCAGGGAGGGAGCCCTTTTGCTTCCGGAAGGAGAGAAGGAGAAAGCCGGCGACAAGCCGAATGGGTCTGTGGCTGCGCCTCATCCTGACGACGACTATGCTGCCGACCTGGAGAAACTGATCGCCCGCCTCCCGACCAAGAAGAGCGCTTCAGCTCCTTCGAGCTCCTCCGGCCCGCAGACCATCTTCCTCACGGGTGCCACGGGCTTCCTCGGCGCCTACATCTTGGCCGATCTTCTCTCTTCTTCACGCAGCCCGCATGTCAGCCGAGTCTATGTGCACATCCGAGCGCGCGATGCGGCTTCTGCTCTGCAACGCTTGCGCGAGGGTGGGCAGGCAAGGGCGTGTTGGGACGAAACGTGGGTCAAGGATGATCGTCTGCGCGTTGTGTTGGGGGACCTCGCCTCTCCAGCCGGCAAGCTGGGCATGAGCGACGCCGACTACACCACCGTAGCGAAGGAGGCGGACGCTGTTCTGCACAACGGAGCGATGGTCCACTGGGTGTACCCCTACTCCAAGCTGAAGGCCGCCAATGTGGAAAGTACGCTGCAGGCTATCGAGCTATGCGTTGCTGGCGAGAAGGAGAAGAGTCTCACCTTCGTCAGCTCGACCGCTGCGCTGGACACTGAGCACTATGGCAACTTGTCAGACAAGATCTTGGCTCAAGGGACGGAGGGCAAGCAACAGGCTGCCAATGGCAGCACTGCCCCCGGCACTGCATCCTCGCCCGCCATGCGTGGCATTCCCGAGTCAGACGACCTGCAAGGCTCCGCCTCCGGCCTCACGACCGGTTATGGCCAGTCGAAGTGGGTCGCAGAGCGCCTGATCATGGCCGCCGCCTCGTCACCTGCGCTGCAGCTGCGCTCAACGATCATCCGCCCCTCCTACGTAGTCGGCGACTCCTCCTCGGGCACGACGAACACGGACGACTTCATCTTCCGTCTGGTCAAGGGATGCGTACAGCTCGGTGCTCGCCCAGACGTGCACAACAGGGTAAACATGACGCCCGTGGACCACGTAGCGAGAATCTGCTCGCTCGCTGCCATTCGAGCTAGAGAAGAGAAGCAGGCAAAGGTATGCCACGTAACAGGTCATCCGCAGTGGCGCTACAATGATCTCCTCGGGGCATTGGAGCGCTACGGTTGGGTGAGCTCCAAGGTGGAGTACGTACGCTGGCGCTCCATGCTCGAGGAGCACGTACTCTCCTCCTCGTCTACTACTGGAGCAAGTGAGGAGGATAATGCCCTCTTCCCTCTGTTGCACTTTGTGCTTGACGATCTGCCCTCGTCCACCAAGAGCCCCGAGCTGGACGATCGCAACACTCAGGCTTTGCTGGACTCATTTGACGAGGGGCTGGGCAACGAGGCTGTAAAGGCAGGAATGGGTATGAGCGAGGGACTCGTGGCCAAGTACCTTGCGTGGCTCGTGGCGGTGGGTTATCTGCCAAAGCCGGGCAAGGCTGTGGGCGAGGTGATTGCAGAGGGCGAGGCTGCATTGGATGGTGAAGAGGATGGAGAGCGCACAGCGGCCATTTCTGCTGATGGGGGCGCGAAGAAGAGGACGGTCAAGGCCCTTCCGCAGTTGCAGGGCGGGGAGGTCAAGGCGATTGGGCGTGGGTCGGCCAACTAGAGACGTGAATCGAAACAGGATCGTAGAGAGCTTCGACGTAGCTGTGGATCTGAATGTGTTCTCTCATTGGATGGATACAAATACAAGATGATGCTTTTGCCGCCTCGCCTTTGCCTTGCCTTCTTCCCTCCTTACCCTACCTTTCTGTTCACTACACACCTCGTGCCGCATCTCAGACCAACTGCCTCAGCAGTTCCTGGTACGTCCCTGCCATCCCCGCCAAATGCCTGCTATTCTTCGCCCAGCCATTCAACACCTCGCGCAATACCGTGCGCTTCACCACGGCACCGTCGAAGAGAGTTGACTGCCAGCCGGCTGTGGGGTCTTCGTTTGGGATGCTGCGAGCGAGCGAGGCGGGGAGGAGGGGAACGATTGGTCAGCTGATGCTTTCTGTCTTTGTACCGTCTTCCGAATGTGTGGACTCACTAATACACTGGCCCCAACAACTCCCTGACCAACTCATCAGCAAGGCTCTTCGTCCCGCCCCCCACCTCCTCCCCAAGCTTGCGCGCATAGCCCCTGAGAGCGTGGAGCCACTCGTCTTTACTGCTCAAAAGCATCGCACCCGTCATGCGCACCTCGAGGTGTCGAAGAGAAGCGGAGAGGGCAAACTCCCTACAACGGGCGGTGTCGTCTGCGAAAGGACGAGGGTGACGCGGCGCAGGGTTGGAGGAGGTGCGAGCCACGACGAGGGAGTTGATTTCGGATTCAATGGCGCGGATAGGTTCACGCCAGCGTCCAGAGGAGTCGGTCTGAACCACACCCGAGGGGTAGGCTGAGGCCGGGACCGCAGGAGCGGCGGCGGCTGCTGGGGCAGTGGCTGCTCCTTCTCCTCCGCCGTTGGGCGAGTTAGCTGTGGCGCCTTGCGAAGTCACTGTTGCGCCGGGCGTACCCGGTGGCCCATTGGCCCCTCCCGCTGCTGGGCTGTGAGGTGGTGCACCGGCTGCAATGGCCATCGCATGAGCCAGCCCTGGCGTGCTTGTCGGCGTGCTCGTAACGCTCTGCCTACTACCTCTTCCCCTCGTCTCCCATAACGGGCTGCACTCCGCGAACCATCCGCTCGCCAGAAGCGCCCATGTCCCTTTTGCCGGGTCGATGGTCCAAGCCTCCTCTGCGCTCCTCATCACGAGGATGGGAGTGCCAGTGTGGTGCAGGTATACCTGGTGTACATCGTCCTGCTTTGTGAGAAGGGACAGGCAGGAAATGGGACGGTGGATCTCCCGATCTGTCTTGATGTTCCAACGATGCAATAGGCCAGAGGTAGTAAGCGCCATGAGGTGGGGTCCGCGGGACTCCATGAAGCTGACGCTACTGTCGAGGGCTAAGGTGGAAAGACGCCGACCGGTCTTGGAGGAGTGGACTAGGATGACGCCCGTGTCGAGGGCGAGGCAAACGTAAGGAGCCGAGAGAGAGACGCGCACTACATTGCTGGGAAGATAGTCGGTCCAGGTTGGCTGAATGGTGGATGAAGATGAGCCTGTCGAGGTGAGCGCCGGCGGCTTGCCGTCCTCCTGCACGCTGACCTCTACAGGGCGAGACCCATCCGCGCAATTGCGTACCTCGACGAAGCCAACTCCCTCCGCTCCCTCGCGACGAAGCACACTGAGCACTGGAGGCAGGGGCAGGGCTACGGCCTTTGCTCGCCCGAAAAAGACTTCGTCTCCTGGGCGAAATTCGGGACGAAGGTAGACAACAGGCCCTGCTGCCTCGCGCTGATGCGCATCGCGGGTTTCGCGTCCCTTGGTGCGGGCGAGGCGATTGGCGGCGAGACCAGGCTCGATTGTTGATGAAGGGAAGTGTGCGTTCGCTGCCACGTCCATGTCTACGTCTGCGTCCCCTTCTTCGCCCGCCTTCACCGGCGCCGACCGCTGAATGATGTAGGTGGGGCCAGTGAGGTTGAATTGCGTGCCGGGAGCAAAGGTAGCTCCACCCAGCTGTACTGGTCCAGCGGTCGCTGAGGCTGCGGGCTGGGCGGTATGCGTCGCCTGCTGCTGGGAAAGGACGTGACTCATAGCCGCAAAGTAAGCCTGCTGCTGCTGATCTTGCTGTGAGACAGCCGGCGGCTGAGAAGCAAGCTGCTGCTGCTGCGCTTGTGCCCCCATGTCGATGTCCATTTGCTGCGATGCGCCGTCGTCGCTCATCAGCGTTGGTCGAATCCTGCGCTTGCCATTAGCTGTAATTTGGATCTGCTGGTTGAGCCGTTGTCCGCCTGCTCGTGCGTTGGCTGGCAAAGGCGCACCTCCCATTGGGACTGGCGTAGCTGTGCGCGCAGACGCTCGTGGCGGTCCAGAGGGAGCAGTGACGCTTGCGCGAGGCACGCTTGGCATTTGACCAGCTTTGCGAGGTTGAAGCATATTGACCCCGCCTGCGGAGGGAGCACCCATTGTAGTGTTGGCGAAGACGGGGAGGTTGCGCGGGCGTGGTTTCTGAATTGGTCGTTCCGAGAGGGGCAGGGGCTCGGTAACATCGCTGGGCGAGAGAGAGATGACCGCGACGCTGCCTGCAGTGGACGAGGCGTAGAGCGTGAGACCATCCTGCCCCCAACTAAGGTCCGTCACCTGCCTCTCGAAGATGTCTCGCAAGACAAGGAGCGGGCGCGGCTCGCCTGTGATCCAGACGCTGATACTCTGGTCGCGCGAGCCGAGAGCAAGGAGTGTCGAAGGAGGACCCCCATTTCCATTGAAGAGTCGAGGCGAAAAGGCGGCGACGACTACGCTGTCCTCGTGTCCGACAAGTTTGATGCCGGTGCCCCACGAGCCTCGGTCAATGACGTTTGCGGTGAAGACGGGCCCGTTCATCGAGTTGGCGGCAACTATGCAGCCTCCATCTGGCGCCCATGATGGCCTTCCAAAGAAGTTGGAGCTGGGCGAATGCTCGAATGGCTCGCGAATGATCTTTGCCAGAGACCAGTCGCTCGTCCTCCAAATCTTGAGCGTCTTATCATCCGACTGCGTAGCAAGGAATTGACCTTTGGGATCCCACACTACTCCTTTGACAAAGCCATCGTGACCTGCGATGCGCTTTACGAGCTCGAAGCCGCCTCGTCCATCTGCGCCTGGCCCACTCCAGACGTTGACGATCGAATCGAGACCGACGGTTGCGAGAAACGAGTCGTCCCCATCTGCGCTCCAGGCAATGTCAACTACGTCAGACTCGTGGCCAGTGAGGCGTCTATGGATGCGCCATGATTCGACCTAACCGGGAGAGGGTGAAGAGATCAGCTTACTGGCGTGTGTGGCATCGAGCCCCACAGGGTGCTCACATTCTGCTCCGAGGACCCAAAGGACCCAAAGCCACCGCCGCCATGTGGGTCAAATTCCCAGATCAAGCAAACTGTGTCGTCTGATCCAGTTGCGAGGAATCGTCCTGATGGTGAGAAGCGTACCGACACGACGGAGCCTGACGGTGGGTGCAGGGACGAGAGCTCAGTCGGTGCAATGTACCAGCAGAACGACGGCCCACACCTCCTGACTCACCTGTATGTCGTGACAGCGTGCTCAAAAGCCTATGAGCTCCCTGCATCTTCTCCACCTTCTCATCTAGCATAGGCTCCGTCGCCCAGATCCTGACCTTCTGATCAATACCTCCCGTAGCCAATCGCGACCCATCGGGACTAACAGAGAGGGAGAAGATCGTCGTCGGCTTCTTCTTATCCTTGTCCTCTGCATCCGTGGATATATGTGCCACCCAGTCGGGGAGGACGATGGACATGGTGCGCAAGCCACCTGGAGAAAGGCTGTGAATGATTTGGTGCTCGTGTGGTGAGAAGGAATAAAGCTCAAAAGCTCACCTCGATCCGTCACCGTCGCTCCATCCGTCTCCGTCTCCGTCGTGGGTCGCGTCTCGTTGGTCTCAGCGTCGTCCGTCTCGACGCGGAACAAAGCTCGCCGAGACAGCTGCACGTCGCCGCCGCCCTTCCGCACCTGCTTGCATGGCTGAATGGCGGCATCTCTTGGCTCATTGCTTAACCCCGCGCTCGCCTGCTTCTCTCCTTTCCTCTTGACTTTCTGCTTTGCAATCCAACGACGAGCAAGCAATCATGGCCTGCCCTGTCCAGTCGCAGTGGTTTCATATCGTCGTCTTCATCCTTGGTGAGTTGATGCGGGCGAGGTAGGGCGAGAAAGTAAGCAGAGATGCTGACCACCTCCGGGACCTCCCAGGCGCCCTCGTCGTCCTTTCACGCTACGTACGTGGCGCAGAAGTGTCAATAGCGGGGCCTGCCACGCGTTCTACTCCTTCCACCGAAGGCATCAACTGCGAGCCGCTCGTCAACCTCGCAGCTGGTGTGGGCTCATCCCTAGTGACGATGGCATTCAAGAGGGCGACAAGGAGAAGCGTCAGCAGCCAGAGGAGTAGAGTCGACTTCTGCATGGGTGACTCGAGACGTCTAGCATCTCAGGTGTAACGACTCGTCTCATGTCGCTCCGACTTAGCCGTGAGTGGCCATCAGACTGCTCCGTCTTCCTGTAAACGCTCACGCCACCTTGTCTTCGCCCCAGGCCTCTTTCTCTTTAATCTCATGCCTCCCTATCTGTACAACAACGGTGACATCTCTTGCGCACCTGCGCTCTCAATGCAACAACAGCGCCAGCGGCCCTTCTTATTAGGCCGTACGACCGATTTGTATTCATCGCGCTGATAGGCACGGCACAGCTCCAGGCCGTGGCCCTCTCTCACCTACTCACACTTCCGCTCACGAATACCAACTGGGCGTGGGCCATCCCTCCTCCTCCCCACCAGCAAGCACATACCTCCCCACCTCAGCCCGACGATGAGCCAATGGGTCATGCAAGAGATGCGTCCTCAAATCCCTCCAAGCCAAATCCATCCCCAGCTTCCCCGAAATGGATCGCGCCCCCTGCAACTCGTACGTGCGCGTCACGACATCAAGTCCAAAGTCAGCCACATTCACTTTCGCAGCCGCCACCCGCACAGCTACGTCAGCTCGCTGTGCAGCTGTCACAGCTTCGCGAGGCTCCTGGTGCAGAAGGCCAGACATCTGCGCCACCACGGCGTCGATCTGCGCTTCGCTCGCCCACAGACGGGCCTGGAGGGTGCCGTACCCTTCCTGAATGTAGAATTCATCGACGCCGCGCGTAGGTGGGTGAGGCTGATAAGGCCACGCGCGCGTGTTGTTGCGCGTATAGGCCAGACCGCGCTTCAATGCTCCGCGAGCTATGCCGAGGTAGAAGGAGGTGAAGACGAGCTGGATGGCGGGTAGGTTGAGCGTGTTGTAGGCGCCGAGCGGCTGGAAGACACCGTTGACGAAGCCGAGTGCATCCTCCTTGTCGACGACGACGTGGTCGATTGTGATGGAGCCAGACTGTGTGGCCCTCATTCCGAGAATGTCCACCCACTCGTCCCCGTACCGGATCCCCTCCTGCTTCGAAGGCGCAGGGGCAAATACCGACTCCCCCTTCTCATTCACACCTTCGAGGATAGTCACGTCCGACACTTTGGAGCCCGTACTGAATGTCTTGAAGCCGTTGAAAACCAGCTTCGTGGGGTCGGACGGGTGCTCAGAGACCGTCAGAGCAGTATCGCGTGGATTGACGGCCCCACCCAGAAAGGAGCGACTGCGCGTCCAATACTCCTCGAAGCGGGCGCGCTGGGCGGTGGTTCCCACGAGAGCTGGGGCGTGGAACCCTGTGCGAAAGCGGGGGACCGAAGTCAGCTACTTGTCGCCTCGGGTGTCGTTGTCGCTACTCACAAATCAGATGATACCCAAGCAACTGTCCTAGACTGCCCTCGCCCTCCGCCACGATTGCTACACACTTGTATGCTACCTCCCACGTTTGACCTGCTCCGCCCCACTCCACCCTGCCCAGAAGCCCACTCAGTCCACTATCCTTGAGCAGTTGTACCTGACGATACGGGACCACATTCCCTCGGTCGCGGATATGAGCGTCTTGAGCTAATAGCTCGGAGACCTCGTGCGCACGATCATACCAGCCGGAGGCAGTTGTGGGATTGGCAGGCCAGGAAGTGGGATATTGGACTAGCTGCGGGTCAGGCTGGATGCGCGAGGTGTTGTTTGAAGGGGCCGCGGCTGCCGTCGTCTTATCTGGAGGCGGAGCGGCGCCTGAGCCGGCGAAGAGGGCTTGATCAACAGCGGTGGGGGCCATGGCAGTGTCAAGATGATATGTTCGAGCGATGAAGAAGATTGCTGTAGCAAACCCCCCAAATCATGACTTCTCATGATCCTCGTTTCTTGCAAGTGGTCCGTTCACCATTAAGCAGCTGCTGCTTACCTCGCTACCAACACGATGTCGTGATCGCGCGAGAACCATGGCGCCAAAGTGGCGCGACTTCGCGTGTCGCTTCGAGGCGAGGTCGTGCGAGTGGGCGGGAGGGCGGCGGGCACGCGGACGACGCATGGCGGGGACAGAGGACAATTGGATGGCGAGCAATGGGAATGATCATGACGAATAGCAAGCAACAACGAGAGCGTATAGTACAAGGTGAGAGGGAGCGAGGGAGGGCAAGAGCAAAGAATGGTGCGGGTAACGGATGGAGAGAAGGATTGTTGGTCGGCGTACAGGCGGTTAGACGCCCGTTCTCGTTACCAGCTTCCGCTGGTTCCCAAACTTGATGACCTCCCTCTTCTCCAAGATGAAGAGCGTTCGCTCCAATGCATGTTGCGTGAAGCCTTGTGCCTCCACAAACTCCTGCCTGAGCCGTCCCTGCGAGACGGTCCATCCGATGGGCACTCTGCGTCGAATCTCGCGCTCGAGCTTCTGCACCTCCTCCTGCAATTCCCCACGAGTCATCCCCTCAACCGAGCCAGCTTGGACGGCATCCATCGTCGAGTAGCGGAAGAGTCTCATCGCTTCGTCGACGTGCTCTTCCCTCACTGTAGGGCTGAGCGTCATCTTGGCCACCGACTCGCTCATGCGAATGATAGCCTCCAACTGCCTGACTGTGATAGGGATACTGCTCCTCTCGTCATTGTCCCTCTCGACCTGTGCGACCTGCTTGCGCAACGCAACGAAGTGGCTGCTGAGCTTCTCGCTGGCCTCGGGCGAGAGGCGTGGAGCGCAGCGTGATTTTGCGTAGGCGACGTAGCGCTTCATGAGGTCGATGTCGATTTCCCCTACAGCGGCTTGCTGCTGGGACTGGTCGTCTTGGCGATTCATGTGGATGTTCATGACGTGCTTGGCAATGGCGCGGTCACGGGCTTCGTCGTGTTCATCTTTGACGATGAAGATCATGTCAAAGCGGGATAAGATGCTGTGCGCAGAGGGAGGGGGGTGTAAGTGGTCAGCATTGCGTTGATTACGCAGCCCGATTCGGCGCGACTCACGTTGTCTGGAAATCGATATTCTCGCCTGGTGACTTCATTTCGTCGTATCGTCCAAAGACCGGGTTGGCTGCAGCGAGTACCGACGTCCTGGAGTTAAGAATGGTCGTGATCCCGGCCTTGGCAATGGAGATGGTCTGCTGCTCCATTGCCTCGTGGATCGCCACACGATCTTCATCCCTCATCTTGTCAAATTCATCGATGCACACCACTCCACCGTCCGCAAGCACCATCGCGCCTCCCTCGAGGTAAAACTCGCGCGACTGGGCATCACGTTGAACGGAGGCGGTGAGACCGGCTGCCGAGGATCCCTTCCCTGACGTGTAGACGGCGATGGGGCTAGCCTTTTCGACGAATTTGAGCAGCTGCGACTTGGCCGTACCTGGGTCACCGAGCAGCAGCACGTTGATATCGCCACGTAGCCTCATCCCATCAGGCAAGACCTTCTTGCTGCCACCGAAGAGGAGACAGGCGACCGCCTTCTTGATATCGAGGTTCCCGTAAATGGAAGGGGCGATGCTTGTTGCCAACTTCTCGTAGAGGTCCGGCGTGCGCGCAAGACGAGCGAACTCCTCTTCGTCGCGGGCAGAGAACATGCGAGCCATCCCACGTCCGCCGGCTCCTTCGGCGTCGATCTCGAGGCCGACGACCTTGAGGTAGGGCTGGCGAAGAGCAACTGCGTTTCCTCGTCCACTCCCTGCCTTGCCCTTTGTACTGCTAAAGGTCGAGTACACACCGGTAGCAATGATGCGCGACCCGGGTACGACACGGCCAGTGAGGGTTCGGTCGATGCTCAACAGCATGTGGCGGGGCAGCTCTCCTACGGGCACCATATCGGGCGCTTCTTGCAGCTTAACGGTCTGCGAGTCGACGAAGCGGCACTTCTCGTGCAGGATGACGAACGGGTCCGTGCTGCATTGCTGACCATTGACCTTTTCGGCGTCGCAGTAGCGCGGGAGGGTGAAGCCGCCAAAGCCGGCGACGATGGGGAGCGACTTGGTGGAGCGGCAGTCACTGCGGGCGAGAGGGGAGGAGAAGATCAGCGAGGAACTGAGCTGGGAACGGAAGGGGAGGTGCGCAGACTCACCGGCACATGACGCTGAGATGGGTGGCGCGAGATGAGAGCGTCGAAGCGCTGACGACGATGCCCGGAATGCGGACTAGCTGCGCTACATTGTCGGCGTGCAAGTCGCGCATCGAGAAGAGGTTGGCGGAGGAGCGTAGCGTGACTTGGCAGTCAGGCCCTTCAGGACGTTGGCCATCAGTCGAGATGGGGTGAAGGATGTTGCGGGCAGCTCGTTTGACTGCGGCCTCGAACTGCGGATGGAAGACGAAGGTCAGCTTGACTCGCATGTCGATCTGCGAGGTCGCTCTGGCCTGCTCACCAAGGGCAACACATCTCCGGGCCTATCGTTCAACTGCTGCGCAAGCTGCTGATTCCAGAGTGCGATATGCTCGACCGCCACATCGAGTACGTTCTGCTTGGCCAGCAGATTGGCCCTCAGCCTGTCCCTATAGATGTAGTCGTTGCCATGTCTGAATCGCTGGACAAAATCGAAGAGATTGGCCTCCGTCTGCGCCGGTGCATCTGGGGCTCGTGAAGAGGCTGAGCCGGCGAGGACTTGCGCCGAGTAGAGGCGACCCGTGTCGAAGCCTGACATCGTGAGAGGATGGCAGGAGGTAGTGGTGTGTGGTAACGAGGGACAGGAGGTGAGGTGATGAGTCGTCTGCGAACCTCGACTGCCTCTCCCGCGTCCTCGTCCAACTCGATCCGTCGCGCTTCCTGCACGCGCTGCCGTCGCGTCAATTTACACGAGGCGACAGCCACGTGGTGAGGAAGGTCCGGCCGGCGACACGCTTTTTACGCAACTCCTGAACATCCATGAACGCTCAACGCATCTCCACAACAGGGACAAGACGCAAAGGATCAATGCAGACGTAGGCATTGTGGCCTGAAACAGGGCTAATGGGAATTCCCTGAGCTTCAATGTCACTTTGGCATCTCAGGCGAGCGCGACGCGCACCTGTGGTGGTCCAGGGTGCGACGACTTGACGGCGGCTCGTATTTCGGAACTAGTGTCTCTAAGCAGGGGTGGTGATCAGAGGATCTCGCAATGTCGGAGAGCGAGGTTGTAATGGTCAGAGGAGTAGCAGCAGAGGCTGAGAGGCGAAACGAAAGCGTCCTGCGCGACTCCGTTGCGCTGTGACGATGCTCTTCGGCGGACATGGTGCATTGCCCCAGCCGTCCTCAAGGACAGAAGGAGTCTGTCGGATGGGACAGAGACAAGCTGGTCAGTAGGCTCAGCAGCGATTGATGATGCTTCATCCTCTCACAATAGGGCCCTCTCTGCTCCCGGTGGACATGGGTCTCGCGTCAGCCAGGATCTATCTTGGCAATCTCGACTCAGCATACTGACATGGAAGCACACTTGTCCTCCACGCACTTGCTCGCAATTTGAACAAGTTCCATCAGTGCCAGAGCAGAGTCTACCAGCTGGGCCGTGGCTGAAAAAGCTATCAATCCCGATGCTAACAAAAGTCAGCGTGTGTAGCAGCCGCATTGCAGTGGCTAGGTTGTCAGCCCACCTCGAGCAGGGGGCCGCAATCGTGATCTTTCCAATGGTCTGACCTTCGATGCGGATGGCATTGAAGCTGCAATTGCTACTCGATGGGACAAATGAGGCATCACGTCAGTAGGCAGCTCCAAGAGGCAGACGTGGTGACTCACGAGTCGCTGCGGCAGAACCCTGAGTGTAGGCCAGGGGTCAGAGCCAATCTGCCATAGCGCGCTGCCACGCTGATCTCACCGACGAGGTCGAGCTTCGGCATAAATGTCAAGACTGGGATAATCATTGCCATCACCATGGCAAGGCAGAAGGCAAAGCGGGCGGCGATCATGGTCTGACTGCGGTCGATTGTGTGAGGTCGGAATGCCACTGGAAGATAAAACCTCACGGCCGGCTGATACCTTTGAGGGGTGTTGCCTCGGACACTTTCGCTCCTCCCGCTTTCGGCGCAGCGACGACGCTGCCCCCGAAAAAGTCAGCGGTCCTGGCAAGGGCCGAAGACATTAGATAGAAGCAGGCATTTGATGGTCGCTGGCAATGCGACGATGGGTCAGCTCACGCGGCCCGTGCTGTGAGACCCTCCTGGCCATTGCCGCACCAGCGCCCCTGCCTCGACATCATTGCGGCTATTGATGATCACTGTGGATAGTTGATGACTCAATTGTGGGCGCAACGATGGGAAGATGCACAACGAGCTTTCCCGATCGCTCAAGCAAGTCGGGGATACCAAGGGGGAGCTGAGCGAAAGCAGATCCAGCATCGTCAGACTGATGAGCTCGGACGTCATGTTGTTGCGAGTCATCGGCTGTTTGGGTTCAGAGACGAAGATGTATGGATTGAAATGTCGGAAAAGGCGAAGAGAGAGAAAGCAAGTCTGACCAGCTGTTTCGCGGAGCCGTCACCCACTTTGCATTCGCGATGCCGGAATGCCTTTGCACAAAGCGGAGGACCGCGGCAGCCAGCTCGCAATCTCACGGGGCATTGCGGGTGGTATCTTTTACTGTGCATCTCACGAGCTCTCGCATTGCTTGCGTGCAAGCAGCTGCTCGCGCTCAACGGCAGACGTGATCTCGCGTCGCAGCGGCCTGCCTGGTCGACAGCCAGTCGGGCTTCCTTGAGATCATCCGCAGACTTAACGCTGGCCTCACTGACCGCCGTGACCGCAGCTCTTCCCGACTCAACTTACAATCACAACGCTCGTCACTATGATCCTACCATACCGTGCCCTTGTACGAGCGCCCTTCGCCTGGCTTCTCATCGCGTACAGACTTGCAAGCATTAATGCGTACACCTTAGGTAGGTCTTGCCTGCTCATCAATCTACCTCTTCTTCTTATTTTCATCAACCTGCCCCCCCTGCCCTACCGCAGGCTCTTGCAACTCCGGCTTACACTGCGATGACGAGTCCCATGCAATCTCGAACGACAACAATGCCACCACAGTCAACATTTCCGGATTCTGTGGGTCGTTCAAGACGGCCGTAGGCGATGGCTACATGTGCATCAACCGCGACTGTACAGACTGCACGTTGTTCCAGGCCGTGGGGGCTTGCGTGGAGGCTGGGATGGGCAAGACATTCAGGAGCTGGTGCAAGACGAAAAGGCAGCTTGGGGAGAGGGAGCCCATGTAGCGTAGGCTGAGCTAAAAAGGGATAGGCAGCAGTCGGTGCCATTGCGCTGCTCGTTCTCATTCATGTAGCGCACAATGCACAGCGGTCGAACGGCATACCTCTTCATATGCTGGAGGGTAGCTCAGCCATTCTTACTCTCATGTGAACAAAGAGCATGAGCAATGAGGTCCCGTAGTAAGAGCAACGGACTCAGCTGACCAGGTCCTACTTAGCAGCGATCAGTTGCCGTAAAAAATGCTTCGACTTGCTTTGAGGCCTACCGCCGAAGGGAGCAGCCCTAGTATCTTGCTTCAGCATCACGCACACGCTCAACTTGCTACCATGAAGTTTCAAGCCATTCCCTTCGCCTGTCTGCTCTTCCTCGTCACTTTGACGCTACCAGGCGTTCTGCCGGCCTTCGTGCTTGGTAATATCTTGCGCCACACGCCTGCTTGACTTTTCTTCTGGCTCACTCCTGACCCTTGTCCACCTAAAGGCTACTGCAACACCGGTCTGCACTGCGACGACGAATACTACGCAATCCAGATCAACGGAAACGTTTCCCAAACGGCCGCCTCCGTTATCATCCCCGGGTTCTGTGGTAGCTTCAAGTCCGAGATCAGTTACGGCTACATGTGCATCTTTCGCAACTGCACAGACTGTACGCTCTTCCAAGCCAAGGGGGCTTGCGTGGAGGCTGGGTTGGGCAAGACGTTTAGGAGTTGGTGTAGGAAGAAGGCGTGAGGTGAGGCTTGAGGCAAGGAGACGCTACCGTGACATACTGTATCAGCGCACGTGCGACAAGGAGATGATTTAAAGCGATTATGCGGGTCTCGAATAGCAACAAGCGTGGGCAGGGAGGCCAGGAGCGTCAGTCCTCTGCCTACTCTTCTCTCTCCTGCCCTTTCACATCTGGGTATCGTGTCCTGCTTGAATCCTCACACACCCGCCCTTCCCTTGCCCAACCTCGCGCTGCCCACGCTGAACGCACGGTTCTTGCGCGTCGAGCCGGCCGCTGTTGCTTGAGGCATGGTCGCACCAAAGCTAGACGTAGGCGTTGCAGCTGCGGCCACGGTAGTGCTGGAAGCGACGGTCGTGCCGGGCCCTACGCTTGACCTGTTCTTAGCAGACGCCCTCAGGTCGGGAGAGGAGGGCTGTCGTCTTGGCTTGCCGACTCCCACCGCGCTCGCGCCCTGTTGCGAGGCGCGACGCTCTTGCTTGCTCGCCTGCTGCTGGCACTGCTGCTGGGGAGCCGCAGAGGTAGACTGTGGTCTCGCCCTGCCTTGCGACGACGGTCGTGCAGCTTCACTTCGGTCCTTCGTCTTCCCCTTCGGCTCCCTTCCCTCCCCTTTATCCCTCTTCGCCTCGCCTACCACTGCCAGGAAATCCTCCGCTTCCTCCTCGCTACTCCAATCATCTGCGTCCTCTAGCCTATTATCGCTCCCCTCCGGCCTGAGCCTGGCCCTTGCCAGCGCATTACGACCGGCATGACGACCTGCTTTGCCCGGGGGGACGACACCGCCTCGCCCGGAGATGAAGGCGCGATGCAGCGCGAGTTGACGCCAACGATCTGGATCGATTGCTAGCAGAGTTGGCGTGGTAGGGGAGGAAGAAGAGCTTGTCGAGTGAAGAGGTCGCGAGGTGGCTCGCTGGACCTGATCGGCTTGCTCTGCCATACGCCGCGACATGGGCGCCGCAGTGTTCTTTGTACCGCTCCTCATCTCTGCAATCTTATTCGCCTCATCGACAGAACGCATCGCTCTCTGCACCTCTCGGGCAGGCAGATAGCTCATGCCCTTCTCCAGGCCGCCCTCCTCAGCAACAGCGATAGCCTCCGCCGCCACTCCACACATATGCGCCCGCTGAAAGACGCGATGCCATGCGTAAGCCTGATGGTCCGTCGTGAAGCGCAGCGATATTGTGTGGTCGATACCAGAGCCGGTACCAAGTGTGCCGTATCCGCCAGCAGCCACCGCGCCTGTCGAGCCCTGGGGTAGGAGGAGGGAAGGGGCGGTGGAGGTCGCTGGCGCTGAGAACGCCACTGTCAAGCAATCTTGCGCCATGCCTGCGGGAGAGGGCGGGTTCGTAGATCCATCCGCCTTCTCCGCCCCTACCCAGCGCACCTTGTCCAAATCCCATGTAACGAGTGGTAGAGTCAGCGCTCCCGAGGCAGCTGCGGCCGCTGCTGCAGCATTGAGCGAATTGTTAGACGATGAGATGCCGGGCATGTGGTGCTGCTGCTGGTGCGCGAGCCGCTCCTGCGCCTGACTCGCTGCCATTGCCTGCGCGATTTCCACTCGCGAGGGCCGCTTACGATACAAGCTAAGCGTGCCGTCGTACACCATTAGCCAGCGCAACTTCCACTGCCCGAGTCCAGCCCGCTCTGCGCTGCGTGGAGAGCTGTTCGGCTTGTACACGTACGCGGAGGCGTGGGCATATGGTCGGACGTACGCTTGATCGAAGATGGCATGCCCTCCACGCGCTTCGCTGCGACGGGGCAGTCGCACTCGCTCTTCTGCGCTGTAGGCCTGCAGCTCAATCAGCTCATACGGTCTAATCTTGGAGCCTGCGACAGTCGCAAAGTCCTCGAGGAGCAAGCCGTTGCTGAGCGTATAGAGGACGTACTGGCTTGCGAGCGGGTGATGGGAGTGCATGAAGGCCGAGATCTCGTTACGGTGCACGCCGCCCAGACGCGGCGGTGGCGGCGCTTGAGCTGGAGCGACAGTCGACGAGGAGGAAGACTGCTGCTGAAAGGTCACGTCTGCTTGAGGTGCACGCTGACTAGTCGATGCGGTCGCTGGCCGACTGCCAGCGGTGATTGTCCCGGAGCGGTCCCTGTTCGCAACCGTTGGCGTAATGAGATGGTCTTCTCTTTTCACCTCAGGCAAAGACGTCCCACTGGAATCCCCCGCCTCCAAAGAGCTCCCGAGCTGCCACTCGTGGTCTTGGTGGTTCTCCGACTCAGACGAGGAGTCCAGTAGAGAGTCTGAGCCAGTGATGTGGGTGACGCGGAGCATACCAGCAGCGTCTTCGTCCAGCGAGGGCGGCGTCTGCTCCTTTGAGTCTTGCGTCGACGCAGAATTTCCCTCTGTACTGCTGTTCTGCCCTCCTTCAAGAAAGTCAAGCGCACGACTGCGTTGTCTTCGAGCTCGACGGGCGTTAGCTGAGTTGAGGAGCCGTTGTCTTTCGGGAACGTCAAGCGGTACAGCTGAAGACGAGGGTGATGAGGTTGCCTCTGTGCTGGTATTGGAGCCCTGCCTACCAGTCGAGTCGCTGTCCCTGGTGCGCTGCTGCTGGTGCGCCTTCACTGCTCTCTCCAGCCTCAATCGGGCCTCTTGCTCCTTACGCAACGCGTCTTCATTGCCAGTCAATCCAAGCGCGCCTGGGTAGGAACCGTCTTGAGAGGATTCCAGATTGGAGGCTTGCGATCCGCGAAGATTGCGCAGGCTCTTCTTGGGGGATAAGGAGCCGATGGCATTGCGGCCGAGGTGGAGGAGATGGCCTCGAGATGATCTGGCCTCGGTATCCACACTCTGTGTTGCGCGACCCGATCCGCCTGCGATCGATGAGCCTGCCGAGCCTAGTGATACGGACATCATGTGGGGGCTTGAAGTTGAATTGGACAGGCTGGGCCGTAGTGGGAGCGATGGCTGAAGCGACGACGTATCAGGATTGACGTGACTGGCTGATGATCTTCGACGAGGAGAACGTGATGGCTGATCGATGGCTGGAGCAGCTTCTTGCACGCCTACGCCTACAAATGGCAAGCGAGCGGTATCGACATTCCCACGAATCTCGTCAGTGGGTGTTGATTGCAGTGCATCGAAACGTCGGGGCTTGCGAGCGAGGTAAGCTTTAGGCAGGTCCGCAGGCAGAATGGCTGTGAACAAAGCCTTTTTGGCGTTGCGTGAGGAGTCTGTCGATGGACCAGCATCTGTCTCGTCGTTGTGCGCACCTCCGATTCTTGCCTTCTCGAGAATGACATCCTTGAGCGTGGCTATATGCGTAGCCGGATCGACTTTGATGCGAAGCCATTGGTCGTAAGGGACGAGGCGGACGTAGATTGGTATCGAGGTAGCCGTGGCTGGGTTCGCAGCAGTCATGACGATGACAGTGAAGCTACGCCGACGTGTCTGCTCATGACATGGTAGTCGATGTCCGGCCTGCGGAGGGGCAGACGATGCAAAGGAGAGGTCGGTTGATTGATTGATTTGACTGACTCGAAGCAAGCAATGCAAATGCAAGATGGCCAAGGCGCGAGCTGCTCCGCTCCTCGATGCCGCCGCCCGTCGCCGCCAGTCCGCCCTCTCTCCGCTCGACAGTGTGAGAGAGCCCCGCTTCGAGTGCCACGCGGCTTGGCGTCAGCGACTCGAGACGAGACACTCCACCCTCTCGCAGCCAGGGGCCCTCGACGCTCGACCTTACCATCACCATCACCACTCAGCCTCATCTCCCCACCGCGCAGACACCAACATGTCGAGACCAATGAACGACGATGAAGTTCTGTCGGAGATGAAGAAGATGGTGGGTGCGAGCGTGGGGAGGCAAGGCGGGTGGAGAAATCGATGGCTGACCACATCTACCCTCGCGCCGACAGGTGGCCTTCATCAAGCAAGAGGCAATGGAGAAGGCGAGGGAGATCCAGGTCAAGGCCGATGAGGAGTTCGCTATTGAAAAGGTGAGGCAGATGGAGGGGCAAGGAGCCACCTGACATTCGCGACGCTAACTCCTCTTCGTGCTCGATCACCTCTCCCACAAACCTGTAGTCCAAGATCGTTCGCCAGGAGGCCATCAGCATCGAAGCCGCCCATGACAAGAAGATCAAGCAAGCCCAGGTAGCCAACAAGATGTGCGTGCAACCAGTGGAATGCCATTCTGCCGGTATCCGCATATGATTGCTGACTCCCCCTCGACGCCCCGCCCGCAGCTCCGAGTCGAACGCAACCAACAAGTCTCGTCTGTCCATTCTGCAAGCTCGCGAGACCCACCTGCAAGACCTCTTCGAAGGTGCTCGCTCACAACTCGCCTCTCTCTCCAAGGACAGCTCCAAATACCAGCCCCTCGTCACCCAGCTCATCGTCCAGGGTCTCCTCACCTTGCTCGAGGACAAAGTATCCGTTACCGGTAGGAGCGCGGACCAGGACCTGATCAAGAAGAGTGCCGACGAGGCAAAGAAGCAGTACAAGGAGAAGAGTGGCCGTGATGTTGAGATTGAGGTCAGGGAGGGGCTGGGCAAGGACAGCAATGGTGGTGTGGTACTGCATGGGCTGAGGGGAAGGATCAAGATTGACAATACGTTGGACGAGAGGTTGAGGTTGTTGGAGGAGATGGTGCGTCGACGCAGCACAAGCACGCCAGACTGTCTTGCGACGATGCTGACTACTTCATTCCGTTCGTTCGCCCTCGCACAGATGCTCCCGGAGATCCGCCTCAACCTCTTCGGGGCCAACCCGAACCGCAAGTTCACGCACTGATTGCGTGGATTCAATGTGGTATCGCATTTGTTCCTCTTTCACTTCGACTATATATACGCTTCTCTTGCTACTCGCCGATGCCCATCGCCGCCCTGACCTTCAGCATCGTCTTACTCGCGACTTCCCTTGCCTCGTCCCTCCCCCTACTCGCTACCTCAGCCAGGTACCCTCGGTCTTGTCTCAACCGCTCGTACTGCTGCCTGATAGGCTCTAGCGTCTCCACGATTGTGGCTCCTGCGAGGTCTTTGAGCATCTTTGCCCCTGGCTCACCCGAAGCATGCTGGGTGTTGAGCCTGTCCGCCACGCTCTCTGGCCTCACCTCGCTCCCCGCTCTCAGCGACTCCAATGCGGCAATGATCCCCAGCAGATTCGCGACTCCCGGCCTTCGCTCCACTTCGAAGCTCATTGACCTCTCATCATCCGTGACTGCCCGCTTCACCTTCTTCTCCACCTCCTTCGGCCCATCATCGAGCAAGATCCTCCCTCCTGCATCAGGGCTCGACTTGCTCATCTTGACCGTCGGGTCGCGCAGGGAAAGCACGCGCGCCATCGTAGGGGTGAAGAGGGTCTGCGGGACCCGCAGAGAGAAGTCGAGTCTAGTAGGAGAGAAGCGTCGGTTCCACGTCTGAGCGAGCTCGCGTGCCAATTCGAGGTGTTGCGCCTGGTCTTGCCCGACGGGGACGTGAGTTGCACCGTAGAGTAGTATGTCGGCTGCTTGGAGGACGGGGTAGGCGAAGAGGCCAAAGGGAAGGTGAGCCTCTTCGCCCAGGTCTGCTCCTTCGTCTTTCGAGCTGCCCTCGTTGAGCGCAGCCACCTTGCCCTTCCAAGTGGTCATCCTCTTTAGGCGTCCCACACTGGTCAGACTGCCCAGAAGCCACATTAGCTCGGCGTGCTCTGGTACCGACTCTTGGTGGAAGAGAACGCAGCGCGAGGGGTCGATGCCCACGGCAAGGAGGGCTGCGAGCATATCACTGCGCTCCTGCCGGAGCCGATCGGGATCCTGTGGGACTGTGAGGGCGTGGAGGCCGACGATGCTGAAGAAGTGACGCTTCGCTGCTGTGAAGGAGGTGGAGGGAGCTTGCTCGAGGAGACGCTTCCAGTTGAAGAGGGCGCCAAGTAGGTTGCCCAGGTGAGGTGTACCCGTGGGCTGAATGCCTGAGAAGATGACTTGATCTCGCTGCGGAAATGCGCGAGAATGGGGCGGGAAGGTGGGAGGGGAGCTCGATGAAGATCTGGACGCAGAGGCGTGAGACGAAGATGCGATGCTGCGATTGCGGGCTGGCGGCTGTGATGTTGCGCAGCGCTGTAATGAACTGACTGGTCTTGAGCGATGCATCGCCATGTCGGCCTTGAGCTGCTGTCCCCGACGCTTGACGAGTGTTGGATCAAGAATCAAGGAGTGAAAGGCAACTCTTTCTTCTGCTTCCGCGTCTTGGCTCTGTCCGTCCTTCTCAAGTCTCGTCTCGTCTCGTCTCGTCTCCGCCGGCTCGACGCCACAAATCTGCGAGATTTCCCACCTTGACATTTCGCTCGTTGCTCCTTTCCATACCATCCGTCCTCATTTCAAGCCATCGCAATGGCACAAGGCTTCAAGCCCCTCAAAGCTAACCCTGCCGCTAGCAAGGGAAAGGGCAAGTCGACAGCGCAGACCAAGAAGGCCAACCAGCCCAAAAAGGGTGGTGAGTCTACGATGCCCGCCCCGCCTGCTTGTCCCTTCTCCTTATTCACGCCCTTTCTCACCCGTCTTCGCTGGTTGCTGCGCGCGTCAGCCCGCGTCACCCCGCCCAAGAAGCTCTCTGCCCAGACTCTTGCTGCAAAGAAGAAGCGTCAGACCGCCTCTGTATCAGGCACTGTTGAAGACGAGATGATCGCACGAGCGGCTGGCGGCGGCCCGTTGAAGTTGTTGAAGGGAAAAGCGAAGCCAGATGAGGAGGAGAAGAAGAAGAAGTAGCCGAGGATCACAGAGCAGACGCTATACAGTGTACATACAGCAGCCGTGATCCTCAGGCGAGGGGCCGTCGGCAGCAATTGATCAAGTCACGCATGGACGAAAGGCCCAGAGGGTGGGAGATGATCGTGGTATCATTGAAGACGCTTACGGACTCCGCTCGCTCACCGACTCAATTGCCGACTAACAGCCGCCAGCCCACCAAAAGCCCCGGTATCCAATCCACCTACGATACCCATAAAGCTTCCCCTCTTGGGCGGCATTCCCGGCTGGACGGCGAAACCGCCTGTTTTTACCTCCTTCTCCTTCTCCACCTGCTCCTCCGCAGCTTTAGTCGCCGCCTGCCATTGGTCGAGTCGCACCGTTTCCACACTCGAGAGGCGGAGCGAGCCAGCGAGAGAAGCGCCGAACCATGCGTGTAGCATCGGAGGGAGGAGGGGAGCACCACTGTCGAGGCCCTCGGGCGGGGAATGGTCGTTGGCCACGTTGAGCTCGTCGCGCAGGGGCTTGAGGGTGGCGTAGCGAGCACTCTTCCCTCCTCCAGTAGCGCCTGCGCCCTTGCCTCGTTGCGCCACTGGCGTGACCGCCAGGTTAACCATGGCCCCTGCTAGGTCCTCCTCGGTCACCTCGTCCAGTACAGCGCGCAGCTCGTTGCCCATTCTGTGTGCGAAGCCAGGCATGGAAGCCACACCGCCTGTAACGAGGATAGAGCGCGCGAGGGGGCGCCGAAGGTCGATGGGCAGACGCAGCAGGGTGGAGAGGATGAGCAAATGCAAGGGAGGGCATTCGTCCTCATCGCTGTCGTCCTCTGCGTCTTCGCTGTCCCAAAAGTAGTCCGCAACCCGCTCCCTCAGCCATCCGGGAATGATGAGATCTTCCCGTGAACTTTTGCGAGCATTGGCTCGCTGCTGCTGATCGGGGGGCAGGGCAAAGGTAGCCGGCGCCGTGGGAAATATGGACGTGTGCGCCGGGTCGTCGTGCCCCATTGGCGGCAGGGGAAAGGTGATGTGCGATGCGGTCGAAGCGGTCTTGTACCGTGTGCGTAACTGCGACAGGAGGGCCTGGTCGTCTGCCTCGTCATATTGAGACAGGAAGGTGCGAGCTTGGCGCACGGATTCGTCGTCGCCTGTAGGAGGGAGACGCCAGTCTGGTGGTGGCTTATTGCCCGAGTCTGCGGCTGTGGTGGCCGGCCGTCTGGGTTTTAACGACGCTGAAGTCGCTGTATTTGATCTACTTGAGGGAGGTTCTGCGCTCTTTGCGGCCACAAAGGCTTTGCTCATGAGCACCTCTTCCAAGACCTGTTGCGTCAAATCTGTTCTCTCGACCTTGCGTGTCCTTCTCCTCTGGCCCTTCTCCAGTTCTTCGCCACACACCACTACCCTCCCATACCTCAGCAACAATGCCCGTGTTCTCCTCTCCAGTCCCCTCGCTGCTCTTGCATTCCTCCTCACCTCATTCCCCATCACCCTGCCCCACACGACGGGGACCACACTCGTCTCCAGCACGCCCACGCTCACTACTAGCCCCATTGTGGCTCCATGCGCCATCAAAGTCATGATAGGGGCCGGCATGGCGGAGACGGAGGGCACCTTGAGGTTGTCGAATAAGGCTTGAAGGCAACATTGTCTGATGATTCGGGGCGTTTGCGGGTTCTCTACCAGGATGACCTTGCGCTGTGATGGGTCCACATTCAGTGCGTCGTGGAAGATGCGACGCAGCATTACCGTGAGTCGGGCAGCTAGGAGTGCTCCCTTTGCCTCAGCGTGAGCAGCCTCCCCTCTGCCAATGTCCAGATCCCACATCAGCACGTCGGCGGCCAGCCCCTCGTCATCCCCCAACGCCGCAGCCTGAGGAGCGTACAGAGCATCTACTGCTGGTCGCTTCCCGCCCCAATTCAGGGTGCGAAAGACGGCACGCGGTTGAGCTTCACCACTGAAGCCGACCTTACTGTAGCGTGAGCCCAGGTCGAGAACGATGCGATCCTCTGTGCCAAAGAGGGAGTGACGGCGGGTGACGCCTCCACCACCACCTGATGAGGAGGCGGAGGGGCGAATTGCTGATGATGGTGGAGCAAGGTATTGTCGACTGCTGCTAGATGAGGGCGCAGCTGTTGATGCCATTATGGCAAAAGGCAGGAATTGAAGGGAAGGGAAAGTAGACAGAAGCAGTCCAACACGCAGCTTCCTTGATCGCAATCTCGCAACCAGCCGCCCTTCCGCCTTCTCGATTCGCGACTCGACGCACAGACGTTTTGCATTTGCCATCTTTCCTTCTCATCGCAGCATCTCAGCATCGCGGCCCCTCACCCAGCATGAAGAAGAAGGTGAGAAGTCTGCAACAAGCAGGGATTGAAGGAGTGACGGTGCTAATGCAAATCCCCAACACGCCATCAGATTCTCCTCATGGGTCGCTCCGGGTGCGGCAAGACGTCGATGCGAGCCTTGGTCTTGTGAGTCGGCGAGCGATAACAGGCGACACCCCCGCTTCCACCAAATTTGACCAAAGCATCCTCCTGTGTACACAGCTCCTCAACACTCTACCCAAATGCAGCCTCAACAAAGCGTCTAGGCACCACACTCGGCGTCGAGACGAGCCACTTCCGTATCCTGCGTAACCTCGTCATCTCCCTCTTCGACATGGGCGGGCAGCAGGCGTACATCGATAGCTATTTGGACGATAGGAAGAGTCAGGTCTTCAAGGACGTAGGTGCCTTTGTCTACGTCTTTGATATGGGGAATAGCGCAGAGCAGGGAGAGGACGATGATGCGTGGGAAGCAGATGGCAGGTATTGGAGGTGAGTTGTAGCGAGTCGAGGAGGTGAAGAGTCGGTGATGCTGATGCTGATGCTGACGCTCTCTTTTCGCACTCGCTTACAGAGATTGCGTTCGTCTCCTCAATCAGTGGGTGCTGGACTCAATGTCATGCAGCAACGCCGTCTACCCCAGTCACTCACCATGCTCCCAATCCCTCGCCCGCAGGCACTCTCCAACGGCCCAAATCTTCTGCCTTCTCCACAAGATGGATCTAGTCCAAGAATCGTCCCGCCGCGACATCTACGCTCAACGAGTTCGTGAGCTGCGTAGCAAGGCTCGCGACCTACTCGGCCCTGAATCGGACATTGACGCGCGACTGAGGTGCTGCGGGACGAGCATCTGGGACGAAACGCTCTACCGCGCTTGGTCGAAGATTATCCATTCGCTCATTCCCAATATCGCGGTTCTGGAGAGCAATCTGGACCAGTTTGCGGGAGTGAGTGGGGCTACTGAGGCGGTGGTGTTTGAACGTAAGACCTTCTTGGTCGTAGCGAGGAGTGGGGAGGCTAAGGAGCGGGGTGCAGTAGCAGGGACGGGGGATTCGAAGGAGACAGCATCACAACCTCAACCGCCACAGCCGTCATCATCGGTAGCAGCAGCCAGCAAAGTTTCCTCTCCTCGAAGAAGCAAGGGCGCCCCACCTGCTCTCGGCCAAGACGACACCGCACTCATAATGGAAGGCTACCCGCCCTCAGACGCCGAACGCAAGTCGATCCTCTCCTCCGGCCAACTCCATCCCGAGCGATTTGAGAAGATCTCAGAGCTAGTCAAGAACCTGCGTGGCAGCTGTTCCAAGCTTCAGGCTAGCTTTCAATCGCTGGAGGTGCGAGGAGAGACTTTTGCCGCGTACCTGGACGTGCTTACGGCGGATACGTATATCTTGGTCATTGTGGCTGATCCGAGTGTTGGTGAGTGTGTGCGATGGTTGAGAGGAAGCTAGCTGCTCAGTTGACATGTTGCTTGCTCCATGGCGCGGCAGAGCTCTCCGCTGTCAAGCTCAACGTCCACATGGCGAGGGAGCGATTCGAGAAGTTGAGCTAGGCGCGTAACAACGACCTGCCCTCGGCTCCCTCCATCCCTTCTCATCCTTGTCGATTCATCCACCCACACTTCATCTCACAGCTGCTTCGAATACCACGCCTCTATACCAGCCACACCTTCATTCGTGTCTGACACACGAAAAAAAAGGTGGTTCGCGCCTCATAGGGCCTACATCCACCTTTCGCTTGGCGACGACGACCCGGACGATACCGGCCTCGTGTTCGATCACTCGCACTCGGGCTCGGGCAACATTTCATCGGCGAACGCTTTGAAGTAGTTGTCAAGGTCGCGTTTCACGTCTCGTCTCGGCGCAACTCAGTTCCGGCCGGGCCTGGCGGGGGGGCGCAAGCCTGCCAGCGTCGTCCTGGTTACGAAGCGTCCTTCGTCTCGACCAGACCGCTGGGCTATCCAGGCATTGTGGCCCCCCCGCCGGTGTTTTGATCCTTGCGCACCGTTCTTGAGGGGATGCGTCGGGGGCAAAAGGCGTTGCGAGGCACTTTGCACGTGTTGGCGGGCTGGGGCAGTCAGACGCGTTCCAAGGAGACGAAGCGTGTAAATGAGCGCGCGAGACACAAGCCGAGTCGTTGCGAGCGCTACCGCTTCGCAGCTTCCTCCGTTCTGGCTCGCGATGTCTTAGACTGGCTCGAATTCGGTCGGACGACTTGACTTTGACACCTTCCGGGGTGCCGTACGCAATCAAGCGGCCGGTCATCCTTGTGTCACGGTACTCCGCTTCAACGCCTCAATCAGCGAAGCCGGTGTTCAGAGCACGGCCGTAACGGACATTGAGGATCATTCCCTTCAGCTATGCGGCCGTGCTCAACGAAGCTCGCCGCGTGAAGGACCGTGCTCTCCTGCTCATCACTACAGTTCATCTCATTAGCTTCCTCCTTCTACTTCAGAGCGGCTAGTAAGCTTCACTTCATTTTCCGCCGCGTCATTCCGCCGTCGTTTCTCTTTGGACAATGCCGACTTGGAACGTGCCGGGATGCTCGAGCAAGTACGACGAGCGGTTCACGCAAGGGGACAGAGGGTCGAAGGGTATGAGCATTCATCGAGCTGGCCGCTGACTGCTGGAGTGTCCTCGGCCTCGTTCGTCACTTGTTGCCTCTTCACTACAACCTTTCCCCGCCTCCTTAATCCACCATGCATCTCACATTCACGACCTTTGCCTTACTCGCGGCCTCTCAGGCACTGCTTGTCCAAGCTGAGAACCAGGAAGTTGGTAGGTTGGCTATTTTGACAAGTCCTATGCTCGGCAGCTGACGTCTGAACACGCCGTGTTCGCTCGCAGGAAAATGCTACTCAGACGAGTGAGTCAAGTTTGTTTCGTCTACAGTATCGTGCGCTCACTAAGAGCTTTCCAAGCAGTGGCTGCTCGGTTGGAGGACTCGCCATTAGTGGCGATACTTCGACGACGACAAGCATTCAAATCCAAGCGAATTGGTGCGTCAGCCCCGTGTGGGCGGCAAGGTAGACGCGCGGAAAGAGGGTTGACGAGTTCGTCGCTCTGCCTCTCTTTGCTCGCAGTGATAGCTTCAAGTCAAGCATCCAGCTAGGCAAGGTGTGCAGTGGTACGGAGAAGCGTTGCAGCGAATGTGCTGTTGTCGAAAATGCGGGAGAGTGCTTCGGGGTGAGGACCAGTCTAGCTCGCATGGTGTGTCGTGTCCATAGCTGAAGCGTCATCTTATCCGTCTCGGCCCCACACAGGCTGGACCATATCGTGAGTATTTCACGCCAAAGCTGCTCCTCGCTGCTGCTGACTCTTTGCCTGTCCTCTCGCTGATTTTTCCTTCCCAACAGGCGACTGGTGCCCCTGATGTGCCTCGGTGGGGTAAGGGCCTGCCAAATGATCAGCCGTTTCATCGAACGATGGGGTGCGCAGACTGAACCACCTCTGGCTTGATTGCTCCACCAATCTAAAGTCGATTGGCCTTCAATCTAGTGCGAAGTTCAGCCGCTTTACTTGCTGCCCACCTCCTGGCCGGCCTATGCCATGCCACACCTTGAATCAAGTGCCACCAATGAATGAGGGTGCCCAATGTCATCGGCTGACGTCTTTGGCATCGCAACGCAATTTTGCCACTCCTGCTCATTGTCGCTCACGTCGCCCAAGCAGATGCGTGGTGCCCTGAGAGAGACGCCGAGCCATTGCCCTTGAGCGCCTTTGCATCTAGGACTGGCTATCTCTCATTCGCTGCGCTGGCTGCAGCGTCCAATCTTTCCAGCGTGGCTAGCGAGCGGGAGAAGATGTGCGTCGTGAGTCGTTGAAGGGAAAGCGTGTCGCGAGGGATGGCGAAGCCACTCGAGGTCGAGGAGGTAGCAGGCGGCGGTGAAGTACGAGGAGGAAGTGGTGCGTTCACGGTGGGAGGTGGTGGTGAGGCGCCATTGGCGTTGTCGTTTGGTGACTCGTCCAGGCGACGCCGCTTCACCCTTGCTGCAGCCTCATCCTCTTCTCCCTGTGTGGTCTCGCTCCGTTCTGCCTGCTCTTCACCGACCTCTTCCCCTTCCTCTTCCTCTACCTCGTCCTCGCTGTCGTCCTCATCAGGGTCGAGTTTACGCGCAAAGAGGTCTCGAAAATGACTTCGGCTCCCATCGCCTGCGAAGTCTTCCTCGCCGTCGTCGGCGTACTGGTCATTTGGCCGAGGGACATCAACTTCTTCCAATCCAGCTTCCTCATCCTCGTCATCGTCCTCGTCTTCTTTCTCATCTTGATCCCCTTGTATGCCGTCAAGTTGCTGCGACTCAGCCTCTGCCTTTCTGCTCTCTTCTTCTCTTCTCCTGTTCTCCCCTCTCCCTGCTTCCTGCCTCAGCGCACGCTGCTCCCTCTCCCATCCATCTTCCTCCTCTGGCATAGCTACACCACCCTGCTCCCCCATCCACCTGCTCAAGGCCTCACGCCTATCGATCAGCAGATTACGCAGCCGCACCCGATCCGTCGCGCTCGTGGTGCGTGTGCCGAGCGAGCCGGTGATGGGATCACTATCGCGCATGGAACGTTCAGTTCGTCTCTGCATCTCAGCTTCCTCGTTTTCCCCTTCCGCTGCGGTGTGGGAGGGAGCGAGGCGGGCGCGTATCCGTCGCTGAGCGAGGGGAAGGGAGAGAGAGCGTCCAACGAGGAGAGCGGACCAGAGGGCATCGATGAGGCCGAGCAATTGTAGCGCCGACTGAAGGGCGATCGATGATTCCGATGACTCCGTCGGCAGGTCGTAGCCGGCGATGCCCACCCCAACGCTATCCGTTACAGCCATCGCATACGCGAGCGCGGTGGTGGTCTGCGCAGCTCCGTAAGGATCTATACGCGTCACGAGGGGTAGGATGTCTGTCGTCCAGGCGGAGCAATACCGTTGCAGCGTGTTGAGAGGTGGAGCGGAGGCGCTGGGATCTGAGGCGTGAGAAGAGGATGAAGAGGCATCATGGAATCGTCTGGCGTAGCGACGCTGGATGCTGAGTAGGGCGTCGTCCAAATGGGAGCGAAGTCGCGTCAGCTGGGAGGGGGAGAGACGCAATGGCTCCCGCGGCGATGCGGATGTTGTTGAGCTACCAACAGAGGTCGAGACCGTGTTACGCGGTGGAGCATGGGCTGTTGGCTCAAGAAAGAAACCTGCTCCCGAAGCCATTGTCATTGTGTGGCGGAGGCTGAGGATGAAGCCACGGAAAGAGAAGTCGCCAAACAAAGCCGCCTCCACAAGGTCCCCGCTTCGACGCTTCGACGCTTCGACTTCCGCCCCTTCACCTTGCGCCCACGTGAAGCAAAGTGCGGAATCACGCACGGGCCGTGCTTCTCACCCTGTCTTTGCCTTTCACCTCCTCGCTCCTCCTCCCTTCCATCCCCTCATCCTCTCATTTTACATCACCAACCATGTCCCAGCTCACCCCTTTACCTGCTCCCTGGTACATCTTCTTTGGCCTCCTCGAACCCGTCTCCACCCTCGCAGGCGCCTACTTCGCGCTACTCGACACGGATGGCTTCTATCGTGACTTGATCCCGCTAGAGATGAAGGGGAGTGCAGCAGCCTTCGTCAAGGGAGTGGTAGGTGAAGCCACTGGTGGAGCATTGTTGAGCGGCAAGCCAAGTGATGAGGCCAGGATGGGACTTGCTCAACTAGGAAGCTGTAAGTACGGCTGCGGGCACGGCTTGCGGAATGAAAGCACTGACTGACATTCCTTTCTTCCTTCGTTTCGCTTCGCGCCAGGCTACCTCCTCCTCGCCCTCGTCTCCCTCTTCCTCTTCTCCACTCTTCGCTCTTTCAGCCCCAACTCCCTGCCTCGCTCCACAATGGAGCTCATCATCCGCAACTACCTCGCAGCCCTCGCCATAGCTGATCTGGTGCACATTGGCGTCACCCTCTTCTTCCTGCCACCCGTGGGGAGAAAGGACGGGCGATTCTGGTTTGCGCTGGTCAGTCAGCCCCAGAGGTGGAATGGCTTGTTGGCTGGAAATGTGCTTGCCACGTTGGGGCTTTTCACTGCGCGATCGATGTGGTTCTTGGGAGTTGGGAGGGGGAGCCCCGCTGGTGGAGAGAAGAAGAGGAAGTGAGGGCGCTGGGGAACGCGATTGAGAGTAGCGATGGATACGAGGATGCGAGGCAAGAAAGGGCGGGGGAAAAGCATTGGGTAACATTGTATGGTCGGAAAAGCACAGAAAGCGTATAGGAGCGCTCGCGCCGCTAAAATGATGCCATCTTCTTGAAGATGACCTCCCCGTCTTCTGCGTAGTCCTCGGCGGAGACTGTTTGTGCGAGGTGGGGAAGGGTGGGTCAGCATGCTCCTTCTCTGCAGGCCAGCAAAGGCAATCGTACTTACCCCACATCTGCGCAGCGCAATGGCGATAGTGACACATTCGACAGAAATGTAGTCAGCTTTCTCTCCGCTTCTTTCCACCTCCTGCCTGCCCCTCGCCCACTCACCTTCTTGAAGGTCGACAACGACGCGAGGATGCTCCCTCCGATCCACACGGAATACTTTCTCTCTGGCGGCGCATAGATCTTGATCTTCATATCCCTCAGCGCCAGTCGCTTGACCTCTGCCAGCAGTCGGTCACCGAAGCCTGTGTGTGGTCAAAGTGAGAAGGCGTACCGTCCCCGTCAGCATCAGCTCGACAGTCAATTGACCCTACGCCGATACCCACCTTTCATCAATGTCGTCCCTCCGCTCAACACAATGTTGGCAAACAAGCTCTTCCTCAGATCCAAGTCCGCGCGATTGATGCTGTCCACTACCAGTTGGTGCACGCCCGTGTATTCTGAGCCGACCAGGTCTGGGTTGAAGAGGATCTCCGGTGCGAGGTGACGTTCAGCGCCGAGCTGTGCGAGTGTGAGGATTGGACGGTCAGCATGAAGAGAGGGAAGCCAATGGGCTATGGGCGGATGACTCGCCTTGATTGTATTCCCATCCGGCAACTTGAACTCCTCGATCCTCGTCGGCTCATTCTTTGACCCAGCCGCAGCCGCAGCCGCCGCTACTGAGCCTCCGCCCCCTGCGCTGCTCCCGCTCGCACTAGCCGCTCGGAGGAAGCACGCCTCCTCCTTGAGGCCCCTCACCACCTCTTTCTCCGCGCTCGTCTTCATATCGTAGCCGGCGCCGCGGAGGAGCAGTTGGAGGTGATCAGTGACGTCGCGCCCTGCGAGGTCTATTCGTCGGATGGCGTGGGGCATCGAGAACCCTTCAAAGACGGGGACTGAGTGCGTCACTCCATCGCCAGAGTCAAGGACGAGGCCTGTTGTTCCTGTGTGCGAAAGAAAGGACTAAGGATCAGTATTGGCTGAGTGGTAGGAAGGGCGCCGCGTCGATCTCACTGCCGGAGGAGTATCTGCGAGGACCGACGACGAGGGCGGGCGATTGTCAGCGTCAGAGACTGCTCTGCATATCCTTTCACTCGCTCTGCTCACAGACTGAGCACCGCCTGCACGCTAGTGAACATGGCTGGTACGTTGAACGTCTCAAAGAAGATCTGGGCTGCCGTCTCTCTATTTGACCTCGGGTTGAGGGGCGCCTCCGTGAGAAGGACCGGGTGCTGCGGGCGGGCAGAGTGGTCGCAAAGTAGTCAGCGCAGCAGCCTCTTCTGTCCTCTCCATGTCGTCTCCGACTCACCTCCTCACTCAATGTCCTCAATTCTTCGGCATACGTCCACGCCCAGATGCGCTCCATGTCCTCCCAATCCGTCACGATGCCGTGCTCCACCGGGTACTTGATCTTCAGCAGCCCACGCAGCTCTTGCGCCCGTCTGCCGATGAAGAGGTCACCCTCTACCGCACCGGCCATGCATCTCTCGTGTTTTGGTCGGCCTACGCATGAGGGGAAGTACGTCGTTGGGAGGGAGGAGCCCGCGAATCCGGCTTTGAGGGTGCCAGAGCCCTGCCGGTGTGTGTGAAGGTGAGGGGGTGTCAGTATGGGCGACGAGGAGTGTAGGAATGGCAAAGGCTAGCTCACGTTGTCTATGACTACCGGCTGGTTGGTCAAGACATCATCGAACTCCGCGGCGGGCATGCTGGCGGCGCCCGTACAGGATGAGGAGGTGAGATTGCGAGGTGAGACCGGGTGTATCAGTCAAGTCGCGCGTCGGACGATGAGGGGCGGAGACCAACACAAGGCCACGTGGCGCACCATGCAAGCAAGCTGCAGCCTCAGAGAGGTGCAGGTGGTAGCAGTCCGAGCTTCCCCACACGCCATGCTCGCTACCTTCGACCCCACACCCCATCGACGAAAGCTCTTCACCACTCATCATCACCAATACCATTCACTCGGAAGGAGCGCCGTCGTGAAGCGGTAGGCCAGCAACAGAGCAGCCACGGCCCGCCCTCTGGGCTGCCTTTGCCTGATGCAGGCCCGTCCCGCCTGTCCATCTCCGCTGCCGCTTGAGCTTCAAAAGTGGGTGGCTGCTGCTCCCCGCCGGCCACGGACACGGCAATGGCATATAGGCCCGGCAGCCCTTGCTGATCATCTTGACCTCCTCACCACCAGCACCGTCGCCAGCACGACAGCTGCGAGACAGCATGGCGAACACTACGCCGCGCTACTCCAACTCGACACTCTCCCTCTACCACTCGTGCCCACCAGGGCTAGGGGGAGACGACTGTCAAAGCGCAACGTGCAACTCGACGTTCGTCCCACCCTCTTCACGCTCACTCAAGCCAGCAAATGTCGCAACATGTCCACGCTGTACCGACGGCTTTGGCGGGCTGAATTGCAACATCTGTCAGTCGGCCGACTCCTGCGGTACCGCTGCTACTAGTCTCAACATTCGTCCAGCAGCAGGTGAGACGCTCACCTGCCACCAAGGCCCGCGCCCAATCAGCACGACGCAGCTGCAATGCAACATCAACCAGCCCACGTTGTCCACCTTTTACCCGGGAAAGAGCATCGTAATGACCATGACAAAGGTCGTTCAGCCGGACAACACCACCCTCACCGGCTTGCCCAGCTGGCCAGCAGTCGGGGGCACAACCACCTCGCAAGTCTGGCTAGATGGGGTGATGCAGTACTACTGTCAAGCGTCCAATTGCTCGTCGACCAACTCGACCACGCCTGTCTCGACGGGAGGCAGCGGAGGCAGCGATGTCTGGACTTGTAGTGAATTGAAGTGCTACTGTCCCCCGACGACGGCGATGTGCAGTGGGAATGGGGGAGGCATCGCCATGGAAGGCATCGTGAATCAGTTGAGCGGGACGCTGAGCATGCCGTGTGACTACGGCGAGGATGGCAAGACCAAGTGCCAATTCAAGGGCGGGCAGCTCACCACGTATCTTGGTGAGGCGGGCCTACCGCTTGAGGATGTGAGTCGCCGCCAGCAGCCAGTACGACGGCGGAGGCGTGCAAAGCTCACCCCTCCCTCTCCCCTGCGCGCAGTGCACCTTCTCATCCTGCGTCACGCAGTCAGAGCTCTCAGCCTTCTGGCTCTCCTCCGAATCCAAGTCTGCACAAGCCAAGGAGAAGGACGATACACTTTCAGGTCCTGTCATTGGCGGTATCACCGTGCTTTGCGTCGTCGTGGCTGCACTGCTCGGGCTGCTTCTCTGCGGCTGGTGGCAGCGTCGGCGCGCTCAACGACGTCCCAAAGGCGGCGAGGCGGTGAGAGCTGTGGGCGTGGCATGGGAGGACGTGGACTACAGGGTCTCTCGCAAGGCTGCCCCGAAGTGGCTTGGAGGGAGCAAGACCTCGGCCCCTTTGCACGATGATGCCGAGTCGCCACATCAAGAGAAGACGGCGGGAGAGACGCTGCCATCTCTCGACACCGCCGCAGCACACGGGCATATCCTCCATCACGTTTCAGGCCACGCCCCACCGGGGTCCCTTGTAGCCATTCTGGGCCCCTCCGGCGCAGGCAAGACGACACTCGTGGAGCTTCTGGCAGGCAAGGAGAAGAGCGGAGCATTCAAGGGCAATATTCGTCTCGACGGAGCAGGAGAAGACCTCTCCGCCACCTCGCCTGGGCGACGTCTTCTCGCCTTTGTCGATCAAGAGGACCAACTACCTGCCTATTCCACTGTCCGTGAGGCCCTACGCTTCGCTGCCGAGCTCACATTGCCCGATAACGTGCCAGAAGAGGAGAAGAGAGGCATTGTCCAATCCGTCATCACCACGCTGGGGCTTGGGGCAGTGGCTGACTCCATCATCGGGGAGCGAGGCAGGCGTGGTATCTCAGGCGGAGAGAAGAGGCGGGTCAGCATCGGCATCGCTCTCGTGGCTCGTCCTAGGATCCTTGTGCTCGACGAACCCCTCTCCGGCCTAGATGCCTACAATGCCGCAAGGGTCATGATGGCTCTCCGTCAGCTGGCGAGCGGTGATCACGAAGGAGGCGCAGGGACGACGGTCATCCTTACTCTCCACCAGCCCAGCTCTCAGATGTTCCACATGCTCGACCAAGCCATCCTTCTCTCTGCGGGTCGGACCTTGTACGCCGGTCCACCAGGAGAGGCAATGCGTTGGTGCGAGGAAACGATGGGCCACCCGTGCCCGAGGGGACATAATGTTGCGGATCATCTACTCGAGATCGCGATGCGTACGAGTGGCACAAGGCAGGAGGATCACAGCGGAGGCTCGTCGCCCAAGCGAGAGGCTGCAGTCGCACAGACTGGACAGATGATTCCAAGGACGACCAGCACGACGACTACCTGGTTTACACAGGTCCGAGCACTCACGCGTCGCTACCTCTCCACTGCTAAGCGGGATGCGGCTGGCCCTCTGGCGCACTTGGTTGGGCACATTGTGCTTGGACTCATCGTGGGCGGAGCCTTCTTCCATGTCGCGACAACGATCAGCGGATTTCAGAATAGAGTCGTGAGTGATGGGGGGCGTCCCGCAGCACGAGCTTTCGCGTAGACTTTCGCTGACCCCGACCCCATCCCCGCCTCCCCCCCCCCCCCCCCCCCCCTCCTTTTCACCTCGCGCAGGGTTCCCTCTACTTCCTTTTCATGCTCATGCTCTTCGCTAGCATGTCAGCCATGACAAGCATCCACGCCGTCCGACCACTCATGGCGCGCGAGCGATCCGACGGGCTCTACTCACCCTGGGCCTTCCTAGTCGCGCACGGCACCTACGACATCGTATTCCTGCGCCTCATCCCCGGTCTGCTCCTCTCAACCATCCTCTACTGGATGGTCGGCCTCCGTTCCTCCGCCGCGAGCTTCTTCGAGTATCTCCTCCTCGCCCTGATATTCTACATCGACACGACCTTATACATGCTTCTGCTCGGTTCCCTATTCACCAACCTCTCCCTCTCCATCCTGGGCGCCTCGACCTTCATTCTGCTGAACATTGCGTTCGGCGGCTTCCTCCTCAATCTCTCCACCATCCCACCCGTGCTGCGCTGGATCCAGTGGCTGGCGCCCATGAAGTACGCGCTGGAGGGAGTGACGCAGCATGAGATTAAGGGGCTGCAGGTCAATGATAGAGTCGGCGGCGTGCCCGTGGGGCTCAGTGCAGAGTTGATCGCGCCAGGACTGTTCTCGCTCACAGGAAGCTATTATCGCGACCTCTTGGTGCTCGCGCTAGGCTTCACGGTTGGGTACGCGCTTTTGCTCGCTGGGGCTGTGTGGTGGAGGATGAGAGACAGACGCTAGGCGCGATACGTAGACTACACTGTATTTACTCTCTTGGGCATTTTGAAAATCCAGTCACCTTGTCACCTTGCGCCTCAGAGACACCTCACGCCGTACGTCAAGACGTGCGGATCGCAATTGAAATAGCCCTCGTGCGCTGAGCCTCTTCGCTGCCGTATCGCTAGCCGCGTATGCCTTGGGGTACAGGGCATGACGTCGTGGACCGGAGACCGTACGTCGCCTCGAGATAAGTTGCTTGCCATGCTGCTCCAGGGCATCTCCTCTTCTTCCTTCTGGCCCCCACCGTAAAGTCAACTGCTCTTCGCCCCCTATCCGACCTACGCCCGCCTACAGCTCGCAATGCTCCGCCTGATTCTCGCCTTATCCTCCCTCTTCCTCGCCCTCACCCTCAACAAATCGAACGTCGAGGCGCAGACTGGCGTCCTGGGAAAGTGTTGGACAAAGGCAAATTGCACGGGATTCCCCAGTCTCGTGGTCCACCAACCTGCCCCCTCGACACCGGTCAACTGCGGTTCCTTTACAATGGAGAGCAACTTCGCCATCACTGTTGACGCTTGCAGCGTGAGTTGCGCCCCGGATGGGAAGGCAGCAGGGGTCGCTTGCTGATGTTTATTCTCTTTCTGGTCCATCAGGACGCCCAGTGCAAGAAATGTAAGGCTCTCAACTCGAAGCAGTGCGCTGCTGGCCCGTGAGTCGACGAGCAGCTTGCGGGATTTGGCTAGTGGGTACTGACGCGGCGTCTCAACCTTTCTCTGCGTAGAGTCAAGTGCATCGTCGTCTAGGGTAGATGAGCGGCGCCAGCATAAAGTTGTCGATCTCGGGCTCCTTCGCGACGCGCACTTCCTCTGTGATCGTCATGGAAAATCACACGGGTGCATTATCGCCACCTCGTATCAGGGCGAAGCAGCCGGTTGTGCGCTCTTGCGTGTCTTTCTCGTGGCGTTGCGGCTTTGATGATGCAAAGGTCATCATAAGACCGCATCTTCATCGTACGATCCTCGAACAACAAACGTGGCCGAATGCAATGGCTCGTTGAGGCGCAAGGTCTTGGCTGCTCAGTGTTCCGCCATGACTGCTGAGGAGTGACAGCAGCCCGCATTGACACGCATACCACAACAAGCCGACAGGGTCAAGATGAGAATGATGAAAAAAAGTCTTTGCCATTGAATCATGTATCATGGCTGTTCTGAATGGTTGATCGGGTCACTTTGGATTGTTGGCCGCCAAAGGTTGCTGCGCATGGTGAGCGAAGCGGCAGCAACTGACGACCCTCATGCGCGCCTGCGCTCGATACTTCCAGAGGGGCAGTAGGATAGCCAAGGTGCGTCTCCCTTGTAGCAAGCAGACTTCGAGGTGATCGTCTGGCAGGTGCCCCCACAAAGACCGAGGGTGCAGACCTTGCCGTACCCCAGGCTGTCAGGCAGTGGTCAGCAGGAGAAAAGGCTACGAATCAGGTCCGCATCACTCACGGAGCGCGCATGGAGCCGCACTCCGAGAGTCCGATGCGCTGGATGTTGGTCGACGTGACGTCGTGAGGGCGTCCGTCGCAATCACTGTGAGCACACGAGAGGGGCGAGGACATGTCAGCACAGTCTGCGTCATGGTGGAGATAGGCTGAGATTTTGGAGAGGCTGACCCGCCAGTGAAGCAGTTTGCTGGGTGCGCAAAGGTCTTCCAGAGGTCAGCAGCAGGCTAAAAGGGGCTTAGGCTTGCTGTTTGCTTACCCAGCGTGTAGAGAGCCCCGGCCTCGTGGACCGACAAGGCCACGAAAGAGAAGGCAGCAGAGATGATGGCGAAGAAGTTCTTGGTGAAGTGCATGTTGAGCAGGGTTGGTCCAATGATGAAAGGAGAGACGTACGTGCACGAAAGCCTCGTACTTGTAACCGCGTCGCCGGAGGGACTTTGCGCTTTGCTGCGGTGGCCGGACGTGAAGAAACCTTAGTGAGCATTTTCGAGCAGCGTTGCGCCAGCGCTGAGAGCCTCTAGTCAGTAGCAAGACGGCCGACCTCATCTTGACCGTGCGACCTCCATCGCTGAATCTGTTTCCCGGTGTATGTGCTTGTAATGGAGCAAGGCAGAAAGCTCGAGTCACGAGACGAGTCGTTGATCTTCCCGAGGAGTGCAGTGATCCCGTCGCTTCCCACCCCCCCTCAGCACTATCCGCTCGTTGCCTGTTGATGGGACATCTGTTCTTGAGGCACTTGTGCAGCCCGCCAATCTCCCCCGATCGCTTCGTCTCGTCCAGCGAGGAGACGAGCGTCCGAAGGCGCCACAGTGCTGGAGACGGACAGTCTACGGCTGGTCAAAGTCGTCAGCAGACCTTGTGACTCTCCAGGTCATGAAATTGGCAATCAGCATGTCGCCGCTTCTCACGCCAAGCCGGCGTCTTCTTCGTCCCGCGCCTTCCCGCACTTGCTGGTGGGAGCTTCGAGGCCGCAGCATCGGAGGTCATGAGCTGGGACGGTCGGACTGCTGCAAGTCTCCCCGCTGGCGGGAATTGAGTGGTGCTGGTGAGGTGGTGGGAGGCTCTGAGTGAGTACTTTGCGGCTGGAAGTTTGACTTTTGGTACGTCGAAGGCTGAGCGTGACGAAGGGTGCGGCGGTGGATTGCTTTGTGCTTGCTGGCCGCCTTTGCCGGGGAGCGCAATACTTCGTTGCGATGAGACCATGTGATCTTCTTGAGCGGGAACCTTGCTGCTCGGGACTATCACGGGTGTCGTGACCGCGAGAACTCCCCATGCACTGCTCGCGACGAGTGGCCGGCAGAGGGAGGGCGCCCTTGCTCAAGCTGCGGCTGCCGGCTTGGCGACCAGAGAAGGTAGCGATCAAGAGGTGGACTGATGAGTGCTCTATGGGCGTCTGTCCCTTCGAGGCATGGAGAATCTCCGTCTGATTGACTGCGCCCAAGCAAAGTGGAATGATCATCCGCATCATTGGCGAGTACCTCCAAGGGAGGCTTGGTCAGACGCCATCGGCATGGCCCTGTAGAAGGTGGCTGTCGTCTACGCTTCGACGTCTTTCGCTGTCTGAAAGTGCTCTTTCCCTCCAGCGTCTTGCTGTTGGCGGCGATTCGTACGCTGACTACTCGCGTGAGCAGGATCGTTGATGGGATGCGGGCGGGGAGCTTGCCGTAAGTCAACACACTGAGTGCTAGCCTCTTGTGTCGCCGGACTGTAGGCACATGCTGAACAGAGAAGTGACATTGACCGTTCCAGGATGTCGAGCTTTGTGCTGACGCTGCCTCTCGTGTACACCGCAGAGACTGCTCTGGCACCCTCTACGTCATGGAAGTCCCAGAGAAAGGCATTACCAACTTCGAGCCAGCCCCTTTTGCTTGCACAACTGTCAAGACGCAGAGCATCTTTGTATCCGTCTCTGCTGCGCAGGACGGTGAGTTGGGGTGTTTTGAGCTCGTGGCATGTTCATGATCGAGTGAGAAGATTTCATGAGCCCGACACGTCTGGAGAATCGTGAAGTCGCCCTCACCGGTCCTCGCGTCTGCGCTTCTCGACTGCACCCTTGTTGGTCAACGCCGACCCGACGCCAGGCTGCAGCCGGGTTGCATGACCCGAGTTTCGTGCCTCTGCTGCTGTGCCTTGCCACGTCGCCTGCAGGTCGAGCGAGATGAGATTGCGCACGGCCACCCGCCCTCGTTTGCTTTCCTCCTTGTCGTCCTCATCATCGTCACCTCATTCTCCCGGCCATCCATGCACGTCCATCTCAGGCTCCTCTCTTCATCTTCACACAGCCCGACCATATATGCTCTGCCGTCCGCCGAGCAGGTGCACGCGACGTAGGCTGGCCGCGCTCAGTCGCCTCGTCGCTCCAGGCATAGCAAGCACTCGCCAGCTCCTTCATTCTCAAGCTCTGTACATCGCGTTTGCGCCCTCCTCTGGGCTAGAGGTCCGTCTTGGGGGCATGCGACACGCAGATCGATCTTTTCCATCTGTCAGACGCTCTCATCTCTCATCAAATTGGGTCAAATTGTCACCATGCCAAAGCCTACCCGCCTTGGCCTCAATCCTGAGCCGGCTGCTCCTTCCACTTCGAGAGCAGCAAGGAGCCAGTCCCTCCCCAGCATGACAGGTCGTCTCGCACACTTGCCCTTCTCCATGGGTTTCACAACTCCCCGGTCGCGACTCAGGCAAACATGAAGCCAGTCATGAGCGCACTGCTAGCTCTCAAGCAGGATGGTAAACCCAGGTGATACCGGAGCTTTCATCCTTACTAGCAGCCATTGAGCGCCTTCGAGCTCGAGGTGTCCGCCCAGCACGAGCAGAACTCCATCAAGAATGTTGCGAAGGATACCAAGTGCCCGGCGACGTCGCAACGTCTGAGCATCACACCCTCCGTGCGGGCCAAGATCGGTCTCGGGGACGTCTCCGCCTCGATGGCCATGGTCTAGCGCTCGACCTTCAGCCCGCCCCAAGTCGACAACAGCCGCTTTGTGCTGCCTCAGTGCAAGGTAGTCGGCGAGACCAATGCCGACTGAGCAAGCACATTCCGGGTGAGCGACCGTGCTCCACTCCGCAAGGCGATCGAGGTCTCGAACCCCTACATGCTCTACGCTTGTGGGGTGCAGAAGCACCTGGACTGCAGGGACGGCTCCTTTGACCTGCGCGCCTTCCTCGACGAGCATGCGACGGACTGGTGGGTCCCTCCCCTCGCACATCGCATGCAGAGAGACTGAGTTCGGGCGCACCGTCGAGCCAGCTCAGGCAGGCGACCGGGACGAGCAATCGCCTCCTATAGCATCCGGTGGAGCCGGATTGGTGCTCGCTAGAGCGCTTGCTGCTGGCGGACAACAGGATGGCTGCCGGCATGAGCGTCAACGACTTTAACTGCGGTCCCGAGGAGGACAAGACTCCCCTCCCTAACCGCCTGATCGACGCGGTCAAGTCGCTGCAGCCCTCGGTGGATCTCGTCCGACACTTCGGCGACAAGGGCGAGGTGGGCGGGCACGGGAACCCTGACTGCATCGCCCTGATGTCTCGCTACTGGCAGCTCCACCAGTTGGCTCATCCCCTCGTCTCCGGCATCATGTTTCTGGCCACGCAGCTTGCCCGCCTTGGAGGGTGGGACTTTCTAGACATGCTCGTCGGCATGCTCGACGACCTGTGAACTAGCTCGCAAAGAGATGGCGACAGGGATCAGCGCCAAGTGGATCGCCATCGACGAGGAGCTGCATCAAGCCCTCAATTCGCTCGTCCCCCTCCCGTCCCTCTCCACCGACCAGCTCCGCAAGCACATGGCCTGCGAGCCTTGCGAGAGCATGCGCGACATCCAAGGCCACATGGAGAGGTACAACTGGTATCTGCCCAATCTCACGGCCAGGGCAGACAACCAACCGCTCTGAGTTCTGACGCTCCTTCGCCGATCGGTGGATCTGCCCCAATAGTTGCATCTTGCTTGGGCTGCCCTTCTGATACGTGATGACACTTTATTACGCCGAGGGGCTGCGAGAGAGAAACCGTAGCGGGCAGAGGAAGCCTTGCTACTCTATAGACTTATGGCACGCGAAACCTCACAACTTCGAGCACGTCCAGCGCACCCTTATCGAGAGTGATGTACAACGAGATCGTCCTGGAATGACGGCACGCTTTGCCGCTCGCCTACAAGTGACACACTCCCGGCATGAACACATGCACAGAGTCCAGCGAAACCACTTGCCACTATCGCATTCGAGTGTGAAGTTCTCTGAGCCTGTGAAGTCGCGCAGCCATCGCTACGATTCTTCTCAGCTTGTTGAGCGCATGTGGGAACCCTCGCACGGTCGCCGTTCCTGCAGTCAGTGGCGATTTTGGTGCCTAGCGTCTTTTTTGCTCGTGAGCCGCCTTTGCCGCCTATCTAGTGCCCGCGGTCATTTCGCCGCACCTGCTTGCTTGGCTGCCGGCGGTTGAAGCGAGGGGTAGGCACACGTGCCCCCCGCTTTCCCAATTCGCTTCCATGCTCAAGAGATTGCTCTCCTCGACACTTCTTCCTCCCTTTCCTCTTCTTCAACTTCACTCCTCGCAATGGTCTTTACTCAACACGACGAGGTCTACGTCTCTGGTGCGCCAGCGGCTGCGGCCTCATCGCCTGCGTCGACCCCGCCTTTGGAGGCGGACGTCAAGAAGTCTGACTCGCAGGATGGTCAGGTGGCCACGCTTTATCACGACGATACTACGGCTATCGCGAACCCAAAGTTGGCCCACAAGGCTAAGTGGTCTGACCTATTCACTGTCCTTGCAGCCGGAGCAGCCTTGATTTCAGATGGATACCAGAACAACCTCATGACCCTGCTCAACCCCTTATTCGCTACTCGGTACGGAAAGGTCGAATACTCGTCAGCCGTCTCTACTCGCGTGTCCAACTCGCTGCTGGTAGGAGCTATCCTAGGTCAAGTCTCGATTGGCGTCGTTTGCGATCGCGTTGGCCGCAAGAGCGCCATCATCGCCGCCACTCTCCTCCTCTTCCTCGGCGCCGTATTTGCAACAGCGGCCACCGCCGTCAACGGTGACGTATCAGCGCTGTTCTGGTGGTTCACTATTGCGAGAGGTGCAACAGGAGTGGGACTTGGGGGTGAGGTGAGTATTCGCTCGGCGGAACGATGCCGCTGCTTCGTCAGGCTAAGCTTGCTTTCCTCTGCTCCTCTCCCAGTACCCCACATCCTCCGCCTCAGCCTCAGAAGCATCCAACGAGAGATATGGTCGCGAGAAGCGCTCGACGATCTTCATTCTGTGCACCAATGTCGTCCTCTCGATGGGAGGACCCCTCGCAGTCAGCTGCTTCCTCATCGTCCTCTCCGCCACCTCGTACGGGAACACCTCCTCGCCCTTGGATCTCAAGCGCCTCGACATCACGTGGAGAGTGTGTGCAGGTATTGGTGCCGTGCTCCCTCTTAGCGTGATATACTTCCGATTGAAGATGCTCAATAGCAAGCTGTATCGCCAGGGAGCCATCAAGCATAACGTCCCTTACTTTCTCTTCCTCAAGCGATACTGGCGCCGAATGATTGGTACAAGTGAGTCTACGCGCGCCAGCAGGGGTGGGAAGCTCCCAGCGCTCACGCTCTTGCTCCTTTACGTCAGCGATGGTGTGGTTTTTGTATGACTTCGTGGCTTTTTCCAACGGTGCATTCTCTGGAAGCATCATCGCATCAGTCCTGAAGAACCCGACGTTGAAGCGTACTGCGGAGTACCAGTTGTTGCTCGGCGCCCTCGCGCTCCCCGGCGCGTTCATTGGCGCGTGGCTTGTCAAGCTCATTGGAACCAAGTGGCAGCTAGTCACGGGCTTCACTGGATACATTGTGCTCGGTTTGATCATTGTAAGTGCGCGAAAGAATGACGCAGAGGAGCTCGAGCTGACCTACGGCTGGACGCCTTCGCAGGGCCTTGCGTGGGACAAGATCATCGATATCCCCGTCCTGTTCGTCATCCTCTACGCGCTCTTGACCAGCTCGGGCAATCTCGGCCCTGGAAGCATCTGCGGTCTCATTGCCAGCGACTCCTATCCTTCAGCGCTGCGTGGCTCTGCCTACGGTCTGTCCGCCGCCATCGGCAAGGTAGGCGCGGCAGTGGGCACCGAGGTGTTCACGCCCATCCAGAACGGCATCGGCAAGAAGTACACATTCATTGTCGCCGCGGGCGTCGGCGTCTTGGGCGTACTTCTGGCGCTATTCACCGTCGTCGATACCACCAAGTTGAACTTGGAAGAAGAAGACCGAAAGTGGGAGGCGTACCTTGTCGAGCATGGGTGGAAGGGGGTCGTCGGCTGTGACGAGACTGCGTTTGGCGTCAAGGAGGGCTTGAAGGCCGAGCACCGTGTCGAGGAGCAGCAGGATGACGGGCTCCGTCAGAGAAGCGTCAAGGATGGCGGCTCGGACAGCGAGTAGGTGTGTTTTTCCCATATCATTGCAATGCCATGGCCCGCCACCCAAGGGGTCGGGAAGGGCCACGTGGTTGAGACTCTGTCCTGCTTCAAGCTTGTGACATCTCAGCGATGGCTGGCCTTCCTTCCTTTCTGTGCATTGTGCGCTGTCCTCTAGTGGCTCATGCTGCCAGTTCTGAAGCTATTCCTGCGGCGGCATCGAGATAATGATCGTCTGCTCGAGGTGACGTTGCGAGCGAGCGTGAGAAGTCGTGGTCATCCCCAGCCCGCCTGCGCGCGGCCGGGGAGGCGGACTGACTGACTCGGTGCGAAAGTCGAGTCGAGTCGAGACCAAGCCAAAGTCGTCCGTCCGTCGAGAGCCGGCTGACTCGCATCCTTGCTCCTCCTCATCACCATCGCGACCAGAGCAAGCAATCCGAGGCTGGATAGACAATATGGCAGGTGAGCATCGGCAGCAGCCGAGAGACGCAGTAGGGAGCAGTAGCTGATCAATCTTGTCTCTGCGCCGTGCACACAGCCACTCGCACTCCCTCATCGACCTTCCTCTCACTCTGGAACACGGCAGCGAAGGGAAAGAGTCGTGCCCAGCCCCTCTTCAATCAAGCCCGCAGCATCAGCACCACCAGCAAAGCAGCATCGCCGTCCGTAGCTGCCGCCCCGTCGGCAGCCTCGACATCGTCATCCGCCTCTGCTGCACCCCCCCAAGCTCTCACCACCTCGACCTCTCACGCCCTCTCCCTCCTCCGCACCCAACCTTCCCACTACATTGTCGCCTCTCTCGTTGGGCGAGTATTCACTCTCCATCCACGCGACGTCGTAACAGTACCTCGCCTACGGGACGTGGAAGTCGGCGACGTGCTAGAGCTGGACCGCATCCACGAGGTGGGTAGCAGGGACTATACGCTCCGAGCGCAGGACCCCATGGGCGGGCGAGAACGAGTCGCAGCCGATATGGCCAAGAGGAGACGGGTCGAGGGAGGACCACAAAGCGTCGCCTCACGCCTCGCGGCGGCTGCTGCTGCTGAAGGGTCACAAGAGCCTCTACGCCTCTCCTCTAGCTGGACGACGCAGCATCTCCTCCCTGCTGGGCTGGCCCACGCTGGTGCCGTGCTGAGCCCGCAAACGGTGCGAGCGCGGGCGGTAGTTGTGGAGCATACCAAGGGGGCATTGGAGAAGATTGTCAAGTTCAAGAGGAGGAAGGGGTACAAGAAGACGATTCAGCACAAGCAGGGGTACACGCGCATCAGGCTCGAGGCGGTGCGATTGGGCGAGGCGTAGGCGCGGGGAGAAGCTGCGATTGGGTATCGTTCCGGATGGAGCAGAATGTCAATCGCATTACATTGACCAGCAGGGAGGGTAGTCTGGCTCCTTCACTTTGCCTTCTTGCGGGTGAGCATAGCGCTGCCACTCTTGGAAGCCGCACCAATCCCCATGCCCACGCCCAGCAGCAACCCAAGTCGTGCGGATATGGGCAGGATAGTGAGGAGCATCGTGAGCCATTCTGTCGTCTTTGTCCATTTCCAGCTGTGGAGAGAGAGGGGAGAGAGCGTGAGGTCAGGGCGTCGTACTGGACGGAACAGTCTGCTGCGACGAGGCGACTCACGGGCTCACAACCTTGATCAATCCCCAGTCTTGCACGATAGCATACACGTACATCGCATCGCTGAGTAAAAAAGCCGTAGCGCATTGCTTCCACACCTTGAGGTCGTGGTGGAAGACTGGGGTGCGCTCGCATTCCCCTAGTCAGCACTTCTTGCCCTGACTCTCCCGCACAACGTCCTCGACTCACCATGTGGAAGAGCATAAAATTCGAGATACACGATGATGGCCCATCCGCCCACGATCTGGCTGAAGAGGGGATCGAGCGATTTCGTGTAGCGGGTGCGTGGTGTCACATAGTCGAGGTAAGATTGTGGGTAGAGCAGAGCCTGGAGGGCGCCGCCGATTGCGAGGAGGGGCTCGATGAAGGAGAGAGTGAGGCGGTAGAAGAGGGGGAGGGGTGTCGGGCGTGGCATGATTGCGGGAAACCAATGCCAAGCACGTGTGAGAAGGATGTGAGAAGAGGAGTGTCAAGGGTGTGTGAGAGGGATGCGAAGAGAAGAGGGTCAAGGATGAAATGCAAGTCACCTCATTGCATTGCGCCAGAGCCGCCGGATGAGGAGGTCCGAGCTGCATAGGTTGAAGCGGCCGAATGTGATCAATAAGGAGCAAGAGCGCGCAGATTACAAGAGCCAAGCATGTATCATCTCTCATGAGCGAACATCATCCTCAGAAGCTGGATTGCATGCTAGCATCTGCGATCTTCGATGCAAGGACAACGTGAGCATCGACTCAAGGACAACATGAGCCATGGGATGAGAAGGCGCTCAATGAATTTGACTCGCCCCCGCTTTGCCCGACTCCACACTGCAGTCCGCCCTCCGTCTGAGTCCGAGTCCGCCACCAACTTTCCTCCTCACCACCATCAGCAACTCAGCATGCCGCCGCCGAGTGAAGCAGGGCCATCAACGACAAGGCCGACAACGCCTCCGCCAGCCGCAGGGTGAGCTTCAGAGCCCACGCTCAATGTGCATCTGGTCGCTCACCACTGTGCCTCGCCCTGCGCAGCTCTCGTCCCGGCCTTCCCCCCACGCCAGACCATGTACGGGTGATGCAAGAGAATAGGCTCAAGGGTGAGCGCAACGAATCTCCGCAGCATCAAGCAAGCATCTCACATTCTGCACCTCTCTCCCCACTCACGCGCAGCCAAAGCGCGCATCCAAGCCCAAGCAGCCGCCCAATACCCGCAGCACTCGCTCAACTCCAACTCCAAACGACCCCTCGGCCCCCTCCCACTCGAAAGCGCTTCAGGCCCCTCTGCACCACCACGAGCAGCAGCAAATGCAGCCGCTACGGTCCCCAGCACGTCTCGCAATGCTGGAAGCTCCGAGACGGGTATGGCTTCGCGGCCCAAGATCAATCCGCGCACAGGGAGACCCATGCAGCCCGAGCCTGTAGCCTCCACCTCGTCCAATGGCAATGCTCCTCTACCGCGCGATCAGTCTCTGGGAGACTACATCGAGTTCGACCTCTCCCGTCTGCACAACAGTAAAGGTGGCTTTCTGGTTGACGAGGATGATCCCCTCGGAACGGGGGCCCCTTCAACCAAGACGATCCAGGAGGTCAGGCTGGAGCGAGAGAGGGAGAGAGCCAGGATACGAGCAGCTATGGAGCCCGGTATCAACCTGAGCGATGAGGACATGATCTGTAGAGAATGTGGAGGGAGGGAGCTACACGATGACCTCAGACGGACGTTTGGGGTCAAGGTTTGTAGGAAATGCGAGCGCAAGTTCCCAGAAAAGTACTCGTTGTTGACCAAGACGGAGGTGAAGGAGGTGCGTAGCGGCGTGATCAGGAGAGACGACGTTGCATCGCCCGACTGACTGTATTATATCCTTCCGTCCTCTGTGCCGCCAGGACTACCTCCTCACCGACTCCGAGCTACGGGATAGCGAGCTCCTCCCGCACATGCTCAAAGCCAACCCGCACAAGCGCACATACTCGAACATGATGCTCTTTCTCCGCTGCCAAGTCGAGGACTACGCATTCGGCCCCGCCAAGTGGGGCTCTGAGCGCGGATTGGACGAAGAATTCGAGAGACGTGCAGATGTCAAGAGCGCAAAGAGGGGCAAAAAGTTCTTGGAGGGGCTGAGGGAGCTTCGCAAGCGTACGAGGGATAATGTGTGGCAGCAGCGGAGGGATGAGGAACATCGCCATGAGTATGAGGACGTGGAACCTGATGGCGGGGAGGAAGATGAGGAGGGGGTGCAGACGCAGGTCTGCAAGGGGTGTGGGCACGTCATTCAGGTCGAGGTTTTCTAGCAAGGGGGTGTGGGCAATGCATTGCTTGCACAAAAGTAGAGGAGGCTGGTGGCGCCGCATTACCGCAGCACCGGCGCCCTGACAAATCTGTTGAAGACGAGACGAAATCAAGGTCAGCTTCTCCAGTCTCTCTTCAACCAAATTCTCGCAAGGCGCGCACTTACGTAGCATCAATCTGCTTGACCTGTGGCAAGGCCAGCTGGACCTTCCGTCTATACGCACTCCCCTCCGCTCTAGTGAAGGGGTTGCCCTCCAAATAAACCGTATCCAGCTGTGGGCAAGCCGAAGGGCCTAGCAGAGCTTCCAAGTCCCTCAGTGTTGCCGGGCCGGGAGCGAGCTGATTGTCGTTTGCCCAGAACTCTTCGAGGTGGACGAGGGGCGTTTCGAGGCCGGGACCCAGCGGAGGAGGAGGAGGGGAGTCTGCGTCTTCATTGGTGGATGAAGAAGCGGCTGCTCCCTCCTGGCTGCCATGACCGCTGCGCAGGCTCGTCAAGAGATTGCCCGCAATGTCCAGTACCCGCAGCTTAGGGAGATGCGCCAGACCGGCGAGGGAGCGCAGCCCGTTGTGCGAGATGTAGAGTTCCTGGAGGCGGCAAAGGGGCGATGAGTCAGCGACGAATCCCTTGCTTTTCTCCTAGTGCTGTTCAGCTCACCTCCAAGCTCCCACCGAGCTCCTCCAGCCCGGCAAGCGTCGTTATCCTATTCGACTGAATGCTCAGCACCCTCAACTTCTTCATCCCTTCGAGTCCCTCGATACGCTCAATTTTGTTCTTCCCAAGCCAAAGCTCCTCTAATCCCGTCACCTCCTCCAGCCCCTCGATCTTGCGCAACCTATTGCCTCCCAGCTCCAAGCTGACCAGAGAGTGGGACAGCGGCGCGACAAAGTCTCCAGGGCGGACGCGGGCGATCTTGTTCTGGACGAGGTAGAGGTGTGTGAGCTTGGCGAGAGGGGAGAGGTTGGAGGCATGCCGCAAAGCATTGAACGAGACGTCGAGCGACTTCAAATTTGGACATCCCGCCGTGAGGACATCGCCGTACGTCTTCTCTAGCGAGTTATCGTAGAGGTCCAGGTCCTCCAACTTCTCCAGCGCACCTACGTCGCTCGCGCCGATCTTTGTGATGAGGTTTTGCCGCAGTACGAGACGCTTGAGATGTTTTGCGAAGCGGGGCAAGTTGAGCTGTCTGAGATCTCTTGTCTTGAGTGAGAGGTGGGAGAGGTCCAGGTCTTCGTCCTCTAGAGTCAGGTCAGAGACGAGCGCTTCGAGATCATCGTCCGAGCTCGAGGGCGGGGCGGTAGCGGGATGCGCGGAGGGTTTGGAAGGCGGTGCGTCCGAGTCTATTGAGCCTGCATCTGAGCGCGCATCCTCATTGTCGTCGTGGTCTGACTCGGCGCCATCGCGGGGGATGGGCGGGCCTGGAGGTGGAGCGCCGACTACTTGGACCCGTTTGCCTGAGCGATTGGTGGGTGCGGCTGATGATGACGAAGAGGAGGAAGCTTCCTGCGAGACGCCTACGCCAGTGGACGACGAAGCCTGCTGTGTAGCCTCACTGCCGTTCGCTGGTCCTTCTTGCATGCTGTCAGACATGATCGGTCGTCGAGGATGAAGTGGTGGTGCAGGAAGGAGGCGGGAGTGCAACAGCGAGCGGAGCGCTTGGGCCGCCCAAAAGTCGAGGGGCGACTGAGCCGAGATGAGGGCTGGCCAAGCACGCGACGATTCCCCCCTCCTCCCCAGCGGGTGCAATACAATGTAAAGCCGCTCACGAGGATGTAGTGAGAGATGATAGCTCAACGTTCAGCCAGATGATGCTACTCGTCATGACGCGGGCATCTTTCTCACCTCCCACCCTAGAGCATCATGACAGACCCCATCGAGATCAGCTCCTCCGACGAGGCCCGCCCACCTCGCGACACCCGCAAGACGCTCGGGAAAGGCCACCCTTCCTCCGCCTCACTACGAGCAGCCATGTCCTCGTCGTCTGAGCCTCGAATTCGAGGCAAGCGTGCTGCACCCAAGAATCCCAGGTCTGCCTCCTCGTCCACCTCCTCCTCCTCCTCGGCGGCCCCTCCCGCTGTCAAGAAGCGTAAGCGCGACCCAAGCTACGATTCCGACGTGGACGAAAAGAAGCCAAAGCCCAAGGGGGCTAGTCGTCGCAAGCTTACCCTCTTCGAGCCCTGGGAGGATGCTGTCTTCATCGATTCGGTGCTCACACAGTACTCGACGGAGCATCTTGTGAGCATGAACAACATCGTGCAAGCTACTCTCAGCGAGCTGACAGTGCGTGAGAGGGCCCTTCCTTTGCCACGCCAGGCCATCTTCAACGAGATCAACAAGCAACGCCTTGAGAGAGGGCTGCCTTTGAGGGACGAGGTGAAGCAGGTGGGTACGCAGGTGCCTCAGCAAGCTCAGTCTGGTGCCTCCAGCTGATCAGCCCCACCTGGTACGCGCCGCGCCGCGCCTAGATCAATGACCACTGGAACAAGAGCGTGAAGCGTAGGATCCTAGCTATCGGGAAGGGTGATTGACGAGGCGGGATGGAAACTGGTCACCTCGCAGGCTGTGATCTAGTCGAATCGGGTCATCATTGTCGAGTCAAAAAACCAAGAATACAGTGCACTCCTCCCACATCGCATCGCATCGCATCGCATCGCTCCACCTTAAAGACGCGCCGGCGCAGCATTGTCGTCGAGGAAGGGCGTCAGGTCGGTCGTCAAGAACTCGCTGGGTACCTTTGCCCTGACCTGCTCAGCGAGGTATCGCTTGGCGGTGTCGACCCTCTTTGCGTCGAGCTTGTTCAGCTTGGCCGCCTCCTCGTCGAGGAGCTTGTCAACAAACTGAGGCGTCACCTTCTTGCCGTCGTGCGTGCTCACGCCGTGGTAGCACCATTGCCAGAGCATCAGTCGCGAGATCTCTGCAGTGGCTGCGTCCTCCATTGAGAAGTTGATGGGCACACAGCCGATGCCGCCCATCCAGTTTGCGCAGTAACCCAAAAGGGCAGAGACGTTGGCGCGTGCACCCTCCTCACTGATCTTGCCGGGGACGTTGGCGTTGAGGAGGTCCAGCGCCTTGACGTTGACCTCGTCGCGACGAACGTGGTACTGGTTGGGGCCGACCATGTTCTTGTTGAAGATCTCGAGGGCGATCTGCACCAGGGCGGGGTGGGCGACCCAAGTACCGTCGTGGCCCTTTTGGACCTCGCGCAGCTTGTCGTTGCGCACCTTGTCCATCGCGGCGGCGTTGGCCTTCTCGTCGCCCTTGATGGGGATCTGAGCGGCCATACCACCGATGGCGGCGACGTGACGGTTGTGGCACGTCTTGATGAGGAGGTCCACGTACGCGTTCATGAAGGGAACGGTCATGGTGACGTCTGAACGGTCGGGGAGGACAGCGTTCTTGTTGTAGCGCTGTCGCTTGATGAAGGAGAAGATGTAGTCCCATCGACCGCAGTTGAGGCCAGACGAGTGGTCGCGCAGCTCGTAGAGAATCTCGTCCATCTCAAAGACGGCGGTGATCGTCTCGATCAGCACGGTACCACGGATGGTACCGCGAGGCATACCGATGTAGTCCTGGGCGAGGTTGAAGGCGTCGTTCCAGAGGCGTGCCTCGAGGTGGGACTCCATCTTGGGGAGGTAGAAGTAAGGACCGAAGCCGCGCTTGACGAGCTCCTTGGCGTTGTTGAAGAAGTAGAGACCAAAGTCGAAGAGGGAAGCGGACATGGGCTTGCCGTCAACGATGAAGTGCTCCTCGTTCAAGTGCCAGCCACGCGGACGGATGATGAGGGTGGCAGTCTGGCCCTCGGGCTTGAGCTTGTACGACTTGCCGTTGGACTGCTGCGTGAAGTCAATTTGGCGAGTGATGGCCAAGTTCATGTTCACTTGACCGTCGAGGTTGTTGGCCCAGGTGGGCGAGTTGGAGTCCTCAAAGTCGGCCATGTAGGTGTAGGCGCCAGAGTTGAGGGCGTTGATGACCTGCGGCGGCGACATGAAACAATTGGCATTAGCGGGGGCTGCGCAACAATCACGGGCAACGCGCGCTGCTCACCATCTTCTTGTCAACGGGACCCGTGATTTCCACACGTCGGTCACGAAGACCAGGTGCAGGGGGCGCACACCTCCATGACTTGTTCTCGCGGATGTGGGCAGTTTCGGGCAGGAAGTCGGGGAGAGCACCGCCGTCGAAGCGGGTCTGGCGAAGCTGTCGGTTGCGAAGGTTTTGCTGACGGGTGGCTTCGAAGTTGCGGTGCAGGACGACGAGGAACTTGACTGCCTCTGGGGTGAGGATCTTCTCGTGGGCAGGCTCGACCTTGCCTGTGAGCGCGGCGAGGAGGGGATGGTCAGCTACGGGTGATGCGGCAAATTGAGATCAGGAGCTCGCCGCTACGCACCGGTGATGCGGACGTTGTCAATCTGAGCGGCGGCGGACATCTTGAGAGTCGTGATCAAAGGGAATGAAAGGATGGGAGAGAAGAGCTGACAATTGTTGCTTGCCCGCCCGCCTCATATTTGACGACCGGGCTGACCCTCACGTCGAAGGCCGGTCGGCCAAGTGTGGAGTATCGGTGTCCCGAAAGTGCACTGGCCAGCTGCCTGCGCCCGTCCGTGTGCTCACTCTCACGCAGCCATCCCCGCATGAATCCGTCACGGCCGCTCCGCCGAAAACCGCATCTCACGTGGCGGTCGAAGCTACCCACGCCTGCCCCGCTTGCCAGGGGATGGATGGCGATTGAGGCGAGCGAGGGCAATGGCCACGACCTCATCAAGCGCCATCCCAAGTCATGAGGAGGGCGAAGGCAACGATTCTCATCGTCGGCAGGCGGCTGGAAATGAGGGCCTCGCCCTAGACTGTCTCACGAACCCTTGGAAGCCGTCGCGGCTCGCCCGCTCTCAGCTCAACTCCCGATTTTTTTGCACCCTCTGTCTGCCTCTTGAGGCGACACGGCGCGACATATCACCGCGAGGGGAAAGCGGTTCGCTGGGTCAGCACGGCTAGCAAGTGATGCTTGCGACGACGAGGGTCGCACGAAGCGGACAGCAGCGCTGCGACGACGACGACGACGACGACGATTGAGCCTCGACGATGATCCGTCCTTTCTTCCCCACCCATACACTCCTCCGGAAGGTTGCCGTTGCCTGCTTAGAAGCCGCCGTCGACCCCACGATCATCATCGTCTTTGCTGCCTTGCCTGCTTGCTCCACCTCGTCCTGCTCCCCGCTGCTCCTCACACTGCTCCAATATCTGCTCTGCCCCCTTCTCTGCTCATCATGCTCATTCACACCACACCACGCAAGGCAGGAGCTGCTGCTCTTGCCCCTGCTACCACCACGCTCAGTCCTCCCAATTCTCGGCCGACCACGCCTCGTCCTCCCTCGGGCTCAGCGACGCCCAAGGCATCCAGGTCGAATCGCATCTCTGCACGCTCGATCACGGCGGAGCATCCCTCTCTCAAGCCATCGCTGCATCTCGTCACATCACCCACGCAGCTTCCCCTCTCGCCGCCACCATCAGCCACCTCCTCTCCCACCAAGTCGCGCAGCCTCTCTACGCCCAAGTCGCTGCCCTCCCTCAGCGGCAGCAGAAGACCATCCATCGATACCGCCGCCACTCCGACGCCCGGCAATGCGACACCACGTCGTCCCTCGGTCGAGTTCGCCGCCTCCTTCCCTCCCGCACGTCATCGACGTCGCCCCTCCTCGTCATGGGGATGCGCCCATGCTCACGAATTCGACGAGGCGCTGGCCAAGCATGACGAGCGAGTGAAGGAAGGTCGCGCTACTATGGCGGGAAGACAACAATGGGCGGACACAGTCTTCGTCAAGCTCGCAGAGAGGGCTGCCAGTCCCAGCTTCAGTGACTTTGGACGCAAGCGCGAACGAAGCTCAAGCATGGTCGGCCACCAGAAGGGATCACACTCTATATCTACCACCTCGTCCTCCCTGCCTTCCCCGCGCAGCACACGTCGTCGTACAGCTTCTTCTGCCGGGCACTCAACTCCATCGCCTACCACGCCTATCGTGCCCAAGCTACCGAGTTGGGTAAAGCGTGATGCAGGAAGCAGAGGATCACTGCATGGCAGCGGCGCGAGCGGCGCCAGCTCCACCAGCAACCGTACCTCACACGACGTCCCGCCCACGACGAAAGCAGCGGAGAGGCCGACGCTGAGACATCAACCCCACTCGTTTGATGTGAATCTGACGCCCAAGGCTAAGCCCACCAGCCAGCAGCGCGTACCTCTACCTACTCCACCGCCAATGCTACTGTCTGCACCACCCGCAGCAGCTTCAATGCCCAACACTGAGCCTCTGGGCAAGTCATCGAGCAGCAATGTACCAAACATGCTGCGTCGCTTTCGCAGGGTATCCAGCACGGAGCGCGGAAGAAGGAGCGAGGTGGATGTCCAGCCGACAGTAAAGAGTCCAATGTTGCCCGAGATGCCTTTACGCTCTGCGCCCGCCGTGTCTTCGTCGTCGTGAGTGTGGCGCGTACACTCTGTCACTCTCTTTCACCGTCACATTTTCGATCACGTCTGTCATTCGTCTTCCCTTCATACCATCACTCTTGATGCAAGTCCTTTTGCTCATTCACAATCTGTGCCATCACCATCATCATTCATCATCATCATCATCCGCTCGTCCGCTCATCGTACTGATTTCCCCTCACGCCCACTATGTACGCGTTGTTATGCAGCCCCGCGACACCTCCAGAGCCTCCTCTACCTGCGCATGGCCCCCCTTGCTACCTCTTCTCCCCGAAAGGGCGTACAGGAGCATCGAAGTCCACCTCGTTGTCCACGCCCAACTCACCAGCACTCCAAGCCCACCGCATCGTACGGTCTCGCTCATCCACTTCGTCTCCCACTCCCACTCCCGCTCCGCCCCTGCCGCCGCCTCTTCTTCCTCCTCCGCCGCCGCCCCGCCACAAGACGGGTCACGCCCACGCCAAGTCCGAGTGTTGGACTCGCGCTTCTTCTTATTCCTCCTCTCCTCGATCCTCCTCTTCCTTCCACTTCCTGCCAAGCCTTCCAATTTTCCAGCCTATCCCGCAAGAGTGGTCACGCTGTCACATCAAGCATAGACGACAGGAGTCTGTGCAGTTGAATTGAAGAGGCTCAGTCAGTCAGGATGCAATCCGCTCACGCCTCGCAGCTGTTTCAGACCTCGTCGTCCCTCGCGACAGGGAAGCGCAGAGCTGCCAAGGCTAGCGGGAGCGCAGCGAAGAGAGGTCGACCTATCTATCTAGGCAGAAGACAGAAGGATGCTGAAGATCTCAAGCTAGGTGGAGCAGGCAGTGATGCGGGGAGGGAAAAGGTACTGGATGCCCTTGTTGACGGGGGTGGGAGGGTCTGGACTGCGGAGAGTGGGGGGGTGGTGAGGGGTACGGATCTGCAAGTGAGTGAGGGCGAAGTCGAGGAGCCTCAGAACCAAGCTGACAACACCACGTTCCTCTGCACTACCAGACCGGTCGCACCACTCACCTCCTCCTCGCGCACAAGGCGCCTGTATGCTCTCTGGCCCTCATCAGCCCAACGCTCCTCGCAAGCGCAGGATGGGACAAGGTAATTCATTTCTGGCCAATCTCCCCCACGCCTTCCACCTCGAATGGCAATACCTCCACCTCAGCACCGCATCGCCCGCAACCCCTGTACACGATCTCAAACGCCTCCGAAGACTTCATCAAAGCCCTGCACTACCTCCCCTCCCAGCAAGTCCTCCTCAGCGGAGGAGCAGATCGCTCCGTCCGTGCCTGGCGCCTCGCAGGTCTCGAATCAGCACTTCAAACTCGTAGCGCCGGTACTCTCTCTGGGTCGCACACGCGCGGCATTACTTCGATTACATCTCTGGCCCGCATAGAGGGACAGCAAGGCGTTGGAGGGAACGAGGTGGTATACACGGCCGATTCGATGGGTCGGATACTGGAGGTGCAGCTCGACTGTAGTGGAGACGATCGAGTGCGATTCGAGGTACTGCGCGAGCTCAGAGGCCCAGAGACGAGCGTTGCGCAACTTGTTGGTTGCTGGGGACCGCTCCATGAGGACGAGGACGAGGACGACGAAGAGAATGCAGCTGGAGCAGGCCCATCACGGCGTCCTGCGTACATCTGGGCGGCTAGCAACGATAAGACAGCGCAGCGCTTCGATGTCGTTGCCCCTGTTGCCAAGGCAGGCGCGACGAAGGGAGCTCCCCAGCCAAGGCACGAGCGCTCCTCCAACACGGGCGCTCTCCTCGGCCGACTCCCACCACTGGCGCCTAGTGTCATCCTCTCGCATCCAGACTACGTCAAGACTGTCTTGCCCCTGCCTCAGGACGCTGCAGCAGGGCGCGCAGACGTCGTAGTGACGGGAAGTGCGGATGAGGATCTTCGCGTCTGGCGACTCGCAGGCAATGAAGTTGGGGCAGAGCAGCAGCTGGTGAGACGGCAGAGGGGACACTGGCATGAGGTCGAGAAGGTGTTACTCTGGCACGGCATCGTTGATGAGGATGAGGGTGAGGAGGGGAAGGAAGCCTCTTCGGCCTCCGTCGCATCGTGGTGGGTAATCTCCGCCGGACTCGACGGGTCCATTCGACGCTGGAGGCTGGACGAGCTGCTCGTCGCTGGCGGGGAGGAGGAAGAGGACGAGGACAAGGTAGAAGAGGAAGTGAGCAAGCAGGCCAATGGCTCAGAGAGCAAGAGCCCCGCTGGGGGCGGGATGACGGCTGAAGAGGAGGCCGAATTGGCCGAGCTGATGAGCGATGAGGAGTAGCAGCGAGGAGACTATGCAGTTGATTAATCTATAGAGCCACGCGTCACCGTCTACAACTTCATCGCGCCTCCCTCGCGCTGCCTATTTCTCAACACGCAAAAGTCCCTATACACCAGCTCGGCGCCAACAACGTTTCTCACCGCCCGAGGCATCCAAAGAGTCCTCGCAATCGTGGTCGCCGCTCCTCCCTTTGCCTCCCTTGAAGCCGCTGCGTCCAGCATGGGCAAGCACGCCACCCTCTCCCAATTCTCCTCCTCGAGGACGTACCGTCGCTCCGCCTGCCCTGCACCACCATCGGAGTCGACTAGGAAGTCGCATCCCTTGTCCGCGTCCACGTATGCGGTGGGGTCTTCCTGGTTGAGGTCGTTGAATCCCCCCTGGATTGCTCGCGTGCTCGAGGCTAAGCGGGAGAGGCTGACACCCCCCTTGGAGAAAGCGGGGACGTACGGCTCGGGCAGCATACCGTCGAACTCGCTCTTGACCCACCTTACGTCGCCCCACTTCACATGTTCCGAGTCAGACGGGATGAAGAAGGAAGTGGGGAATCGATACCACTCCTTGCCGTAGCACACAGTCAGGGGCGCAGTGCTGAGAGCGGGTAGGGCATCGAGCTTGGCGTGAGGAAGGATGGAGATTGGAGCCGTGTAGTTCTCCACGAGAGCTGCTCCCCTTAGCAAGCCGAAGAGAGCGGAGCCTGCCAGCAGTGCCGTTGCCATCAGCGGGGCAAGGCGGGCCATGAGGTTGCGGGCAGCCTGGGGCAGGATCCTCGGCGGAGAAGCGGCAAGAGTGAGGATCGAGTCCAGCGACACAGCGGCATTGAGTGCGAGACAGGTGTACGCGGGGAACATGAAGCGTTCCTCCTTGTGCGGTTGAGTGCTCAGCAGGCCCAGCCAGAGGTAGAGGGGCGCTGTCCTTATCAAAAGTGACAAGCGGGTCTGTTGCTGGGGTTGCGCCGTCTTTCCCTGTCTTTTTGAAGGGGCGACGAGGACAGCAGGCGCGGCTGTTAGGCTGAGCGCCAGCACGACGGGCCCAGCATTGAGGCCCAGGTTGGCCAGGTAGAACCACCATGGTTCGACGCCGTAGAGCTCGGGCCCGGCGCCGGAGAGGACATTGTAGGCGACAATGTTGAGCGGGACAAGAACGGGCCGACCGTATAGGTAGGAATCGATGATGAAGATTGGCACGGCGATGAGGGCCGAGAGTAGGACGGAGCGGAGGAAGGCAAGGAAGTGACGACTGAGCAAGACCCGCTCGATGACCCATGGGAGGGAAAGGAGGAGAGAGAAGGGCCAGCCAAGCAGGGCGCCCAGCGCGAAGCTGGCTGTAGTGACCAGTATGGTCTCTCTGCGCGGTCGCGGGTTCAGTAATGAGGCTAGAGCGTACGTGGTTGTGTAGAGGGTGAAAGTCGAGGGCAGAAAGGCAACGCTCGCGCTCCAGAGGCCGGCACTCGTTGATAGAATGGCGAGAAGGAGCCAGGAGCATCGCGATGAGATGTTCCGTGAGACAGAGCTGATCAGTCGGGCTTCAAGAGCTGCCGAGAGAAGAGCAAGAGAGTAGCGCACCGCGTAGAAGATGCCCAGCTGCGCTCGAGGGATCGTATCGATTAGCTACCGTCCTATCCCCGCGCGTCCGTATAAGCTCACTTTCGATACCCCGGCCCATTTCAGCGGGCCTGCCACAAAGCCATGCAACAGGATATACGCCCAAGATCTGATTGCAAATGGAGGGCTATACTCCCACGTCTCCAAGCCATTGCCGTACAGGACGAGGTGTAGGGCCTCCCAGTAATTGAAGGTCTCGTCACAGTCGGAGATGATGGAATAGGCTGCTCCACTGAGTCGGACCAGGGAGAGAAGAATGAAGCAGAGAAATGTTGGTGGGCCGTGTGATGATGAGAATGTGTGTGATGCCTTCGCCATCTTAGGCTAGTAGGGTAGGGAAAGGAGAGAAGAAGTCGAGCTCTCGAGCACTCGGACTGCAAGCCCTGACTTCCGATCCAATTGCCGGCGGCCCGTGCATCCATTTTCCCCGACTTTGCCGTGAGCACACCATCGTGCTCCTTTCTTCCTCACGCTCAACAACAACGCCCAGCATGGTTCACGCAGATTCCGCCCTCCTCCCTTCGGGCCTCAAGAGCAAGAGCGACTTCTATACCCACCTGCAGACACAGCTGAGCTCTCTGCTGAGTGGACAGCGCTCCTGGGTCACAAACCTGAGCAACGCCTCTTCCATCCTCTACCATTCGTTGAACGCTTGGCGAGGCGCAAAGCATGATGGCGACGTAACGGGGGGTAAGCAGTTAAATTGGGCTGGCTTCTATCTTCTGTCAGGCCTCTTGCCAGAGGCGGGAAGACAGGAATTGTTGACCATCAAGAAGAAGAAGGTCCCCACACTGGTCCTGGGCCCGTTCCACGGTATGCCAGCTTGTCAGGCCATCCCGTCCATCCCGGGCAAGGGGGTGTGCGCAGACGGCAGCTCACTGATACCACCAAGAGCGATTCGTGTTGACGATTGCGACGCATACCGTGAGTTGAGCGCGAAGAATACAAGCAGCGTAACGCATGCAGTGTTTGACCAAATATTTCGCGCGCTGCCCAGCCGGCCACATAGCCTGCGACTCGCTCTCGCGCTCAGAGCTCGTCATCCCGCTTGTGGTACCGCTCTCCAAGCTCTCACATCGCGAACTCGTCCAGCGCGCTCGTCAGCAGCCCGACTCAGAGGATGAAGCCGTGACAGCTTGGTCGGGTCGTGGGGACGGGGATGAAATCATTGTGGGGCTGCTGGATATAGACTGTGTAGATGAGAGGGGTTTCGATGATGAGGATCAAAAGGGTTTGGAGGAGTGTGTGAGGATCATTCAAGAGAGCTGTGATTGGTAGCGGCGAGGGAGGTGGTAACACGGGCAGGGCGTCACGTGACGGGCCGGCCTTCCGCCCAGAGTCAAGAGTCCATAATCCAAAGCCAGTTCCGTCAAGGCGCCGACGCAGGCAGCCGCCGCCGCCTCTGTCCATGTCGACTCGAGTCAAGGTTCAGCTCCGAGTCCTTCGCAATTGACACTTCTTTAATCTCGTCCTCCATCGCAACGGCGAATTCCTTCACAACGACGCTGCGTCTATTTGGAACGACGCTTCGCCCTCATCGCTACCTCTTCTCTGCAGTACCGCGCCTCTTGCATACGACGCCAACGCCGCTGATCACGCCGACGATGGCTCCTAAGGAGGCTTCCGGCGCAAAGGGAGGAGCAGCTACCAGTGCTGCGCCTCCTGCCAAGGCTGATGGGCCTGAGCCTGGTAGTGGAACGATCCAGCTCGAGAACGTGAGCGAGCATAGGGGTGCACGTATCAACGTCCAAAGGGGTTGCTGACCCTCACCTCCCTCTCCTCGCTCCTCGCACCCACAGACCTCGAAGCGTGACTACTTGACTGACCTCGAGAAGCAGTACCAGGCCTATTGGAAGGAGGCGAGTCAGAGAAGGAGACGGAGCTACATGTTACAGCAGCTGACATTGCTGTGACGACCGCTCGCGCCCCACCAGTCCCGCTTCTTTGAAGTCGACTCGCCCATGCAATCCGGCGTCGAAGGCCTCGAGGACATGAGCCCCGAGGAGATCCGCGCCAAGTACCCCAAATGGTTCGGTACCTTCCCCTACGCCTACATGAACGGCTCTCTCCATCTCGGTCACGCCTTTTCCCTCTCCAAGGTCGAATTTGCTGTAGGCTACGAGCGCATGAAGGGGCGTCGCGCCCTGTTCCCATGGGCCTTCCACTGTACCGGAATGCCCATCAAGGCCGCCTCGGACAAGCTCGTCAACGAGATCAGCAAGTTTGGCGCAGACTTCTCTGGCTATCGCGACGAGGAGGAGGACATCGGAGACGCTCCTCAGCCTCCGACGTCGTCTGTTACGCAGAGCAACGCCCCCAAGCTCGAGAAGGGCAAGCTCGCCGCCAAGTCCGGCGGGCTCAAGTACCAGTTCCAGATCCTCGAGAACATGGGCGTGGAGCGCAGCGAGATCCACAAGTTCGCAGACCCCGTCTACTGGCTGCGTTATTTCCCACCCATCGCCAAGGCGGACACGGCCTCGATGGGCGCCCGTCTCGACTGGCGTCGCGCTTTCCTCACCACGGACGTCAACCCTTACTACGATTCTTTCGTGCGCTGGCAAATGAACCTGTTGCGCAGCCAGCAGAAGATTGCTTTCGGTGAGCGATACACCATTTACTCGCCCAAGGACGGTCAACCCTGCATGGACCACGATCGATCGAGCGGCGAGGCACTCGGACCGCAGGAGTATACGGCGCTCAAGATGGAGGTCTCGCAGTGGGGAGAGCGAGCTGCAGAGGTTGCTAAGCAGCTGCCCGAGGGCTCGCGCACCTACTTTGTCGCTGCTACGCTCCGTCCTGAGACGATGTATGGCCAGACGAACTGCTTCGTCGGGCCCGCAATTGAGTACGGCCTTTTCCAGATCAACGAGAAGGATGTGTACCTTTGCACAGATAGGGCAGCGAGGAATATGGCTTTCCAGGGGGTCACGAAGGAGCGTGGAGTTATCAAGAAGCTGGCGTCAGTCAAGGGCGAGGCCTTGCTTGGCACGAAGATCAAGGTGCGTTGCGGCCTGGCGGAGGCATGAGGGCGGATCACGATGGCTGACCAACACCTGGCCCACTCCCTCCGCCCACCCCCAGGCGCCCTTTGGCATCCACCCCGAAGTCTACCTCCTCCCCATGCAGACCGTTCTCGCCACCAAGGGTACCGGCGTCGTCACATCCGTGCCCTCCGACTCGCCCGACGACTACATAAACCTCATGGAGCTCCGCAAGAAGGCAGCCTACTACAAGATCGACGAATCGTGGGTGCAGTACGACCCCATCCCCGTCATCGAAACGCCCACATACGGCGGCATGACGGCGGAAGCCCTTGTCAAGAAGCTCAAGATCCAATCACCCAAGGACGCTCTCCTCCTCGCCGAGGCCAAGGACCAAGCGTACAAGGAGGGCTTTTACTCGGGCACAATGCTCGTCGGCGACTTCAAGGGCCAGACTGTCCAAGAGGCAAAGCCCAAGGTGCGCGACCAGATGATTGCCGCGGGTCTCGCATTCCCCTACGCCGAGCCGGAAGGTCTGATCATCTCGCGTTCCAGCGACGAGTGCGTCGTGGCGCTGTGCGATCAGTGGTACCTCGACTACGGAGAGACGAGCTGGAAGGAAAAGGCGGCCAAGCTCCTCGCGCAGATGAACACCTTCCAGCCTGAGACGCGCAATGCGTTTGAGCAGGTGCTTGGGTGGCTCCACCAATGGGCCTGCGCTCGTTCCTACGGTCTTGGGTCGAAGCTGCCTTGGGACCCACAATACCTTGTTGAATCTCTCTCGGACTCGACCATCTACATGAGCTACTACACTGTTGCGCACCTGCTGCAGGGCGGCGTAGAAGACGGCAGCGTTGTTGGCCCGCTCGGCGTCAAGGCTGAGGACCTCACAGACGAAGCGTGGTCCTACATCTTCAACGACGCCGCGCCTCCCGCTTCATGCAATGTGCCCCTCGAGAAGCTCAACATCTTGCGCCGCGAGTTCCGCTACTTCTATCCCTTCGACTTGCGCTCCTCGGGCAAGGACCTGATTCCCAACCACTTGACATTCTGCATCTACAACCACGCAGCACTTTTCCCAGAGGAGCACTGGCCGCGTGCCATGCGCATCAATGGGCACCTGATGCTCAACGGCAAGAAGATGTCGAAGTCCACTGGAAACTCGCTCACTATGCGTCAGTCGGTCGAAAAGTTCGGTGCAGATGCCACGCGTCTCTCCCTTGCTGATGCGGGCGACTCGATCGAGGACGCCAACTTCGAGGAGAAGACGGCGAATGCCAACATCTTGCGCCTGCACACGCTCTTGCTCTGGTGCGAGGAGGTCCTCTCAGAGGCTGAGGTGGGCAAGCTCCGCACGGGCGCCAAGACTTCCTTCTGGGACAAGGTCTTTGAGAACGACATCAACTCGTACATCTTCGAGGTGGAGAAGCTGTACGAGAAGGCGTGGTACAAGGACGTGTGCAAGTTTGGCTTCTACGAGCTGCAGTCTGCTCGTGACCTTTACCGTGATGCTACCGCGGCTGAAGGCGGCATGCACATCGACCTCGTCAAGCTGTGGATTCGCACGCAAGCACTCCTCATCGCGCCCATTGCCCCGCACTTTGCTGAGCATCTCTACCGCAAGGTTCTCGGCGAGAGTGGCTCCGTCCAGACGGCCTCGTTCCCCAAGCCCTCCGCGGCCGGAGTGGACAAGGCCGTCAGCGACGCGGCAGGCTATGTCAAGGAGATGGTCAAGACGATCCGTGACGCGGAGCTTGCCCTTGTCAAGCGTAAGAGCAAGGGCAAGGCCGTCAGCCTCAAGTACGACGAGCGAGCCCGCAAGGCCGTGCGCATCTTCATCGCCAGATCCTTCCCGGCCATCCAAGACGCCTGCATTGCGGCCATGCGCTCCAACTACGATGCCGCCACCAACTCGGTGGACGACGCCGCCGTGCGTGCTGCATTGACCGAGCAAGGCCTGCTGAGGGACAAGCGAGCCATGCCCTTCGTTATGGCCTTTAAGAAGCGTCTTGCCGAGTTTGGCGCAAAGAGCTTTGAGAGGGCTCTCCCCTTCGATGAGCGCGAGACTGTCAAGGCGGCAGAGGGTTACTTGAAGAGGACCTTGGGCTTTGAAGAGGTGATTTTGGAGGATGTAGATGAGAAGAGGGAGGACATTGAAAAGATGGACCCGCAGGATAAGAAGAATGTAGAGATTGCCGAGCCGGGTAGCCCGGGTTTCGTGTTCTACAATATTCAGTAGAGCGGGCGGCGCGGGAGGCTTGAAATGACGATCAGCGTGCGCGTAGAGAGAGTTGTGAGTGAGTGTGACATTCCACGCACGATTAGGGGACGATGGTCACGTATCATTAGATTAGAGGTCAAGGGAAGAGTAGGGGGAAACAAGCGACATTATCGGATCAAGGGAGGAGAGACTAGTGTCCGCAGCCTAGGGAGTTCATGACGAGGTCTCTCGCCGCACCTACGACCCAGGAACGTCCTTCTGGGCAATATGGCCCCCGAGACCGTAAATTCCTGGCTGCTGGACGCAGTTGAACGTCTTGCCAGGTTTGTGAGCGGGAGGAGCCTCGCCGTCGTGCTGGAACCACTGCTTGCCATTGTAGATGCCGGGGAATTTGCTTCGCTCGCCTTGGCCTGTGAGTGGGCGATGATGCGGGATAGAAGAATGTGGGTGATGGGGATGATGAGCGATTGGAGAGCAAGAGGCAGCCAAAGAGAAGGGAAGGGAGCGGAAGGGGGCGAAGAAGCACCATCAGCAGTGCCCCGTACACGATGCATCCCAACGCGGCTACGCCTGGGGTCTGAGCAAACTTACAGTGCTCGAAATGGCCTGATTCGTATACGCCTGGGTCGTTCCATTGACTCCCCTGTTCGTCGTATCTTCGCCGTTCAAGATGGGTAGAGAGCATCAGGATAGAGCACGTCAGTTCGCGGCATCGGCTCCCTTCGCAGCGCCTCCCTGACGCCCACTCACATGTGAGGGCAGTTGCGCATATCCCCGCGACGCGAGCAGATACGCATGGACATCTCGTTGTACCCGAGGAACATGTGCCAGTGGATGGAGCGCTCGTAGTGTCCCTTGAAGGCGTTTGTGAAGACTTTGCCACCGCGGGGGTTGCCGACGTCTGTGAGCGCGCGCGATACGGTAGGATGGGGTCAGCAAGCGAAGTCGAGCGCGTCCATGAGGTCGCGCAGCGAAGTTGAGCACGCTCCTGGGGTCGCTGAGCTCACTATCTGCGCCTGCATTGTCCAGCTCTCCTCCGTCATCGTGGGCTTTCAGTTTGATCTTGGTAAAGTCTCCTACTGCGGTGAGTTGGAGATACTCGTCGCCCTGTCGGGAGGCGGAGAAGGTCAGAAGAAGTCGCACCGCTGCTCGCGCGCGGAGCGGCGTCGAAGAGTACTCACGACCTTGATGAATTGCAAGCCCTTGACAGTACCAGGTGGGATGATACGGGTGCCGAAGCCTAAGACAAGAGCAGGGAGTTCAGCGCTCATCCTGTGATGCAGTCCATGCGCTCACTCACCCTTCTTGGTGCAGTATGCCACCGTGTCAGCCTCAGCATTGCCCACGGTGTTGACGGTAGCAGGGGCGAAGATGCACCAAGTGTTGCTGCGAAGGAGGTCCAGGAGGTCAGCACGAGTCGCCTCGCTCGTCGTCTTCGCCCACTCACATATCATTGACGTAGGCGTTCTGGCAGAGCGAGTCGGGGCTCGAATCGCCCCATCGCTTGCGGCAGTCATTGAAGCCCGTCTGGCCGGGGGCCTGTCAATGAAAAAAGAGTGAAGATTAGCAAGCTAGCTGTATACGCAGCATCGCATCGCGTGCTCACCGTCTTGGCAGGCAGATTGTTGGGCGTAGGGTACTGTGCCGCCCAGCCAGTCGAAGCGAGGCTGAGCAGCAGTGCAGTCGTAGTGACGAAAAAGCGCATCGCGAACAGAGGGGTGGTATCAAAGATGAGGATGGAGGATTGGATTGAGAAGCAAGAAGCCAGCAGCGAGTCACACAGCCCACGAGTGATCAATGTTGCTTGATCGTCGGCGCAACTGCCGTATCCAACTCCAACAGACGGCCCGTCACGGATGCCGCTTGCCGTTTTAACGCCGCAAACGCGTCGTTGTGCCTGGAAGCCAACGAGTGTACGGCCCGCTTCCTCCTCTTCCTCGCTCAGGACGCGATCCCCACCCGCACCTCCGTCAACAGAACATTCCGCGGCCATTCAACTCGCCAATCTCGTCGCGTCATCATACCATACCCCTGACCCTGCGGTCCTCATCTCCCTCGAGCGCAAGCCGCACCTCGTCCTCCCGCAATGATGTCGAAAGCAGTACGCGACCCTGCCCTGCCGCCTTGCCCGGTCCTGTTGCGCTGCCCACGAGAATGACGAGGCCGAGGGACACGAGTTGGTTGAGAGCGAGAAGTGCTACGGATGAGGAAGCGGTGTTGTTGTTGGAGAGGGAACCAACGTCGTGCAGCCGACAGAGGGCGCGATGATGGTTGCTCAGATCGGCGAGGGAGATCTCTGCTAGGCCAGTCTTGCGCAACAATGCCAGCAGCGATACCAGCAGTACCTTTCCATGCAGCGAGAGGGAGCGAGAGATGTGGCTCGGCCGCGAAGACTTGACCATGCCGTCCAGTACTGCTCGCACGTCTGCGATTGTGACGCGTGAGCCCTCCGTCGAGGACACGGACTCGAGTGAGCGACGACAGACGTCCAACATGCGTCGAGCATCGCCTGATACGTTGCTGATGCGCTTCGCCGCGTACGTGATCGCTTCGTTGGCGAAAAGGGGCTCGCATCCTGCCGTGGCTGCGGTAAGGAGTGCGTGCTGTTCTGCACTCTCCTGCTCATTCTCCATCTCCCCTAACACGTCTTCCTCATCGTCACGCCTGGGCTCAGGAGCTCTCAATCTCGACCTGACAATTTCCCCCAACTCCTTATCGGCATACGGCATGAAGGTGATACGCGTCATACCTAGCCTGCTGGCCACTTTCGCGGACATGGTCCTCTCCGGCAGGTCCATCGTGTTGGCGACCGCAATGACGATTAGCCTCGAGTTGCGGGCAGACGGCCAGTTGAAGAGGTTGTACATAACATCCTGCCTCGAGGTGAGGAGCTGGTCAAGTTCGTCCATGAGGACAATGGTCGCTGCCCTTCCTGGTCCCAAACCTGCGCTGCTAGATGTAGCGGCGTAGTGGCGCGACAGCAAGCCCAGCGCTGCTTTCGGGCTTCGTCGCCCCCCACCCCCGCTAGCGCCTACCACGCTCCACAACATCGAATACGCCTCGCCCGCGTCCGCCACCCGCATTCCGTTGATCTCGAGGAAGTCGAAGGGATTCACCTGCCCAACCTCGGCCCGACGCTGCAGCTGCGAAATGACGCCGCGCACAGTTGCCGTCTTGCCCGTTCCTGGCACGCCGGAGATGTAGATGCACGACCCGATGCCCGTATCGAGCGAGTCCTCTAGGAGGCAGAGCAGGTCCTCGGCTTGCTTTGTGCGGCAAGGCAGGCGTGAAGGCGTGGTGGAAACGTGCAGGAGGCGCAGAGCTCGTTCCGTTGGTGTCATAAAATTGAGGGAGGCGACAGAGGCGAATCCGTAGGGTAGGGAGGAGATTGGATCGGGCAGCAATGCGCCAGAGGAAGTGGCCTGGTTGCGGTCTTGTAGCTGCTCGCGAGCTGAACGACGTAGGTCGACTTGACGGCGGGCGCGAGGTGCGGGTGCCCGATAGCTCGTTGGTGCGCGTTTGCGCTTGCGTGCGGTCCAGCCTTCGTCGTCGTCTTCGTAGTCGGACGTGGCTGCGGTTGAAGCGTCATCCTCATCCTCGCTCTCGCTCTCGTCGCTGTCCTCTGACCCGCTGCTGTGGAAGTCGCCATCATCGCTGCGTCCCCCATCCCCGTCCTCGTCACTTGAGCTGCTCTCCTCCGACTCGCTCAAACTAGCTCGCCGGACCTTCTTCACAGGTGCCTGCTTCTTGAGCGGTTTGACCGTCACCTTTCGTCCTCCAGTGGTTGTGGTGATGCCCAGCCTCTTCTTCTCCGCATCCGCCCACTCAGTCAATGCTCTTCCCTTGAAATCGCTCTCCTTGACAGGCACGTCCCATCCTCTTCCCTCTTTTCCCTTCTCGTAGATGGCGGAGTAGTCGACGTGCCAGAAGAGCTCCTTCATCGGGTCTACGGCCTTGTTGCAGAAGAGGTGGCGAGGTACCACCTTCCCCTGATGTAGAAGGGCTCGGGTGTCCACGCGCGCTGCCTCGTTGGCCGCTTCGACATTTGGATGGATGTGCGCTCGGCCCAGGATCTCGGTAACAGTGAAGCCGTCGCTCTCCAGCAGACTTGGTCCAAGCTGAAAGTCATCCTCGAAGGGCAGCTCGGCGGCCGCAAGACTGCGATTCGACTTGCGAGAAGAGGGCATCAAGCGTGGGAGGCGATGCGTGTAGTAGATCTCCACCTTGTCCCAGAGGCCTCGCATGCGAGTCTTTGTGGGGCCAGAGAGGAGCTCTGGCCAGTAGAAGAAGCGAATCTTGCACCAGAGGGGGACAAAGTCCTCTTCGTCGTCTCCGTCCTCTTCTTCGTCCTCCTCCTGCTGTGCGCCGGGGATGGTCCAGATCTGGGTGATGAGGCCGACGACGGGGAGGGGCGTGGTGTGCTTGACCATTACCACGTCACCTACGTGGAAGGTCTCGCCTTCTGCCTCGTTCTCATCGTCATGGTGGTCAGAAGGGCCCGCAGCCTTGAGCTGCGATTTGGCTTCTTGAATTCGGCGACGTCGAAAGCCAGGCCAGAAGAGACGGGGCTGTGTTGCCTGCTCGGTGGGCTGGCCGGTGGGCTGATAGCGATGTGCTGGGAGGTGTGTAGCGTGAGATGGGCCTGCTCGATGCTTGCGAGCTCGAGGCATGGTTGCTGGTGGGGGCGGTGATGCGGGGACGAGAGGACGACGCAGTGAGAAGTTGTGTCTCTCTGCTCGTCCGACCCTTTGCTGCTGCCCGGCCCTCGAGACGCTCGTCGCGTCGCGGCTCGCGCAAGCCAAATAGGCGCGTCGAGCTCTGCTGAAGTGCCCTCGCCCGCCTCGGGCGTTCGGCGCCAAATCGAGCCCCCTGCTCTGTGGGACACTCAGCATCCATCCTCGCCATCTTGCCTTGCCATTACGACCCAACCATCACTCAGCACTACTTTGTCACGACGATCATCGCCGCTCGACTCAATAAACGCCTCGCACGAACATCATGACCAACCCAAATCCGACGAAACGTCCCTTCAACCCAACGCTCTCAGCAGCAGAGGCCTTCCCTCCTCCCTCGACCTTTTCCTCCTACTCGACCGGCTCACCCAATACGACCTTTAGCCGTACCGACTCGCGCTTGTCATGCCAAATGGCCAGCCGCCCCTCCTCCGATGTGCTCGCGGGCTTGCAGAGCGTGGGAATGCGGGCACGCATGGCGGTAGAGAGGGGGTATGATGGGTCGAATGGGGGTAGGGCAGGTACACCGCCCAGTGGTGCGGCCGTCCTTCCACCTCGAGCGACGTGGGGCAGGACACAATCCATGCCTACGTGGGGAATGGCACAGCAGCAACAAGGCGCGAGGGAGCTGCAGCCTTTCGGCGAGGGGAATGCCTGGCCCAGCGCCGTCGAGTATGCCACTATCCGCCATCAGAATCGCAGCGACGATCTCATGGAGGAGGATGGCGCGAGTGTGGCCGCCTCCTCTTCCTCATCGCTCAAACGCACCGCGGACGATGTACTGGGCGATGCCTTTGGCGATGAAGAGGGCGACTTTGTCGACGAGGAGCAGGAGAATGTCGACCTCGCTGCTGGACCGGGAAGCATGGCTCCCCCTCCAGCGCCGAGGAGGACGATCGCGCCCACTCCGGCAAGACTGGCACCGCGAGCCAATCCATTCGCTCAGGGGGCCAGCACTACGCACACCATGCCTGCCAATCTGGCTACGGCGGAATACCTGCGAGCAGGGGCTGATGGAGCCAACGAGCCGTGGGCCTCGATGCGCTTCGACGACTTTGCCAAGAAGGAGGACTTCTAGGCCAGACCAGCTTGCGTAGTGTGCGCAAGATGGACGATGGACGACACTGCACTTTGTCCCTTCGCTTCCTTGATCAAGAGGCCCACCAAGCCGACCGCAGCCAACCAGCATCGCGGCTGCTCTTTCCAATCTCGAGCCCTACGCGCCACGGCGCCTACCCACCAGCATTTTCTCCTCCAACTCCCCATCATACCTCCTTGGGAGCCCAGCAAGGGCAGCCTGAACACCGTAGAGAGGCCTGTCCGTGCTCTCTCACACCACACGACCCATTGGCTTCGCCCTCGTTTCTGACCCTCAAAGCGCATCGTGCTCTCACCTGCTCCATCTCGTCTCGCCTCGTCTACAGCATCATTTGTGCTCCTCATCTTCCCATATCACGTCGCCAATAGTATGCTCATTTTCAGCTGTGATCATTGCCGTCCATCTCCCTGTCGCTCGCTTGAACAAGGTCCCCTTCGCTCGCAGATCGGGCAACGCGCGAACATTTCATGTCTTCGTTCATTCATTTCGCGTTTCTCGTTAGAGGGCTATGGACAGTTTTGATGAAGCGATTGTGCGTGAGGGGAGGGGGTCCATGTACGGAACGTGTGACGAGGAGCAGCAGGGAAGGGAAGAGGAAGGGATAACGCGGCGTGGAGCATGAATAGCTAGAGATACAGATGCGGGACTTGAAAGGTGGGGGATTGGACCGATGAGGGAAGAAGGAGGAAATGGGGGAGGGGGGTTCATGTTGGTGAGGAGCTGCTCGGGGGGAGGAGAGCGAAGAGCAGAAACAGTGTCGGCGAGGAGGGAGAAGGGAGGAGAAGCGAAATAGGCCCGAATGTTGAGCAGCCCGCCGGCCGAGAAGAACGTCTTGCTCGCCGCGTTGCCTCAGGCTTGGCCAGCAGAGGCCGTCGTCAAGGAGCCAGTCCTCTGCTCAGAAGTTGTGGGCGTTTCGATCTCTTGTTCGCCAGACTCGTTCTCCTGGTGTTGGGCCTGCGGTGAACCGCGCTGCTCTTCATACCCAGGCGGCGCCCCCACTGCCCCCGAAATAGGAAATGCGACCCTCTCCTCCATCTCGTATCTGGGCGACTCGGCATATCCCTCGCCCGCACCCGCACCGGGCGTCTCCCTCCCTGGCGTAGGCGTCCCGCTACCTCCACCAAGGCCGTAGCGTCCGAGGCTCTCAACCGAAGAGAGGAAGCGCCTCTGTTCTGCCGTCCATGGCGAGCCACCGCCAGGCGTGGTGGAGCCGTTGGCTGAGGCGGCGCGACGATGCCAGATGGGGAGGTAGGAGCGCAGTAGGCTGTTTGAGCTTGTGCGCGAGTAGTTGCGTGGTCGGACTGGGCGAGTAGGCGCCTGACTGCTGCTGGCGGTACTCATCATGGTCGCTGAGCTGTCGTTGCGCGGGCGCGTCAAAGGAGATGCAGCAGAGGTGGTCATCGAGTCGTCGTTGTCGCCTGACGTAGCGGGTGTAGAGGCAGCCGCCTGCGGTACCTGCAGCATGGTCGATCTCTGCCCCTCCCCCTCGACATCTGTACCCAAGCTCACTGACTCAAGCACCATGGTGCTTCCCGAGAGATCCCCAGCGGTCTCCGCTTCGGCCTCGGCCCTCCCGAAACCACTCTTGCAAAGCACCAGCTCATCAGCGCCCAGCTCGACATTATAAGCAGGAACGGTCATGACTGAACGCCCGCTGTCCGTCCTTCTCGGTGGACGGGGCCTGTCACTCCTGCGTCCCGACGGGGTAGGAAGGCTCGTCTCCCCTCTCAGTCGGTCTCGCATGGAAAGATGAGAGAACTCATGCTCGACGGAGAAGGTTTCGATGAGCCCTCGCCAGATGCGAGTGCGAAGTGGGGGCACAGCGTCCCCGTTGCGAGTCGTACGACGTCCGCGGAATGTGGTGAAACCTCCTCCTGGCCTGTCTCTCATCTCCTGCTGGGCGCCATCCTCGAGTGACGTCTCGCGTTGCAGGCGATGTCTTCTTGCCTTGCTGCGTCTCGCTAGAAGGATTACTGCGAGGATCAGTCCGATGAAGGCGATTGTCGCTGGCACTACGACGGCTACGACGGGAAAGTGCCCGTTCCCTTGAGCGGAGGAGGCAGTGTTCGATGAGAATGCGGTGTGCGGAGCCATGCTAGGCGAGAGCGTCGGTATTGATGTTGTCGATTCTGGGTCGAGAAAGGAAAAGCGGTTGAACGTTGCGCGGCTGAACGTTTCGTTTGCGTTACAAAGGGCTGCTGCTGCGAGCGACTCTAGCCAGCAGAGGGTCGACTGACTACCGGAGCCAATTTCAAGGGTCTGGAAAAGGGTGAAGGGTGGCCACACAGCCGCCGTGATAAGGAGGAGGTCTCGGTGTGTGGATGAAAAGGAAGGAAAAGGGACGAGCGAAAGGGAGCAATTTCCTCTCCTCCCTAATCAAGCGCAGCGCTTGCAAAGCCATCGCCTCACTTTAGAGCTCTCTGGTGGCGGGGCACCGGCAGCAGCAGCACCGCACTTGGCTGCCCTCTGCGTCCGTCTCCGTCCCAGGTCCGCCTTGCTTGCCTTCACGCATAAGCACAGGCACAGGCGGGGAGACGCCCTCGCTTCACACCCCGACTTGTGGACGGCACGACTAAGGGCGGGAAGGGCGAGGTGAAAGCTTCTTGGAGAGCAACACCAGCGTACGACCAGCATCACCAACACGTACGAACCGGCTGCTGTCATTGGCAAGGATCATGGCCGCCTCATCGAGTCGTACCCTCCTTCGACCTCGCGTCCTCTTGGTAGGCATAGGCGGCCCAACCTGCTCAGGCAAGACGACCCTTGCAAAGCATCTCGTCTCTCTCCTCACTCCTCCCAGCCCGTCCTCTCCCTCTTCCTCTTCCTCTTCCTCCTCACCCTCTCCTCCACTGCGCACCTTCATCATCCATCAAGACGACTTCTGCCCGCCCGAATCAAAGCTTGTCTGGAACGAACGAGTAGGAAGCGCAGATTGGGACGATCCAGACACGAGCGTAGACTGGCCGCGATTGCGTCACGCTGTCAAGCATGTGAGGGAACATGGAGAGCTGCCAAAGGGGCACAGCAGTCATGACGCTCTCAATGTTCAGAGGGAGACGACTGTGGCGAATGAGATCAGGGTCAGGTACCAGCAGAGGCTCAAAGATGTGGCTGCGAAGATTGCGCAGGGTGGTGAGGGAGGGCTCGTCGTCGCTTTCCTCGACGGCTTTCTGCTCTACCACGACGATGAGGTTAGGCAGCAGATGGATGTGCGACTCTTCTTGAGAATCGGCAGAGATCTGCTCAGGGAGCGAAGGGAGGCTAGAGGGGGGTATGTGACTGCAGAGGGGGAGACGTGGAAGGTGAGTTCGAGCACCAGGACGCTAGCGGAGAGAGGGGCGTCGCTGACTCGTGCTCTCACGCATAGGACCCACCACTCTACTTCGACGAGATTCTCTGGCCATCACATCTCAAAGCTCACGCTCGGCTTTTCCAAGGTGGAGACGTAGAGAGTGGTCAGACGACGGAGGAGGCGCGGGACATCCACATCGTAGAGGCGCAAGAGCCGCCAGGCAAGGGAGAGCCAACCAGCATGGACGACGTAGTAGCGGAGGGCTGCGAGGTATTGCTTGCAGCGCTAGAGAAGATGGCTGCGAGAGAAGCGGCGTGACTGGGGCACTTTGCCAGATGCACCACAATAGACGCCTTCACACGCACGCGCACGCCTCGTCGTCAGGATATCGCATCGCATTCTCATCAGGGCAGCAAGACGTGCTCGTCGTCGACGCTGTGGTACAGGAAGCCGTTGTTGACCATCTCGTCGATTTCCTTGCTGCGGGTGGGCGTGGACAGGAGGGACATTGAGGAGCAATCGTAGGTCAGCCACGATCTTTTCTTGTCTCTATCCGCCCATTGCCACTCACGTGATGGTCGCAAGGGGCATCGAGGGCAGCTTTCCATGCACCTCCTTGGCTGTAATGCCCTCTGAGTCCGGCCCAGCCAGCATAGAGATGGCCTGGGCTATCTTCCTCTGCACGGGGCTTGTGATGGCCGAGAAGTCTGCGCCGTTGGCTCCTGCTCCTGAGTCCATGATGTTGTCCTGCTGTTGGGCAGGTGCGGATGGATTCTACCAGCGACGAAGTGGGTCAGCATGCATGTGAGGGTTGCCATGAATCCGTCTCGCACGCCGCGCACTCACCCCCAACTGCAAGTGCACCCAGACAGCCTCCAACTTGTGGAAGAGCACCTCGTTATAATCCGGCACCACCCTCATATGCCCACTACTGATGCTCTTCTTTCCCTGGAAACTCTTGATAGTCCCCAACACCCTCACGTACTGGTTGACCTGAATCTCGCTCGCCTTGCCTGTATCATCCGAGTTGCTATCCAACCACTGTCGCACGTCGATTGTTCCCGTACCATCCTCGACGTTGAAGGAGACGTTGGTCGCGTTGCGCGAGATGTTGCGGACGACGGCGACAAAGGTGAGTTGGCCCACGTCGACGTTGTCGATTTTGAAGTCGGCGTCTGCGTGGGATTGAGAGGCGGAGCGGATCTGCGCGATGGTGACTGGTCGGAGGGTGTTGCGAGTGGACTGGCGGCGCGGCGTAGAGCATCGTGAGGCGGGTATCAGCTGACGCTCTGCCCATTCGTCTTGTGTCAGGGCTCAACCCACCGCCTTGCCACTTGGGCTGTCCCCCTGGCTACCAGCCATAAAGCCTCCCCCACCTCCTGCGCCACCTCCGGTCGCATAATTCTGGCCGTACGGGTTGTCTCCAAAGCCTAGCGCGAAGGGAGAGAGAGGGGCAATCAGCTTCTGCGTGACTGTACCGAGCTTGCGATTGCACCCACTCATATCTGTCTGTCCCTTGGAGATGATGATAGTGGTGGTGGTGGTGGTGTTGGATCGAAGGCGCAGCAGGTGCGAAGTCGTTTGACCTCGAGGCCAGTCCGCCATCCGTCCTCCGCTCGCCGCCCACTTTGGCTCTGGCCGGGGTCGCGACGCGTCTTGGCTTGGCTTGGCTGGAGGCCCAGTCCGCCTGCCCGCCTGCCCGCCTGGGAATCGATTCGCGCCCGTGCCGCGAGCCCTTGCCCATTTTGGTGCGTCTCGCATCCTCACCTCATCACCATTACCACCACCCATTACTCGCGCAGCTTTCCTTCTCGCGCTCCATCCTTTGCTCAATCCTGCCTTCCTAACTTATCAGCTCCGAGACTACATACTCGCCTACCCACATCACCTAGAGCAAAAAGCCACACCACCTCGCGCACGCGCACGCATTGCGCTCCCCTTCCTACCTCCCACTCCTACACGCGCCTACGATGTTCTACTCGGACGTCATCCTGTCCAAGCGCGGGCCACTAGGCAAGGTCTGGCTGGCAGCTCACTTTGAGCGAAAGCTCAACAAGACGGCTTTCCTGCAGACGAGTATTCAGAATAGTGTTTGTGAGTAGCCATCGCAACGACGAGGTGCTGCGATGGATCAGGCGCGTATCTGACGTGACCCTGGCTCACCCTCACGCGCTCGCAGCTGCCATTGTCGAGCCTAGAGCCGGACCTCTCGCACTGCGGCTCAGTGGACAGCTTCTCCTCGGAGTGGTACGCATTTACTCGCGCAAAGCAAAGTATCTCCTCGACGACTGTACAGATGCGCTCCTCAAGATCAAGATGGTGAGTCTTGACCCACGCGTGCCTGTTTCACCTTACTGAGACCCAACGTCCCCGCCCCACCCCTTGCGCACGCAACAGGCCTTCCGAGCGGGAGCGGTCGACATGACTTCAGACCAAGCGACCGTCTCCGCCAATCAAATCACCCTTCCCTCAGCACAGACCGACATCAACATCCTCCTTCCCGACGCCGGGCTGGAGAATTGGGATGCTGAACTGCTACGTCGCTCCTCGACTGCTGCGCGCACCCCATCCAAGTCGCGCGGTCGTACCAGCGCTACACCGGGGAGCAGTGGTGGGCGAGGTGGTGGCCATCTGGCTAGGCAAGCGGACATCACCCTTCCCCAGGCAAGGTACGACGACTTCATCGATGACTCGGGAAGCCTGGACCTCCTGTCCAGCGGCATGGGCATTGGGACTGGTGACTTTGATCCGGATGGTGGGCTCGACTTGGGTCTCGACCTCGGTGGGGACACGGCGCCTGCTCCGACGGGCGGTCGTCGCGACTCGCAGGGACGTCTCCTCGATGCAAACGGGGACGTGGTGCGAGAGGACACGAGCGACCTCTCTTCGATCGGCGTAGGGCGTGATGCCGCAGGGGAGCGCGAACAAAGCTTGGGCTCCCTCTTTGGTCGTCTGGGCGAGGACGACGCTGGTGCTGGTATGGACTTTGGCGGCGGGCATGAGCCTTCCCTCGACCTTGGTTTGGGCCTCGACGATGCAGCCATGCCCCCTCCCGCAGATGCCTCCCTCTCTTTCGACGAAATGACTCCCCGTACAAAGGAGCAGGTCACAGCAGCGGCGGAGCGTCGTGCTGCGGATGCGGCAGCAAAGGCGGCAAAGGAAGGGCGTAAGCAGCTCATCGACCGCGTGACCGAGCTGGACGAAGGAGCTTCACAGGGTACAGGCACGCAAGGGAGCGCATTGGGCAAGCGTAATGTAGACGGCATCGTCCTGGCGGCGGACGAGGCACAACAGCAGTACCTCCCTCGCTCGCGAGCCTACGCTGGCCTGCTGGACATGTACAATGACCCCTCGACCCTTTTTTCGGGCGGCAAGGATGCGCATGCCCTCAACTTGCTCGCTGGCTCAGACTTGGGACTCGCTCCAGAGCTCTCCAGCCTCTTTGTCGTTGACCTCGAGTCACACCGCGCAGCGAAGCGTGCGAGGCGTCTGAGAGAGATGGCGGAGGATGATCCGAGCATGGAGGTGGGTCGACGTGCTCCTACAGCAGAGGAGGAGGGACGGTTCGGCTTCGGCGCCGAAGGGGAGGACACGACGTTGGGCGGGCTCGGTGGAGAGGGGGCGGGCTTCGATATGCCAATGATGGACGATGCGCCATTCGGTCTCGACGTGACTGGGGATGAGGCCTCGGGCTTGCGCAGGTCGGAGCGTCAGAAGGCCCAACCTGCTACTGGCGCAGATGAGACCCTGACTGGACGACCGGCAGACGTCACTGCCGTGGGTGACCTCCCTCCACTGAGCCGCTTGGGTACACCATCCAACCTCGACGACCTAGATGCGGCGGACAGTCTGACCCCTACGTCCAGCAAACTCCTCGCAGCCTTCGAGGCCCGTCCGGCCGACGCTGAGGCTCAGACTCCCCTCGCTGCCGCAGCAGCCGCAGAGGAGGCCTCGTCGACTCGTGCAGCGACGGCGCAAGGATGGAGCAAGAATACGGTTCGCGCTCAACGCGTCATTCGCTCGCAGCTGGAACGCAGCGCTGAGGGCAGGGAGAGGGCCACGTTGAGTGTCGATGAGGTGAGCAAAAATGCTAGTCGAAGAGCAGCGGCGGGTTTCTTCTTTGAGCTGCTCGTCTTGGGGACGAAGGACCAGGTGGTATTGGAACAGGACGAGGCGTATGGCGATGTGAGGGTCAGAGGGAAGGAGGGGTTGTGGGCGTAAAGAGGGCGCCGCGTGTTCCTCATCTGTACTCTACATCTCTACCGCTTTCTGATGCTACACTATCTATGATTGATCGCTCGTGTACATGCGTGTGATGCTATGCTACCGCGCTGCCTGGGCCGCAGCGACGATGTCCGCCCCTTGCCGCCACGAAATCAAAGGCGCCGAACGCTTCGTCCGTCTCTACGAGGAGGTGGCGGGTGTAATGCTGGCGGAGACGGAGACGATGAGATGATGGATGTCAGGGACGTCCCTTGCTGAGTGTGCTCACGCCTTGACCACCAGCAATACCTCTGGCCATCTCCCCTCAGAAGCGTCCCATCGCTTCAGCGTGACGCCGTTGGCGCTACTGCTCACCTCATCATCATCGATTGCCACGCCGAGATCGCGTTGCACCTCCCAGACGCGATTACGGAACCCAACCTGCCGCAACGCTCTCATCCTCCCCGCCAGTCGCGCCACGTCTCCCTCGTCTAAGTCGAAGGGGGCGCCTGCTCTTGCGAGGATGTGTAAGGTGCGCAAGCTCGACGTCAACGGTGCGAGAAGGGCGCTGAGTCCGCTTTCTCGTCCAGCAGTCGAGCTTGAGCTTGAGCCGGAGCCGTCCGGTTGACTTGAGGGGGCAGGCGCAACGCTCTCCAGCTGTACGACGAGCTCCCGTAGCCACGTGCATGCCTGTGCGATTAGACGCAGCGACTCGGTCGATGCGACTATCCCGTGGATGCGGAGGAGGGTTAGGCCTGGCCGTGAAGTGGTGAGGGAGCGAATGAAGGAGAGCGGTAGCTTGGGAGCCAGAGAGGCGGATGACGGTGCTAAAGATGCATTGCCTCCATCGACTGGCTGATCTCCGGCCGTCTCATCGACGTCGTCGAAATCGTCATTCTCCCCACCGCCAGCCCCCTTGAGCCCTCCTGGCGCGTAGAGCGTGAACTCCTTCAGTTCGTCCAGCCCGTCGACTAGCCCGGCGAGATGCTGATAGAAGGTGGTATGAGCGCAAAGCGCCGGGCGTGGCAGGGTGAGAGTGAGGGTCGTGAGACTGTGTCGCAGAGTTGGCGCGAGCTTGGGGAAGATGTCAGGGTGCAAGGCTGCGCATCCTTCGATCGCCAACACCTTGAGTCGCTCGGTGGCTCCCACGAGTGTCCGCAAGCTAGGCCCATCGAGTCTTTTGCACCCCACGAGGACTAAGCGCTCGAGCCTGTCAAGGTGGGGCGCGAGGAGTTGCGCGTGTACGGGTAGGAAGACGCTGCTATGCTGACAGAGGAGCAAGAGAGAGGAGAGCGGACGACGTGATGCTATCTCCACGATGCAACGCATGGCCAGAGCGTCGGGGAGGATGATGGATAAGCTGCTGAGCTGTGGAAATGGGAAAGATCCGTCACCACCTGGCACACCTTGCCACAGCATTGGCGCCGTGGCACTCCAATCTCGCGTGCTCCCCATCAATTCCAAGTGGCGCAGCTTGCCCTTGTTCCTCACAATATCCGGCAACAAACGGTCGTTGAGGGAGCCAGTTCTGGTCCAGCAAAGCTCCCTCAGCTCGCTCATTTCCCGCAGTGAACACGCTACGCTATCTTCGAGATCCTCTAGCTCCTCCGCCCTCAAACCGAGCGGGTAGACGCGCAACTCCAGCACCTTTACGAGCCGGCACAGCTCGGGGTGATTGCGCAGCACGGAGAAGACGAGGCGGACGCGATGCGAGTCTCGCAACCATATTCTGCGCCAGAGGTGAGGGAGGGTCCAGGAACGCCAGGAGCGGGAGACGAGGCAGAAGGTTGCGAGGGTGGATACCGAGGACCACGAGGAGAGGGTGTCGAGGATGAGGGGGAGCAATTCGAGGGGGAGAGAGGCGGCCTTGCCGGCGGGAGAAGACATGCTGCGCCGAGTCCCTTCCTCCGCAGCTGCGAGTCAATCGGGCGTCGAGGTCGTCGTCGTCGTCCTCGAGGTGTCGATCATACTCTCTTGATCGTAGCTTTTTCTTGCTCGCCTTGTGGAGAAGTCGACAAGCTCTCTCTCTCTTGTTTCCCTCGCCGCGATGGCCGCCAGTCCGCCCTGTCTCTCACTCTCCATTGGCTGGATCGACCGACGCCGATTTCACGCACCGCTGCGCTGCTTGTCGCCTTTTTCTCCCCGCACTCTCTCTCGCCTGCACCTCCGCCCTTCTGCAGGACCCACACATCGCCGCTGATTGCCCAATGCGATCCGCGGGCCTGGGAGAGAGAGAGAGAGAGAGAGGAGGAGAGGAGGATTCACGCGTTCTCCACGAAACGGAGCTTTCACTCCCATCATCCGTTCCACGACGACGGCGCAGGAGGAATTGGTACTCTTTCACTTCTTTTCCTCCTCACATCCTCAACCAGTCAAACAGCTCATCCAGCCTAAAAAGCAAAGGCGCGCCAGGCAAACCTACACCTACACCTACACCTACACCTACACCTACACCTACACTCTCGCACGTCCAGCATCCACCCCCGCCTGCGCCCGCCCATCATGTCCTCCGAAGAAGGCTTCCGTCTCCGCACAAAGGACGACCCCATCGGGTCCATCTCGATCCCCAAGCTCATCCGCTCTTCGGTCCGCCATGGCGAGTTCCAATTCATGTTCCTCGTCCCGCACTTTGTCCTCCCCGCGTACGGCATCTACCGCCTGGCCCACTCGCAGGGCATCTACCCGGCGCACCTCGAGCCGCTCGCTGAGGTGGTCCTCGCGGTAGTTCAGGGCGTGGCTGTGGGTGGGTTGATCACGTTTGGATGGTTGAGGTTCAGCGCTGCGGGGAGGAGATTGCAGGGGAGGATAGAAGCAGGAGCAGCTACGCCCGGTGAGGCAAAGGCGCAGAAGAAGATGCAATTGGGGTTCGCCTTGTGCGCGTACGTGCTGTTTGCTACGTGAGTGTGATGCGCGAGCGGCGAGGATGCAGCAGTGTTGGAGAAGGAGGAGCAGCAGTGACTGACCATCTTCATCTTCCCTGTCTCACCGCACCTTGCGCACGCGCAGCACCCTCTGGCTGGTACTCCCGCCGGCAGATGGTCCAAAGACGGCAGCGATGAAGAAGACGGCGAGGCGGTACGGGCTCAAGGCGGAGAATATCCCGAGCTTCTCATAGGGCTGCCGTCGGCGAGCAGGAACCGAATGCCTCGCTCCATCTCGCCTTCATCGACATACCATCCTCCCCTCGCCCCCTCCACGCCCGCTAATCCCTTTGACTCGCCACGTCTTTCGCGCTCCTCTACACGTTTCGATGCAATGCTATTCAAGCGTCATGATATCAAAAAAGAAGAATCGCATTCTCCCGTCGCGGGCTACGCTGCCAACCCACAAATACTCATCTCCCGCATCTCCGCCAGAACCCCTTCAACCTGCGCATCCAGCCCTCCATCCGCATACTCCTCTCGCACCCCCTCAGCAAAGAATCGTTGCACTCCACCCATCTTCTCGTAACCCTCTTCAGAGAATTTGGCCTGCATCCGTACCATGGCTTCGAAGCTTGGGTCAAGGTAAGGGATGCGGAGATCGACGAGTTGAGGCAGGTCCTCGAGGCACTGCGTGTTGAGCGTCTCGAAGAGGAGCTGCGCGTCATTGAGCTCCTTTTCGGCGCGGGGGAGCTTAGCAGGGTCGTCCGAGGGCTTGTCGATTAGCTTGCGATGCTTGCTGCGGGCGGCGTCGTAGTCGAGGAGCTACGCGGGCGGGACGAGAAGGTGGAGGAGGTCAGGCTGCCATTGCGGGAGGTATTCATCATGCCGGGTCCCGACGGGCGCACCTTCTTATTTCTCTTTTCGATATTCTTGTTGATCTCCGGGAAATAGCTGCACAGCTTCCCTACGGGCTCGAGGACAGTAGCCCGGTAAGGCGCATCGAGTTCGCGGGCCGTCTTTGTGTCCAGCTCCTCGACTGCACGACGATAAGCGCCAGCGGCCATGGCTGCGTCGGACGAGTCTGTGAACATGCCATCGATGGCTTCTGCCATTCGGGCTTGGGAGGAGGCGAGGCCTGCGTGTGCGATGGGCGGGGAAGATGGATGACGATCAGCTGCCATTCACTCGATCCAAGTTGGGGAGAATCGCAGCGCTGCACGCACTCCTCATTGAGTCGAGGTAGGCCTTTGCCTCCTTTTGCAATGTTTGACATTCCTTCTCCAGCTGACGATACTTGGCTTCCTCGTCTGCAAACTCATTGTCTACCGTGCGTTCCACCTGGCCCGTCTTCATCATTATCCCCGTCCCGGCGCTGCGAGCGGGCGAGAAGGGCAGAGATAGGAGGGAATGTCAGTGGAAGGTCGAAAGGAGGTTGAGCGAGGTATTGCAGCGCATGCACGCACCGGTTGATGGACTTTTTGAATCCTGACCAGCTCATCTTGGGCGCTGCGTGGTAATGAGATGATGAGGTTGATGGTGGAGAGTCAAGGCACGTCTCGAGGCGGTGCGGCCCTTGTGCCTGCATCGTCTGCCGCTCAGACCAGACGCCTCCGCCTCCGCCTCCGCCCTCCGCTTGCCGCTTGCCGCTCTTGGACTTCGCATCATGGCTTGAGCACGGACTCTCTCTCTGCGCTCAGTCCACTCCCAATCCTCTCATCCTCACCACCCCACCCCCTCCTCATTGCCATTGCGACCATGAACCGTCTCTTTGGCTCGCGCAACGCAGCACCAAAGCTCAGCATGGCCGATGCCATCAAGAGCACAGAGGAGCGTGCGGATGGCGTCGAGGTCAAGATTCGAAAGCTCGATGGCGAGTTGGCCAGGTATCGCGATCAGATGAAGAAGATGAGGGATGGGCCTGGGAAGGTGAGTCGCAAGTGCGACGACGATCAGTGACATCAGTGTGCTTTTCATCTGACCAGAAACAATGCTTCGTTCTTGCGATCCACAGTCAGCTATCCAGCAACGCGCCCTTCGCGTGCTCCGCCAAAAACGCCTCTACGAATCGCAGCTCTCCCAACTTCAACAACAGTCCTACAACATGGAACAAGCCACGATGACGACGGAAAACCTACGCAACACCATGGCAACAGTAGACGCAATGTCCACAGCCAACAAGGAGATGAAGAAGACGTACGGCAAGATCGACCTAGACAAGATTGAGGACGTGCAAGACGACATGGAGGACCTCATCGAGCGCGCCAACGAGGTGCAGGAGACCCTCGGGCGCAGCTATGGTGTGCCAGATGATGTGGATGAGAGTGGTTTGCAGGCGGAGTTGGATGCTTTGGAGGATGATCTGCTTCAGGAGGGATTGAGCGGTGAGACCGAGGGGGCCATGCCTAGCTACTTGCAGCAAGACAGTACGAGCGCACTGCCTGACTTTGTGGACGAAGCGCCGCAGCAGCAGCATGAGTCGGTGAGTGGGCGCGAAGACGCGGAGGCTCGGTGGCGATGATGAGCTGACAACACTAGTTTGTCTTTCCCTGCGCAGCACGAGGCCCTACGAGCGGCGTAGGCAACCCCCCTTTGGCCTTTCCCGCCAATGTCTCCGACTCGTCTTGGCTCCTCTTGTACAATAGCATCCACCTTCTCTCCATCCATACTCATCAGCGTCACCAGCCCTCCCTTCTGCGCGCAATACCAGGCTTCTTCCTTGGCTGGACCGAACTTGTTGATCTCTGCGCCCGGTTGACACTCAGTCGCGCTCGACCTCTCAGTGGAACTCGAATGCGAGCGCGAGTGCGGATGCGAGTGCGAGTACGAAGGGGTCTGGTCGTGTCTCAAGGCGGAGTAGCAACGCAGGTAGCCCCGACAATAGGTGAGCGACGAGCGACGACGAGGGACGTGCTCACAACACGCCTCCTCCCGTCTAGTCTCTACGTCCAACTATCCTCCTCTGCAGCATCCACTGACCTCGTGCTGACACAGTCGTTGAGGAGGGAGTGACTGGATCACTCTCCCCGAGCTGATAGCGAACAGCATCAGCATCAGCATGGCGGATCCAACCCGCTCCGGCTACCCTCAACAACAACAGCGACAACACGGCGGCGCACCTCGTCCTCGTCGCTCTCCCTTCCTTTCACCTCTTTGCGAGCCAGTCAACCCCTCTACGCAAGCGACACAAAGTCGGCCGGAGAGCCCACGCTGGATGACCTTGCAGGATGCTACCTCCTCCTCATCAGACGCACGTCGCTCCACTTACCTCGCCCGATCCACGTCGACCACGCACAGCACCTCTTCCACAACTCAGCCTCCCTCATCTCAACAGAGCCTTGCTCAGCATCACTCGTGATTCCACCCGGAGTGCACGTCCGACCCCTCACTCTGGCATCAGCTGGTCTCCTCGAGCTTCCCACCGCCAACCCGAGCCGAACGCGCAGGTGCGCCACAATAATACTCGACCGCCATGTCGACATTACCGATCCCGTGCGCAGACCCATCGTTGAAGCATGTCGGATCAAAGGCAGCGCTTCTCAAACCGTGCCGTCAACCCTGCGGCCCGCGCTTGCCCGCAGATGCTCACGTCTCGCCGCCGCCGCCTCCGCTCACTGACGAGCCGTGTGAGGCTCGCTGACACACTCCTTCGTTGAGCGGGGGAGATATAAAGTGCCTGCTCTCCGATCTCCTTCTTTCCCTCACGCCTCACCACACTCACAATGCTCAAGCTCGTCTACCTCCTCGCTGTTGCCGCCCTCGCCCACAGGGCCTACGCTACCGTGTGGGGGACATGCTGGCCCGACAAGGGATGCACGGCTAGTACTCGCGCCAAGCTCCCCTCCGACGTCAGCTGGCCTGGAGGCAATGCGACGCAGGTTTCGCTGGTGAACAGGCCATGGTGTGCCTCGTTCAATCGCCATGGTGCGGATCCCAAGGCCATCACCTCCGTATGCCAGGTGCGTACGAGTGAGCCGTGTGTAGCTGGAGTTCGGCTGATCAACGTATCTTCTACGCCTTGACAGAACACCGCTTGCACGTCGCGCTGCTTGATGATCACGGAGAATCAGTGCCTTGATGCGCAAGAGGGTCAGCGATGGCTGTGTTTGTCGAAGATTTGAGCCAAGAAGGACGGACGAGGATGTAGCTGCTACGCTGGGTCGAATGCCATTGCGCCTGCTAGCTGCGCTCACTCAATTTGGCGGTGCGGTGTGCCTTGCCCGCAAATCGAGGTCAAAGTGTGAAGCGAGGCCGAGTTGAGTGACGCCCGTCGCGACGCCGCCCGCACTCGACGCCGCGTCAGCCTTGCGCTCACTGACTGAGTGAGTCAGGCACCGAGTGCGGCCTCGCACTGAGCAGTCACATCCGCTCAACGTCGTCGCCCGCGACCGCTCCAACGGCTCAGCCAGTCAATTCTGTGGGCATCCGCACGTCTTTGCCTTTCTTACCATCACAACGACTCGACCTCAGCCCGCTCCCCTCCCCGATTCCTCCCTTTCCATTGTACATCGCCAACTCCAGCTTAGCAGCACCACGCATCACGCACCACGCCCCACGCTCGCACGCACGCACACACGCCCACATACCAGCATCATGCTCTTCATCACCGCTCTCTGGTTTCTGCTCGCCACCGCTACGACGTACGTGGTGGCAACCGACCCCGATGGGTCGTCTTACCCTCCTCCCAACACGCCCGACAGCCTCCCCGTCAACGACACGATCCCCCTCGTAGCCTTCGACTGCAGCAAGACGCCCGCGGTGTGTGCCACCATCTGCGACTGGTACGGCCAGGCTGAGCGCGAGGGAGGTTACAGATGCGACAGTGCCTTGAGCCTCGACTCGGCCGACCATCACAAGCTCAAGACTCGCGATGGCCTCGATGAGCCTGAGAGGTGCGGTGACGAGCGCGACTATACTGGATCGGGCGAGTGCAAGGTCGCTTTCCCTCCCAGGGACACGCACCAGGGCAAGCGTGAGTTGCGGTGCGGCGTGGATGCGACGCTACTCTCACTGACATGACCGTCTCTTTCCCTCTTCTTCCCCTGCTCCACCACTCCCAGTCAGTGTTGGCCGCCAGAAGAGCAAGCGTGAGTGGCGGTGACGAGATCAACTTAGGCTGAGCGCGTCGCTCACACCTCCCCTCCCCTGCTGCCTCGCTCCCGCAACCCCAGCTGGCGCTGGCCGCCGTGGCTACTCGACCTACCCCGCCATCGCTCGCGCCGAGGCTCCCGCTCACGAAGTCAAGCTCTACCGGGACCAGCTCAACAGCCTCTTCCATCGCAGGGACAATGGCTGGAACTTCATCGCCGCCGTGGCTCAGTACGATGGAATTAATCAGTGCAACGCAGCGAGCGACAACTACCATCACGCCCGACGTAAGGTCCTGATCCCTCAGGATTGCATTCAGCTGCCCACCAGCAACAACAGCAAGGGCCTCAAAAAGACGCGAGCCTCTCGTCTCAAGTCGCACATCTACACGCTCGACTCTGGCAAGAAGGTGCTCGCTCGGGGAATGCACGGCCTGCCTCCCGTCCGCAGCGTCTTCCTCGTTGATGAGACGCACCCCGATGGAGGTCGTCACGAGGCGATCAAGCAGTCCAAAGCTCTACCCATGCCTCCCTTCATCGGCGTCTCAGCCCGCAGCGATGGTGGGGACCCAACCAATGGCTCCTCCACGTCTACCACGCTCGAGGTCGGCGCCCCTTGCACGTGCCTACCTCAGAGCTCTGATGGCGGGGACTACGGCGATGACGGTGACAACCAAAAGTCGTAGCGCACGCGCGCGCCGCCCAGCACACCCAGCATATACACACCACTTCTCTCATTCGGCGTCGACTTAGTGCGCCCAACACGCAAGTACACACCACTTCTCACACGCGGCGTCGACTGAGTCTGCCCAACACCAGCTCATGTAGTGCTAGTCTCGTCTCTCTGTCTCGATAGCTCCCCGCCTGACGCCTTTGCGGTCGACTGACTCGACTCGCCTGGCTGTATCAAGAGCACTGTCATCGTCCTCTCCTCGCGCCGTGTCCGCCGTGGCAATATCATCCTAGCTTTGCGCGCGAGCAGACTGGCATGTCATTGCGTTTGCCTTTCGCTTTTGGGAGATCGTACAGCTCGTCAAGTCATCGTCATACAAGAGTGGTGAGAGCGTCGCGAGAACATCGCGCACGTCGCCAGAACGTCGCTGCGCCGCCTTACTTGGCGGGAGACACGGTAGCGGCCGCCTGGTCTGCAATCGTAGCGGCGGCAGGCCTAGCCTTCCAGCCCTGCGGACCAGCCCACGTCCCCTTGACCATGCTCTTGAAGTAGACCCAGGGGAAGAAGCGCGTCTTCATGGGCAGGAAGTACGACTTGGGCTCGGCTTGATTGATGAACTTGCCGAACCTGGGCGCGAGGAGCGAGAGGAGGGAGAGAGAGAGATGTCAGCAGAGCAATCATGGATGCCCGCGTTCATGGCTGCCCGCGTTCATGGCTGCCCGCATCGCGCACACACTCACGTCTCCTTTGGTTTGCCCCCGTAGAGGAACTCAGCGAGCAAGAGATGCCCATGATCCGTAGGAATCGGGCAGCTCGTGTACCCATTGTACATGGCCCCCGGCTCCTTGCCCTGCATGGCATTGATCACGTTTGTGACCAGCACCTGACTCTCAGCCGTAACAGCCGCAGCGGTCTTGCTGGTCGGCAAGCTACTCGCATCGCCCAATGACCAGACATTGGGGAACTTCTTGTGCTGCAAAGTCGCATCGTCAACGTCTACGAATCCGGCCTCGTTGGCTAGGGCGCTCTTCTTTACAAAGTCGTAGGGACCCATGGGAGGGGTGACGTGCAGCATGTCGAAGGGAAGTCGGACCTGCTCATTGTTCGGAGCGTCGAAGACGGCTTCGCTTCCCTCGACTGCAGTGAGATTATGGCCGTATCGAGCGGGGATGTTACGCTCCTTGCGGAGGCGCTCGAGGGTCTCATTGTAGCGTGGTACGCCGAACATGGCTTGGAGGCCAGTAGCAAAGGTGATCTCCGTCTTGTCGAGGAGGCCACGTTTGCGCCATAGGTCCCAGGAGAGCCACATGATCTTTTGCGGGGCACCGGCGCATTTGACTACTCCGGCTGGCTGGGTGAAGATGGCCTTGCCACCGCGGAAGGCGTCGGCCATGTCCCACGTCTTGTCGCAGAAGGCCTGGCGGGGCGTGAGGGAGCAGGGAGTGAGAGGCCATACGACGGTAGGCTCGGCTCGGCGCGGTACTCACGTATTTGTAGATGGTCCCAACAGGTGTTCGCTCGTCGGTCAGCGCGTCCCTCAACCCCTTGACGGCGTCGATCTTGATCTCGATCCCCGGGCAGACGATGAGCTGATCATAAGAGAGGGATCTGTCCCCCAGATTGACCACGTTACGCTCCGGCTCGAAAGTCTGCACGGCAGACGTGTAGTGTGTGAGTCGCTTGTCCAGAATATCCGCCACGGGCCTGCGCAGGTCTGTCTTTTTCCTGATTCCAGCGCCGACGAGCGTCCATCCCGGCTGGTAGTGATGGTGCTGCGATGGCTCGACTACAGCAATCTCCCCACTACCTACGAGCTTGGAGGCCAGCAGTTGATGAGCAGCAGAGGACCCTGCAGCGCCAGCGCCTACGACGACGATGCGGTGGTGCTTTGGTGCGGCGGCTGGTGTGGCCAGGCTGCGCGTTGCGCTGGCGCCAAAGCGTCTGACTGGTGTTGCGAGCATGGCGGGTGGGAAGGACGAGTGGGTGGCGAAGAAGAGACACGCTCAAGGTGATGATGAGAAGGCGCACAAATAATAGGCTGCGCATCGTCGTGGGTGCGCGATTAGGTCAAGGGTCGAGCGGGTCGAGCGGATCAAGCGGGAGCCGCTAATGTGCCGGCGGGCAGGCTGCACAGCGTCGTTTCGTTTCGTGGAGGCGGGTTGTTCCTTGCTGTGAGTCATGGCAGTCAGACAAGGTTGGGACCACTGAGCGAATGGGTGTGGAGAGCACTTTATTGATGATCAATGGGAGGGTGAGCATTGCGCGAGGATGGCAGGTGGTAGGGAGGGAAGGTGGGAGCGAGCGGTGTGGCGTCGAAGGGGAAAAAAAGACGCCGAGGCGAGGCGAGGCGAGAAGCGGGGGTGAGATCCGCGAGGGCGTGCGGGCGTGCGGGCGGGCAGGGCAGGCGGAGGGGCTGCTTTCCTTTGCCATCAAACTACGCCCCTCATCTCATTCGTGCTCGTGCTCGCGCGCTCGCAAATGGTATCAAATGCATGCTGTTTGCTGTCTATCAAACGCGATCTACGCACAACGACCAGTCGCTTGCTTCTTCGCCGGCTGGAACCAAAGCACCACGATGCCAATACAGCGCAGCCCAAAGCCGAGATACATGGCTGCTGCTGGTCCGCTAAAGGAGTGAGCCAGAGATCCAAGGACGATGCCTAGCACAAAGAGGAGCAGATAGAGTGCCCTCAAATCTCGCGTATGCGGCGCCTTTAATGAGAAGAGGGTGGGAAGTGTAAGGAAATCCACCATGGGTCCAGTAAGCATGGCGGTGGGCACTTCTTGAATACCGGAGCAACGCGCGAGGGAGACTTGCAACCCGCCTACCGTAGCGAGGAGAGAGACGGGGATCGCGTTTGCCTGACCTCGACTCTCTAGTACCCCAGTGACGGTCAATGTTGCAACGAGGAGGAGTAGCCCTGCCTGAATTACGCCGGTAGTTAGGAACCAGCCCCGCCTGCAATGCCCTACGCGTGCGCCAATCTGACCAGAGATGAAGGCGCAGAGGAGGAAGAAGACGAGGCTCAGCCCCGTGGATAGGAGAGGAGGAGCAGTCACGAGGGCTGGGGGTCTGTATTTGCCTACGAGGCCGATGGCGTGGGCCGGGAGGAGGATGACGTTTCCCGTTTGGTTGGAGGCGAAGACGGCGTACTCGCCAAAGGAGACGGCATCCAGTACTCCTGTGGCTAGAGTGGTGAGGAGTAGCTGCGCTTCCAGCCAGCCTCCTCCGAGGGTGTCGGTGAGGCGGGTACGAGGACCTTGTTGCGCGTCGTGGTCGCTATGCCTGTCATCGCTATCGCTGTTGTCGCTGTTGGTCATTGCGAGCTCGTGGGGCGCTTCGCGTGGTGCCAGCTTGTCATCCTTTGACATCGCGGTGCGTGCGTGGTTGGCAAAGACGAAGAGGAAATGGTACGGTGCTGATGCTTATTGATAAAGTTATTGCCCTGATCACATGACCAGCATTTGATTGGCTCCTGCAAAAGCCTCGTAACTGGTAGCGCATTTGTGCCAGGCCTTGCCGTCGGTTGCTTATCGGGCGTTTAATCCAGGCCGGCCGATTGAAGGGCGAGAGGTGGGCGGGCGGGGCGAAGCGGGCCGTCGCGCCCTTGCGATACCCGCCCGGTAAAGTTAAGTGAGGGGGGGATTGGTGATGCTGAGCAGGCCGGGTGGAGCGAGAGCGATTCCATCTTGACCTCCTATCCATTCCATCCAACCGACGACCACCCTTCTCGCCATGTCAACTCCCCTGGTAACGGTTCCCCTGCGAGCTCTGGCCCGCGCTAGTCGACCCTCCTCACGCCAAATCCTCACGGCCTCCACGCGAGCTTCGTCCTCTCGAGTCGCCCCGACGCCCGCCCCCACGCTCGCCCGCCTCTCTCCTCGCTTCGAGGCCATCCGAACCCTGGCCACAACGACGTCCTCCCCTACGACGCAAGTGACCCCCTTTTACCACCAAGCGACGGGCTCTTGGACCTATGTAGTTACGGACGTCGAGACGCGCCAGGCAGTGGTCATTGACCCGGTTCTGGACCTCGACGTCTCAACAGGCAAAGTAGACTCTGCCCCTCTTCAACCCGTCGTCGACCATCTCCGCAACACAAATGCACGCTGCACCCGCATCCTCGAGACGCACGTCCACGCCGACCACCTGACTGGCTCCCGCGTGCTGCGCGAGATGCTCCTCGGCGCAGGTGGGGATGTGGCCAACATCCCCATCGGCATCGGTGCTGGGGTACGCAAAGTGCAGGAAACGATTGCGCCCAAGTACGGGATCAACCTCGATGAGGTACGAGCTGCCTTTGACGAGTACCACGAGCCTGGGTCGGCCATCCCTTTGGGTAACTCGCAGATCCGCGTCCACCACATGCCCGGTCACACGTCCGACCATCTAGGCTATCAAGTCAATCAAGACATCTTTACGGGAGACGTTATCCTCATGCCCGACATCGGGACAGCGCGTACCGATTTCCCCGGTGGGGCATCCCTCGACTTGGCTGCTACGCTGGAGAAGTTGATTGGCCTTCCTCGCTCCACTCGCATCCATGTTGGGCACGACTACCCTCCGCAGGGTAGGGAGGCGAGAAGCTGTATGACGTTGGAGGAGCAGATGGAGAATGTGCACATCCAAGCGCTCAAGAAGGGGACGTTTGTTCAGGAGAGGGAGAAGAGGAACAAGGCATTGGGAGCGCCGAGACTTATTCATCCGAGTCTGCAGTTCAACGTGGCTGGGGGAAGATTGCTGAGGGATCATTTCGTGTTCCCAGCTGTTTCGACGGGAGAGGTAGCCAAGGCGGCCTTCCCCAAGCATTGAGGGCGCGTAGCTTTCTGATTTCACTTCGTTTATGCTGCTCCACCACTTTGTCGTGCGATGTGTATGCAATGCTACGACTCTTATGACCACGCGCGATGATCCTCGTGACAAGGAGGGATGTTCTGCCCCTCGCCGGGGAGAGTCAAGAGATCGTCGTGGGACCCTGCTGCCCCGCACCCGTGGCCCACCCGCTGCGCCGAGGCTGACTGGCTTTTCCGCGTTACCGGCGGCAAGTCCGCCAAGTTGGACCGCGGACTGAATTCGCTCCGTTACGCTCCAAGTGCTCCTTCCAGTCCGCCCAATTCCAGCCCTCGTTACTTGCCTCCGAGTCACTCTCACACAACCCTCTCAAATGATGCCGAGATAGCGCGTCGTACTCAGCGTTCCTGTCCTTGTCACTACACATTCCTGCCGCCAGCATGGCCTCCCCCTCTCCCTCTCCCTCGCCTGGCCACGAAATGGGCCCGCTACGCCGCTGGACCGCCTCCTTCCTTACCCTGCTAGCATTGGCCGCCTGCCTCTCAAACGGCTCAGCCTTCACAGTCGCTCACACTCTCCTCGCCGACGAGTTCAGCATCGATGAATCCACAATAGCCAACACCTACTGGCCCGTCACGACGTGGGCCATCGGCGGGGCCTTGTTCGCCCTCGTAGCCGTCCCCCTCATGGAGGATCACGGCATCTACTGGCCTTTTCTAGCGTCGTGGGTGGCAATGATAGTCTGCATCGTACCACAAGCAGTAGCGCGCAACTATGCGACTGTGCTTGTGACGCGATTCCTCACGGGCGGATTCGTGGGGATCATAGCCACTTCTAGCATCTCGATCTTGACGGGATTGTGGAGCGACGAGAGAACGAGAGGCATGTGGGTCGGAGGGTACATGGCTGCGTACATTATTGGCTCCTCAGTGGGACCCGTCATAGGGAGTATAGTCCTGTCAACGGGAGCTGGCTGGCGTGCCATATTCTGGACACAAGCAGTCTACCTCGCCGTGCTCCTCCCCTTTCTCGCCTTGCTCCTCCCTCAAGTCCAGGCACACGTAGAACCCAAGTCCACGCAAACAAGTATCCCAGTGACTGTACGCCGCGCAATCCTCATGCTGGCAACGGAGCCACTCGTGCTAAGCTGCACCGCATGGACGTCGTTCCTCCTCGGCACAATCTACCTTTTCACGCAGTCCGTCGAGCAAGTCTACTTGGAGCTCTACGGCTGGGATGCCACGCAGGCCGGCTTCGTTCAAGCGGCAACCGTCGTGGGGGAGCTGTGCTCTATCCCTTTTTTGTTCCTCACCAACTCTCTCTACTGGGCAGACGCACGTCGCAATGGCAGAGGCACCCCGCGCGCCGAGGCTCGTCTTCACCTTGCCCTCCCTGGCGGCTTGATAGGCGTCACGGGTGGGATGATGGTGTACGCCTTCTCCTCGTACCCGCACGTACACTGGATGGGACCAACAGTCGGCCTCGCAATGGTAGGGTGCGGCAGCGTCATCGTAATCAATTGCGTCGCCTCATACGTTGTGGACGCCTACGCCGACGTGGCCGGGAGCGCAATGACGGCCCTCGCTTTGGGGGAGAATAGCTTCATCGCCTTTCTGCCCTTGGCGGCGCAGCCTATGTACACGAGGTTGGGCCTCAATTGGGCCTCCTTTCTCCTAGCATGCGTGTCCCTCGCCCTTTCCACCATCCCGCTCTTTGTGTTCGCGAAGGCATGGAAGGTGGGGCCGCGCGGGTACTTGAGGGAAGTGCAGTCGCGCGGGAGGACATTGGAGAGTCGTACCACTACAACCGGGTCTCTGTAATCGATCGTCCGCCTCTTTGTGGGCTGGACGCCATCTTATTTTGTACAATTGCAACGCATCGCCATGGTCACCGCTCTCACTGCTCCTGCCCCTCCTTCCCTTCCTTCCCTCCCAGCGCCCTCCATCGCATTACGACTCTATCCCCGCCACTGCTCCCACCCCCGCCATTCCGCCTCTCCATCTCCAGCGCATGGAAGGCATCGCTCAGCAAGACGCGTTTACGCTTCTTCCTCTCCTCTTCCTGCTTAGCCAGAGCTCGAAGGGAGAGGTCACCCCAGCCTTGTGGATTCACCGTCCCTTCCCTCGCGATGGGCGAGCCAGCCTTGCCCGAGGGAGCGCGTGCCCAGCCTGCTTGGTTGCCCTCCTGCTGCTGCACGGGGGGTTGAGGAGCGAAGCGTGGTTTGGGAAGATTGCTTGCGGGGCTCATCCCGCCCTCTCCACCTGCTGACCCGAATCCTCCTCCCCCCGCCCCCGCGCCGGCTCCACCACCCATCGTCATCCACTTGGGCATCGACCCGCCCAAACTACCCAACGCTCTTGCTGCCGTATTGTTTGCGAGGCGCCGACGCACGTCGTCGGACATGTTCTTTGCACTCATACTCGCCGTCGCGTTGGATGCGATTGGTGCTGCCGTCGGGGTCGAAGGGCCTGTAGTACCATCGCCTGAACCGGGCGCTGATCCTGATCCTCCGCCGCCATTCGCGCTGCTACTCGCGTTCGTCGCGAGCTTCGCCTTCTTGCGCGATGAGCCGCCCTCTTCAGTGTCGTCGCCCGCACCACCGTCCATTATAGAGTCGTCATTGGCGCCGTCCTTGCTAGCCAGCGGTGTGGACACGCCGGCAGCCCTCTCGGCTTCCCTCCTCTCCCTCTCGGCACGTAGCTGTGCCCTCTTCCTCCGCATCACCGCTTCTTGCCCACGCTCCGCCTTCTCTAGCGCCCTAAGCCATTTGCTCGGATCGCTCAGCAGCTCCTCGTGATAGAGTGGTCTCTTCTCCTTTTGCTTCCCATCCTTCTTCCCCCGACTGCCCTCCTCAAGCGGAGGCTCCCGCTCCGCATCACTCCAACCACGATGTCTCGCCGCGCGCACCATTCCTTCGAGGAGGTTGCGAAAACGAATCCTCGCCCCCGCAGAGAGGATGTTGAGCACTTCTGGGTCCACGTCGTTTATATCGTACGAGGAGGAGGTGCGGTGTACCATTTGCGCTAGAGGGAGCAGTTGCAGGTAGCCCGTCGACGAGGAGGAAGAGGACGCAGAGGATGAGGCAGCAGCGCCTGTTTGACCGCGCTGCGTTGAGTTGGAGTAGGGGTCCGACGGCGGTGGTGCCTGACGTTCCCCTGCTCGGAGAGCTTCCTCCTCTGCGCGTAGATCGATACCGCCTGCTGCGACCCATGAGTTCGCGTTCGAGTTCGAGCTGGAGCTCGCATTCTGATTGGAAGAGGACGAAGTAGATGGGCCAGCGTTTCCTTGCCCCGATCCCGGCGCTCTGAAGGGATGAGCGACGAGATGCTGTGATGCGTTTGGCTGGAAGCCTTGCTGGATGGCGGCAGCAGCCGCTGCCGAGCTGGGCGGGTGTGGCTGTGATGCTGGTGATTGTGCGGGAGCGGACGGACTAGAGGCATGCTGGGTTGGCCCGACGCCGTTGGCTGGTGAGGCCATGGGCGGTGAGGGTGATGATGGTGATCAGGAGCGAGAGGAGCGAGAGGAGCGAGAGAGAAAGCTGCTCAGCACAACCGACGGCGACGCGGGCGGGCAGACGGGCGAGCAGGCGTCGGACTGACCCTCGTGGCACCAGATGATCAGGTGGTCCGTCTCCCGTTCCGGCACGACGAGGAGAGGCTGCAATACGAGCTTCGAGCTTGGAGCTCCTCCCGCCGCCTCGCCTCCTCCCTTCTCTTTCCACCACGACACCTACACCAGCATGTCCTCATCATCCGCCTCCTCACCCCTCCGGCACCTCCTCACGCTCCGCTCCCGCATCTTCCAACACACTCCTCCACCACCGCCGCACGCACCAGGCGGTCTGCGCACAGGTGCCAAGCTATTGAAGCGACCCCTCGTCGGGCCCTCGATGCTCAACTACTACCCACCCTCATTGCGGCTGAGGAGTCTGGGCCTGTTCGAGAATCCGGGTGGGGAGGGGGAAAGGTTCTTCCTACAGGATGCAAAGGAAGTGCAGAGGTTGAAGGATGTTGAACGCAAGAAGCGATTAGGCAAGGGACCGCCCAAGAAGGGTGAGTTGCGCCGCGCAGTGCGAAAAGCAGCCGGGACTGACCATGATCATGAAACGCACAATTCACTCGCACGTACAGGCCAGGGACGCAGGGCTGCTATGAAGGGCAAGAAGAAGTAGCAGTGCGGCACGGCGCAGCGCCAGCGCGGCACAGCTGTCAGAGGAGAGAGAGAGAGAGAGAAGGGTCGGAATTCCAGCAGCGTCTACTTTGTACAATATATTCAGCACCATCATCACCACCACCACCACCTCCACCGCCACGGCGTCGCATTCACAACAGCGTCTAGTGACCATGCCCAAACACAATCTGAAGCGTCTTGGGCAAGACGGCCCCAGCGAGCAAGGTGGCGATCCTTCCCGTCCTTCCCAGCGTCATCTTGGCAATGTGTCGCCCATCAGGTCCTCGCTCGTAGTCGCTTGAGCTGGAGGCGAGCTCGTGCACCGCATCGAGTGCGACGTAGATGAATGAGCCAGCAGAAAAGGTCAAGGCAGTCCCGACGTGAGAGGGGGAGATGGCGGAGGATCCAGCCTCTGCCGACGATCCAGATCCAGATCCACTGTCACTGTCACTCGCGGGCGTGCCACCGAGCGCGATACTGAGTAGAAAGTAAGTGCCCAACGCCCCCACGGGCGTAGCGAGGGAGAAGATGCCCATTGCCTTGCGTATATCGGTACGACTGAGTCCTCGCGAGATGAGGAGCGTACAGAGCCCAAAGGCAGCGGGTGCCTTGTGCAGGAGGATGGCGCCCACGACGACGAGCTTAAGCCCTTCGTCCCTACTGGCCGCCGAGGCGCCCATGGCTATCCCGTCGCAGGCGGCGTGGATGAGCAGGCCGGCGATGCTGGTAAAGGCGGCGCGTAGACCGCGGGCGGAGTCGATTGAGCCCCCCGATGATGACTTTGCGCTCGCAGTGTTGGAAGAGAGGGAGGCGTGAGAGTGGCGATGACGATTACGCGGCGGTGAAGAGGGAGGGGAGCGGGTTGCGCCCAGCAATGGGGAGGAAGGGGTCGAGTGGTTCGAAGAAGAAGAGCGACGCTGCTGCTGCTGCTGCTGCTTGCGGTAGGCCGACTCGACATTGTCCGCCCGAGGGAGGGTATAGTAGTCTGCGGGGAGGCCGGGAACTGATCCGTCGCTGCTTTCGGGACTTGCGTTTCGAGGGCTACGACTGCCGTCTCCTCCCGCCGCCGCTGCCGGGACCACTGCAGCATTTCTGAGATTGCTGATACTCTTGAGCGTGGGGACTGCGTTGGAGCGCGTGAGGATCATAGACTCTGGCCTGGACATGCGCGAAAGATGACGTTCGTGGTGGGGTCGATCGACATGGTGGCTCCCGCACGAATCTCCGTCGTGGTGGTCCACGGCTTCCTCTGTCTCTGCCTCATCGTGGTTGTGGGAGGAGGGCGCATGGATGTGCGGACCGGGACTCATGATCTGGTCGATGACGAAGAGGACTAGCATGCCCGCGAGGAAGCTCACTGCGAGAAGCGTCTCCGCCTGAGCGTCCTCTATGCCCGCACCGGCACCGCCTCGAGTCTGCAGCAGCATGTCGCGCCTGTGTTCATGTCCATGGTCGTGCCCATTCTCTCGATGCTCGCGCGCCTGCTCAGAGCGAAAGAGGGCGCCCGCTCCCTCGGGCATGACGACGGAAGCTGCCGCTCCTAGGAGGAGGCCTGCTCCTCCCACTTCGAGGATGCGGAGCGTGAGGCGCGATAGGCGAAGCCCGAGGGGGAGGAGGCCGAAGAAGAAGGTGCCGCCGGCCATGGCTAGGCAGAGGATGAGGAGGTCGAGGAGGGGTGACATCGTGGCGCGAGGGCGGCGAGTCGGCGAGGATGACTGGAGAAGAAGTCGCAGATGGATGGACGCAATGAAGTAGAGGGTTGGACGGGGGCAGCACTTCTCCCCTTTTTGTTCTCTCTCTCTTGACACGCTCTCTCTGCGTTGCGCAGAGGGGCTTAGATTGGCGACGGCGACGGCGACGAATTCGATGGTAAGATAGGAAGGTGAGGAGCGTGCGATTGCCAAGGGGCCGATGGCTTCAGGGGAAGACGCAAGTTGAGGCTGCAGCGTAGCAATCAAATGCCCCTTCCGCTCGCCCCTGCCCCCCGCGGACGGAGAGGTCGCCGCCCTCGCTCCACCCGCCGAGCAATGAGGCACATCTGTCCATTGCTCTCGTGGAGGCCAGCGCGAACACACGCCGCGCCCTTCTCATCGGTCGCACCCGCTCGTCGTCATTCGTGCCTGTCGGGTCGTTTGTCTTGGCTTGGCTTGATGGCCTGGCCTGGTGTTGGTTCTCGCTGATGGCCGCTTGCGTCCGCGCCGTCGCCCTGCCTGCATCGCTCATGGCTCATCGCATCGCTCAATGCGAAAAAGTTGTCTTTCGTTCGCTCGTCGGTGACGCGGCTCTCTCGCTCTGCGTCCTCGCCGCCCTGTGTTGTGTGTCTGTCTGTCTGTCTGTGCCTTTTGGATCCGATGCTGCCGCCGCGCCGCGAGCAGAGGACGCCTTGCCTCAAGTTGCCCTTTCCTGCCCTTTCCCGCCTGTCTGTTGCCTGCCTGCCTGCCTGCCTGCTTGCCTGCTTGCCTGCTGACTCGCCGCTCTCTCCCTCTCGTGCTCCCTCTCTCCCTCTACTCGCATCTCGCACGCCGCTCGCCCTTTCCTTCTTTCTCAACATCTCGAACGACATCACATCCTCGCCTCTTCCTTTCTCCCTTGGCCCGTCGCGACGACGACGACGACGATGGCAGAGGCCAAGACGACCCCTGAGTTGCCGTCGCGAGGATCTGCGTCGTCGACGAGCGAGGTCCCGATTCCTGCTGATGCGAGGAGCTCGGACCTCGCTCGTACTAGTGCAGCCGGCGACGACCAACACCCCAACACCAACGCGGCGGCGCAGCAACACCATCAGCAGCGACGACTAGGCTCCAAGTCACCCACTCCCACTCCTCGCGGTGGGGAAGACGATAAGAACGACGCCGACGCCGACGCCGACGTCGACGCAGCATCCGCGTCATCAGCATCAGCATCCGCACCAGCATCCGCATCAGCATCCGCCATGGCCATGTCATCGCCTCCGCCGCCGCCGTCTCGCCACGATACTCACCGCGAGTCGTCGACCGCCTCGTCGTCGCATAGAATGGCCATCAGCGATGACGACGAGCAGCAGCAGCAGCAGCAGCAAGGACTGAAGGCAGGGGCAGGATCCGCCGCTCGCGCCACTCGCATGACTCGCCGCGAAGCTAGTCACGACCTCGACGAAGACGCCACACCACAGCAGTCGCGCAAAGTACGCGCCATCAATCGACTCGAGCGATCCAGTGTTCTGGACGAGGCTGCAAAGCGTCGACATCGCAGAAGACCAAGCACAGACAGCGCATCCACAAAGGAAGACGAGGGGAGATCACGCACTCCATCCCCCATCTTGGGGCGAGCCACCAGCTCAACGAGCGGTCACCTGGGCGCCCCCATCGCCGGGCCCTCGGCCGCAGACATCCAGTCGATCCTCTACAGCTCGGCAGGAGGAGCGTATGGCAGTGTAGAGTCGGCCAAGCCGCAGACTTTCAGTGACTCGTCTGAGATCAATGCAGTCGTCTCAAGCGTGGAGAGCATGGATTTGCGCGATCATGGCGAGTCGCTCGAGTTGGCAGCAATGGTACGCAAGTTGGGACAACATGCGCTGGAGCAGGATGCGTATATTCGATCGATGGAAGAGTCGATGCACAATACGCGAGTCACAGCAGTGTCGGTCATTTCGAACTTGACGGCATCGCACGCCTACGAGATGTCAGAGGAGAGACAGCTACGGGATCGATTGGAGGTCGAGTTGGAGGGAGCGCAGGCGTCGGCGCGTATGCTAAGCTCGCTGTTGGCAAAGTCACAGACAAAGGGGAGAGAGATGGATAGAGAGAGGGCGGCGAGTGTCGAGGACGAGATGAAATGGGCTGCCTCGTTGCCAGGCACAGGGTTGCGCAAGCCATCAGCAGCAGCCGTCGCCGCCGCCAAGGAAGTCAGCGCAGCCATCTCGCCGCGTCAACCTGCAGCCCCAGCGCCAGCAGCGACATCCTCGCTCGAGTCGTCGCACACGCAGCCGCAACCGCCTCGCACCCCGCAAACGCCCTCCAAGGGCTTCGGCCTCGGCATCATGGACAACACTCCCTCGACGAGCTCCCACGCAGCGCCAGAGTACACCGACGTCTTTGACTCGCCCATGTCTGCCGTCATTGCGGAGCGCAACAAGCTCGCAGCAGACAAGCGCTACCTCCGCAATCGCGTGCGAGATGCAGAGGCGCAGCTGCATCGGCTTGAGAGCGAGCTCAAAGCGCTGCGGCCGCTATTGGTGCAGGGGGGAGGAGGGGCCAAGGCGATGCTGTCGACACCGTCTGCTCCAACGACGCCGCACCGCAGTCGAGATCGCGGCGTGGACTTGGCGGCCTTCACTGGCGGCTCCTCGGCTACGACGCCGGGTGGTCGCGAGCGCGAGCGTTCACGCAAGGACAAGTCAGCGAGGCGAAGACGACCGACGACGCTGGGTGATGCAGAAGCAGAGCATCTTCTCCTCGCTGCTCGTCGCCTCAACAATGTCCGCGCTCAGCAAGAAGCCAGTCTGCCGCCACACCCCCCTCTCAGCCAGCAAGCATCGCCGTCCGCTCGTCCTCGCACTCCTCCGCCCAAGCTCGGTGCTGGGTTGCCCAAGACGCCCAGCAGCGCCGCAACGCTCACGGCGGGTCGGACTCCACGCCGTGCGGGCAGCCCTGTCAAGGCGCCACGCAGCGCTCGCCCTGTGATCGACCCCATGCTCTCGCGCGGCGGAGAAGAACCGCCAGTCTCGGCTCCAGCAAGTGTTGCGCTCATGGGCTCGCCGCAGGCCAAGACGAAGAGCGTCGGCGTCGGCGCGGGCCCCGGCCCCGGCCCCGGCCCCGGCCCCATCCGTCACGAGCGCGTCGACTCCGCGGCCTCGCACAACGGTATGGACGAACTCCTCCATGCAGCGCAATCTGTCCTCACGCCGCGAGACAGGGCCGCAGCAGCACAGCAACAGCAGCAGCAGCAGGGCGCGTACTTTCCGCCCGCGGCCTCGATGGCAAAGACGCACGACGTGGCGGCGCAGCGACCTCCTAGCTACTTTGAGTCGCCCAAGAGGCGAAGGGTCAGCATGTCCGCGAGCGATGCAGGCGCGAGTGCGAGTGCGGATGCGTCGCCGCAGCAACGCTACTTGAATCCGTTGCACCACAAGGCCTCTTTCCCTACATTGGGGGCATCGCCTCGTCGCATCAGGACCCGGACCGAGGAGGGTGGAATGCAGAGGGGCAGCGATGCGGATGAGCCGCCGCACAGTGCTGGGTTGTCTGCGTTGGACCTGCTGGCGGACCAGGCTGCCGCGAGCCAGAATCCATCGCAGAGTAGCGAGCCCTCGAGCTCGGACAATGAGCGACGGGATGGCGGCTTTTCGAGCCAGGAGGAGGGGCCAGGGGGCGAGGGCGTCAATGCTCCTCGACGTGGCATCTCCAATCTACCTCCACGCAGCGCCGCTTCGAGCTTGATGGCTGCGCGCAACCGTGTTACGGCGGGCAACGCGAGCGGCTCCAGTACGAGCGCAACGGGAGGAGCGCCCATTGCGTATGCGCACAGCGTCGCTCCTCATTCGGACTATGGATCGCCGCGGTATTCGTACTCGACCGCTCCGCCGTTACCGCCCATGATGGGCTCGCCGGTCAGCCACGGCTCTTCGCCGCTGATGAGCAATGACGTCTACCCTGGGCGTGCAGGCAGCGTGGGGTATGCTCTGCCTCCGATCAGTACAGGTCCGCCACCACCACCACCGCCGGGGATGCATCACGGGCACGGGCACGGGCATGGGCACGGGCATGGGCACTACCACTCTCACTCTCGCGAGTATTCAGCGGGGTCACTCCCTCCTCCACCCCCACCGCCGGGCATGCCCCTCCACCCGCAACATCACCACCACCACATGCCTCCCTACGCGCTGCACAGCCCGCACGGCCTGAATGGGAGCGGCGCGCACATCCCATTACCACCAGCCCCGCCGTCGGGCTACATGTCTCCTAGTGCTGACTCGCCTCATCACGCGGCGAATGGGTTCGTGCCCGGTCATCGTCACTCTGCCTCGTACGATTCGGTGGGCGGGGGCGGCGGCGGCAACGGGTCAGCTTCTGCTTCTGCGCAACCGCTGAGCGCGGGAAGTGGCACCAGTGTTGGTGGTGGTGGCAAGGCTTCCGCGTCGTCCTCCTCCTCTGCCTCTAACAACAAGCCCAAAGGCGGTAACACCTCGCCGGACAAGCGATTGCCGTACGTCCGCTGGACGTCGGAAGAGGACGAAAAGCTCAAGCGAGCTATAGCGCAGTACGGGCAGCGATGGGAGGCGGTTGCCAAGGCTGTTGGGACGAGGAGTTACCATCAGTGTAGGCAGAGGGCGTTGTTGATGAGGAGGAAGGGGGTGGATCCCGCTGCTGCGGGGAGGGGGGGAGGGGGGACGAGCCCGGGGACGGGGGGCGAGGAGGAGGACGCGGGGAGTGCGGCGGGTGGGGAGGGGGAGGAGGGGTAGCGGTGCGCGTGCGCCTTTATTTGTCCGTCTGTCCGTCGTATGAGCAGCATTACATTTTTGCGTTTTCGTCCTACAATCGTGCGAGGTGTTGCACTGATGGTAGTGAGGAGAAGAGACATCGCTCTGTCTCGCTCCCCTCGCCCTCGTCGTGAAATCACTCCGTCCGCCCAGCCGCCCTGCCAGTCCACCTCGGAGGAACGTGCGCCCAACCCTCGACTTGCATTGCTCAGGCGAGGCGAGGCGAGGCAAGGCGGCCAGACGGAATCAGGCCGAGTTGAGAGCGAGTCCGCCGGTTCTTGCTTCTCTCTCTCACACACATCTCCATCTCTCACTCCCGCCCGCTACAACGCTCGAGTCCCCTCGACTTCTTCTTCACAGCACAGAGCGAGCAGAGCGAGCAGAGCGAGCAGAGCGAGCAAGCAAGCAGATCTTCCGCAGCTTCTCCTCCCTTTCCTCGCCGTACTATCTCCCGGTCCCCACATCCCTCCTTCCTCTGGACTCGCCCAGCCCGCCCCCTCGCCATGTCCACTCAACCCCTCCTGCAACGCACAGCAGGGAAGCGCATCGCCCTTCCTGTGCGCGTGGAGCCCAAGGTCTTTTTCGCCAACGAGAGGACGTGTGAGTGCGAGCCGTGGGGGGGGGGGGGGGGGGGGTGCAGCACGATATCCCGGGCGATCCCATTCAGCCCAGCAATGCTCTACACCCGCAATCTCGATGCGATGCCATTGGGCAGGAATGGACGGCTGACTCTCTTCTTCTCTCCACCCACGCCTCGCCACACTCGCAGTTCTCTCCTGGCTCAACTTCACCGTAACCCTCTCCGCTCTCGCTGCCGGTCTGCTCAACTTTGGCGATAATGTTGGGCGAATCAGTGCGGCCATGTTTTCTTTTGTTGGTGAGTTGGTGCCGCCCCCCTCACCGCCCTCGTAGCCTCGCCCATCGCCCCCCTTGGCTCACTCTCATCGCTCCTCGCCCGCAGCAATGGCCATCATGGTCTACGCCCTCGCAACGTACCACTGGCGCGCGGCTGCCATCCGTAATCGTGGGTCTGGGCCATACGACGATAGGTTGGGTGAGTTGGCGCGCGCAGACTGGCAGCATATAGGGCGATTATGCAAGGCGTGCTGACCTCCGCTACCTCCTCGTCCGCCTCGCTGCGCTCGCCAGGCCCTACGATGCTCTCCGTCATGCTCCTCGTGGCCGTCCTCGTCAACTTCATCCTGCGCTTCAGGGATGCGTGAGGCGCGGCGGCGTGGCACGAGAGCAAAGCGTCAGACGCGAACGCGACCGGTATCATGTCTCAAGTGGCAGCCTGCGGGATGATTCCAAACGATAGCATGTCATTCACTCTCGCGTGCCCGCCTCGCATCACGCCTCCAACCCCCTCTTGGCCATCTTCAAGGCCCCCTCCCTGCTAGCATTTCCGCCGATGAACCCACTAGCATGCACGAACACGCACCCCTCGATCCCGCTAACCTCGCTCAGCTTGTCGTCTCTCACCCCCCTCCATTCCTCGGGCAACGCCTTGCGAGATACAAAAGAGTCGGGAGACTCAGGGACGGCTTGGACGCGCCATTTGCCCGATTCGTCTGGGTAGACGACATAAATTACCTCTCCCGGGGCTGTGTGCTCGCGCGAGGCCTCGAGGGTGAAGAGATGTTCCTTCCAGCTCGCGTATCCTTCGAAGAGGAGGATGCGAGCATCCCCGCTCAACGTGTTGCGCGCCTCGAGTGCGTCGATTACCACCTGACGAGCGGGAAGCCATGCCTGAACGGCGTAGTCTACCCTTTCGAAAAATTCGGTTCCCGCGAGCAGGCTCGCCTTTTCGAATCGAGCATCCTGGTCTTCGGGTGAGGTGTTCTCGTTCCATCGTGGGTTGAGGTGGCCTACACGCGAGGAGAGGTCGGTGCGTGATTTGTAGGCTGCAGGGACGCCGCTGTACTGCGGGATACCGTTGTCAATGCCGTCTATCGCTTCGATGAAGTCGTCGTAGAGCTTGGCATGGAGGAGCGCGATGGTGGGGTCTGACGTGGGGAGGGAGAGGTGCGCAGAGAGGATCGAGGGACCGTAGTGCCTGCGTGCCCGGCGTGATGGGGCGTGGTGGTCAGTCTCTCCTTCGCTTCACCTCGTACCCCTCCCCCTTCGCGCCGAACTCACTTCCAAACCAATCCAGCACTGCTCAACTTCGTCTTATGCTCCGCATCAAACACCTCCTCAAACCCCCGCTGATGATGATCGTACCTCCTCCTCTCTGGCGCATACTCGGCACCAACGTCGACTACGATGTGTGCGTCATTGATTATCTGCGGATCGCGCGTTCGTGTGAGGGGCATCTCTTTGAATTCGGGCAATTTGCGCAACAGGTGAACAGCGAGAGCTTCATCGGCGTGGAAGGTGCCTGAGTGCGTTACGAGGCCGCCAGAGCTTGCGAGCTTGGGGCGTTTGGCTTCTGCGGGGGCGGTGGACATTCTGGCGGCTAGCGCGAAGGCAGAGTGGGTGGTGGAGTGGCTGAGGGGGGAAAGATGCGCTTGTCGGAGGAGATTCACTGTGGGCGATTAGTCAATGGGAGGGGAAGGGAGGGATGAATGATGTGAACTTGGGAGCGTGCCTCTCGTCTTGTCTTCTCGTCTTCCGTCCCACGTGAGGCGGGTGGAGACCGACTTGCGAGGCCAGGCCGCCAAATTTCAAGGCTCAAGGTCGCACACGCCTTGTGTTTCCGTGTTTGCCTTCCTTTCCTCCTCACTATCGCAATCACCACTCACACGACGGCAATCATGGGCAAGAAGAGCTCAACAGCAGAAACAAGCGCAAGCGTGTCGGCAGCGGCATCATCGTCGTCGTCATCCCCATCATCCTCATCATCAGCCGCCCGCCTAGACCCCTCCCTCTTCCATTCCTACTTCTCCCAACCACCCTCCGCCTCCGCGCCCAAATCAATTCTCAAGCCCGCCAGTAGCGACCACGATGCGACTACTCGCGCCGAGCTAGCAGAAGAACGACGTCGTTCCCGTCTTGCGGCGAAGCGCGCCAAGGAGCGTCGAGGCGGCGTGGTAGAGGGGAGGGATGGGCGACCCATGCGCCGTCTCAAGGATGGACGGACAGTTGTGCGTGCGCTGGCGGGGCAGAAGGAGGACGAGGACGATGAGACAGACAAGCTTGCTAGGCGAAGAGGGGAACGCTTCATTGGGGAGAAGCTGGGGTTGCGAGGCGCGGCCGGCGGAGAGACGACGACGACGGCGGGGAAGGCACGCGCAGAGAAGCGTGATGAGGACGATCCTCTCGGGTTGGGAGATCCTGCTTTCCTTCCTGGTGGGGAGTTTGCGCACCTAGTTGGATTGACGGGCAAGGGCAAGAAGCGGACAAGGTCTTCGACGTCGTCGTGCAAGGCCAGGCGGGGGGTGAGTAAGTCGGAGCAGAGGCAGAGTGCTGCGAGAGGGACACTCCCCTTCAGTAGTGCACGGCCGGCCATTTCCTTCAGCACGACGACCACGACGACGACGAGCTAGCAAGCAGCGTCACGCAATCGAGTCAAACGGATGTTATTCACGGCCGCGCGCTCGAATGGATGGCATTCATTCACGCACGCCCCCGCGCTCAAACGGATGCCATTCATTTCACGTCGTGGCGCCTGTACGCCTAGTCGTCGCCGCGCTCAGCATTAATCTCCCTCGAGTAGCGATGAATCGCCTTGAGATAAGCCCTCAGATGCTCCGGGTCCACCCCGGGGGTGATCCCATGTCCCAAATTTGCAATGTACGCCCCTTCACCACCGAATCCACCCTTTCTACTACGCAGCATCTTCTCCACCTCGACCTCGATGGCCTCTTTGCTCGCGTACAGCACCGAAGGGTCCATATTCCCCTGCAAAGCCACACGATGTCCCGCCTCGTTGGCGCCCGCTCCTTTAGAGGGAGCAGACCCAGGCATGGCAGCGTCGACTACCTTGCGGGCTTGGGCGGGCTCGACGGTCCAGTCCAGCGCCACGACGTCGTAACCTGCCTTTGCTACGTCGGAGAGGGAGTGGCCTAGGGCCCCCTTGGCGAAACAGATCATCGGGACGCATTGCGTGCTGGAGCAGGCCAGGCGATCCTTTACGCTCGATGCTATGGAGCGGAGGTATGGCAGGGAGAAGGTGCGGAAATGCGCAGGGGAGAGTTCTCCAGCCCAAGAGTCGAAGACTTGCAAGAGTTGAGCTCCCGCTTTGACCTGTCCGACGAGGAAGTCTACACACACGTCTGCGATTCGTTGGAGGAGCTCTTTGCTCTCCTCTGGATAGTCGTAAAGCCACCTTTTTGCTTTTTCGAATCCTTTTGACCCACCACCTTCGATCATGTATGCCATCAGCGTCCAGGGGGCGCCACAGAAGCCTATGAGGGGCACCTCTCCCGCGAGCTCGCGGCGGGTCATTGTGATAGCGTCGAAAACGTAGCCTAGCTCCTTGTGTACATCTACGCGCTTGTGCAGGCGTGCGACGTCTTTGGGCGTCTCGAGTGGGGCAGGGAAATGCGGGCCTTTGGAGGGGAGCATCTCGACTGTTAGGCCCATGGCTTGTGGGATCACGAGAATGTCAGAGAAGATGATGGCTGCGTCCAGGAGACCGGAGTAGCGGCGGATGGGCTGGAGAGTGATTTCGGTAGCGAGAGAAGGGGTGCGACAACACGTGAAGAAGTCGTGGGATTCGCGCAGTTTGCGGAACTCTGGGCGCGAGGCGGCGAGGGCGAGGGCGAGGTTGGATTCGGGTGGTTAGCACGCATGCATATAGCCATGCCCCTCACTGCGCGCCACGCTGCCTCACCAGGAAGATATCGTCCAGCCTGTCGCATGACCCACACTGGGGCTCTCTCTGTCTGTTGTCCCCTCGCTGCGCGTAGAATTAGATCGTTGCGCATCCCGGGAAAGTGATGGGCCCCACTCGCGTTTGTGCCCGTGCTCGACGACTCTGCTGCCCCTTCGTGGCTTCCGTGCGATTCATTCTCGGCTCCCTTGCGCGCTGTAAAGGAGTTGAGGTGGGTGAGGATTGGATTGACCATGGTTGTGAGAAAGAGGGGCGGGGGTTGGGAGAGGTGGAGAAGGAGAGAGGAGAGAGAGAGACGAGTTGCACCACCGACGTCCAAGTCGTCGTCTTGCGCGGCCCGCTCGAGGCGAGACGAGTCCGCCCGCCCGTCGCGCTTTCGCTTTCCGTCGATGCGTTGCTTCCCCGGCGTCCCTGGCGTCCCTTCCTTCCGCTCCACCACCACACATTACCTCGACTTCGTTCATTTCACCCTCACCCGCGCCCACCACACCTCCATGCCAGGCAGAGGCGGCGGTAGCGCAAAGCGCAAGCGCTCAGGAGGAGGCGACGATCGCAGCGGGGGACGAGGACGTCGCAAGCAATGGCGTGGGGCAGGGAATGGTCAGATGGGAGGGCAGGGAATCATTCTGGTGAGAAGGGCGGGCGGGCGGGCGTGCGTCAGACTGCGAGAAGCGTTTGATTGGCTGGCTGACCACCCTTTGCGCCTGCGCCTGCGTACGACCAGACGTGCAATCGAGGCAAGGAAAAGCGCGCAGCGAATGAGCTGGTTGATTTGCTCGTCGAGGTGGGTGCGAGCGAGGCGCGTCGAAATGCTACAGTCTAGTGGATCTCATCGATCTCTCCCCGCCCCATCCCACGCTATGCAGACGGCCGAACGTCTTCACCCAGAGCTGGACCTCGAGACGCTCCCTGTGTCGGTCAAAACCAGGCCGCCTGCTCCTTCCACCACAGAGGGCGGCGAGGAGGGGGCGAGAGAGGAGGTGGATATGGATGAGCTGGCGAATGGTGGGCCCTCTACGTCGGTGTCCACGCGCGTGGCTCAGCCTGAAGAAGGGGAGGAGAACGAGGCGCAGCAGCAGCAAGAGGCGCCCGCAGTCGCCCCTCGAGCAGACGACATAGAAGCAGAGCTGCGCGCCGAGCTTGCTGGCCTCAAGGAGAACAAGGGGAAAAGCGCGAGAGTGCAGGGCCCATCCAAAGGCAGAAACGCTGCGGATCAAGAGGCCAAATTTGCCCCTCCCTTTCGCATCGTCGAGACGGGAACGGAATGTCGTGCGTGCGGCGTCCAGTAGAAGAGAGGTGAGAGAGCAGAGAGAGCGGAGCTGACATCACGCCTCGCGCGCAGTCATCTACATCCAGTTTCACCCTGCACTCGACCCATTCGAGCTCACCTACGGCTTGCTAGAGGAGGTAGAGCGCACGGGGGAGGCGCGTAGTCGGTGAGCAAGCGGCGTGTCCTCGACTCGCCTCGACTCGCCTCGACTCGCCTCGATCAAGAGTAGACGCCTGACAGTCCCCTCTTCTTCTTCGCACGCACGGCTTCCTCGCCTGCCCGCCCGCACGCACAGCATCATCTCCCGCCTCACCCCCGTCTGCGGTTTCGCCTCGGCCACACAGGGCGGGATTGAGCATCTGGCACGACAGTACCTGGGTCGTTGGTTCAAGGAGGGAGGCGAGGGGACGGTGAGTCGCGGCGCCGCGCTACGCCCTGCGCTCCACGATTGCTTGCTTGCTTGCTTCAGGGCGCTGATCTCACTGCGCTCGCCCGCCCACCCGCCTCGCGACAGTTCAAAATCGAGCCCCGCATCCGCAGCAACAACACCCTCGCCCGCAACATGATCATAGATACGGTCGCCTCGTTCATCCCCAAAGACGGGCGCTATCGCGCCGAGCTGAAAGCGCCCGAGCTGTGGGTCGCAGTCGAGGTGCACAAGGCGCAGGCTGCTCTGGGGGTGTGTCGCGATTTTTTGAGGTATGCCAAGTTGAATCCGTTGGAGCTGGCTACGGCTGTCAGGGGAAGGAGGGACGCTGAGGCGGGGCACGAGGGAGAGGAGGGAAAGGATGGTGTCGTGAACGCAGCACCAGCGGGCGAGGCGTAGTCGCACAGTCATGCTCATGATCAATGTGTCATCATTCATCCTCCTCGCGCGCCGTGTCGCGCCGTCACGCCCCGCCGTAAGCCTGCAAGAGGGCGTCGGCCACTCCTCCTGGCGTGAGGACGCCCACGTCGGATATGATTGCCGTTACGAGGTCCGGGGGCGTGTAGTCGACCTGGCGGCGAGGCGGGCGAGGTGGCGGCGAGGTGGCGGCGAGGTGGCGCGATGATCAGCTTACGTCGCGCGTCTTCTCTGCCCACACGCATACGCACCGAGGGATTCAGCGCTTCTTGCTCCGCACTCATGATGCGCGCTTGTGACTCTCCTGACTGTGATGATGTTGCTGCTGCGGAGGTGGTCTTGCTCTCGACTTGAGCGGGCACCCCAGGCGGGGGAAGAGGGAGCGTTTCCTTTGTCGTGGGCAGGTCGTCCTGCGAGAGGGGGAAGAGGCGCAGGAACTTGTAGCTGTGCGGCGGGCGCGTGAACCCGTAACGACAGTCAGCGTCGTGAGGTCCTCTACTCGCTCCTCGCACACGCGCACGCGCACGCGCACGCACCTCTCCGCCGCAGCATAGAAGGGCTTGCCAGCACTCTTTGCCACCAACCCAAGCTGAAATGTGCCCAAAGCATTAACCACTCCGCCACTCTCTGCGACGCCCTCTGCCCCTACCAGCACAACGTCCACACGCGGCATCACGACGCCTACAGCCGCATCCAGTACGAGTGTGGCGGGGATTCCCTTTGCCCGCAACTCATTGTACGTCTTGATTCCCAGCCCAGAAGGACGAGACTCGGTGACGTACACGGAGAGGTTTCGCTCCACAGCCAGGGAGGCTAGGAGCTGCATAACCACTCGGGAGTAGGAGTGGGTCAATACCTTTCCCCCTTGAGGTAGGAAGACGCCTGCCCTCTGAACGATGCGTCCCCGAGTGGCAGGGACCGTCTTCTCTGCGTACTCTCGGGCTACGTGGATTAGTCTCTCCTTGTCCTCCTCGAAGGAGCCCGCACGCCAGTCGAGGCTAATGACGAAGCGCGCAAAGAGGTCTGTCCCTGCGCGCGCGGGTGTGGGGTTGGGGAGGGAGGCCGAGAGGAGGGAGGAGTGGTGTTGAATCAAGGTGATTAGCTCGCTGACGGTGCGGAGAGAGGGGGAGTGGTGAGAGACGAGGTCGCAGAGGGAGTGGATGGCTGCGATTGGGTGTGGGAGGTGAGGGGAGGAGGAGAGGTGCGAGTGGTAGGCGTGTGTGATGGAGAAGGGCGGGCGTGGTGAGGACCCTGAGCCTGAGGCCGAGCCTGAGCGCAATGATGTGCTGGGATCTGCGCTCGCCGTCATTGTCATGGCGTGGTGTGGAGACGAGAGGAGAGGACGACAAGATTGTGCGCTTCGCAAAGGGCGGACTGGCGGATGAGCGGGCGGGAGGCGGAAGATTGAGCGTGCAGGCTGTTGCGCTGCGTGTCACGAGAATATATGCTACGAGAGTCGGACGTGAGCGAGCGCAGCCAGGTACTCTGCAATGCATGTCATTAAATCCACACCGAAGTCGCACCCTACGCCCCCGCCCCCAATACAATCTCCTCATTCAACCTCGTACACTCGCGTGCCAACGCCTCAAAGTCCTCCCTGTACTCCTCCTTGACCTCCGCTACCACCTTTGCCTTCTTTGCGCGACTCGCCCCTCCATCCGGAACGATCATTACTGTGCTCGTGGGGCGTTTTGTGGAGGAGGCGGAGCCCAGGGCTTCTTTCGATGAGACGAAGATGTAGGGTACGTTGGACTCTTCGCAGAGGACGGGGAGGTGGGAGAGGATGTCGTGAGGGGAGATGTCTCCGGCGAGGATGACGAGGCTGAGCGGTGTGAGCGGCAGGCGAGGAGCGTCGAGCGGCGAGCGACGAGCGGTAGCGAGTCGTTAGGGAGTCGTGGGGAGAGTGAGAGCGGGAAAGGGAGCGCGCGCGAGGTCAGAGGTCAATATACGCTCGCGAATAAAGTACGCCTTATCGCCTGCCTACTCACCCCTTTTCCCCCTTTCGCAACCCCTTGACCACCTCCTTTACCCCACGCTTCACGTGTCCCTTGGACTTGCTAGCCTTCTTGATCGTCTTGAAGAGCTTCTTGGTCATTTTGCGATCGGCGAGAGGTTCTGCCGCGATGGCCGGCGATGCCGAGGGGAGAGCGTCAGTGTAAGGGGGGTGCAGGCCAGAGAGGTAGACGGTTGAGAGACGACGCACTAGCGATGGGACTGAGAGTCGAGAGGTCTATCTCCCCCTCCTGATCGTCATCAACCGCTTCGGCCGCCTTGCGCTTCTTGCTCGACTTGTCCTCGACGACGACGACGGAGGACGGCTCAGCCGCATCGACGGACATGGTGCTCGCGTCAGCAGCTGCAGCGGCTGCGGCTGCGGCTGCCTTCTTTGCTGCCTTCTTTTCTGCCTTTTTCGCTTCGTCTTTTGCCATTGTGGGCGGGCGAGGATGGGATGAGGATGGGGATGGAGTTGGAGGTGCGGCGCGAGTGGACGGAGAGAGGCTGAGGCTGAGCGGATGGGCGAGTCGACGGGCGGGAAATTCTGGACTGTGTCACGTGGCTGCAGAGTGGCACGGATAGCCCGCCGCCTTGGTTGGATTCACGCCGAGCTACAGGATCGAGATCTATTGGAACATCAAGTGCGATCACGCAGCCGCAACAGCCTGGGCCTCGCTCGCTCCCTGCGCCTGCCCACCCGCCCCTCTGGGACCACCCAATGTAGCCAAAATCCCGCTAATGGTCCTCTCCCACTCTGCCAACCTCTCCTCCAAGACCCCCCACTGCTCAGCTCCAAAGCTCCTATACGTGGACCTGTACACGCGGAAAGTCTCGCGAGTCTGGCTGAGCTTCCCGCTCACCAGCCCGGCACGGATGACGTCGATGATTGTCGCCTCTACGTCGGAGGAGGGGATGGAGAGGGAGGACGAGATGAGAGAGTAGGGCACCTCGGCCCCGCCCGAGGAGCCCGAGGCATCGTCTGGTTGCGATCGCGATGACTCGAGGGCGCGCGAGCAGAGGGCCGTCACCTCGAGGAGACGGACTTTTCTCTCCACCAGAGCGGCGGGAATGGAGAGGCGTTGCAGCTCTGCGCTGTTGGACGTCGCCCATGACTGGTAGTCGCGCAGGGATCCGGAGACGAGGATCTTGAGGAGGGAGAAGAGGGCGGATGAGGAGCTGGAGAGGGACTCTACGACGGAGAGCTTGAGGAGGGAGTCGAATGCGAATACGCGAGGCAGGCGCAGGGCCGAGGCGATTGCCTTTTCTGCCGATGCGGTCGCAGTCGTGCTCGCCCCTGCTGCTTCGTGCGTTGAGCTGAGGTATTGGAGGTGTGCGAGACGGAACTCGTAGGCCTTCTCTGCGTCTGATCCATTGCTGGACTGCTCGAGCTTCGTGGCGACCGTCTCGAGTAGTTGGGCCTTTTGGGCCTCGGGGATGGACCACTGGGCGAGCCAGTGCGGGAGGGAGGCGAGGGCTGGCGAGAGGAGGTCGAGGTCGTCTGCGTGGGAAGCGAGGTTGAGGAGGGCGGAGAAGACGGTGGAGCGGGTGGGGGAGGTTGGGGGGAGGGAGTTGAAGATGTTGGACAGGCTGGTGCGGGGGGCGGGGGACGGCGTGAGTTTGGGGGCTCTACGTGGAGCTGCTCGCACGCCCACTTACATGCGATATTTGACCGTCTCCTTGCCCGTCTCGCGTGAAATAGTGGCAACGTGTGCGTCGATGAGTCGCTCCGCCTTTTGCGAGTCTGCGACGCTGAAGATGAGTGCGGTTACGAGGTTGTGGACTCCCTCGATCTCTGCGTGTGCGAGCAGCGAGAGTAATGGAACTTGATCAGCCAACGCGCTCTCTCTCCCCTCGTTCTCGCTCGCTCATTCACCCCTGTCCAATCCCTCGCCCAGACCCTTGAACTCGGCGCAGATTCCCTCGACTACAGCGTCGGCATCCACATCATCGGCGCTCGCCTTTGCCTGCCATGCATTGATGTAGTCGCTGCGCTCTGCCTCTGGCTTGGATCGGGAGAGAAAGGCGGCCACGTCGATGACTTGGTCGGGGAAGGCTGTATCCGAGAGGACGGTGATGAGGGTGGAGCGCGACGAGGATGGCGCGCTTGACATAATGGCGTGCGTGCGCGTGCGTGCGTGGTGTGGTAGCAAAGGCGAGGCGGGCGGGAGTCGCATGTCAAGTCGAGTTGCTCGCCCTTCTTCTTGGGCGGGCGGAGAGGTTCGGCCGAGCCTGGCGACGGACACGAGGCGGACCACCACCACTTTAGCCTCGCGTGTCGCGGGGCGGATAGAGAAGCGGGGCGTGGGTGCGTGCGTGCGTGGGGGCGTGTTGGATTCGAGGTTGGCTCCGTACCACCACCACCAACCCCACTTTACATCGTCAGACGCGAGCGGCATGGAGGAAGCAGGTGGGCGCGATAACGCCGCGAGCTACGAGGAGGGCGCACACGCCGCGCAGCAGTGGGAAGGCGAATACTACGACGACGAGGACGAAGCGCTGCAGGATCAAGCGATTGATGTGGCCTTTGGACAATTGTGAGTGCGAGCAGCGCGAGAAGAGACATGTTGGCTGACCATTGTCTCTCCGCCGCTCACGCCGCTCGCGCAGCTTCGACAGCTTCATGTCATCACACACCTCGAGCTCCAGCATCGCATCGCCGTCCCTCGCAACGTCGTCGGCTGTCCGGCTGGATGGAGGAGGAGCGCGCCACCCTCTTGCGCGACAAGTCCAGATGAGCGCCAGCGAGGAGGAGATGCGCGCGATCAATGGCGAAGATGCATCCATGCTCGGCGCCGACGATGCGCCGCTCCAACCCAACGGCTACTGGCCAAGCGCCAGCCCACCTGCAGAGGAAGCAGCGCCAGCAGCGCCAGCGGCTCCCGACCCTCCTAAGCGCAAACGCGGCCGTCCCCCGAAAGGCGAGGTCGCCATGCCTCGCTGGGTCAAGAAGCCTCCGCAACCCAAACGCCCCCCCGCGCCGTCTCGTCCACCCGCCATCCCAGTAGAAGGCCCCAAACGCAAACGCGGTCGCCCCTTCAAAGGAACAGCCCCTGCCCACCCACCCCCTATCCCACGCGAACGATCTACGCGCATCGCCTCGCGTGCCGAGGAGGAGAAAAAGGCCGAGCAAGAGCAGGCCAAACGTCTCGGCCCCTATGCCGCCTTCAAGACGATGTACATGCCCGATGGGCGCGGCTTCAAGCGGGCAGGGTCCTCTCCCTGTGCGCAAACGCCTCTCACCCACGCTACGCTTCCCGCGCACATCCGTAAAGCCCTCACGGCTAACGCGCACTGGCCGCCCGCGATCCTGCCCGATGATCATGCGATGCCGCCGCGTTTTCCTGAGATTCATTGCTGGGTGAGGTGGAGGCGATGGAAGCCAAAGTACGAGAGGCGGTTGAGGATGAGGGTCAAGGAGTGGCGGCAAGACGACGAGAATAGCTATCGTGGCGGGTGCGCGAAGGGGGAAGCAGCGCAGGAGCAGGAGATGGAGGGTGTCGTGGCGGGGGAGGCGCAGAGCGAGGCGACGGGCGAGGGTCAGATCTCCGCGCTGGGAGAGGATCAAAGGGATGCGGCGGACGATGCTCAAAGCTCCGCACTGGGCGAGGCGCAGAGCTCAATTGCGACTGGCACCACCTCAACGCCAACGTCAGCAACCGCTCAAAACTCCGCGCTGGGCGAGGCTGAAAGATCCACGGCGACCGGCTCTACCTCAACGCCGACGTCAGCACCCGCGGCGCCACCCCGCGCGCCCGCCTGGCACGCTCCCTGGCTGAGCACCATCTCGCTGGAAAACTCCCTCAAGATCCCCTTTCGCGTCCACCCAAAGCACGCCCGGCAGAACTACTCGGGCCTGGTCAGGGCACAATGGCGTGCACGGAGGACTGCTGTCGCGAGGGCAAAGGCGAGGGCTGCGGCTGCGAAGCGGGAAACGGGTGGGGGAGAGATGAGGGGAAGAGGGGGAAAGGGTAGGGGGAGAGGGTTGGATCTACGCGATCTCTGGGTGAGGGCTGTTGAGCGGGAAATGCGCAGCGCCGAGACGAAGGACAGTAGCGACAAGGCCGACGACGCCGACAACGCCGAGCTCTCAACGCCTCGTCGTCGCGCACCGCTCGTCCTACGCCGCAATGTCAGGCGGGGCAAGGAGCACGAAGAGGAGCTCCAACGCGCAGCTACGGCGCGAGCTCAAGCGGCCGGCGGCGGCGGCGGCGGCGTTGATACCAGCACGGACCTCTCCATCACAGGCACCACAACGACCCTGCAGTAAATCAAACTGCGCATTTGCGCATCTGCGCATCTGCGCATCTCATTCTACGCCTCGCCGCTGCTCCTCGCCGCTAGTATACATGTGTGTGTGTGCGTGTGGGTGCGTGTGTGTGCGTGTGCGCACGCGCGCCGCCTCAACGCTTGATCAACGACACGACGTCCTCATCGCTGAGGACGTGCTCTGGACTACAGATCTGACCCGGGAACTTTGCGCTCATTCCCCACACTTTGGCCCCCTTGATGTTGTTCTTCAAATCGCGATGAATCGCAGACGCCAAGTCGGCAACCGTCGCCCTCCCCTCGCGCAGCACGACGGGCTGTGAGTAATCGGGCTGCTGCTTGCGCGGTTTGGTGTAGATGCGAACGAGGCGCAACTCGGTCCACATCTTCTCCATCAATTCGTCGACGTTCAACCACATGCGCGAGCTGATGGGCACGCTCATCGGGATCTTGTAGAGGAGGTCGAGCTCCTGGATGGAGATTTGGTCGATCTTGTTGAGCACATAGATGGCCGGGATGTAGATTCGGTTGCCCTCTAGCACGTCGATGAAGTCCTCCGAGGAGGCGTCGCTGCGGAAGGCGATGGAGGCGTTGGAGATGCGGTACTCGCTGCAGATGGCGCGGATCTCGTCGTGGTCGATTCTGGGCGGGCGGGCGGCGCGAGAAGCGAGGAGGGTGGTGAGTATGGACATGCTCGGCGGGGTTGGGGCGCGCCTCGCGCTACTCACTTGGTCAGGGGCACGGTATTCGTCACGGCGATCCCCCCCTTGTCCTTCTTTTGAATGTAAATGTTCGGCGGTCGCTTGTTCAGTCGAATCCCCACTCCCTCCAACTCGTGCTCCAACAATGCCTTGTCCTTGAGCGGCTTGCACACGTCGAGGACAATGAAGATCAAGTTGCAAGTGCGCGCAACGGCAATCACTTGGCGTCCTCGACCTTTACCGTCCTTGGCGCCTTCGATGATTCCGGGCAAGTCGAGGATCTGGATCGGTGCGCCGCGATACGTGAGAGACCCTGGTGCGCGGGGCGGAGGGAGGGGCGGTGAGAGGGTCAGTCTGGTTTGAGGAGAGGGAGGGGAAGGCGCCGTACTCACCGGGCACAGTCGTGAGCGTCGTGAACTCGTATGCCGCAGCGAGGGAGTCCTGTCCAGTCATTCCGCTCATGAGCGTACTTTTCCCAACACTCGGGAACCCAACAAACCCAACGGTCGCAATTCCCGTCCTGGCTACGTCGAATCCCGCACCACCACCACCTCCTCCGCTCGACGGCGCGATGAGCTCGCGTTTCAGTTTCGCCAGCTTGGCGCGCAATTGCCCCAAGTGGTAGGAGGTCGCCTTGTTCTTTTGAGTCTTGGACATTTCGTCCTCGATCTCTTTGATCTTGGCCGCTGTGGTGGACATGGTGGCGCGGTGGTGGGGTGGGGTGGGGATGGGAGTGAGTGGAAGGGAAGGGAGCGCAGCATCGATTGCTCGCAGCTCGCCGCCCGCCCGCGTGGTGCGTTGCGCCCTGCCCTGCGAGCTGAAATTCGACCCTCGCGCGAGTGGAGTGTGTGTGCGCCCGCCTGCCCGCCTGCCTGCCCGCCTGCCTGCCGCCTGTCTCTTTCCGTCCCTCCGGCCTGGCGACTCGCACAATTCTTGCCTCTGCTCCCTGCGCTCCCACCACTCGCTGGCTCGCTCGCCCGCCATGTCTCCACCTCTCTCCCTCTCGCAGTCCTCCTTCCTCCTCTCCTCCCTCCTCTCCACCCCTCCCCATCGCCAAGACCAACGTCCCCTCCTCTCCGCACGCCCGTTCCTCCTCTCTCCGCCCAGCGACGACGAGGATCAAGAGGGCGAATCGCGGATCTCCATCGGTCAAACGAGCGTCAGCGTCCGCCTCACAACGAGCGTACTGCGCTCAGCAGACTATGCAGAAGACACGGCGGAGGAGAGCGAATCATCAGCGGCGGACATGGCTGGCGGGGGGAGTGCAGGCAGCGTGTGGAGCGTGGATGTGCGTACGAGCCCTGGGTGTGAGGTTCCCGTCCTCAACGGGGGTAATAGCAGCAAGACGGGGTGTTTGGAGCTCGACGCCAGTTTGGAGACGTTGCAGCATCTCGTGCATTCCCACCTTACCGCGGCGTTTGGCCGCCCAGAGCGACTTGGCCAGTTCATCATCCTACCCCCCTCTCACCCGAGCTCCGCACGCCCGCTACGAGGCGCAACGCATTGGGCGCTAGGCGTGGACGTGCTTGTGCATAGCATGGCGGGTGGGAATGTGTACGACGCTGCGTGGGCGGCATTGTGCGCTGCGCTGTGGAGGGTAAGGCTGCCCAGGACGAAGGAAATCGCTTACGCGCGTGCGCCGGGCAAGGGCGCGGGGGATGGGGACGCGACGATGGAGGAGGTAGGAATTGCGAGTCTCAAGGGCAAGGCGAGCGCGAGTCGTGCGGTTGATTTCGAGCTGGTAGACGGCAGTGGGCGCGGTGTACCTCTAGAGGGGCGGGAAGACGTAGGAACTGGTATCACGCTCGGCATGGTGAGTCGTGCGCGCGCTCACTCTCCACCCCGCCTCTGACCCTCACGCCGCCCGCACACAGCTCCCCAACGGGTCTCACCTCCTCGACCCCACGCTAGAAGAAGCCCTCTGTCTCCCCTCATCGCGTCAGCTCTTCCTCGTCGCATCGCACGCCCCACCTCGAATCCTCATCACGCACCTACTCCCCTCCCTCCTCAACCTGACCGCGGGTGAGGCAAGTAACTCCGGCGGCGACAATGGGGATGCCGCACTACGATTGCCTATGCCACCGACAGGCGCGCGGGAGGGAATCACCTGGGAGACGGGTGGGTGGGGTTCCCCCAGCTGGAGTAGGGTGAGAGAAGCAATACAAGTAGGAGCGCAGATGGCTACGCAGTTGGGCGGGGCGTTGCGCGGCGAGTTGGAGAAGGAGGAACGCGAGGCGGAGGGGAGGAGATGAGGCGAGGCGAGGCGAAGGAGCAGGTATGAGCGCGAGCGCAACGTGTGATCGAATGGAGCTGTCAGCGAGCAGAAGCATTGCGCACTTCGAGGCATGGCGCTGGCTATCCTCTTGACGAGCTTTCTCGCAGCGTGTGACTTTTGACCTCGCATCGCGCTTCTCTCCTGGTGCCACGTTTCATTGCTCATGCCAGTATCCACAACTTTGCCAGCAATGCCTAGACAGTCGAGCTCTTTCGTTGTATTCGCAGCCCGAGCAGCCATTTGCTTCTTCGATCGGCCCGGCCTCCCGACAATGTGCTTGAAGGGGCCCGTGCGGCGTACCCGTGTCTTGAGGCTCCGCTAGGCGATCTTCCCTCGTTCCCGCTTCGCGCTCGGACCTCTCGCGCTGCACGCTCAATGATCTCTCCCCGATCTTTGACTGCGCGGCGTCTATCTTGTTGAAAGCTCGAAGGCTGTTCCACTTCATTGTCCCCCTGTCTCGGCTATGCCTGCTGCCTCCGACAAGAAGCGGTTCTCGCCTGACGAAGACGGCAGAGATGTCTTGACGTCCCGTGTTGCATGGCCCAGTGTGTGCCCGACCGCTTTTGGCGTCCCGCGATCAGTCCCGCAACTGCGACTGCGAGTCTCGGAACAACCATCGTCCATGAATCGATTGACGCGCTCTTGCTTGGCCAAGGTCGAAAGCTGGGCCCATTGCCCACGAGAGTGAAGAGGCGTTGCTACTTGAGCTCATTGATTGAGACTCGTGCAATGAGCGTTGCCTACCTTCCATTGACAGCTGATTCCACCATGCTTGTCGGCGCGTTCTTTGCCACGCTCGTGCCACTGGTACCCCTCGTAGAGGCGTACGAGTGCTCGCTGTCCTCCTCGCGCACGTCAGCGGCGCCCGCTGTAGCACACAGAGAGGCATCTTCTTCTTGGAGTGGTGTGGACATTTGTAAAGTTCAGACGTGAGTCATCGTGCTGCTGTCGAGAGGCTTCTCCCTGTCTGACCGTGCTTCCCTACACAGCTTCCCTGCAAGCCCGCACGACCTCATTTCCCCTCTAGGCCCTTACTCAATACCGATGTCCCAATGCTCCAACCTCGTGTGCCGGTTCAACCAATGCGCAGGCGAGGGGTTCACGACCAGATCGATCATCTGCGACGGAGCTACCCGAGTTGTAGAAGATAACGCGCGCTTCCAAGATGCCGCGTACGGATCCCCCAGCGGTGAGCTCTACGTCTGCTCCTGCGGCGGTGCATCGAACAGCGACGCCGCTGGTCAGCACGAGTACCGTGCAGGGTTGGGTGGCGTTGACCTGCAGCGGACCAGCCTGCGACAAAGGCCCCTTGGGGGTTGACTCCAGATTCAAATGGTCGCGGCGGCTGCGCGTCCAGTCTATTCGCAAAGGCCAGCCCCACCGACCCGGGAAAGGAGGCGTAGAGCACCAGTGGCGCACGGCCGTGATGAGGCAGGCGGGGGCGATGATCAAAAGTAGCGTGGTGCTGTTCCACTCTTGGCTGGGCAGGGTAGAGAGAGACCAGTAGTCGACGAAGTGGATCGGAGGCGGAGGGGACTACGTAGAGGCCGGAGGGGCCGCACGTTGAGTCGCGAGAGGAGCGAGGCCGATCACTTTGACGCGGTAGTCGGATGCGTGTATCTGTAGCGATGGTGCTCGTCTGGTTGACGCTGAAGCCGGCGATTTGGCCGATGAGATCTTGCGCTGCGAATGCAAAGCCTCAAGACTGAAGATGAGCCTGAGGCTTGGTTTGGAGTGCGAAGACCGGCGTGGTCTGGCTCTGAGCGTGCTGTACGCCTTGCGACGCAGCCAGGCCTGCAGTCGCTGCTGTGTTGTTGCCCCCCTTGATATTGGCAGAGTAGGGCAGCGCGATGGGGCCAACGACTGTCGGCAAAGCTTTGTGCTTCTGTTACTCTGCACGACTATCCATCTCTCGATGAGCTGCGGACATTGTAGCCCGAGACGCTTGATATGGCGAGTCCTCAGACGGCTGTCCAGTGAGAGCGATGAGCTGACATTGTGGCATTCAGCGCCGAGGCAGATTGCGATGAGGCCTCTGCGAATTGAGGCGGGCTGGCAGAAGAAGACGATGGTAGATCTATATGCTAGCCACTTAGGTCGAGCTCATAGGCTGTATGCGCGCCGAGTAGATGGCGACGATGGCGCAGAGGGAGCTTCGTAGTACGAGGATAAGGCACAGCCCAGCAAGACGCCAACGAGTAGGTGCAAGGCTGCCGATCGTTATATGTGGCGAGCAAAGGTTTATTGCTGCCGGCAGAGGAGGATGGAAAGACGAGTGATCGCGGGTGAAGCGCACGCCGTCATGACGACGACAACTCAGCGCCACTCTTTTGCATGCTGCAGCCACGCTGAGCCAGTATATGCTAACATCTCGTTCTCGTGAAGGATGGAAGAGGTCGCGAAAAGTGAGGCTGAAGGATGCAATGAGATTGGCAAGAAGGCGGACTGAGCACTCGATGTGCGTGTCGATGCGGAGAAGCCAAGGAAAGGCAGTCAAGCTGCGAGGCGGCGCGGAACCACGAGCGGGTGAGCGGCGAGGTCGATGCCCGCTCCTGCAGCAGATCGCTTCCCGCCGTGCGGGGACGCCGTCGAAGTCAACATGTGGCCCGGTCCGCCCTCGAGTCCAACACGAGTTCAGCGCTGCTGTCTGCCTTGCTTCCTCACCTTCGCACGTCTCCATTGATCCAGCCGGCCAGCACAGTAATGCGCGCCATGACAGCCTCCTACTCGCTCTCTCGCCTTCGTCCGGACCGACCAAGCCGCCTATCGTTCGTCGGCAATCCTTGACCCTCCCCGCCTCTCGCTCGCGGGCGACCCTTTACCCTCACCGCCTAATCACGCCATCATCGGCCCGCAATCAATCATCTTCCGCCCGCACTCGCAGCGAATCCTTTGTCCCATTCGCTCAAAGACGGGCTTGCAATCATCGGCAATCTCTTTGTCCCACTCGAGCTCAGCGAGCTCAGCTCGTCTCGCAGCCCTTTCGTGTCGACGCATCGATCTCGAGCAAAATTATAAAAGGGCGAAATCGCGAGCCCCTCCTTCGTTTCTTTTCGTACCTCACCCCTCTTCCCTGCCTTGACAACATACTCAATCAGCCTACTAGCCCAAATTTTACCTTTACTTCGCCTCCCACCAGCCCCAACCGAACCCGTACACATCCTCATCGATCCACGCGCGTAGCCGCCGGAGCCTGCTCGCTACGAGTGAGTCCCGTTCGCGTCACCCTCCCTTGAGGCTACTAGCACAGCATCGACCTGACCCTCCTCTACCCTTCTCTGCCCCTCTTCGTCCTCCGCTCAGGCTCGCTCGGGCGGCGATGCTTCGTCTAAGCCCGCTCGCTACGGCACCTGATTGCCGAGAACTTGTGCAAATGCTTCGTCAAGCTTCCACCCTTCATCGCGGATCAACTACGTCGAGCATGAGGCTGGCTTCATCGTCCAGTGGTACTACCAGCTTCTGCCACCAGGTCAAGCGCACGACATCCCTGCTGCTACACCGAACCTGACTTCGATTGAAGGAGGGCTTCTCGTCGAGGCAGGAGGTGTGCCTGTGACGTGAAGCCCATTGAGGGAGCAAGCTCAAGAAGACATGGACTGGAGTCATAGAAGCCGAAAAGGGGTCAAGAAAGGGTCTAAGCGCAAGCTAACCTATCCTCGCTCCGACAATACTTTGACCTGCTGGCACACCAGACGACGAGCGAGAGCACATTGAAGGCGACGGTGTCCTCTACAGCTTCGCAAGGCCCATCACGGACCCTCTACCTATGGCACAACGCTTTACAATGCCGGTCGTGCGCCGCGCGTGGAGCTCGAGTGGCCAAAGCATTGCCACCGTCACCGCCGGGGCCGGCACCACCACCACCACCGGCACCACCGCCGCAGCCGCCGCAGCCGCCGCAGCAGCCACTTCGGGCAGCGCCCAAGGGGGACAAGGCGAAACTCAGATGGGGATGAGCGCTCCTGCAGGCGAGGGGGAGGCGCAAGAGGAGGGTGGGGAGCAGGGTGGGCAGCAGTGCGGAGAGCAGGGTGGCGCGCAGGGTGGAGACGAAGAAATGGGAGCTGGTGGGGAAGGGAAAGGAGGACAGCAGCAAGCTCCAGGGACTGAGGCTGCCGAGGGAGGCGAGGAGGCGGGAGCACCGCGAGCACAAGCACTAGTCGAGGAGGCCACCACGTTCATGCCCCTCGACGACCCCATCGACATCGGGCTCGGCGCAGCAGGGACGATGGACCCGCCCGCTGCTTCGCAGCAGCCACGCAAGTCGATCTTCTCGACGCCGTGGCAAGAGTGGTTCAGCTCAATTCCAGACGTGACGCGAGAGCTCCTGGCGATCCGCCAGGCTCATTCGAGGACGGAGGTCAAGATCCTCCGCGACGCCATGGTCGCGGCAAGGACGAAGAACGCTCTGGAGGACGCTACCTCGGAGTTCAACTCGGCCTCCCTCGTACCCAAGCCTGGCCAAGAATCCTTCTCTCGCCGCATGGAGCGCATCCAGTCTCCAGGCGGACAAATGCTGCTGCGCGATCTTCAAGCAGCAGTCTACATCGTCAAGCTGAGGATCAGCACCAAATCCTCCGTCTGCGCGCCTGGGCTCGTCGACCTAGACACCTTCAGCCGCGCACTCACCACCCTCCAGCAAGCTCTCCTCTGCTGCTCTTCACTCGCACCATTCTACATCAGGTCCGCACAAGACGCCAAGGAGCTCTTGGAGAAGTACCCGGAGCTCGACGCGCGCAAGAGCAATTCTCGCGGGCTGTAACGGCGCGTCGTCCTCTACGAGGCTTTTTACACGTGTGGATGCACCCGCCGGCTCATCTTCCACGGCGGCATGGCCATTGGTCAGACGGTGGCGGAGAGGTCCGAACAGCACGATGCCGAATACGAGGACATCTTGCTCGTCGCAGAGGAGGGCCACCAGGGCAAGTTCGTCCGCAAGTCGGAGAAACAGCCCAAGCTGTACAAGGCAAAGGTGGTGCAGAAATGGGCGTTCACTCTCACGCGCGGACCGGAGGGGATGAGCTCCAAGGAGCTTGCGGAGTGGTTGGTGGCGCAGGGGGAGGCATTGGTGCCTGGGATTGCGAGGGGGCGCACGCTACGGGACCTGGGCTGCCTTCTTTGCCACTCAGAGAAGGATATGTGGAACTACGTGATTCGTATGGTCTTCGCATACCACGAACACGTAGCAATTGCCCTCTTCCGCTCCGTGGCAGGCGGAGAGGGCTACCCCAGCGCCGACCTCTTCAAGGGCGCTTGGTTCGGCGGCGAGTACGAAGGCGGCAACCACGCCCTTCCCGTCGTCCCCTTTGGCCGCCTTGAAGGCTCCCTCGCCTGGCGCCTCAGGCAAAAGGCGACCAGCACCATGGGCGAGAGTGAGGCGGGGCAAAGGTACGAAGCCGCGCTCAAGAACTTGGACAACATATCCCTCGGCTCATCAATGTTGTCCAACTCCAAGACGCGACAAAGGCTACACCCGAGGTACTGGCGCCTCACCACGCTGCGCGACCCTCGCCCGCAGAACCCCGGCACTCGCTCCCGCCCTGGCCAGCCTCAGCAGACGTCGCCATACCTCGACCCCTCACAGACCCAAGCGCAGGCGCAGGGCGACGAAGATGATGGCGACGACAACGATGACCAAACTGCCTTCTCGGACTACAACGACGACGAGGACAACGACGAGAATGCCCAGGCCCTCACCGAGGACGCCGAGTACGATGTTCTCTTCGACGCCGAGCAGCAGCTCTTCCCGCCTGGCCACGTCGACATCGTCACCTTCGTCGAGGAGCTCCCCACCGCCGCCAGCTCACGGGGTGACGTCTCCGAGACCCACTGCGTGGACCTGGAGAAGAGGACCGTCTTCGTTCTGCCGGAGCTGGGCAAGGACGAGATGGACAGCCTTTGGGAGCGCTTGGCGGGTTCGTCGTTCCGCGGTCAAGTCAGGGGTAACACCCTCATCGTCTCTTGGCGCAAGCATGTCGGACATCTCGAGGCCAAGCTCGACTTCGACATCGCCGACGGAGAGGTCGAACTGACCCTCACCGCGCAGGATGGCAACCTCAACCGCTGCCTGCCGCAATCGGCCAGCCCGCCTACGTCGTTCCTCCTGCGACGCTACACGATGACGCTCTCGCGCAGCAGTGGGGGCAAGGAGGAGTCTTGGCCGATCGTGTGGGACGGCAAGACTGTGGAGGATGACTGGGAGAGCGGCTTGTCGCTGGTGGGCGAGATTGCGTCTTTCCAGCGCAATGAGCCCCTCGTCTTTGCGCCAACGCGCCACCCAGACCTCGAGGCGCTGCAGGGCGTAGGGGTTTGCATGCGCGACGGGGGCTCGCGTTTCGACCTCAGTGCGGGGAAGATGGCGTTGCTTGGACCATGCCAATTGGGGCACCTTCGAGGAGGCGGACGAGGCGACGAGGGAGGTAGAGGTCCGTCTGCCGCCGGTGGCAGCTGACATGGAGCAGAGCGTCATCTGAAAGGTCGACGCCGAGCTCTTCTGGGTGGCGCGCAGGCAGACCACGCGCGGGGTGGAGAATGACATTGGGCGTCGGGAAATCAAGGATCGGGAGTGACAGCAGGTGGATGAGCGAGGGGGAATCATCGATGGCTGGGGGATGGGGGCTTGGACTACTTTTACATACCCTCTCCGGCGAGGACCCTCTGGTCCTCGTCGCTGCCATGGCCTCCTCGCGGCAATGGGTGGATAGGCGCGATGCTTGCGCTGAACCAACGATGGCAGAGTGTTTGGCGCCGTTCACTACCAAGATGGCGCGGGGCGTGCTTGCAATTCGATTATGTAGCAGAGAAGAAAGTAGACTGAGTGGGCCCGTTGTCTCTCGTCTGATCCCACGTCCTATCTTCTCTGCTTCAACCCCTGTCGCTCCAGACTGCATTGCGAAGGTGAGTCGAGTCCGAGTTGCATGGGCGATCGAGCTGAGCGCCGTGATGAGCCCACCTCCTTTTTCTCATCACGAGCTCCGTGTTGCAATGTCATTGGCAAGCGACGCTCGAGTGACTGAGATTGGGATCAGAGTGAAATTCAGCTTCGAGGACAAAGAGCGACAAGAAAAGCCGTAGAGATGAAATCAGCTGTGTCGCGTACCATGAGATTGAATTGAGTGGCGTCGGCCTCGCCCAGAATACAAGAACAAAGCTGTGGACCTTTTCTCCTCCCTTCCTTTCCTTGCCTTCGCCATCAAAGGGCCTGCTCCTGTCTGTGCGAGCGAACGCGCCATCTCCTGCCCTCTAGTCTTGGCCCAATGACCAAACGATCCCCTTCGTGCGTGTCGTCAAACATCTTGGTAAGCGTGTCGGACATGAGGTCCTTCTCCCGCTCAGAGGGGCGACCGTACAGGTCGAGCAGGACGCCGTAAGGGCTGAGCAGTCTTTGGCGGATTACCGAGACGAATGGGCTCGTGATACCCCGCAGGGAGGAGGCGGCAAGGAGGCCTACGAGGAGAGAAGTGAGGCTGTGATGCGGCGCAAGGTAGGGGAATGGTCAGTCGACCGACGTAGCATGGCGCGCGTACTGTGGATGCACCTCCGTTCACTCACCCAAAGAGGCCTGCAAGCAGACAGAACAAGGCCAGAACGGACACTCTCACCGTGCTCCCCACGACGGGCCGGCCTAACACCTCAACCAAGGGCGCAGAGTCGAAGAGCACGGCCGCGCCGGCCACGGTCCTCTTTGCCAGCTCGAGAGCCGTCGCATCCGCGAAGGTCATGCTGCCTGGCCTCGTCCCGGCCCCTTGTATCGCGGTGGTGATTGCGGATCCCGCGGGCACGAAGTTGGAGAGATATTGCGCGTGGAGCAGCGAGCTGGGCACCGACGACTGGACGGTGTAGGTCGCGGGGGGCGTGAATTTGTAGACGGTGTCTACCGCCATGACCTGGCAGTCGACGACGTTCAGCCCGCCTTGGTGGCCCCAAGTGATGAATCCCGTGTCGCCGACCAATTGGCCACTTAAATAGTCGCCGATGCCGGCATAGGCGAAGCTTTGGCCGACGAAGGCGTAGCGGAAGGGGCTGTGAGAATCGTAAGGAGCACGGGCGGGGTCAGCATAGTCAAGTGCAGCTTGCATCGCGGCCAGCTGACCGTCTGTGTGACTCACTTAGTCTGCGCGAGGTTATCAAAATACTGGTAGCCGGACCCGCTTAGCGTCAATTGGCCGTTGGTGGCCGGATTGATCAGCCCGTCCACGTACGTAGTCTCGTCCAAATTGACGCTTGTTGTGTTGAGCGTCGGGCAAGTGAACCAAAGCCTCGCCTCCGAAGTCCCCTCGGCGCCCACGCAGGATCCGCTTGTCTTGCAGGTAACACACTGCTGCGTGAGGGACTTGCAGTTCGCACTCACTCCCAGCGCCCTGGCCGTGTAGCTTATGTTGGGCCTCGTCGCGGGCACCATGATTGCGGAGCCCTGATTCGTCCAGGCGACAGAGTTGCTAGTCGAGGCGTTGGCGAGGGTGCGAGCCCCTTCGGGCTGGTCGATGTACATGGCATTGTTGCTGCCACTGAAGTGCGGAGGGAGGGCCATTCGGAGAGGCGCCGGTGTGAATGAAGGGCTCGCACGAATCTTGTAGGGGTTATTGCGCACTCACTTTTGCAACCCGCACGAATCCCGAATGTACGAGGCTCTGTCGGCATTCTCCGGATCCGCCTTCCACTCAGCGCACCTCGTGTCATTGAAAGGGCGGCTGTACCTCATGTCCTCGGTGAGCAGGACGTCGTTCGTCTTCTCAACAACTGAGCGCGGATGCGTAGTCCAATGCAGTGCCTGATCGAGCGCGCTGATGCCATAGTGGAGTACGAGGAGCCAGGTACATAGCAGGATCGAGAGGCGCAACGTCTTTGGCATTCTTACGTGCGAGTGGCGAGAGGTGGAGCCCCAGCCTAACCAAAGGCGGAGTGCCCCCCAGAGGGTGCGTGGGTTGGGCCCGCCAAGAAGACTCATGGCCGCGCCGAGGCTGGCGGCGAGGTGCGGAGGAGGGGCGATGTGAGGTTAGATGCAGCTTTGTGTGGTACTGCAGGGACGCGAAGGTGCGGCGACTCACTGCACAGGTGTTGGCCTGCCTCGTCCTTCGTACACGTTGCTTGCGCGATACCACTCTGCGGCAACGATTGTAGCCATCAAGCCCACGACGGGCACGAGTGCCAAATCGCTGACTTTACTAACAATGTTGGACAGGGACGTGATGACGTTGAATGCCGCGCCGGTGTAGATGACGCCGCCGTCCACGTCGACAACGTAGCCGTGGATGACGAAGATGTAGACGAGCAGGGCTGCGAGTGGTCCCAGCATTGCGAGTGCAAGGAGCACAGCCCAGGCAAAGGCCGCCCAGCGAAGCCGGGAGGGGGATTTGGAGGAAGGGTAGACGATGGGAGGTGGTGCTTGTGAGGGGGGAGCATCGCTGTAGGAGAGGATGTGCGCCGACTGGGAGCGGGCGGAGGGGGAAGGCAAAGGCTTGAATGCGGACTTGTCGCTCATGGTGTTGCAGAAGGAGTTTGGCATGGTGAGAAGCAATTTCATCGCGTTGTGCGGGCGCCTTTAGTACTCTAGTCTGGAGGAGCTGTCCATTCTCGTATCAGTCCCGATGCGCAACGTCTAGCTGGAGCATCTAAGTCCCGTCATGGCAGCTTGCTGCCTCCTGGCCATATCGCTGAGCTCGTCGCGTATCACAGTATCTCGAATCGTCGTCGTTGTGGCGCAGATCTGGCTTAGAGATCTGATCACGCCCCGCCCGATGTGCGCCACCTTTTTTTTTTGGTTTGGGTCGCTGCTGCCCCTCCTGACTTGTGGCAGTGCGAGCGTACCCGGTCTCTTTTTGACAGATAGCATTGGTGCGGTGCGCTCAGAATCAAGGGCTGGACACTTGACGTCGACCAGAGATGTGATTCGAAGGAAGGTCGAAAGGCAAGTCAGTCTCTGTCTCCGCGGAGGCGGGCGGAGCTGTCTGGATGCACCGCGGTGTGGTGAAGGATCCGCTGCAAGAGCGGGACGAAATTAGCCGCCGGGCCCAGATCTAGCCTGCAGGAAGCGTGGATCCACGCGCCCCGCCCTCGTCGTCCTGCATCTTTGCTTCTCACCTTTCACTTTCACTAACCGGCGGGACAAGGTGATGCGTGTGGCTAAGTGCTCCGTCCACATTATTCTCGCCTGTGTCCCGTCTAGCCAATCTCGTCGCATCCTCAAGCCTCACTTTATTCACGGCAATCTTCTTCCATCACGGAAACGGTCTTCTGCGATGAGAGATCGGAAACTGACGGACGTCCCTCGTACGGCGTTGCTGCAGAGTACAAAAGACGAGCATCAATTCGTCATGACAGCATACGTCTCAACCACAACCGCTCGTCTTCTCTCGCAGCAATGGACTTCAAGCACTCGGCCGATCGCTCCTCTTACCAATCGATAGCCTCACACCTACCCATTGGTGTGTTTCTCCAGCCACCAGCCCACAAATTCGCCAAGCTACGCCTTACCCTCGTACTGTCCAGCTCCCTCTTCGCCTTTGCACTCTCCATCGTAGGCCTCTACTCGGCACGCATCCAGCCCATCAAGCTCTACCAAGACGGCACAAGCGCAAGCAGCGTCTATGACGTCTTCTTCGGTCTCCTCGCCTCGGTCCTCGGAGGTCTCATCGCCATCGGCTTCGGCGCGGGCTTGGGCGCTGTCCTCACAAAACGCTTCTCTGCTCGCGGCGCCGAGGCAGGCCAGTGGCTCCTAGCCCCAGAAGCCCTGCGAGGTCGCCCAACATGGCGAGCCGGACCCTTGCTCCTTTGCGTCAGCATCATCGTCGCAATGGTATACGCGCTCAGCCATGCCGCCGCCACTACCCTCCTCGCCCCGGTCCGCACCGTATTCAACGAGACGTGGGCTGGCCAATACAGCGTCGGCCGCCGCTTCGACGTCGCCCTCACGTCGCTCGCGAGCGTTGACGCCGTCGATCTCGCCGGTCACGATCCGGCCGAGGTGTCGCAGATGTACCCGATCTACCTTGCCCTGGGTCTCAATCCGGCCACGACTCGGATAGCGGACACTTTTGGCCCCCTCGCCTTCACGTCCCTCGACCAAAACCCCGCCCAGCCGTACGTCGAGCTCAACATGTCCCAGTACATGGTAGTAGACGCCCCACTCATCCACGCCAGCTGCACGCCAGACGCAAGTTGCGCCACCCTGTCCAGCAGGTGCAATTTGACCGTAGGATGGAGCGAGCAAGTCCTCTACCGCTTGCCCGATACGACACTTGCGCTGGGCAAGCACGAGGGCATCCAGTCCGTATGGCAGAGGACGCTCAATCTCTCTAGCCTGCAGGAGGAGACGATGCAATTGTGCAGCAGCAGCGACAAGTTCAAGCAGTCGGCTACTCGCTTCCTCGAGGTTGCCGCGCTCGCAGCGTATAACAAGACCATCAACGGGGACAAGAGGGCCTTCGATGCGCCGAGTTTGAGTCCGGGTCAAGCACATGGCAGACGTGCTGATTCGCCACCGGACGTTCATCCATCGAAGGGGCTCATGGCCGTCGTGGATCCGAAGTGGCACAGCGACGACCACGATTATGAGCAATCAGGACCTGCTCGTGTGCCCGAGACCATTGGAGTCGATACGAGCTCGCCGACGGTCTCTGGACAGGCTATCCCTGATCCCCCAGCTCGTACGCCTGTGTTTTCCTCAGCAGATGAGACAAAGACGGCTTTCAGAGAGGTGGACAGCTTCACGGCGCAACAGCAGCAACCCACGCCGAGTGAGACGCCGGTTGGCGCTCCTGCCACGCTGCCCTACTCCGCCAGCAGCAACGAGGGAAACAATCTAGCAGCCACAGCAAGCTCGGCTGCATCACAAGTCGTGCAGCAGGCGCAAAGCCAGACTACGCCAGCTCCCGTGGTCCAGGCTCCGGCTCAGGCTTCAAGCTCGATCTCCGCAGCGCAAGACCTCAGCAGCCATGTGGGCGGCTTTGGCGTCATCCAGACCACCGCCGCCGCCGGAACCGGCACAGACGCATCCGGCCGCATCGTCAAGGTGATCGGCCCCTCAGCCACCAGTACAGCCACGGGCGCGACGGGAAGCACAGCGCCGCCTTCCGCTTCCTCGTCCTCGCGGGGCTCCTCCGACCTTTCCGTAGTCCTCTCCGCCCTCCCCGGCACACTCATCCACTCGGTAGACTACTGGTGTCTCTTCACCCTCGCCAGCCAAGAGTGGTACTGCGCCATGCTCCTCGCCATCGCTTCGGCCTGCCTGGTCATGGCCGCCGCCTGCCTTCGTGCGCCCGTGGGAATCGACGCGAGCTCGGGCGGATCCGTCGGGCTGGCTGTTGCGCAGAGTGAGGCGGCGAGGATTGGGCTGGCCGGGGTGAAAAGCGAGAAGGAGCTGAACAGGCGTGTCGATGCGTACTCGAGGGGCATGGAGGAGGGGAGGTTGGGCTGGTTGAGGACGCCGGGAGGGAGGGCGAAGCTATACCCTGTCACGTCGTGAGCGAGAGTATCGCTCGTACAGATACCTCATCAATGTCACCGCCACTGTCATCGTCATCTCCGGTAGAGCAATACATCACACGTAGAACAGCGCCTCGTCTCGCCTCACAAGGGTCAGAGGAGAGAGGTCAATGCATCGGGGCTTTGATTGGAAGAAGCTAATGCGTCGAGCAGATAACGATGGAACGATGGGCTTCGAAAATGGGTCCCCCGACCATGTCCGGGGGCGGGAGCGGGAGATGCTCCTTGTTACCGCTGCTGTTGTCTTCGAAGCAATCGACCCAATAGGGGACGCTGTCGTAGGCCGGCGTGGTGCGCCGGCTGCATCTCGACGCCAGCAGTGAATCGATTGCTGCAGGAGCAAATGTAGAGTGTGGCGTCGGAAGCCCCGTATCCGCTATCTGGGAAGATGCCATTGCTGCCTTGGACTCGCGTCGCACCATCGCAGATTATCCGTGCGGTGGTGTGGCCTCCGTGTGGGCCTTGGCTGAATGGGCACACGAAATGGGAGCATTGGGACCTCGGTATTGGGTAGGGCCCCCAAGGGGGAATCAGGTCGTGCGGGCTTGCGGTGAAGCTGTGTTTACGGCAGCACGATCAGATGGGGAGAGATCTCTAGATAGCAGCAAGAATACTCACGTCTGAACTTTGCAGACAGCCATATCAGGGTACGCAGAAGGAGCATCGCTTTGCCCTCCAGCCACGTTTGAGGAGCTCGCAGGCATCGCCAGGGCCGGTGAGGAGGACGTTGCGGGCTTGGGCGAATCCTCGTACGCCTCAGTGAGGGATACGAGCAGGGCGAGTACGGCAAAGAATGCACCGACGAGCATGGTGGAATGAGTTGAAAATGGAAGAGAGGCAACCCGCACAATGTGCGGCTTCGCGATCAGTAGCTCCAAGTAGCAGCTGCCTCATCGCGGTCGGCGACTTCGAGACTGTGACCAAGAATCACACGCCCGACTGAGGAGGGCATGATCGTTGTTCTCCGTACTCCCAGTGCGCTGCAGTAAAGCGCGTGGCTGGTCGCGGGAGCTGTCGAAAGCAAGGCCATGGGGACACGGGACGGGCAAGATCTTTCTGCCGATCCCGTTTGGCGGGAGTGCGGGAATAGGACTCCAGATCTGCAAACGGCGGAGCTCAAGTCGGATCGAGCGCTCTTGGCGGCATCCTTCGCCCAATGGGAAGAGATGCGAGACAGCAAACAAAGGAACAGCGCTCGTTGACACACAGGCTTGCAGCTGTGGGCCAGTCCTGCTGATCGGGCTTCTCCGACTACTTCGCTGTGTCAGAACGCCAATCGCGTGAGCAAAAAGGCTAGTAGAAGTCCGACTGGCTTGAACAAGTGCGATCGCACATTACCAACGGAGTGCGGACAATTCGAACTTTGCTTACGATGGTATCCATTCAAATGCCAGGGACGAGATATGCAAGCGAGTCAGAGGGACGATACAAGATCAAGCATGATACGCTGCAAGAAAGCTCGTCAAGAGGAGGGTTAAAGTCATGCCTCGCAATCCGACCTGTTTCATCTCGTTGACAGCTCCATTTGATGTTGACGGGGATGTGGTAGCGGTGGATGTTTGGCTGCTTGCGCTGCTGCTGCTGCTGCTGTTGGCCGTCGTAGCATCAACGGCAAGGCCACAGGGGTTCTTGTCGTTCGCCGGTCCTGTACACGAGCACCAGAGGGACAGTTCTTGCCCGTAGTTCACCTCGTCGAAACAGCCGTCCGACCTAAACGGTCGTCCCGTGCAGATGTTGTACTGGAAGTCGCCGTTCGCGCCTAGCTTACCGTAGAAGGGCGTATTGTCGCTGTCTTGCGCCATGACTGCGGGCACCACGCAGCTTTCCTTGTCGAAGGTATTCGGGGTCCCAGTCAGCGCGCCATAGAAACAGCTCGAGGCGACGTTGCATTTCGTCCCGCTGGGAGGGACAGAGTAGGTCCAGTCGCACACGGTGGGACAGAAGGGGCGGAGGGCCAGTCGCCTCCCATTTGCAGCTGCGGCAGCGTTGATCGACTGGCTGCCGCAGGAGCAGGCGTAAAGTTTGAGGCTCACAATGCCCGAGTCGTCCGTTGGCTGAGGCTGTTCGGCGTAGTAGAGGCTGTTATCGTCGGACACTCGGGTACCGCCGTCGCAGATGTACGTTCCGCTGGTGTAGAAGTCGTTCCCGGCACCGGCCCAAGTACACGATGTCCCTGAGCATCCGGATTGAGGGAAGACGTAGGGCCCAAGATAAGGACTCAGGGAGGCATCGAGGACAGTGAATCTGGAGCGAGGCTATCGTGGGTTAGAAAGCGTCTCCTCTCCGGGGCAATCCCGATCACTCACGTCTGGATGTTGCAGATCCCAGAGCTGAGGTCCATGATAACAGGATGAGGAGAGTTCGTGGGTTGTAAGAGTGAGACAAGCGCGAAGGTCGAGGAGAGTTTATGAAGTCGAAGGGAAACGAGACAGTTGATACGATCATGATTTTGAACTCCTGTCAGAGCTCGCGGCATCGGTCCAGGCCTTCCAATAATGAGAGGCTGGCCCCACAAAGTGTCGCCGCACCTGCAGCGGGCGAGGAGCAGCATCGAGCCGCCCTTCTCGAAGCTGATCCGAACTGCCATGCACAGTCGGAGTTAGGCAGACATGCGACACGGGACGATCTCGCTTCGCTTCGATTCAAGTGACAGCGGAGCTGCATGAGTTTGCTTGAGCCTTGGCGTGCAGCATTGCAGCATCGCTTTTCCGGTAAGATGTATATGAAAGAAGACACGACCGAGCGTCAAAGTCGTGCTGTGTGACACTCCGGACGAGGGCGACGCTATCTCCCCGCAGGGTGACGCCCGTGGTCGAGTGGAGACCCATAGCATCGTGGAGATGGGAGATGAGGAACGGAGAGAGTAAGGCCAGTGAGGGAAGCCTTCAAAACGTCTTGAGCCCAGACCTGCTGTCAATTACACCGCCCCTTTTGACTACTGTTGAGAATGAGCAACTCGCGCGCGATGGTCTCCTCAGACTTCTTGTGCAGCGAGAGGCTGATCCATGATAGAGACAGAGGCTTGTCTGTCCTATTTGCGCGAGACGTATGACACAGGCCGTGAGATAGATGGAAGTATCTCGCTTTGGCGAGATGCGATCGGCGCTACGATCGACATGGTCCAGGAAATTTGAGTTGTGCCTCTGTGGTGCCCCTCCCTTCCTGCCCACTGCCCCTTGCCCCTATTTTTAGTTGGGAAAGACCTAGTGCGTGCCTCTGCCTACCGATTCTTGGGCTGGCCTA